GACAGAAAGTAAAGAAGGTACGACGTACTCTTATATTTTTGATGATGCTACGCTCGTCCACGCGCCCTCCATATGGACCGGAGAGCCCGACGTCCGTCGTGTCCGCGGTATGCTAAACGTCGTGGTAGACCGAGAGACCGAGATCGCTGAACCCACTTGGGAAGGGCTCGCGCTCGCTCTGGATGAAGAACAAGATCTAAAGACGAGAGAAGTCAGGGAGGAAATAGAAGACGATGACATACCTATGCTTAGTTTAGAGGAAGAGGAACTAGAAGAGGGAGAAATAGAGGAAGAATGGAAAAGGCAGAGGAAGGAACGTATGAAGGAACTCTATTCGATCGAAGAGAATGATCGAGACTCGTGGCCAGACCCAGAGTCCCAGATCTCCGCTGTACCTCCGATTTCCGCGGAAATCAGGCTTGATTCCGCATCCCCGAACTCCCTCAAATGCTCGGCTGACCCAAGCCTTAACCCTAGCAGACCATCCGGCGCTACAGGCTTCATCGATTGGGACTCTAAGTCTCGATCGTACTTCGAACAGTCTCTCTATTCTCAGTCACCTCAGACGCTTCCCCCTCCTCTAGCTTTTCCACTAGGACCTCCTCGACCTCCTCCCTCGCCTGACGCCTCCGCCGGATCATGCGCATTCGTGTCCCAAGAAGACCAGATGGATGAAGATGACGAGGTAGTATTGGTAGAAAGGAATGGGGTAAACGGACCTCAGACGTTAAGGTACGTACCTCCTCATCGCCGTAAACTGACATCTAAGCTAGGTACATCCTCGGAGAATGTTTCTCTCCTCGAGGACCCAGTGGTTCGACGTAAACCCACACTATCCTACTACAGGAGCCAGGATCCACGCCGACGAAATGGACATTTGAGATCGGACCACGCAGCGGTGCGTGCAGAACTGCTGTCTCTTGCCTCCTGCTGTCCGTCAACGACCCCCTGCTCTACGCCGGAGTACTCCCCCACGATCTGGTCACTTCCCCCAGCAGCTCCTCCAGTATCGGCATTCACGGCTAACGTAAACGTACCTACACTGGAAGGCCTTCGAACCACATCCCCTTCGGACGACTTTACGCTTGATAGCTCCCTACGCCGCTTCTGGAATGAGGCAAGAAGGTCCCTATTTCAAGAAGACCTCCCCGCGTACGTCCCTCTTGACTCAACGGGCAAGAAGACTACTTACGGCGACGACGTATCGATGCATTCGACGAACACCCCCTCAATCAAATCTCATCTACCTTCTGTCACAATGACCCCCACTCTACCTGGACAACCTGTCTCCAGGCAGAAACAACGTGAGCTCGAACATGAGCTCGATAAGATTCTCGCGGTAGCCCCCAGTCCCGAAGAGACTAAGGATGGACATGACGACTCTGAAGAATCGGAATGGTCCAACACGGATCTTCAGGCCCTTCAATACACCCAACCCCTTATCGTTAACGGTAATCCTATATTCCCCATTCGATCTGGATCCCTTCCCTTCACGTACATCTCCCTTCGCTCTGAACGGCTTCTTAATCCCCTTCCGCCTCGCGACACCGTACCCTTTCTCAACAACATCTGGCATGGCCAGGACGACCTCAAGACCAGAAGGGAATTCATTCAGGACTACCATACGCTAGGCGAATGGGCCGAGCGGGACCTATGTCTACCCTTCGTCGCTAGGACCTACGCACGCGGACTCGACGACGACAGCAACAGTTGGTTGCGGGACCGATTTCGACGTATGTTTCGAATCAAGCAAGGCTTTAGAGGCAACCCCTACCTTCATGGAGAAGAAGAGGCACATCTATGGCAAATTAAGTATTTTTACTACTCTACTCGGTCCCACCAGCACTGCAGTTATTCGACTCACTTTCGCAACCATATCGATGTTATGCTTCACTTCTGCCCTTATGGAGAAGAAACCGTGGCCAACATTCACCGACGACGTATCGCTGGTGAACTTGGAGATGTGGGGCAGTCCGCCTAGTGCGACGACCTACCAATTAACGGAGGTACGTTCCCGAAATCTTTTAGGGAACGCATCCACTAATCGTCTCGTTCGACGATTAGGTCCTCAGACCGATTTTCTTTATCTCAGCTCCATTACTTCGATTTCGATTGCCGTTGACCGTTGTCAACGCATTTGCCTTCAGACGTTTTTAAAGGACTTTTCCTTTCCTTTTCCCCTTTTTCTGTTAGACACTTGTAACCTGGACTTGACTCGACAACTGCAGCTCACCCTAAGGACCCTTTTCGGATCGCGCGTAAGTACATTGCCTCACTTAGCAATGACCTTCGCGCTCACAGACCTTTTCATAGACACTTACCTCACGTGCATTCGATATTCTGGACAGACCTTACCAATAGACTTTTCCCTTCACCGCCAGTGGCAGGGAGGGCTCGTCAACATTGACGAGTTTCTTCTCGCCGTCGTCATCCTTGACGCTGGCCATATCGACTCGCACGAACCTTCTTCGTACGTACATAGACCTGGACTCGCTCGTTTTTTCTTTAGATATTTCTTCATGTATTCTGACTCGGACTTGAATGTTTTCTTTTATATTTGTATCGGACATCTTGCATACCTCATTTTACGGACAGACACTAGCCTCGGACTTGATCATTTCTTCCTTCTTCTTCTTATTTTTTCTTACTTTGTTTTGACTCGGACATTCCTAGTGTACATGTACTCCTTGCTCGCCAGATCAGCCTTCCGACCAATAGAGTCTTTTGACTCAAACCTCTCAAAGAACACTCATAAGAACAATATCAGGAAAGGGCTCAATAAGAGCAAGAGAAACCTGAGTGAAGTAACTCGAAATAGAAAATCCAAATGCATTCAACATGCACTTAGGATTTCTATCGACAAGCTCATTCTCTCTGTCCTAAAATATCGCCGAAGACTCGCACGAAACTCGGACAAGTCCCTGAACATTTCTGACACTGCTTCAAGGATGAAAGCCTCAATACCTACCTGTCAAGTTGACTCTCCTCAAGTCCATTTCTACGCTATTGTCAGAAAATCTGATGACCTCTCAAAAAGAGACATAGCAAGTACAGATATTCGAAAGACTCATTTAAAGGAACATCAGTTTTCCTTTGGACAATCCTTCATCGGAATAAATTCTAGGATAAATTCTAATTTATTCTACCCTCAATTGGAACCTGACGATGAATGTATCTACGAGATGAGTGGAGCAGAAGTGCTTACTGCTTATAAGAGAGTCGACAAGAAAGTCAAGCCAGTCCCAGGAGTATTTCCAGAGGAATCCCGTGTCCGTCAACAATTTCCAGAAAACCCTCTCGATTCCTTGCCACCACTATCGTGCTGTCCACCCCAGTTCAAGGAAAATGGTCGGCTGACTCAAGAACGTCTAGATGGCATAAACATAAATCCAGATGGATTTCTTAGCTTGGAAGAAGAAAATCTGTTTAAGCATATCCTTCAGCTTAATCAAAACAGTCTTGTCTTTGAAGAAGAACATCGCGGGACCTTTCGAGAAGATTACTTTACTCCATACATTATTCCAACTGTGCCTCATATTCCTTGGGCTTACACCAATATTCCCATACCACCTGGTATCAGGGAAAAGATAGTCACACTACTCAAGGAAAAGATGGCAGCAAGCGTGTATGAGCAAAGTCAATCATCTTATCGATCTCGCTGGTTCTGTGTTCTCAAGAAAAGTGGCAAACTTAGGTTAGTCCATGACCTTCAACCACTGAATGCAGTGACTATTCGTGATGCAGGACTTCCTCCCATTCTGGATGCCTTTGTTGAACCCTTCGCAGGACGTCGATGTTATACGGCATTTGATCTCTATTGGGGATTTGATGCTAGAAAGATACATGAGAAGAGTCGCGATATGACAGCATTCCTATCACCTCTAGGCCTTCTTCGATTGACTTCCCTCCCTACTGGCTTTACAAATTCACCTGCCGAATTTCAAGCTTGCATGGCTTTTATTCTTCAAGACGAAATGCCTCATACTGCTGACATCTTCATAGATGACCTTCCCATCAAAGGTCCTCTGACTGAGTATCTTGATGAAAATGGAGTGCCAGAAGTGTTAAAGGAAAACCCTGGAATCCGAAGATTCATTTGGAAACATGCCTGTGATGTACATCGAATCATGCATCGTGTAGGCCATGCTGGAGGAACATTTTCACCAAGCAAAGTTCAACTTGCTCGCAGAGAAGTGGTGATTGTAGGTCACAAGTGTACACCTGAAGGAAGAATTCCAGATCCTAACAAGATTGAAAAGGTTTTAAATTGGCCCATCCTTACCACTGTCAAAGAAGTCCGTGGATTCCTAGGACTTTGTGGAACAGTGCGTATTTGGATCAAGAACTACTCAGCCATGGCTCGACCCTTGACTGAGCTTATTCGCCATGACACTGACTTTGAGTGGGATGACCGTCGACAAGAAGCCTTCGATAACCTGAAGATGTTGATTACCTCTGCACCTGCCCTAAAGCCTATTGACTACTCCTCTGATTTGCCTGTAGTTCTCTCTGTGGATTCAAGCTACATTGCTGTTGGATTCATTCTTTCACAAAGAGATGAACAAGGACACAAACGGCCAGCTCGCTATGGATCAATTCCTATGAATGAATGAGAAGCACGATACTCCCAACCTAAGTTGGAACTATATGGACTCTTTCGTGCCCTTAGAGCATATCGCCTCTACCTTGTAGGTGTCAAGAAACTGCAAGTGGAAGTTGATGCCAAGTACATCAAAGGAATGCTCAATGAACCTGACTTACAGCCCAATGCTTCTGTCAATCGCTGGATTCAAGGAATATTACTCTTCGATTTTGAGTTAATTCATATCCCAGCTGAACGTCATAAAGGACCAGATGCCCTATCACGTCGTGGACTTGGAGAAGGAGAAGAAGTGAAAGAAGAAGATGATGCTTGGTTGGATGAAATTGCTCTCTACACACTGCCACATGAAGTCACATTGGACAATGATGCATTTCAGGATTATAATCCTTTAAAGCTCATTCCTGTGTATATTTCCACAGATTCCAAACAAGACCAGACTATGCGGCAAATCCACAAGTTTCTAAGCACCTTAGAGACCCCAGAATTTCTATCACTTCAAGAACGCAAGAGGTTTATTACCAAAGCAAGTCGATTCTTTATTCGAAATGGCAATATGTATCGACGAGCTGGACAACGACCCCCTCTAAAAGTTATTTTCTCAGCTAACAAGAGACTTAGCATTCTGGAAAGTGCACATGAAGGACAAGGACATCGTGGAGAGTATGCAGTAATGCGAATGCTCAAAGAACGATTTTACTGGCCAAATATGTGGAATGATGTTCATCAACATGTTCGATCCTGTCATCAGTGTCAGCTCAGAAGCACTCGTAAAGTTGAAGTCCCTCTGACAATCTCTGCACCTGTGACACTGTTCACCAAGATATACTTGGATATCATGTTTATGCCCAAGGCAAAAGGATTCAAGTATATCATTGCAGCCAGAGATGATCTTTCTCGAGCTGCAGAAGGACGTGCCTTAAGAGATGCAACTTCACATGCCATTGCCAAGTTTCTATGGGAAGAAATCTTCTGTCGATATGGTGCCATTGGACAAGTTACCACTGACAATGGACCTGAATTCAAGAAAGCATTCAATACACTTACCAGACGGTATGGTGTACCTCAAGTTTCAATATCTGCCTACAATTCCAAGGCAAATGGTGTAGTGGAAAGAGGTCATGCGATTATTCGTGAATCCATAGTGAAAGCCTGTGATGGGAAAGTCAAAGACTGGCCAGACTATGTTCCCCATGCTTTCTTTGCAGACAAAATCACTATCAGTCGATCAACAGGATTCTCACCTTACTATTTGCTATTTGGAGTTCACCCAGTCTTACCTTTCGATCTCTTGGAAGCATCATTTCTAGTGGAAGGTTTCCACTCTGGAATGTCTACAACTGATTTGCTTGCACTGCGAATCCAGCAACTTTCAAAGAAGGATCAAGATCTGGAAAAGGCTGCAGAAGTTCTCGCAAAGACACGTTTACGCTCAAAGGCTCAATTTGAGAAGAAGTTTGAGCATAGAATTCGAGTTGAAAGTTTCAAGCCTGGAGATCTCGTACTTGTACGAAACACTGCCATTGAAAGATCCTTGAATCGCAAGACTAAACCCCGGTACTTAGGACCCTATGAAGTAGTTCGACGGACCTTCAAAGGAGCCTATATCGTGAAAGAGCTTAATGGAAACCTCTGGAAACAGGGAATAGCGGCCTTTCGATTGCTACCCTATATCTCAAGAGATGACTCAAGGCTTCAAGATCTTGCAGGAAGAATAGAAGAAATTGGAAGGCCATCGCAAAAGCATATCACTGAATTTAGTGACTTGGATTCAAGTGACTCAAGTGAAGAGTCTACTAGCAATCTTGAAGATGTCTTCTATGAGCATATATCAAATCACTAGACAACATAGTCTATGTGAAGAAGTAGTCAAGAACGTACTTGACTAGTGGCTAGAGAATATCTGAATTCTCTATCTCAAATACTTCTAGACAGAGTGGTCTAGAAAGATATTTTTGTCAAGACCACATTTCTTCAATTTGATTCTCAGAAGAAAAGATATCGTCAAGTGAAATGCCCAAAGAAGTCCAACAAAGTCATAGAAGAAGAAAAGTTTAGAGAAGAGTCAAACTGAAAAATCATTGTTGTATCAAGAACGTGCCTGAAAAGTGTCTACCGTGTCTAAAAAGTGTCAAAGTATCATCTATTGTCTATCATCTATTGTCTATCATTTATTGTCTATCGTCTATCGTCTATTGTCTATCGTCTATCGTCTATCGTCTATCGCCTATCGCCTATCGCCTATCGCCTATCGCCTATCGCTCAATATTTACTTTTACCTGACACAGAAGATACTAGCACTAGATCCGATGAGAGTTTCTCTCTCTAAGCACTTTCAGTGAAGCTGTATTGTGAAGTTCCATTTTTTTTTTCTTCTTTTCCCTGCATCCTTTGCAACTGGGGACAGTTGTCTTTTCAAGTCACCCCCACTTGTCCTGCACCAAAAGTGTTTGGCATATGGACAGATCACTTCGATATTCAACACTGAATACGAAAGTCCAAGACAATGTCACACTGCAGATACGACAATAATTAGGGTATGCCAATGACAACAAGTACAATAAATGACCTCCTCAACCTCAAGTCCGACTTTAATTCAAACTGACAACGTATGCCTCAAATCTTCTACAGATGAAGAGGAAGAGTGACGAGAATGAAGAATGGAAGGTAAAGAACGTGAGGAATGTACCAATGACGATGAAGTCTGAGCCAAAGTAGTCAAAGAATCCAAGGGAGGGGCTGATGAAGATGAAGGAGTGGAAGGGACAATAACTGTCTTGAAGTGAATAGAAGACAATGAGACCATTGCAATAGGAGCTGCTGCATGGTTGCGTGCACCACGAGAAATGCGTCGAGGAGCAAAGAACATACACCAAAGCCACAAGGCGACCATGATTAACATCAAAGTACCAAGGAGGATGACGACTCCAATTACTGTTGGCTTAGAGACCGTGGTATAAGCCAAAGGAGTGGGGGCAGCTGAGGAAGACTCCAGGATGATCCTAAAGAAGCGATAGGTCAGAAAAAGACATTAGACTGATACTCTGAACACGCATGCAAGGTGACACACGTTGTAGTGGCCATGAGGCAGTTTCAGAATCTGAAAGTCGAATGTGAATATGACCAAACCAGACTAGAAGGAGTAAGACTTACCTAATCTCAAGACAGGTGGATCTGAAACTCGAATCTGTCTGAAGGAGACAGCTTCTAAAGACAAGTATCATCGCCTGGCAGTGCCACGTCAGCAGTAGGCGCTTAACTGGACCTTCAACACTGGTAAAGTCTGTGTATGCTCAGAAAAGACCGGAAATGACTGCAGATCAGTCAAGACTATTGTTTATTCGCATCTTCAAGCATGTTACTTTACGGTGACATGATGATGAATAAATAATCTATAAATTGGCGAGGTGAAGATAGGCAACATAATGAATATGGATCAAAGTACATGTTTTACGATGACGGTCCTCCTCCTGAACTCCTAGAGTGATCTTCACGTTTAATAATGTACCTCATTATAAGATACACTCCACAAAGGAAGGCTACGACTCCACAGATGATACCAAAGATTTCAAGAAACACCTTCGTACTTGAAGGAGGAGGCTCCAAAGCCTTCATTTCTTCGATCTACAAGGGGATCACTCTTTAATGAGTTATGAAGAGTTTAAATGATCTGAAGATACGTACCCAGCTCATATTGTCAAAAGGGTTTTTCAACGTATTCCCAACTTCTGAGAAAATACCAACTGTTCAAAGTACCGCGCAAGCACCTAATTCGTCCACAAAAGATCCTATGGACTTAGAGATATGTCCAGAAGGTCTGAATAGGATGCTTAGCAAACTTACCAAAGTTTACGATAATACTGGCAAGTACACACTTCAGAAGAAAGAGTGCGGTGTTTGAAGAAAGAAGAGTGCGTCACTCAACTCAGCTTTCTTGAACAATAACTGATCAAACCTTCAATTTCGGCAATCTCCAAGTGATACCAGATAAGATAAGGAATCTCAGAAAGGAAGGTGTAGTGTGCAAAGTGAAGCCACCTGGCCATACAAGCACCAACTGATCGAAAGACCTTAATATCTGATGCACGATCATCAAATCTTGATCGATCGACAACTGAGCTCTCCATTCCTTACAGAATGGACTTTTCATTCTTGAAGCACTAGGCCATTGAGTCATCAAGACTCACCATGACTCATAAAGCCCCTAATGAGTCAGAAAAGGCCATTGTGACTCATCAAAAGATCATTCTGACTCATCTTAAGTCATTCTTAGTCATCGGATGCCCCTATGAGTCATCAGACACCCCTATGAGTCAGGAAAGAATGCAGATTTGTAAGTAAAGAATCCTTTAGAAGCATCTGGAATCAGCCTGAGACTGGTTTAGACTACTCCAGGCTGAAAATAGATGACTCAAGCATGGATTCTAGTGCTAAATTCATGTTTCATTAATAAGCACCTGCATTCTCTCATCAAGTAAGCGAAGCAAGTTCTTACAAATTTAGCTTGGTCATCCATAGCACAGCCCCTTTCTAGATTGTATATAATGAGCCCCTTATTTCCTGTAGTAATGTGCCTGTGCCCCTCAAGTTCCTGTAATTTCCCTAAAGTTCTGCCCCAAATTCTATCATTTCTAAAGTCCTGCAAAGCTCAAAGTCCCCAAGCTTGACACTCTCTCTTTGTGAAGTGCAAGTGAAAAGCCTGAAGCGATCTGCCACTTCTGCTGCTTTCAAATTTTCTCAACACCTACTCTTTTCTTAAGAAAAGCTGGTCATTGTACCTTCGTGTATCTTTGACTTTGTCTTAACCTGAGATTGCTATCCTAAATCCCTTTCCTTTCTCTTGTGAACTCTAAGGCATACCTTGCTTAAGACTTCACTTACCTTAAAAACACACTCCTTTCAGTGGTATAGCCAGTCAAGTCTACTTTATTGTCAGACTACACGGTAAACCTCCCCTCACCCCAAACGAACAACAGGAAAGACCCGGTGTAACGTCTCACCCGGAAACTTTTCTGCAGAAGAGAAACCTTTGGCCTCTCATCTCTTTGAGAGTGTTTTTCTTTTTCTGACCGACAACGCAATGTGTATTTCAATACAAATGGATCACCTAGTCTGTAGGTTATAAACAGACATGCCCTGGTGGGACTGAATCTACCACTTGCGTAACATGTTCTCCATCATTTGCTGAATCCTTTGGTCCTCTGTCATTAATCTCATGCTGTCGAAGTCTCTGTGCAAACACTGTCATACTTTTCTGAGCACCTGATTGACTATGTACATTGCCCTATGACTACTGACATGACCTACGAACTGCATATCCCCTGTAATTGCATAATTCCCCATAACTGAACCTTGAGCCCCCGATTGAAAACTTGAATATGAATGAATGAACCTTTTGGATGCTGGTGGGCCCCCAATTGAAATCCATGCAGTAGTATTGGCTGTTGGCATATGGACCCCTGATTGAAATCTGCATAGTGCTGAACATACTTTGATTAGCTCATCGAGAGCTATTGATAAAGATTGAATCTTTGTATTAGACCCCTGCATATTCAGGGAGTGCTTGCACCCCTTACTGACATTTCCCCTTTTCTAAGAGTCATGCAGCTGGAGTCTAGACATGGACCATCAACAGAATGTTGAAGTGGAAGGATGCTAGGTTGAGGGAGTGCTGTGATATGTTGCCTTGATGCTGAAGTTTGGAGTTTTGGAAGTTGTGCACATGCTCTGCTTGAGGGAGTGTGTTGGAATATGGATGAAGTGGCAAGCATCACTATGCACAAGGAATGAGAGGAGCAGTGTAAGATGGGTAGAAGGCTGATGCATACCGAGATGAAATACGGCCACTGAGGAGAGTGGTCTCTGACTACTCTCGATGGAGTGAAGTCCTACTCATGACTATGAAGATTTTAGTTCAGCACTCGAGGAGAATACTGAAGAGTGTGGGCAAAGAAATTGTATACGGAATACTCCTTTAAGAGCCAATAGACAGTACCACTGCCTAAGTCTAGTGCATTTGAGGTATCACAATCCCAAATCCTGATCCTGCCTGTATGTGATAGAGCAACAAGTTCCCTGATAGTCTCTCTAAGATGCTCAATGTACAGGAAGTACAGTTGAAGAGGTCTGAGTCCTGAAGAATGCATCACGATGAGCTCTTCTTCCTATGTGTATCTCTCTATAGTTCCAACTATCGGTATAGCTGTCTTGACTCGAGAATCTCCCTCAACCAAGTCAAGCTTATTCCTCAGAAATTAGGCAACAAATCTCTCAGTGACAACCTCTTTTCCTTCCTTCATCTCGAATGCAATATGACACACCTCCCAACAAGAACCCTCTGATATGAATCTCTTCAAGATGGGTATGAAAGGTATCTCAAAGTGGTTATTGATGATATGAGGAAGTCCTAACCTTGTCGAAAGCTCAGCCAGTATGTTGTAAGGTGATGTGATATATATTAGAGTAAAAAGAAGTTCATATCTAAACAAGCCTTTAGAGAAAGTAGTTCTATTGAGAAGAAACTGGTGTTGAAGCTGCCTCGAGTTCATAGTCGCGAATCGAGGATCGAAGTCAGTCCTGAGTCAAAGAGGGGGAAGTCTCTATCCTTCTTCTCTCCCTGGCCTCATCCTTTTGTATTCTGTCTCACCTTCTCCATCTCAATTGTCCCCATCATGAAAACTTCCCATCCCAACTCAATCCTAACTTCCTGATTCATCCGGATCATGATCCACTTGGCTTGGCCTCCTGGAACCTTCCTTCAACTGGCCTCTTGCAAGTCTCGACACTATGGTCAATCTTCATCCTCACTTGAGACCCACTGGATCTCTTCCTGAATGGATTGTTCAGCTGAACTGGATATTCCTCTGCCTTGAGACTTTGTATCCATCCTCATCTCAATAAATCCTCAGTCTTGATACATGCCTCCTCGATGTCTCAGATAGATCCCCTCAGATGGTATGCTGCCTCGATGCCTGACACCAAGTCTGAATGTGCTGTAGAACATCTGTGTGTAACTATGTGCATGTTATTTCTTGATCTTGCAAGCATCCCTGAGGATCATGCATCTCTCGACTGGGTGGCTTGGAGTACCAGGGTTTGAGCCTATATGGTAAGAATGTGTCTTGATGATAATGGAGTTACAGGTAGTGATCTCTCCCATAGGAGTTGGTGCAGTCATGCCACAATGAGATTCACGAGAATGGAGATAGTCTTCCTCAAGTATTTGATGAGTCTATCCTAGCACAGGTAGTGGTAATTATCGAGGACTTGTGTCTTATCACTGGGCCTATTCATGGTCCTCTAGAAAGGACCTGCTTCAGATTCTGTTATCTTGACAACTACACTCAAGGTGAATCACCAGCTGGTAAGTTGTCTGTTTGGGATCATACAGTCCTAGTCAAGACTCATGGCATATAGAACTTCGAGTGATGCAATACCTGACTGCAATAGGTGAGACACAATGATTTGCTAGTCTGGCTGGACAACATCCTCAGGAGTCGTATCATGTAGCTGAGGACCTTGTCTCCTTGCAGGGCACACTGAATAATGAGTTGGTCGAGATGGATGAGTTGTCGAGATGATACACTGCTTTGAACCAGAGGATTGTGGGGCTGAGACAGAGAGTGATCGAGATTGATATGAGCACAATTCAGAGGGGTACTACTCATGTGAATTACAATTGTTATCACCAGGGCCATCACATAGAGGAGTAGGGTTGCCAGATCCAAGAGAATGGTGTGAAGGATGTGTCTTGCTGACTGAAGTCTCCTTGAGACTTGCCTCCAGTTCAGGACCAAGTGGACTGTGGTGTCCAGCACATCGAGTCTACTATATTGTAGGCATGTCCTGTCAAGCTAAATAAAGTTCTCCTTAGTAAACTTTCCCTTCTTATCCTTTCTTCATGTGAATCCATTCAGTCTTGATGCGAGATGACTTAATGAGTGCTGAGATGATCATTGGTGATTGTCGAGATAGCTTGAGGCAATGTTGTGGTTGGTATAGTGTTGTTTTAGTATCATAATGTGGTGAGTATCTACTAAGAGGAGAGAAATAGAGTTGAGAAGTGTTTGTTGAGATTGTGTGTCTGAATTGTTTAGTGGTGTAAGAAGAGAGAAGGATAGAGAGAGGAATGAGAAAGATAGAGAGAGAGTTGAATAAATAGACTTGGTAATTTTGTTGGAAGGAATAGACGATAGAAAAAGGAGATAGAGAGATAGGAAGAATAAAGGAATTGATGTTGAGACAGGTAGTTGTGTTGAGATGTGATGGTATATTGTCTTGATGGTGAATGTTGATATAGTCTTGATGTGTGTGTGATCTGTAGAGTATGCACCATATGTGTACCTTACAGTGGGATAGAGTCCCATATGCTTGGCAGTATTTTCATATATAAGTAGGTATTTATCTTTGTACGTACCTTATCCATTTGCCTCAGAGCTCTACGAGATCAAACATTATGACTCACTTTCCTCCTGCATGATGTGTATTTCAATATTACAGTGCTCTTGGTTCAGATTCTGCTCCAATTATCATTTCATAGCCCTCATCATGCCCTTGACCATTTTATAACATCTTTTGCAGATATACTCTCATCAGACAGTACAATGTTTATTAAGGATGAACCTGAGTTAACAGGTTTTGCCAATATAGCAAATGAAGTGCACATCCAATGCCTGCATTGAGATGCTTTTGCTGATATGCTTTGATTTTGTTCATTTCAACCCAAGTCAGAATGTATTAATTATTTTTCATAGAGGTTTTGAAGATAAAGCACACTCTACTAGATGCTCTATATAATTGGATCTTACAGTGAAAGTTTCTGGTTCTTCAGAAATGCAACGCTAACTTCATGCAACTTGATTTTGCTCAGTTCAAGCCTTTCAGTTCTGTCCATTCCACAGGTGCTGTTATTATAGATAAGCCACTTATGGTCCTCAGAGCTTTATCTCATTTAAAAAGGGATCCAGAGAGATAAAGCATTACACAATTCATGCTCTCCTCCTTATCTCACTGAATGAGGAGGAGCACTCATTTTGAGCATCTGGTTGCAATATACTTGGCAAATGCCTTTGGTGATTCTGAAACTTGTCTAAGCAACATTGTTGACTTTGGAAAAGATGTACCTATGTGGGCATCCTTGAAAGGTGTGAAGGCAGTGATACAACATAACCACATGGACTTTTTTTACCATGGATCTTCTGGCCACTGAAGGAAGGACAGTATGTGCTGCCACTATTGGGATGAATGTGTCAAGGGCTAGTGAGACTGTTCAATGGTTTTTGGAACAACAGCCATATAGTGCACTCCTCTTGCCGGACAATTCTTTTGGTCTAGATATTACAGCCTTATGCATCCCTGGAGGCAAGATTATATGCTTAGTCCTGCAAGCAAAATGGCACGCAGAGAATCATCTTGCCCTAGCAATGCAGCAGGAGGCTATTGCCTCACTGGATCTGGTGAAGTTTTTCACCAAAAAGGTTTGTATCTCAGCAATTGCACATTCACAGTAAACTCTGATGTATGCAGTTTCTTTTTCAATAGGGCAGTACAAATATCCAACAGTTCATCAAGAAGATATTAGAGCATATTTTGAAGATTCCAAATATTGTCATCAATGAGGGATAGTTCTCTAGTGGCCATCCTTTTCTTTGGGTCATCGCCTCTTTTCCAGTGAATCACCATGGTGGATCCCCCATTGCTTCATCAATTGCTCACTTACAAATGGATGTGTGTCAAGAGGCATTGATGATGGTACATTGCAGAAGTTGATAGCAGGGTGATAGTAGAAAGTTGTCAACATCACAATGATGGACATTGCACTGCATCTTTACATCATGTCTTTTATGTAGCCGTACAATGTGACCATGTATTCTGTCACCTGGGTAGTTCAACTGTATCATCTCATACTACACTAGTTCAAAGATTGTTGACAGATGATTGAGTGATCTATAAGCATCCACTACAGCACTATGACCATGCAAAACGGATCAAGCCAGAGAACGGCTCGAAGCGACATACCGTTAACCTTTCATCACCTCGAAGCATGCCAGTGCTCTGTCTGTGACGGCTTATAGAAGTGATGTCAATTATGTGTCCGAAGCATATCAGCAAGGATGACGGCAGCGGTGAAGGCCATCAATAGCCCTTATAGTGATTCTTCGAAACATTTAGCATTGCACAAAGGATACTATAAAACTAGAGAACTGTGGACAAGTAGTGAATAGATAACTACTTAGATTTCTAACCAGCCGGACTATCTAGCACTCAGCAGCAAAGTGCGTCGCTGAAAAGGAAGAGGGGTAACACAAGAACACAACAGCGGACGACAAAGCGACCATGAGAATCACGGAACAGGGGGAGAAACTTCGAGCTCGAACTGCAAGACAGTAGGCAATGAAGACAAGACGTCTAGCGAAGGGGATATACTGGATACACAGATTCTGCAAGTCAGGAAATGGGAAAGATATAGATGTGCATCGCGGATGGACAATTGATGAGGGGGTATTGTGGGTTACTGAGCAATATGCGGGGTCTTCTCTCGTCTCATTAAGTTATCATTTGACATGGATGGAAGTCGAGAGTAAGCCACTCTAGCGCTCGCTCCTTCTGCCTGCAGGGTTCAAAAGGGTAGACGGGTACGTTGCGAACGTTCGCCTGGGTATGCCGGGGGTTGACGATTTTGAGATGCGGGTTCGATGCTGTTCGAGGAGAGTAGGAACCGAAGTACAACGAGAATAAGAGGCTTAGAAGCCGTCAGGAAGACGCCTCTTGACGTGACGTCTAATCGCGTCGTGACGAGCATTGAGCTCGGCTTCCTTTGCAGCTCTCTTCTTCTTGTTGCCCTTCTTCGTGCTATTCGGGTGGAGAATGGTTTAGCAATTGCTAGACTATGTGCATCAAGTGCCAGATACATACCACTTCTTAGTCGAAGCCGGGGCCGAAGCAGACGTAGTCACCTCGGGAATGGGCGTAGTACTGACTGTCGTTACCTCAGGGGTAGGCGCGGTACTGGTGGTAGTCACCTCAGGAGTAGGCGCAGCACCGGTTGTAGTCACCTCAGGAGTAGGTGTAGTACTGGTTGCAGGAGTTTGCGAAGAAGCGTCCGGGGATGAGGGCGTCTCAGATGCAGGCAATGCAGATGTTTGAACCACTTCGTGGTTTCCAGTGTCAGGAGAAGGGGTAGGAGTTGCGGGAGAAGATGAAGGAGTGGAATCAGCTGGGGGAGATGACGTAGGAGGAACAGGTGCTGGTGTCTCGACAGTGGGAGCAGGGGCAGATGATTGAGCGGGAGATGAGGCCGCTGGGGCGGCAGAAGAGGCAGGAGGAGAGGGGGCAGGAGGGTTCGTAGGCGGTGCACCTCCAGCTGCGGGATCGTCACCGAATACGGAAACGCCGTTCACGGTTGCCGCTTGGAAGATGTCGTTCTGAGCACCATCTGCGAAGCCATACAGGTCGTTGTACACGGGTGGTGAGTAGGTTCCCTCGAACATCTAGACGTTCGTCAGTGCCAGCATCCACTAGAGTGACTTGTGAGAACCCACATTGTTCCTCTCCTTCTGGTACCAGTATAGTGGTTGCTTGGGTCCGACGGTGCAGTTGCTTGGAGTAGCCTGGTTCACGCCATTGGCAGCGTCGGCACCGCAGCGACGAGCGACGGCGGGCTTGCCAATGGGCTTCGTTGCATGTGCGCCGGTGACCTCGCACTTGAAGCCGGTCATGTAAACTACAACGATATCAGTAAACATACGGGCAATATTCGCTCAAGCTCTCTTACTTTGTTCGGCACCGCTATCAGGCTATTCAAAGTGATCAGTCTTTGCACTACCCAAATGACACTAGCGTGAGTACTCACAGAGTGGATCCAGAACCAAGCGCAAGTGCAGCCACCCTCCGGACAAGCAGGCATATCAGAAGGAACTTGGAAGGCGGTGTTCAAGTACCAAACGCAGGTGTGGTTTACGCTGAAAATGGCGAAATCCTCGGGTTGAACGCTGCGAGCGTCAGACTTGTACGCAATACCCAATCCACATCCCGTGACATCTTCAATGCCAGTGGTGTGGAATTGCGATAATGGCTGACCGGGACAAGGGTAGTCGCCACCATAACCAGCGTCGCCGCTGTGGTAATGTGGTCAGACCAATGTATCACGAATGTCAAGTGGATTGAAAAAAGTGAATGTAAGACAAAATGGGGCACTCGACACCTCACGCCCATTGCTTAGCAGAGGAAAACGAGGCTATCGAGAACATTCGTGCAGGGCTTAAAGACGCGCCCGAAGAGTTTGATTAAAATAAGTATGAAACCATAAGCCGCTTTGTAAATGGAACTGCGATTCTCCATAAGTCTACCTTGCCCCGTCTGTGGCGATGTTGGGAAAAAAAAAAAAGAACAACGAGGGGGCCATTAAATCTGAAAGGGCATGACAGGAGCACAATATGCGCGCTTTTCGTTCCGAAGCACGAATGAAGCCACGAAATGAACCGTTCACGGCCCCTTCGTCCTACGGTCTCGTGAAATTGAATGACAAACAAGAAGAGGAATCCCTCAGTCGCAGCCTGAACCGTGTATAGAAACCAGCATCATGGTCTGTCAGCCGCCCAAGACGCTAAGTGTCCACTGGGAACCAATAATCGAATAACAGCTTTGCAAGTTGAAAACAGACTCCATATATAGATATAAATACGTACCCTGGAGAAGAGGCATACCAACTGGTAGCACCCTTGTCGCAAGAAAGTTGCGACATGGCCGTGCCCCCGGCAGGTAGCTCGAAGAAGTCGCCATCGTGGGGAGGATAATCGAGATGACCATGCTATATCGGAAATATCTCGGTAAACGTGCTGTAAATAATGAATGAGAATGAGAAAAACTACTTACGAACCACCATTCGTCGAAGCTCATATCCATCAGAGGGATCACGGGACGGTTGTCACCTTGGAAAGTCTGTTGAGTCACGTTGAATCCAAACATGGATTTGTCCCAGAAGGCTATAGAGAGCGCATCGACGCATTAGGAGAAATTGAAATAGTAGTTCCACACGAATCCACACCGATGTGAGCTGATGCCAGAGGCGATAGTGACGCTACGGCGAGGACAAGCGGGATTGACGAGAGCATGGTTGGAGCAAAAGAGGGATATAATGAGAGAAATAAAACAAGGAGTGTGGGTGCCAGAAAGGCTGTAGAGGAGGAGAAATCCGTCAACCCTGAGAGACCCAAGGTAGGGGGAGGAGGAGGGGATGTCGCTTTATCGACCGAGGTTGAGTTATGTTTTATCGGCGAGCGCCCAGCTTTGATTTTGATACGCTGACCTTCCCTTTTTAGACACGTTACCATGGACACTCAGACAGATCTCTTGCAGTGACAGCCACAACGATGAGCGACGTGCAAGCAATATGTTTTCTGCCATCTTCGACATCATCAAGGAATAAACTCTCAAAAGTGGACGGTTTCTGCAAGTGATCGGCATCTGCTGCACACCGCCCACTTTGTTTCCTTTAACACGAAAGAAACCGTTGGAGGTAATCCTTATGGTTGCTCGGCCGCAGCGGTCCTTCATTGCCGTTTGGGCTATGTACCTGACAGGATTTGGGTGCTATCCACAGAGCCAAGGTCCAGGAGAATTCTGGACACCAGCAGCGCTGAGCGCTCGCTCTACGTACTCTAAGTATGTTGAGGCGCTCCAGGCCGCGGCGGTCAAGATCTGGATCCAAGTGTTCAGATTTCATTCCACATACACAAGACATATATATGGTATGTATGTTTCTGGATACAGCATAGTAGTGGTCGGCCAGTTCCGACCATGTCAGCATGTGCATGCGTGTGCCCAGTCAGAATTGAAACAGCTACCGCTGGTATTTTAATTCTGACTAACTGCAGGTTGACTCGGAGGCGGCATTCACCTCAGAAGGGTATGCTTGGTTGGATAAAGTTGCTCGGTTGTTCGCCACATCGCGAGTGCTGGCGTGAGGGAGGGCTCGCTGACAGCTTCTGAGACCAACAAGTCCCTTTACAGTAGAGGCCGTAACCGCTACGAAGATCATCAAAAACACGCACACGCACTCGTGTTGAAGGGGAAAACAAACGAAGTGAAAAAGGTTGGTGGACAACGCTTCACACATATGGAGTTTTTGGAGAATATCCGAAACAAGGTAGAGGGATGCGGGCGACGAGCTTTCCGAAATTCCTTGTTAGGGGATTCATTTCTCAGAAAGGTAGACTACCGTCTACCTTTGCAGAAATCCTGCCGACGTTACCGTAGGCGGGCCCGTTTCGGGCGGGATGGGTGCGGAGGCGGAGGCGGCGACGTCGGAAACGACGGATGGCACCCACCGAGGACGGGAGGCGGATCGATGCCCTCCGACCTCCCGCCCGCGTCGCGCACCGTGCATCCATGCCTCCGAAGCCGACAAGACATCCGTCCCGAACATCACGCAAAAACCTATATAAGGACCACCCAAATGCTGCTAAATCTCACTTATTCGCTCACACATATTTTCTTAACACATCCATATTCATTCAATCATGCCTTCTGTTCAGACTACCATTTCTACCATCCCGGCTGGTCCGGGTAACTCTTTCTGCAAGGCTACTTGGAATTCATTCAATTCCGAGATGTCCTTCACTTCTACTACCAACTTCCATTCCAACACTTCGTGCTCTTCTGCCTCCGGGTCTCAGACTCATAGCGCTCGCCGCTATGCTACCACTAGCGGGCATAAATTTATGCCCGCACCCATAGCGAGACCTTCGAGAACTAAGAAGGCGAGTGTTGGTTTGGGACTTGGACTCCCTGGTGGAGTTTTGCAACGCACTCTTCGTGCGAATGCATATTCATTCCCCAAGCCCACCAATCTGAACACGAGCAAGACTCGTCATGGGCTTGGCATTTCATTCGCTCCGATTCCTCGTCCTGTCTCTACTCCGGTAGAGACGATTAGCGAGTCGGAGAGATTGGAGTTGAGGAGATCGAGTGTGAGCGCACTCATCGGTCTGGGAATTTACATTCCTACCGTACCTCTACCAGGGCAGAGCTCTGGAGAGGTTTCCAGCTGGTCTGGAAATACACAATCGGACCACTCCGATTATACCGACCAAACCATGAATAACATGGAGAATGGTCTTCCTTCACCTCCTCTCTTACCCACTCGTCGATCGTCACCCACCCGTATCACGACGATCCTAGACGATGATGTTACACCACCGGTGGTTTCTATTTTCTCTCCTAACGAGACACCTTCTGAATTTATTGCTACACCACGAGCACCTCGAATTTCATTTCGAGAGGCTCCTCCTGCGGAGGATCTACCAGTTCCTTTCGCCCCAATTACCAACATTAGCAGAGCTTTGCCTTCTGCCAATACCACTACCAACCTGATGATGGGGTTGGGGATCGAGAACCTGAATTTGCAGGAGCAGGGTACCATCACCTTCGCTTCTGCGCCGTCATCAGTTTCTTCATCCAACACTAGCTTGATTTTATCTGGTGGTAGCAACTTTTCTACTACCTCATTCGTCTTCCAGCCCTTCACACCTATTGCTGAAGAAGATTCAATTACCACCGCTTCCACGTACTTCTCTTCCTCATCTGAGGGGAGTTCTGGAATCGAGTTGGATACTTTGAGCCCTCTGGGCTCTTTGTCGTCTTTCTCCCCTCCCAGCTCCCATTTCTTTGACGCTACTCCTACTGCTTTCACTATCAATGGTGGTGTTGAACCGACATATCATTTGCCTACGAATCTTTTGGTATCGCCTCCTGAGATCGTTTCTCAGTTTGCGTCTGGTTATGGTTTGGGGTTTTCGCACATTGTATATGAGACCGCTACACCTAGAATTTCTCAACTCGCTTAGACGAGAATGAGGACAATAGTTTTGATGTATATACCATAGATGCGATGTTGGCTGGTCCAACGAAATGATATTTTCTTCTGAAATGAAACGCATAACACTGGAAATTTTGCATAACCTTCAACACCATTGCGAGCTCTTGAGCAGCATGGTATAAACAATTTTTTTTACATTCATCTTGAGTAACCATAACTCCCAGTTTGCAAATCCACTCGTCAACAATAGGTTCCTTTCGAAACACTCACAGAGCGAACTTTATTTGCAAATAAAGACAGAGCGATGTCCTAGGCACACTTGAGTTGAAGACACAATTGCAAGAACACAAACCTTAGCAGAGGACGGTCCAACCCCTCGGAGCCATCGTACGACTGTCCACAAGCACGCCCATTGGTATCATTGCAGCATAAGATAGGAGAATGGCGGTGCTTCGAACGTCAATCGTATGTTCCAGTTACGAAGGTTGTGATGACCCTGGCTGTCTCTGCAACCAGCATTGCTGTATGTACGAGGTCGTTCTGGGCTACTTGAAAGGTATATCGCAGCCTATATGTGGAGGTCTTGATTATGAACCTGCGGCGGTCTGCGGATCCCGCGTGGGCAGAAAACAAACGGACTCCAACAACGTCCGAAACATGCATGTATGTTCATCAAGATGTAACAGGACGGCATCGCATGGATGTAAAGACGTCGGCCATGGACAGTGTCCGCGAGTTGAGCCTGTGGGCATAATCATGCTTCACGCTTTGAAGAAATACCCCAAGCTCACCTTATGTATATTCTCTGAAAAACGTTGTCAATGATTCATAACGGCGAGAATATGCGAATGAGCCAACATTGCAAAAGAGCCAAGACACTCACTATAATGCAAAGAGGTAGCTCGAAGGCTACGCCGATTCCAAAGAGATACGAGTAAAGATACAGTGTCCCGTGTATATTCTAAGTGATTACTACTGCAGGGTATAGAGGTAACATGAAGCAGAGAAAGTACGATAAAATCAAGGTATCACAGTCAGATCACAGATCAAGGAATAATACAAGAGAGTGTACGGGCTGACAAGCGTGCCCGATCCAACGTCATTGCTTGTTCATCTTTTCTTCGGAGAACTCCTTGAAGAAGGAACGTCCTCGACGAACCTACTCTCACTCCTCCTCCCCTCCTCCGGCGGCGAACCCGTAGGAGACGGTGTCATCTTCTTTGACGAGACTTCCTTCCCTTTGCCTTTGCTTCGTTTGAACTTGAACCAGCCACCTTTCTCGTCCTTGCGCGGAATATGTTCTCCAGGTTCAGTCCCAGCTCCAGGCTTGACATTCTGAGGATTCTCCATGCGTTCACTTTCCTGCTTGAGGAACTCTTCACCTCGAACGCGGAGGAATTCTTCGAGGAGTGCGGCGTTACGAGAGTTGGCTTTGAATACGGCAAGGATGATGTCTCCGGCCAGCGGAACCAAGCCGACTGCTAGTGAGACGGCGTTGTTGAAAAGCATCTTGCGCACGAGCCATGATGGGAGCCTGAAACAATAGTGTAAGAATCATGACAATTGGAGCCTGAGACTATTATTATAACGGTGACGCCATTGCCGTCACAATTGCAAGGTCGGCAATCTACGCTGTTCTCCACAAGTCCCTGCGTGGTTCTCGAGGAACCAGTTCTCAGCTCTGGAGAAGTAGGCGCGAGGGAAATGCAACGCGATTGCATTTCTGGTGCAACAAAAAGAGAGAGAAAAGACGTACTCTGCTTTGCGGGCTTTGCGAACGACAAGGAAGTAGTTCAGCGCTGCATCGGCGGCGTCACCGGCGCCAGGTATCATTCCTAGAGGAATCTACCTTCAGCAAAATAAAAAAAGACTCTTATGTCAAAGGCACAACGTACCAATGATGAACGTCCATCCGAAGCGTAGGCCACAGATACGGAAGCCTTTGTCAAGGTAGTGAGCACGCCGCTTCACTGACTTCAAGATCTTGGCATCACGAGCAGAGAGACCTGGAGGTAATTCTCGCTACAGGGCGCGTCAGAGAACATTGATATAAAACATGCATGATTACAAACCTTTCTCCTTCTTTCTTTTCCCTTCTTGTCTGTATAAGTCTCATACAACGGATCTACGGGTTGATACTGCTCGAGATTGCGCTCAAAGAGCTTTCTGCCAGCTTTAAGAGCGAAGTCAGAGGTCATGGGAGTATAGTTTCAAGAGGGAGTGTTTGTGTGACGACGGCCATTGTGTCTGAACTTATTATATGCGGGCACTGGTTACAGCCTGACCCTGGTTTGAGCCTCGCAGTACACTCCCTGCTGACGTCAGGTTTCACAGCCTTTATTCGATCTCCGCAGCTTACTATTTTGGACATAATACATGCACCCACAAAGTTGTATTTTCGCAATATTTATCCTCCAACGAAGAAAAATTGTGGTCAACTTCTCGAGGTCTGTAGAAATACATGTATTGCGTGTTGATTAGAGCAGAAGGAGTACAGGTGACAGTCTTGGCAATGGCAAGCAGCTGCAATAATAATAAATGTTGAAACTCCGAAAGGGCAGCGTTATCGGGGGGTGCACAGCACCCGAGATTACTTATCGACGTTTTGCTCCTTCATCCAAGTCGCCTTATACGACGCAAAATAAGTAACTCAAACAAAAGCTACAGCCGCTCTCAATTATTCTGCGTAACCGGCTTCACCGTGAGTATCTCTTGCTCGTGTCGATTAACTCTCTTTTCAACCATCATCATGATCTTGCAAATATTTGCTCTCTTTCGAGCGATGATAGGGGATATGTTCATCGTTGCATATTGCACTCGGCTGACGATGGGAATTGTGCTTGCAGAATTATCTATATAGCTATGTCGGAAGCCATACAAGCTTTAACGAATACTTTGGCGTCCATGACGGATACGTCTCAGACTCAACCTACCCAGGAGGGGTCGGATCAAGTGCAGGTTGCACCACAGGCACCACAAGCACCAGTTGCACCGGCACCCAACCCAGAAACTCCAATGAAGCGTCGACCTGGCCGTCCCAAAGGCAGCGGGAAGAAGCAAACGGATTCCAGCGCCGAGCCCAAATTGAAGCGACCTGTTGGGCGGCCGAGAAAGGATGGGCTTCCTGCAGGTTCTGTTGGACCGAAGAGACCTCCTGGTCGTCCCAGGAAGCGTCCCCCAGGGACATTTGCTGCTAGTTCGGCCGGCCAGAGCCCAGCGGCATTCCCAACTTATCCAGTACGTGGTCATCAACTGCTTGCTTCACCTCATACTTATCTTCTTATCGTCGCAGGTAGTACCGTATGGTGAACAATGGCCAGCATCGGTATCTGCACCTCCCATGGCATCGTTGCCTGGAAGACCTCCTGCTCCACCTATGGCGATCGACCCAAGCTTGGATTCAAACGATTGGGCAAGTTTGCGACACAGACCAGACATCTTCTTGCACAATCTCGTAGCATCACTGTCCGCTCCAAACCCGATCCCTTCTAGCGGTGTTCCCGTTGAAGAAGCGTTCAAGGCCCATCTATTCTCTTTGCAGAGCAACGGCAAGAATGGCAGCCCTTCTGCTATTCCACAACTCTACTCCACGCTTCGGACCTTCTGGATGCCCTCTTCCCCTGCTTATTTCTCCTTGACAGCTTCGGCTACTACGACTCCTTCCGAATATCGTTTCTTCTATTGGGATCCGCACACATTAGTGTTCAATGGGATCGCCTGCCCTGTATGTGGAGAGGCCGTCTCCAACAAGGGTCGTATCACATCTGGCCCGATCAAAGTCTACGATCTTGGCAAGCCGTTCTTCATCATCGGATGCGAGTACGCGTGTCTCTCCGAGACTTGTCGTCCTGGAAGTCCTCGAGGAGAGGGTCGGAAGTACTCCAGTACAGACGCGTCCATTCTTCGCTCCCTTCCTGTCAAGCTCAGAGACGAGTTTCCCGCCAAGCTCATCCAAGGTCCTCCACATGCTCCTGATTTAGGAAGTAGCCCCGAAGTATGGAGCTGGCGAGGCATGGGTGTCTCTATCGCGCTATGGAACATGGTTAGGGCGTGTCTGAACGTCGGCTTGAGGAAAGATGCAATCCTTGCAGTCGTCAAAGGAGTCATCGATGGCGTGCCAGAGGATCCCATTCCATCATGGTTCCCTCCACCTCAGCAATACGCCATTTCTGTCGAAAGGAAACCTGACGTGGAAACCAGTGGCCAGCCTAGTGGCTCTAATGAATCACGAGAGGAGGGTGAGGAAGAGGAGGATGAGGTAGAAGAGACCGTGTCTGAGGCGGCGAGGGACGTAAGTGAGACAGCATCTTACCATATGTCTTAGCCATTAAATGCTAATACTGTATCATCAGAAAAACCCCGAACAGGCGACTTATGAAGGTTGGAACGTCAGCGGCGCCGCAGGCCCAAGCAATGCAGTCGCAGGTCCAAGCGAACCCAACGGCCACCGAAACAACGATGCCGTCAATCCAAACCAGACAGTTCAACAACAAATCCAACAAAGTCAACCACCGTCTCAACAACTTGAATACCCGCCACCTCCACCGCCGCCACAACATTTCACGACTGGTCAACAAGCACCTTACATGTCTTTCACGCCTTACGGTGCCCCTCCATACGCATACGCATACCCACCTGCTCCCCCTCCGACAATCACGAACTCTTTGAAGCGTCCGTATACTATGGTTGATGGGTCGCCTCAGGCTGAGGGGAGTGCGAGCGTGAAGAGGATCAGACATTGCGTCAAGTGTGGGAGTCATGAGTGTAAGGGAAAGGGCGGGAGGGCGTTTTGTAAGAATCCGTGTCAGGATTGTGGACGGTTGGAGTGTAATGGGAGGAATAGTAAGAGACCGGATCGGTCGTGCAAGGATGCTTGGGAGGGGGAGCAGGCCGCGGTGGCGTAAGTTGATATGATGTGGGTTGCATTTGAAGTTATGTTCTTTTTGTTTTTGATTTTTCTTAAGCCTGAGAATATGCAATTTTACGCAAGTAATAGATACCTAGGATGATTACTCTCGTGTTGTATTTGTCTCTCTGAAATTATTTATGCAGTTTTGAAACGAAATACGAAATCGTTGAAACTCTTAAGTGGCGCTCTCTTTAGGTGTAACGAGCTCGAGCTCGTTCTACATGGCATTTCAGAAACAAACTTCAAAGCTTCTCCAGCGTAGTCATGAGAGAAGAATAACGGTCGAAAACTGAAATAATTGCAACCATGTATGATTGGAGTCCAGTCCATTATTCGTGAATAAAAAGATACGCATATCATATCACAAAGCCCAACTCGTATCTACCTCCCCTTCCTTGACGAACGGCGCGTCCACGCCAGCAACGACACTCTCACAAAGCGGACAACTAGCGGTGAGTACATCTTCCAGCTCTCTCCTCAATTTCTCCATCCGCTTCTCCCCACCTTTCTCTCCTTGTCGACGTCCGCCTCCACCTATACCAGGTATCCACCCAGCGGGTGCAGTGACTACACTAGCCAATGCGTCTGGTACGATCAGATCCCGCAGACGATCCCCGGCTGAAAGGATGTTACGACCTAGCGAGTTTGCTGCGCGTGCACCATTTTGCGCGGGTGCAAATGTCGCGGACAACAGAGTCCTTTGGGTTGTAGGTTGTCTTGATGGAGGTGGCGTATGAAGAGAAGGATTTGCTATGGCATTCCGATCGAGAGGTGTCTGCTGCGTAATCTTGACAAGCTCGCTCTGCAGATTGATGATTTTGCGAAGTGAGAACGCGGGCAAATATTCCTTAGTCTGAAAACATGCATTCAATATCCAACAGTCACAAGACGGTTACGCGGAAACTTACCAAACCGATCAAGCAATCTGCATGGAATGTATGGTGACATGGGAAGACATAGAATTGTCGTGACAGGAGAACAAGTCCGCACACAGAGCACATCTCTCCTGCGTCAATTGTGATGAAACGCTTCTTGAGTCCTGCTATGTCCTGTTTGATAGCCTCGGCATTTCGTGTGGCTTCGTCCATTTCAGCCTTAAGTGCGTCGATATGAGCAGAGTAGCCTTCCAGCGCAGTACAGATTTCCTCTTTGAAATCGTCTATGACCACAAAGTCCGGGAAGAACGGTAGTATGTCTTCGATTTTGAGCAAGTCGGTGTTCTCCAAGAAACGCATAGCGCTGAAAGCAGCGGGTAGCGTTCAGATGTGCAAGTATGAAAAGTCCAAGAGTACTTACGCTTTGATGTCCTGCTTGTCTTGCACCACATATTTCGCAATCTTGAGCCATAGCCGTTTCCTTAATTGACGATCTTCCTCAGGTGGCATATCCGCATTTATCTTCGCCAGTTCAAGGTCGCCCTTCTCTAACGCCAGATCCACACTACTCTCCCACAATCCCATCTTTGCATATATGTGTACGCATGGCTGTGTTCGCCCAGTCTGTTTGCAAAGCCGCAACGCATAGTCCAGGTCATAGTATGGCTTTCCGGTGAGCGGATCAGAAGGTGCAGTAGAGAGAAAGCGTAGGAGAGGACCATCGTCCTCTGGATGTCCGGAAGAGGTGGAAGGCTGGAGAGATGGTGAAGAAGCATAAAACGTGATGATGAGGTTATGAATAGTGGGAGACGTGTTTCCTTGCTCAAAGATCACATGGTTGAGGTACCGAATAGCTTGATTGGGAGAGAGCGGATCTCGAGGGACATGCTGCAACCGCAGCAACGCGGGTACCAGACGTAAGGGATCGAGCGATTGTTGGCGTAGCCATGAATCTACCGTTTCCTTCGGTGCTTGTCGCATTAGGGTAGGTGCAAAGCGATAGTATAACTCCAGATCTGACTAGAAGAGCATGAATGTCAGAATTAAGAGAAGTTACGCAAGAAAAGAAAGCGTACTTGGCGGTTCAGGACGTCGATAGCCATCGTCCATTCCTCCTCTAGTATCCAATGCTCCACGACACGCTTGTAATCGCCAATGACCGTTGCGTAGTGTAAGTACATTTCAGTCCGACCATGGCCTTGTATCAGCTCGTACACCGTATTCGGGTCAAGATTTGCCTACGACAGCATTACCATGCAAATTCGAAAGGCGGATGACTGTGATTGAGACTCACCTTGTATGTCTCGAAGAAATGCCGCAAGTCATCCTCGACCATGGTACGCTCAGCCTGGAGGTTGGCTACATCATGAGATGCGGATTCAGACGCAACCAGGTCATCCAGTTCGTTGCATTTGCTGAGATAAAATTCAACTAGCCAGGTTGCGAGCATTATGCGCTGTGATAAATCCTAGCCACAATAGGATTCAATATCAAAATTCTGTGCTGCGAGGAGGACTATGGCTTACGCCGCGCTTCGTCCGCTCAAGACGAGAGATTAGGTATGATCTGAGGGCATCTCGTTGACCGACGTCCAGAAACTTGAGCGTCACGTCTTCGAAAGTCACAGAACACTGTGCGAATGCATGGGCAGCTTGGAAGTACCGACCCTCGTCGAAGAAAGCTCGCGCTTGTGAGGCAGTCACCACGTCGCGCTGACTTGCCGTCTATAGAGGAAACATGTTGTTAGGACAGAAGACCTTTAGTCGAAAATATCGCGTGCCTTAGCATGTTGGAGAGCAAGATCGTACTTGCCCTTCTCCAGATATACCTTCCAGACATCCCGGTCTTCGTTGCGCACTCCGAGTTCGAAAAGAGACTGATCAGTATACACCCAGTACGTCTTTCGTATGGGATCAGATGTGAGACCACGTATGGTTTCTGACGGTTTCTGATGAGAAAGCAGATTAGCAACTCGTGAAAACTTGGACAAGACGTCGCTGTTTACCAATGGCAGGACCTCGTCGTATGTTAACTGTTCATTCAAGTTTGATAATGCGACAACACGGTCCTTGTAGAGTAGCACGAAATGGAACTCCGTAAGCGACATCGACGCTGGGGGAGCTCCAAGCTCGGGAGTTCTTCGTGTCGGCGATAGGCTAGGTGACGATGGGAAGACAGGGTATGGGAGAAGTTCTGCACTGTCAATCAAGTCGTCCGATGGCGAGTCAAAGTTTAGAGTGCCATGGTAGATACCGGGTGCTGCAGGACGACTACTGTGTCAACCTAAGCACATTCACTCCAACTGCATCATGCTTACCAGTCATCCAAGCTATACTTTTAGGAAGGGAATGAGCCTGGTCTGCGTTTGGAGAATACACATGTAATTCCGAGTGATCAATATTCCCTGGAAGCTCCAAAATCTCTTCGAGATTTCAGTATCACAAGTCCTTCATGGAGCAAAAAGTAGACATACTTGGCGCGGTATCGCGATAGCTCGCAAAAAGACTGGGAAAGATACGACCTCCGTCTTCCGAACGTCTATCAGGAGAGCCGACGAATTGGTATATACGAGATGGCGTAGTCACTACGACCAAAGCTCGCTTGGGGTCGGTGGGTGGGAAGAAGTTGAAATCAATGCCCGTTATTGGTTGTCGTTCCGGAAGTGCGAAGACATTTTGAAGATATCGCTCTTGAGACTTGAAGAAATCCTCCTCCGCGTCCAACATTGCTTCATACACGGTGCCATTCCTAGCACCAATGAGCATCTCTCTAGTCGACGTTGAGCGCGACGATGAGATGAGTGCAGCCTTGTTCCATGCCACACTCTCAATGATCATCTTGAATGATTTAAGCAATCGTGGCTTTTTCCATCCTCGGTACAGATACCAGTTCTCGCCCTGAGTAGACGTGACTATGAGATGCCGTCCCAATGGATCCAGGAATATTTTATGGATGTTGAACTCGCTCGGTTTCCGTGGAATGGGTATCTGGAGAACTTGCTCCTCCCTCGAAAGTTCAATGAGGACCAGGACATTGTTGACCAAACCCATGACGAGGACATCGGAAGAAACGGCAAGCGCAGCGATGGCCGCCGGAGGAGTATATTGAACGCGTTCTAGCGCAAACAGCGGGGAGGTGTCTATTTGAATGTCTGTCTAGTTTGTGTGTGAGTTCCGGAAATGAAAGAGGTGATAGTTGCGTACCTGAGGCCCAAAGTCATCCATCTGGCGATCCTCTTGCTCGTATGGAGATGGTTCAAAGCCCTCATATTCAACCTGGGGCATTGAATGGCCTCCATGAGACAGAACAGCATTTGGAGCAGAAGTATGCTCAACGTCTTAAAATGAGGTGAGTTTCATCGGGACCATATCGAGAGGTACAACATACACTCGTCAAACATATTGGACTACGACGTGGAACCGACGTTATCCCGGACTGTATGTGGCAGACCGGTGCTCTAATTTCCTCGGAGAGCACAGAGCACAGCGTATAGTATCCTCAGCAATGAATAATTTGGCCAGAGCCTAGTCACTCAATGAACGTGGTTAGGACTTGACAGAAATTAGCGAATGGCGCACCTATTACAACGGGCGCCTATCAATGTGCTGTCTATATTTGTAAGTAGTGGCTTGATCAAAACGAAAAGACTGAGTTAGCGTCAGACAGAGATATCCTGAGGCACGAAGGTTTGCGTCTCTGTCTACTCTGCCTTAGGGAGACTAGAGTTAGCCGACACTCGCGCTGCAAGGTTCACTTGGAAGTACAGAAAGAAGGAAATGGCACAGGAAACGATATGTTTTATAATCAAAAACTATGCATGGTATCCTAACAGCTGAAAAGAGAGACTCGTCAGATAAAGAACCTCTCGTGCTCGAAAGCCGGGTTGATTCTACTGCTCGAACTTTTGAAATTTTATACATCCCTGGTTCTCTATATTGGCAGGACCTAGCAGAGAATACATTATGCCAATCAACGCGTTTCTTAGCTGCCTACAGGAATCGACAGCCAAAACTTCAATTATGACGACTATTTATTTCTTCGTTCGGGTTTCTCAGATGGTAGACCTCCGGCTTTCGCGTCCTTGCTAATATTGCCAAATCACAATCGAGGTTACAATGCACCGAGCAGTATACAAATACAAACAAGATTCAGCTAATGATTGGTACTGGCGGGGACATGTCTATGGACTCTATGTGGGTGTCGTTGCGCGAACCATGTCAATTATCTTGACCCAGAATCGGCAGTCCGGCGGCCTTCAAGTCAGCATTGACTTGGTCAATGTGCTCCAGGAACGCTGGCTTCAATCCCTTCCACAGGCCAACATTTTGTTCTAAAGTCATTGATGTAAGTATGAGAGTAATGTGACATAATACTGCATGCTCACCTCGGAACTGGGGTGCTTTGAGGGCCCAATCAGTGAGAAGCAACGTAGAGACTGGCTCAATGACAAAGCCTAAAAATTGATTAGCTGTGAGACGATTGAAGCATATCAAGTCTCATGGCACGAACCGTAAGTGTCCTCAAATGCCCTCGTTGGCACCAACTTCGCCTCCACAAACATTTTGTGCTCATCCGTAGGTGCTGGAAAGAGAGCGACACCTATGACATTACCACTGATTTAACAGGGAAAACGAAGACTCACATCCATGAGGAGCGAAGCCTGACTGATAGGTCAGACTGCCAGGAACGAAACCAGGTCGCCAGCCGCCATCACCACGAGCGGCGACGATTCCAACAAGTTCGGCAGCGGTATTTCGATGGAAGTACTGTATGTCAGAGATCAGTTTACTCAATGATACGAATGCCGGACTGGATACTCACAGGGCCTCGATACGCATCTGTGACATCCCAGTGAGGTGCTATCACACAGATATCCACCAAAGGCTGATTAGGAATCTTCGACTTTGCGGTCAAAACGCAAAGAGAGGAAGGATCAGCGTGGTCCTTATTGGCATTGCGGACCACAATAAACTTCTCCAAGGCATACTTGTAAGGCGCATAGCTAGAAACTATGTTTAGGCATCTGCTTTGCAAATATGACTTGGGTGTAGAACGACTCACTTCCCGTTCCAGGCAACGACATCAAACGGAGTGTGATCCTGCTTGCACGTAAATAGCTGACCCCCGATCCTAAAGTTCGTCAGAGAATGTCAGATCAAGGAGGGTCGGGAACTCCCACTTGTACACGACTGAAACACGGTAATAATAGAAGTTAGAACTGGTTAAATGATGAGATCCTCTATGTGCTTACTTTCCCAGTTCGACTGGTCGATGTCGAAACTAGCAACAGGGTGCTCGAAGTCACGGACCTTGGCAAGACTGCTAGAACCCAGTGGGCCGGGTTCGGGAAGCACGAAGTGAGTGGAATAAATTTCTTGGACAACTAGCCGAACAGAAATGTCAGAGACATTCTAGTGAATAATGTTGAGGACGCACAACCACGAGAAGGCCCGTCAGGAAGAGAGACCTAAAGCTGCTCAGCAAGGGATATTGAGCTTCTAAATATATTTTACGCACCTTGAACTTGATACCGCCCGGAATGACAACGAGCTCTCCAGGACGAACCATCAGCCTAAAGAGAATAAGTGAGTACGAGGTTGCAATCACACTTCAAACCCCTCACCTTCCCATCTCAGTCTGAATGTCCAAACGACCGGTGTCTGGAAAGATCAGAATATCGCCGTCGCTATTGACAAACGCCTTCTTTTGCATCGAAGAATTGGCGGCATAAAAGTGAGTGGCCAAACCATCCCGTAGACGTGAGCTGCCAATGCCTCCTAAGGTCTTCAACCCTTCGATGAAGTCGACCTTCTCACTCTTAGAGGGGAGGTCGATCGGACTCCAGGCGACTTGGGTGGGGTTGATATGAACATGCGGATTGGCACTGGTGAAGTCAGATACAAGCTATTCGTACCGAAGTCAAGAATGAATATCAGTCATATCGAAAATAACTGCTAACTCAGACATGTGCGGCCCTCAACTCACGTAAGGGTTTTGCTTGCCAACGGTAAAGCCATCATGGGAGACGGATGGTTGGATACGGTACAACCAGCTGATATCTGGTTAGCGTTCAACTGATCCAATGACAGGACAAATGCTCACGTCTGTTTGTTTTCAGCCCGCGGAGCGGTGAAAGCCCAACCAGTGACCTGCGGGGAATGAAAACATACTCATGAATTACATTGTATCACTTACTCCCTCTGTGTACAAGTCGTACTTGGTCTTCTGAGGATGGCTTTGACTCGGGAGGACTCCAGGACTGTGCAACACGTTACTATTTCATAATATCGTTGCCAGATACGTTTGACCTACATTGCCTCAGTCGCGAACCAGTTTCCGAATCCAACCTGGTATTTGTATGGGTCCTTCTCGCCGGTAGATTCGAGGTAAGCGGTCTTTGCAGTGGCACCCGTTGTAATCGACTTGGTGAAGAAAGGTAAAATCGTCAGACAAGGAGCATGGAAAGGTAACAGGGAAGGACTCACCATCGTGTTAAATTCTTTGAGAAAGAATGTGGCTTATGGGCTGTAGTCGCTTCGAGGCTTGATGACTTGAATGCGTACGCAAAGCACCTATTATATATGTAGAAAGCCATTTTAAATCTGCTACGGTCAAACACGCTGACCGCGACCTTTGTCAGAGGACGCAATTCTGAATTGAGCTGAGTAACTTTGAGAGTAAGAGTGCTGACGACTTAGAGTCACGTAAAACGACACATACCAGCCGTGATATCACCACTCTCCCAATGACTATGCACTGCTGCTTCGTTTGTATTGTTTACTCCCATCGGTAAATGAGACTCAGGTCTCACGTGTCTCAGCTGTTTGTTAGGCGAGACTTCTAGATGCTACATGTCGCATGGTAAGAAGTGACAAAAACAGCCTAAGTGATCCGGGTCAGCCTACGGTCCTTGGCAGTTAGATGATAGTCACCATCTTTTATATGACGATTCCTTCACAGTGAGCTAGCGACCAACACTTTCAATTCGAACTTAAACACCAAGACTTGTGTCTGAGTCGACGAATTGAGATGCCTGGGACGACGACGTCCCTCACTGTTGATGCGTATCGTCATGATATGTTCAATTGTCATCCTGTAATTTTGAGTGATGTTTCTTCTATATTTAATTGACCCCGAACGGTAGACTTGGGTGTAGATAACAATAACTCGCTAGCCGTAGTTTTCCGCGCTGAGACCATAACTTATTGCCACTGAGTACTCTGCGATCTCTAGCAATCAAAGTAACGTACATAGGATAACATTGTGAAGTGTACTCCTGACAAAGAGTGATGACCAAACATCATCCTCAATCTTTGTTGAAGTCGTTGATCAAGCGTACCATGGCGGGGTCAAGAGAATGAGACGAATAGCAAAGATCCAACATGAAACATACTTGTGAATTGGGATGAATAGGAGTGATCAAAACATACTATCAATACAACGGATTAACACGGAAACAAGCCGTATTGCGCACAATTCACTGCTGAAGGTTTGAAACAACTTGAAGAGAAGCAAAAAGTTCACGGTTTGATTTCAGGTAAGCCAGCCGCCTTCAGATCCTGATTGACTTGCTCGATATTCGCAATGAAGTTGTTCCTGAGATCGTTCCACATGCCCGGTTCGTGTTCTGTCATCCGGACATAGTGAGATGGCATAGACGACAAAATTCACAACGTGCAACGTACCGTGTCGTTTCTCACTCTTCATCGCAAACTCAGTGATACCGAAGGGCATGCTCGACTCGAACATGAACGCTGGGGAAAACATCATCATCCAGCCCGAACTGGATAGACTTTCTCGGTTACTTACCAAGTGTTCCCTCGTGAACTCGCATCGGAACGAGTTCCATCTCAGATGCCTTCTTGTATTCTTCCCAGGACACTACGCGGCATCAGCTACGCAACACACGCAACTTGCCAGTAGCCACGACGCACCTCCATGAGGGCAAAACCCTGTCTCGTAACTGATAGATCCGGGTTTGAACGAGTCACTACGACCTTCATAGACGCCATAGATAAGACCCATGAGTTCGGAGGCAGTATTGCGGTGGAAGTACTGCGAAAAATCGGAGTTAGTACGCGCCACATTACAACGAGGAGACGATGAGCCTAACTGGAGGGCGGAAAGTGCCATTAGCAACATCCCAGCGAGGGGAGAAGATCAGGAAATCTGCGAGAGGTATTCCTGGTGTCTTGGATTTGGCTGTGAGTACGCAGAAGATGGACGGGTCGATGTGATCCTTGGTGATACTGCCCACACCGATGAACTTCTCCATAGCATACTTGTAGGGAACGTAGCTGTATTGAAAGAAATGCTATAAGAGATGTGTATCTATATATCTCTGTCCGGAACTCACTTTCCATGCCAAGCAACGACATCGAAGGGAGTGTGGTCTTGAGTGCACACGAAGAGTTTGCCGCTCACTCTGTTCCGGAGTCAGCATATATGCGATCATATTTCTCTTTGGATCGCTTACTTGTAGACAACTTGAATGGATCATGAGCATGTACGATAGGGTGATAGTGAGATGGCACGTACTTTCCCAGTCCGATTGGTCAATGTCGAAGCTTGCAACAGGATGCTCGAAATCTCGAACGTTGGCAAGGCCATTGGCACCGAGAGGGCCTAATTCAGGCAACTCGTAACGGGAGCCGTAAATCTCCTGAATATCTGGGGAGAATGAACAATACTGAGCCATTCGGACATGGAGACAACTTACATCCTCGGGATGGACCATCGGGAAGTGTGATCTGGAAAAAAAACTGGGTTAAACATAAACAAGTGATCGGTCAATGATCATCATCACCTTGAACTTGAGCCCTTTCTGAATGACTACCAACTCTCCTGGTCGAACCATTAACCTCAAAAGAACGTCAAAACTCCACAACCAGAAGCGGCCGCAGGCTGATACTTACTTGCCCAACTCTGTCTGAATATCCAATCGTCCTTGCTGAGGCAGAATCAGCATATCGCCATCACTATTTACGAAAGCCTTGTTGCCCATAGACGTGTTGGCCAAATACACGTGGACTGCTAGACCTTCGCGAGTCGTTGGATCGCCATTTCCGGCAATTGTTCTCAAACCTTGAACGAAATCAACCTTCTCCGAAGGAATGTCGAGAGGGTGCCAGGCTTGTTGGGTGGCGCTAACATGAACCTTGGGATTAAGAGGGGAGAAGTTTGATTCAAGCTGGAAAGCAATATCAATCAGTCAAAAGTCAAAAACAAGGGATAGAACCGCACGAATGAGTTCTCGGGTGCGTCATTGAAACCGTTATGGGACACAGAAGGCCGCATCCGATAGAGCCATCTGTTGGTAGATGATATCAGTAGATATCGCGGGCAGTTCACACGCAAACTGACGTTCGCTGGTTTTCGTGCCGAGGAGCGACGAAGGATGTGCCGTTAATCTAATGCAAATGTGAACTACCATCCTTCACCCATGATAAAATACGTACTCCTTCAGCATATAACCCGTATTTGTTCTTCTGAGGGGTGTTCTGGCCTACAGGTAAGACATTGGGACTATAGAGATGTCAGCGCCATGAACGAAAAGAAGTTGTGCATGTGACGCCTCACATGGCTTCCGAAGCGAAGCCGTTACCAAACCCAACCTGATAGATGTATGGGTCCTTGTCATTGAGCGGTGTTGAGAAAGCATTCTTAGCAGTAGCCTATACAGGAGATGTTAGAGGAAACATAGATGCAGAGACGAGGGTATACGATGGTGAGACTGACCATGTTTGATTGGAGTGAGTATGCCCTCTGTGAACGTCAGCGATGGGGTTCTTATACTGTGCGAACCGCTTAGAAGTTGGAAACACTTCATCCTCAACAGTTCTGCCTGGAGCCCGTTGTTTCACCCACCAGGGTTTCGCAGGCGGCTGGTAGCACTTGACGCCATTTGGGATGAATGTCATGCCAAGTTCAGCTAGTTTCTCACATGAAACGGCGCGCAGGCAGGGAATTACGGAGCGATAGTGGATCGATCCTTGTTCGAAGCATACCCAAAAGGCCGGGTAAGCACATACAAGGCATGGGTCTGACATAAAAATTCGGCTAGCGAGGTCATTTGAAACCCCATTGAAACCACACACAAGGGCGACCATCGGAGGGGAGCAACTACACATGATGAGAAGATACTGACCAGAACGGAAGCTTGAGGGGTGGTCGCTCAAACTCTGTCACTCAGGCAGTGAACAGTGAGCAGACGCGGTGGACAATCACGGTCAAATCTTCCCTCAAGTGTCTTCGTAACAATGGAATGCAAAACGGACATTTCCAACGCCTGTCGCACAAGTAATTCCTGCGTGATGAAGGTGAGAAGAAGCTACGAAGAGCGGTTAGAATCCCACCTCTTTCGACCAGGTGCTCTACGGAAAGAAGATGGATACGCGAACATTTACCGAGCGTCAAGCACTTGGCACAAACCAAATACCCTTATATCTCTGCTCACCACCAACTTACACTGCGACCCTCAGATACCAATGTCATGAGAACAATTTCATATAACGGCACCGACATTCTCGGTGAAAGCAGGAGATGGTGGGTATGAGATTACTACGAATGTGCGCCGGCCCGAGTGACGCACTTGTATTGGACGCTGGGTATTTGAAGGAGCTCCAAGGCCATCGATAGTTTCAAGCATTCTCTCTAGTCAACCACCATGCCCAGCACAGATAGCAAATTCCCAATCGACGTCTTGGGTAAGCTTAAGAAGTCTGTAAAATGTCTTGCTTCCCGTAGGATATACACTGATTCCGAAACAGGTTGCAGCTCGACCCCTCCAATCCGACATTGACTAGCGAGCAAAAGGAGGCTCTTAAGAACAATGTGCAGGTTATGCGAGATGCCATCGTCCTATTTACTGCTACCGGTGCTGCCCGCGGCGTGAGCGGACACACGGGTACGTCTGAGTTGACCCCAATGTATACATTCTCACGTAGATTGGCCCTTTCTCAGGCGGTGCCTACGATACTGTGCCCGAAGTAAACATGCTCTTATCCTTGTTCAATTACTCGGACAACTATGTGCCTATCTTATTCGACGAAGCTGGTGAGTTGTCTTGACAGACCCGCGTTCTAGCCCTCCTGCTTCCCACCGCATACACTCCATCATGGTCGGTCGTAGAGATCCGGGCGGAGAACTTGAGTTTTACACATAAAACAGTCTCTTCTCATCAACATCTTCTCATTGTTTCTGGCCCGCTCTCGACCATGTCCAACCGCCCTTGCAGATGACGTCGCCATGAGGAGCATCAGCTGTATTTTGAGTACAGTCTGCCGACATCATGGGACAGACTGAAGCTGGGGAACTCCGGCTTGGACGTCTGTCTACCAAAGCCAGTGTTCGTGTCTAATTTTGCACATTCAACCCTTGTCGGGAAAGCCTTTATTTGGCCGAGATCTGCGGAGACATTTTCCTGGACTCTGAGGGAAATACTTATCCATATAGGAATTTTCCATTCATACTACAGCACTATCTGACAAGATGATCCTACGTCACAGGTCACCGTGTCGCCACACAGTATCTGGTTTCTGCCATCGAAGGTCACATTCCCTTCGAGCACCTTCTGCATTACCGCGAGGCAAACTCCAAGCTCCCGGGTCATCCTGAGCTCGGTCTCACGCCTGGTGTCAAGTTTTCGTCAGGACGTCTCGGCCACGTCTGGCCATGGGTAAATGGTGTTGCGCTTGCTAACCGCGACAAGATTGTCTTCGTGTTGGGTTCCGATGGTTCCCAGCAGGAGGGTAATGACGCTGAGGCAGCTCGGCTCGCCGTTGCTCAGAATTTGAACGTCAAGTTGATCATCGACGACAACGATGTGACTATCGCTGGTCATCCCAGTCAATACCTTAAGGGATACGATATCGCGAAGACTCTTGCTGGTCATGGCTTGAAGGTCATTACCGTACAGGGCGAAGACTTCGAGTCGCTCTGGGCCGGTCTCTGCGAGGTCATTGCCCATAAGGGTCCCGCTGCAGGTGAGCTTCAGTGAGTGTCGATGAAGTCTACAACTCACTATATGCAGTTGTCTGCAAGCGTCTCATGGCCCCCGGTGTGGCCGACATTGAAGGCTCAACTCATGGTCACGATGTTATTCCCGTCAAGTCTGCAATCAAATACCTCACCTCTCGTGGATACCCTGAAGCCATGGCGGGCAACATCCTCAATAACATTAAGCCAAACGCCGTTCCTTATCTCTACATCGGCTCAACCAAAGAAATTGGTGCTACTCGTGTGGTGTTCGGCGAGTCTGTCAACCTGGTCCTAGACGGTTTGAGCAAGGAGGAGGCCGCGAAGAAGGTCATGGTGATTGACAGCGACTTGGAAGGGTCAACTGGCTTGAAGGTGATCCACCAGAAGCATCCCGAAGTGTTTATTCCATCCGGCATCATGGAGCGTGGAAACTTCAGCGCAGCAGCAGGCTTCGGCTTCGACAAAGACAAGTTTGGCGTGTTCTCCACTTTTTCGGCGTTCCTGGAAATGGTCATCTCTGAGATCACGATGGCGCGTCTCAACTTCTGCAACGTCCTTTGCCACTTCTCACACTCTGGTGTCGATGAGGTATGTGTGTGCTTCATTCTGTAGATGATGTGCTGATGCCTTTGCAGATGGCAGATAACACCTGTCACTTCGGCCTCAACCATTTCTTCGCTGACAACGGCCTGTTAGATACGCAGACCTGGATGTACTGGCCCGCAGATGCTGCTCAGATGACTGCGATCGTAAAGCGTGTGTTCTTCGACCGGGGAATACGGTTCATCTTCTCGACTCGCTCTAAAGTCCCATATATTCTGAAAGAGGACGGCAAGACGCGGTTCTTCGGCGATGACTACGAGTTCGTCCCGGGCAAGGATGAAGTCATCGTGGAGGGCACTGCTGGATACGTTGTTTCTTTCGGTGATTCACTCTATCGCTCGTGGGATGCCGTTCTGCGATGCAGACAAGAGGGCCTTGATGTCGGATTAGTCAACAAGCCCACTCTCAACCTCGTTGATGAGCAGGTAGGGTCTTATTCGGCGTCTCCTTCCTCCCTATAACTGACACGTCATGTTACAGACTATCAGGAAGGTCGGCTCCAGTCCATTTGTCCTTGTTGTCGAGACCCTGAACCAAAAGACTGGCGTACGTACTTGTGCTGGCTCATTGATATCGTGTACTGATCAGAATCGTTTTCAGCTTGGCTCGAAGTTCGGTACTTGGTTGCTTGAGCGGCAATTGACACCCAAGTACGGATACATGGGCACCAACAAGGAGGGCTGCGGAGGCTTGACGGAACAGATTCCTTTCCAAGGCCTCGATCCTCAGTCGATCATCCGGAAGATCAGGCAGCTGTCGCAGTAAAAGAAGTAATGAAGAAATCGAAGCAGTTTGAAAGCACAGTGTACCAGTATCCTCAACTCGGAATAGACGTGCTCGGAATGTACAGTATAGGATAAAACCATGCAGATACCACCTTGGCGACGGCGAAAAGTCGTTTACTGAACGCTATAAACATGCAGTAGATGTTATGCGGTCATGGTAAGGACCCTCGCAGAGCTCCTGAGCCCTAATAGTGATAAGCCGAAGGGCCGATTGACCTCGGGCATAAGAGGAACCGGTGAGCATCCTTAGCTCGTACTGCGGTGCGTCTCTCGATTATCGTGGAATAACTACTTAGTTGGTCTGAATTCGCTCACAGACGTTCACAAGGATATTGTTTCGGATTGTGGAAGACGAGAAGTCGACTTGACAACGCATATATGTCGTGGTTTGAACTCAAGATTGAAGGTTGAATATAGCGTGGTCAGACTCGCTTAGTGTTAACTGCTATGAGTCGGATATCTGCTGAATGATACGTTTCGATGCTATTGTGGTCGGCCAAGTATTTCATGGACTAGGTTGTTTTATGTTTGCATTTAATCGGATATGACACAGGACTAGCTTCAGCTCTTTCTATCCGATAGAACACTGCACGTCCCCAAGGACTCTCTTAACTATTTCTGAGACCCAGTTCGCCGGCTGTGAAGTCATGGGCAGATCAGCAATTGCCCTCTTAGGACAGTTATGAACTGGTGATCGACTGCCAACAACCTTCGCCAGCAACCTTTACGGCTAACCTGGATCACCCAAGCTGGATTATCTTTGCGAACTGCCAAATAGTTGGTTCGAGACCTGTTGCTTGTAAATACGTGTTAAGCAGACGGTATGCAATAACGCACCGATGGGAATGACCAACACGAATAGAGGAGTTTCAACTGCCTGCTGTCATTCCTCACAACACATTGTCGCTGGTATGTGCATTGTCGTCTGAATCAACTCGTCAGCGTCATTACACTGATGCATATTATCCGCTATCTCAGTTGTGAAGCCCACGCTTCGTCTTCTGTTCAACCTGTCAAGCTACGTTTATGCGGCAGCGAACAATTGGAACGAGAACCTGTATTGCCGGTAGATCTTACAAACGGTATTGTCAAAGTATCTGACCAGTATATGTAGGATGACTCTCAGCACGACGGGTACACCATGCTCCGCACCTACTGTATATAAGGCCAGCGTTTTCTTGCTCTCACCCTCAAGCTCTTTAGAGTCCACAGCACCAGAAAGCACAGTCAGTTGTTTTTCGAAAGAACGTTCACGAAGGTAAGCAGATTTGTCACCTATCTTATTGCGCTGTCTCATTTCTCATCATCGTCACTGGAATTTCAGACTCACAGCACTATGACGGGCGCAACTGCTAAATCTGGTTATCTCGCGTCGGCTGAGAAGGACCCTTACAAGTATCAACCTGGGTTTGGAAACTCGTTCACGTCTGAGGTAATGTACGTCGAAATGACCTGGTGCAGAACTCTTACTCACGAATCTTGCAGTCCTGGAGTTCTCCCGAGCCAAAACCATCCTCAGAGGACCAAATACGACTTGTACAGAGGGGGTACGTGATTAAGTATGGTTCAGAAGGATACCTCTCAGTTTCTTCAGATTACTGGTTGGGCGTTCACTGCGCCGCGCGCTGAGAACAAGCAAACGTAAGTGTATCTGCACCGATTTATCAACTTTTGAGTACTCACTCGTTGCTAGTTGGTTGTACCGTATTCAGCCATCCGTCTCTCATGCCGGGTTCACCGTGGGCAAGCAGAACCCCTATGTTAGTGCCGAAGACCCCTGCTTCTTGCTGATAACCGTTTTTAATGCTGACAACGACATGCAATCAGCTCGTGTCTGACTTCACGAACGCCAACCCGCACATTCATATCAATCCTACGCAAGTCGCATGGGCCCCACGAGAACTTCCTGCTGACCACGAGAAGATTGACTTCATCGATGGTTTGAAGACTCTTGGAGGTACTGGTAGCACTCTGTTGCGTGAAGGCATAGCTAGCCACACCTATGCAGCTAATTTATCGATGGAGAGAAAGGCGTTTGTCAACAGCGATGGTGACATCCTCATTTTTCCGGATACGGGTCGACTGCATACTCAGACTGAGATGGGAAAGTGAGTATTATTTCGTCAGATGCAGATGCAGCACTAAGAATCTACAACGCTTCGCCCACTTTTTTTTTTTTTTTTGGAATCCATGTTTTTTTTATCTGTTGCAGCGAAATACACTATGTCAGATATTAACGAGCAGAATGCAGTCTTGGATGATCTTCGCCCAGGTTGATGGTCAGACCAGGAGAGCTAGTCGTTATTCCGGGTGGTATCAAATTCAAGGTAAGCGTCACCTGAGTATATAGGTAGCATATATCCTGGCTTACACACCTTAGGTCTCACTTCCTGACGGGCCATCCCGGGGCTGTAAGTGACTTAACCCAACTCATTTCGGAGGTGATCTCACATTGTTATATGCTTCAGTCGTCCAAGAAGTCTATGGCACGCAGTTTGTACTTCCGGAACAGGGCCCGCTCGGTACCAGTAGTCTTGCAAACGTTCGCGACTTCGAACACCCTGTCGCTAGTTTTGATGTCGATCAGTCGAACTGGGAAAGTGAGTCGTCATTAACGGTTGGTTTTCGGCCCTTATGGGATTGAACGAACTGAACATCTCTTAGTTGTTTACAAGTAAGCATGATGGACTCCATCACTCTTATCTCTTCTAATGAGCTTTAGACTCGGAGGCAAATTGTTCACTTGCAAACAGGACCATACTCCATTTGACGTTGTCGCGTGGACTGGAAAGTAAATCGCTGGTGCATTAACCCTGATTACAGGCGAATCACTGAAAGATAACGTGTCAGCTACGCACCTTACAAATATGCCATGGAGAAGTTCATCCTGGTTCGCAACGCTAATAAAGATCACACCGATCCCTCAACCTTTCGTGTCCTGACTGCGAAATCCAGACTGCCTAGTCAGCCTCTGCTGGAGATCGGTGTCATAGTGCCTCACTGGGACGTTGGAGATTCTTATCGTGGCCCAGTAAATATCCAAACCATTTATTTGATCTGACGAAACTGAAGTCTCAATGACCACAGGACTTCCATCGTAACACGGCTCCCGAGCTCTCTGGAGTGATATATACCCCTAAAGATAAGCCCTGGCGTGAAGGTGCTGTTCCCGGCGGGTTGAATTACTACTCGGGCTTCGTGCCTCACGGTTGTAAGTCACAAATTTGCCACTGAATGATCGGAAGGACAATCATCTCACAAAGATGTTCTTCCGTTCGCCAGCACCTGCAGAAGAGTACAAGATAGGCGTCGAGACACCTAAGGATCCGATCAGGATGTTTGAAGACTCGTACCGTTCGTACTGTGCATTACGTCTGGATGAAACTAGCTTGCTGATCTGCTTCTCTCAGTGTTTATCGTTGAACCCGCATACAATTTGCTTCTGACTGATTGGCTGTGACGACTTCAAGTTTCGAAGGTAAGTATGTATCTCTACTGATCAATTCTCATCTTACAGTAAGGAATATTTAACAGAGCAAGATGTGAGGATGTGGAAAGGTCTCGCACCGGACTTCCTCAAGCACATAGATCAGGTTAACGCAGACTTGAAGGCCGCGGGTCTCCCGATCCTGGGTCAAGGTAATTAGGCTATGACCTGAACAGCATGGTGTGCTGCTTCATTCTTGGCGTGCTTTTCTACGATTCGATCTTGCTCATTCGAAGACACATCGTTGTATTTCTCGTCAGTGTCTGTAAAGTAATTAGCATTTGTACAAAGGAACATTTTGCGTACGAATCTCATTAACCATCTCTCGGCGCCTACACATTGGGCGTTTATAAGGAGATCTTTGGTAGGAGCTTCGCCTTTTCAACTTTCAAGTCAACGTTCACAATTTGCGATGACATGCAACAGTCGAGCTTCATATATATGCATATCTCAAGCACAAGGATGATGATACCTCTTTTATTCTCTATCAAATACTTATACTGTACACGAGGTATACAAGTCGTCGATGTCGCTCGCTGACCTCACTTTCGAGCCTGGTTCAGCAGAATCTGGGAAGCGCACTTACAACCGTAGATTTTCCTTTGAGATCATGTTCTCAGACTACCTGATTGGATGCAGGCCAAAAACGATATTAGACAGAATTCTATCCAGTCATGTTGTTGGCTACTGCCCGTCGGCGAATGACAGACCCGCAGAGCTTCGGGAACAATGTCGGCCTCACTCAGCGATCAAAGACCGAAAATATAAGGTGCGTACACATGACCGAAGCTCGAATAAAACCTAACTTTGGCGGTTCGAGTGCAGTCCTGATACTCCATGACCACTGAAGAAACCCTAGGCGATGCGGACATGTCACGAAGTTCCACTCCTCATTTCACTACTTCATATGAGGTGGTCGTGTTCTCTGAGAACGATCCGGACGATCCAAAGAATTGGTCCCAAAGGCGGAAGGACTGGATTCTCGCCATGATATGTATTCTAGCTTTTGTTGGCGTCTTCGGATCATCAATCTATGTGAGTCGTTTCTACTACTAAGTGCCATGAACTAAGATTCAAACGTTTAGGCACCAGGACAAGGACAAATCCGTCAGTTGTACGGCGTGAGTACCACGACTGCGAACGCTGGGTTGTCACTGTATGTCGCCGGACTTGGTGTGGGACCGCTGCTGTGTCAGTTGGAGTCTTTCACGCTCTTATATGCATCTGACCCTATTCTCTAGGGGGTATGACCTTCGTCCTTTTTTTCGAAGGTTTTACTTCAGTTTTTTTCGATAGGCCCCTTGACTGAGATGTACGGCAAGAGGAAACCATATGTTATTTCATGGGTGCTGATGATAGGTTCGCTAATTTGATGGCTCAACTCTTCATTAACGGCCAATTCACTGCAAACATTCAGTCGCCATCACGCCTTCTGCCTTCGCTGAGAACATAGTCGTAATACTAGTCTGTGAGTGATCCTTCTAGCCAAACTTTCTAGAACGAAGCTGAACTGTATTAGTCAGATTCCTGACTGGATTTTGCGCTGCATGCTCTCTCAATACGTATGTCCATTGGCCGCACGTGGGGTTCATACTCACTTTATTCCCAAAGTGGAAATTCGATTGTCGCAGAGTAAGTATCACAGTGATTAGACGATCCACATCTAATCATCAGAACAGCATCTATCCTAGTAGCCTTCACGCCTTGAGTCACTGTGCGTTTCGATTCACTTCTGAGTTTTGATGGAGTCTGAACCTGAGCCTTCTCTTTAGCAATCACCATTTTGTTCGTCTCCCTTTGACTTTGGCCCAGACCATACTGACTAGGGTACCTATAGCGTTCTGTCCGCACTCACAGGACCATGTTTTGGTTCACTTGTTGGATTCTTTGTTGCTGCGCATTCGCGTAGGCAGTATGGATTTCTTTTGTCTTGCCCCCTGAAAAAAAAAATGACTGATACTTTCGCAGGTTATGGGTTCTACGTGTTCATCTCTTCTTCGCAATCGCTTTGATACCTGTCGTGTTAATGCTACCTGAAACATACCCTCCAGCAATCCTGGCTAGTAGGGCGAAGAAATTGCGTAAAAGGGGGAAAGGTAATGCTCGTGCTGCCCATGAATTGCATGGAAAGACGATCCTGCAAGTTGTACAAGGCCACATCTTACGACCTCTAGGTACGTATATCCTCATAGCTATAAGAGATAGCGCCATATACTAATTTCTCTTCTCAAAGCGATGATCGTCAGAGAACCGATTGTTCAGGGTGCTGCTGCTTGGATATCTCTTGGTTACGGTATCATCTAGTAAGCCTGACGGAATGGCAGAGTTGGCCGATCTAATGCTAGTACCAGTTTCTACTTTGAGGCATACCCTGTTGTCTTCATTGAACAGGTAAGTCCACAGCGACTTACACCAGAATATGAACTGAGTTTCGCCTTCAGCATGGCATTCCATTTCAGCTCTGCGGTCTAATGTTCCTCGCGGTCACCCTAGGCATGGTCCTGGCTGTGCTTCCTTATACATGGTTAGTCCAAACCTTCCGCCGACTGCCACTCCTAGGAATCGAGAGGGTTGGGACCGATCCTAAAGAGTTAAATCTCAAAGTAGTCCTCTCCGCATGGTAAGGTGCCTTTGACCGTGTGCGTGTCTGCCGAATTGATTGTTACTCGACTTCAAGTATTTTGCTCCCGCTGGCATTGTTCTGGTTTGCATGGTGCGTTTGTTTCAGTTGGATATTTCGCGATGTGTTTATTTTGGGAACAGGACGAGTGAAGATGAAACTCACTGGATCGCACCTGCACTCGCGGGGATCCCATTCGGCTATTCGAGCATCATGGTTTTCTTTGCCTTCCTGTCATAGTACGTCTCTGACCCACTATTTTGGCTCACGCTTATGTGTTTCTAGTTCGTCTCACACATATGGTGTGTACTCCTCGAGTGCCAATGCTGCCAACACGTTTGTCCGTTCCATTGTTGCTTCAGCATTTCCTCTATTCGGAACGCCCCTGTTAAACAACCTTGGAACGAAATGGGGATGTAAGTATGCCATTCTTTGCTTCAATGGACCTACCAACTGATATACACTGGTCGACAGTGTCGCTATTCGGATTCTTGTCAATTGGGCTTCTTCCCGTACCTTTGATTTACATCCGGTACGGTGCCGCTCTGCGGGAAAGATCCTATTTTGCTAGACAGGCGCGAGAAGTAGCGGCCTGCATGCATGAACAAGTGAATGTGGTGAATGTGGTTTCCGAAAAGGATAAACAAGACATCGATAATACTTCCGATATGCAACAGGTGTTAGCGGGAGACGGAACTCAGGTTGCCGTTGTGGATGGTCAATCGGGCCTAGACCAAGACAACGTGTAGTGTATTTGAGCATTATGCCAAATTTGGCGGGAGGCGGCTCTATACCCCGGTTTCTAGAAGTGAGTAAGGACTGCGACATTCTACCTTCGTTTGCAAGATACTTGAGGTGATGGCACCTGCGGGAAACAACCTACGACTCAAACAGGAGACAGCTCGGCATTGTATTGAATGAATAGCGTCTCGTACAGTTTGGAACCAACTAGCCGTGTAACCAGGTGTGAAATGTTTTGTTCTCATGGTCTCACCTCCTGACCCCTCTATTGCATGCTGAGCCATGTCCAAGATACTAAGTGTGGGGAGAGCTGCTTGAAACCTGTTCGCACGACCGTGCTGCGTGTTTCGCCCCTGTACAAGGTCCGATGCAGCAGATATAAGGCCTTCGGAGGCATTATCTAGGATTTCCTCAACCAGGGCATCACTACTCCGCGTGTATGCATCCACTTCGGTCTTTTGGTTAACGCTTATACTCAATACCTCTTTACTACAGAGACAATGAGCGTGACCGCAAAAGCCGGATACACAATCTCAGTAGAGAGCGAACCTTACATCTATCAAGTCGGGTTTGGGAATTCGTTTGCATCTGAGGCATTGTATGTAGGTTTGTATCTGAATGACGTCACGTCTAACGCTCTGTGAAGGGATGGCGTCCTCCCTATTGGTCAGAATAGTCCGCAGAAAGTGAAGTACGATCTTTACGCGGAGGACGTGAGTCTTATTCTACTTCGGCAATATATCTTCGGTCATATTTACTGATGCTTGTTCTCATCTGACATCCACAGATCAGCGGCACTACCTTCACCACACCGAGAGCTCAAAACCAGCGCACGTATGTCAAATCAAACACGGAATCAATGCGATATCTCAACGTTCTTGCAGGTGGTTCTATCGCATCCAGCCATCTGTCTCACACGATGGATTCAAAACTAGCAAGGAACAAAACCCTTGCGTGAGTGTTTGCCTGTATGTTGTTCGTATTGAAGTTGAGAATGGATCCTTGTTTCGAAGCTCGAATCCGACTTCTCTCCCTCGAATCCCAAAGTTCATGTTAAGCCAACTCAGATGTCTTGGGACCCTTTCAAGCTTCCAACTGTGAATGAGCAAGTTGACTTCGTGGAAGGTCTCAAGACTATGGGCGGAAATGGTAGTGCTGTTTCCCATGAAGGCTTGGCCATCCATGTGTACATGGCGAATACATCCATGCAGAAGAAGGCATTTGTGAATAGTGACGGAGATCTACTTATAGTACCTCAAGAAGGGCGCCTTGACATTCAAACCGAGCTTGGAAAGTATGGGTTGCCCTGCTATGATCAATGGTAATAATACTTATCTTAGCTTTGCTCAGAATGATGGTTAGACCTGGTGAAATCGTGGTCGTCCAATCTGGGATAAAATTCAAGGTACTGATTGCCAGTGATACTTTTTTATCATATTAGTGCTAATCCGTCTTCAGGTCTCTCTCCCTGACGGACCATCCCGTGGATGTAAGTGTCATGATCATTGAACCCCATTCCATGCCTGCCGGTAACACTATTCCGGAAGACGTGCAAGAAGTTTACGGTGCTCACTATGAGCTGCCGGAGCTTGGACCGCTCGGGGCGAACGGCATGGCAAACGTTCGCGACTTTGAACATCCAGTTGCTAGCTTCGATATCGATCAGTCAGACTGGGAAGGTGAGTGAAGCCGCAATTGATGATGAATGAAACTTGCTGATGCATGTCTGGTCAAGTCCAATACAAGTGAGATGGACGTCGTTGGCAATATTTTATCAGCTCATTCGTGATCCTTCTACAGAATAGGTGGCAAACTTTTCTCTTGCTTCCAGGACCACACCCCTTTCGATGTCGTCGCGTGGCACGGAAAGTACGTTACCAACGTTAGCCGTGATGAGAGGGTGCTTATACATCTTTGCAGCTACGTACCCTATAAATATGCGTTGGAGAAGTTTATCACAGTTGGGAGTATTACTAAAGACCATACCGACCCATCAGTCTTCTGCGTTCTCATTGTGAAATCCAAGATACCTGGCCTATCACTTTCCGAATTTTGTGTCATTGGTCCTCGTTGGGATGTTGCCAGCCAGACTTTCCGCCCGCCCGTGGGTCCATCCATCGCCCGCCGTCGGAATTGTGGCTTATGATATTTTCTACAGTATTTCCATCGCAATACAGCAGGCGAATTGATTGGGGTCATCTTTGGAGATCGTGCCATGGGTCCTCCCGGTTTTGCCCCTGGTGGCATGAATTATAGGACTAGTTTCTGCCCGCACGGCAGTCAGTAATTCCCTTTGTGTCCACAATTTAAGACTAACGCTACTTTGATCCTAACGCAACAGTCACAACCGAAGTCTTCAAGGCTGGGTCCGAGATGGAACTTGCGCCTATGAGGGTTGGTGAAGGATCTCTTCGTAGGTTCACTTTGTTGGGCCTTCGAGAACGACGTTCTGATACGCAATATCTCAGTGTTCCTCATAGAGCCCTCTACGATGCTCATGCTAACTGACTATGCTGTCAAGGGGAACGGGTTTCAAGGGAAGTCTCTAGTCAGCTTTGTACTTGACTGTATGTCTGACGTTTTACTACAGAGATAAGCACCGAACACTGGAAAGGGCTTGGACCCAATTTCCTAAAGCACGTCGCGGAGATCAACGCCAACCTAAAGACTTCTGGCCGCCCGGAGCTTAAAATCAATGGAAGCGGGTGAGGTTGAATGTTGTGTAACTCCTAGGCGTGTTACTGTGAAACCGTGATAAATGTCACTTTACCTTTTGTGGTTGGAAGCTCAGAACTCGACTGAAAGATTGATGAGAATTGCAATGGTATAACAGATCATTAAATGGTACACACGATACAGTAATACAGATGACAGTGCACAGAATCAACCAAAGAACACACTTAGAAATGAAAGAAATGTGAAAACAAACACAGCAGACTAAAGCCGACAGGCTGGGGGAAGACTTGGCTTATAGCGAAGCCTGAGAGATTAGGCATAACGGTCTGGTACAATGACCTTAGTCGGATGGCGAAGTTGGCGATGGTCAGGGTTCTTCATGTGCATGTTGAGTTCCTCCGCGTCTTTACCAACGAACTCACAGCCTCGGAAAGAGCAAGCATTTGGAATAGAGTTAGTTCTTTCAATGAACCTCTTTGTCAACGGAGACATCACAGGCGCAGACGGCGCAGGAGTGGCTGGTCGAGGAGAATTTCCTGTTGCTTTCTTTGGGGTTGCTCGGCCACTGAGTGGAGATGATTTCTTAGGCGTAGACAGTGAGCTCCGGGGACGCGAGGCACCGCGAGCACCTCGTCCTCTTGTTGCTGAGGCCTTACGTTTGGTGGGTATTCTCCCCACTGTGAGAGTGGGGTCTACGGCAATCTCATTCTCACCGAGATCTTGGGGACGAAGTCCACTTTCTGGGTATTCAGACGCGTCTTCTGGTATGTATGGGGCACCCCAGCCAGCCTATTGGATTACTGCGTGTAAGAATCAACAGCTCCTACTAATAGATGAAAATCACATACCTCGATATCATCCTCGTCTGAATCTAGGGACATAGTGGGGAGGGTGTCATCGCGCGCAAATGGTTCGACCTCAGGAGGCGCATAGTCGGAGGCGCCAGTGAAGCTTTGCCAGGTGAGTCCACCCTCGTTGTAAGACATAACGCAAGAAGAGAAGATGTTGGAAAGAGTAGAGTGTAGCGGTGGTAGGAAAAGTGGTAGGAGAAAAGAGTTCAAATTTTAATGAGGGAGTGTAGAGTGGAGACCTACTTATATGTAGTCGTAACATGTTTTTGAATGTGTCTTCTGGCCAAAGAAAAGAGGGGATCACGAGATTGCCGATTATTCGTCCTGAGTGTGACAGTGGTTATCAGTTACGTACGCTATTTTGCAGAGTGGCGCAAAGATGTTAAAGGGCCACAGTGTGGCTGCTTCATGATCTGACCTGCCAGGTCAAAGTTGGTCAAAGTTCGCTAAATGATACCGAAAATGGCTACTTTCGTAACCATTGCCCATCCTTCGGCGAGCAGCGCCAGAGCAGAAGATACGTGCATTTTGCACATTGTTTCAGCAAGCTCATACCTGACGGTTTGACCATAGTAGAGTGCAGTGGTGGCAGGTCGGACTTTGGTCCACTGTTGAAGTTGAACAAGACTAGACTTGAACCAGAGGCTGTTCCGAATTAGGCTAGTACACTGATAGACGCCTTGAGGGACAAGTTGTACATACAGCACTTGGCGAGATTCTACTGTAACGTGCACTACAAGTCACTAGGCTGAATTACGGTACAACTCCCTCCTCCTACTGACTTAAGAGTCGTCTATCCTCAATGTTTGCGGCTACCTCTTTCAACCTTTCACTGACGGCGGAACAACATACCCATTGTGGCTAACAATGGATCCTGGCGGTGGTCAACCGAGAACAATAGCCCGCATGCACCTTGGAGACCTCTTGCCTTCTCTCTTTTTACGCTTTCTGACTCTCCACTATTCTTGATTCTCTTTGACATTTGAGATGTCTTTGCCTGCTTTCGTGGCATTGCTGTCTATAATCCACTTGGCCGCTGGCCATGCTTGTAAGTTCCATTGATGCCAGTCGCTTATGGATGACTGACCCGTTCTTGTAGCGATCTGGCATCCGAGCATGTTTGGCTTCAATGTTACGAACGAGACATTTCCTTACGATAACAGACCAGTGTCGCCTCTCGTCGACTTGACTTTCGATCAATGGTGGTTTCATGGACATCTCGACTATCCGCCCAATCCAGGAGACATATTCGACTTACCTGCTGGCAATGCTGCGACCGCTGAAATCGGCTGCAATAAAGGAGCCACAAGTTACTTCGCATCTTCGGAAGGTGGAGATATTCGAAATGGTGACTCACCTTGCCCTGGATCGGAGCCATCGGTGTATCATACAACTGGAATTGACGACGTCAAGGGCTGCGCCCTTGCTATTGCATACAACTCCAATGAACGAGCGATTAAACCAGAAGATTTTGCTGTGTTTAGTGTGAATCATACCTGCGTGTGGCATCGGTTCACGGACTTCCAGGTTCCTGAGCGGATGCCTCCATGCCCTGAAGGTGGTTGTCTTTGTGCCTGGTTCTGGATCCATTCTGTATGTTCCGCATGCCACGTACAGATCAACGGTGGCTAACTTTTGACACGTTTCCAGCCTGACAGCGGCAGCGAGCAAAGTATGCAACCATTTGTCTTGTCTCTGACCATTGTATTGAAACATCACCTGCAGACTATATGAATGGCTTTAGATGCAATGTAACCGGATCAACGTCGTCTGTCCCTATCGCAAAACCGCAAGTTGCTCGCCGCTGCGGTGATGATCCAGACAACGGCATCATGCGAGCCACCCCTGGTAACTGTACATACGGTGCCAAACAACCGCTGTATTGGTTCCAGAGGGAGCAAAATAACGTACGTATACATGCTTTCCCGCTTTGCAACCGTGGTTAAAAAATTGTCTCTTCTTAGATGTTTGAAGATACCTATGCTCCCCCTTTCTACCTGGACCTTTATAATTTCAAGGACGGCGCTCAGAATGACATCTTTGAAGATTCTTATGCGTCCATGCCTACGCCAAGTCCCGACAACACCGTTATCCCCACACCATTGACCCATGACCCCGTCTCTTCTACCACCCCGGGTTCGGGCTCAGGTGCAAATCCGACCTCCGGCGGTAACAACACCTCATCAGATAATGGAGACTTACCACCCAGTGGTCACTCCAGCCGGATTTGGTACGCCTTTTCCTTTACCGTGAATTCCGCTCAAACCTGATGAGGGTTTTCACAGCCGTGTTGCTAGTAAAACTCAAAATAAGCTGCGTGTCCAACGACGCGAAATGCCTTTGGCCAAGTTCATTTCTCTCCCTCATTTCCGTCGAGAAAGTTTCAATTTATGGCATCCATTTTAATTGTGTACGAGCCAGGTTCCACTATCATTATGTTTATGCTTATGGCACTTTAGCCTATGTTCTCTTACTCATGCCCACAATAAGTAACCGGCGCCAGACACGCGGCGCGTCGCGTCACGTGACTCACATTGATTTGAGGAGGAGACAACCGACTGTCTATGGAACAGATGGCACTACAACTGTATATACAATGTATTAGATATCTATTCTAGCTATCTATGTATTTAAAAACTCGTATGTCCACCATGAGCAGCCAAGACAGCCTCAACTCTGTCTGGCATCCGATTGATGTGCTTGTTCACATCTTCTATAGGTAATTCATCCCACACATGACGGACAGCAGCTTGAAGCTGTTCTTGGGTATTCAGAGGATGCCTGAGATTACGCAGAGCAGATTTGACCTCATGCCAAACACGTTCAATGGGATTGAGATCTGGGGAATTGGGGGGATGGAAGAGAAGTGGTATCTCATGATCAGTGAACCATCGTTGGGTTGATTTGCTGGTGTGGCATGGAGCATTGTCCTGTTGGAAGGTAATGGGACCCCTCTGTAGCTTCATCTCTTTATACCAATCCAAAAAAACCCCGTCCAACACCTGTTCCCGATATCTAGCAGTGTTCATACCCCCACCTCTCCCTCCTGGGTATTCCAACACAATCAATGGCCCCTTGCGCCCCTGAATAATGCAAGCCCAGACCATAACATGGATGGAGGACTGCTTGAAGGTTGGTACTAGGCATTCCTCTCGCAAGACTTCATCAGGACGGCGTGTAATGTAGATTCGGCCTCGATCATCTCCCAAGTAAATATAGCACTCATCGGAGAATGCAACTTCTTGCCAATCCTGGCTTGTAAAGCTCTTGTATTTCTGTGCCCAATGCATGCGAGCCTTCTTCTGCTTCTTAGTAAGGAATGGCACTTGACGAGCAATCCGACGACCATATCCTCGTTCCTTGAGAATGCTCCGAACAGTGCCCTCACTGATCTTTGGGTCTACCTGGTTTCCAATCTCTGCAAATGTCACCCTCTGCTCTTTCACTGCCCTCCTCACCACCAGAGCCTTCATGCGATCCGTGACTTTGTGTGGACGACCAGAACGGGGGCGATTGTGTGTGGTGCCAGTTTTGATGTACTTGTGCCAGATGTCTGATGCTGTCTGGCGTGGGATGCCTGTAAGCCGTGCCGCTTCAGTGATGCTCATGCCGGCTTGGATGGCTCCAACTAGCCGGTTCTTCTTAGGAGAATCATGTTGAGAGCGAGAAGATTTAGTAATGAGCATAACAAGCACATGTGTTATAGGTGGATGCTGGAGTACGGACTAAACAAAACTACATCCGTACGCGACGCGACGCGCTGGGCGTCTAAACGCCGGTTACTTATTATGGGTGCGAGTAGTGTTTCTTACAGCTCTCTAATTTAGTTATCATTTCATTCAAGAAGATGGTTATTTCGCAATTCACTCTAGTGAGTAGCGAAATTACGTTGTACATGTCTTTATTTTCTGGCGCACTCTACCCCATTGCGGGGCAGCAGCAAGCACATTGTGGGAGGTGTGTCCACGCTGATACCCAAGCCCACCATTTTCATCCCGACAAACGAATACTGTGTGAGATCGCCTCCCGACAGTTCTGAGAACGGTGGTAGGGAATTCGAGTATGATGTTGGGAACTCAGAGGGTTTCAGCAAAGCAGGGTAGGTTTTCCCCACCTCGTGCAATGCAGTCGAGTAAGTGATAGATGACAACGCAACGTTGCGTCTAGCAGTGCGGAGAGGCATGTTCCTAGGCAAGATGAAGCCGAGGCCTACGCATCCCTTCGCCTTTGGCATAGGAGCATGTGAGTTTCGCAATTTGCGACGCTTTCGCTGGGTGCCTGCACCCTCACATCCTCCCTCGTACCCGGCATCAGGTGAATCACTGACATCTGCCCGAGTTCGCTTTAATTTGCAAGATGTTGTGGCAGCGGTATACGAGGGAGCATTGTTATTGGCTCTGCCGGAGTGCGACATGTGCTCGGATGAGGGCACAGTAGTGAGTGCTAATGACTCGAAGGACTGCAGACCGGCTGCAGAATCGGGAAAGGTAAATGATGATGAAGACATCATGGTAGAAAGAAGTGGTGGTTAAAGAAAATATTAGGAACAGGTGCAGCAAAGTACTCGAGCTTTAAACTTTTCGAGGTGCGGCTCGGAAGAGCGAAGGGTAGTAGGGTGCGGAGCGGAGCGGTATCTTTGCACGGCTCCGCTTTCCGTATTTTGGTACAGTTCACAAGTTGCGACATTGCATCCTTCAAGCTACGTACTCTCTATGCGCATGGCAGTAGGTCGGATCTTGAGGATAACATCCAAGCATTCAGGTGATCACTACGCCTACCATTTATGGACGATGCCTTGAAGCGCTCGTTGTCAATCGTCAAAACAATGCGGAAAGAATGGTTTGCGCTCAATCCCTTCCGCCGGATTCTCTGAGCTTTGAATGTTACCAAGTCATTAGCCTTCAAGCATGTCTCACATAACACGACACGTACCATGTACTCTTGGAACTGATTTGATTGACAGGGGTGTCGTTTGATACGTCGGCAGCCAAACAATTGACTTTGCATGCCGCTCAGAACAATGGAGAACCTTTTCCGTGGGCGTGTCAAATTAAGAATTCGACCGACACTATAAGACCTCATGGAACCATGCGTGCATTGACTTGCTCTTGACGACGACGGTTTCCTCGAAAGACTCTTGCTTGGAACGGGCCTGGTGCTCGCGATCTTCTCTTCTGCTTGCTTTCTGTAACTGGACGATATACACGCTCTGGAAGTGTGCTTATACGCCCGTTTATACACCTCACTATGGTCGGGATTGTGTTTCTTGTTTCTCTTTTCACCATATTCTATGTTTGCCCTTCTGCTGGTCATGCATGTACGTTGTTTCCTGCAATGTAGTATGTTGCGTGACTGACGCAATGTTTCCCAGCAATCTGGCATCCTAGCATGTGGGGCTTTAATGTGACTGACAAAACCTTCGGCTACGATAATCGTCCAGTGTCACCTTTGGCTTATTACACCTTCGAGCAGTGGTGGTTTCATGGACACCTTGATCACCCTCCAAAGTACGTCCACCTCTCTGAGCAAACGTTACAATAATCTGACCTCATCCTAGCCCTGGGGACATCTTCGAGCTACCTGCAGGCAAAGCAGCAACAACTGAAATCGCATGCAATAAAGGCGCAACGTCATATTTCGCTTCTTCTGAAGGCGGGGACATACGTTCTGGTGATGACCCATGCCCTAATAGACCGTCAACCGAGTATCACACGAATGGCCCAGACGATTTGAAAGGCTGTTCCTTGGCTATCGCTTACAAGAGCGACGTGAATCAGGTGCAACCGGAAGATTTCACGGTGTTCAGTGTGAACCAGACCTGCGTATATCATCGTTTCACCGACTTCCAAGTTCCTGAGCGGATGCCTCCTTGCCCTGAAGGAGGCTGTATCTGTGCTTGGTTTTGGATTCACTCACAGGATAGCGGAGGCGAGCAAAGTGAGTGCTTTCTGACTTTGTCTGTGTAAGAAGATCTACTCATGGTGGTAACAGATTACATGAATGGTTTCAAGTGCAATATCACCGGATCCACTTCGAATGTCGCACTTGCCACACCACAATTAGCTCGTCGCTGCGGTGCCGACTCCGAGAACGGAAAGCCTGAGGCTTCTCCCGGCAACTGCACATATGGTGCCAAACAACCATTTTATTGGTTCCAGCAGGAGCGCAATAACGTAAGTTTATTTCGTTGTTACTCTTCTTAGACAGTGGACCTTACTATTACATAGATGTTTGAGGGAACATATTCACCTCCGTTCTACCTTGATCTTTACAACTTCAAAGACGGGGCTCAGGATGATATCTTCGAGGATTCGTATCCTGGCGGACTACCTCCACCTAGTCCGAACTCGACAGTAGTACCTACGCCTTTCCTTGGCGGATCAGCCCTGCCCGGTCCGACAGGGACCACCACTCCGAGCCCTTCATCGGTGGCAAGTAGCTCAACACCGACACCTTCTACTTCAGCTGCGCAAAACGTATCGGGGTCCATAAGTCTTTCCAGCTCAGCAGTATCAGCATCCGTATCGCCTGTTACATCTAGTGACAAGCCTGCAACAGTATCCACTGCGACGGTGATCAGCTTCGTGACTGTGACGAGTACCGCTACGGCGGCTTCATCCCCACTTGCTGTGTCCAGCAATTCGCGAGCATCTGCGACACTTTATAGCACTCAGTTTGTCACTGTGACAGCGACACCGGCTGGTGGGGTCGCTGCCACTAATGCTCCCCTATCTGTCGCCACTTTGGGTGTCTCCTCCGTCTCAGCGGTATCTACCATATTTCTGAATAACCCTGCAGCAGTGCCCACTTCCTCCGTGTTGAATGGCTCGGAGACAAGTACAAGGCAGTTCGCTGCACTGGAACGTGTCGATGGTGCTTTGTTAGCGACTTCAAGTGTCTCGGCTCTACCTACGGTCGCTGGGGGACCTCGCCTGCAGATGTGGTGGGTAGTCATCTTCAAACTTGAAAATATGCTTGCTGAGATTATTGTCGCTCTTAGTAAACGGTCGAGCTTCAGCGGCTCAGTGAATAGGAGGGGGTCTTCCAGTTTGACCTCTTTCACTGTAACTGGCGTTAGAAATCATCGCCGCATGCAGAAGCGTTCTAGCTTGTGGAATATTCTCTAATCCGCCCGTCTGCTGTCTTCCAGTGTCTCGTTTTCAGAGCCGCCTGCTAGTGCAGAACTCGCACCAATGTATATCTAGCAATTTGTAGCTCATAGTCCGCATTGTAATGTATGTTATTCAACATATAAAGGAAATAAATATAACGTTGTCATTATTGTGCAAATAACTTACTGGAGGTTAATTGCTATTCCCACGGGTACGTCATTCCTAGTCCGTATCTCGGTACCGATTTTGGGCTGAACCAGCCAGCCAGTAATTGTTGCCTTTCTCCATCATACCACGACATGCCGCGCGAAATTATCAATGTTCAGGTGAGCATTCACGTCGAATCGCGTTAGATGCATCAGACTCATGCATTCATTGCATGTATTACAGGCCGGTCAGGTTAGGAGTCGTTCATCAGACACGATTGTGGCGCAGTGCACTGATACTTGTGCCCACATATCCATAGGCCGGAAATCAAGTTGGAGAGAGTTTTTGGAGGATGCTCCTAGCCGAGCATGGATTGGACGAGGAAGGAGTGAGTCGATCGCAGAATCGACACGCGCCAAGTGCTTATGATGGATTACAGTTCTACCAAGGAAATGACCCCTTGCAGCTCGCAAGGGTGCGTGTTGCTATATTCAGATCGATGAGAGTCTAGCAGAGGTATAACGATTGATGTAGGTTGGAGTCTACTTCAACGAAGTTGAGCACTCGGGCTCGAGGACGAAATACGTCCCACGAAGTGTTCAGATTGATCTTGAGGCGGGTGTATGCGACCGTGTGAGTCCAGCATACGAGTCTGGTTTTGCTCGATGTCTAGATGCTGATGTTCCGTCCAGATACGTGGTGGCAAAATTGGCAGCCTGTTTCGTCCAGACACCTTTATCACAGGAAATAGCGGTGCAGGGAACAACTGGGCAAAGGGCTGTATGTACTATTTCTGGGTTCCGAAATTTATTCTATTCACTAACTGATGGTGTCATATAGTCTATACAGAGGGTACGATATATGACGTCTGTGTTCCCAAATGTACTCATCATGGTGTACCACAGGTGCCGAATTAATTGACCCTATTCTTGAGATTGTCCGCAGACAAACAGAAGCATGCGACGCTCTTCAAGGATTTCAGCTGCTACACTCAATCGGTGGTGGTACGGGAGCTGGTCTTGGTTCCTTGCTGCTATCAAAATTCCGAGAAGTTGTGTCTCTCTTGATATCCGTGTTTTGTCCCCTCATGTGAATACTACAGGAATTCCCCGACAGGATGTTGGCAACATATTCAGTTATTCCGTCGCCGAAGGTCTCTGAGACTGTCGTCGAGGTGTGTACCGCATATTCGGGCAGTCGAGCTTGGGTCTGTATTGATGCTCTTTTTGGTAGCCATACAATGCATTGCTTTCAATTCATCAGCTCGTTGAAAACAGTGACCTAACAATGTTGATCGATAATGAAGCTTTGTGCGTATGCTCGTAGCATTTGAAATAATTGATGGGCTGAAACCTTTTCAAGATATGATATCACCGTCCGGACACTGAAGTCCAAGAACCCCGCCTTTGATGATCTGAACGTTGTACGTACCTGGTTGTTTACTGAGCAAAAGCTGCTATCTGACCCAATATTAGCTTGTGTCCCAAGTCATGTGTGGTATCAGTACCAGTCTGCGGTTCCCTGGCCAGCTGAATGGGTATGCTAGCCTATCTGTTACCTTGCAATACAAAGCTCACGATACACTTCCTTAGCGATTTGAGAAAACTAGGCCTGAACCTCGTTCCTTTCCCTCGGGTACACCTTTCCCTGCTTGCCTCGCTTACCTTTGTGCTTATATCGGGCAACAGCTCCACTTCCTGATGCCCAGTTATGCACCTTTCTATGACCCTAATGCGAAGGCATTCATTCGAATGTCTGTCAATGATTTGACCCAAGCGTTCGTTCCACACATGTTTGATTTCCGCGGAAAAGTCACGTTAATGGTTGTCTTAGATTGTTCGATCGACGCAATCTACTCGTAGCTTGTGACCCAAGATTTGGGTATGTTTATAATTTTCCATTGGTGATCCCCGAGCTCACGCGTGTTGTAGTCGCTATTTGACTGCTGCCACTATCTTCCGTGGCAAGATATCCTCGAACGAGGTACGTACTGAACAGTTGCAGCTTCGCTCCGATTACTTATGCTGGTTCTCAGGCGGAGGTAATGTTACTTATGGGTGAAATACACCGTTAATTTGCTAACGAGATTGAATAGCAATCTGTTCTTGATCTTCAACGCAAGAACTCTGCTCAATTCGTCGAGTGGATCCCCGATAATGTGTCCGTGACGCTGTGCACCGTCCCGCCAGTGGGTCAAACTCAGGTGGGTTTGACTGTTCTAGTGCTTCTGTCCTTTGTATGCTTACCTCGGCATTCATACAGAGTGCAACCTGTTTGGCAAACTCCACCGCGGTCCAGGAGCTGTTCAAGCGTAACTTGACACAGTTCGCTGCCATGTATAAGCGACACGCGTTCCTTCATTGGTACACCGGCGAAGGAATGGATACGATGGAATTCGCTGAAGCCGAAAGTAATGCGAGAGATCTGATGTACGTTCATTGGCATTTTTTTTCCTATGAAGGTCATACTGACGTTCATTCTAGTGCCGAATACCAGCAAGTTCGTCTTTGCACGGTTTCACAGATTAGTTCCTGTGCTGACTAACTTTGTTTCACACAGTACCAAGAAGCATCCGTTGACGACGATGAAGTACTTGAAGAAGAATATGAAGAGGAGGCTGCCTATGAAGAGGACGAGCAACAGTGACCGGCACGACGGAATTCTAATGCCCCGTTCAATTGGAAATACCCTTCCAGCTTCCATCTAGCGTACCTGACACTACTCCCCGGGTCTCAATCGTGAAGTTCGCGGCCTGGCATAATTTCTTGATATGCATATGTTCCCAACTAGCTTCCCATTGCAAAAATATTCGTAATGCGAACCTTTGTTGCACCATTTCACTTCGGTACATTCGCATTCATGTAAAGGCAGATTGACTAAGAATGACGATAGGCAAATGCCACGCCCCGTTGTACGGACATCGTCGTGATGGGGTGTTGTGCCAAGGATTGCTTTTCTCGAACGTACGTATCGTCTTAGACATCGGCACGAGACTACTACTAATTAAATGTTTCCCGCAGGTCCTTTCTACTGGGTGGCATGACATTGCCTTGCACTACGTCGTAGGAATCCAGGCTGCCTGCTGTGTGAACGACTGCAACTTAGGTCGTTCTCGTGATCACGAACATGCTCATGGAATGCGGCCCGAAGTTATTTCCGGATATCAGTAATGCAGAGCGTGAAAGTATAAATGAGATATGTAGTGGCAATCCGTGTGCGAGGCGTTGAAGCTCACAGATAGTCGCAAGCAAGTCAACCAGCTCAGATGTCTAAGTCTGCTCCAACACCTGAACTTGGTCCTTGCCCTCCTCGTTTCACGGAGATAAAACACGACATCGCAGAATCCTATCCTAACTTTCAGGAACGTGTTACACAGGCTTGGAATGAGATATTGCAGGAATTGAAGTCTGCTGTAGCAGACTTCGCGAGGCAAGGCTCAGAGGTAGGCCATTTGTATATCTATTTTCGTATGCAGTACATCTATTGCTCTCTATCTCTCATAGGCTGTCCCTCAAGTCGAATTTTCTGATCTTCCGAACTTGAGTCAAGAGCAAATCGAGGCTGTCAAGCGAAGAGGTTGTGTTGTAATCCGTAATGTCGTCGATGACGCCGAGGCACAATCATGGAGAAATGATCTTAAAGAATATGTGACAGTCAATTCTGACATCTACGGCTTCCCTGAGGGAGACAAGCAATTCTTCCATGCCTAGTACGCTAACAGTTTCTCACATGTCAAATTTATATGTGACGACCCGAGTTTTCAGCTGGACACGATCTCAAGTACGAGCGCGTGCTCATCCCAACGTGCTTGCCGTATCGACTTGGCTCAACAACATGTACCATCTCAAGTCCGGGGCGAAGTTGGAGGATGTAGATCTGTCGACTCCGCTCAGCTACGCCGATCGATTCCGTATTCGCAACCCAGGTGGCCAATGGAACGCTCATCCTCCCCATGTCGACGGTATGCCCTTCGCTTCTTGCCGACTGACGGCTGACTGAGTGAGACCAATACGCTCTCATGCATCAGGTGGTGCAATAGAACGATGGGAAGACAAGACCTTCCGCACCTGCTTTGCAGATATCCTTAACGGTGACTGGAGGAAACACGATCCTTATGACTTGGAGGGACGAATCAATGCCAGAAGCTCGATGTATGGACGTGAAAATCAATCAAGCATCTTCAGGACTTACCAGGGTTGGCTCGCCTTAAGGTTGGTGCAGACCAAACGTACTTCTCGATCTTCACGATTCTTACTGTGGTATTAGCGAAACTGCACCGCATGAAGGGACGCTCAAAGTTTTCCCCGATGTCCTACTTTCGAACGCGTACACCATCCTCCGTCCTTTCTTCCGACCAAAGTTGGAATCTGAAAAGGAAGAGGAACTAGACTCGAGCAACTGGGAATACGGTAGCTCTTTGTTTCCCGCTTATTACATGAGGTCATATACTGATCTCTTTACCTAGACATCTCTAGTCCCGACTTTCCTGGAATTTATTCCATTGGACGTGGCTTTGCTGGACCAAGACCCAACACAAAGACGCATCCTCACTTGAAGCTCGATGAGGCAGTGGTTTCTATTCCCAAAGTCTATCCAGGGGACATGGTATTCTGGCACTGTGTATGCAGTTCACGCCTCATCCTTCGAAAGGTCGCTCATCATCATGCTATCTTCAGGATCTAATCCATGCAGTTGAACCCGAGCATGTCGGCAAGAACGACTCCAGCGGTATGTTGTGATGTCGCCTTCCTGCTTGCGGAGGCTCAGCTCCCCCCTTTTTTAGTGATGTACATCCCCGCGGTTCCTTATACGCCTCAGAACGCAGCCTACATCGCTCGACAGAAGGAAAGTTTCCTACAGGGCGTACCTCCCCCTGATTTCCCTGTGTACAAAAGCGAAACTGGGTTTGTGGGGATCGGAAAGCCGGAGGATATTGAGAATCCGATTGCGAAGAAAGCAATGGGGTTCCAGATTGAAGTTGCTTGAGTGTTAGAGCCCTTCAAGTTCCGGATATAATGAGGTGTAGGCTTGTGTAGTGCATATTGCGGTGCTTAAATGGTATCTTCAATCTTCAAATTTCTCGAATACGAAATGATGGTGAGCAGTCGACAAAGGTGGTACAATTATATTACAAGTTACATGTTTTCAATTCATTGTGAATTTGATGGATGATTACCAGCGTTTGTATGGCAAGAACTTGCCACTGGAGACGATATCGCAATAAGCATAAACACCGCAATATGAGAGAGTGTGAAACGCACTCAAAGGTGAGTCTAACTCGTTCTGCGTTGTCTACGGTCACCTTGTCAACGTTTACCGTGCAGTCGATCATGGACATGATACCGTCCCCAAACTGCACATGCGTTTCTATGAGTTCAAACGACAGTACGCCACCCGTTCGGTGTAAAGGCATACCTTCTCGTGAATGATAGCTTTGATCGCCTGACCGTACACGAGTACACCCTGTTTAACGCGTATTCAGATCATCTAACGGGAATTCCAACGCGAGTATCGTTTCTGAAACACTTACCTCGTACAGACGGTAGATAACAGGGTCTGTGGGAACAGCCGGACCAATCCCGCGCTGAGGATACCAATGTGGTCCAAGCTCAGCTAACAAGGCCTCAGTCGGCACCTCGAGAACCTGAGAAATGTTGTCCAGGTCCTCAGGAGTCATCTTGGCCTACATGTGACCAACGTGAGAAGTTATTGAAGTGAAACGGGATGACATGTGAACAAGGCTGATCGTATAGGCATAGTGGAGGGAAAGTCACAGTAAAACATACCTGTCCGAGCAAAGCTGCGGCAACCCAAACTTCGTCACGCTCCATAGCCTTTCCAATGGCGTCGTACGTCAGTCCTATTGAACTGTATACGCGTCATTAGAATGCAAGCAACAAGGTGTAAACTGACCCTTGGCAGCTTTCGCTGCAGCCAAGGTAGAGAGAATCGGTGGAAGGCTGGCGTAAGGTTCGGCACGCGTGTTGGTTTTCTACATATTCGTCCAAACGATTCTGAGCTTCAGAATCCAGCTCAGTTAATGGCTTGAGAGGCTTACAACAACTTGAACTGTGGCCATTGCTGCTGTGATAGGGGATGTAATACGTGGGGACAGCTTAGCTAGGCGATCTAAGGGGCATCCGTTCTCATGATGGATGTCCTTTTATACCAGGCGGAGCCGCCGAGGTGAAGTACGGGCTAAGCCAACCGGTACGATCGACCCTGGTCACCCGGTACGCGTCCAGTCCTGCCAAAACGCGATCGTTATCCAACGCGATCGAGCGCCGATCGGTCCCCACCGGTTAAAAAAAGGTCGGAAGGTTTCGGGCAGGTCTACCACGCAACAGGAATGTTATTTAAGTAAACCTATCGTACTTGAAAAAATCCTAAGCGTATTAGATGAAAAGGTACTAGTGACTGGCGTGTTGTTTCAGTTCAACTTTCGTTCGACGGGTAGAACAGAACCTACCTGAGAGCGGCAAGCCTAAGTATAGCGTTATGAATCTGAGTCAGAATTTCCGTCGGAAGGCGGTCGCCAAACGCCCTTGGTGGCCTGCATGACTTCGTACAATTGCCCCACTTGTTCCGGTGACATCTGACGAACGTATTAGATATATTCAGCCCGAAATAAACCAAACAAACCTTTTCGATCAACGTGGGGTCCAGTTTCTTTCCTTTGAAATGTTGACCTTCCGGCCCCGCAGGAAGTTCATCCAGGTACAGCTTCCATTGTGACAAGAATCCAATAATGTGTAATGGATTGTCAATCTTTTGATGTCTACGGAACTCTAAGGTCAAAACTCGTCAGCCTATGCTACCGTACACCGTAAGTACGCCAACTTACCAGCTTTCACATAGACATCACCTAGTGAGCGCATGTCACTCGGTAGGTAGCGGTGCGCACGGAGAATATTGCGGTAAAGACTTCATCCGAACCCTTGAGTTTGCAACCATGATAGAACTAGTAGAGTGATCCGCACGGAATTGGAGGAAGAAGAGCAGCACTTGCTTGTTGCAAGTTCAAAGGCCTAGCTGTGACAGACTCCGCCAGGCGAACAACAGAAGCACGAAGAGCCATGCTGGCACAGAGTGATTAGAATATAGAGGCGACCTGCGAAAACTATACCGCTCTAACTTTGAATGGATCTAGAGCAAAATTTGCTGTGAATATAGAGGCTTGACAGTCTAACGAGTCTACTTGTGGAGTTGGCAGGCGGAAGAGAGTGTAATGGAAGCAACTTTGCGGTTCGATCTACACGATCGGCTTGGCTCGGCTTGAGGGCAAGGCCAAGCAAACGCAGACGCCCGAGTCGACTTCAAGTTCCTGCGCTCTTCGTGCCTTCTCAACTCGCACTTGTAATGCGCTCATACTGCAGCTGATGCGCTGAATACGTTTTAATGCTGCATTTGCTACCCAGTATCGGGTTATACCACGATTTTAGGGCCAAAGAACGTTCCCTATGATATCAGTAACCGCCTCGAAGCCAAACACACACTTCCGCGTGTACAGGGTTGATTTATGTACAGTAATCTCGTAGCCCCGCGTTAGACTGACTAAGGCGATATACTGTGTTCTGTTGGGGTTTTGTCATGAACTGGTCCAACTTGACTAGGGAAATGTCGGCTGACTAAAACAAATGGTCATCCTGACTAGCAAATTGAAGCGACCTCTGCGACCTCTAATCTCATGTAGGCAAACAGCAATTGGGGTCTGTTATCTTGGCCGCGCTTCAGGTCATGCAAAGGCTCTGCGCCTCGACGATGATCGTGGTTAGAAGGTTCCGACTGAACCTTATCACTGATATGTCACGATGAACAGGTTTCTTGTCAATGTCATAGTTTGCAGAGTTTCTGTAATAGAACAACTAAACCATATCAGTCAAAATGAGCGTAATAGTCACTTATCGGGGCTTTCGTCGTTTTCAGATTCGACAAGAAAAGACTCGTCAGCTCTCGTAGACGACCTCCGGAAATGTGGCATGCGCAGGCGGGCACGGAGTGCAGAGTGAGTCGAGATCAGATGCGTCCACAGCTGGACGTAATGGCTGCCAAAATGGCCCGAAATCGTCTTCAAACGCCAGGTACCGTACGTTGTAAGTACCTTGAAGTTTTGGCAGCGGCTCGGACCTGACACAGTGTCCGCCCTTAATCAAGGTCTATACAAAGCCACCTCGCCTTTTCGATGTGACTGTTTTCCTCTTATTCACTGCTTTGCACTTCTGAGCTCTAGCTTCACTCATGTCTGCGGGACGTCCTAGCAAGCTGTCTTGGGCTACATCCCTTTCCGTAATATAGTGGTCCACCTGGTGGTCGACTGTTCAAGGACAAACGACGAACGCTACATGCCTGTCGTCGTTCACGTGGGTGAGCACGACGCACTACACCGAACAACATTTCTTTAATCATCCTGCAGGTGGATAACTCGAAAGGGCAGAGTCCATGTCTTGTAGCAGCCTATCTGCAAGGAGCGTGTCTCTTAGGAGGAGGTTAGAACATTTCTTTGCTCAACGAATATGTTGTCTTATCGTACCGGTAGATTGGACTGTGTCGTCCATACCTGGAGCGCTTCTGAGTTACATTGGACCCTCTACTATACAGGCCTCGGCGTGTACCTGCAGCTCAGTCGCATACTCCATGATGAGTGCATGCGCTTATTGTCAGGGATCCTTGGTAACTCGGTGCGCCCACTATCCGCTACTATCTAGTGCGAACAAATGCTTACTATATTCTTCAGATGGAGTGACTGGATAATCAATTGTCCGTCTGGGCAAGTCTCTAATGGACAGTGAGCATGTCAGATACTTTGCCTCGAGTATTCAAACCTTACGATCCTCTCAAGGTATCCTCATGCCATCCCTGATGGTACAGCTATACCCGCTTGGGCTTTCACAACTATTGTAGGTGTAAATGTGGGGTTCTTCAGTATTAATCTGACCATATTACGTAGTCAGACCGCTGGGATTTCACGAGTGCACGCGCAATCGCGAACAGTAGTAAGTCCCTTCCCCCGTTTGCGATATGGTTTTCTAACGAATTTCGTTACCAGACGCTCCTGATTCTTCCGCCGCTGGAGGACCGACGTCTGTATTCGCGAGTCAGTGTAGTCAACAGGCATTATCACCTCTCGCTGACCCCATAATAGGTACACCCACAAACACCAACGGAAGCGGGAATAACAATTCAAAGCCTGACAATGGAAAAGTCAATGTTGGCGCAATTGTCGGAGGCGTTGTCGGCGGCCTGATAGGACTGATACTTCTGTCGGTTGGAGGGTACCTTCTCTATGCCCACTATAACCACCGTTCCAGGCCGACGTCAATACGGCCTGTGCTTTCACCCACACCCCCGCCGGTGCTGGATGAAAAGTTGACTTATCCGTTGACTCACTCGTTCGTCTCATCATCTCCGCCTCTCCGATTATATGTGAGCCTTCTAATAACCTGTCATTCTCATTTCTGATTTAAGGTTGTCATAATGTGCTTTTCTCTAATAGAATCCCGAAGACCCTTCTACCTATCCAGGTGCGAACCTTCAGCCTTTGTTATATTCAAATCAACCGGCGCAATCAAACACGTCTTGAATGAGTTTTCGTAAGGGGCTCATGATGGCTCTCGCTAATGTTATGTAGGGAATTATAGTTCATGCTTAATATGTGTGTTCATAAGTCGTTCTGGTCAGAAATAACAATGTGGACGTGGTATCAAAGAATTCACTTCATCCGAATTGATCTCAGCTGACTGTAAGTAACTTGGAGGAGGAGAAGCAGGTGTCATATCAGATATCCAAGACAACGCGAGGCAATTCGACCTTATACACTAACGGCGTCTTAAGATACTCCTGCCAGAGTTGGTGGGACCTATGCAATAAAGGTCAGTAATGTCAACAAGTGAAAGCTAATTGTCTACTCACGTAGTGGTAAACATCTTCTCAAAGAGAGCCGTCAAGCCAGTGACGAGAACCATAGCTCCCACACCTGCAATGATGCCTCCGACGAGGCCAAACAACATGACTGTAAAGGTAGCAGCCTCGCCGAAGGTTGCAATAGCGTATGCCTCAGCTGCTGCTGCACCGTACCATACAGCCCCAAGTTCTGCACCATCTGCAATCAACTCCTTGACTTTAGTTTTGAAGTCCGTTTCAGCTTGGATAATATCATAGACTAGGAGACCAAGTGTGGCGATAATAACCGCCCACCCGATAGCACCCTCTGCCTTGAAGATCAGGTCGTGGGTGAAATTGCTGCGTCCCGAGTTGTTAACTATGCTAGCGAACACGTTGGCCTATGAGAATAACGGAAGAAGTGCTCAGCTAAAAGCATCATATTTGCAACACTAGGACATACTCTTTCGGCTTCTGACAACTGCTTCATCGTACGTCCAGGGTAAAGACGTTGAAGACAGTCTTCCATGATACCAGTAAAGTTATGCCCGTGAGACTTTAGAACATTGGCGAACCAACGATTGGAAGACGACGTCTTAGACATAAAGGCCTTGCGCACGGAATTCCTCAATGCGACAGCACGTTCTGCAGCGAGTTTTCCGTCTGCAGCCAAGGCTCCTGCATATTTGCCTGCGTATTTACTGTGAATCACGTATTCAGATCTCAACGAAAGTGGCAGATTAGCGGAGTGGACCTACGCAATGGACGTGATATATTCCTGCCTGGCATTGAAATTCTGAATGCTGAGAAGGGCAAAGCGAGTGAAGAGGCGCAATGTCTTATAAGCAAAGGCTGCGTTGTTAGGGTTATTGAGATCCTACGACAGTAGCATCAGTATGGACAACTCCCCTACAGCATGGCGTGCCTTTTATTGACTTACATCTGCTGTCGCATGAGCTTCTGCAGTTTTTCCCGTAGCACACGCATCCTTCACAGCTTGATAGGCGGCGTCCTTGCTCTCATAAAACCACTGCCGTTCACGTGTAGATGCGTATTGGCGGTAGCGCAAAGCAAGGGCTTCCGCAGCTTCAAGCTTGTCCGCGGCCTGCAGAAGTTGGTCATAGCTTGGGCACGGAATATCATCATGAACAATGGTATCGTCGTCAGAAGACATGATGGTAAATCTGCAGAGCCGGGCGAGAGTGGACGTGTATTTCATGCAGTCCTAAAGCCATTATATACTACCTTATATCATAACGCGTTAAGAATCACCAATACACGTTGCGTGCCCATGTGAGGATGGCTTGAAAATCGGTCAATCTCTAGACACAAAGGCTCAGATAAGTTAGGATTTGCATCGTGCACGGTCAAATCGGATACACACGCCACCTTTGACAGATTCCATGTTCGATGTCTTCCGATACACATCCGATAGTACAAACCAATGCGATATCCATTCCAGTTGAAGGACATCCCGCCACCGGTCATTCTGAACTTCCGTTGGCCAATAGCCACGGTGGTCGGCGCCAACTTTGAAACTGACGCTTGCGTTCGTACCAGTGTTCCTCTCTCTTAACGTGGTCTGGACAAATACAGCTCAGTTCTGATTATGGACTATAGATACCACAATTGACAGTGATAAGTACTGAGTAGGGTCTATGCATTTTACCACCGGAGCATACTATGTCCACACATCGGCGCGTTGACACTCCGAGCCCGTCATTAGTGTCATCCATTCATGGAAGGCTATATACGCTAGTTCCATGCCTTGAGTGACTTGAGAAGCGTTTTAGAATGCATGGAATACGATGTCACTCTTTATCGATAAGTGATCCTCGTCCTTTACCTGAGATAGTTGGGTTACGACGGTCATTCATTGAAATCACATCTCACCTCCGAATTCACTGAACCAGCTACGCTAATTTGGGCAGCATCATGTCTCTTCACCTCAGCTGTCCCTGTTCCATTCGTATCTGCCGATAGGACAGGCCTATTCTTGATAATCGATCACTAAATATTCTAGGACCAGGTTCTTTCTAGAACCTCTTGGACTAAAATCCTTACGTTTTACTGTCTTGGAATGCCTGGAAACTTGACTGCTGTTGTCGTCGTTGGTTATCATTGACCGATGCCGCGCAGAAGTCAGAAAATCTCACGATGTTCTCGTACTAGCCGGCTAGGTGTTCAGTGCATACCTGTACAGCGCTTTCTAATATTTAATACGGCTGAATGCATCCAGCAGCCACAGCAGGGGCTCCCCACATTCCTAACCCTTCCAACGATCGCACGACACAATGGCATACGGTGTACCCATCGATGATGACTTCCTGCGCACGCTACCCGAGTACAAAAATAAGACTACTCTGACGGCGAAGGATCGCAGCACTGTCGCGCTCCAGCAGAAGTTCGTCTACAGAGACCAGGCTATCAAGCGGCTCGATGAGCTAAAGTCCGACTTCGGTGACGGCGTGTCGTATGTACTTATTCTCTACTCACAAAACTTTAGCTGACAAGTTGATAATCCCTTTAGAACTCTCTGCTTAGTCTACAATGCCACCGGCGACACCATCACTTGCCACGACACTCAGAGCTGGAAGGGGCACTTCTATAAACAGTCTCCCGAAAATTCGTTCGAGAATGGACAATGGTCCATCTTCATGCACGTCAAACCAAGCGTCCTGCCTGAAGGCTGCACAGGTGCTGTGATATATAGAACGAAACAACATGCGGATGTCTTCTTGGGTTGGCAGAATCCGTGGGCTCCGGGATCCGATACAAGCTGCTGGGCAGAATGTCGCGCTTGGGATCATTGGTGGGGCACGGGTTCAAAGAGCTTTATGGAGCATCTACTCTATGATAAGGCTCATTCCACTCATGAAGATTCATCCAATGGATACAAAGTACGTACGTGATATCGTGACATACGGACCATCAGTTTGACGTTTTAATATCTGATAGGCGAACATCAGCATAGGCGATTCAACCACCTCATACTGCGAAGCAGCCATATCCTTACTTTGATTTTCTTCGCGGTATCTCTCACCTGTTGTTTCCTAGTCCGTACGATCTCATCGCCCTATGCCCATCCCGAACATACCATTGCGATGTTCCTAAGCACTCACGTAGTAAACAGAAATAGCTTAACCCGCAACAATATATTGTCATACATTCATGAGACTCGACCTCGCAGCGGCAGCAGGGATACTACTGAAGTTTCACGATTTACTCTCGCTACCTCCGTGACATGCTGACATCCTCCGTTGAACCCGAATCGTGCAATAGTGGGATGTGCTGGCTCAGCGGTCGCGACGATACGCAGGATCACAACAGCTCGCCGCATTCGTGCGAAGGCGGGTCGTCCAGCCCCTCGTTCTCAAAGAATGGCTACCTGAAGCTTCCGCATGCGAGCGTGTCCTACACAATGCTGTTATGCACTACGACGCGCACCTGCCAGTGCCCTCGCGCTTCGAGCTATGCGATTGCGGACCGAGTCGTGTCTGATCTAGTAGCCGTATGCAGCGAAATAGTCAGAGAAGGCTTCATCAAAGCGCAAATAGCTCACCTGTAGCGGACTATCAGACCATCGTGATGGCATACTCTTAAACAGCAAACGTAGATTATGCTTCGTCAGCAAAGGACAATAACTTCTTCTCCGCCTTCTTAGCTTTCTTGCCTCCCTTGGAGCTTTTCGGTTTATCATCTTCATCTTTACCGTCTCCGACAGCCTTGCGCTTCTTGCCAGTCTTCACGCCACTGAAGGAAGATGAAAATGAAAGTCCAGTACTCTGGCTCTTGGACGATGATAGAGACGAAGCACCAGGTTCTCCAAAACCTGGCACTTCACCTGTCTCAGAAAGAGGTGGCAGTCCCTTAGCTACGCGAAGCCGAATCCATGTGTCCATCAATATAGTCACAAGTGTGATCGAGGCTGTTAACCAACCTTTCCGCTTCTCATTCTCAACTTCTCTCTCGGATAAATGCTTTCCTTCCTTCAATACAACCACCTGAGGCTTCTCATCAACATCATCTTCACCCGCGCTGTCCGGCTCATCTGCAGGTCGTTCGGGTATCGTAGGACGTTTAGGAATGGGCGGTCGTCCAGAGCCATCATCTTCCCATTCATCATCTTCATCCGAGTCTCTTCCGCCTACACCGACTTGCTTTTGTAGTTTAAGTAGAAAAGCGGGTGTCTTTGCATTATATGCTAGCCTTGAGGAGAGCTGCGCTCTTGTAGGTTCCTTCGACATCGAGGTAAGAATTAAACAGCTAATGCGCAGGCGCTTAATGGCTGGCTACCGTATATGGCAACGGCTTTGGGAGACGCCCATCTCCCAATGATTAAGCCTCAGGTGCCGACACACTTTTGAGCAACAAATTCATTGTCATGATACGCTCGTACATAATTCTCTTGTCAGGCTATTTGAAAACCACCTACACACATCACCAATGCACAAGCAATCAGCGAGATCGCCCGGATCTAAGGTTGTAGGCTCATGCCTCCACTGGAGTGCAGTTGCGAACCAGGTGCGATTGTTGCTGTCGCAATGAAGCTTTCCCATGATGCCAAAGTGGCGGCGGCGACAGTAAATTTACCAGCAGTAGTGGCAGACCCGTAGTAAAGGAGTGTTCCTCCAGGGAGAACGTCGTTGGCCAAGGACGAGTTGTCTCCGCCTACAACAGTGGTGTCGTTTAACACCAGGCCTGTTTGATTGTTCCCAAGAACGAATTCTCGCAGGAATACCAGTGCCTTCAGTTTCAACCTCAATTAAGTTACAACGTGCAAATGAAGAGGCGCGACATACCGCAGCAGGCTTCCACTCAGGTACCAGATGACCCGCACCAGTAAACAAGATATAGGTGAGGTTTCGTTCCTGGTGTACGATTCCAGCGAAGTTGCCATCGTCGTCAAACCACGCAGTAGACGGCCTCTTGATGAAACCTTGGATACCACCGAAAGTGAAGTTCTACGTATGGTACACGAAGTTAGACTCAACTGGTACGCCATCTCATGTTGCGTACCTGAATAATTACTGTTGCAAGATTGTCATCAGCTTGCAAATATTTCAGTTTAGAGGTAAACTGTCATACCTTCGGTTCCCCTGTGTTGAACTTGAGCATCATCGTTACCAGAATAGAACACGATCGAGACATTATTGGCTGTGGCATTTGTCGCGAGCTCAGAGAGGAAGGCAACGGGTCTAGACGATTGTAAGCGTTCATCATCAAATAGTAAAGTCAACGGTTACTTACTCAACGCTAGGGTCTCCATGCTGATTACTAGGAAGACCAGCAGCTATAACAATGAATCAAGGCTCGATTCATAATAGATCCAGGCGCCAGAGGGTGACTTACAACGATTGTGAACGTTGCCGAATGGGTAGCTGAAACTGCTAGCCCAGTTCTTCGACGTTGGCGCATGGATCGCGGAACGCGTTCTGTTGTCTAAAGGGGCATATGTGAGACGAATATCTAACAATTGGCAAATAAGTTAGATAACGTCGTACCGTTGAAGAATGGCCTCGCATCGGAAGGTGGTTCTGGGTTGGTACCATCTGGTATGTCGTAAACCTACATTGATATATTCAGTTGCTACTGCGCGCGCAAACATTGCATTGGAGCGCACGTCGAACCCTCCATTTGCTGTAGAACCAATTAGTGCCGGTTTGGACTGCTAACAATACGGACCACTTACTCCACGGGAATGAAAAATTTGAAGCATAGTCGACCATCTCAGTAAACAGGTTGCAACCATAAAAAGGATCGATGGTACCATTCGCACGTCTTGACAAATCGCGTTTCCATTCTTCTCGTTTCTGACACCTTCGCTCGAGTACATCTGATCCTTGTGCTTGCCTCTCGTAGTATTTCTTCGCGATCCTTTCTTTCCAAGATAAGCCCGAATAACGAAGCTCAGATTCGAGTAGGAGTGACTCTCCGACGGCAGACTGGGCTGTCGGAGGCGGTATTAAGAGGGTCGGGAAGTTGCCCCCGGTCTGAGGATAGGTAAGATTGATATCGAACCCGCACAGATGCTCTCTATAGAATGAGCAATGAGATCCAAATGCTATATGATGAGAGGCATTTGAGCACTCACTGCTCCTTGAAGTAATTGAAAACATCCGGATCATAGTTGATAAGTTGAGGATAAGTCTCAATGATGTTGAGCTATAGTATATAGAACTCCAATCACCGTTGCTGTGGAATGAGTTGCAAGGGTCTTACAGTAGGAAGCTCCCGGATCGTTGCGAGAGAACCCAGGGACCCATCTCCGATCGCGATCTTTCGTAGTTTGACAGGTGGGTTGGACGAAGAGAACATGTGTTTGGTGATGTACGGCTAGCCGCGAAGTCAGGCGGGGTGGATACCGATCAGAAAGCCGGATATTCATACAATATAGGTACCAGCATAACTTTCTCCAATCAGGTACAACGGACGGGTCGCTAAACTGGGAAAAACCTTGACAAGGTTAGATAGGAAGCCAAGCTAAAGCAGAATACATGTTTAAATCCCATATGACATGCATCAGAAGAACAAACGTACGAAATCTTCACTAGTTTGATCTTCGTTTGCAACTAATTGAATAAGTCCTGTGAGCCATACTCACAAAAGAACACCATAGCCCATTCGTACCATATCCTGTTGAATCCGCTGTGGACCAACCAGTACCTATATAACGACATGTTCAATGAAATCAACTGATTCGACTATCATGTGCATACTCACCGACAGGCTGGTCGATCCAGAACGTGTCAGCAAGTGTATTCCATGAGAAGTTATTCGCCGTGAAGGTAAAGTCAGGTTGAATACGAAGTGGCCCGTTCTGAAACCAGAATCAGAGAACAGACTATTCGATTATGAAATGAACCTTATACTTCTTCGGTGAAGCCAAGCATGCCACTTGATCCCGGCCTATATTTGAATGTGAATCTGAGAAACATGACAGTGGAGACATCCACACGAACCCTCCCTGAAGCCAAATGACCCACGGATCGTCATTACTGTCATTGGCAGGTGGCGTCAGTGAGCCATTTCGACGCTCAAACCCCCAGAAGAATAAAGTGTTGTTTGGATGTCCTGCACGATTGACAGGTATGTTTCCAGCAAAGCTGCGAGTCAAAGGTACTGTAATATTTGGCAACGGATACTTGACCTCGAAGTCTGTTGAAACCCGTCGTCATTGTCAGCCAAATTACTATCGCGTCTGGGCTCACTGGCTTACAGTTCTGCCATTGAGGACTGAAGTCACCGCCCGGAATACCAGGATACTCCTGAGGCCAAGTGTTCGGAATGCTCTGTCCTTGAGTAAGAGCCGTTCTGGCAAAAGCTAACAGGAGCAAGGACGACTTTAGCATATCGTCGCAGACGACCCAATGCTAAGAGCCAAGACATTGCGAGCTATATATACAAACCCCAACGTGGACGCACCTTCGATCGAGATTGTGGGTGGGTCACGAACATCCTGAACGCAATATGTCGTCAGAGCGCACAACAGGGATGTTTCTACAGTACCTCCGGTCCGTCAGAAGTTCGAAGTTCAGGACCATATGGCTCGTAGTGCAATCAATGCGAAACCGTCCAGAGCATGACCTGCCTACAGACCCGCATCTTGTTGGAAGGCTGACATAGCACATAGATAGTGGTTTTGTTCAGGTACGGAGAATAAAACGACACTTTCGGAATACATATAGAGTCATGACTGTACTCCATAACGCAATGAGACCTAGTAAGTCGTCCGCTGATTATACACCAGCTCCAAAGGTAAATGGGTCTACTATTCATAAGAAACGACAGAGATAGTGTCAAAGACGGGGTCGGAGAGTGAGCATAGCTCAAATCGATCTTAGTCTGAGAAATGTCAGTTTTGTAAATATGTTCTAAATGATTGCGCACGTGCCAATTAATGGAATATATGTCCAGGAAACCTCGATCCAGCGAATCAGCCTACGCTCAAAACTCCTACATGTGGGTCACAGAAGAGGAAAATGAAACGACAGTGGAGAGCAGCTCGATCTCGTTATCTGCTTGCCCACTCTGATAGGTCAGACTGAATGGGCCGTCGAAAGGAGTAGCTGCGGAAGCAAGAGTCTCGATAGTCCACGCTTTCCCTTGAGCTATCCGTCTAACTATGAGATAGATGGATACCGTCTGAGCGATAAGTGAAATTAACGAACTAACTATGAAGCCAAGGGAGAGTACCACCACACTTACCTGCATCGAGGGGTTGAGCGCCAACCAAAGACGTTTGATCGGATGGTCCATCCCATAGGCGATCAAAAGAAGTGTAGATGAAAAGGCGCACAGGCCTGCAGACTCGACCAATATAGTCGGGACGGAGCCGTAGTATTTCATGGACGATTGACTTTGACAGGACTTGAGCGTACTCCAGATTCGATAAGCGATCATGACTGTCAAGGTGATGTTGAGCGAGAGCGACACCACGAATGAGGACGTCGCTAAGTTGCTTTTCATTTCGTTGAATATCCCTAGCGGGGAACTGCACATCATCATATACATTATTGCCAATGCTGCAAAGAGTCAGTCAGAACATGACGATGGAGCGAAAATAGGATCAAGACTTTACCGAATGAGGTTATCAGTAACAGGCTTGGAAAAAGCATATAATACGTTGCTTTAGAGCCAACACATGCCACCCAGACGATACGACAGCGTATCAGCTAGTGAAAATCTGAGTTATATACTCATAGAAGAGCTTCAAGGCTAAAATACGCACCAGGACACCGTCGGCCAAGAAGTGAGTCAGGTGATAGGACAAATCAGACATGATGGCACTTGGGATCCGCTCTTTACTGTGCATTAAAGCCCATGAACCACCAGGATAATTGCGTGCGTCGATGAACGTCAATTGCAGACCATAGGCATTTGCAGCTGTGAAGCAACCATTTACGAAACATAGTACGGTCATACATCCAATCAGCAAACAATCATTTAAAGAAAGCTTCCTTCGGTTGCGGAAAGCTCGAAGGCAGAAACAATATAAAGCGAATTGCAGGCCTGCATTTAAAAACAAAAGAGTGTCAAAACTGTAGCAAGTCAGTTTCCCGACAGATCATACCAAAGCCCAACCCTGCGAGATAACCAGCGGCTAACCATGTCTTCTCATGAAAAACGTTGTCTGGCTCGAGCATGGCGCCATAAGAGTCGGGGCTGACATTCACCATGGACGAAGGAGAAGAGACTTCCAGGGCTCAAGCATAGAACATGGTGGTGATATTCGTAAGATTCTCGGCGCGATGGACGGATATTGCTGCGGTGCCGAAAGTGATACCCTTCAGTAATAGGTTGCCGACGAAGCTAGACCAGAAGAGATGCTATCCCTTAGGTAACGAACGAAAAGGGTGCATTACTAACTATTCTGGTCAGATTGGTCTTCTCGGAGATGTACAGTTCGACAGTGCGTACCAGTGAGGTAAGTAGCGTTTAAATGACTTAATGTGACCGAGATGCCTACTTTTCAGGTTATGTACAGATGTCGATGTCCCATCCGAAAGCTACGTAATGTGGCGTCGCTGAGCGGACTTGGGGGCTTCTAAGTAGCGTGTATGGTATCATAATGATCTAGAATGGTCAAAGCACCATTGCAAGAGCGAAGAGCTTAGTTGAAGAGTTCAAAGCTAGAAAACACCGACATATATTGGCAAATGAATCGCGTTTCATTTTGAGGAAGATGAAGACGGTTCAAATGCAAGAGTCTTTCCAACTACTATATTTGAGACACTCAGATCCGTAGTCCGATTATTTACTGACCTTCAAACATCAGGAATCGACAAGCGAGGGTTCCTGCAGCGGAAATTCCATATTACATCAGCCGTTAAGCCAACACCAGTGCTCCCCAAAGCATTCCAACAATCGGCATCACCAGAAAAGACGACGTCATCACCTTGCTGTCCGAGAGCTGCACTTGACTGCCGATGGGCGTAGCTGTCGCTGTCGCAATGAAGCTTTCCCAAGATGCAACCGTTGCGGCGGGCACAGTGGATGTTCCAGCCGTAGTGGCAGAACCATAGTAAAAGAGTGTGCCACCTGGGAGCACGTCGTTTGCCAACGTAGAATTTTCACCACCGATAACGGTGGTGGAGTCAACAACTAATCCCGTCTTATTAGAGCCGAGCACAAATTCGCGAATGAATGCCAAGGCCTGTGTGAGGTTTGATCACAGCTGGCTTCGCGAACCTCACTATGTAGTACGTACCGCAGCTGGTTGCCATTCAGGAACCAGATGACCAGCACCTTGGAAGAGCACGTAGGTCAAATTGCGCTCCTGATGTACGATGCCCGCAAAATTGCCGTCATCGTCGAACCAAGGAGTTGAAGGTTTCTTTGTGAAGCCTTGAATACCGCCAAATGTCATGTTCTGTAATCATAAGATTAACTTCTGCCGAGATCAGAGTGGAAGATCTACAAACTTGAATGATCACTGCGATAATATCCGCATCACATTACAACGAGGAACGGCGTAGATGTAGATACATTCACACCTTCAGTACCTCGGTGTTGCACTAGCGAATCGTCGTTGCCGGAATAGAAGACAATGGAAACGTTGTTCGCTGTTGCATTGGTGGCAAGGTCAGACAAGAACGCGATCGGCCTGTACACGGAGAATTAGAGATTCTCCAAAAGTACTAGAGCAGATAGATTCACTCCACGCCTGTTGGGACACATCAATATCACAGAGATTGAAGCGAAGAAAATAAACACGCTTACTTGGATCGCCGTACTGGTTTCCTATTGCTGTGGTCTCCGTAAATGATCTATTAAGAATGACCAGCTTTTCACGACTCACAGCGATTACGGACAGAACCGAAAGGATAGTTGAAATTTCTGATCCAGTCTTTTGACGTAGGAGCGTGGAGTGCCGCCCTCGTTCGGTTGTCTAAAGGTTATTAGAGATATTGAAAGTCGTCCAGCAAAACACATCACACCGTTGAAGAATACACTTGCGTCGAGTGGTGGTTCCGGATTCGTACCATCAGGAATATCATACACCTATTAACGTAGTCAGCTGCAGTCCAATCTTGTTGGAATGAACACTGACATCGAAGTGTCCATTCGCTAGTAGAACATATCAATACACTGCATGTTCCAATTAAGCAAGTAACTTACTCCATGGGAAAGAGAAGTTGGAGGCATAGTCAACCAATTCATCGAAAAGGAAACATCCGTAGAAGGGATCAATGGTCCCATTAGCGCGACCAGTCAAATCTCGTTTCCATTCTTCACGTTTTCGATTGCGATGTTCAAGGTCATTCGTTTGCGTAGCCTGCTTTGCAGCGTATTTCTGAGCAACGCGTTGCCTGAATGATTGTCTCTCAAAACGGGGTTCATCTAGGGAGTCGCTGAAAGCAGATTGGCGAGTCGGTCGAGTCAAGTTAAGAGTAGGGAAGTGTCCGCTTGTTTGGGGGTACGTCAAGTTTAGGTCAAAACCACATAGATGTTCCCTAATATGACGATTAGCACGACGACACTCATAATACTGGCACAGACATACTGCTCTCGGAAGTAGTTGAAGACATCAGGATCATAGTTGATGAGTTGAGGATAAGTCTCGATCACATTCAACTGCGTTCATGTCATTCATACACGCCATATTCATGGGAAACGGACCAGACTTACGGCAGGAAGTTCCTCAACCGTAGCTAGTGAGCCTAGCGAACCATCACCGATAGCTATCTTGCGCAGTTTAACTGGAGGATTGGGCGTCGAGAAGAGATGCTTCGTAATGTACGGCTATGCAATGGTAAGTTTGTTCTCAGTGATTTTCATCGATGAAGGGACATGAAACTCACAATATAAGTGCCAGCATAACTTTCTCCCGTCAAGTATAGAGGCCGAGTTGCCAAACTTGGGAAAACCTTGACGAGGTTAGAGAGGAAGCCAACCTACATCTCATATTGTTAATCCCTTCTAAAGCCATGACATCAAAATAGACCCACAAAATCCTCTCCAGTTTGGTCTTCGTTCGCAACTAAGTGACCAGTGAATATCGACCTAGACCTGTGGAAGGAATCGGGCAATTACCATACCCAGTCCGATCGGAAGTCGAATAACCAGTGCCTGCATATACGACTAATCAGACGAAATTAACCCAGAAAGCAAAAGAGTTAGACCCACCAACAGGTTGGTCGATCCAAAATGCATCAGCTAGATGGTCCCACGAAAAGTCGTTGAATATTAAAGAATAGTTGCTTTTGACATGAATAGGTCCGTTCTAATCGAGGCGATGAGTGGTTTGACTTAAGGTGATGTAAAGTCACATACCTCAGTCATCAATGCAATCATCCCAGATGAGCCTGGCCTGGAAATATACATAAATATATAAGTATAGAAAGTTTCAAAAGAGCACGCCAACACTCACCCGCCTTGCAACCAGATGATCCAAGGATCATTGTTACTCTCATTAGCCGGAGCCGTCAACGAGCCATTTCGGCTTTCAAATCCCCAGAAAAACAGAGTGTTATTGGCATGCCCCGGGCGATTCACAGGAATGTTGCCTGCGAAGTTGCGAGACAATGGTTGTGTTATGTTCGGAAGCACATCCTTCACCTCGAAATCTACAGAGAAGTCAAACAATGAGGTCAACTTGGTCAATACGAACTGCATCTGATGATACTTACAGTTTTGCCATTCTGGACTGAAATCTCCGCTTGGTATAGCGGGCCAAGCATTTGGCCAGGTGTTAGGAATGTTGCTTTGTTGCTGCCCGAATACGGATGTGGCCAGAGCCAAGGAGAGGATCGTTAAATCTAACATACTCGCCGAATCACACGAAGCCTTCAAAACGTTTGCCAAGGCCCTTATATACGTCAATGAAAGGGATCCCTCTGGACGATATTGATGGAAGCTTCCCAATCCAAAGCGTGTGATGGTGAAGCCGGAGTTGATTGCAAGCATCTGAATGCGATATGTCGTCAGAAAACATCAATGGATAGCTCGTACCTGCATATGAGCGGGAGGCCGAAGAAGAGAGTGGACCGCATGTCCCAGAAGGCCATTCAGGTGAGTATGACTGAACTCGTGATCCAGGAAGGGTGGAGAGCGCTGTTAGAAGGCGAGTTGGAAGTCTGATTTTACTTAGGGGATGTGGCGAAGTACTCTTCACGATGTCGGCGAAATCGCTGACTGAGGGCGAAGATCTAAAGGAATAGTGAGATCAGCACGAAACATAGACCAATCAACGATAGTCACAGTCCATGAAGGATGCATTACAGTACTCGGAGAAAACAGCATCAAGACAGGACATGACGACATGATGAAAGCCAACAGCATCCGAAACAAGCAATGCATAAAGTGACGACTAGAAAGCATGTCCAATGTGTAGGTACGTGAATGAATCAGAATGTCCCATGAAAATGCGAAGGGTACGACGAAGCAACGTGGAAAGAACGATGCAATGATAACAGAGCGAAGTGAGACGTAATGTGCGATGAATATAGTCCATTACTTGCGACCAAGCTTAGAAAACCGGTTCTTCACCCTCGAGAAAACCTTACTGGGAGACTTCATAGACGTGGACGTCATAGACCAACGATTCTTGACAGAACCGACGGGCATCTGTGAACCATCTCCAACATCGTTATCGGCCAACGATGACCCTGGTCTTGAGTCCGAATCAAGGGAGTCTTTGGTCGCTTTCGGGAAAAGCATTGAAATTGGTTTGCGCATGGGAAAATGAGGATCCGGTTTGACCCGAATTGTATCCCCAAGTGATGTACGAGGGAGTGACGACGACCGTTCATGTCGAGCTGACCAAGTATGAGACGTCTTCGGTGTAAGTGTAGGCAGTGGTAGTGATGGTGGTTGCCCAACAGGGACAGGTTGAGCTCTGGTACTACTCTGCGATGGAAGATTGGGAAGAGTGATGTCTCCGTCAATGTCGTCGAACTCGTCCATTAAGTCTTGCGCGTAGCTCGGGAGTTCGACGTGCTCTACTTCGGCTGTGAGTTCCTCTCGCGAACGCGGTGTCGCCGATGTGAAGATCGTAGCGACACCTGCATCCTGGAATAGTAAGGCTGCCGGCGAGGTTACTAAAACGAGGGTATTGACAATGTCAATAACAATGCGAAGCTGAAAACGTTCCTAGGCTCACCTTGCGCAGACATGGTGGTGGTTGCAGCACGCGGCATCGTACCTCCGGAAAGCTCCTTGAAGCGACCAGCGCCACGCGTATACGGCGTGTCAACAGACCGGTTGTCTGGAGCTGCGTACTTACGGCCCATGGACTTCGATCGAATGCGGCGACCAACGGGACTCGAGAGTGCCGAGGTAGCTGCGGTGCTCCGAAGCCTTAATGAACGTACATCACTGATAGTTCTATGACGGAAGATACTATCGTCCCATATTCGGCGTGAAGAGCTACTGAGTGACACTCTAGTCGGAGAATAACTAAAGAATTGCGAGAGATTGGCATAAAGTTTGGAGCCGGTTGTGACAGGTGGGTCAATAAGTGAGCCAGTGGATGCCTTCAGCTTGGTGACCATTTCTAGGAGCGCCTTTGATTCGTCGGATCTAGCCTTGCTTCGATGCTCCTCGATCCAACGTTCCCGTTGAAGGGACTGATACGTTTCTGGTTCCAGGTCTCTGTCAGAAAGCACTGCTCGCAATCTTTTTGCACGTTCTTGCGCATCGATGGCATGAGTCTTCAAAAGAGCTATGGCTTTCTCAATTGCTCGTATCTGCAGTTCACGGTCTGTGGGTTCTGCAGTACACGATTGAAGGGCGGACTTAAGCGCATCCTCTTCACGGGAGTATCGTAAGTGTCGTGAGGAGTCAACGGAGTCGTATGAAACGCTGGAGAGGGCTCGCCTCTTCGAGCTTGTTGGGTTTGGGATACCGAATGTGTGGGCTGAACTAGGTGTCCTACATGTTATGAGTTCAGAAGCTAAGGATGATGCCGCACACAACTCACATCAAAGCAGTAGCGGAGGCCTTAGAATGTATATTAGTCGTGTCACGGAACACCTAAGCCAGTCAACGATTGCATTAGTGAGGCCACTGACGAAATTTTGAGGAATCAAGTACAGCGAGGCTCGAGTGTTGATTCATCTCGTTTCCAGTGATAACGCGCAAGTTGGACGACGTCGAGGGTCTGACAGTCAAACCAACAGTAGTGAGACCAGGAGCTAGTTCCGACTCGCCTTCGTAGGGGAAGAGCTCGCTTATTTTTTGTCCTAACGTCGCCATCTAGCCAGCTAGGATTACGAGAAAGCGTGGCAATGATTGACTAGTGTAGAAGGGGTTTTTGGACTGCCTTACGACAGCTTCGGCATGAGTTACAGCGCAACAAGTTATTTCAACCGTGACAAGTGCAACACAGCGACAACAAGCAGTGCCAAACCTACACGTGATCGCGACACAATAACGTGTAATGCTCTTTGGAAAGACCGTCAAGTAATTCTCAATTGTGAGATGATACTTCCATGTAGGTGGCGAACACAGTGAGATGCTCAAGACGAAGGTAGATTGAAGAGGGCAAGTACTAATGAACGCGCGGTAGTCAGCTTTGTTTTCAATATTCTCCCACGGTAACAAATACGACGAGAGCGTATCACTCACACTGTATCTACACGGAAAGTTCTTCTCTTTGCATTCACTACTTCTGCAGGAACTAACGGCTTTCCGTATCTCATCCGGTACCATCATCGAAGAGTTTATCCAGCCCTAGCCAGTGTACACAGAAGTTCACCCTTCGTAGCCCAGAATATCTTGCCTGATTCCAACATAAAACCCTACCACATCCTACTGCGGCCTGCGGACATCGTCGCAAACAGAAGGGTCAAAGGTGAAGTATTTTTGTATGCAAGGACACTTCTTCAAGCGAAGGGCCGCACTACGGTACAAGTCATTCGTCCTGACATCGATCACAAGGGGTCCTCAGTGTTGCTGAATACTGTTTCTCACATAGAATATTGAATCACAGTGCCGCAGCCTATGCCTTCTACTGAGCTGCGCGTGCTATTCAAATAGCTTGCGGAACGCCGTTCAGCAGCTAAATTGGTCCATTTCTTGATGATCAATGCCTCTGAACACACTCTTCAATACACTTATACCCTTCTTGTTACGTCAGGTTAGCAGCAACTCTGATGCTGGAGCCGTTGATCTCTCTTGCTGAACGGATGCAGTGCCTACTTTGAAGGCCTTATAAATGGGCTGTTACCTTGAGATTCTCCACCATCCACCATGTTGGCTTTAATAGCTTTGTTGCTGTTTTCTTTCTCGCAGTCTGCAACCTCTTCTCCGACCCGTTGTGGGTCATTCGCCCTGCGTGGGTCTGCAGTAAATGCTATTGTTACAAATACAACTTTCTACAGGGCCAATGATACTGTTGCGATCACTAATCCGTTCTCCAGCATCGATGTCAACAATTTGCCAGCTTTTTGCAGAGTTGAGCTTTCTATAACGACGAATACCACCGCCAACTCCACCGCCCATGCGGACGTTTGGTTACCCGAATCTTGGAATGGCCGTTTCTTGGGGTTTGGCAACGGAGGCTTCGGAGGTGGAGGTACATCAGATCGTCCTATCTATTTGGTTGCATCCTTTACTCAACTTTGCCCAGTGAATGTCGCCGATCTCGGTTTTGTCGCGGTAACGGAAGGCTGTAAGATGTTATCGCAAGCACTTCGCTATGGAAATGTCAATTAACAGTTGTTCTGTAGTCGCCGGGATGTCCACAGATACAGGCCATCTGTCTGAGGCTGTTGACGGCTCTTGGGCTGGTCCACACAACGACGTTAGTGGCATTTCTCTGTGAAAACTAGGCCAAATCCTGATTGCTATGTTGTCAGAATGCGATCGTAGATTGGAGTTGGAGAGCTTTGCATCTTAGTGTGGTCGCTGGGAAAGAGGTTGTTCGACAATATTATGGCAAGCCTCACCATAAAGCGTACTATCTGGGCTGCTCTACAGGTGAGTCTTCTTTGCTTGGCGCTATGACAGATACCTGAAATCTTCTGCGACTGCAGGTGGGCGACAAGGGTATTATTGATTGCTCTTGTGTCTGCTGTGCAAACTGACCCATGACCTCGGCGCAGTCTCAAAGAAGCGCAACGCTTTCCAGACGACTTTGATGGTATCGTGAGTTTTCCATGTTAATCCAGTCTTTCGGTATTGCTTCCGAGCTGACATTAACACTATCTTATTCGTTCTTGCTCAGGTGGTCGGTTCGCCTGCGAACTGGATGGCGCATTTACAGCCATGGTCTATCCATGTGAGCCTGGAGATCATGCCGGTCAATTCATCTCGATTTATCCCCGCTGCCACCTGGGCCGAAGTCATTCACCCAGAAGTTCTCAAACAATGTGACATTTTGGACGGGGTGAGAAAACTCTATTCACCGCCTTCGGTCTCTCACTCAATTCATGGCATGGTAATAGTTGGCAGATGGTATCCTGAATGACCCTCGGAAATGCAGGTATAGGAATCTTGTAAAGCCGAGGGTTGTATCGTTAATATGCATTTCCATAGTTCTCGACCAGAAACACTTGCATGCCGCCCAGGACAGAACACGTCGACCTGTCTGAATCTCGATCAAATCCATGCCATACACCAGATCTTCTCAACATATTTCGAAACCAACCAGACCTTCATTTTCAACGGATACTACCCTGGTGGTGAAGTCGGGTATCCTCAAGGTCTTGTGGGAGCCGTTCCTTTCCCGATTCCGCAAGATTATTACCGGTTCTTCGTTATTAAGTGTGCTATCGTTCTTCTGTCACATTCTTAGCGTTTATATTTTCCTTACCCTCTAGCGATACTACGTGGACTATGGATCTCCTGAACGACACAATTATTCGACTAGGTGATTCGATAGATCCTGGGACCATGGATGTACGTCCCGAACGTCTGTGAAGCACCCGGGCGCATTCTTACTTTCATCTAGGTGATCGATCCGGATTTGACTGCGTTCATTGGTCCGTCGCGCAAGGGAAAGATCTTGCAGTATGTTGGGTGGGCGGACGAGCTCATCAGCGTAGGCAATTCTATACATTTCTATGAGACCGTTCATGCGTTCATGCAAGCCAATACCCACTTGAACATCGATGATTCTTACCGTCTGTTTACGGTGCCGGGTATGACGCATTGGTGAGTAGGGTTTCAACTGGCATAAGTGATCGATCTCACGGACCTTCTATTGTTTTATTTGAATTTCTCCATTCAGCCTTGTGAGTGTATTATCTTACAGCACATTGTAGCTCGTTGACGTGCTTTAGGGCGGATTTGGAGCGAACGCTTTTGGTGGTTCTGGTCAAGCGGCAGCCGACATGCCTTCTTCGTCTTTTGATGCCCAGCACGATATTCTCTCAGCTATGATAGAATGGGTCGAGAAAGACGTTGCTCCCGAAATCCTCACCGCCATCTACTGGAATAACAACAATGTCAGCCAAGGAGTTGGTTTCACTAGACCCTTGTGCAAAGTTCGTCACTCAATCAGCTTCTTCCAACCACTCACCAATGAACGCCCCAGTATCCACAAATGCTTGTCTTTACCGGTGGAGAACCTAGTCGGGCTACCAGTTTCCGTTGTATGTGAGAAAAATATAATTAAGTTAGTAACCCGCGCATTTCACCTCTCCCACGCACAATTGTCGAGGTTGGGTAATGCGCCTACCAGTTGCTCCAATTTCTTATATCATGATTCGTGATGGACGCCATGGACGCGGTACGTTACACATGCGCAGTGGGTTCCAGTTCAACTCCAGTGTGAGGCCAGAATTGGACTCACGTTGCTGTAGAAAGTCATTGACCTTCCTTATTCGCCTCGTGATGAATGGTGCGTGCCCACAATGTACTGCAGTGGCGCATTTGGCCTTCAATCAAGTCTGCTGAATTGACTGTTGACATTTGCTCTCAACAATGTCGAACAGTCCCGGATCCGAAATGGTCTTTTCACGTCCGAGATTTCAGCGGTCCCGATAAGGCACGGTTACCAAGCAAATCTTTGTGCGTTTCCAAGCAACATCCATTCAAGATTTGCCTTTTTGGAAATTCTGGAAATAAGCACGGACGACGACGTGCATCTGCAGGAAAATTGGAGGCTTGAGGGAAAGTAATGCCGAAGATACTGTACTGTTCAAAATGATAACAACCTACCGTGACGCCGTGACGCTAACAACCTGGTAGGCTCCATAACAATTTGGCGTGAGCGTGACGTGACCATTACAACATTGCTAAGAGCGTGACGGTGTGCGTACAAAAAGGTAATCCCGACGGTTGCCCCAAACTTATATCAATGTTGTCCGGATAGATACTTAACCAGTTGATCGGAGCTCTCAGTACATATGGTAGACCATTGAGTAGATTTGTATACTGTTGGAACTTCCCTATATATTTACTTTATCAGCTTCATCACTATGGATATCCAGAATCATTTCAAGAAAGTAGCCCCAGAGGAATATGAGGAGCAGCGAAGCGAAGTTTTTGCTTCAGTAATATGCACAGTTCCTGATCTTCATACAGCTTACTTGCGTGACGATTTGGTTTTCACATTACAATTGGACCCTTTGCGTGACGTTACATTACATTTTTTTAACACTACAACCTCAGTCCGTGACGTGACTAATTGTTATAATTTTGAACGATACAGTACCCTCTGTTGTACATTCACCGGAATGCAACTGCCGTGATTGTCCCAGCTGAAGCGACCGGCACTAATTCGTTTATAAAGAGTTCTTTGCAACTTTCATTTCTCAAACCTGCTCTCTTTCAAGCGTTCTTGCGTTCTTCCTGGCTCGTTGAACGGTCCTTCCTTGTCTTTCTTTTCGACCAGGTGTCGGTTTATCTCGTTCATCGCCGACTCGCCCCACAGTGCAGCCACTCTCTTTTTGCTTTATTTGAAAACTTTTCCAGTCTGTCTACTCAGAATGTTTTCTAAATCCCACTTGTCAGCCTTCCTCTCTGCTCTTGTTTTCTCCGACGCTGCTCTCGGACGGTACCAATGGTTGGAACGCGATGGTCGCCATGTCGCTCTCTATCCTCGTCGATTCGCTCAGGAACATCCAGCGGTGATTGACAAGTTGTCGGCAGCATGTTCTGGAGGAATTTGCGCTACGCTCGCTGGTCAGGCTATTACGCCGCTCCTGGCAGCCCAGCCTGAGTGCTCTCAGCAAGACATGGCTGATACTATCATTGGTAAATAGTCACGCCTCTAATGCGAGTACTTCAACTGAAGTGATTTTCTACAGACACTGCTCAGCAGTTTGATGATACTACAAAGGCTCTTATGATTGAATTAGCCAAGGAGTACAGACAGGCTGAGAAGAACACCCCTCCTGTTTGTTACCAATTTACTTAGTATTTTGAATGATTCACTTGTATTCGTGTTCGTAGGACTTTACTACCAACCCCCCTACCAATCGTAACTCCGTGTTCTGCCAGAAAGCTCCCAAGAATGCTGAGCTTAACGGCCTGGTCCAAGCACAGGATCCCGCGAACGACCCGGACCTTTTCTTCGATCCTGCAACTCAGCAGACTGTGAAGAACGGATCCCAAGCCAATACATTCCCGTTCGGGTCGAGCGGATCATCGTAAGTTTCACTGCTCTCATGCAAGATAATTCTTTACACTATGCATCGGGAAGGTCTCCTGGTGATGCTGCTTCATCTACTGTTGTCTCGTCCACCATTGCCTCGTCCGCTGCTGCTTCGTCTGTAGTGGTTTCTACTGTATCTGCATCTGCCTCCGCCTCTTCGGTCGTGATAACGTCAGCCCCTGGCGAAACTTTCATTGCAGAACCAACCGCATCCTCTGACCCCTGCGTGGTATGTACTATGAATCTGATGTATATATTCTATAGTTCGCTAATATAGCCACAGGTTACAGTCACCGTCACTGCTAGCGCAACTTTCTCTGCCTCTAGCGGAGCTATTACCGTTACAGCAGGTGACGCAGCTAGCACTACTGCTGCCGCTCCCTCAGCATCGTCTACGGCTGCTGTTGGGGACATTGGCGATTTCGGCAGCTGCAGCGTTCCTCGGATAGAGTTCGGTGTTGGCTTCGATAACAGGAAGGAGACAAGCTTCGAACCTAGTGACAAGAGTAAGTTTATATACTATTGACTGGGTCTAAATAACCTATGATTCACGTTTTCAGCCTCCTACGATCACGGTTCCGCACAGAACGTCGACATCATCGCTCAGTTTATTTGCGACACCCTCGTCAACAAGTGTGGTGCTGATCAAACTGCGAAAGATACTTGCGCCAAGGCACAGGCTGCCGCGGACACAGTTACTGCAAAGACCGGTGGTCAAGCTGATGCTTTCAATGCGGTCTTCGGCATTGACACCGACTTCGCGGACGTTGCATCTGTCGACGATCAAGGCAGAGTCGTTGCTGGCACTGGCAATGGTAACAATGCTGTAGCCTCCGCTTCTGCTGCGTCAACTACCGCCGCCGCAGCGTCGCCTACCTCGTCTGCTGCCTCCGGATCCACTGGTACTTCAAGCGCTATTGGTAACTTCGGCACATGCAGCGTACCTAAGATCGAGTTTGCCGCTGGTTTCGATAACAGGAAGGAGACAAGCTTCCAACCTGCTGACAAGAGTATGTATCTCCAAGGAATTCTATTGAGGACAGACCATTGATTGAGACCTCTTCACTCGTAGCTTCCTTCAACCATGGCTCCGCCCAGAACATTGACATCATCACGCAATTCATCTGTGACACTCTTACCAACTCTTGCGCCGCTGATCAGACTGCCAAGGATACGTGCCAAAAGGCCAGAGCTGCTGCTGACACGGAAACCGCGAAGACCGGTGCTCAAGCTGATGCCTTCAATGAAGTCTTTGGTGTTCAAACTGACTTTGCGTCTGTTGATGTCATTGACGACCAAGGTAACGTTGTTTCGGCCGCCGGAGGAGCTGTTTCTGCGACTCAAACTGCTGCTGGTGCCCCTTCAAGCAGCAAAGTAGCAGCAACGGCTACGTCAACATCAGCTGTGAGTGCTGTGTACGCTATCATATATTGCGTTGTAGACTAATGGACTTCCTAGGCTGCGCCTACAGCTACTTCGCAAGCTGCTGCTGCCACCAGTGATAACCTTCAGACCTTCACTAGTGCTCTTGGAGGCGTAAAAGCCCCCGTTGTTACCGACCTCGGTGGTGGCAAGTTCCAAGTTGAAGGGAACTCCCAATTCAATAACCTCGCCAACGCTTTGACTCGTTCATGCGACGTTCAACACAATCAATGTGCTAACGCCGCCAATGCGTCAGGCAACAAGGGCGATTTGACGGTTGCTGCTTGCGGTGACCAACAAACACAATGCAACGCTGCTCACTAGATGGGTTTGCGTTTCTTTCTGGTAGACATTTAAGTACTTTGCTGTATTTCTAGTCCATTATTTCTCTAAAGCAAATAGCATACGCCGAGCGCAGGTTCATGCTCATGACATGGTGTGTTACAAGAAAACGTTGGAGTATAAGATGCATGAGATCATAACAAGGATATCATGCTGCGACAACTCAATGGGAAGGCAAGCAAGTCTAGATGCGTAACGTCATAAGATCCTTCAAGTTCTTCTGAATCTTCTTCACCTTCAACTTTAGACTTCCACTATCTCCCGGCTTCCGACTATCAGTGCGTGTCTGACGAAACCGATACCTTGACACTAGTCCGACATCTGTTTGACTCCGCATCTCCATCTCTCCGCTCAGCGAGAACCCGCCAGAGGGAGCGGGATTGAATGGCATGCGCACAGGCTGAGGACCATCCGACGATAGAAGGCTGTTTATTCTACTTCTGGAAGAAGGAAGGTCGAGGGAACGAGTACCACGTTCCTGAACATCAGCAATTGGAGGAGACGGTAGAGGAGTAGGGGTGAATGAAGGAGTAGGGGAAGTGGGACGAGACATGTTCTTCCGTATAGCAGTGTACAGAGGACGGTTGGGGTGGCCTAGAGGCACATCGCATGTCGGTGCGACAGGTCGCGGGAGAGCGACCTGCTTTGGAAGGCGTATATGCGAGGGTCTATGCGGTAGCGAGGGAGAACTGGTAAGGTCGCTACGCGATCGTTTATGAAATGAGGAGCTGAGCATGGCTTTACGTCGCAAAGAGCAAGAAGAACGCTGCCGTAGGACAGATAGTCTTTGTTTTCGACGAAGCGTGCGAGAAGGTCTAAGACTGTTAGAAGTAGGGTCTGTAGAGCCCAGCGTATGGTTATCTGGGTGACCACTATAGTGAACCATGGCAATAGAGGGTACAAGACGTGGTCCTTGTAGCAAGGATAGATTCGATTCCGCTAAAGCTCGAACGTATAAGTCGACTGTAGGATTCTACGTTCGGATCTTTAGCTGACGTTCCGTCCACCGTTATGAGCACTTACTGGTTCGTCTGAGGGGTGAACTTCGACAGAGATGACAGCAGCACCGCGATGCCTTCTCCGTCGGCCCTCAGGCGCTTCCTCCGTATAGATACCCGGTACAATTTGGCCGCGAGAGCCACTCGCGAAAGTCAGCGAGGGCAAGTCCATTCTGTGCAGCTGTTCTTTCTGAGCCTCGCTGAGAAGCTCAGGTGCACTGGCTCGTCTGCGAACTTCCGGAAGGAGGGAAGGCTGTCTATCGCAAGTATGGGAACACCAAAGGCAGAGGATCCCAAACAGGTTGGCGAAGTGGCAATTCTGACAGACGAACAAGGGCCTGCCTTGAGGAAGGAGCTTAAGCAGAGGAAGAGACTCCCACTTTCGAAGCTGGGGGAATTCGTTAATGCAATGCAATAGCCAATAGCGAATTTTTGTTGGCACTACCTTTCTATTCTTCTTGAATTCTCGCCACAACAGACGAGGTACATTGTCGAATGCAAAGGTAGTCATTATTAGGTGTATATCCAAGCGAGATCGGTTAGAGCGTGCAAGAGAGCGACGAAAAGCAATCGAAAGCCAGGACTAAGACAAAGCACACGACAGGAACGTGGAAAGCACCAGGACCATATCGTCAGGCAGCATGTACTGTTGTATGCGAAATAGAAGAGGCTGGTTATTCGTCCCAATCGCTAAGAGTTGCCAGCCGAGTTTCCAGATCCAGTCTCAGATCGATAGACGGATATCCGCTGGCCGGAGTCAAGTCATTGGTTGCTCAACCACAGTCGTCAGGATACTCTTTCATCATGTCGGGGAAGAATAGATACAAACGTGTCAGTGGGCGAGCCACGACGCGAACACGCTGCAAATCGCAAAAAAACCGCGTACCTTGACATTGTTGCACTAAAAAGGAAAGCGTAGTATTCGTGGACGCCACAAAAGCCCGAAACGCAGGATGATTGGAATCAGATTCGTGGAATACATGGGTATGCTCAACATTGGGTTAGTGTACAGTGAAAGCAGACAGAAAGCCAAGTGCAACAATGCAGCAAACAATCATCTACATAAAATTACCAGTCATAGATACAATTAGACGAATAACGCTATAGCGCCTCGTTCAGCATCCATGCTCCAACCATCCAAAAGAGTTTCATCTGCATCGCTCATTTTTACGCTGCGATGAATACGTCCACAGCCAGTCACTGGGCACATCCACTCATAGTCTCCTAATAACGTGGGCTTGCGTGATCGACCTTTACCCTTCACTTTGGTGGTCGCTGATCCACGAGATGGTAGAGGACGTGTAGGACGGGAGTCAGTCGCGGATGGCTGATTATGACGAGAACGAAGACGAGATCGGATGGAGGAATCCGGCTCGGCCATAGCATCTGATACTAGATGTGTGAAGTGGTCATCGTCGATGGGAACGGCTTTGCCTTTGCCCTTTACATCACGAGATGCACGACCTTTGCCTTTTCCAGGAGTAGCGACATCCGCCGTGGGACCGACAGCGACATGTATTTCGCCGGCCTTCCTCTTTCCCGTCACAACGGAAGCAATAGACGGTCGCATGAGGGTGTGAATGCACCTGCCATCCAGCATGTGGCCGCAACGGAGACCCCAGACTCGAAACAACTTCTTTTCCTCCTCTGTAATAGCACTAGAGCCTCCGCTGTCGAGGACAAGAGGCTGCATACACCTTGCACAAACAAGAGCGCTAGTAGTTTGTGAGGGGGCAGCTGTGCCGAAAGACATGCCACCAACCAAGCCCTCTTCATCATCATCCAAGATAATAATAGCATCCGGCGTCGATGTACCAGACGCAGACGTGGATGCGAAGTCGTGAGAAGCGAAGTCAGAAGAAAATCCAGACCGTCGTTTGCCTGGATGCGTCCAAGATGCTTTCCACATTGCTTCAGTAGTCTTCGGTGGCCTATCTAGATGGTAGAAGTCCAATGGGTTTGGATCTATATTGCCAAAAGGCCATTCCGGCCAATTTACTTCACCAGGTATCAAGCGAGGGTATAAGGGTTCAATGTTAAGCAAATCCCGTGGGTTGGTTCCGAGACCAAGTGCATTTGCTAATAGTCCGGTGATATTCCCCCAAACACGCGAACGATTTGCGGGCTGTTGCTGTTGACGCCGCTGGTCTTCTGCTGCATCCTGACGGGCGAGCGCCAGAAATGCACCGCCGAGACCCATCGAGGGCTGGTGATGAGAAGGTGCCGCAGCACGAGGTGGGGGTATGGGTGGCGGAGGAGGGGATGGGTTCCGGCGTGGTAGTTCTAAGTTGGCTTCAAAAGCAAACGGATCTTCGTTTGGGATGATTACTGGCGGTGCTTGCTGAAACCGGTTCATATGGTTTCGAGTACGAGGAAACGGGCGACGAGCCCGCAAAGGAGGGACTGGAGGTATTGGAGATACAGGCCTGGGAGCAGGAGGTGGTGATCGAAGACCTGATCGTACATCAGCGGAAATGTCCTGAAGGAGAACGGATAAGACATACCTTGACCTCGACGCCTCCGAGAGGGGGATACAAAAGGTGGGGATACAACATCTACCTCATCGTCACTATCCAGAATAATGATAGGCTCCTGGGCCCGACTGGGACCTGCATTACTGTGAGATTGAATGTCCGGAGACAGGCGTCTCCGTTGACGACGAAAATTCGTGGCAGCAGCAAGTTCGTCGTCGTCAAGCAGGTCCACATCGATAATTTCGCGAACTTGAGGCGGTTGAGGACGCGCAACTTGTGCCATAGTGGTCAACGTCGCAGTGCGGATGGATGTGGTAACAGAACAAGGAGACGCGCCGCTCCAAACGTCACCATATACAGGTCTTACGTAATCCGGGGGACCAAACAAGTGTCAACAGCGCCTGAGCTATAAATTTTGCTGGTAGGCTCTGTTGTCTGTCGGTCTGCCTTCATTATCTTCCAAGTTATTGTTTGGTGAGTAGCATTCAGCGTATGTCTCATGTGATGACTTTATTCTCTTCCCCGTCCTACACGACCATGCCGAGGAATAAGAGTAGTTCGTTCGCAACGAACTCGCGTTCTACGGAGCGCACAGTGTACTTGCCAGTGCCATTTCGTCTGATTCTCCTCCAGTCAGCCAAGTTTTGAATGATCTTACTGACTCTCATTTCTCTCAGTGTCTTTGCTTTCCGAAATGCTCATTCGTCAAAATATCCATGGTGAGCGTCAGTTCTTCGCTGTAGACAGATTCCTTCTGTCTCTGTGATGATTACTTCCGTACATTCGCAGTTTTCACCTTAGCGCCCTCCTGAGAGGGAGTACTCCTCCAATACAGAACATCTATACTCCCCCTCCATACCATGCGGAACCCAAAATCGCATTGGTCGAGTGTGGGCCGCCCTTCGGGTGCGCTGGATGGGAAGTGGAGGTCGGCGCGGTGAGGGTTCTAAGTACCTTCCTTTGGATGTCTGATCCTTTCGCTTTCGTTTGCTATGTTGTCATTCAGGGCGCTGACTATGATTTCGTTCCAGATTTCCCTGCTCGTTAATGATTACTCTTCCATGTATTTAACATTAGCTCAAATTGAACGTCTTTCGCACGCCCTCGCTATGATCGGTTCCGATCTTGAGTTGACCTCACGTTTCGAAGTACATCCTCTTCTGAGTTGACGACGTGACCGTTGCTCGACGTTCGTAGCCTTTTCGCAGGTCTCGAGAGAAGTTCGCGTTGCAATTGCATATTTAATATTAAGTCAGAATTTTCGAGACCCCATGGCTCAGTGGTAGAGCGTGAGATTCCAGTACTTAGTACTTCCTCAAGGTCATCCGTTCAATCCGGGTTGGGGTCATATAGGTCATCCAATGTTGCTTTTCTTCCGTTCACTTTGAAAAGTGGAAGTTACTGCACACTTGTGATTGTAACTTATGCATCATTATGCCTTCGTAAGGTATCACCGCGTCAACCTGCAGCATTATCGAATCTTTTGATTCCAATCTACTCAGTGTGCGGTAAGCAGTAAGCTAGACTAGGACTTATCCCACCACTAATCCACATCGACGAAATTTTTGTCAACGCCATTCTATGACGCACTCGATAGATCATGTTGTCCCCATCGTAACGCTGACAACCAACCTGTACTACTTGTCGCAACCAGCTATCAAGTGTGGCTGCATTACCATCCACTCGATTCTTGCGACTGTTCAGCTACCGCCATCAAACTCGAGCTCTATTCTCCATCACTTCCCGAGCTTCGAAAATGACTCTCAGCTTGCAGTCCACAGTGAAAGTGAGCACTTCCTAGCTCGCTGATAATACGAACAGATGATTAGATATGGGACATCCAGCTTCGCGACGGGAACACCATTCCCATTATGGGCTTTGGTGTGTGCATGTTATTTCCGCGCGTAACACATAACACTAACATTAGTTGTAGGGACATACGAAATGGAAGGCAAGACATGTTATAACGCCGTACTATGGGCTTTGGAGGCTGGATACAGACACATAGTCAGCAACTTTGGGTTGACGTAAATTGTTCACGCCTCTGATATCGTGTAGGACTCTGCCGCTTGGTACTACAATGAACGTGAATGTGGGGATGCTATCCGAGATTTCCTCGCAAAGCAGAATCTTCCACGCTCTTCTGTTTTCTTCACAACCAAGCTCCAAAGAAACGTGTCGTACCAAGCGACTCAATTGGCCATCGACAAGTCTCTCAAGGCATGCGGCTTAGACTATATTGATCTTTATCTTCTCCACGGGCCTATAGGTGGACCTGAGACGAGACGAGAATGCTGGCGTGCGGTCTGCGATGCTAAGAAGGCAGGCAAAGTCAAGAGTATTGGCGTAAGCAACTTTGGCGTGAGACATCTGCAAGAGATGATCCGCGGAGGAGTAGAGCTTCCTGTCTTGAATCAGGTAAATATTGACCTGACCAGATTAACGTTCCTCGGTGATTCATGTGGCTGAAGCTTCTGCAAGATTGAATTGAATCCCTTCAGCACCCGCGCGGACATCGTCGAAGTCTGCAGACAGCATGACATTGCTCTAGAGGTTGATCAGCATTTCCTCTAATGAAGTTGTCCTGACACCGTTCCATGTTGCCTAGGCGTGGGCTCCTCTAGCCCGAGGTCACCGATTTCGACATCCCTCTGTTGTCAACCTGGCACGCAAATATGGCAAAGAACCTGCGCAAATCTTAATTCGATATTCTCTGCAGAAGGTACGTTTTGCACATGCGCGAACTGTGCAGTATGGGAGTGAGTTAATGCGATATGAATAGACCTTCATAACAATCCCCAAGTCAAAGTCGAAGCCGCGAATTCAGTCAAACGCTCAAGTATTTGACTTTGAACTGACTGAAGAGGAAATGCATCACTTAGACAGCCTCAATGAAGGTATGTGGAATGAAAGCAACCATTTTCGAGAATACTCATGTTGAGACATAGATCTGGTCACTGACTGGGATCCCACGAATTGTCCGTGAGTCATTGCCGGGTGCATCATACATAAGATAGAAAGCAGAGGAAGAAATAGCTATTGTACATGAAGCAGGGATTGGCGGGACAAACATTACAACACAGGGAGGCTGAAAAGCATAAGGAAGTACGTGCTTTCACAGGGTCGCGTCATATTGTGGGGGTAAATACGCTACTGGTCTTGGGCCTTGGGCGTGGACAGTAACAATCTCCACGTTTTCTGAATGCAGTTGGGACGTGTGTAAAACGGCTGGTGTAAACGCGACCGCTTTGAACGGAAATAACGCGACGGCGTACTGCGACGAAATGTGGAGAACAGGTGACTCAGTTCATGCACGAGTATGGAGAAGATGATCCACTTGCCTGGAGCTGAAAGTTTAAAATCCGACAGTTGGGCGGTGCATCCTCAGGGATTTTGATTTCGCCATGCAAACAGCGGCTTGTTTCCTCCGCGGCTGCTCCACTAACATCTGGTACAAGCCACCAAACAGCGTCCCCAACAATCTCCGGCTTGGCTTCCCATGGTCCAACCACTTTAGTTGCAGAACTCAAAATAGTTGGGGAGAACTCCGCGAGGCGGAGAAGTCGCACCGAGGGTGCAATTGGAGAGGATAAAAGATCCAAGGCTTGGGAATCAGAGGAAGATATGGTCATAGTGAGGGGTATCGCTGTTCCGCGGGTATAACATAACTGTATTGAACACAAAGTTATACAATGTGCCACACGTCAATTAAACATAGCACGGGATAGCAATCAAGAAGACCTACAGGACGTGCGATGGAGAGCTGGTCGAGTTACGTACAATGTAGTCAATGTTGAGTACAAGTGGGCAATGTGCGGGACCGATAAGCAGAATGACTCACGGTACAAGTAACTTCAATGGATCGAGCATTGAATATCTTGCCACATATCTTGACAGGTTGTGATGTCCTCCAGCCATCCGGATCTCCATCTGGACCAGCCAAGGGAGAGTTCTCAAGATAGGCGATCTGCCGAAGGATTGACGGCTGAGCTGGGCGAGCTTGTGGAGTATAGGTGAAGGGAACAACGAGTCTGTTCCCGCGTTCGAATCGGCGTGTCAGCATTAAAGCAAGCCCATGTCATATACGAAAATGGAGTACACACCTTTGCCCGGAGCTAAGCGTCCCTCTTTTGACACGGACTAGGATGTGATATCGAATTCGTGCCTTTCCATCCAACGAAGGGGGTAGGCGAAACATATGGCGAGTACCATCATTAGACACGATACATACGCCTCTGGGCATGCGGATCGTGAATGGCCAAGTATGTTTACCAACCAGTTTTCCAGCATGAACGACGGGTTGTTCAGGTGTATCCGAGGATACTTCGTTCAGGTCCGAGACATGCAATTGTCGTGTTATAGTAAGAAATCGATGTGCATCAGCTGACAGTTCGCCAATGACCTGTTCAAAGGTTCATGAGTAAGTTTACCATGAGTTCAATTCCAGTCAAGAAGGCTGTAGGAACATTCTACACCTCATGAGAAACTAATCAGAACATGTTCAATACCCAAACCCGTAGAGGTATCGCCTGGGTTCCTTCATCCGTTGAGAGAGGAGGGGAAAGCTTGTGAAAGACAGGATATCAAAAGCCATGAACTCACATGAACCGAAATAGACCGTATCAGCACTTCATTTCGAAGATCAAGGCTCACCGAGCCAGTAATGAGTTGACTTTGTATGAAACTAGGCTGTTGACCTGGGTGCTCTGCTCTGCTTCGTAGATGCAAAGACAACCACCTGCGACCTCCCTTAGTCAGGTGGTATGCATGTTCGACCTGCGGGTGAGCATTTGTAGTACGCCTGCCTTGAGAAACTTGATGATAGGAGGGCAATTCCAAGTCTGTCGATGCATTGGAAAGTGACAGTGCGGAGACGGGTTGAGACATGTGCTCTATATTGCCATGGAAGTCAGGGCTCAAGGAAATACTGGCCAACAGACCTCTAGTGTCAGTTCAGCCAGTATGAAGAGCAGGATTGCTCGAAAACAAGGTGTTGCCTGTCAAACCGAGCATGAGAGCGGCGCCTTGATCCGGCATCCAATTCCGGAAATTCATCGCAGCTGCCCAGATCCGACGTCAGCCACAATTCCATCGCTCAAGTATTTCAAGGATATGAGAATGTTGGTGGAGTAGTGTTTGACCCGGGCTGCGAGGACGTGTCGCTGTATGACGCCGCTTGAGGTATGAACACGTCGGACCCGTGGTACTAAGTCCGCCGCGTGTCACTTGGGGACCATCTATAGACATTGTGATTTCTTTTACTGCTAATTCACACCTCTGAAATTTGCCTTCAGAGGCTTTACAGTTGTTGAGATTGTATGAAGACGAATCGGAGCAGTGGTTCGTGAATTTGAACTTGAAACTTCTTGGTGAAATAATTGATTTGATCATTTTGATCGGTAGATCGACGAGGATCGACATCGAACCGCACTGCATTCCTTCTTTCCATCGACCACCACCTCGGATACCTCGCTATCGGTTTAAAATGACAGCGCCGCTGTTCATAAATGCTGGATTCTACTTGATCTTAATAGTTGGAGGCGTGTCTCTGTCATATGCAGTCAGGAACTCGACCCTGGTTTTGCCATGCATACTGATATCTCAGTAGCAGTGATTACAGCGAACGTGTACACGTGTACCTTCCGTGAGATTGTGAGTTTTGTCATCTTGATATTATTCCGCGTTGAATGCAAATGAAATTCAAGGGTTGGAACGACACAGCGCGGATCTGTGATACCCTCCGAATTTACATCTCCCAGACTTACCCCCATTCAACTTCCCCACGAGTCGTTGTATATCTCATGGCGCTCCACGCAAGGTATCGGAGACAGAGTGTGTAGGATCATACTCGTCTCCGCGAGGTCCCTTGTTCCCGCATCCGTCCCGCCTCAAAGGAGCTAGATGGCCAATGTCTGTTGCTTGATTTGCGCCATGTCTGTCCTGAAAGCCCGCTCAATTTATTCCGCTAGATCACCGGTTGTCCAAGCAAGAATGGTCATTATTTCAAACCCAGTGGCTGAAGCGATGGCGTGTAGTCATCTTATCCCGTTTCGGCAGCTCGAAACGGCATTTAGCTTTCCCGATTGGTCTTGAATATTCAGTTATTGACACCTTCCGTGGCAGCTTCTCTGGTTCAACCTACATACTCACAAGCGTATTCTTCGATTGGATTGTATTAGAATTTTTGCTATCCCGAGAAGCCAAACACTATCGCGTGCCCATCATGCTGAGGGTCTTCCTGTTCGGGATTCTTCAGATCCGCTCTCATTGACCATGTTTTGTGACCCTCGGTTCACCGCCAAACAGGTCTTCTGTGTGGATTCCGTCCCACTCGCACTGACGCCCCGAGGATGGCGAGCGCCGACACGCAAAACTAGCATATAAAAGCAACGAAGCCAGAAAACAGGACATGCAACACGACTCCACCAGCACAAGTTAATTATTCGTCTATACCCTTGCCAGCTAGTCAACATCCCATGTCATCACCGTCGGCTTCTTCGTTCGTCCTCCCAGATCTTGTCAGTCATTGCATCTATCCTCGTAATCTCAATCCGAACTGGTTTCCCGTCTCTCGTGGCTCAGAGCAATTCCTTCTCTCGGAAGCCAACTTTTCCCCTGAGAAACATGCCCAGTTCATGGGCCTACATGCGGGCGAACTCACCTCAGCCTGTTACCCGTTCTGTGACGCATTCCACCTTCAAGTAGCAGCAGATTTCATGGGCTATCTGTTCACTCTAGACGATTGGTCAGATGGTTTCGATAGAAACGATACGCATGGGCTTGCCAACTGTGTCATGGATGCATTACGAGATCCACACGGCTTCCAGACCGATAAGGCTGCTGGCATTTTGGCGAAAGAGTGGGTCCTTACTCTTGACGTCATTGTCATTTGGGGTCTAACTTTGGTGTAGTTTCTTTAGCCGCTATGTCAGCAGAGCAGGGCTTGGTTGCACGCACCGCTTTATCCATTACATGGATCTTTTCTTTATAGCTGTTTTGCAGCAAGCAACCGATCGTCAAAACGATGTCGTACCCGAACTTGAATCCTACATTCCTATCCGTAGGGACACTAGCGGATGCAAGCCTTGCTTCGCGTTGATCGAATTCGCGGCAGACATTGACCTTCCGGATGAAGTCATTCAAAATCCTACGATCACTGCGCTCGAGGATGCTTGCAATGACCTTGTCACGTGGTCTAATGTATGTGAATCCTGTTGCCTTGTTCTTGCACATTTACTCACCGTATATTTAAAGGATATATTCTCTTATAACGTCGAACAGTCTCGTGGTGACACGCATAACATGATTACTGTAGTCATGCGCGAACGAGGACTCGACCTACAAGGCGCAATCAACTTCGTTGGCGAACTCTGTAGAGACTCCATCGATCGTTTCGAACATGATCGCGACACACTTCCTTCGTGGGGTCCTGAGATCGATCGCGATGTCCAGACGTACATCCAAGGCTTGCAAGACTGGATTGTGGGGTCGCTCCACTGGAGCTTCGACACGACACGGTACTTTGGCGACGATGGTGCGACGATCAAGATGCATCGTCAGATCAAACTTTTGCCTCTCATACATACAAACTAACATGGACATATCTGGTTTGGTACGTCTCCGTCCCGGTATCAGCCTTTTAGCAGCACTAATATCAACGTTCCGATCTAGGATATCTAAGTGTACACTAACGTGTTAATCAGTAGTACTTGTTGTACAGTCTATCCACATATGTAACCAACTAGATATAGTAGACTATTTTCTGACGACCGCGTCCTGCGATCTTTGTAACATTCAAAACTAGTAAGCTCGTTGTAGATTGCCCTTAGAGTTGTACCAACCTTTGCTTCACGTCTTCTCAATTTGGTTCATGGGCTTTTTAGATTCTAGTATTAGATAGCCTGTTATATAATGCTACATTCGGTATCGCAGAGTTTGACCGATGCTGTGACACACTACAGGTCCCCGCAGCGATCTATCACATATTGCCTAGCTCGTCTCTGCTCTTGTCCTCCAACACCTTCCAACTCCTCCGGTGTTTGTCCTTCGACATTCTCCTGCAAATGGCGACGGTTAGCTCAAACATGTAAGGACACCGTGCAGAACGTTATATACCCGAGAGCGGTCCGCACCAGCCTCTATCAGGAGACATGCTGCTTCCGCATGAGCCGATTCCATTGCCAGGTGGAGAGGTGTGTTTCCTGTAATTCGGACGGGTTGAAGTGGTCATTGGACCGAAGTATATGACGCCACCTACCAACTCGGTCTCCGGTATTCAGACGGGTCTTAGGGGCACCTTCGGGGGGATGGAGGAGAACATTAAGAAATCCGGTTGACCCTGTTGTTGCGGCACGGTGCCTAGAAATGTCTCTGAATATCTCATCCACCTGTTACCGTGGTAAAATGACGTACAGTGGTGTTTGGTTGGCCTTGTCTTTAGCGTTGATCTGGCGGCAAGCAGCGGTCAGCACGATGGCAGAAATACAAATTCACGTCGAGACACAGACATCTGCACCCCGCGCAACTAATATTTTCCCAATCTGCAATGAAATCAGTGGGAGTCAGGGACCACAATGAGCTATTGGCTTACATCCACACGCGACTTGGATGCAGCATAGTGCCTTTACGCAACGGAGTTAGAAATACCGGACCTTGAGTACAATAAAAGACACTCGCAAGGCTGTAAGACCCTTGTCATTGGACTTCTTGACATCAGCACCTGCACCAAGCAGTTCACGGACGACGTCCTCGTGCCCGGCGCTGACTGAGCACATTCACAGGCAGTCAAATCATCGTGACAAGAAAAGTGACTAATTTCCAGGCTAGGAATGCTTACCCGCAATATGTAGTGGCGTCCAGCCGCTATGGTCGGTTGGATCAACCTCAGCTTTCTGATCGATGAGGAACCGAACTATTTCGAGTGATCCAGAAGACGCGGCCCAGTGAAGGGGCGTTCTCCCATCCTGGATGTGATTCTCGTAAGTGGGTTCGGTCTCAACTGTCTGTGGCACGCACTGAGTCAGTAGAGTTCACAAGGTCAGGATCCTGGGTAACCAGTGATCGCACAAGCCCTGCTTGACCTATAATAGATGAGTACTAGTCCATAAAGAAAGAGATCAACCTACGATTCAACGCAGCTGAATGCAATGAAAAGCTTGACATGGTTGTAAAGGTTAGAAAGGAAAGTTGGCATCATCTTCCCCTCCAGGAATGAAAGGGGACGCGTAAACTAGTGTCACACAATCAATACATACACGTGACATTTGGATCATGTGACCGTGACACCTACAAGCTGTTTCGCCACACAAGCGCGAGCACCGTCTGCGCTTGAGCTTAACTGACAGTGAACGGGTCAGTGGGAGGGACAACAATTGATGCAGAAAATTCACTTTCTCTTCTCACTTGCACAGGAAAATGGCCGCAGCTAATCCGGATGAGCATGGGGATGTTAACAGCGAGGCATCCCCTCATGCGCTGTTGACTTTCTTGCAGTCGCAGTCTCAAAACACGTTGTCGCGACTGTACCAAAAACCTTCTTCCTGTCTCTCCATATTTCGGTCGGTAGTGCTGCCATCTCCCTGCCAAGTTAACGGCTAACCTGAAATGTCCATATTGTAGATTGTTGGGACCTCTCGACCGACAATTGGTGATGAATCTGCTATGGCTTGACTCGGCTATACCCGCTTCCACCATGAATGCATGGGTCACCCGAGAGGGCCGGAAGTATGTACAGCCTACAAGCTACGTTGCCATCCCACTGACCTTTCCTTCGCCCCCAACATAGACCGTATGAAGCTTCACTAGGTATTCTCTCTAGACTTCACATACTGCCTAGTTCTCCCGTGAAATTGGCCCTGAATCCAACATTTAAGACCAGTCTGCGTCAAGCCATCACTGGCGGGTACGTGTGTCATTTTCGTATCCGAATAGGTGTGCCCACGAGATTTTTAGTGGCACAAGTGGCAGCTTCGGCGTACCTGCTGGGAACGATGACAAGCATACCACACCGTCGGTTGAAAAACTAGACGCCTACGCGTTGGAACGTTGGGAGGTAAGCTTCAGAATCTACGGCTTATTATGTCTTAACGGCTGTCTAGACAATACTTCACTACATGGTATCCTCCGGATCGGGCCGCTATCCTGCTAAACCATCGCAGGGTGTCCTTCTCCTACTTCAGCGAAGCGGACTCATGACCAGTCCGCAGTGAGCAATCTGGTCTTCGTGAACTTTGATGTTACTGATGTCATTGACCTTACTACGGCTAGCGGTGCTGCATTACAAATTACATCTTCGGGATTCCAGTTTCTACTCTATTCGCCGCACACTCAATTATGGGAATTGCTTCTACAATACCTTCACATGGCTGAAGTAAGTTCACCCCAAAATCTGACAGGTTGCGGCGTCTGATGTGAACTCGTGATTGCAGGAGAGACAGATGGACCTCGTTGAGGTGCTTAGTTTTCTATTCATGTTATCAACGATGGAGTTGGGTAGGGTAATAGACAAATTAAGCATATTCAGCGCCTACCTGTACTGACGGTCAATTCCTGCTAGGAATATTCTACCGAACACCTAAGCGGAACTCAAACGGCTATGTTGGAAGACCTGCGGGACTACGGCATCATTTGGCAGAGAAAAGTCGGTCGTTTGTTCAGCGTTTGTTGGCGGTTGTTGACGATGATGGCATGAAGGCGTCTTCTCGACGATTCAATCCCACTCGGCTGGCTACCACACTGACGTCGTCAGCGCCCCCGTTACCTACCACAAGCGGTTCCGGGGGTACCACTCAATCGCAAGGCTTCATTGTTCTCGAGACGAACTATAGGATATATGCATATACAGGTATATATAAATTATTGCTTTCTCTTTCGCCATTCTGATCCTCCTTCAGACAATCCTCTGCAAATTGCAATATTGAACCTGTTTATCACACTGAAATCTAGATTTCCCAACCTCGTTGTCGGTGCGATTACACGAGAAAGTGTTAAGAAGGCTCTGGCGAACGGAATCACTGCAGATCAGGCGCGTTCCCACGTCTCATTGACCATAATTAGCTATTGCTCATTCATGACGCCGATAGATCATAAGTTATCTGACTACGCACGCCCACCCACAAATGCGGAGAAATGTAAGTTGTGGGCTATAGAACCAACCTAGATAACAGTTGAATCGTGACATTATCCAGAAACCCCTACTTCCGGTCACTGTTCAGGATCAGATTCGTCTTTGGGAACTCGAGAAGAACAGGGTCAAATCACAAGAAGGTGAATCATGTGGCGTCGAGCTCCTGCCAACACGCGCATGCTGACTGAGTTTTGGCAGGTTACTTGTATACGGCGTTTGCTTCTCAGGCTGATTACGAATATGTATTGGACTACGCCAAGAAGCTGGACGTCGTTCTCTGGGAAAGCGCAGCGCGACGGTGCTTCTTCGGTAGTTTGGAAGGACACGCTAACATCCGAGGCTTCATTGAGAGGCGAACCGCCGGCAACGTCTAATCTCTGCCTTACCCTTGCGCTCTTACAGTCATCTGCCACTATCCCCGGAATGCCTCGCCATGAAGTACTCGAACAATGTGGATCGCCGCTATCGTTCAGCGATTACAGATACAGTCCTAAAAGCTAGCTAAAGCCGGTTCCGTCGAATCAATAGTATCCTCGGTGAATAAAAAAGATATGGACACAGTTCATTATAATGTAAGTATAGACTAGGGGAGATAAACCAAACAGTGTTTAGTGTCTCACGCAATTTCCGTACCCTCTCGCTTCGGCATCTCTGGAAGGACCCATTTGGAATGCTGACGTTTGTGCGACTGATTGGTGATACCCAGAGAGTCCTTGCATCGAAGCTGAAACCCGGTATTGGGTTGGCGTCGAGCTGTGATGGTCCAGCAACCACGTGGATGGACCCGAACGAGTGCGCATGTGCTCTCGCCTCCGTATCGTGGGCAGACCTAGGTTGTGGGACGTAGATGACGGCAGAGACGACACAGTGGTGGGAGGCTGCCCATGAACGGCACCCATGGCCGCGTCTAATGTGTGCGTACTGAGGGCATGCCCGGCGTTCAGACTTGAATATCCCTCAACGTGGGGCGGAATCGATGTCTGCTGATCCCAACTGCTTTGCTGATGCACGGCAGTCGGGTGAAAGTACGCGTGGTTCGCTTCCGGGGAATACGACAGACTCATCGGGGATGATGTCTCGGTTGGAGAGTCGTACAGATATTGTGATGACTGCCATTCCGTGGTAGCCGGCTGGGATGGTAACTGGTGCGACGAAAGGGGAGGAGTGTAGTAAGCGTGCATCGCGTGCGAATTCATGGCTGCAGATGTTGGTGGAACGGGTTCCGATCGACTGTGCTGGACGGCCGGCGCATAGGAGGTACCGTAGTGTCGTGAACCTATGGGAGATGAACTGTATAGTTCATCCGCGGAGGTTGGAGAGGGGAGCCCATAAGATGTTGGCGATCCTCTTGATCGTGGTAGCCCGCTCCTTGTCGAATCAACAGGTGAACCCGACGACCGGTCAGTGAGGTGAGCGCTTTCGTCTGAATCAAAACTGGAGAATCATGATGAACTCAGTTTAGGACCGTTTGACGGGGAACAGATCGAACGTTCTCCTTACATTCGTATAAGTTTTCCGTCGGGACCGGTCTCGATCTTGGGAGGGTAGCGAAAGTTGGTGGATTGCACGAGCTCTTGAGGAATCTCCAAGCTCATAATGTCCTGTCTACTGCATGGCCGTTGGAGACACCCGGACTCAACGTCTTCCGGCGTGAAATAACATATGAGATGGTGGTCTGAGCCCTGAATCTTGATAGTAATTGTCTGGTGAGTGCCGCTGTCAGCATGTTTCCGACAGTGGATGCTGGGCCTTCTGACCTTCTTAGTTAGCCCTTTGGGTTTGATTGCACCTTGGGTATCCACTCGTAGGCCATCGGGCTTTCCGGATCTCCCGGCACCTCTGCCTCCAGCGCGTTCAGTTACTTCTCTGTACACCTGGCCAAAGTCAATCCCTATGTCAGTATATGTCCGAGATCAAGATTGACCTCGAAGATGAAATTCACAAGAAAATTTCCTGCTATTCGGCTTGGACTCCATTGGAGCCCTTCGGTCCACCTTTTGATGCCGCTCTCGTCGACGCTGAACACGAAGACGGCACCGCTACGGATCATAGCCCGCCGTTCAAGCTCGTTCAATCGACGAGTAACTCGAGGTATCAGCCCACAACGAGCTGCTTGTATGAGGCGAAGGGCATCGCCCGTAGTTTCGACATAGCCAAAGAATGGCTGGATAGTACCTGCAGCAGAGTGGTTCATGGTGGGTCTGAATGTGAAGCGGCGGATGGTACCTAGAAGTGAGCATGAGTTGCTTGCATTTATGTTGTCGCCCCTTGCTGTCGTCCTAGCTTCTTGCGCTCTTTTTTCATGGCCAGGGGGGCTGCCATCATCCGATCTTCGAACGGACCAAAAGTAGGTCAATAGCAGCCAGGCGACATTTGCTTCCTAACCGCAGGGGTTTGTTCTTGAGATTGTCGCACAGGCCCCATTTTTTCACACACATTTTGATGTCTGCCACTAGTATGGTTTATCGTTTACGTTGACTCCACAGCGCTCCCAAATATCGTATCGATCCACATTGTTATCGAAGAATCGTTACCTGCGTCTTCTGAGGCTATGTCTTCTCTAGGTTATACGGCCTCGGCAGCCGGACAGCGGCATGCTCCGAAGTAATGAAGCCATACAGTTCCAGTCAGCAAAGCAGTGTGGTTGCGACGAATCGCCCTGCCAGAAGGAACATGATGGATTGAGCATTTGGGGAATTCTAGACTTGCTTCAAACGAGGAACATCTTTGCAAGAACACGTGTATATCTCGTGAATTATAGATGCATTGGCAGATGCCGATATGTTTTGTTCGTGCAGAGCGCGTCCATCGTCCCGCATGTGTTACAAACGACCGCCAGACAGAAGTGTTGACCGGTGTTATCACTGAGCCTTACCGAAATATCTCTGTGGCGAAATTACGGGTCTCTAAATCCTGACTGCATGAAAGAAACTCTGACTGACTAGGCAGTACACGCACAGGGGATCCTGACAGTTGTTATTATTGGTAGCTCGGGCTCGTCCGCCTGCCATCAATCCAGATACTTCACAGCAAAGCGCTGCACGACTTTTGAATTGTTTTGGCATCGAGATGCACAACTTCCGCTCCTTAATTAGACATGGCGGCCTGTCTCCACGAGCTCGTCTGCGGAAGTCAGCGAAGAGAAAGTCCACGCAATGGAGTGGGTATCCTTCCGCCAGTTCTTCAAATCGAGTTCCTAGATAGGACACCTCTTGTAGGCTAGCTAACTGCCTTGACCCCGAACGTAAACTCATGTGTTGGCCGGGTCTTCGGAAGACTCGGCACCTATAGGTCGGGGGCCCATCCACAAATGAATGAACGCCGTGAGTTGCAAAACCCTCCTCAACTCTGGAGCAAGGATCCATAGCGAACCTCAGCTGAGGCATGCAGTGTCAGTATCAACTCCGCGACGAGCAGGTCGGTTCTTTGACAGCCTGGATCCGCGTAACAGCCGCAGTGAGTGCTAGCACCTATGCGGGCGGTCGACTATCTAAATGCTACCAGGCAATGCTAGTTCGATTTTCCTCGGTATCATCTGACAACGCAAGTGACGAAAGAGGAACGCCACACGGCGTTTTGAATACGTGTGCATAAGGAGACTATGCAGCGTCCGGCGGCAAAGACCGTTAGGCCAAAGAATGGGGGTTGGAGAGCGCAACGAGGGCTTCTCAAACTGAATCTTACGCGACTTCAAGAACGGTTTCTAACGAGCATATGCCAGGGGTGTTCATACAGGTATGACGACACGAAAGACGTATATCCAGCGATCCTGGTGACCGATTATGGCATAGACCTCTCTATAGAGGGTTGTTATTAGTACCAGCTGTATGCTTCTGCCTAATCTCCTCGCTATCCACGGGCTGGGAACTAAACGTGAGATTGACCACTCTCAGCATCGCATCTTGCGAGCATCTTGATCAACGTCTTGTGGGATCTGATACGCGCAGCGTGGAATACACAAGCTTCTAATTTCTGGAGTCCTCAACACCTTCGCGGGACGGTGCCTGCATTGCACGTTGGCATGTACCACTGGCTAGAACTGTGATGGTAAATTCTCAGCAAAGGGACGTCTGATGCCTAAAGGTGAACACCTGTTTGCGCCCTAAATTACCCAGCGAGCTTCGGAGCAAGCGAGAAATGGGTGAAGCGAATGACCCACATGAAAAAGACCCGAGAGTACCATGAGAACCACACGACAGGAAAACCTCCTGAGGATGAGAGGAACTTCGTGTAGAAGTGGCCGCAGAGCAGGGACCAATGACACCAGTGAAGCAGGAGTATATGTGACGACAAATCACAGCGCTGTTGCTGGCAGATGGGTCCTGAGGCCTGAAACTTGGATACCAGAAGACACTGACACGTAAAGACGTTGTGGGGGTATACCGGAGAAGACGAGCAGAGAACCATTGATAGCAACATGAAGCACTCAGCGCATGAAGAGAAGTAGTTTTGAGCATGCAGAGGGAGCGTATGCTGGGAAGGATTCAAGTTGCTATCAGAAATACGGGACCTGTTAACCACCGAAGGGAAACCACGTCCTATTGATGGACCGCAAAGAGCCGGGGATTTTTCTAAGAAATAAAAGAAACGAGAGGCCAAACAGCCAGTTGCTCCGGGGTGCGTAGAAACGAAAGTTGAAGTTCAGCCTAGCACTGGTGGTTTCCGAACAAACAATTGATTTTGCTGGGTTTAATCCCCGATCCCGAATGATCGATCTTTCCATCACTGAGCGTCTGGCTCGAGATCATTGCTCTCCAACAAGTTGTTACCGCTATAAAGCTCATACTCTTTATCTCGCATTACCTTCCTTTATCATCGTAAGTATATCTCAAACGAAGACAATACCCTTTTAAACAGGTGTTCTGCAGCACACGATCTCAAATGGCACCGCCTTCGTCGGCTGCACTCCCATTGAATGTGACACCTGCGGCCACGCCTTCGAAGCCACCTCTACAGAGTGGCAACAGTGGGACCCCAAGCGCTACGCCAGCTCTTAAAACATCAGCCCATCCGACTGACATATCAAGCCCTCATGAACTTACCGCCTTTGTGAGCTTGCACGCGCATCGCTCATCGAATACCTTCTAACCGTATGCGGAACTTCGCTTCGCTCCTAGGTTGAGACGCTTCTTGAACAACTTGATACGAAGTTCGACGAGATGTCTTCCCAAATTCTGGATCGCAGTACGTAATGCCTCGGATATCATGCTTGATCGGCGGTCGGCTGTATATTGACCTAACCACTTGCGTTCAGTGATGCAAATGTCGACCAGGGTAGATGCCTTGGAGGCTTCGATCCAGGACATCATTAATGGGGACACTTCGAACGCTCCGAGTTTACCCCAATCACCCTCCATTTCTCAGAGAAGGAGTGGACTCTCGTCATCGTCTTGATCACATTGGATTCTTGTTCCCTTCTGTATTGTACTGTCCTCAAACCTTATTACTACCATGCCATAATAAAGAACATTGCAACGCGGAGCGCGGTTCAAAGGTGTCATCTTTGTGATGCAACTCGGTATTGTGAGCGATAGGTGATGACGGGCGCGACAATTGGAATTATGTCATGCGCTTTTCCTCAGGTATGACACTTCTAAATTATCGAGGAGTGATGGTAGACTCTCATGTCACCATTAGGATTTGTTGTTTGAAATCCCAGGTGTAAAGTTCTCACCCTCTTTGCATAATATTGTATCCTACGTCATTGCACTATTTGCGAGCAAGTCGCTGACATCTCCCTGGAATAAGTATACAGCTTCTTACGGTTGCCACAGGGCTTCCTACCACAACTGCATACCTCTTGTCGTTATCCACGGCCAAGTTGTTCCGATGGATCCCCGACAACAAACAACGAATCCACGGAGATGACTCTGGTACCTTGAGGAGTAGCTGCGGATGCAGTATACCAATGTCACTCATTCGTTGTACAACAGTTGCAATGGTCTGATGAGCAATGACCCAAGAATAATGTACCTTACTATTAACAAACTTGATCCGTCTCCAAAACTGTCCAAGGAAAACTTTCCGCATCATGACCCAACCGGTGTAATATGTCAACACAACACTCAGTCCAAACCTGGCGTGCTGCTGCTGGAAGCAGGCGTCAATACCCTTCTTGGGGCTGCAGGAGCGGGTCCGGCGCCTCCGAACATTGCAGACAACATGTCTCCTAATGGATTCGCCTGCTGTGCGCGAGGCGGAGGGATGGCAAAATATAATTCGGCGAGCTCTGCCAATACCTGAAGATTGAAATGAAATGAGATTGAAAAGTATAGGAAACAAAGATGGTCGGGAATAGCGGTGATTCGCAAATTCTCGAGCATGTGCGGGGGTGCTTACCTTCCGCACTTCGGGTCTGGCCAAGATCCCGCCCCTGCTCTGGTAAGTTCCACAGAGACGAACCCAAGCTTCCCGCATCCCTTTGTTCTTATCTCCCTGCGCTCGTTGACAAGTTCGTACTGCCAGCTGAGCAAAGTTCAACACGGGGTCTTTTGTCAGGATGATCTCGTCATTTCCCCCGTTTTGCGGCTTCCCGACGGATATCGGTGAGCTCTGGACTGATGAAACAAGCTCAGGATGCTTTGATGTAATTTGGGCGAGGAAATGATTCAGGAAGGTGCGAGCTGCAAGTATATTTCCGTTTTGGAGATATCTGAATCGGGTGTATCGACAGAGAACAACGTTTGAACTCAGTACCGTTATCTCTATAAGCCCAGGAACCATACGTACGGTAATACGCCCCGCAGCGCGAAAGCACCTGGCGTTCCACCTTGCGAAGACCATTCGACGAACATATCTGCGAGGAGGCGAGCGCTGTCGCGCTTTCCAGCAGCTAATAGATGCGGCTCGGCCTGCTCAAAGGCGCCCTCTGGATTATTCATGTTCAGGTACAATTCCACTAGAAGCAGCTGAAAGAATACCATACCCTTATAAAGTAGTTCTCCGATGTAATGCTGCAAACCAGGGTCACCAGAAGGACACGGGCCGTGTTTGGCTGACCAACTAAGGGCCTTGTTAACACCATCCTGAAGCATATTGTGAGGGATCGATAGCCCACATACGCAATTGCCTTGTCTACGATGGTCTTTCGCCATGAGCCAGACGATCCAATCAAAGCAATCAGTTGTGTTAAGCGTCCTATACAACGGAGCCTCAGCAAATGCTATGTCTCGGGACCAAAAGATCGTGATAGTGCACACTGACCTCTGCTTTCATCATTCACCGGCTCGCCTTTGGCTTCATAGACCTCCAACAAGAAACTTGTGAGATCGGTACCACTCCCCTGTTGTCCTGCTTTAAGCAATTCCTTCGCAGACCGGAAAAGAACGTCGATCGCGGTGTCGTACTGATGCGACTTCACGTATCTCGCAGCAAACGTTCTCGCTTTCTGGTGTGCCTCGTACGGCTGTCCAGATGCGATCAAAGGTAATACGGCATTGAGAGCGCGTGAAGAAGAGGAAGCTTGCGTTGTCATTTGAGTAATTCGAGTACGTTTGAATCTTGAAATGAAGTGATGACAGAAAATCTCAAACTGAGGAAGTGGAAGCTTGCACCGATCGAAATGGTGAAGTCGTGTTTCCCAATCTTGCGACCGCTGCGAATCGAACGTCGCACTTCTGCATTAGATCTGTCATGTTCTAGCCGCTAGGCCATAAGCGCGGGCCGCACAAAACCCATTAAATTATACTATCAGGCTTTATTCGGTCCAAATTTCCCACCTTTGATTCACTTTCGTGTCTCCGTTCACATACGCAGCTTCAAGATGGTTTCGGTGACAATATCTTCAGCGCATCCTACGCCGCTAGCCAAGGAGTTGCCGATAACAATCGGGCTCCCAGACAAAACCTTGGACAATGCAACTATCGGAGACGTGAAGGCGGCCGTGACCCAGAAGTTTCCGAAAGTAAGTTCAGTTCGTACGTGTCCTCGAAGCATGGAACGATATTCATTGTGTTTCCCCATAGTTCGACGCGTCGCGTCAAAAAATCACGTTGAAGGGCGACAGGAAAGCTTTATCCGATGAAACGACGCTTCGTGCTGCTGCCCTGACCGACAGTGGAGAGCTGACCGTCAAGGATCTAGGTCCACAGATTCGCTGGAGAACAGTCTTCATCTGGGAATATGTCAGTATGTCGTCTAAGCTCACAAATCGTTGATCTAAGGAGGGTTACAGGCGGGTCCTTTGTTCATCCATACCTTCTTCTACTATTTTCCGAACCTATTCTATGGTGGCCCTGTCCAGCATAGTTTGCTTCAAAGGTGAGTTTGACCGGATCTGTCTGTGAGAACCCGTTCTGAGGGGAGTTCCTGGAGATACGTATACGTAATGACGATATCGCACTTCCTCAAACGCGAATACGAGACATTATTTGTCCACCGATTCTCAAATGGTACAATGCCACTGTTTGGTCTGTTCAGAAAGTAAGTCTTGATCTCTGGGCCTGGCGTCTCTGTTGTCTTCTCACCGAGCCGTACCGTAGTTGCGCGCATTATTGGATTCTTGCAGGCGTATCGCTTGCGTACGCAGTTTATGGTCCCGCATATGCAACAACATCCCCATATATTCGCGGAACCATTCGTTCGAACCCAACTTTCCTCTGGTCATGTATTGCTGTTTGGATTGTGAGTCGCGCCCGACCGTCCCGTTCTGATCTCTTGTTCTTGATTGCTGATGCATTACTCCTTTCAGTTCGCGGAAATCTCCAACTACCGAACACATGCCATTCTGCGTGACCTGCGCCCTGCTGGAACGAAAGAACGCCGTATACCATATGGATATGGCTTCAATTTGGTTTCCTGCCCTAATTATTTCTTCGAACTCATTGGCTGGGCTACTATCTCCGTAATGACTGGGAGTTATGCTGGTGCGTTTTCGACTGTCCAGGTTATCATCCGGCGGCTTGCTTATGCAGTTTGATTTAGCCCACGCATTCTTGATCGCTGCAACCTATATTCAGACGAAATGGGCGATAAAGAAGCACAGGCAGTATAAGAAGGAATTTGGTGATAAGTATCCTAAGAACCGGAAGGTTATCTTCCCGTTCGTCTTCTGACGGCGAAGCCCAAAGGCTTCTGGTGGCGTTCCGCGCACGTTCTTGGTAAAGCCGTTCTCCTCGAATACACTTTCTCCGTGAGATACGTCGATAATGATAGTTGTCTATGGACGAGACCTACGGCTGAGAGATACGACTCACCGCACTGAGTACGCAAACTAAGGGATACTGTAAGCTAGCCATATTTCTCCGGCCATCCTTTCATCTATTCCTGCCATGACCCATTCACTGACTAGTTTAGCCACGGTTGTCTTAACCGCCCAGCCTACAAGGACAACCATTGTTGTAAACGCTGGATGACAATCCAGAACAACTGTAAAGTCAACATCAGCATTGCTGACCTCGGCTTCATTTCGATAGGCAAACTTATACCTCGAAGACCAAACCCGGCAGCCATTCCGCCTAGAACATTGCGAACGATCCACTCTCTGTCTAAATTGTCTTCATCCAGAATTTCGAATGCACCAATGATCACCGGGTTTGAGAACAAGCTTGTTACATTGTATTCCGGAGGTAATGGCCGTGCCGACTCCGAAGGTGCATCGGGACGCCAGATAGAAAGTAGGAATAAGAGAAACAGCTTGGTCAGAGATGAATAGAGTAAAGTTAGCGGAACGTGTGAATATCTGAGTTTGTCAGCAATCATTTGAAGAACGCGCACAGCGGCACGGACCTAAATTCTTGTTGAACTCCAGATAATGTATTCGCATCATTGGAGACACCACTCTTTCTCCACTGTCGGACCCAATTCAAAGATTTCAGGAGGATAAAGCAAGCTAGAGTGACACCTGCATGGAAGGCGATTGTTTCTGGATAGTGGGCGATATTAGAGATGGTGATAGTGGCACGAATGAATTGTCGGACCGATGAAACAGCCCACAAGAGTACGTATGAAACTTTCGATCGCAGCCCTGTTCCATGAGGTAATACCGAGTTGAGAAGGGTCGAAAGGTTGGCTTACACCTGGCACGGGTTGGTTTATTCCGCTGACCTGGTAAGTTGAAGGATGAGCTTACCCAGGTGGGTCCAACGGATAACTGAAAATCCATTAGCATGAACAAACGAAATATACATATACTATGACCCAATGGCAACGTACATGCGTCAACAATGATGAGCGCGGTACCGAGCTTCAAGATATGGGTCCATCGGGCCTGTGACAAACATCATGTGTACGCTACCACCAGTAGGACGGAATCCGTGGAGCTACCTTTGTTCTCGCTGATTCGGCCTTTTCTTCATTCGCTGAGGGAACCCTGAGCTTGTTTTCATGTCCACCAGGTATAGTGGAATGGGGTGTCGACTGGTGCGGCTCGGAATGCCCGATTCTCCGCACGCCAGACCCACGGTTGAACAGAAGGTGTCGATACACGTTGCGCTTCAGAAGCATCAAGTCCAGAATGAGGGTCAGAGTATCATGTTCGACGTAAGGATCCGCAAATTCATGACATTGGGTCTGAAAAAAGGGCAAAGCGAGTTGTAACGTTAATCCATTCCATGGCAGAACGGACTTACGCACTGTTCTAGCCTTAGATTGTTAGCAGTATTGTACACCGTATACAAGTACGGTGTAGGATGACTGCAGTTGGTGCAAATAGGCATGAGAAGCACGTTCAATCTGTGGAGAGAGCTTGTTCGACAGATAAATGAGATCGACGATCCACCTGAGAAGGTTATGACGACAAAATGGAATGCTGCATACCTCGCTCTGAGAGCTGGATTGCAATGAATATTAGCTGAAGCTCAAGCTTTCATGCACGGGCTTACTATAGACCTGGTGCATTGAATGATCCCGACGATATCCTACCAAGATTATGAGTAACCCAAAAAGGCAACTCAGCACGTGTACGAGCCGGCCCTAAACTAATGCAGTGAAAAGTTTCCTTCCCTGCGTCCTGTTCTTGTCGTCTTCCTTCATGTCCGATACTTTAGGCTCTTGTTACGATGGCGTAACCATGTACGTGGTGAGTCTATGTTCGGCCTTTACGCGTTATTCTCGATAAGATGATACGTATTATCTGTCTGGAGTGTTGTCTCTAATGAGCTCACGATGCCTTGAAAATTTTTGTCATAGTTACACTGATCGGTTCTTTCTGCTTGTTCTCCTCCACAAGTTCTTTTCGGCTTACATTCTTCCTTTCAGATAGCTTTCGTATGAATGATGAAGTCAACATGATGTAGCTTTGTGGTGTGGGTTTTGGTGCATCGAAACATCTTTTCTTCAGTAAGTTTCCACTTCAGTACTTGACACCTGGTCACTGCTCTTGTCGAGATGAACCAAAGTCATTCAAACTAGAGTATCTGAGAGTTCACACAGTGGGCTCGATGCTTTATCTTATCTGTCAATCCACTGAACATTTCCATCTTGTCGGCATAATCGATGCAGTGTTGACTCGTATCCTTTCTCAGATGTATATGCGTTACGCTTTGTCTCAAGTCCTATTGATCTGAGTGGTGAGTCTTATTTCCATTTGCTTGCTGCTGTGATGCAACACACGGAATTACCGCCCAACTTCTCGGTGCACAACACCTTGAAGGCTGACGACAATTCCACGGCTGTATTTTTATACTTCTGAGCTTCTCATTTTGTTCACCCATTGAACTTCAAACTAATTTTTCTTCCAGAACTTTTGCAACGTATCTCTCCCCTACACCATCCTTTCTTGCTCGCAGGATTTACCGCGAAGTTGGGTAACCATGGTGAGTCCCAAATCCTTCTCCGTTCTATATGATGATCAATCACGACGGTCTTCGTACTATCACTGCCGAAAAGGCCCGCACAGCTCAATAACATTCGGGCGTCCCACCTGATCCTCCTTTCTTTTCTTCCTCCCTTTATAATTTCTCATGCTAATCACTTCCTTTCTCAGGATTTCGTGACTCTATCGTTGAGCCCAGGTTCGGAGCTATATCACTATTGGTGGTTTGTACTTGTGAGTATGTTGTCCATTGTGCTATTTAGTATCCAACGTTTCTTTACCCCCTTCCATGATGAATCCTTCATCCAAAAATTATCAACTAGAAGCTGTTGCTGAGCTTCGGCTTTGATTAGATAGACTTTTCTGATCCTTCGTCGTTCTGAATTTTATTAAACTTGGACTGACTGATCTCTGGTAGGGCATTATTCAGGACTTGTTCGCAGTCATAATGTGCGGGTACCGAAGGTAAGTCTGACTTATTGGTATAGTGCATGGTAGCCTCTTCAATGTATAGTAGTATATGTATGTATATCATTTTTGTTTCTCAATCTTGCAACTGGGTGTGTTTTATGCGTCGCTTTGGTATCTCTTATGTTTCTGTCATCAAAGTCGGTCCTCGGAAGTGCGTACTGCATACTACGTTGCGAATCTTGGCTATTAGATCCAACCTTAAGGCATTACATACAGCAGGCATGGTCTACAATATGAGCACACTACAGCAGACGGGTGCATAGTGAAAACCACGAATCACTAGTGTCCGCCATACTTAAGCTGATACAAGCGCTCGTGCATCCACCGCCTCCTTCCACCTGCAATTCCCCACCTTCTCGCCATCACGGCTCACACAGAACTATCATTTGTTTTACTCCCCCTCCCCGCATCCACATTCGTATTGCCCGCACCAGTTTCTCCATTCCCGTTACTCAGACTATTATTGCCATTAGCATTCTGCTTCTCCCTGTAAGAAGAACGATGATCAACACTGGCTCTTGACCATGAACTAGCGGTGACTAACGCGATGGGATCAGACGGCGATGCATCCGTATCGATGGTATCCTGGCCAGGGTTCAATTGCCAGTATCGGAAACTGGAAGAGAAAGAAGGTATGATGAGCGTGGAGTCGAATATGAGAACGAAAGGTAGTTTAAGGAGAGAAGACGTACTGTTTGAGTACACTATAGAACCCCGCAGCAAAAACCGCTCCGATTGTAGGTCCGACCCAGTACTATTGAGAACAGAGAAAGTAAAATGGGAGGTCAAGATTGCATGGTATGGCGATATCCTGATATGAAGAGAGAACGTACGATCCATTGAGTACCATAGGGAAATCCGGTGACTACGGCTGGACCGAAAGACCGCGCCGTATTCATACCTGCACCTGTATAGAACACTGCAAACCTACCGAGTGAATGGAGGTTCAGATATAGAGCGATGAACACCGAGACCGTGACAATAAAGTTCGAACTTACAGATGACATGCGAACAATGTCAAGCCAATACCGACCTAAACAACGAAGCAGCCCCAATTCGAATGAATACCCGGCAAAAGGGTCTCTAAGTGAAAGGGGGAACTTACAGGTGCAAATGGTGTGGCAACGTGCTACAAATAGACGACGATCCGCATCAGTCAAGCAAGCTACTGCTCAAAGCACACAAACGACATCACCTTCTCAGCCGCAAGCATGAGAACAGCCATGACCAGTGCGGCGGTGATGAATGCCTCGATGAAGACACCCTGGGCGGGGTTGATACCCGGTTGCAAGAATGTACTAATCAGAACAGAATCAGCTGTCAGCACAACAAACACCTTGGGTTACGTCTGATGACGCGGCAGAGAGGGGGTCTCCACGTACTTAGATTGGAGAGGCCCAGGGGTAAGCGCCAATATCAACGCCGCTGCGGTAATCCCACCAACGAGTTGAGCTATGCAAAAGAGTACGAAGCGGACTGGGCCGATGATGCCTGTCAGAAGCATCGCCAGGCTGATGTTGGGGTTGAAAAGACCACCAGTGACACGGAAGAATAACCAAGCAGAAACGAGCAGGCTGAACCCGAAGGATAGGGAGATGTACATGACCCTTTCGATAACGGAAAACGATTGGCTTATCTGGCTCTCGGCCACGACAGCTTGAACACCGCCGAAGGCGAGGGTGAGGAAGAATGTCGTACCGATGAATTCGAGGAAGGCTGCTTGGACATCACTGGTGACATTTGCAAACAAACCTTGTCGGGGCCGACGTTGAGACGTGTCGTTGGCATTGCCATAACGTTTTCCCAAGAGCCGACGGAGGGGATTAGACATGATGGAAAGATGAAAGATGGGGAGATGGGGCTGGTTGAGTCGCACTTATTGTGTTTACTCTCCTTCGATCATAGAGCCTAACTAGAGACGTACCATCCGCCGGCTCCTTTGATCGAAATACAGCGAGAGGAACGGGGAACAGGGATGACCCCGAGGATCCCCGCTTTAAGTTGTTCATGATCAGGGCAGCATCACCGTGACGGGTGGCCCCATGGAACGGTGGCTCAGGTCGTGGAGTAACCCTGAGCCGTGCGGATGTGTATCGTCAATAAGTGGTGGAGCCAACGTCGAAGAACATTTAGCTGGTCTAGAACGGGTGAATACGAGCTGGAAAAGCCCTGTTTTGTTACCTACCTTTCATAATTGAGAACTCAGGATACAATTCTCGACTACGGCGAAAGTAATCCACGAGATTGTATGCCATCGAATGAAGACTTCGCCTCTTTCCATTAGTCATATTGCCACAGGCAAAAACAAGAGCGTCAGTCAGACAGGGGTCCCTGAATATCGCCCAGCAATTTTGCACTGTCACTTCCAGAGTCTGAGGAAACTTGAAGACGTGGTTGCCGCCGGACCAAAATGTCCGAGTCTCGAGGACGTTAATTTAATAACACGCCTAGATATTGCGAGGCTCTGGTTATTCAACCTCGTGCTTGAAGATTTTTGGATGGGTTCTCCAGTCTTCGCAGTAGTGGTGGGTTAATATGAGGTTTCTGCTTCAACTTCGGGGTGTAGACGTATACCTTATGAATCCTGAGGAGAAAGGTAAGCAAGAATCTTCACGTGAACCAGAAGCAAAGACTAAGAAATACACTGATCTAACTTTCAACCCTCACGGCATGTTCGAGGCAGGAAGGTTGAACGTTTAAACGTCCGTCTACACTGGACTTCAAGATCACTGTCTTGTGCGCCCCCTGGGGGCCGGCGTCTCGAAAGCAAGTGAGCGCCTGACTTACCATATGAGCGCTTAACTTTATGCTTGGCACACCCGAGTTAACACTGCCGCCTCGTCGTCTCGTCAGCATATAGCTCTTGGATGGGTGGTATGGAGGCGGCAGTATCTGGCAGCCTTTTGCCGTTCAGTCATGATAAAGAGGACCAGGTCAATCGGTCCATTATTGACCACCGCTCTGTGACTTTCAGGCTAGTACAGTGAGCTATGGCTCTTTTCGCAATGTGGTGTTTTCCTAGATGCCAACCATTCCTTGGCAATACCTTCTCGATGTACTTAGGATGGAGCGATACGTGTGAAACTTTCACGAAGGTTCGTTATTCAACTCCCTTCCGCTCTTCTCCTACTGATGCCGGAACGAACACCGACAGAGGCAGAACTCGTTCTCGACATTCACCGTCACCGCTCAGGATCCGTGTCTGTGTGGCGCCTTCTTTTCGGCGGATAATCTCATTGCTGTAACGAATTGGCTCGTGTAGAGATTAGTGGGTTTGTGTTCAATCGAACTGACGTATTTGTTCGACTCGCTCGATCAACGAACTATCTAAATGACATTGTCTACGGTCTAGCTCTCTATATAATGCGTTCTACTTCTAGATCCTGGTCATTAATGTTAGAGCGTGGCCCGCTAATGATAGCTGCCGTATGTTGTGGTTTACACCGTCCTCATTTCGCTCTGCGACTGAGTCATGCACAGCCGTATTAACTGCTCACACTATTACCCTACAGTGACTCGCCGAATTAATCAAGGATGCACGTCGTGTATGTTTGTTCCCATGATATTGTCCCTCCACCTGGTGTGCCACAGATATCTCATGGAAGCCCACTTTGACAGCGTGTGCCGAACACTGTTGTGCACGAATATATTCTATGCTTCCATATCTGCTTCGCATAATCACACTGCGTGTTATGATCGGAACTAACGCATCTCTTTGATGAAAGCTTTGTGAGGCGGTGGTTTACTGGTTTGCTCAAGTGTGATCATCAAGTTCTGATTTGCTGAAGCAGTGTTTGGTTAGGATATTTCCAATCCATATCGTCGCAGCCTCGCAGGTAACCTAAGGATTGCCAGCAAAGCCGAGCTAAAAATAGAATTCGTCGAATTTTAACTCGATCATGCGCAAGCTGTCAGTTCAACCGGAGTAACAATGATTCAATCTCGTACATGAGACGACCCAGATGGCCTTCATCAGTTGACCAGAACTTGGGCGGTGCAATCACCCCTGCTCTTAGAGTATATACATAGGGCCCTCGTGTTTTTGACGGCACCAACCTCCATTCTGCCCACTTCTGCAAAAGACAACACCCTGATACTACTTCCATCATGTCGGATCTCGGACTTACACCTGAGGTCATTGTTTCGGCTCTGTATGTCCTTCCTTTACGCCGACTCGAGGTTCAGATACTCATCTTAATATTCTCCAGTTCACAAGGACGTATTGAAATGAGCTTTGTACTTGCTGGATTAGGTTTGCTCTTGCTTGAGGTACTTTGGTTATATAGCTAATGGTATTCTGGGGTGCTAGCCATAAGTACCTACAGTCTCACTCTAACATTTGCACAAGAGCTGCAATGTATCTGGAAGAACAAATTCAGTGGGATCACAGTGTTGTATCTGCTAATCAGATATGGTATTTTTCTGGAAATGTTTGTTCTGGCCTTTTCAAATCTTTATGTGGCCAAAACTGTAATTGTGAGTGTTATATTCTAATCTTTTGCAGTATGAATGCAGCTGATCCATGTGAAGAGGTGTGTTTATTTTTTCATATTATTCAAAAACATTAGTGCTATAGTTTGTATTAGCTGCAAGGTGTTGCTTATTCTTGGAGATGTCATATCAGTCTCATCAGAGTTTGCATTTGCAAGTAAGTCTATATAGTAATTAGATGTTCTGTGATATAATCTAATATCATATCTTATCTAGCATTTGATGTTCTGCGCATTTGGGCTCTCTATCATCATCAAAGATTTGGATGGGCTGCAGTGGTTCTTGTGTTTATACTAAGTGCATTCACTCCATGCATAAATATAGTAAGTGTATCTTTGCATCTCTTTGATCAATTATGCCTATCTTAAATTTCACAGTATAATTTCTCTCAACCACAAGAGATTAGTATAATTCCATCAGGACTCTTGCAAGGCTGCATTGATATGTCAAAACAGCAGCCCTATATCTAGTATGTATCAAATTAATAAGCAAACTACATAGTTTCTAATCAAAAGTTTAGTTGTTTGTATTTTGAACAGTTCGAAAGTACTGTGCATTCTGCTTATAGTTGCTATTCTACAGTGCCAGTCATAACTCGAGCTGTCTCCACTGCAGCAAATCTTGCTGTTCTGGCATTTACTCTACTTAAAACAGTGAATACTCTTAGAGAAAGTGAAAGACTGCATATAGAGGCTGGATTAAGTAGAATGCTTGTTCTCAATGGTAAGAAACTGTTTTAATGTATTAGATGACCAGAGTAAAACTAATGTATACTTAGGATCTTTGCAATTCTGGTTAGTGATTTCATGATTTTCTGTCACATCTAACTTAATTCAATCTTAGCACCCTACTTGTATCAAATATAATACTAATGGTATTGGACATTCTTGCTATAGCAGTCCCTGAAGGGGTGAGTATCTTTCAACACTGCTCACTACTCATAATTAATGCAATCTATATGATAACAGTGGAATAGCAATGCAACAAACTTCATCTATATCAATGAAGTGTAAGTGCTATTGTTATTTGCAATAAGATGGTTTTCTGATATATCTCAATAAGGCTTACTTCAATTCTGCTTTCTATGCTTCTTCTGGATTTGCGCTCCATGCATTTGTTGGATGCTGCTGGCAATGCAGACACTGTAGTATCAAGTGTCAAATTTGCTGATGCTGTTCTTGCCACCATGGGTGCAACATCCAATCTATCCAATCCAACAGAATATCAAATGGACAGCTTTGTCCAAGAGGATATCATAGTAGCTCAAGATGAGAATACTGCAGAGGCTTGGTATGTTTCAAGTTTCAATTCTGCTCTCCTTTGAAGACTGATAATAATCTCCCGACTAGAAATCTCTGTTTAGCAAAATTTTCATTAGAGTATAGACACCCAATGTTCATATAGATAGCCTATTGGTATATGTCAGTGATTCTTGTAGCTCTTTTCACAATTATGCAATGCTAGTATCCAATTCAACCCTACTGTTACCACTGTGCCGTATTTTCTTCACTTATCATAGGTATGGTCAACTCCCATCTCACTTTTCCATAACCATATACCACTAATGGCCTCAATGAAAACTCTACTAATATGTCTGACAGTAAAATAGCCTAAGTGTAGCATGCTTTATGATTATAAGTATACTATAGCAAATGGTAGATGGCGTATCATGAATATTTGTAACAGTCATGAGTAAAGCCATGTTTGTCCAGACATGATTGCCCTCCTTGCTATCTCATCATCCGAACTTTTCAACTCACACCGCACTGTCATTCGCCTTCACACCGGTACTCGCACCTGCATTCCCCAAGCTAGTATCTCCACCCCCATCCTCATCCATCAGGTTCCTGCTCATATTCGGATCCTGTTTCTCCCTACTAGGATCAACGTGAGAAGGATTATCAACACTACCCTTTGACTTTGAGCGAGCGGTGACGGCCGCGATGGGATCAGGTGGGGATTCTCTTGTGTCGATGGTATCCTGACCAGGATTCAACTTCCAGTATCGGAAACTACAAGCCGAGAGATAGTCAGATAAGTATGGAATTCGATATAAAAATGAAACGAAGCTTAAAAAGAGAAGACGTACTGTTTGAGCAGACCGTAGAATCCTGCTGCGAAAACTGATCCGATGCCAGGCCCGACCCAATACTGGAACAAGCAAAGCAAAAGAGGATCAGCATTGCATGATGACGATGACGGGTAGCCCCAAATATGTGAGAAGAATACGTACAACCCATTGGGTTCTGAAAGGAAACCCGGTGACTACGGCAGGGCCGAACGATCGCGCAGTATTCATGCCTGCACCAGTATAGTACACAGCGAACCTATCGAATGTGCGAGATGTCAGAACCGAAGCTATGAAATTGAGGATACAGAAAAGTCGAGATGAGACCCACAGATGGCATGCAAACATCGTCAAGCCAATGCCGACCTAAACATCGAAACCGAGACTTCATTAGTCATTCTGACAAAAAAGGTTGATGAGAAAGACGCGTACAGGTGCGAATGGCGTTGCGACATGCTAAAAGGAGGTGAGGGTCCGCATTAGTCAAGGAGATTACTTCGCGAAGCACGAAAACGGCATCACCTTCTCCGCTGCAAGCATGAGGACGGACAGAACCAGCGCAGCCGTGATGAACGCCTCGATGAAAACGCCCTGAGCAGAATTGATTCCCGTCTGCAAGAACGTGCTAATCACAAGGAAAAGAAGTAACGCAACATCGAGTCAGTCAAAGCGGGACATCTGACGTCCGATGACGCAACACAATAGAAGAAGAACACGGGAATACTCACTTGGATTGGAGAGGTCCAGGAGTGAGCGCCAACACCAACGCCGCTGCCGTAATCCCACCGACGAGTTGAGCAATACAAAATAGTACGAATCGTACAGGGCCGATGATGCCTGTGAGAAGTAAAGCGAGGCTGACATTGGGGTTGAAGAGGCCACCAGTGACCCGGAAGAATAGCCAAGCAGAGACGAGTAGGCTGAATCCAAAAGACAAGGAGATATACATAACCTTTTCAATAACAGATGATGCTTGACTCATCTCGCCTGCACCAGTGACAGCCTGGACACCGCCAAAGGCGAGGGTGAGGAAGAATGTTGTGCCCACGAACTCGAGTAACGCTGCCTGCAGGTCATCAGTGAGGTTCGCAAAATAGCTTTGTCGAGGTGCTGATTGAGTCGTAGTGAGGTTGGGATCGTTGTGACGTCTCCGAAAGAATTGAGACATGATAGACAGACGGGAAGAAGAGTGTATGAAGGTGGTCGAGCCGCTGCTGTGGTTATACCACGTCGACCAGGGAGGCTGACCAGAGGTAGGCTGTCCGCGGGGGGGGCTGGGAAGCGGCAACCGGAATGAGGCTGACTAGGAAGACGATACCCGTCAGACACTTAAAGCTGATCATGATCAGGGCGGCGGTCAACGTCACTAGTGGGGTGGGGAATGCATATGTCGACTAGCATTTAGCTCGTAGAGAAAAGCGGATCTGATTTCCAGCTATAACTTCTTTTCGGTACCGATGCTCCGTCAGTCCCAACCACCTTTAGCACGACTGCGCTTGGTGGCACTCCGTCGCTCCTTCTCCATTCGACGGTGTTGGGCTTCAGCTTTCTGCAGGCCTTGGACACGTTTCTTTTGCTCTTCGGAAGGCTCGTTCACGAGGTTGGCAGTTGCGGCAGACATGATGAGCGCATGTAGCTGGACGATGACATTTCAGTACGCCTTCGACGTCATGACTTAAGGGCGTTTCTCGAGCACCCACCTTTGACAGGCATTCTTGAATATTCTCCGCTTGTGACCGGTGTACGGTGGAAGTGATGAGAAGAGATTGTGACGAGGAAGCATACGATGGCTAGTGAAGGGTTCAATTCCCAAGCAGCTGATCACTTAGAAAATCACCCACTGATTTCTTCAAGGTGTCTTTCGCCCACAGTGGTATCCAGGATGAACTCAATGTGCATCGAAGTGTCGCTTTCGTATTCACCTTGTTCACATTCTGCAAAAATACAAAGGCTTGTTCAGTTATTTCGATTCTCAGAGCGAAAACCAAAGACTCGAACCTGACCACCTGGGCCGGAACTCCTCGAGAACGTCAACTCCACAAGACTCTTCGGGATAGACTGAGATTTGAACTTAGATATCCATTCTCGAGCTAGGGCATTCTCAGACGGCGTTTCTAGTTTCGAAAGAGTTGGTGGCGGGGAGATGTGTTGCTGGTTTGGGCTCGTGCTTGCCAATCTACTCACCGACCATCTTGTGGATAGTGTGGAGATGGGAATTCTTCGAGTTCCGAAGAAGAAGATGGACATTGCAAGGGAAGTCAGGGTATATAGATCTGTAGCTTTGCAGAATGTGCAGCGTTGAGTTGGTACTAGATCTAATGACTCGGTCAACCGCAAAAGAGGACCATAGGATGAGTTCCGTGGTCTGGGCGACAGGTAAACGCGATTCTATGTGGCGATAGGTTAAAGAGGCAAGACGGGTCTCAAAAGCGGACTTGTATGATTCTTGTTGGGTCATTACAAATTTAGTATAGGGTCATTACAGATGGATAGAAGCTGTTACTGATAGGCATAGACCACCTTCTAATATTGAGTTCTATTAAGAACACCGCCACCCTAAGCCCAAATCCATTCAAGCCTCAATCGCTTCTTGCTGCTCAATCAAGCTGTGTATTGGCACTACTGAATTGCTAATGTACTACTTGCTCTTATGTAGGTTTTCGTGTCTGGGTCAAGATGCTAAAATAGAGCGTATTAGATCGCGTTCCACCTCAAGCTGGCCATCTTCCAGAATGACCACGATCGCGAGCCGTGATGACTTTGCTGATTGGCAAAGCTCACGCTCAGAAGCACGCGGTTAGCGTTCTCGATATTTGAAGAAGACTGTCTTCCTGAAACTGGCGAGGCCCTGTATCGGACAATCCTCACATCCTCTGATTGAAAACATCATTACTTTCCAGGTTATGAGTTCGTTTTGCCTCCGGAGCCGCATGCATCCTTCACCGGAGCCATCGATCGCTCTCCTCATGTCTTCCGCCTTCATCTAAATTCCTTGGCAACATACGAGACACACTCCCTCGACGTTGACTTGCTCCATGCCTTGCATACACATCAACCCTCACACAGACTTACTGTAACGTTGGACACGACGATGACCTTGATTTCAATCGAGACTGAGCATGCTGATCGGACTCGGAAGGATATTCAACCTTCAATATTCAAGAGTCCTCGGACCTCTCTGCAAGGGACAGACGGCGGATACGAAAAGCGAATACAACACACGCTCCATTACTAGTATCCGCCCGATCTCATCCTCAGCATATAACAGCCCACTCATATTATGGAGTTTATTACAGATTCGACGTTGATACCGTTGATACCCCCAACGGGCTCCATTGCTTTCATGAGAACTCACTTTCCCATTCAATATCATTACCTCCATCATAATGCGTAACTCGTATCTTACAACTCTGATACTCCTCGCAGCTACTTATGGCGCTGACTTGGTCGAAGCTGCACCTTCTCCTCAACGTGCTCCCCGGCCAGGTCGTGTTCGTCCTGCTCGACCTGCTCCCCTAGCACCCACTCGTTCTGGTGCCACTACTGGTACCGACCTCGGCACCGGGACTGGGGCTGGAAGTGGTACGGGCACGGGTACAATGCCAGGATCTGGTGGACGCCCAGTGACAACTCGTCCTGTACCCAACAGACCTGGCAGACCACGTCCGATGGTCCCCATTCCTGTTCCTGCGAACCCCAGTGCGCCTACTCAACCCGGTCCTCTTACCCCTCCTGTGACTGACCCGGTGACAACACCGCCAGCTAGTACTACACCTCCCCCCACAACAACACCTCCTGCAGCGACTACACCTATAACATCACCACCTGCGATGACACCACCTGTTATCGCAGATCCACCTACTACACCTCCCCCACTTACTACACCCCCCGTTGTCACCCCTCCTGTTATGACACCTCCTGCAATGACACCAGTAGCAACACCTCCAGTTCTTACCCCTCCCGCTACAACACCCCCTGCTTCTACGCCTCCAACTACACCTCCGGCAACGACGCCTCCAGTGATGACGTCTCCTACCAGTACACCTCCTCCTACATCACCAGTAGCTACACCTCCAGCGGCCACGCCTCCTGTTACAACGCCTGGGCCAGGGCCTCCAGTAGTTACACCTGGAGCTACACCTCCAGCAGCCACACCCCCGGCAACGCCTCCCGGTACGACACCTCCATCCACAACTCCTGCCATTACACCACCAGTCGTTGGGCCCCCCGCTCCTCCCGTGGTTACGCCAGGTGGAACACCGCCAGCATCTACACCTCCTGTAACAACCCCGGGACCAGGACCTCCGGTAGTCACGCCTGGAGGTAGTTCTCCCACAACCACACCACCTGCTACAACCCCACCAGCATCATCTCCGGTAATGACGCCTGTAGCAACTCCTCCAGCGACAACTACGCCAGTAGTCACGCCTCCAGCAACTCCAGGACCGGGACCTCCAGTTGTTACACCTGGTGCTACTCCTCCAGCAGCCACACCACCTGCATCTCCGTCAGAAACACCTCCCGTAATGACCCCGGTCCTTAATCCTCCTGCTCTTCCCGTGATCACACCAGAGACGACACCACCGGCATCTACACCTCCAGTCACAACGCCAGGGCCAGCTCCTCCAGGAGCAACTACACCACCGCCCGCGACTCCTGCTGGTACGCCGGTTCTTGATCCTCCCGCTCTTCCTGTCATCACACCGGAAGCGACACCACCCGCAGCTTCGCCTCCTGTGACAACTCCAGGACCAGGTCCTCCAGTTGTTACACCTGAAGCAAGCCCGCCAAGCCCGCCAGGGTCGACTGCATCCCCAACCACTCCTTCGACTTCCGCTGGTACACCGGTCCTTGATCCCCCCGCACTTCCTGTGATCACGCCAGAACCGACGCCTCCAGCTACCACTCCGGGACCTGCCCCTCCTGTGATCACACCAGGGATCACACCAGGCGCGACAACACCAGGCGCGACAACGCCAGCGACCGCTCCCCCCGTTACTACTCCAGGACCAGCTACGCCAATATTTACTCCTGAAGCAACTCCGCCAGCTCCCACTACTGTTCCCGTATCACCTCAAGCTGCTCCTCCTATCATCACACCAGAAGTGACGCCTGAACCTGCACCGATCGGTACTCCTGAAAAGAAGAAACGAGACTTCCCAGGTCGGTACACACATGGCAAGTACGAATACCACTATGGTTCGTACTTCCCTACCTTCTCAGGGCCAGAAGTCAAGCGATCAGTTGCTATCAACTTTAAATCGAAGAGAAATATACTTGAGGCTTCGTCGATGAAAAAGAGAAACTCGGTCGCGATCCCTGCGTTGAAACGAGCAGGGGATCTTCCTAAGTACAGGAGGAATTCACCGCCTCCGATTGACTTGGGATCGTCTCGACGGGCGAATGGCATGCAGAATGATTCCCCCTCTGACCCTGCGCGACCCGTGATTATCAATGATCCTCATCATTATACTCCACACACTGTCACCCCTCGGGTGTCGTCTCCTATGTACTTCGACTGAAATGTCTACTTTATAGTACACAGGCAGAGATTGCGAAAATGGAGACGTAGAGATCACTACTATACCTTGCTTTGATCTCAGTAATGACCCGTAATGCAAGTCATGAATTCACCCTTTTCCGAGTCTAGTCTCATAACAAAGACTTCTATCCGCCACATCCTCCTGCAGCTGTATATTCGCCGTGAATAACTGTAATCGGACCCAATTCTATCAATTCGGATATCTCGACGTTAACAAAAGCAAGTGCTAGGAAAGCGTCATGCAACAACATGCATCATCTACTCATAACCTTCCACTCTTCTACAAGCCGAACTCATCCCTAAGAAAGAACCTCGCATCTACGCTTGCTGTTTCTGCAGTCCAGCAAGCTCAGCCTTCAGCTTCTTCAACACTGCAACAGCCGCAGAGATCTCCTTATCCGTCTCCGCCGTTTTCGGTTTCGCCTTCAGCTCCCGGACAACCTGTCCCTGTTCTGCAACTTGCTGCTCCCAAGCCAGTACCTCTGCTGACTTAGGTACAGAATCTTGCTCACCCGGACCGGCTTTAGCAGCAGCAGCCTTCTTCGCTGCCTGAGCCTTGCGTTTTGACATTCCAGGCGCAACATGGGTAGCGTCAGCGCTAGGTTGAGCAGGCGGAGCATTGTCGTTCCCGCCGAATTTGTCTCTCCAAATGTCCGCCATCTTCTCATCGATCTTCTTGAACAGATGCTCGGGTTTGCCGATTTTGTGTCCAGCGAGGATATCGTTGCTGAAAACCTCGGGCACAGCTCGTTCGGGTGCGTTGAGCTGTTTAAGGATCGACTCGGAGGTGCTGGGCATGAACGGATGACTGAGGACTGAGAGGAGGTAGATGAGGTTGGCGGCGCGAGCCAGGACTTGGACACAGCGTTTAGGGTTTTCTAGCATCAAGGCCTTGTTGAGACCAGAGGATTGAAGGTAGAGGTTACCCCGAGCTGAGACTTGCATGACCAATTGAAGACTCAAGCGGAGCTTGACGGCTTCCATGGCGTCGATGTACTCTTTGAGCAGGGTATTAATATCGGAGATGAAGTCGGCGTCAGCCTCGTCGTTTGGTGAGAAAGGTCCTGGCGCATCTCCACTATTTGGTATGGTGCCGTCGTAATTTGCAGCAATGAACTTGAGTGCACGATTCACGAAATTGCCAAAGCTGGTCCGAAGAGAGTCAGGATATCAAGAGAATGGAGCAATGAAGAATGTCAACTCACTTGTTCAACAGGACATTGTTGTTCGCGGCAATCTACGAAGGGTATCAGTAATCTGCTTGGCAGGAAAATCGCGGAAAATACCAACGCATTCTGCCCACGAGAAAGTGGCATCTGCTGTTTCAGGTCTTGTAGAAATCAAGTAGTATCTCCAAACTGACACTGGAACTTCGGTCTCCCTTGCAGCAGGACCGAAAACGCCACGATTCTTGCTCTTCGAGAACTTTCCACCTTCGTAGTTCAGGAACTCTACAAATAGATTGTCAAGAAATTGAAAATGATAAGGTGAAATTTGACGAACCAGTAGTGTTAATATGGTGGAGCATGGTCCATGGACGGCCGTCCCCGATTTGAACAGATGGGAAGAAAATGGTATGGAAGTATACGTTGTCCTTGCCCATGAACTGGTATAGTTTGACGTTCTTATGATCGAACCACCATCGCTTCCATTCAGTTGAGTAGTTGGCGGTGATGCTGACATATCCGATGCAAGCCTCGAACTAGGAAAATGTTCAGATCTCGAGTCGCTACTATCAGAGCAATCAACATACCCAAACGTCTGTGGATTCATTAGTCTGCGGTATATAACGAGACTGGTGGATCTAAAGAAGACTCACAAAGCACCTTCCCCCTCATACCATCCTTGTCATCCTCGTCAACAGGAACAGGCACACCCCATGTCAGGTCTCTTGTCACAGGGCTCGGTCTCAAGCCCTGCTTCAACCTGGCATCGATCAGTTCACCTTCAGCATTGATAACCGAATTCGGCGACCAGTGGCCCTCCTTCCAAGACCTCCTGACAAATTCCTCTGTCCTGGGTTGAATTTCGTCTAGCCTAAAGTACATGTGTGCTGACTCTTTGGTGACGACTTTGTGATGCTTGTCGATTAGACATCTAGGGTTGATAAGGTCTATTGCATCGAGCGTCCTGCTACACGAGTCACATTGATCACCTCGTGCGTCCTAAAGAAATCACGATATGAAGCAAGAGAGACGAGCGGAAAGCACTTACATCGGCGCCGCAGTGTGGGCATGTACCCTCTACGAAACGATCGGCAAGGAACCTGAAGACAACGTCAGGATCTGAGTTCCGACTAGTGCGTGTAAAGCTACTGACTTCGAGCAATCTTCACAGTATGTTTGTTCCTTCGTTTGCCTTTCAAGGTATCCATTCTTCCCTAGATTTCGGTATATCTCTTGAGAAATCCTGGAGACAAAAGTCAGAAGCGTAAAAAAGAAGGTCCCGCGAAGCCTTACTCGGTATGTAGCGGTGTTGATGTACGACCAAAGTAGTCGAAGCTATTGAGAATGGATGAGATCAAGCAGGATCGAGAATCTGAAAGACACTCACCCAATATCAAACCACTTGTACGTCTCAACATGAAGTGAGTGGTATTTGTTGCAGAGCTGTCTAGGGGTAATCTTCTCTTTTATGGCTTGCGTTTCTGACGCAGTGCCGTACTCGTCGGTACCGCAGATATACAATGTTCTACGATTCCGTGTGCCTGTATTTTGACTTAGATGTTGTGATCGGTGCAAACGATCGAGACAACATACGGTTGTATCTGATACGAGAGAATGAGAAGGTTGAAAACAAATAGATCATGAGCACACATACCGTGCAAAGACATCTGCACTGAGAGTGCTTCCAATGATATTGCCTAAATATACGATCAATTAGACTTCCTGTGCAGTGCGACAACTAGGTGCTTACCGAGGTGGGGAACGTTGTTGCAATACGGAAGCGCGGAAGTGATCAAGACGTTCTTCTCCCCGTCTCTTGGCAATCTATGGAGTCCTGACTGTGAATGAGTATCTAACATCAGGGCAATATGTTTACTCACATTTGCTCGCCATGATTTGGAACCGATCGCAAGAGTCCTTCCGCTTCCCTTATTTTTTGTGCCATGATGTTGATAGTTCTTGACAACAAGCGGGGTAGATTGGTACTCTTATGCGCAAAGAATTGCGCCGAGCACCTGAGAAGCGGAATCGTGAAAACAGAAGGTGGTCAATCGATTCCAAGAGATATTGGTGGACAGACGCCCTTCGAGTGACTCGTTTGTCAAATTATAGTTTCCAGTCAGACGATCTGACTAAATAACACGTCCAGGTACCACAAAATACGCTCAATGCCAAGCGGAAAGGCGAAGAGGATTCTAGAAGAGTGAAGTACAAGCCTTCAAGTACTTATTCAACCAGAGCAGAATTTGAACAAACAAAACCGGTCGCGTGTCGCAATCCTCGCCAATCGGGAGTCGATCTCGCGTCTTCAGTTCTAGCGCTCAGTCTCGAGAACACCCGATAATCGACCCGATACAGCTGAGTATGTTCAATGAAGGATTGAAAACTATGCCAATGCCCAGTGTTCCTCAGCCCACGAAATCATTCATACACGTGTCAAGTATTAAAAATTGAAGGAGCAACGCGAAGTGGGTATATAGAACATACAAGTCCCAATCATCAGCGAGCAGGCCCAACGACAACTTGCTTCGTTTTATTGAAGTGACTAAATGTCTCGTCAGATATCTGAAGATGCGCCTTCACGAGGTCCGGAGGCGTCAAAGCCAGCCACTATTGAATAATAAGTGAGCAATTAGATGTTTCTAGGGAAAATGGTGGGCCATACCTGACTCAGGCTGACATCCTGGAAGCGATCTGTATTCAATTACATCAGTAAGTCAATAGAAGCCTCCCAGCAATTCAATTGAATCTCGCCTGTATTGAAGATCTCCAAGAAGTGAAGGGTGGTGTTACCCGTGTTCTCGACGAAATGACCTTCGAATCATGCATGAGAATCGGAATTCCCGGCCGGAACAAGTAATGGGCTTACCGAATGAAGCAGGAACATAACCCACGTCCCCTGCCTGTATCATGTCGAGTAAGGGAGCTGACGCTTGACCTGAGAAGTTCGGTGACCTACCTGGTAATTGAATGTTCTTGAATTACTGGAGGCTGCGAAAAGCGTGATTCTGCCTTGGCCCTCGCTGCGAAGCAATTAGCTCGACCTATAGAAAATAAATGGAAGCATTGACGTACAGGAAGAAGGTCCACTCGTCTTGAGTTGGATGCCACTGACATTAAGTCTCAATAAGAATCCACATTATTCAAGCATAGTCCGTGTTGACGTACGTGCAATTCCCTGTAGATTCAAGTTGATCAGAAGGAATATAGATCTATAGGAACAAAATTCACGAACCTCATTGCTCCCGGTTCCACTGTAACTTCTGCAGCCGCGATAGTCTTCGAAACCTTGAACGTTGTGGAATCCACGATCTTCGCAGTACCACCCGAATACTGAACCGGCTTCACCTGGGAGAACTGGAAAGTGAATGGCGAAGGTACTTGACCCTGAGGATTGTCAGGCGCCTTTGCGTCATCAGCAGGAGGAGCTTCAAGATAACAACGTTAAGACAGCTCCTGGACATATCAAAAGGGAAGAGGTAACATACTGTCTGGGAAGATATAGAGTTGTTTTGAAGGAATTTGCGAGAAGGATTCAAGCGATGTTTGGAAATTCTTCGCTATTACCGACAGAGGCGTGTGTGCCAACCAATCCGTCAGCTGAAACGTGGTATGATCAGCAAAAAACTGGTATGCAGCAGGCAATTTACTCACAAGAAAGGTGGAATCTTCACTGAAGTCGCCACTGTCGAATACCTACCACATCGTTAACGAAATGAAGTGTCAAGTGGAACCCGGGGTACACACAAGGAGGAACTCGCTCCCTTCACCGTCGGCTGTAGCCTGCAGCGAATGGGGAATACCTGCTGGAAAATACCACAGATCTCCAGGGCCCTGAGCAGCAGTCAGTGTAAACCCATGCTTTCTTTGGAGCTATACGTACGACTGTTGCCAAGAAATTCTGACCGTCCTGGTTTACGGAAGTAACTTGTGTCTTGCCCTACAGAATCACCTATCAACGACGTAAGCACAATTCAAGATCATCGTGACTTACCTTCAATATATATGCCCACTGCACAAATTTGGAATCGACTCAGTCTCTTGTGGAACAAAAGTAATAGATTCGCTGATACTCTTACCTCAGCGGTCTTATGCCAATGTAACTCGCTATGGATGACATCATTAGTGTGAGCCAGGCGAACATGACACACAAAACTCACCGGACCGCACCAGGTTCCAACCGCATGTTAACTCCAGCCATCTCTATAAATCAACACAGTGAGCATAGTGCAGGGTAAGTGTCATCACAACTTACGGCTCGCCATCGGCATCACAGCGGCTGTAGATCATGACGTCAACATCAAAGCTCGAAGTCTAACAAGCCTACAAAGATACTTACCATTCTGTTGCCGAGCCCATCCACCCGTCTGCAGTCGATTGTGACTTAACGCAAAAGGCCATTTGGCATTCCCCCTGTATATATCGAATAACCATAAGCGCCAACGGAAGAAGATGTGGATCACACGTACACTGTACCGAAATCGGTGGTTGGTGGTGCCAATAGATCGGGGTTCTCCATGTCGATCGGTTTGTTGTCTGGGCCGAGGATAGTTGCACCGAGGGAGCCTCGTATGGGAACGGGGGATGGTACCACATCATTGGGGTCATCAGAGATAGGTGGGTCCGTGGCACTGGGTGCCAAAGCTGAGGAAGAAGGTGTTACTGGCTCGATCGAGGACGAGATAGAGGATGGCAGCGCTGCAGATGAAGATGCCGAAGACGCAGTGGACAATAAACTAGAAGACACGGTGCTGGTGGGTGCGCCCGTCGAGGAGCCTAATAGTGCTCCAAGCACAAAGAGGTGAACGGCTAGTTTGAACATGATGGGGATCGTTCTGGGAACCTATCACAAACTAGTAATTTGCACACCGCGTTTTATATGCATGGAGTCGCGAAAAATGGCGGTTGGGGAGGTGCTACCCAAAGAAGACTCCGTGAAACCGACGGAGATTATAACCGCAGCTCGTAATAGTCAAGGATTCCGGTGCAGAACGTTATTGTTAGCCGCATGACATACCGGTGTCCCGGTTGAACCACGGGGAGCTGGTGCAAAAAACGTACGCCTTTGGCAGTCGCTACACCATGGGACAATTATGGCCGTCTGTTGGACAAGATTGCTTCATCCGTGATCGAGTGGGATATCAAACATAACGGTCATCCTTCGGCGTTCGCTTTGTCAACGTTTAGACATCCGGGGAAACGTTTGCACACGTATCTTCCATGAATATAGACCAGAACCCATTTGCGATGACATAGGCAACATTCGACGAAGTTAGCCTGTGCGCGTTAAGGAGAACGGAACGGATGAATGAGCAATCAGACATCCCGATGGGAATGATATCTAGTGCTTGTTGATTATGCTGCCTCAACCCTTGTGTCTTCAGTTAGGCGCAGGCTAAGCGTTGAAGCCGTCCAGATGACCCTCCAGCTGTCATCAATCCAAATATGGAATTCGCAAAAGTTCGCGGGAGCACTCACCGAATACGTATACGTATACGTACACGGCCACCCTTGATATATTTTCCCATGAATTTATAGATTTGGAAGCGAAATGTGGCCTTGAACTCAAAATCGACGAGGATGTGCGTGTTGCCGACGGAACAGGTGACTGAATTGGTGTCAGTTTCTTTCTTCTCTGTTCTAGAAGTGATTCCAGATACTGTCTGCACAGTGGGAAGAAGTGCGGTCACCGCTCATACAAAGGCAAAATATGAGGACGGAGATTGAAAGTCCATACGGCCACCTACAAAAGCTCGCGTTGCAGAAAAACGGTCAACGTTAATGACGCCACTCTCGTGGCATCGTGCGTAATAAATCGTCAGGTTGTGGACCTTCATCAGTGAAATCAGCTAGTACGACGAAATCTGGGGGTAAAAGAGATTACCGGTCAGAACCGACAAACGTTGAGAATAGATAGCTGACTTGGATATCATTCCTAATTATATGGACCTTGTATGCTGCGCCGGTAGACGAGATGTCCGTCCGCCTTTTTCCTGCAGGATGTGTGAATTGCAAAAGGCGGGCAGAAATTCCCGGATACGGCATTGCAATATCCAAGCACGGCGCATAGCGTACACATCGCGTTATAACCACACGAGCAGGTGTTAGGAGCGCCTTAGAAGACACTGGATCAGCACAATGTCTGACAGACGAAGCCCAAGTCGGATGAATCATAAGTCAATGGCAAGAGTTCGTATGCTCAGTTAAAGAGTGTTGCAAAGGGCCGGAAGAAGCAAGTCAGGCACTATCTCTAAAAATGACCTTCGAAGTTCAGCGATGCCAAGGACTGCAGATGCAGTATGTGTGGTTGGTTGCAACAAGCTTGAAGCCATGACGCACGACTTCATGAGCCGAATGAGTAAGCCTATAAAATAGCCAGGAGAGAGTTACGGTGGAATGAGACCGCCCGTGACAACGGGACGTTAACAGGGAAAGACGCCGACAGTCTGACCCTTGCCCAAAATACGAATCTCCTGTTCGGCTTCCACGAACCATGAGAACCCTTTGTCGCGAGCCTTTCTACCGGTCGCAACCGCATACTTCATTTTGCGAAAAAGAGACCTGTAAGGAAGTCCTTGAGCGTGCAAATGCAGGTGGGGAACTGAGCTGAATGGGGGTATATGAAAGCCTAGACTAAAAACAAGAAATTTACTACATTTTAGCTACCGGTAACAAGTACTTTCACGTAGAGCACGAACCGTCGTTGATTTTCAGGAACATTATGGTCGCTCAAAAGCGTATGGCCAATTTTAACTAATCTTTGAACTAATAACATATATTCAGCTAAGGGTACCTGGATGAAGCGCAGTACATACCCATGTCCACATCCGACTTAGTCAAAGTTTTCACTGTTCCTGTATCAAAGACGCAAGCAGTGTGACCATCAGCTATCTAAGCTAAGAGGAGGGGGGGAAGGCGAATTCGAAGCTTCCAAAGTTTGTGGAACGTAACGCTTCAAGTATAGAACACAAGGAGAAAAGCTGTATAAGCAGAATCCATGAACTTACCGACATGTTCTTTGGGAATCACGAGAAAATGGTGCTCGGCGGCAGGATTATGATCCCGAAATGCGACGAAGTGATCGTCCTGCGCAAGGAATGCAGTATTTAGCGTCCGACCAGTTCATCCATTTTACCTTGATCGCGGACCTCCCATACTACGTCGAATCCATTTGATTTCGACACGTTGCAGAATGTACAGCGCCGCGTCCACGCCGTGTCCCCCTCTTCAGTAGCTGCGGAAGAGCCACATATGCGCAATCCGCAAGTAGATATCGATACTTTCGACATAGCGATACCCTTCAAAACGAAAGCGCGAATGGACTGCAGGTTGCAACCAGGTTGAAGGATTCCATTACGGTTTTGTGTAAGTACAGTAGATGCCGGTCGGAGATCATTCGGAGCGATAGAGCTTCAGACTCAGTGCATAGTTATTCACCCTCCGAAAGCTTCAAAGTCCGCGTCTATTGCACCGCACTTCAATGATAGTCCCACTCAGACGCCGAGAGCCATGGTTTCTGACATCAACTACTTATGACAGAATACTGACCGCCACACCCTTAGAACAGACCTATAACCTATACGGAACATAATCTCCAACCATGTCCTACACCACTGAGGCGGAGGAAGCCGGAGCATGTCCCCATTTATTGTCCACGTTTACGGATGACGGGGTCAGATCGGATATCCTTCAGAAATACCGAACCGTTGTGTCATGGGCAACATCTCGTTCATATGAATCCCAGCGACCGGCTAAGAAACGAAAAGTACGCGTATCCATGTCGAGCACCTGTGCGCGTTGAACACCTAATTGATTTTCTCAGCTTTCTACCCCACAATGTGGTTCTTGTGGAATCGCGTTATCCCGGCCTTTTGTCTGCCTGCATTGCTCATATTCCGGATGTTGGTCCTTGTCCCACATTCAAGGTCACCTCTCTGAAGCCGGACACCACTTCTGTTCGTTTCCGTTCATATTTTCCCCTTCGTGCATCCACTGACGACATCTGGATATCGCTAATGCGCAATCCCGCTTACACAACTCTTGTCACACAGGTGTTGACGCGAAGTCCGGCTCTATATTCTGCAGCGAATGCGACGACTTCGTATATGACGCTATTATATCCGACGTGTACAACTCCACGACACTTGCTTTGGAAGAGAAATATACGTCCTTTCAAGGTAAATCATCCCAGCTCTCTTATTTCATGCACGGAGACTCAATTTTAGTCAGTGGCAAAGAAACGCCGTGAGCCCTTCCGGCCATGGACTCCAAACGATAAGGACACGGAAGCCCTTGACGGAGCCACGTCTTTGCCTTGCATAGGTAAATAACGTCTTTCTAAATTAGCGACTGTATGCCCATGCTCAAAGTGGGTCACCAGGTCGTCGGGGCCTGCTGAACCTGGGACAAACCTGTTTTCTCAACGTCGTACTACAATCGTTTCTCGCGAACCCTCTTCTGCGCAACTACTTTCTCAGCGATAAGCACAATCATAGGCTCTGCAGCAGGGGCAAGGATTGTACCTGTTGCGAGATGGATACACTATTTTCAGAGGTATCGATCATCTATTTTAGATATCCTCGGAACCGGATGTTTATGTGGAATTCTACAGGTCTATTCAGGGAACGAAGCACCTTTTGGCCCCACAACCTTCCTGTCGACGACATGGCGTGCTTCATCAGAACTGTCAGGATACGCCCAACAAGACGCTCACGAGTGCTTTATTTCCGCTCTGAATCAGATTCACGCCACATCTCGTGGTTCAACAAAGCTGTCATGCATCTGCATTGTCCATTCGACGTTTGATGGATTGCTGCAAAGCGACGTCAAGTGCAAAAAGTGCGGCAATGTCACAACCGCCACTGACCCAATGTTGGACATCAGTCTGGAGCTGAAGGGAAAAATTGGAGAGATTGGTCGGAACAACACCCTGGCCTCATGTCTCCGAAGGTGGGTCATGCGAACTACACGTATCCGGGCGTAATGTCTTAACCCGTCGCGCCCAATGTCTCAAAAGGTTCACACAACCTGAAGAGCTTGGAGCAACCGAGTATAGCTGTGACAAGTGCGGAAGATGTCCCGTAAGCCTCACGCTGCTCATAACGGTGAACTCTGATATCGAATAGATTCCATATCCGCAGGCGAGCAAGCGTCTGAGTATACGAAAACTCCCTCCAGTGTTGAGCTTCCAATTCAAAGTAAGCGCACTGTTCATCGTCATATCTTCAGCTTCCGAGGGCAAGAGCTAATCATAATCCAGCGATTTGAATACAAATCAGCGGACCGCTCGTCCGCGCAGAAAATCGAAGCCTCCGTTCGATTCCCAGCAAGTCTAAATATGGCCGAGTATACGACACTTGTCATGAAGGCACAGGAAGGAGAACGGGAGAAGGGTCAGAAAACGGAAGGATCTTATCCCAGCTCGTGAGTGTTTCCCTCAAGATGTTGTCAATGTGTGCAATTGACAACATGCGATTGGCTAGGGACATTGGTCCACAAGCGATGTATGAGTATGACCTCTTTGCCGTCATCTGCCATGACGGTCAAATCGACAACGGACATTACACCTGTTTCGCTCGTTATCAGGATGAGGTACGCATTACTTAACACGTATGCTGTTATATATCTTCCATTAATAGACCACGCAGTGGTACTACTTCGATGACGATAAGTGGGTCCCTCCTTACTTCATCGCTATTCATATTCCTCACCTCTTTCCTAGAGTCACTCATTCCTCCCTCGGGGCATGCCTGAAGTCGCAGGCCTATATGTGTTTCTACGTCAAGCGGCGTCTCGACTATAAGCCGTACGTAACCCCGTCGTATGTCGTCGCACGGGAAGCGGAGGCTATCAAGGAAAAGGAACGAGAAAGGGAAAGGGAGGCCGCGCTTACAAAGGAAGTAGACGACGCCTTGCTAGAGTACGTGTAAGTTATGTGTCGGACACAATTAGACCAACCATGTCTATCGCTCACTCTTGGGAATCTTTGTTGGAATACGGTTTATAGTACAGTCCGACGGTACTTAGCATGATACAAAAGTGGAAGGAAAAGCAAGGTAAGAAGTATACAACTAGTGTGAGCAATACTTGCGGTACTTGTTCCGCGCGAATGGTGAGAGCAGTCTAACTGAAAGGGAATGAAGGAAGCTCGAAGATCGAATATGAGAAGAACGGAACCAATCTAGAGAGACCTCATCAAGGAATAATTTCCTTCAACTCGCCCTCAGCCACTCGAATCTCAACAACCTCGACCTCGTACTCCATCATGGAGGATGCCGCGGATGACACAGAAGAGGATACAAAACCGGCAGCATTAGGAGGTGAGGTTGAAGCGATGTCTTTGTGGCGCGAGGAAAATGTGAAGTAATGTCAGCAGATCAAACACTGGGGAGACGAAGGAAGAGAAACGAACATCTATCCTTGATATATGGTGGCACGAACAGGTCCTACGAAGCAGTAGAGTTAGTAAGCATATATCTGATATAACATTCAGAGTACTTGCCTGATTCCAAACAAAGCCCTGACTTCTCTGGATAGTCAGAATAGGCCGAAGGGGAATCTGTGGTTGTCGGTGCTTCCTGTGTAGCTGACGCTTGGGGCTATCATGCTCAGGCTCAATGGCACGTTGCTTGCCCTTTACATCCTTCTTAAGTTCGGCGAGTTTGTCCTCAGGAGCAGCTTCATCGCCCTCATCTATCTCCATGTCGCGGTCGACTCGGGACTCTTGATTAGCACTGTGAACGACAGAGTGATCACCATCAGAGTCACTATCGCGCGGAATGCATCGCCCGTAGTCCTCTTCGTCTTCGGAGCAGGAGTTATCCTCCGATCCGCTGTCGCTGTAACCGTCGTCGTAGGGAATTTGCTCGTAGCATGCCCACGTCGGAGGTGATGGCGCTCGACCAAGCGTTCGACGCCGGAAGTAGTCAGGACAAGTAGCGTTGCTCATATTCAGTATGCTCGACGATGCACGCGGTGTCGACGCCGTCCAACTTGCTGGCGACTAGTTGATGATGGTGGTCTGAATTCAAGGAGACTTCAAGTCCGACCTCAGAGTTCCAGGTTAGGGTGATGCACCGAGACCGCCCGGTCGCCACGAGGCCTAATATTCCCACGCCCATGACTCGGGATCCGGTGGCACTGTATTTGGATTATTGATCTTGTCTTCCTCCACATTTTGTAGGAATATGTCGGGATCCAAGTATGCATATGTCAAGAGCTATGAAACTCCTGACAATTTGCTCCCGGGCACCTTCATCGTCGTGCGCCTTGATGGACATGCTTTTCACAAGTATGTGTCGATCCGCCGTTTAAGCGTTCATTGTCAACTTACCAATATTGGCGAAGTCTAGCTTATCCCAGAAACATTCGTTTATTAGACCAAACGATGAACGAGCACTGCAGTTAATGGACAATGCAGCTCGTGACGTCATGGATGAATTTAAAGATGTCGTTTTGGCATTCGGTGAATCCGATGAATACAGGCATGCGATACACTATGCTCTGCTACCGATCAACGACAATAACACCACACAGCTTTCTGTTTCGTAAGACCACTGCGGTATACAAACGCCGCCATGCCAAAATATTGACCACGATCACTTCATTGTTCACTTCGTCCTATGTCTTCCACTGGCACCGGTACTTCCCCGAGACTCCGCTACAGTATCCTCCTACGTTTGATGGACGGATTGTTTTGTATCCGTCAGCTCAGGAAGTAAGAGACTACTTTGCTTGGCGTCAGGTGGATGGTATGTCTCCATTTCCGTAAACAACACCGTTGATCTAATGCCGGCATCTATTCACCAGCACACATCAACAATCTATACAACACAACATTCTGGGCGCTTGTTCAGCAAGGTGGTGAAAGCACCACACAAGCACATCATACCCTGAAGGTATGTAGAGAGCTGCTGTTGTCACATTCTATGTCGAAAGATGCCTATTTCAGGGGACGGTCTCAAAGACCAAGCATGAGATATTGTTCTCGCGGTTCAATATCAACTATAACTCGCTACCAGAAAGGTTCCGCAAGGGTTCCGTTCTCGTCAAAGAGGTATGCTACTATTTGTTCCGCTCTGTTTGCGGCGGACGAGTTCACAATCAACATACAGGACACGCCAGTCGAGGGAGAAGTCCCCGAAAAGGCCCAATCTCTCGACACTCGAGATTTGAATAATTCAAAGACCTCTTCACAAGTGGTACTCCATCATTGTGATATAATCAAGGATGACTTTTGGGATGCAAGGCCTTTTCTCTTGTCAAAGTGACCAGCGTTGTTTGGTCCTGCTTGGCAATGGCTTCTGTACTGCTTCCTAGAAAGGAAACCTTTGTATTCGAAGTGCCCACGGCTGACGAGGCTAATCTTGCCAGCCTCTCGGTGAATAAAGGCATGGCTGAATTTGGCCAACGTTGTGTTATTCGTTTCCTACCACATCGTTTTCGATCATTTTTCATTTGTTTTGTGCGACGGTCCGATTAGCGTATGTATTATTCTGAACCATTCTGGTCGAAATCTGATATCATGTTATCCAGAATATGATCCCAATCATGACCGTGCTACACAGGTTGTTTCGACACGATTCCAATCCCACTTCTCCGCCATACACATCTGAATGGAAGCGCAGAGCGGCCTCCGTCATCTCGCCCCGTAAACAACGTGCGGAGAAACGGCAGTCCGGAAGATCGCTGAAGAGACATGCACTTCACACACCACCGTCCTGTGGCCTCGATACTCCTCGCTTTTCACCTCTACTCACGACATCCGAGTCTGGTGAGGATGATTTTACAATGACATCGGAGAGTTTTGAATTCATCCGGACCCGCGGCGCCAATACGCGAGATCAGTTCTATCGCGACCCTAGCCGAGCTGCTGTGTCCGATATGGTCGTTTGTTTGTCCCCGGTCGCCCGTTGGCAAGAAGAAGATGTAGAGCCCGAAACCGAGGAGGATCAGGAAGGCGAGGAGGACCCATTGATGCTTGGCACGGATTCATTGTTCTGGAGAAGAATGCTTTGTGATTTCCAACATATTTCGACACCGATTAGCGCCATTGATGACCATTTGGTCCCTTTGCTGTCCGACAACCGCTATCGTACTTTCTTTCCTGCGTACCCTGGCTTTGTCTCACCTGATTAGTTTGTCTTGGTGGTCGAGATGTTGTGTTCATATCATTTGATGGGCAGAGTTACTTTTTTGCTCCTTGTCCCTAGCTACCTTGTTCTCGGTCCTTGGTTACCTTGTTCTATCAATGACGATCATATCCTCCCACATGGTCTATGAGTGATTCGATGCGTTTTCATTTTCGATAGCAGGTGCACATTGGGCATATAGTCAAAGCATGTAATCAACGATTAAACTAAGGAACGAGACGTGTATTTGTGGTTAATGAGTGAGCAAAGCTTGGAGATGGAGGAAAAGAGCGCACAATGCCAGGTAGTTTCACAGCAAGAACCGTGAAAGCAAGACCAGACATGATTCGTAGATAGAGGAAAAAACAGGTGTACTTGGGTGGAGCGCAATCGAGAAAGCAAAAAAGGAGATTAAAGGCAGCATATTTTCCACAACGCATGATGAGAGAAAGATAACGATTGGACGGAACACGTTATGCAGGATGCACGTTAGCAGATGGACAGCGTTGAAGAAAGTAAGAGCAAGAAAGAAAGCAAGAGATGATTGGAAGATGAAAGGGGCATACTGTTGGATTGAAACCAAACTGGTTGTTGTGTGAGAGTTGGAGAGAAAAGCAAGAAAGCATTACAAAAGAAAGGAGATAGTTAGATTACCTTCATTCAGAGATTCTGCGCTACAAAACGCTTCGTTGGGGTATATTGACTTCCTCGACCTTATAAATCGGAATAGTCAGAGTCGCCAGACGATGTATCATCCATCCTTCCAGCAGACTTGTGCCAAGCACGTTGAGTAGGTCCGACATGGCGTAATCCAAATGGATTGTGACCACGCTCATTGCCTGCTCGGGGTATGGTCTGTCTGGAGGGTGGACCGCGATGGTTAGCGGCGGAAGAGGCGAACGCTTGTGGTGAACCCGCAGAGAACACGGAAGACTGCCTGCTAGTGGACGAGATAGTCGAAAGAGGAGGAGATGGAGCCGAAGAAGCGGGACTGTAACGGGACTGATTGGAGCCCTGAGGCTGTCCGAACGAAGATTGACCAAACGTTGCTTGGTTGACAGAAGTCAACTGACCGAATGGGGACTGATACGTAGATGTAGACCGATTGTTCATCCCCAGAGATGGCTGACCGAAAGCGGGTTGATTCGCGCGAGCCATAAGTCCAGCAGAATTAATGACGGAAGGCGTGAAAGGAACAGCAATAGCTCGACCATGGCCATTCTGGCCTGCCTGGCTGTCGAACGTGAATGCATTACTACCTCTGGGGTAGCCTCTGGGTCCCATATAGCCATGACCTCTCAGCTGTGGATCGATGTTGGGATCCTCCATGGGCATCAAGTCAGAGTCATAATCATCATCGGTGGGTGTGGTCTCTTCTTCCTCACGCCTCATGACTTCGACGTGTGGCTTCGCAATACTGCGCTCCACCTTCTTAGGTCGTGGATTGCGTTTGCGAGCACGCTTGTTTCCGTCACCCTGTCTGTGATCGACCATCCAGTAATTACCCTTGCCTGGTTCTGTGATAGGTCTTGAGACAGAACGGAAGATAGACTTGAGAGATAAGGTGTGTCGGATAGAACCCTATCACACTAGAGGTCAGTACCAGCGAATTTCCAAACGTTATAGAGATCCAAAGCAAAACACACCTGCCATGCCTTGTCTGAAGTCTTCTTAAACCAATCGAAACGATCCTCAATAGCGGAATAGATCTCTGCCAGCGTCAAACGTTTCTTAGGACTACCCAAGATGGCCAACTGGATGAGAAGAGGATAGGGGTATGTGGGTTTCTCACCAGGTGGAGGGTCTGCAAGAGCATGTAACCCGACCTCCTGATCAGGTCTGAGTCCAAGCAACTCGCGGACATGAGGAGTAGAGTCAGGGATGTCCGCTGCATCGGCAAGAGGAGCGGCACGTCTGGGTGAACGTCTCCGACCAGGCCCATGAGCATCGTTACCAGTTCCATGGCGATCAGTTTCTCCAGCGAGCTGATCGATCTCATCGGCGGGATCAGGTGCGAGCGGTGGTGGCGTTCGAATGGCACGCCGTGGTTGAGATCCAGGAGAATCGACAGACATTGCTTGTTCACCATTGTCGGCACCAGTAGGGTATGACTGTGTGCGTGGAAGGTAGTGAGGCGGGACATTATCGTTCTGGTTGGCTCGCAGGGATGGTTTCGTGTAGCGAATATGATCTAAACCGATCCTACGAGCATTCTGGTCATAAGCTGGATAACGTTCGCGATTGAATGCCGAAGCAGTGGCTGGCGGTGCGTTATAGGGTTCGTCATCAGCCAGGATGACATCCTCGTCACGATTGCGTCTCCTGGAGGTATTAACGCCAATAGAGTGCCTGCGTTCAGGCCGCTCCCTACCAGCACTCGATGCTGCAATTTGTCTCTGGGCATCAGTGCCACCCGGGTGATTGTCATCGCTCTCAGAGCTTGAACCGTCACTCCCGACCATCCTTCGACTATCGTCACGACGGACCCCTCGACCACGGTCACCCCGGGCGGCTACCGGATGTTGATACTCCTGACAGCAGAATACAAGGAGTCAGCGGGCCCCAGTAGGTGTGGCGTCGAAGAGGCTCACCCGTGCGGAGGGTGCACTCGCTACATGCTGCCTATTACTATCCCTTCCCTGCCATTCTGGTCTCTGGGTAGCTTGCTGAGCGCGTTGGGGTGGTCGCGGTCCTCGAGCAGATGGTGGAATGTAGGGCGAGTCATCAGCGAGAATAGAATTCGCTAAACGTTCCTCTCGTGCGGCTTGTATGGCGAAGTAAGCCTCCTCTTGAGCACTACGAAGCCTCAGAGGAGAAGTCGAGAGGCGGCGACGGGCGGAATAGCGAGCAGAGTCACTGGATATATCTGGTGATGGCGAACGAGAGCGAGAGTAGCTACGATAACTAGATCGCGACGATGGAGAGAGAGAAGCGTGTCGTGCTGCCGACGTACGCGTCGGGGGACGCCCACCTATGCGCCTGTCCATTTGAGGGGCGTCGACGGGACCCACAGCGCCAAATTCGACGTCGCGAACGAGGAAGAGAACAAAAATTCAATAGCGCCGTGTGCGGCCAGGGCGGGGGGTCAACACAGACTGTGTACGTCTGTGGGTCCACACCTCCAAAAGCGAACAATGCAGCATGCCAGGGCGAGCGAGCTATATACTCTCATCGTAGAGGGTTGCCACTACTCTACGTAGTGGCTTCGGTGTTATTCCTGCACTTCACAGATTTTCAGAGAATGTGCTTTCATTGACCTCGGGATAACATCCGTAAGACGAGTGGCATGGCGCCGAGGGTCCTATTAACCGAACGTCCGCATCCGATTAGCCAGCTCTTTTCTCTGCCGAAAAAAACTGCTCACCAGCTGGAATGCATCAAACACTTCTCATTCTTTGACCCACAACATTTTTCGGAACCTATGTACGCTCGTAGGCACCAGTGGAATTGAGTACTGGGCCCACCGGAAATAGCCGATCAGACGCTGCTGGGACGAGCGCTGTTAGCCTGTTGCTTGCTTATTACCATCGTCCTCGTTTGTTGTCGTGCTCTTGCTCACCATCATTGCGTCGGGACTGCCTGATGTAGCAAGTGCCACATCGTGGTGCACTGTTGGTACCTGCCTGAACCAGTAATCGGAAGGAATCTCTGGGTGGCTCTATGGCCTTTTCCGAAAATCCGCGGTTAAACGATGAGGAATACCAGGACTACGAGCGCACGACTATTTGCATCCCCTCTTTGACTCAGTCTTGGAGCCTAGATGCATGGAAGTATATCCCGGCCAAGACGCCGGGTCCCTACCCTGTGATTGTGATGTTCGTCGTTCCATCCTATTAACGGAAACGTCACCCTGGATGTTCACGGCGTTTACAGGGCACATAGTTTGAGTGCAAAAGGGTCAATGGGACTGGAAACTTACGCTCAAGCGTTCGTATCACTGGGATATGCATGCGTTGCTTTCGATTATCGGCATTGGGGATCCTCAGGTGATGGCTTTAGCCACTCGTAATGCATGCAGATGACATTGATACGACTGGCATTCGTCCCGGCGCCACTCCTGGACATGTTGGGATCATAGATGGAAAGCCTCGCCACTCGATATTCGTCTCAGAGCAACTTGAGGATTACAGGACTGTAATCGAGTTTTGCCGGCAACAGTCAAGATTCGATTCTCAACGTGTGATCTTGTGGGGTTCGAGCTTATCAGGTGATTCACTGAACGGCCAAGTGTATAAGACACCGGAACCCCTAGTACTGACATGTCACTCAGGAGGGCATGTGGTGCTGCTTGCTAGTGAAGTAAGGTTCCTATTGTTCCTCTCTACTTACTCTGATTGGCTAATGAGCCTTCCAGAGAGAACTCAATATATGCGCTGCTATTGCACAGTGCCCATATCTCGGCATTGCCGTGAGACCTTCCTTGAACGTGGCCGGATTGAAGACTGTTGGCTACGCGCTTCTAGATGTGTTAAAGCAGGCCGTGGGACTGGCGCCAGTGTTGATACCTGCAGTTGCGCCTTATGGTGAGGTGGCAGCACTTCCTACATCTGGTCCAGTCCAGAGCATGTACAAACTTGTGTATGATGAAGGGTGAGTAATTTAGGGGCCATCGTGCAAGCAAACTGAAATTCAAGTGTACGCTGAAGCCCCTATCCGAAAGAGGTGAGTTGTATATGTAGTCGAAGTCTCTGCGCTAACAACCTTCAAGATTACAGCTTCAAGCCTGTTTGAGATATTATTCTATCGGCCTAATTTGTCTGCCAAGAATGTTACTTGTCCTGTCCTCATCGTCGCCCTCAAGCAGGATGAACTTTTCGATATTCGGGGAGCAGTAGAAGTTGCTCGTGATGCGCCAAATGCTCAACTCGTCGAATTTGATGGAGGTATGTTATAGAATGAATTCGCTTCTAACTTCTTCACGCTTTTGCAGGGCATTTCGATGTGTACCCTGGTGGACGACTGTATGACCAGTCGCTTACGGCACAGATGACGTTCTTACTCAAACAAGTACCTATATGAATGGGACGGCCTCTTTAGTCTCTGCTTGGCGAATTTCATTTGAGCGCACGACTTGCTATTGAATAGATCATATCTTGGAACCGACCGAGCAAACCTCCTCTTTGTCGGATCTCCTATTGCACGTGATTAAAGGCGGCCGACGCGTTCAGATCGCGTAGGATTCATGGCGCGATCGATCAAGTCTCGCCCCGCTCTTGAGTTGCACGACCGATGGTGCTAATCATCGTAGATGGAACATGTTGTCCTAATCTATTTTCCCCTGGCTGCCCTGGGCTCGCGCGCCTCTACTTCAAGATCGTACCACTTGGAACTCAAATCATTCTAGCCTAGGAGCAACCAGGGAATACAGAAATTCTGCTTGTACCAGGAAATCTTTCACGTGAATCCTCCGAGTACCGGTCATGGCGACATGTATGTCCTTGTTCCATATATGTATGTTCTTTAGTCTCATCACAGCAACCTTGTACTTTTAAACAGCGTTAACGCAAAATCGTACAATGGACCTCCAACCGATTGATAGGCTAGATAGGAGACAATGTCATTGATTGCAAATGATGCTTAGGCTTTTCACGCCATTAACATATGTTCTCACCGAGTTATCGATATGCCTATCGCGGCTCCTATCTGCGTACGTGTTGTTCTTAGATTATTGAGCCTCTCGATGTTGACGATTGCACCCTAGAAATGGTTGGTATCAATGAGGCCAGAAGCGGGTGGGATCCGGCGAGTTCCCGGGTACTCGGGTCTACTCTACCGACACTATGGCGACATCGCATTCACCTTATCTTGCTCAGCAAACTTCGAATATTGACACGAGACTCCCTTGTTGGCGGACTTTGGACGAACGAGCTCTGACTTGACTTTCGCTAGCTTTGCTTCTGACAAAGGTTTTGTCTTGGCGGAGATAGGCACGATGCCGGATGGTCCAACAATGAGTGTACGAATGATGATGGCGGATTCATCTGCACGTTTCTCTGAACGAGAGAGGTTCTTTTCGTACTTCTCAAAGTCGTCGCGGCCGTGACGTTTCCTGTCGTGCTCTGCTACAGCAGATAGAGTAGGCGTTCCAGCTTCGTGCCGGGCACTTCCACTGAGAAAAGGAAGTTTCCATGAAAACCGTCTGCTGCTACGGTCACTATGAGGCGTCATCACGGTGTCAATGGTGGGTCCCGTGTAGGGCTGGGAGGACGCATCCTGTGTGATTTGAGACTCCATCTTGGGCTCCGGATCAGCCTCCTTCCCTGCCTCGCCCTTGGATGTACCTTTCTCAGCTGTCTCAGCCTGTCCGTTGGAAGACGGGGTGTCGACTACGACGTTCGCATCCTTCACGCCGTTGGATTGTGCGAGTGGGGCGTCTGTCGACTTAGGCCTGTCTGAAGAGCGAGTAAGAAAGCCAAGCATGATTGATAGCCTGCTCTTATGCTGGGACCTGCATATATAGTCCTCGGGGTAGCTGGAAAGGCGCTGTCTGCATTCTTCGTCTAGCAACGCTCAAGAGACACGACCGTGAAAGTCTTCCAACGGGTTCAAAAGCGGCAATTGCTTCTGTGATCGCGTTCAGATCCAGATCGGGCAGCCTCTCAGATCCCCCCGAAAGGCTCAGATTATAGGCTGCCTTGCTGGCCCAACGCCACCAATTGGTGCAGCTGAGAGTCACAACAGGAATCAATCGGTAATCATGCGCTAGGTGCTTGATATTTAGTGTCTTTCGTAAACTTTGTACGCGTGGAGCACCAAACCCAATATTTGAGACACAACTGTGACAAGTAGTAAGGACATTTGAGTTGCGTGGACTCGGTACTGCGTCACTGCATGTCCACTAGAATACCGTATGAGATGCCTCAGACTCGTACTGAGGAGGTTCCAATTCCTCAGCATGACCAGCCCCCGAAGGAGGTAGTCGCGTCATGGCTCGATTCAGTCGTTGGACAAGGTCAGGAATCGATTCTTCCACGGATGGCGGTCGATACGGCGAAACTGAGCGATGAGCATCTGGTCCGTCCATGGCATTGTTACTTGTTGAGGCGTAGCTGAGAACTATGGCAGAGCGGCGCTTGTCTGATGAAGGCATCATAGTCGAAGTCTCGGATGATCCAAGCTCAGACGAGGGCAACTGGTACATCGCGCTTGCAGGGAGAAACCTCGGCATATCGGTAACATGGTACTGCTCTTCACCATTGAGAGGTTGTGGAGCTTCCTCAATTGGTGGCTGAGAGACAAGTCTGTTCCGTTTAGATCGCTGCCATAACGCGACCAGCAAAGCCACGACAATCAACGCTACAAATGCAACGCCTCCAACGATTATACCAATGATGCTCTTGATGCTGAGATGGGCCCCAGATGAAGCAGAGGACGAAGGATCTAATGTTGGACTTGGTAGTGGCGAAGTTGAAGTGCTCGCGCTGTAATCACATTAGTCAATGCTCTCACACACCACCATGATGGAGCGTACTTTGGTAGTGGTGTGGGTGTAAGTACTGTGCTTAAACCTGCATTTAACACATCCAGCGCCAACAATTGTCCCCAAGGTAGCACGCGATCGGCCACTGGAGGACCACGCCAACTTGGAGAAAAAAGGGTACTGTTCGGCGGCCTAGCAAGATCAAGTACAGCGTTGAACTAATCCCATTAGTTGAGTAAGGAGGCCTATATATGAAAGGAAATCCTTACCTGTACAGCCAAGAAGCCTCGAATTAGCTTTGCTAGGTCCGAATTGGCATCAATTCTGGACAATGTTTCATACAACCCTCTCACAATTACGCCTAATACTCGTACGTAAACCTGAAGGTGATCACCCAATGTCATGATGAACGTACCTCTGACGTAGAGGATGCCTGCATTTTCTAAAGGTTTGTAATCTGTTATGTCTAACCGTCATTGGGCATGAGCAAAACTGCGGGCTTGAACGGAGACACTAAATCACCTTCATCAAAGATCCCGTCTCCATCGTAATATCTACTAATAACAGCGAGGATCATGGATTGCATGCTATTGGGAGCGGAATTGGATCAAGAGCAGCGACACGCATTCAAATTGACTCACTGAATGGCCAACTTGAGATCCGCATTCGGCAGCATAGATGTGTATACACCGAGTCCTTCCATGGCAAATCCCACACTCTGCGAAAATGGAAGTGTCATAACCCGAGTTTCACATGAGCTCATATTCATCAGTCTGAGGTTCAGCTGCTTCCCCAGGAATGTCATGGCGAATTCTGCAGTGAGACCTGCTGCATCGACGTAACGGCTGTCATTGGTGGCTTCGAACATATATGCAGATAGCCTATTAGTCTGTTATCAAGATGCCCCGTGTTACAATATGAGGTACGAACGATAACAAGGCTCTGCGTGGTTGAATGAGTGGGTAAAGCCAACAGCAGTGCGGTAATGAGTGTGACGAACCCAACCGAATAGAGATCCACATATTGAACATCCATATTGTCCATATCCTATACCAACAGTTTTAGAGACTGGACATAATGTGTTCGTTGCTGTGCTTACGAGAAACACGCCGCCGGCGACAAGAGCTATACAACAATTTCACAACTCGATTGATTTCTGCATAGAAATTGGTGAGGAGGACGTACAGTCGTCACAATAGCGTGCTATCGTGAGCCCAGGCTTCAACAAAGAAAAATGCGAGCGGCTGCCGTACATTGCATCAGCAACGGTGATCATCCAAAAACTTGCGGAGTCCCATAATGAGGCAGCCAGATCAAGAAGGTATTGATCACCATATGCGCGGTAGGCAGATATAGCTGCTAGAGCTCACATCCTGCAAATAGATGAGGCCTCGACGCGACAAAGCTCATATGATACATACAACGTAAAAGTGGTTCGCCGCTCGCCTTCCTGATGTCCCATTGAAGATTGTACGACGTTGATAAACAATTGCTCGAGACACGTGGAAAACCTGGACTCACCCTGCCGACAATCGAAATCAGCATGAACAACGGCGAGTTGCGGCAGACTTACGATGGACCAAAATATTTCAATGGCTGCTGTCCAACAATCGCCAAATGCGTCGTGACGAGAGCTTCATTCGTTCTGTTGCCAACGAGTCTGTCGTAGTTGGCGATGGCGGCAAACAGGCTTGCATTCTGTTCGAAGCCCAAACCTTCAGATTGGGTTAATCAATGGGTCAGGGCGGACGTATGCCACACTGACCATCCACTTGTCCAGTAGAGTGATTGACTTGAGGCGCGATGGCATCTATCAACGCTTGGGAGAGTGTGATGCAGTCCTCCCATGGGAGATCGAAAGTAGGTTTCTGTAGGTTGGAGTTTCAGGAAACGATCACTCGCGCGTAAGCCGATTTTACTCAACTCGCCATCCCAACGGTATGGAGAAATTTTGAGCAAACGTAGAGTAGGTTAGGGAACAAAGGACAAGCCAACCAAGGAACATGGCACCACCGTGTGCCAAACGGAGGTCGAAAGGGAGGTTGAGTCCCATTGGGTATAGGGTGCACTATATGGCTTCGAGCTCTTATGTGTACAATGAGGTGAGACATTGTGCACATCACCTCTTTTTAGGCCCTTGTGCTCACCAACTCGAATTTGACTAGCCCGCTGCTATTCACATTGCCTCGTGCGTCTGGAGGCTTCTTGATTGTGCTGATAATAAAAAAACAGTTTGAGACACTAGGTTTCTGGAGTCCTCAGGATCGAATTGAAATTCTTTGTGACGTTCACGTTCGAGCGATGGATGTTTTCGGTATACGTCCTAGCATATGACAGGGAGAAAATTGGTTCAAACAATAGACAGCGGTACGAGTGTGACTATGCAGGGTCGAGAGCTGCTCAAATCACACTTCTGCTGCAAAGTGCCGCTTGAATAGTCCTGGAGGATTCATAACTCGGAGGTTTAATATCGTCTTCGACACGGCGTACGCCGCCAGATGGCAATCGTACGATAGACCTGGTTAACAGGCGGACGGGATCCGGGATCGACTCGCCAATAGACGAAGGCCTATCCTGGTTAAAAGCTGAGCCCTGAGCCTCAAATTGTATATCGGGGCTATCTTCGGTATTTCTGGAAGAAGCGTAGATGAGAATGACGGCAGACCTGCCCTTGTCTTGTCCTGAGGGAACATGAAGAAAGTGAAAGTGAGTGTAGTCATTGAAAGATAGAACATAACGCCGCATACGAGCAAGCTTGACAACGAAAGAGGAAACTTGGAAGATGGGGGAAGCACAGCCATACTTTATTACATCTTCCTTTGCTCAAGTGTCCGCGTGTGTGATCTGACAAGTCCCATTCTGGACCACATTGTGCTCGTACGCTGCAACATACTTCGCGTTCACTGATGCTGCACGAACACTCTAGAATGAACACAATAAATGTTCGTATTCATGCGCCACCGTCAGACTGTCTTGATCTTGGTGATGGATCAACGATTTATCATGGGTCCTTTTTGATAACACCCACCTCGCCCTTCACAGTAGTGAAATATCTGTGCAACATGAGCCAAATCCAGATTCTCGGTCTCTCCTTCCCATTTACGTTCGAAGTTCTGGGAAAACGGTGGATGAAGTCTGACGAAACTGTCTCGGTCATTGATACTTCCACGTTGATAGACAAGAAGTAGTCTCGGGGTCAGGTTCTGCATGCGATCATGTGCGAGGACTGAAGCCTGCCAAGACAGGCACAATGACAGTGAATTGCTTATCGTCATGATGTAGCCGTCCACTCACATACGCCAATAAGTACTGTAAGAAGGTAGGGATTTAAGAGACCTGATGTTCGAGTGGCTGTCCATGACGAAAAGTATTTATAGAATGCTAAAAAGGCATTAGTAGGACCGTCGTGGGAGCGTCGGATAAGCCATGCATACGCCGGAATTTCAGATTTGTTACGCTCATTTGAGTTTCGCAACACGACACACAGGGAGACATCAATGTGCATGTAATGGCACACTAATGACACATATGGAAGGATGCTTGTTACATGACGCAGTGATCCTTTGTGACAGGATGCAGCTCTTGCTGCGACATTATGTTCATTGAAAAAGTGGATATGAGATTGAACGCTACAGTGGCAACCCGTTCCCGACCATCTCCAACCCCGTATCTCCGCTTTTATACAGCCATGTCAGTGGCCACTGACCAACTTCAGGCTTCACTGTCTAGATCTGCCCAACTGTCAGCGGCCACAAATGATGTGCACTCAAGGTAGCAAAGCTTGCATCATAGCGCCGCCCTACCCCGAATTCCGAATTGCTGGCTATTAGGAGTCATCATGGCATCCAAACCTTTTTTTCATCCAGTCGTCTTCGATCGATCTTGCTTGTGAGGTAACGAGATGCCATAGAAGACGAAGAGAAAGACATTGAAAGATTGTATACGGTATATAAAGACTATGGATGTACCGTTGAATGAGTAACAGAGAATCCCTTTTGTAGGCACTTTGCTCCAGCGCGGTTCGCTGCAATCATGGGCATATCTCATCTGAACTCATCTATTTACTTGCGCTAATGTTGTTACAATACTAGGAACCGGAGCTATTTCACACAACTTCCCCTATGGTGCCGACTCGCCAGCCATGAAGACATTCACCTACTTGTTCTTCTTCCTCAACCTCGCATTATTGGTCCTCTTCAATGCCTTCACCGTCTCTAGATACCTGTTATCCCCTGACATCTGGTCAATAATGCTTCAGCATCCGGTTCAGAGTTTATATGTCGGATGCTACCCTATGGGAGCTACCACTCTCATCAATATCGCCGTAGGGCTGATATACCAGGAGGATGGCTTCGGAGGCAGACACTTCGTTTGTCTCATTAAAATTCATTTGGGGATTCTGGTGGGTTGTCGTGATCCTCCTTCGACGCGTAGGCGGAGTATCGTCGGCGTTCGAAATATCCTTGTCCACTTTCCTTGCACGCCGATATGTCGAGAACTTGCATGTACAGCTGTTCTTTCTTTCTTTCAATCCATGATCACCTCCATCTTGTATAATTGCCATTACTTTCTAACATTGTTCTTTGACACGCAGTGGTTATGCTAGCTGAGAGTCGCGACGAGCGTAACTTGCAAATGTTCGTTCCACCTCAGATATCGATGCCCGGCCTGGACGACACAAGTTATGCGACTCATTCTGGTTTATCGCCATTCTCGTATCTCTACTCTGAGGTATGATTCAGCAAATGTACCTTGTGAACTGTAATGACAAGTCTTATCTTGCAGTCCAAGCACCTCGGAATTATGGTCACAGACGCTCTCATTGCTCGTGACGTCACGGTGCAACGCCTCCAGACCGCCGTCGCTTCCATTCGGGACAAAGAACTTACTATTGCGACGCTAGAGCGCGAGAAGAAAGAACTTCAATTACTGAGTGATCTGGGCAACGTTGTACTCGACGAAAACAAGGCGAGTCCGCTTCTGAAGGAGAGAACCGAGTTACTAGACAAGATCGACCAGCTCGAGAAGTCGAAAGCGAGCCTCCTTCAGGAACTTATAGATCAGCAGAAGAACGATATGAAGGTGATATAAATGGGTACCGACCTCGGAAGCAACATACTCATAGATGTTGGATAGCGGATGGTTGGAAGTCCGATGCTTAGTCCCAATCTAGCGAGTGCCAGTGTTTCACCTCGTATTCCTGCCAAGGTAGGGCATGAATTGGGTCCCCGTGTTATCATTTTAGGATGTTGTTCGTCTTTGCAGGACAGTCACGATGAACGACTCGGGGAACGCTATGCAATCCTTTCGGAACTTGCTATTCCTATAGACATGCCTTCGGATACTCTGCTTCCCATCGTGATACCTCCACCTTTCAATGTTCATGATTTCATTGGGACAGTGACAGGTGTGAGTGTATCCCTCATTCTTTCATTCTCATGAATGCTTGATGAAGCAGCGCTGAGCCATTCAAAAGCCAGTAGGCGTCCATAACCGAATGAAGTGCTTTATAGCGGCTCACGTACAACAGATTAGCAAACTACCGTGTCTTCCAAGAGTACACTACTTCATGGTGTCCCGACCGTGAAGAACATGGTTACTTCCTCTCGCCTGTGTTCAAATGCATGACGAATCCTCGTGCGTCTACTGCCCATCGTTGGGTAGTGGTTGACCTTGCTTCCAAAATGAATCAATCAATGGGTATGTTCATGCATCCGAATGTTGATCGAATTGTTTTCACCAATGTTTACTTCAGAATGTTTCTACAATAAAGAAGGAAAATGGTACTATGCAGGCGTTTACAAAGCATTCAGACTTGACGATCTCTCGACCTCGGAGTGGGATAAATTGACTCCAGAAGTATGGTTCCCTCTCACCTTCTTTCTGCCTTGTCCATGACCTGTTTCAGGCATCGCAAGCTGTGATCAAGGAGACACTCGCCGCTCGAAAGGGCACTTCTCCCCAGAACGGCTACGAAACAGGTCAACTATATGCAGCGGGCGCGCTCAAGGTTGCCTGTATTGGCTTGCAATGTATCGGTTTCGACACTGCGTTGTACAAAGGATTACTCGAGCAAGCGGACGTATGCAGCAAGAGTGGTCGATGGAGAGCCCCGCCTGTAGCTGGTTTAGGTACTGCTGGCGGTATTTGGAATGCGAGTGCTAACGTCAACGCTGGCAGGCAACCAGAAGGGATGAAGAATGTACTTTCAAGCACAGTTGAACTGGGCAAGGGAATCGGGTTAATCAATGTGTAACGTTGGTGTGCATGGGGTATGTATGGTTCCCTTTTTTTCTGTGATGGACTCAATACTCTGTTGCAACGACCGAACACTTCTTAATCATGCGTGTTGTTTGTGATATTTGTTTGTATGCATTGTTTCATGTCTCGCCAATACCTGTGAATCTGTACTGTACAAACGAATAACACATAACCTATATATCGGAACCTGTCCAATGTAGTATACAAAGCAAGAGCGATGCAAGAAAACTTCACAGCGAGAGCACCAAAATTCAATCAGAAGCTCTGAACACTGACGTCATAGGATCTGGACAGCCGTAATCAATACCTAGAATGCATGTAGTAAGTATACTCACCGTAGCGGTTTACGCAGGTGAAGGGAATGACGATGTTCGTCGAAATAGAGAAGGACCGGACGACATCGTCCCGTGACGACCCATGGCCTGAGCGGCCTGCAGCTGTGCTTCCAGTTCCTGTATGCGACGTTGCAGCCGCTCAATGGTCTGCAAATGGTGGGATTCAAAAGGAATGTCATCGGTTTGCATCTCAGTATCCACCATTTGTTTCTTCCCGGAGGGACTGATAATTGCAGCATCCTGTGGTCGAGAGGACAGACCCACGGGAGTAGTATTGTCACGGTGGTAAACGGGAGCTAAAGGAGCCTGCGGAGACGACAAGGAGGACAGCTCGGCACCAACACTAGTATGCTGGTGCTCAGCAGGACCTCCAGTCGGCAGATCAGAGGTCGTTGCAGTGAACTCCACATCTCCAGCAGGAGGTGCGAAGTCCACCGCCTCGGATTCCCGCGGGCTCACCTCCAAGCCTAGCCCATATGACTGTAGCGACCCATTCATCGTTACGCGCGGGGTGAGTGGAGCAACCTCGAGTTCCTCTTCGTCTGATGACAACTCCTCGATCAACGAAAGAGCTGGCGTTGGTGCGGAGAAAATATCTGTAAGAAGGGCGTTCCATGCTCTTGTACCTGGCGGAGTAGATGGTTCAGGTTCATCCTCTGTGTCAGTGAAATCGATTAGAAGGCCTTCCTGTGCCTCAATACTAGTCCATGCATCTCCAGCCGATAAAGGCATGAACGCCAAAGGCATCGTCTCTTCGAACTCGTCGAAGCCATCGTCTTCTGCCGCGTGGAGGTCGGTCTGCGTAATGTGAATGAAGTCATCCCCTGGGTTAGGTGCCATCACAGAATGAACCTCTTTGGCGCCATGAATGCTCGTGTCGTTGAGGGTGGAGACCTGGCTCTCACCAAGTTCATGCTCTCCGGGTGTACCCTCGACTAATGCTGCCTGTGTTCGTTGAGCATGAGCAATCCCATCTATGCCTGGATTCGCTAGGTCTGCGGGACTTGATGCACTGCCTGACACCAATGCACCTTGTGCTTCAATGTCTGCGGCGTCGGTTTTGACCTCCACTTGTGAAACAGTCGTTGAGTTGCGTGTGGATGTTGGGGTGACCGAACCTGAATCGGTAACATTCACATTGTTTTCATCTCTGTCCGACGTCGAAGCCGGTTCGGGAGATGGGTGCTCATCCACAAGGTGATTGTTGAGGGGCTCTGTTTCCGAAGATGGAGCGTTCTGATTAACGTCTGGATCACTTCCTCTGCTGGCATTTTCAACAGGTTGAGGTGTATCCACCTCTCGCGTGCGAGAGGAGGATGCTTGGCGGTCAACGCCGTCCTGCGGAGGTAGTTGCCTCTTAGGCTGATTGAAGTCGGACGTAGGTGCAAGCTTGTCTTGCTTGACATGACTATCATTCGTCTCCTGCATGGTAGATGGAACGTGTTCGATCGATGTGAACTGAGATGACGAAGATGTATCCAGATGTTCAGGGGTAGTGTTGCTCTTTGTATGTTCGCTTACACGCTTCTCGTCAGGCACCACTGACGGAGCTTGCGTCGTAGCAGCTTCGTTTGCCGGCTGGGATGTAACGGCAACGACCTCATCTGTCTCGGATGAAGACGAAGATGAGGACCTAGGTGAATCCTGCCTAGCGACAGGGTCGGGATCTTGGGAGCAGATACTCTCGATCGAACCTGCACCACCCTCATTGCCTGGAACCTCATTGACCTTTGGTGAGGATTTGTCGTTGATATTGGTTGCATGACGGGCACCGACGTCGAACCCAGACGAAGCAGCCTCTGTCCGTTCGCGCTCGCCTATCTCATCATTGAGCCCGTTGGAAAAATGTACGTCCGAAGTATCAACCTCTGCAATCTGTCTCGAAGATGAAGAGGATGTAGACTCCTCTGTTGAGGACTGGATACATGTCAAAGATGCAGGAAAAGCTAGCAACGCATCGATTTCAGGTTGCTCCGCGTTATCTGTGTCAGGCGAATCCGTAGCATCGAGGTTAGCTGACGTCTCCTCCATCTTCTCGTCATGAGCTTCAGGCTGCATTGCAGTCTGCCTATCGGTAGTAATGGTATCCTCGGCACCAACTGCGAACATATTGTCGGTTGTCGCAGAATCGGAATGGGATACCTGACCGGCTGCCGTCTGCACATCGACGGGTTCGGCAGTACGGGATTCCGACGAAGAGGTAATGTCATCGCTGACACCAGACCCGGCGTCTTCGGCGTCGAGCAAAGTTGGAGATGTGGAAGTCGTGACAGAGCTATCTGAGATTATGGTGGTATGGTTGCCATCCTGCGCCTGCACGCCAGCAGTTCCTGCGTCTGACGCCAGCGTCGACGAGGTAATAGTCTCCTTCGCCAGGGACCCCTTTTGTTGCAGCGTGAGTGATGATTCCGAAGCAGGTCCATCCTGTGTAGCGGTATGCTGCACAGCATCGATGGATCCCTTAGGATCTGTTGCACCATCCACGCTGGTCGAATCAACTGGTGGAGGATCTTCCTCCTCCCCCGTCACGGTCATCGACGCACGCGGAGTCGTCGTCCCAGAATCGAGCGGCGATTGTTGAGCATCATCACAACCTGGCTCGTCCACATCAGAATGCTCTTCATTTGTACCGCCGTGATCAAAAGGAAGCGGCTGGAGGAGAGTCATGCCTGTAAGAGCAGACGGAGTCGTCATATGCTGATCCTGAGCATTGCCGTTCGCATCGTCCTTCAAAGAGTCAGCCTCCTTCTGGTGAGAAGGTAACTTGATACCCTGTGAAAAAGGTATTGCAGAAGCAATCGACGAGTCGGTATCGTGGAGAGTCGTTGCGGTAGATGCGGGTGCTACGTTTCCGGGGTCAGACAAAGGCATGTGGTCAAAGTGAAGGGCGGAAAGGGGAGGTGATAACGAAGGATGAGTTGATGATGACGATGTGTCTAAAGGAGGGAGTGTTATACGTTCATTGCTGCGATCGACATGTTGATCGTATTCAGGTTCGGGAGAAAGCAGGTTTGCATCTCTTTGAGCCGTTTCAGAGCTTGGTTGCACGTCGGAAGAATCTTCAAGGTTAATGAGAGACGCTGAGACACCAGTTCCACTTGGCAACGTCCCTGCGGAGTCGTCTACTGATACAAGAGAATCCTGTTGCTCAGATGTTCGCATGTCATCATGGATGAGCTGCAGACCACCTAGCGCAGTCGACCGCGAGTTAACATTGGGGGGCCCGGCGACACTACTTGTGTCTTTTGCGTTGACATCGTCGACGTCCCAATCAAAGGCATCCTCTGCGGGGATAGTCGATAACGGTGGGGTGGGTAATTGTGCACTAGACAGCGCGCGTGCGATCTGTGTTATAGAGGGGAGCGGTCTCGGACTCTCTCTGTACTTTCCTCGAATTACGGTGGCTACACGCAGCAGATCATCAACAAGGTCCACATTGTTTCCGGTCATGCTGAAGGGAATATATAAGCACCAATCTATACGAGATCCTGAAGCGATCTCATAGACATACGCGAGTAGGTCATCCTTAGGCATGTTCATCAACGTTTCTCCGTAGACTTTATTCTGCTTGATCCAAGATCCAACCTCATGCGGATTAGTTACAGGAACATGGTCCCGGACGTAGATCGAGAGTTGCTCTGGCAACAAGGATCGAACAACTCTCTGCAAGATCAGGTCAGCAACCTCTAGGTCTTCATTTTGAAGCGGACATACTGGTGAGAAGGGCCCGGGTGACACTGGAGGCACAGCCGAAGCAGCTTGATTCCAAGGACTTCTTGGAGAAGGAAACCGATATGTGCTCCCTGGTGAGCGAGTACTCTTAGCAGGCTGGATGGTAAGTGAGGGAAGATAACGAGTCGGGGTCAGGACTGGCGAGATAATGTTCAGCATGGTATCCATGTTGTTGCGTTGAAGATGGTTAGTTGTTTGAGGAGGGTAGTGAGGAAGAGTGGGGAGATATGCGAAAGAGACTGGCGCAGCGGATAAGACATGCTGCGCCGGTGTATAAGGTTGACGTTCATTTTCCATAGTTGTGGGTGCAGATATGCGCTCTAGACTGACGCTAGAACATGAGGCAAATACAAGGACCTGTCAAGTGATGGCCTGCATGCCAAAGGGGACAGCGATGTCCCCACGCAAGATCATTTGCTTCTAGGCATACCGTCAGCCAAGTAAGGCAGTGAGAACCACCGATAAGCTGCGCAAGAGATACCTAGAACCTAAAGGCAATTACCTCGTGAGAACCGTGCGGATTAGAGCTGGCCGTTTCAACTCTTCAAGAGAAAACGTTGCGCAGGATCGACGACCTATAAGCTGGAAATGCTGGACATCGAACGACAGTATACCGATGATCCATTCCCGAACTTTGTCCATATGATGAGGATCCCTGAATTCCTAAGGATCTATGCACGAGCATGTGATGGTTATGAGTACATTGGTGACGTCAACCTTTAGCAATAGACTTGGCTGCAGAAGACCGTCTAAAGTCCAAACTTAAAGATAGAGCTGCCAGTGCTTCGATGAGGCTAATATCCGGAAAAGCAAGAGTGAGAATAAAATATGGAGATATTGCCCTGCAGAAGGCCAGTTTAGGGCAGACTGTCTGACGCCCGGCCCTGAGGCCTGAGTAGACATACTGAGTCTGCCCAGGTCTGACCTTATTCTTGAGCTTGAGCTTGAACGTTTACTTCATGTGTATATGTCCCCGTTTCTGTAGGAATGAACACCTAGGAAATCTTTCTCGTATCAATTGGTCTCATTCACCATGCCAGCAGCATCTTGGGAGTGCGGATCGACTTGGTCAAGTTTCGAATTCATCCGACGAACGGTCAGCCAGCTTTCGGTCAACCTTCATGCGTAGGGTGCTCTTGAGTTTTGTGGTTTCTGTGTTGCGACCTTGAGCACGTCCATCATGTCGCCAAGCCAGATACTCACCATAACACTGAACGCCGTATTCTCCGTATGGCTTCGGGTCTTATCTTGGTTCATCCGTGACGACACAGGTCCAGCTGATCACTTCGACGACAGAGGCGTTCTTTCGCATGCAGGTGTAAATTTTGTAGCCACGTCTCCTCCACGATTCACTCGGCCTCTCATTGTGGAGGACAATATCAATTCATGTGAGTTCATTCTTGCTTTTGTAGGGCGACCCAATCGATAATCCCTGCGCCCTAGTGATTCGAGATGCAGTCCACAGTGCTCTCCTTGATCCTGAGGATAGCGTCTCACCCATAATGACCTCTGTAGGCTGCCCTACGCTTGCCCATTCTCCGGACTTCTCTGTCATGTCAACCCCGTTCACCAGTACACCTACTACACCTGATCTGGCTAATGAGCTGCTCATACCCATTGCTGAATCGCGCCCTCGCATCGTCACCTCCCACGCCAACCCCTGGGATGGTGAGCTTGACCTTGATCTCGAATCTGGTTTAGGAACATTCGTTGGAGAACATAGAGGTTCTCCAAATCCACAGTCATTACCCGGCAGTTCTGTCAGCCTCTTTTCCAAGCTCAACGTTAAGCTCTTGACATCTTCGCGCCCCGGATCCCCTTCATTAGCATCCAAATTCTTGCTCCCATCAACTCCCTGTCGGTCTCGTTCGAATAGTACTTTACCTCAATTCGCACAGGACATTACCAAGGAACCTCTCTATGCGGATGGTCCTTCTTGGTGCGGAGACGATATCTCTACGGCTGCTACACCTGGTGGAAGCCCAGTTCGGCCGCCAACTTGCTATACGAATTACTTCGACTTCTCGATCTACGATGACTTGCCTGATCGTCGCCGCTCTTGTGTCCTAGACGAGTCGTCTTGCGATTCGATCTTACCTTCGAAGAAGCCGAGGCCGTTATCGCTTCCTATCATAACCTCTGAAATGTTGTACGACGAAGAGGTACCCAATGCGCACACTCCATATAACTCACCGGAGAAGACTCGTTGTGCTCTGATTGCTCCTCTAGCACCAACTCGTCTGGATGATGAGCAACTTGTCCGGTTGTTGGAAGATCCCGACAAGATGTACCGTCCCTTCAACACCGGTCTTCGACCTCTCATTCTTCCTCGTCAGGCAGCTAAACGTCACTCTCTTGACGTCAGTCTTATTCGTCAAGGCAGCGGTCCTAAGCCGCTTATGCTTCCTCAACAATTGGCCAACAAACCTCTTCCAGCACGTTCCTCGACTCTTGACACTTTACCTCAGAAAACCTTGCTTAGACGATCCATGTCGGTCCAGGATTATCTCTTCAGCCAGGAACGCAAGCAAGCTACACCTCCAAGACAATCTCGCCTACTAAATGACATCTTGGCCTTGCTCAACCATGACGGCACTTTGGAACCTTTAGCAGATATGTCCGGTATGGCTACCGGTGACTCACAGAAACCCATCCTTGAGGACTCTTTTCAGCGTCTGTCGCCTGAATCAAGCATCATTTTAGACGGGACGGGGCAAGAGGATGGATTCTTAGCTGTTCTTGGACTTCTGGATGAAGCTATTCCGAGTGCGAGCAGTGAAGATATGCGACTTGTGGAGGTTGAAGAGAGGATTGGGAGAGATGTCTTCAGGGTTTGAGATCGTTAGGGCCTTGTTGTAGGTATATCATATGTGATGCATGTGATTTCGACTTCTTTATTGCTTGATTTCTATCTTGACATATATATGTGGCTTTCCCGTAGTGAAATACCTTCGAGGTTGTCTGGAGTTCTTCAGGTCTACTAGACATTGCAGGCCAAGCTGAAGTTGCAGTTCGTGAGGATTGCTTACAAGCCAAGGTATAAGCGTGAATCTCCACATACTATTTTATCATTGATATTGTAACAGTTGTTTGAGAGTGACGCGGCTGTTCAATGAGGTGAGACGTTCTGCTGCGCCTGAATAAGGCATATATACTGAATATACATACGTTGTGTCAAGCCTATTGATTTGTTGAATTGACTTGTATGTTAACCAGCCTGTGAAAAAGTCAGTTCAATGAAAAGTTCAGTGAAGACGATGAAGACATACCTTGAACAAGTAAAAGCCAATCGCGAAATCTTCGTTGTCGAGTTGAAGCTCATTAGTATTCTCAACGTTCAAGACTCGGAAGTGCACGCTTGGGAGACTATGAGAAACCAATTATCATTATTACTAAACTCGTGATTATATAGTATTAAAGGAATGTGCGTTGTAACAGGTCTATCTAAAACCAACCCCGGAGAATCGAGGTGATAGCCTCGTGAGGAGCCAAAGTCTCCGGCGAAGACGGAGAAGGTGCTCCACCATTGGAGGCAACAATGTAGGGAGTATAGTAATCAGCCTCATTGAGAACAAGACGAGCGGAGCGTGAAGAAGACCCAGACGTCGAACTAGCGAAACGAGAGCCTGTGATAGCAGGCAACTCAATCGAAGGCGGCGCATTTCGCTTGTACTTGGGAAGACCTCCCGAACGTCTCATCGCAGGAGCCGCAACGGGATATCTCCTCTGGGGAGATGAAACCTCAATGGGCTTAGATTTCTTGGACTGCGACTTAGCGAAAGCCGATAACTTTGCGTTCTTCGGTCCTTTGAAGGTTGGGAAGTACGAGCCAGTGTGATACTCGTACTTGCCGTGCATGTAGCGATTTGCAGGCAGGCTTCGCTTCTGAGGTCCTGCTACGGGAGTAGGAGGTGGAGGAGTTGCTGCTACGGGGGCACTGGCAGCCGGAACAGTAGCGACTACCGGTGGAGAGGCTTCTGGAGCAGGTGGTGGTGTGCCCGCTACGGGAGTGGCAGCGACTGGAGTAGCTGCAACTGGTGGGGTGGCAACGGGAGCAGCAGCAGCTGGCGTGGAGGCGACTGGGGTAGGGACGGCCGGCACAGTGGCAACCGGCGTACTTGCTACGGGAGCAGCTGCAGCCGGTGTAGAGGCTATTGGCGTAGCGGCAACGGGTGTAGCGGCAACAGGGGTAGAGGCTACCGGTGCAGGCGCTGCTGGCGTAGAGGCTGCAGGCGTCGTAGCGACTGGCGTAACGGCGGCTGGAGCATTAGCAGCTGGAGTAGATGCCACGGGCGTCGCCGCGACTGGCGTAGATGCAACAGGAGTGCTAGCCACTGGAGTAGTTGCGGCCGGCGTAATCGCAGCTGGACTGACTGCAACTGGTGAGGCCGCAGGTGTGTTTGCAATCGGCGTGGAGGCAACAGGTGTAGCGGCGACCGGAGTAGAAGTAACTGTAGAGGCAACGGCTGGCGTGGAGGCTACAGGCGTATTCGTTACTGGAGTGGTTGCAACTGGCGTGGAGGCAACGGGAGTAGCTGCAACTGGCGTAGAAGCTACAGGAGTCGTTGCGACTGGTGTGGTTGCGACGGGAGTACTTACAACTGGCGCAGAAGCTACAGGAGTAGTTACAACCGGGGTAGCTGCAACCGGGGTAGTTGCAACAGGCGTAGATGCAACTGGTGTACTGGCGACGGGAGTACTAGCAACTGGTGTAGAGGCGACTGGAGTAGTAACAACCGGTGTAGAAGCTACAGGCGAGGTTGCAACTGGTGTAGTTGCGACTGGTGAAGCAGCTACTGGTGTAGAGGCAACCGGAGTTGTTGCAACAGGTGTAGACGCTACTGGCGTGGAAGCAATGGGAGTAGCTGCAACTGGCGTACTCGCAACTGGCGTAGTGGCAACAGGAGTGGTAGCAACTGGTGTAGTGGCGACTGGCGTCGAAGCAACGAGAGCTGCAATGGGAGTTGTTGCAACAGGAGTAGAGGCTACAGGTGTAGTTGCAACCGGAGTAGTGGCAACTGGCGTAGAAGCTATAGGAGTACTTGCAATGGGAGTACTAGCAACTGGAGTCGTAGAGACAGGTGTAGAGGCTACTGGTGTAGCTGCAACTGGTATGGCAGCAACTGGTGTGGCAGCTACTGGTGTAGAGGCAACCGGAGTTGTTGCAACTGGTGTAGATGCAACAGGAGTACTTGCAACAGGAGTACCTGCAATGGGCGTGGCTGCAACGGGCGTAGTTGCGACTGGTGTCGCAGCAGTTGGCGTAGATGCTACCGGTGTGTTTGCTACAGGTGTAGTTACAACGGGTGTAGTGGCTGGTGGAGTAGTAGCGACTGGCGTAGTTGCAACTGGAGTAGTTGCGATGGGAGTTGTAGCGACTGGTGTAGAGGCCACTGGAGTCGTGGCGACTGGCGTGGAGGCAATAGGTGTGTTTGCAACTGGTGTAGTGGCAATTGGTGTTGCAACCGGAGTGGCGGCTACCGGCGTCGACGCAATTGGAGAAGTAGGAGGAGGAGTAGCCGCAATCGGTGTTGTAGCAGGAGGTGTTGCTACTGGCGTTGTGACGGGAGGTGTAGTGGCAACTGGTGTAGCTGCACCTGGGGTGGTAGTAGGAGGCGTAGTCGGACCTGGCGTACTTGCAACTGGTGTACTTGCGGGAGGTGTGGACACAGGCGTTGCCGGTACTGGAGTTCTCACTGGTGGTGTGGCGGCAATTGAAGTAGTGCCGACTGGCGTAGAAGCAACTGGCGTTGTAGCAGGAGGGGTAGAGGCTATCGGTGTAGAAGCAATGGGAGTGTTTGCTGGGGGCGTAGCTGCCACTGGTGTAGAGGCGATTGGAGTGGTGGCAACCGGTGTGGTAGCAGGAGGTGTAGAGGCTACTGGAGTGGTCACTGGTGGTGTAGCGGCTACTGGAGTAGTTGCAGGTGGTGAAGCAACCGGAGTAGTCGCAGGAGGCGAAGTTGCGACAGGAGGGGGTGTAGCAACAGGTGTACTTGCTATGGGAGTTGTCGCCACAGGCGTGCTAGCAGGAGGAGTTGTTGCAGGGGGTGTCGCTACAGGTGTAGCAGCTGGTGGCGTCGTCACAGGTGGTGTACTAGCAGGTGGCGTGGCTGCAGGAGGAGTAGTTGCTACTGGTGTCGTAGCAGGTGGTGTAGTAACGGGAGGTGTCGCAACAGGTGGTGTAGCAGCAGGTGGTGTGGTAGCAGGTGGAGTCGTTGCCGGGGGTGTGGTTGGTCCTGGCGTGGTAGCAGGAGGTGTCGCAACAGGGGGTGTCCTAGCCGGAGGTGTGGTTGCGGGAGGTGTAGTTGCTACTGGTGTCGTAGAAGGAGACGTTACAACAGGCGGCGTCGCAGCAGGTGGTGTCGCAGGGGGAGGTGTATTAGCTGGAGGTATATTTGATGGTGGTGTACTAGCGGGAGGCGTGGTTGCTGGAGGTGTGCTTGCTGCTGGTGTCGTAGCAGGAGGTGTCGCAACAGGTGTAGTTGCTGGGGGTGTAGCGGCTGGAGGAGTAGACGCTACTGGTGTGGCAGCAGGAGGTGTACTTGTAGCCGGAGGAGTCGTCGCTACTGGTGTGCTAGCTACTGGCGTGGATGCCGGCGGCGTAGTAGCTACCGGTGTAGCAGCAACCGGTGTAGTAGCAGGCGGCTGTCCAGTAGGAGGGGGTGTCGACGCAGGAGGGGTATTGGTCGGACCCGTGTTAGCGGGAGGGGTAGCAACGGGCGTCGTAGTAGCAGGTGGCGTTCTTGTTGGAGGCGTAGTAGAAGCAGGTGGAGTAGCAGCTGGCTCAGTGGTTGGTGGAGGATTCGGTGTTGGGTCAGGCTGTGTTGGTTGGGTAGGTTCAGTAGGTTCAGTAGGTTGGGTTGGTCCGTTAGGGTTTGGTGGTGGTGCAGGAACGGCAGGACGAGGTCGAGAAGGTCGATTAGGTTGAGCACGAGCAGGAGGATCACGACTTCTTCCTGATCCAGTGCCTGTGCCAGTGCCAGTGCCAGTTCCGGTACCAGTTCCAGTTCCAGTACCAGTACCGGTTCCAGTGCCAGTTCCACTGGCGGGGGCATTAGGACGAGCAGGTTGAGGTGCAGGTCGAATGGGACGACCACGCTCTGGACGGGGAGGTGCAGGTGCACCTTCGACCATGTTTGGACCATAACTGGCGGCGAGCAAGACGAGAGCGGTGAGATATGAGTTACGCATTTTGTAGGTAAAGGCGTTAAGAGATGACTTGAGTGCGAAGACTGGTAATGTGCTGATGGGTGTAGATGCTTGACTGTTGTGAACGTTGAATAGGTGAGGATAAACGTTCAAGTTGGACGGGCTTTTATATGTTTTGGAGAGGCAGTTCGGCAGACGGATAGTAAGTGACGGAGGGATAGCAGTCTTCCCTCCTTCCGTCCCGTCCTCCCGTCCGCTCATCCTTCTGTCCATGCCTTCCGAGCAGGTTCGCCTTGCGCTTGACTGTTGGAAGGATGATATGCGACTTTTACGGTCGCATTTGATAACCTGAATTAGTGTTCAAGCCACGCGATCTCGTGGCATGTAGTCATAGTGAAAAATACTTTGTTGGCATTGCCTACACGTCGCACAGTAGCGCAAATCCAGGTTCTCTGGAAACTTAGTTCGCGTATGCGGAAGCAAATCAGAGTGCCCGACACCCCGAATCAAATTTTTAGTCTGGCGGTCAGGCACAGGAGGAAGGTCAACCCTTGCCATGTCGGTGTTTCGAGTGTTAATGAAGTCTGATAGTTGCTGAGAATTACATTACATGCGTCGATCGATCGCGTGGCGTAACACTTCTGGGGGGAAAGGATCTATACATGCCGACAAAACTTTTTGGTAACTTCGCATAATCAACAGATGGATCCATGTAATACATCGAGTTGAAAATACGCACTCTCTTCCAATGACCATGAACTCTGCGGCACTACGCTTACGACGTTCTTCGGGTAACAAGAGATCTAGACAGCAAACTTCAATTATAATTGAAGAGTAATTTTTCTAAATTTGTTATTATAGCCTGCGCGCAATGTAATAGTCATAGACACAGATCAAGATATTCTGTCGAGACGGTCGAGTTCACGTTCACGATGAGCCCGCACGCTGTTGGACGCCCGTCGCCCACAAACGGGTTATCCGGCAAAGCCCGCAAGTGCTAACTTACGAAAATGGAAATTATGTTCGTGAAGGAAAACACTTACGGATGCCTTTCAGCGTACGTTGACCACGTCTGTTCATCCCGCTCGTCTTTTCTCTCACATAATATGGTATTGCTATTTAGCAGTAACTCTAGAGGCCACACACTTGAGGATCCTAGTCAAAGTGTGTTCCGGCTGTCTTCTTTGATTTCAATATGGACCCGCTATTACGTAGCCGAGCGCAAAAATTCTAATTAGCCACCCAGATATCCTTCAGAGGGGATACAAGGGAAATAAATTCTTTGAGACCCATGCTTCCATAGGATGGTGCGTGGATTCAGGTGCTCAAATCTATGAGCATAGTATATGGCAGCCTGATCCTAATGCCATCGTCTTGAGCCTTGGCACTTTACTCAAACGTTCATGGTGCCCCTCAAATTGATTGCTACTCCGTGCCATTCTTGGAAGTCTCGGAACCTCACCGTGCTCACTTTCCTTCATTTTTACCTGACCCACTGTCTTGACTTTAGTCAGTTACGTCGTACCGGAAGCTCATGATAAATGTAGCGCCGAATTCTTCTTCGCAACGTCCGATACTCCTGCATTTTACTTTCTCATGGAAGAGTCTCACCTCCTATATGGTCGAACACAAGTCATGCGTTCGCCGAAGGACTTAGTGCCCATGTTGTTTTCCAGTGGTATCCAGCATAGGACCTTCGTGAAGTTGTCGCTCGCGGAATTTCTAGGAAGTTAGTTCAGCCGAACACAGTTTTCAAGAATATTCTCCACCCGTGGAATCGAACGATAGCCCTGAGAAGGTCCCTATTACAGCTAACATGACGAGCGTCCTTCCTCTCCTTCGGACACTGCTGATATGGACGTCCAGAATGGCTTAGTATTTCAACTAAGTATTTCTACTGCTACTGGTCTGACTAGCGAATTCCCTGACTTAGGATCCCCGGGAGAAGATAAACGAGGTCTTCCGTCGCTGGCTGGTAGCCTGCGCAGGGATTTGTGGGTTTCAGTTTCGTTTCCGGTTTGGACCCAAGATGCATGCACAGCAGAGACTGCAGCCATATATCACTTGGTGAACATGAACTATGTAAGATACGTTATTAGATGTCTAGAAATCTAAATGTCAATGTGAAGTCATGAAGTCCACAACCACTTTCTTGAATTCATTCGGTCTGAAGAAATGAATTGTCAGCAACGACTTGGAACCGAGACCAGCACTTGAACTTACTTTTCGGCGTGCACTAGAGAAGTCGAAGGTTAGTGTCAACATCGATAATACCGCATGTCGAAGATACTTACCCCAGTGATGCGTATCTAATTCTTCCAAAACCATATTCGGGAAGAATTGCTTTGCGATTGGTATATTTCGATGATTGATATAACTATTAAAAAAGCATGCAGCAAGTTAGGCTTCACCTCGTTAGCAAATAGATTAAACGCACCTGCTCTTCGAGCCCTTGATGAACAGCGTAGGTCCCTCCCAGGTCCGTTCACCAGGCTCATAAGGGAAATCTCCGATCGCTGGTATCGATTTACCTATGATATCAAGAGGGATGTGGAATCTGACAGGCTCATGACCGTGGTGCGGAGCAAGGTTGGTCAACAAGAACGCTCTTATCGCAGGATCCTATACTGGCATCAGCCTATATCCGCACCGAACGAGATGATGTGAGCCCACGCTCTCGTAAGATGTCAGCATCTTTTGAGCGGCTTGGCGGGATGTTACGTGTCTGCGCTCGATACTCTTCATGACTTCAACGTAACCCTGAAATTCGGGAGACATGGCAGCTTTGGCGGGTGCGATATCCACAACGATGAGATGTTTGAGTAGATTTAATGGAAGCTCTGGGTTGAGTGCGAGAGCCATCGCTACTTTCCCTCCCCTTCGACCGATATCAATCGCTGTACTTCAAGAGTGTATTATTCGAATACACTTACATTGAATGACCCAACAGAGAAGCCTCTTCCAAATGATGTTTCCTGCAGAAAGCCAACACGTCTGCCGCCATGGCGGCGTACGTCATAGGTTCAACGTGAGGCGAAGACCCATGGTTCCGGAGGTCCTTACTACGATATGAGGTTCATGGCTTGGCATGTACGGAAGAATTGTACGGATACGCACAAGAGTGTATATAGGCCGGCCTAGGCTTTGATAGAAGGCTTTTGATAGTGAGTTCCAGTTCCTCTTCATACCACTGACGACGTTATAGGTCGTTAGCCCAACATAACAGGTAGAATGTGTTAAACGTACAAAAGTCCATGGAGAATAATCAATGGTTGTTTGGTAGCATTCCCATTTGAAGGTATAAGTGCGTTGTGTGCGAGGGGGACAACCGAACGTGAGCTGGACGACGATGTGCAGCGAAGACTACGTCCTGAAAAGACCTTGATGAAGGAAGGCGGTCTAGTGGTTGCGAGCAGCATGGATGGATCAGAGAAACGCTAGAATGCAGTCAGAATAGAAATCAAGCGATACTAAAGAGTAGAGTTGCCAGATGGTTGTGGCATGTCGGGCGCCCACAGTGATCGGTCCATTATGGAATGCGGAGCACCAAAAAGCTTCGAGCTTCGAGTTTTGAAGATCAGGCGGAACCATGGAAACTTTAAATGTATAAAGGACAACTAGTAGTACAAACACACGAACTGAAAGACTAAAAGCACAAAAACATGAAACCATTAGCAATTATACGTAGCACCTATTTATCCATCAGGATCGTTGCAGACGATAGGTCATAGAAGACAGCATGAAAGTAATCGTTGAATCGTCGATGTAGTAAGTATGAAGAACCAAAAATCATTACACCTTCTCATCAATCTTATCTTCATGGATATCCGAAGGTTCGCGATCGTACTGGGTGAGGCCAATACGCCTATTGATGTCCTCTTGTCGTTCTTGGTCAGCAGCGACAAGGCCCACCGAACCGAAGACTTCATCCATCTCCTCCAATGTAAGACCTTTCGTTTCAGGGACCTACGAAGCACAATCGACGTGAGAGGTGATTCATGAGAAGCGAATACGAAAGCAAAGGGTACTCACCATGAAGAGGATGAAGAGACCACCAAGGAAGGAGAACGCCCCAAAGAAGACAAAGGTACCAAATCCGAGATGCGCCATCATACTAGGTGTTACTTGTCCAACGATGAAGTTGTTCATCTATACCAGGCATCAATCAGTACATGTCTTCTTGCCGCATCCAAGAACAAAGGAAAAGAAAGAAAAATGATGATTACCCAGTTAGACGAAGCCGCGATAGAGACACCCTTTCCACGAATAGATAGCGGCCAGATCTCAGCAGCCAAAATCCAACCACAAGGTCCCCAGCTGTACCCGAAAGCCATCGCGAAGATCCAAACGAAGACGGATGCAACCCAACCTGCAGCCGAATGGGTAGCCCATGAGTCATGGAAGAGGCCGGTCAAGATAGCCACAATGATATGGCAGCTGAAGGACAAAAGATGTTGATAAGTCTAGGGCCCTGTAGAGCGTAAGCAGGAAATAGAAAGACATACGCAGCCATGATGAACGCGCCCGAAACCAGGATGGGCTTACGACCCGCATTGTCGACCCAGATGACAGCAGGGATGGTAGCGAGGAACATACTACCCGCAAAACATAGTTAGATTAGCCGTCAAATCGACGTAGACATTAAGCCGTAACGTACACAATGCCGACGACACCGGTAGCCAAGAGCGAGACAGTGTTGCCGGTGAGACCGAGAGAGGCAAAGATAGACGGTGCATAATACAATATAGCATTTACACCAGTCCATTGCTGAAAGAACATGGTCCTAGACGAGAAGATAGGCATCACATTGTAATGCGGGGGTAAAGTAAGCAAGTCAACTTACAACGTTCCAACGGCAGTTCGATAGAGTAAGGTGCGACTAGTGAGCAAGCTGAGATAATCGAACACGGCAAGCTTGAAGTCTGAGGCAAAGGTATCATCTTGATACTGAGGGAATCGGATGGCCGACATTTCCTTCTCAAAGAGATATTGCGCCTTGATTTCTCTAAAAAGCAGAAGGAGTGAGGAGGCAGAATGGATGATAAATACGGGGAATGCTTACAAGAACTCGATTTGGACGAGATCAGAATCGACTGACAGATTGCGAGTACTACTGATGACAGCAATGGCTTCGTCGTCACGACCCTGGTTGACAAGCCATCTGTACGAACTCATTGTCAGTGGCCAAAGCCAATCGGACGAAGAATAACTGAAACATACCTGGGCGAGAAAGGCATGAACAAGATACCGCAACCAAGGATAAGAGCAGGGACTAGCTGAAGCGCCAAAGGAATACGCCAAGCAGCCTCGCTTTGAGTATCACCGGTACCACCAATGTAGTTGGTCCCATAGTCAATCCAGAATGAAATCATGATACCGAAAGTGATCGCTAGTTGTTGAAGAGCGACCAAACTACCTCTCACTTCTGGGGGTGCTAACTCGGCACTGGTGCAAGTTTAAGTTGCACACACATACCACTAAATAGATCGAGAAGTACGTACTTATAGAGGGGGACCGCCATACTGAGGGAACCGACACCCAGACCAGTTACGAACCGACCACCGAAGATGGATGAGGAATGAACGGCAGCAGTTTGGACAATAACACCAATACAAAAGACCACGACAGCTTTGAGGCAGAATGCATCAGTCGAGTTGTTGCGTCGGATTCAAGAAAAACCCACGTACCAAGGAGGATCGTGTATTTTCTCGACAGCTTATCCGCCAAGTATCCCGTACACAGCACGCCAAACCAGGCACCGAGTTCGAGAATTGACACAAGCCATCCTTTGGTATCCGGATCCTGGGTTGCGGAACCCATCTTGTTATTGAAGTTCTGCATGCTATTGCGATGACGTCAGTTTTCCCGAGCCTATTAAACTGGCAATGAACGGAATTCACCCCAAGACACCAGAGAAGACACCCTACGGCGCATAGGTTAGAAGTGAAGAACACAGAGGGCTGAAAGTCATACCTGGTTATAGCCTATCCGGATGAAGATAAGAGTTAGTCAAGGATGATGACCACTAGCTAAACATACGAACCATAGAGACTATGGCAAAACGGTGAGCATGTATCGTGACCACAGGGGTGATATGAAAGTACTTACAGGCCACCCAACGAAGCAAAGACAGCAATAGCGAAAACCTTGCGATTGTGCACTAATCCGGCCTACATCGGAGGGTGAGCAGGACAATGTGGTATCAAACCCACAAAAGACCTACCCATCCAGACTGACCAGCGAGGCCCCTGCGGCGACTCAGGACGGGAGCTACAGCACCACCACCCATGATAGACTATAGGACGTTAGAAATCTAGCGTTAGGTTGTGGGGAGGATCTGAGTTGCTGGAAACATGACCGTGGACGTATGGACAGTTTATGTAGAGATTTCTCCGATCAAGACGATATGAATGGACTCATCGAACCAGACACATGGTTCTTACCCCACGGGACATCCTGGCAATTCTCGGAGTCTCCGCGAATCAAAATGGGCCACCATAAAGATGATCCCAGCGCCCCAAGATTATACTTTGTGAGGAGATACTCTGACCATAGACAATAAAACAAGGATACTTTTATCTTGAGGAATGTCCTCTGCACTCATTCCAGCAAGTTGAAAGACCAGGGAACAAAGTTGGAACATGAGACTCAAGTATTCGAGCTTCAAGCTGGATCTGGAGAATGTTCATGCTCGGCGCTCCCGGACCGGGGATCTTCCAGGCTCGATCAAGTTGATCGCCTCCGCATCCCCGCAACTGCCTTTTGTAGCCATGTGCGTCCTTTTCGAGTTATTGTCTCCAGCTACATACTGTAGGTTTGCTCGTCTGTCCGATCTAAGCAGAGAAACTTTGAGCTGCGTTACACAGGCTTTACTTGCAAACTGTTCGCGTTAGCAGACAGACTGGCGTCGTGCCAATGTTTTAGGAGGATCAGAATGAAAGTCTCCATCTTTCAAATTGATGAGCGACATGCGACAATTCTCCGCAAAGATAGCGTTCACTCACATAGGAGAGCCTTTCCATTCTTCAATCGGCCCGACTAAGGACAATCAAAAACATTCAGAGCTGCTTAGCCGCCTCCTGGTCACAGCTCATTGCAGGATGGTAAGCAAATGGAAGCCGAATCATTCATAGTGGGCTCAGATGAACGTCTCGGATCCTTTTGAGTTTCGTTCTAGTTCGCCGTCGACCTTTACAAGTCAATCAATTTTCGAAGACTTGTGACGAGATTTTGTCATAAAAGCTTCTCTATCAACCGGTAGAACCACGGGAGGTACTGTTATCCAAGCCCTGCTATTTAGCACGTTCAGGAGCACCTGAAAGCCCTTAGTGAACCTCGAAATTGTGACGCGATCACAGCCTACGACCGCCAAAATGGGGGCGATGATATCCGTGCTGAGGCGTCGGACAACCAAACAATCGACGTCCAGAAAGAAAAGTCCATATAATTCAAAGATACAACCGGCGCACCACAGTCCACAGTTCAATAAGTGACGCGTACACAAGTTTTCAACAGATAAACAGCAACGACGTATCCTGCAGCGCAAGAAAAGCAAATCGGTCAGTAGGATGTCCCATGACCTAGGGCAAACGCCGAATCAAACTCACTATCGGGTGAGAACTAGATAACTGAGGTTTCTGGCTATATTTACTCTTCAGGATACCTCTGAGTATTGGAAATCGATGTCGCAATGAAGTGTACGAGCACAAAAGCCGATGAAGCAGAGAAGCCGAAGGAAGCCATAGAGTCGCATGAGCAAAAAAGGCAGTGGTGAGATCAGAGCTCCGTCCATAACACATGACAGAGCAGAAAGAACGTTACCTCAGATTGATGAGAAGCTGCTGATAGCTTTGTTGAGGGTTCGCTCCTACAAATAGACACAGGAGATCAGTATCGACGGCGTTCTGGCTGACTTGTGTGCATTAGGAAAGGTAGGGAACCCACTCAATGCGGTCATGAAAGCCTTTTATGAAACATCCATTAGTCAAAAGTCTGTGCCTGAGTCGAAGGCAAGTAAGAACATACGTAGCTCATCGCGCCGGTAGCTTCACCAGCTTCGAACGCGTCTGCACTGGTCTGGGAATCCTTACATCCACTCCAAGAAATCTGCAGGTCCACTAAATCAATGTCACCTTACAGTGTAGGCACCGAACGTCACGTACAACATCGGCAGGACTAGTCTTTGTCCTCCTTGCCTTCTCCTCGGCTTTCTTGGTACTCCCCGTAGCAGATTTCAAAAGCCCAGAGACAGATGTGAAGACCCCGCCCTGAGGTGATGAAAAAGTGAATGATGGTAAAGCCAAGTTGCTTGCACAATGAAATTGCCTTACCATGTCGCCACGAGCATAGGAAGTGAAGGCAGACAACAAGCCCTGGCCGGCCTCTGCAGCAAGGTTAGGCTCTTTGATCTTACCCTCGGTTGAGTAAATGTAAGGCAGATCTGTCAAGGAGGCGGCTTGTTTAGCATTGATGTGGCAAAATTGTCCACGATGTGCACTGACCTAGTGCGGAACCCGAATGGCAAGACTATAGGTAGATGAATAAACGAGAACACAAATACGCCAATGATCGGTGGTCGCATTCAGAAGAAAGTAGACAAAGTACACTTACATCGAAGATAGCAGTCAAACGACAACCAGGAGGTAAGGGCCTTACCATGATGTCATGCATCATCTGTCATAAGACAAAACCTAAGCGCTGAGATAAATATAGGCATTGAAACTATCCACTCACATCGTCAACGATATGGCCCGCAGTCTTGAAATCAACGGGATAGATGACTTCGTCGTATCCATCCGCTTCGTCACCATCAAGGTCCTTGGTCTGACCACCATGTCCCGAATCTAGCCACGCACCAAAATCAGACCTTGCAGATCAAACCTAGCCTGTAAGCTTGTACACGTACAATGGAAGAAAAGCGCGTCATTGGGCCTCGCATCGCGTACCAGCCATTGCATACCTTGTATCTGCGATCGCCAAATGAGGTATCAGACAAAGCCGCACAATCGACGACAATCATTACGCATGAGTAAAGAAGGGAACGCACGATGTTCTGCTTGGTAGGTATCTGCCGAGGATTCCTCGCGTCGTCTGTCAACGATACAATATCCTCTTCTTTGTAACCGAACTTTTCTGTATGGAAGTGGAGGCATTATACGTAAGACCATCTTGTGCGTACGATGTGATTCCCCGTATCAAAGACTCACCTATCAGGAAACGTTGTACGTTCCTCGCATCGTTGATACACCCCTTCAATTCGCCCTGTTGCTTGAAATAGTTGATGCCGATCTGAAACAAGAGTCACGAGCAAGATACACGCGTGATATCGTGAGTCCACTTACACAGAGGGCCTTTCGCTTTCCAGTACACTGCGAATACTGGAAGAACGGATGTTGCATCCTATGATTCGGACCTTCATACGCCGGCCCGTACTCCTGCTGCTGCGTAGGAGGTCTATGGGGCGCCCCATCTGTGTTCCATTCACACTTCATCACTGCACGTCATTAGATATTTGACAGTTTTACTCACTGGGCGCCGGATACGATCCATAGCCGCTTGAGGGTTGTTGGTGTGGTGGTCCTCTCGGAGGGATCGGAGGAGGAGGACCAGCAGGAGAAGGGAAACCGCCCGGTGGTGGGCCTGGGGGAGGCGCGTACCCAGGACCTTGGCGGTATTGGTCTCCTGGGTATCCAAACCCTCCTGGAGGACCGGGAGGTGGGCCTGGAGGTGGTGCAAAACCAGGGCCACCAAATCTAGAGCAAGAAGCGTCAGTTCTGATATGTGGGTTTGATCACAATGGTTCCTCACCCGCCGGGTCCAGGAGGTGGACCTGGAGGTGGTGCATATGAAGGAGCGTAGCCTCCGTGCGCTGGAGGAGGGCCTGCTGGTGGCGGATATCCACCCCTAGCGAGTCAAGATTTATATCAGCACATGGGGACAGCAGTGGGTGTGCACAACATACGGGGTCGGGAAGTATGATCTGCAAAGCAACAAGAACCCGTGAACGTTAGAACAGTGTGGCGTAACTGATACGAGTAAACGCACGGCGAGTTATAGCCTCCACCTGGAGGTCCGCCGCCATGGAATCCAGCACCAGGATAGCCTGAGTTATTATTCCACATCTTCGTGGTTTCAGGCTCGCAGCAGGGTTAAATGGTTTCCGAGTTGTCCGGAAGTTAAGAGTATTCGCGAGGGTATGATTTGGTGTGCAGAAGGAATCGTTATTATATATGCGTATGAAGGATAGCAACGAACAATCGACAGTCGTAGACAAAGGAACAGATGATGGTCGAGAACAAGGTCAGTGTCCGTGAACTGTCCAAGGCTGTTGATGTCAAGGCTTCGGCGCAGTGCCGGCGGTAGATATAGACGCTCATTTGGAGCAATATGAAATCATATGGAATTCATCGCGACAGGCTCGTCGCCGAAAACCAGTCCGTGAACTTGGACCTTACTGGATAATGCACACTTTTGAATCTCGGAATAATCTAGACAACTATCCGGAAGGGGATGTCACCAAAGAATAAGAGTCGCGACAACGTTCACACGTCGGTGTCAGCAGTTACGGACTGCGGACGATGACATAACCTTTGAAAGTTGCCAAGAGAGAATGGCATCTTCAAATTAGATGTTCTCGACCACCGCGCGTACAAACTGAAGGGGATGCATACTGTATTGTCAAAGTGCGTACCAACCACTATCATGACGACAAACTACAATGTCTCCGGAGCCCACAGTCGACGTATGACAGGTCTCTGGCGTCGGCTAGACAGATGTTCTAATATTGTAGGTTGAATCGGAGACATGGCAGCTGAGAATAAAGTTGAAGAGAAGGCATTCAGGTCGTCTAATGTCCTCTCTGTTGGTATAGAGGTGTCGTGCTGCGAGTGGGAAGGTAGAGCAGAATAGGAAGCTAGAGTTTCTTGTATCCGAGCAGTCTCGCGGAAACGATCCAAGAAGGACGCGAAAGGCTTCATATGTTTATCGGTAGAAGAGAATGTTACAGGCGTTGCAGGAAGGGATGGACGGGGTTGCGGTGGTAACGACGAGACTGGATCGGGAAGCTGGCCCAAAGGGGAAGAAGAAACAGGCAGTACGTGGTGGCCTTTGTGAGCAGAGAGAGATGTAGAGGCTTCTAGGATGACTTCCGCGTCAATCTGAGGGTCGACATTTATAGTAATAACAGTCGAGCAGTCAGGGTCCACCGGTGGAGGTACGGTGGACAAGGCTGAGTGAGAAAGACTGTAAGAAGAGGCCTTAGGAACTCGAGAAGTTGTCAAGGCAGATTTAGTCAATCGAGTCTGTGTGGAACTGGATCTATTGATCGTATCTGATGCATCGCCTGGCCTAGGATACGGGTCAATAAATGAGACACGGAATGCTGACAATGCATCAGATAGGCCGCACTCATTGTAAAGCGAGGGGGCCCTTTCTGCCAACAGACGTTCATGCTCCTCCAATGATATGAACGCAAGCGGGGCAACACCATGGCGATCTTTAACTGTGGGAGCCCCTTTATAGCGGTGACTTTGTCTGCCATTAGTAGCTAGAGCGGGTTGAGCAACAAGAGGTGACGCGGAGACAAAGCCAGGCGTTGGGGGTGACCATAGCGATAGTCGTCTGAACTGTTTGGTACATGGTGATACACCGGATTCATTTTCCATATTGATATTAATAGTATCGGAATGAAGAGAGGTCTTTCGAGGATCAACGAGGCGCCATCTCTTCGGTTTAGGCGAGCAAGAAGGGCTAGAAGACATGGGGACAAGATTCAAAGGTCGGAGAGTGCATATATGCGCATCATCAGTATGTTCTGAAGGTTCGACGTCGATAAGACCTGGAGAAGCATGAAGTCCAGTGGGCAATGACTGAGTATTCTTGTCTATACGAGAGCGCTTGTAAGATTGCCTTGTATTCTTCTGTATTCGGTTATGCTTGACCTGGTCAGTAGGTACTACGTCCGATACAATATCAGGGATAATGCGAGGCATTCGCCGACGCTTGCTAGGACGCATCTCGCGTGTGGATGAATCGTCAGAGTCCGTAGAGAGGGTGACTGCATGCTTGATAGGAGCACGCAAGTCGACGACCCTGTGTTGCTTCTTCTGGCGGTAGGTTTTCACCGGTGTCCTCGAAGACCAACGTAGAAAGTCTTCAACTGTAACTTGATGCTCGACACCGGGGACCTCAACCCGCTCAACTGCAACACCAAAAGTCATCCAGCTGAGCATTATGTGTGAAAGAGTAACCAACCTGCAATGACCCTGGGTTTTATATCAATAACATGAACGTTTAGCGCCATTGTCTCATCTATTTGTTGCATCGGAATGGACGTCTCTTCCGGAGATGGATAGAAACCAAGACATGGGTCGACGGCTTGTCTTGGACGCTTTCGTTTCCTCGTGATCTACAATAAGTGAGCAATGCGAACAAAAGCTTTGGCTGAAGGTGATACGAATACGCACGACGAAATCTGGAGCATAAGAGAAGCTCATGGTAGTAACCTCGACGCGTGCGGGAAAACAACGCACGGAAGCAAAACAACGATTTCGTCCATATCTGGCAAGGCCTTCCAAAACTAACACGGCCAAACAAATCATTAATTGACTGATTCGGTAGTTTAACCTTAGCGTTGTACTGAATACCTAGCTCTAGACCTCCAGTAGCAACGTTATGCTGAATCGCGTCTTTTGTGGTTCTTTGTATCCGGACTCTTTCGCTCCAGCTGCAAGCTTCAACCGCCAATCTTAAGACCTCTCGGTAAAACAACACGTGCCTTGTCATGCGACCGGTACCGCGTTGAACGTTCCTGGACGGTGCGACTGTGCATTGCGCCCTAGCCATGGTCTACAGGTCAACACCCAGTCTTCTCGTGTTTTGCAACCTTCCAATGTCCTAACATCAGCATGTGCCCTGGAGACATGCGCCCCAACCTATTTCGCTATGCTTCTGAGCGCGGCACGGTCCAGCTGAAAGGATTTGCTCGGTTGCAACTCTTTACAAATGGTCGGTCCGGATTTAATTCTCGTGATCTACGCTGTCCTGCTGCATAAATAGACATGAAGCTCTGGTTGTGAACGACCGGCTCGTCATCTTTCAGTGCAAGATGTTACTAGTTACCCTGACTTTCGCAGTACTCTTGCTGAGGGCTGCGGTAGATGCTGCGGAAACTGTCGTATTACCTCCTATATCAGTGAAACCATCTAATGCGTCTCAAGTCCTGGACCCAAGACTGGCTTCCTTCTCAATAGAATTTTCGTACATGACGTCGTTTGGGGGGAATAAAACCAATCCGAACACTCTAACAAGGGAATTGATGCAGCGTCTTGTAGAACGGACGGGTGTTGGTCCTGATGTCCGTCCGGGTGGAATCACGATGTATGTATTCATCCCAGGCTACAGTTAGCCAATCTGGTGACTAATGGTCTCGTTGTAGTGATAGTAGTGTATATTCGTCTACTGCACCTGCACTTGTGCTGGATGAGAGCCCCGTGGGTAACATATCATGGTAATCAATGATTGTCACTGAGGATCATTGAACAGGCCGGTGGTATTTTTCGCACTACATTGTGAGTCTACTCTATTATTTCCCTTCGGGGCCCATCCTCACCTTGATTTGCTCCAGTGGTCCCGCATGGTACGAGTCTCTGGAGGCCTTCCCAGATTCTTCCCTGATCGTTGTGACCGTTAACCTTGGAAACGACACGATTCAATTCGCTCGGGACGAGATCCAAGCTGCCATCGAGCATATCGGATGGAAGCGTATTCGCGCCTTTGAGTGTATGTTTCTCTCCAAGTCACACAGGTGCTTCTTATCTCAAGTTTGTGATAGTGGGTAATGAACCAGACCATTATCCAGGCGGTTCTCGTCCACCACAGTGGTCTTCGTCAGACTACACAGCTCAGTATTTGGTTCGTTTACCATTTGGTCATCACGTTTGGCTCGTATTCATGAAACAGATAGGGTTGGACTGCATTCCTCTCGAGGAACCTGTCCCTGCCCTCTCACATATTCCAAGCGGGTGGGTTTGTCGATACATGGTCCACAAAAGATATTATCGACGAGGGCGTGGATACCACCGGGTCTGTCAAACTCTTTGCTCAACATACGTCAGTCCATACAGTCTATCTGCATTAGCCTTCTGGAAATGATGTCCATTCATATAGATATCAGTATTCCACTTGTGATCCGGCAAGGAATACGATTGCGACCCTACCGAATCTGGTCAATCACCAGAACATTACCGTAAGCTAATCCGTGATGCTCTTGTCATTCTTTATCACCTAACTCATTGCCTTTAGGCATATCTGTCTCAATGGAAACTACAGGTTGCAGCAGCCAAGAGCGTCGGGAAAGAGTTCGTCGTTGGGGAATACAACTCAGTATCGTGTTCCGGCAAGGAAAATGTCACCAATACATTTGGGCAAGCGTTATGGCTGGCGGATAGTATGTCTCGTGGAATTCTTAGCTGCCTCATACTCATGTTCTGGTAGCCATACTGTTCGCGGGGTCGATGGATATTTCTAGGATGTACCTTCATCAGGGTGCTACTCTGGTCCTCCAAAGCAGTCAGCAAGCAAATACGTAAGTTTCGCTTGCATGAATTGATATATGGAACTAACATCCTGATTCCGTATTCAGGCCAGGTTTTTCGTGGGTAGGTGGATAATATTACTAGAACTCATCATACACTCATCTCAATGGACGTACAGTATGATCTCTGGTACCCTGTCCCAACAGACCGATACGGGTCCGCCCGAGCTTCGCCTTCATTCGTCGCATACCTTCTCATTGCAGAAACCATCGGTTCATCCAACCAATCCCATATCGCACTTCTTCCCTCAATCTCCTCTCATCCTCAATTCGCTGCCTACGCCGTTTGGGACCCTGCGACTCGTGCATCGGACGTTGCGAGATTAGTATTACTGAATCTCGCAACTCGGATTATAACGAGTACGGAAGAAGAGAAGGAAGCTATTGCGGTTACGGTTGACTTGAGTCCTTACGTTAGGGAAAATCAGCACGCAACAATGAAAAGGATGACTGCGTTAGGATTGGATTCCACGGATTCGAGGACAGCGACTTGGGCGGGGCAGAGTTATGAGAATGGGACGGCGAGTGGAGTCGAGGTGATTGAATCATTGGATGAAGGAAAGGTGACTGTGCAAGGGAGTGAAGGCGTACTGGTATTCTTCTAAAGGGCTAACGTCATTCCACACCACTCTGTTAGCACCTGTACAAACTGCCATCATATCTGTCTGACATGATTGAATGACGGGTCAAAGAGCTTGGTCACAAGTCAGAGATATATACATATCAGTCCCAGTCAGACGCGACTGTGATAAGTCATGTACGCATGTGGCTGCTTAGTACCATCGGCAAGCAAGTGAACCATGGATAACAGCAGTTCTAACAAGGATGATAAAACGAAAGTGTTCATGGAGATTCTGTACACATACTTGATTCTGCAGTGTACCTTAAGCCATCAGTTGTGTATATACTTACCGACTGGAATAAAATACCACCAGTCTAAGACGCCGATTAGAGGAATTGTTCAAGGGGGGAAATAGTTAAGCAGACGTTTTGCTCAATTGTTACCCCACTATCACCCCGAAAGTCGAAGGCAACACGGCCAGATCGTAAATGATCTACCCAATCTCCTGCGGTCGGCATATCTGGATTTACCAAATTCCACCGATCCAAGTCACTATCCGCATAGTCGTCTGGTGGCAGTGGAGGTGTTGCAGGGTATGGGGTCAAAGGAGGTGACGGGAGAAACTGGATGGCGTGGTCATAATGTATGAGGGGAAGATTTCGAGTGAAGCGGCCCTCCTGGCAGACCAACTCGGAAAATGCATCGACGAGCTCCAACACGCACTCTCGGCGTTCCATGCATCGTTGCAAGATGAGTTCAAAGAATGGACCGCAACTCCACTTGTATCGCTGGGCAACTGTTCGGATCGAATCGCACAGGTTCTCAATGTGTATACCTTCAAATCCGTTCCAACTTTGGCCCCCTTTTGGCATGTCACTAAGCATAAGGGACCGCAAACATCCAAACAAGCCTCTGTTTCCCAGCGTTGGGCCTGGCTTCAACCTCCAATCTAACGCATCGTGCGTGGGTTGCGACATTAGGAAATGCAAAATGTCAATGCTTGGCCCGGACATTCGCAAAATATCGAGACCAGAAGGAGAGCATCGTCCGACAAGCTCTGCGATGAACGACGCCATCTCCCGGGCGATTGGATATATCCTGCAGCCCTGTGAAGATCCTACGTTGATGTCCACCACATTTGACAGCGGCAGGCCCAAAAGGAGGTTCTGCAAAATCACAGGAGTTTTCCAACCTTGTCGATACGAAAAACGGATGCTAAAATGTGGAGGAGGCAAGGCTCCATGGACTTGTTGCTGACCCGATGAAGGATCAAGGGCGTATGTTCTCAAAGTCATCCGGTTCTGTTCAACACCAGGCGACTCAGGCCAGAGTGGGTCAGGCTCAGTCTGCAACGAATCGAAGTGAATGGACAGGCCTGTAGATGGTATGGTCTGCCCTGGAATATCCACTGACTTCCTTATGATAGAACGAAGAGCATCAAATTTGTCCTTGTGAGTACCATCCATCATCGCAAATGGCTCCCAGCCATGATTGTGCCTCACATCAGTCTTGAAGGCTATCGTTGTGGACAAGGGAAAAGTGCAATGGGACAGAAAAGCGTCAATAGAGGCCGCATCAAGACACATCTGCAACGTCTGTAAACATGGAAGATCCACAGATTGCAAACTTCCGTAAGATCCGCCGGTCTCGCATAGCCTACTGCAATACTCGCTGACCACCTCCAGCAACTGCAGCCCAGGCATATGCGAGAGAGCGACCAGAAGGTCCCCTATAGAAAGCGAGCTGCCGGGCGGGGATGTTATTACATCGTGACGAATAATGAGACTGCGTAGATTGGTACGGAGGAAAGCTGAATGCCATGGTATATTGTATCCTCTGAGCTCGACATGTGTTAATTTCGGCAATATACCCTTGGTCAAAATATCTGGGAAGGATGGGCCGTGCGTGCTCGTGAACTTGAGTGTTTCAAGAGCAGGAGCATAGAACTCTTCAGCGCTTGAACTGAAGACGGAGAACGCACGCTCAATAACATTGTTGGATAAGGCTAAGGAGAGCGTCTGTATACGGGAGGACTGCGCGAGGACCAACCTCAAGGAGGCCACACTGACAGACGGCAGTATTCGACGAGCATTTTCACCCCATATCCGGATGTCATCCGCGCGTCTGACATCCCAAGGTCTGATATGCAACAATGCTTGACTGGAGCGTGCAAGAAATTCCTCGACGCGGTCTCGAGTACCTAGATGAATAAAGCTCCATAGTTTCGGCGTGCCCAAAGCAACTTCACGCCACCGGTGAGACACATGAGTAATGGCTATCCAGCTGTAAGGTCCCGTAGAACCGGGTAAACCATAAGACAACGGATCAGAGGCAAAATACATGAAGATAGCTGCGAGAATCTCTGGGAGAAGCTTTGCCACTGGGAGAAGATTATTGAGAAAGCGACATTTTGTGGCTATGATACGTAGTTCATGGACGACGGTTTGTCGATGAAGAGCAATCTCTTCTTCGACTTCGAGTCGTAGATCATCTACGTCTTGCATTATTCGGCCTACAAGAATAGCCTTCAGTCTGACTGCAAATGTCGCTGGAATTACTTCGTACTTACGTCTTCACTAGCCAATGGTAGGACTTCGGCTTGGCTTTATGATACCTTGTAACGGCGTTGCAGTGGTAGAGTTCAAGCAAGCTGTGATACAGTGGGCAGTGGGGATACTACGGAGGCTGTGATTCCACGTGAAGAGTTTTGTTATGTAAGTTGATGAACGACGCGACCAGACAAGAAGGTACAGTGATTTGCCCGACGTTATAGTTGAAGCTAACTGAGAATTTACTTGTGCATATTGTACAGGGACAATGATAATTAAAAATAAGTCTGGCGAGAAACTTCGCGACAGCTACTCTAACATTATGCACATATAAAACTATCAGCATTGGTAGGATTTCCTGATCTGTACCGGGAACTGGCAGGATACCAAGGGTAAATTTTACATCAGCACGACCGTTTGACTTGATCACAGAACTCACTTTACATAACGGTCGAGTGAAGGCAGGACCCCTGGTGACGTTGTTACCGGTATAGTGCACGGCCCTGATTAAGTCGGGACCAACGCCTTCTTCGACCCAGCGAACGAGAGCAACAAGGATATCATGATCAGCGTCATGAGTGAGTGGAGGCATACCGGATATGGCTTGGGATACACCACCGAAAGCATTGGCACCTTTTCTGTACTCGAGAAAATTATATGCACAATCGAGCATTGACCACATTCGAGTTCCGGCATGACTCATTTCCAAAGGCCTTCTCCACGTCTAGGTATGATAATTTGAACTTAAATCCTAGCAAATAACGACACAAGTGTGATGTTCCATTGGTGACAGACAAAGATGACAACAAATTCAACTAGCCAGAAAGTCGTAAGGCAAATGCATCTATAGTGGGAAGTACCCACGCGAGTCGAACTAGTGTCTATGAGATTCAAGACCAATGCGCTTGTCAGGCAGCTAAACGAACAGTCAGGATTGACGATCGTGCTATGAAAAAAGGATCGTACCAAACACAGATAGAGCCATGACCAGGTCTGCTGCGCTTCTTCCCAAAAGTAGGCGCGACGAGCAGGAAGTGTGTTACGAGTCGGTTTGGGGGTCGATGAACGATCGAAGTCAACCCAAACAACCCTCTTATCAGGTAACACGAGACAGTTATTGCTAGCGACGTCGCCATGGAGGACGTACGAGCCATGAATACGACACATTGCCCTCATAACATTGTCGGCCACGTAACGGTCGATGTTAGAGATGGAGATCGGGGTCGCCTCCGGGAAATACTCGAGGAGAATGCCAAAAGGTGGATCAACATCACCCCAAGCCTCAAACGTCTCCGCAACGAACTCAGTATCATCACCTGAGAGACGCAACCAGCCATAGCAGCGAGGGACAATGCCCGCATCGCACGCGCCATAGTGCAGCAAGTGAGCATAAGCATCCTTCTCCGCGTGAAATTGCGATAAGTCTGAGCTGAGGTCATCGTAGCCGATACACTCATCCGAGTCGGAATCATCGTCTTGGGAGCCACTGCTATCAACGTTGCTGGCGTCAGGCTCGTGGTCTTCGAAATCATTTCCCTCTGACTCGTCCTCGTTGCATTCGTCGTGGTCCTCGTTAGCGCCGGAATCATTCATGTACTGAAGAGAGAAGTTAGTAACGACGTCACCCAACAACCATCAAAGTACTGACCGTCTTCAGCAATCGCAATTCGGAGCCAATCTTCACGATGAAGGTAGAGTGATTGCCATCTGGGTTGATGTCCTCTAGAAACTCGATGGGCTGCTGAAGCCGAAGCTCTGGCAGAGGAGGGGGACGAACATAAGCCTGTAACTGCACGTCCTTGGCGCGATGTTGCAATACATCAGAGTCTACCCTGATGGGGCTCGGCATATAAAAAGTGTACAATGGATTCTGGCCTTGTTCTATCGCCTCCTTCAAGACCATCGCGATGAATTCAGGACTCCAAGAAGCCTTGTCCATCGTCTTGAGGGGAGTGAGGTTGTACAAAGGAGGGTCAAAGTCAAAGAGGCTCTTCTCGGGGTAAGAGCCATGGCGGTCATGATCGTATTTCAGAGCCATGGGAGACTTCCTCGGGGAAAGATAAGACTACGACGCTGGCAAGTGTAGCCTGTAGACAGTGTATGTCTAGAGTAGTTGAAGAATCAAGTTGACTCCGCTTCCTTTGTGACTCGGATTCTGCCAACGATCAGGACGGCTATGGGCTCTTGCTCCACAAACGCCGGCTTAGAGAAGTTCAGTGCTGGGTATTTTCAACAAGGTGGCCTGTTCTGCAAACAGCTGTAGTCAGAGTCTGCGGCAACACTAAGTCAGACCAACTGTGACGTTACATACATAGATCTGATCAGATCTCATGGCAGATCGCCTTGTGATCGTTCGATTGCAGCCGGGGAACGGCCTTTGTGCAATACAGTACCTGGTACGCTTCGCGTCCGAGAATATAGTACGCCGCGTTCAGGAGTGCCGACCTTTCTGCCTGGTCTTATTGTAGTGGTCACACTTTCGATTAGGTCTTTTCATCCCAGCCTAGTATCCGCAAATCTTCACGTTTTCACCTTACAAAGACGTCCGATCAATTTTTGGGCAGGTGGGCCACTTCTTTCAACTGGACAGAGGTTCTGCAGATGTTCTCTGCTAAAATTGATCCTATGCATTACGCTGAATACGAATAACAGAGAATCACCGTTGGGCAGGCAATTCTCCGAGATCATTAAAGAAGGCAGCTTTGATCTCTTGACATACATCCTTCAATGCCTGGCCTATAAACTCAAAGTCGGATATCTGATGGTATTCAGATAAACATTAGCACTCATAAATTCCAGTTCCGCAATCCAATGCTGACCTCATTCCAAACCTGAGCACTTGCTCGGCACCACCAAGCTCCAGCATGGAAGAAATGCGCAACATAAGCGTTCTTCTCGTTCAGTAACTTGTCTTTCAAGAACTCATTGATCTTGATCAGGGTTTCTCGTGAGTAGACTGATCCCGAGCCCGGTTCCTCAACCGGAAGTGGAAGTTGCACATTTGTCTGACGCTTCCATCAGCTCCAACTTTCGGGGGCTGAGAAGAGATAGGTCCGTACCATACTCAGCGTAAGCTCACCAGACTCATCCATAGTCTTTGTACCGAGTACCTCGGCTAATCGTTTGCCGCCCTTCATAGCGAGGTCATGACAGTACGAGTTGATAGATTCCTCTCCGCCGAGCCAGTTCCGAAATTCCAAGGCTGCATCGCAACGAATCACTGTGAGATCGAGAGTGTCTATAAAGTAAGCGAACATACCTGACTTGACACTCAAGTATGGTGTGAGGTCCATTGTTCCCGTCCCTAAGGTCTTGAGTAAGTGACTAGGGAAACAGATCCCAAGGATACGCAATACTAACAGCCATGTTGATCGACAAAGTTGGTACCTTTATCTTCATATGTTGGATCCGAGGGACTGAGATAGTCATGAGAGGTAGGAATCGAAGATTTGATGATATGCTGGTTACTACAGCAATTCAATGAGCAAGAACACAATAAAGACTTCAAAAATATGCCATTAGTTCACCGTTTGGGCACATATAGCAAAGCACATCCACGCTTGACATAAAGCCACTTGTGACAATTGGAGACCCAGAAGTCGGGTTTGAATTTGCCGAGATCGACATTCACCTGTTCAACGAGAGAAGTGAGCCTCGAGCCGTGCAAAGTTCAAATGGTCAAACCTCTTGTCCAATACTATGAGCAGCATCGATTACACTCCAAATGCCCTCCTCTTTGCAAATGCGTACCATCTCTTGCCAAGGTAAGCGTACGCCGGGGTTCGAAGTGATGCTATCGATCACAGCAACGAACCGGTTTCCTGTGTTGTCGGACTTGACTCCATCTGGCAACACGAAATCCGATGGAACGTTGGTAAAAGTTGAAGTGACATGCTTTTGTTTGAGCTCGCGAATCCGGGTGCGGAAAATGTCGATGATCTCGGAGTGTTTGAGAGGGAAGTTATATCCAACCATGTATACGGAGGGTCGTGGTGCTTCGGAGCGGTCACTCAAGTATCTGATAGTGCGCTCGACAGCGCCATATGTAGTGGAAGCTATAAAGAGGATGAATTGGAATCGCCGCCTAAGTTCGGAGAAGCAGAGAACAACTTACCCCCGATTAGAACATCCCCTTCCCTCCATTCAAAGGACCTCAGTACGGTATTGATGCCATGAGTAGCATTGGGAACCAGGACTATTTCATCATGTTCTGCGCCGATAAGGTCCACTACAAGCTTCCTGCATTCAAATTCGCTATGCGTCAGATCTCTTGGGACAGGTTAGCTCCTCGTGTAGGTACATACCTCGATTCTTCCAGCAGAGGGAGGTAGGTGTATCTATGAAACTTATCTGGGTTCTGTTCTGCCAATAGCTGTAGTTTCTGTACATCCTTGAGCACTGGTAGAGGACACGACCCATATGAACCTATCAACGCAATTCACTGCCGTGAGGTCGACCTCTGCATTTTAAAGAGACATTTGGAGACATACCGTTATTCAGATTAACATAGTTTTCATCGAAAGCCCAATACTTCTTGAGATCATGTCCGAATGCTGGTGGCTTGGATGATGGATCGTAGGTGTCCACTTTACTTGCGGGAAGACCGTCGATCGTCATTTCATCAACCGCAAACAATACTTAACGCAGGGAGAGATAGGGGAGTACGAACGTCCCGATATCCTGATAATTGTGTTCAAGTTATATATATACGGCTCCGACGATTAGCAGATGCGGATCTCCGAGTCGTCGATGAATTCTGACTCGAGTCAGTTCCTCAATATGCCAACAATTCGGCAATAAGTGGCAGTTATATGAGGTCTGGCGAGGTATACAGACATGTCCTACGAGTAACAGAGTGATATCCTGATTCCCTGCACAATGATGTCCTCAGTCATCGAGCAAGAATTCCTTCACGACCTCCCGCATTTCGTCCTGATTTACTCGCCTCTCCACAAAAAGCTCTGTCTCATCATCTGCATCAACTGCCTTCGTAGATTGATTCCACAGTCGGGACTGAGCAATAGTCCACATCGGCAATGGGACTGCGGTGGGAGAATCTTGTGAAGTCCGAGGGCTGCGACTTGTGAGCGTTGTATGACAAGTGTAACATAGATGTGGCCTAAGAGATTCTAAGAGAGGGGCAGTAACCTTTGTATCACTTGCGTTGAGAGAACGAATCGATATACGAGCTTTCCACGCTTGTACACCCTGCTGTATTGGCCTGAGACGCGAAAAGGAACAGTAAATCAATGCACACAATGATAGCCGTCAATGGTTCTTACCTGGCGCAAAGCAAACATTGAGCTGCAACATCACCCTTCGGGGCGAGCTTCCCACAAGTGCGTACAATAGTCGACACGGTTGAAGGATAATCTTTCTCCAAACCCACTATGAAATCTAAGACATGTTAGGTTATTACACTATAACTGAGCTGGAGTGCTGACAGAGTACGAACCTTTGGTCATGCGACCTATACCCAGCTTCGATCCAGGCCACTCCCAACTCTCGCGACCAACCACTTTCACGCCTTTCCACCAAGCCCAAACTGCACACTCTTTCATGCCAATATCTCGTAGTGGTCTAATGACCCTTACGGAGCGTTGATTCCTGCTGGGTTTAGCATCTTCGTTCTGAGTGGTATTGGCAATGTCAAGATTGGGTGTCCATTCCTCCTGGATTTCCTCCTTAACGTGGAACCCGCCGCCCTGCGCAATGCTGGATATCAGTGACACGGCAAGGCTTGTCAAGGAAGTCCCTAGTAATAAGTGAGAGCACTCGCGCCGAACAGCGGTGTGGTATAGAAGGAGACGGGTGAGGGTTTGTAAGGCTGTTGATCGTGCGGTGTCGGTAGGAAGAGATGAGAGATATATTCGGAGTGCATCAGTAGGGGAAGCAGGAGCAGGTATTGATGATAGCAATAATTCTACAGCCACCTTAATCCAATGAGCCAAAAACTGATCAAGGTCGAAACGCACCTTCGGAGGTTAGGTTCACGCCAAAATGTGTCAGATCAATGCTGCGATCCGTTGTATTCCACCAATTAGGATCAAATGCGTCCTGCACTCGTAAGGAAATCAACTCCACGCCGTCATATTGCTCAACGGCACAACGTATTGACTCGGTATTGTCCTTCATCTACTTTTCCAGCGTCGCCATCAGGATCCTCGCTTCCAAAAATGATAAAGTTCGTAACTCACCCCTGGGAAGGCATCGCAAACCTCAACATAGCAGACGTTGACCTTTCTCCACACCCTATCCTTCCTAGGGTGGTCCCTCCCGCCCTCGGCAGTGGAACGATCGTACTCCGGTAACACATAACATCGATGGACAAGATCGAGCAGTACTGAAGATCCAAGGCCACCAGAATAACCAATGAGGAGATCGCCTGTAGGCTTGAGAGCTGTTCGTCTAGGTCCGTCAGGCTTTGCATTGACAAATGGCTCGAGAGACCGTCGGAACTTGAAGGTCATGAGTGGGAAGAAACAATCTCTGTGCAAACGGAATGAGCGACATAGACGGACATAGCCTAGGGAGAGCGTACTTGCAGTATACTGCATGTCGAACAACGATCTTTCCGATTGTTTCTTTGCATTTAACGCAGGTTCTTGACTTGTCGTGTCTGAGTCTTCCTGCATTGAAACAATGTTAAAAATCATATATAAATGCAGAATAACGTTGACATACGGGGCAAAAGTGCATCCTGGCCCTCAGTGGTCGGATTCCCGCAAGACATGGTGGTGGAAGGAAATAAAGAGAGCTAAATGTTAATGGGCGCTTGCAACAAAGCGGAGTAAGTAAGCAATATAATAAGGTTATCTAAGTTTGTAATGAAATTGTAACCTAATAATGATCTTTGTTTCTATTCTTGTTTCCGTTTACCTTTCCTCCTGACCTTGTCGCGAAAGCAATCCCTATGCTTTCCGACACAAACGTACCGAGTCTTCTTGTTCCAGATCTGGTACAGTCTCCTTGGAACTTTGAGGCCGACCCTGCTGAGCCGGACGTGCCTGCCAACCCGCTCAAGATCAAAATCCCACCAGTGATGGCTCCAAATACTCGCAGTGCAGCTCGCCACAGAACGAACTCGAGTACTTCACCTGCTTCTGGTTCTGAATACCACGAGAGCAGCATGTCTATGGAAGCAGATGACCATGCCTTGCCGATCGAGGAAGAGGACGAACAGCCAGAACCAGTCTATACCACGAGCACAAGAGGCAGACGAGTACAGAGGAAGAGCTATGTCGAGTCGAATAGTGAAGATGACCCTGCATTACAAGACGACGACGATCCCCTAAACATCATTGATCAGCACTCGGATGATCCGCCTAAAGCTGTGAATGGCCACGACGCTGACGCAGACGAGGGACAACACGGCCGCTACCAACTGCGAGGACGTTCGCGTCCGCAATCGAAGTTGAATGGAACTATCGTTAGTGACGACGAGGGTGAAGTCGGTCTGGCCCACTACCACACACGTAGCAGAAATCGACGACCACCCCCTGCTCCGGAAACAAATGGACGAAGTACACGACGTTCGACACGCTCGCAACGTCTCTTACGGACGCGTCCAAGCACTCGCCGTACGCGTTCACGAACACAAGAACAGAACGAAGACGACGTGGACTATGTGGACCAGTCATCTTCTGGGTCTGCCGATGCAGACGGGTCTCTCGACGAAGGTGCGCATACGTCGCCGGAGCCAGAAGTAGGACATGAAGATGAGGACAAGGACGGGGAAGGAGAACTGGATGATGGGGTCGAACCAGACGGTCGACCGTATGCGCTTCGACAGAGGAGGGAGATCAACTATGCTATCCCGCCGCCGCTGGAAGAGATGCGACCACCTCCGCCAAAACCGAAATCAGGCGGTGGAAGAGCCGGTGGTCGAATAGGTGGTTTGGGCGGGAAGCGAAGCAAAGCACCAGGATGGAGTGCGACTGGGGCCGAGCTGAGTAGGTGGATGGGCGGTGGGGAGGATTCGGTGTGTAAATATAGCTGCTGTACTCTTTCTCAAATGCTAACGGGATAGCATAGGACTCGGACTACGCTACTAGGACACCAAGGAAACCCTTCGGGGTGGAGGCGGCAGGTGGAGGGATATTTGCTGGTAGTGCTGGTGGAACAGGACTGTTTCCAGGCGATCTGGCGGCAGCAGCAGGCACGCCGTCGAATCTGGGCAAGGTCGGAGATGCTTGTTCGTGACATTCCCTTGCGTTTGGTGTTTTCCACTAAGACCTCCTTAGCTTTGGCAGATGTCGACCCTCTCGGTGTCAACCAGAACGTATCCTTCGACGATGTAGGCGGACTTGAAGAACGTATGTGTCAGATCTGAATCAGAGTTGATTTGTTACTGACCCTTCGCAGACGTCAGTCAGCTTAAGGAGATGACGCTACTACCTCTGCTCTATCCGGATCTATTCAAGAATCTCAGCATCACACCTCCAAGAGGCGTCCTGTTCCACGGCCCTCCGGGGACGGGTAAGACGCTTCTTGCCCGTGCACTCGCTGCCAGTACCCGGCATGACGGAAGGGGTGTTTGTAAGTCCAACTATCATGGATAGCATGTTCCACATAACATTGAATGCTCCTCCCAGCGTTCTTCATGCGTAAAGGCGCAGACTGCCTTTCAAAATGGGTCGGTGAAGCCGAACGTCAGCTGCGTTTGCTGTTTGAAGAAGCTCGGAATCAACAGCCCAGTATCATCTTCTTTGACGAGATTGATGGTCTGGCACCCGTACGGTCATCTAAGCAGGACCAGATTCATGCATCCATTGTCAGCACACTGCTTGCGCTCATGGATGGTATGGACGGACGTGGACAAGTGATTGTCATAGGTGCAACGAACAGACCAGATGCTATCGACCCTGCATTGCGAAGACCAGGTCGGTTTGATCGAGAGTTTTACTTCCCACTTCCCGGCTTGGAAGCTAGAGAGAAGATACTAAGTATCATGACAAAAAAGTGGGCAGGTTGGGAAGCTGAGCAGGGCGCGGAAAATTGCAGGGGATTGGCGAAGCTCACCAAAGGTTATGGTGGTGCTGATATTCGCGTATGTCATACACTGAATAAATTTACCCTATACTGGTTATTGATTCTGTTTATCATTTTGCAGGCCCTGTGTACTGAAGCTGCTTTAAACGCGATCCAAAGACGATATCCGCAAATCTACCGATCAACTGATCGACTCCTTCTGGACCCTGATTCGATCAAGGTACAGCTGAGAGATTTCATGGTGTCAATCAAGAGTACGTCGTGTTTTCTCGTCATCGTGTTACTCTACCAAACTTAAATCCATGTCTATTTCTAGAACTAGTGCCATCTTCTGCTCGAGCAGCAGCGCCAGAAGCAGCGTCACTTCCTACTCAGCTCTCACCACTGCTTGCAAGTACACTGGAGAGGGTGACAGGAATCATCGAGACCGTGCTGCCGAAGGCGAATAAACGTACTGCTCTTGACGAGGCGGAGTATGAGGATGAGGGAGAGGAAGGCGCAATGGATCGTGAGATGATGTTACAATGTGGGTTTTTCTTATGAGGTTCGTTTGTTCGTGGTTAACAATTACTTGCGTCTCTCCTTCCAGCCATGGAGACATTAAGGGTGTACCGACCGCGGGTCGTGATCTACGGTCCTCAAGGAATGGGTCAACGATACATTGCGGCGGCTGCGCTGCATCATCTAGAAGGGTACCACGTACAGAGTCTCGACCTAGCCAGCTTGATGAGTGATTCTACCCGGGTAGGTTTGACGGCCAGAAATGATTCACAGCTTCTGACGCAGCTTCTGCATAGACGTTAGAAGCAGCCATTATCCAGCTCTTTACGGAAGCAAAACGACACCAGCCATCAGTGGTGTATATCCCTTCACTAAATAGCTGGTGCTCTGCAGTGTCCGAAGCAGCACGAAGTACAGTCCGTGCTATGCTAGACGGTCTGGGACCCTCAGACCCAATTCTCCTCCTCGCCGTTGTTGACGCTCCCTACAACCTCCTACCCAAAGATGTGAAGGCATGGTTTGGCCCTACAAGGCAAAATCGCGCCGAGTTGACATCACCTACATTGGAGCAACGAGAAGAGTTTTTCAAACCTTTGCTGCAGGATGTTCGTCGACCTCCGACACAATTTCCCGATGGCGTCAAGAGGAAGAAGCGGTTATTAGAAGAGCTTCCTATCGCACCCCCACTAGAGCCTCGCGCGCCTACTGCTACTGAGCTTGCCGTTCAAGAAGCGAACGATCAGCGTGTGATAACTTTGCTCAAGTACCGGCTTGGTCCTATCCTTACTGAGTTGAAGAGGAAGTTCAGGAGGTTTACTAAGCGAGCTGCTGTGAGTATATGCAGCCCAATCAGATGGAATATAAAGCTGACCTTGTGATATCAGGAGGAGTACAATTTCCAAATCCCACAGCCAGTGGAGCAAGTCGAGACTATGACAACGACCGCTGAAGCGCAGGCCGCTCCAGACGGCGGAGTGATGGAAGTCGTGAATGCAGAGCATACGCAAGATATCCTCGAGCAACTGCCTGCTGTCATGCCAAATGGCATTGAGCAGCCTCATGTGCAAGCGCAGGGCCAACTTCAGCAACCTCCCCTCTTCGATATGGATCTCGAACTCATGCATACCGAATTGTACAAGAGCAAGTACCTCACTCCAGACGACTTCCTCGACGATATCCGCAAGATTGTGCACAACGCCAGCGTCTTTGCCAATGAAGACGCTGAGCGACTGTATCGTGCCCAAGCCATGCTCACTGCTGCGGAGGTCAGTATCCAAGACTTCGATGCTCAATTCCGGGTAGAATGTCAACGGACGGCTGTGAGGGAACGAAAACGAAGGGAAGCCTTCAGGAAGGAGAGAGAAAAAGCCAGAGATGAATCCGCGCAGAATGGCGTAGCGCATCACCCCTCCCGCCGCAGTGCACGTGCACATGGACTTCAGCCTGAACTTGCAATCACTGATCCTGTACGCCTGGAGCGAAGGCTGAAACGACAACGATCTGCCGAAGCCAACGCGGAACCATCTGAGGAAGAGGAGGGAAGTGCAGGACGTGAGGCCAAGCGATCGAGAATGTCGAGTCATGAGGCTGAGTCTCAAGAAGGCCCGGTTGCAGGACCATTGACCCCTCATAAACCTCACCATGGTGTTCGATTTGCTGATGATGTAGATGGGGATGTTGCCATGCCGTCATCTCCTTCGCCGCACGCGAACGAACCTGTTCCTGAGTTACAGCGGATAGAGACGCCTCGTGGACCTGTTGGCTTCGATTCCCTGCTCAATCCAAAACATTCACCTGAAGAATCTCGTCCAGCTGACAACGCATTCAGTTACTTGACGAGTATCGTGACGCCTCAACAGTCGGTATCTGGTGATGAGCATCCTCCACCACCATCACAGGAGGTTTCATATTCAATACCGCCACCACATACACCACCTTCGGAGACACTTCCTCAGCTAAACGGTATCCTAGAAGGTCCAGAACTTCCGCTTCCCAATGGAGATCAAGCTGCTCTCGATGTGATCATGGAACCTGAACGAACTCCTACCCCTCCGCCAAACTTCGAACTCGACGAGACCCTCCTGTCAGACCTCGCTAGCAAGCTTCGTGATCAGACTGATTCTCTCAACGTAGAGCAACTCGAGCAGCTACGGGCGACATGTCTGAACTGCATTTGGAAACGTCGTCAGGAGTGGGACCGCACACCACTCGTACATGAGCTACGGAGTGTTGCGAATGAGTTCATTCGAGACGTGTCAGAATATGATTCAGACAACGATGAGCTCCCTTCTCCCTCGAATGCGGCTTATTAACCCTTGACGTGATTCTTCATTCTGTATCGCCTCTTCGTTGACTACCTCAATGCAGTATAACCATTTGTTCACATAACTACTTACATTCATCTTTCCCTAAGTCAGTTTTTTTTGCCGTGTCGTATTGAGGACTTTCATTGTCTATGTATGTATCGTTGCTGTTTGTGTTTTCCGATCTGTATGTATTACTTACAACTGCTAATAAGTATACCTCGGCTGCGCTAAGTTCCATTCATCTCCGTTGCGAGGTCAGCAAATTTACAGTCAAAACGACGCTTCGTCATGGCTTTCGATTTCGACCTCACATGTGCTACAGTAACATAATAATGGAAGACTGGTCAAACTTCACAACCCAATAACGAAATGGACATGGCGTATCAGCCTGAAATGGGAATATATGCGTTCTTCAATGGTCACTCCTTCATTTCCACGAAAATCAAAGGCGACACGACCAGACATGCGTACATGTTCCACCCAATCACCCTCAGTTGGTAAAGCAACTGGCTGCAGTGAGTTCCATTGTCCGAAATCTAAGTCGCTATTTGGATAGTCGATCACCGGTCGAGTGAGATGGGAGAAGCGCGGGACGCGCTTGTACGGAATAAGCGCAAGATCCTGAGTGAATCGACCCTCCTGGTAGAACAACTCAGCTATTGCGTCAACCAGACCGAGCAGTGAGTCTCGCTCTTCGCGACAGGACTGCAAGACAAGTCTAGAGAACGGGCCACAAGACGATCTATAGATCTTGGTTTGCGAGCGGATTGCTTCGCAAAGGTCTGCAATTTGTGGGTTCGACTCGCGCCAACGCATGCTGTGCCCTATGTCGCTCAACACCAACGTTTTCAAGCATCCAAACAACCCCATCTCACGTCCGCCGGGAGTGAGTGGCCAGTGATGAAGGGGTAAGGAGAGCAGAGAAGGTAAGATGTCGATGCATAGCCCGGACATGCTCAGCGTGTCGAGACCTGTAGAGGAATAAGAAATAAGGCTTGCCAGGAATTTCGCCAAGTCCCCTGGTACAACCCTGCACGAGGGCGAGGTGTCTATTCGAAGGTACTTGACTTCGGAAAGACGAAGGTGAAGGAGGAGTTTCTGCAATAGTTCACCATGATTGTTCTGCCGGTGAGAAAAGTATATGGTGAAGTTTGGCGGAGATTCCATGGCATCAATGGATGATGGTTCATCATTGTACGTTTTGACATACATCCGAGATGGTCGAGGGGAATCGGGAGTGGCATGGATTGACTGGAAATGGATAGCCAGACCTGTGATTGGCTCGTTACCTAACATATCGCACGATTGAGTAATGACGGAACGAATGACATTGGGTTTATCAGGGAGTGCATGGTCGTGCTTCACCTCTACGTTGAGAGTCACGATAGCGGATGCAGGGAAAGTGCAATGCAACAGATAGGCGTAGACTGAGTCCACATCCAGTCGCAAATGCAGCTTCTGCAAACGGGGTAACGCTACCGACTGCAACACGCCCTGTGATGAAGGCCTCGAGCAACAGATGCCACAAGCCTCGCTGATCAGCTCAAATGACTGAAGGCTGGGCATATAGAAGAGGAGATCGAGAACGTCTCCAATGGGAGGACCTTCGTGTGAGCTGTGGTTGAGCACAAGGGTGGTCAGGTCCAATCGGAGGAAAGGCGCATTCCAGGGGATACTGTATCCCTGCAGTTCCACTCTTGTCAACACTGGAAAGGTGCAACTATCCAAGATACTGGGAGGTTATAAGTATTGCACGCTGCTGGTCAACTTGAGCGTGCGTAGAGCGGGAGTCAATGCTTCTGCGCTGCAGCTCTCGAAGGCACGCTCGAGGAGGTTATTAGATAGTGCTAATGACAGCTCCCGTATGCGGGAGAGCTCAGCCAAGATCAGCGTCAGAGAGGCAACACTGACAGAAGGCAGTATGCGGAGTCGTCGTTGACTGAATGTCCAACCCCATGAGCTTTCGGCGTGAGGCCAAGGTTTTATACATAAAGGTGTCTGACCAGACCGTGCAAGGAATTCTCCAACACGGTCGGGAGCACCTAAATATACAAAGCTCCATAACTGTGATGTGTTTAACGCAACGGCTCGCCATCGATAACAGACGTGCGTGACAGCAATCCAACTGTATGGACTCCATGCCTTGTATACGTATGTCAAAGGGTCTGGAGCGAAATACATAAAGATGTTTGCGAGAACCTCTGGAAGGAGCTTGGATACCGGGAGGAGGTCATTGAGAACACGACTCTGTGCCGCTATAGCATGCAGCTCCTCCCAGACGATTTCTCTGCGACGAAGGATGTCCTCTTCTGCCTTACGTCGCATAGCGGTTACACACATGAACGCCTCTGCAAAGCTTCAATTCTCGCCTCCAACGATGCTTGAAAGGCGTACCTTGTTCCTCTACCGCCGTCGTCATTGTAGGTGGTGCGTATACAGGGAAAGCTGTGGCTTTCGATCTAATATCGCGTCCACGTAAGTTGTGGGTGCTCTGAAGTACGAATAACTAGTACGGGTAAACGGAGGCCGAAAGGACGCCTCCGTCTATTCTCACTCTGAAAGACAAGGCGAAGAGTGGGTGGCTCTGCATTCTGCTAAATTCAAATAATGATTTGCGGAATGTATGGTACCAACAAGGTACCAATGCAGGCTACTTACCAGAACATATAATTCAAGACGATAAGTAAAACTATAATAGTAACTTATCAACATGGTACATATATAAGAAAGTCTCATAACAGATTCTCATTTGAAGGTGAAGCCACGTTCTGTTCGATAGTTATCCCAGTATCTCCTCGAAAATCAAAAGTAACACGCCCGTAAGAGCGAAGATGGTCAACCCAATCTCCCTCAATAGGTCGAACATCGGGCGACGATGATAAACCATCGCCCCAATCTCCAAGATCCAAATCGCTATCTGGGTAGTCGGCCACTGAGTTAGGCGGTGGATACAGACGGTTAAAGGGGACAAGGGGAAGATTTTCCGTAAAGCGACCTTCCTGACAGAGTAGCTGAGCTACTGCGTCCACCATACTGAGCAACACAGATCGCACTTGAAAGCACTGTTGCAAGATGAGTTTGGAAAATGGGCCACAGGTCGACCTGTAGTATTTTGCGTGCTCTAGGATGGCATCGCAAATGTCGCTGAGCTGCGAGTGTCTTTGCCGACGTTGACTACGCTTCATGGCAGTTACCACAAGCGTCTTCACGCACCCAAAGAGACCCGTCTCACGTCCACTACAGCGCCAGTTGGAAGTGAGTTGTAGCCAGTCATGTAGAGGCAAAGATAGTAGGGAACATAAGAGGTCGATGCCCCTTCGAGACACACTCAATGTGTGAAGACCCGACGCAGAGCATCGTGAGATAAGTGTAGCTAGGAACTTTGCCAGCTTATGCGACGAAGGAAATACTCGGCAGGATGAAGAAGTGCATATACGGATGTATACCACCTCAGACAGCGGAAGATCGCAAAGAAGTTCTTCCAACAGTTCCGGCAGGTGACTTCCCTGTTGATGACAAAAGCGAATGGTGAATGTAGGGGAAGGAAGTACAATATCGATGGTCGATGCATCGATATTGTACGTTCTGAAAGACATTCGACATGGTCGAGGTGGGTCGGGATCGACATACAGTGACTCGAAATCGATCGCTAACGCCGTTATCGGCGGAGCAATGCTTGACATGAGCGAGTTCACAATGATGGAGCGGAGCACTTTTGAACTGTAAGGGAGAGGATGGACATGCCTCACTTCAGCGTTCAGATGCACAATGGTGGACGAAGGGAAGGTGCAATGCAACAGAAAGGCATCGACAGAGAAAACGTCGAGATGCAAATGCAGCCTTTGTAAGAGGGGCAACTCCACTGATCGCAGTGCAACATTTGTGCGAGGGCTCTCGCACAAACCATCGCAGTGTTCGTTGATCAGCTCAAAGGTTTGAAGACTTGGCATGTAGAAGAGAGCATTCAGAAGCTTCTCCAACAGAAGGCTATCAGGTGAACTCGGGTGAAGCACGAGGTTGGTGAGGTCCAAATAAAGGAAAGGTAGTTCCCAAGGTATGCTATATCCTCGTATTTCGACGCTCTTCAGTGCCGGAAGAGAACACTTATTCAGGATATTGGGAAAAGAGGAATTGTTCACGCCATTAAGCTTGAGCATCTGTAAAGCGGGTGCGTCAAAGCCCTCCGCGTTAAAGACTGCAAAGGCACGCTGGAGAATGTAATCGGGCACACCCAGAGAGAGCTCCTGGATACGAGACACCTGCAAGAATATGAGATTCAGAGATGTCAGATCATTGGAGGGTGGGACTGAGCGTGGCTTATTGGGCCACCAACCCCACTGCTCTTCGGCGCGAGGTATCCAGATCCAAGATCGTATACAGAGAGGGGCATGGCTGGAGCGTGAGAGGTAAAGTTGCACAAGGTCAGGAGCGCCAAGATATATAAAGCGCCACAATCCTGGAGCGTTTAAGGCTACAGACCGCCAGTGATGGCAGACGTGTGTGACGACTATCCAACTGTAGGGCCCCGGCGTAGAACCAAGCGAAGCGTATGCGGAATAATCTGCGGCGAAGTACATGAAGATATCCGCCAGCAATTCTGGAAGAAGCTTCGATACAGGAAGGAGGTTATTGAGAAGACGAGTCTTCGCCGCTATAGCATGCAGTTCCTGTCGAACGATCTCTCTGTGACGGAAGATCTCTTCTTCGACCTCACTGCGTCGCATGCTAACCTGCATTGTTGACACTAAATAACTTCAGCTTTCAACATGATGAATACGATGAATATAATTGCACCTCGTTCTTGTACTCTGAACCTAGGTGGTGGTCACTGGGAAAGAAGAATGCTGTGGCCTTCGCGTCCACGTGAGCACTCTTCAGACGCGATCGACATATGTTTTGGGCGCGCTCTTTGTTCTTGACCATCATCTTGTCCTCCGCACTCTACTCGACTTCCACTTTCTCCTGGAGATTTTCTGAGTCAATATTAACATGCTTTTATCGCCTGCAGAACCTCCACCAGGAGCATCACCAAATTGTTCACCGTCAAAGGCGTCTCCGACGTCTAACGTCGTTCGACAAAGTCCTCCCTCGGGACGAATTTTGGTTGATCGTACCAACGGCATAACACACCATGTCTCTCAGGACAAAGCGCGCAACGAGGCCAACAGAAAAAGGTTCAGGATACCCTCTGTTATCCTTGACACCGATTGCATTTCAGACACCATGGCAGCTCGCTTGGCATCTTCTCTCATTTCACATGTTCTGTTTCTCAAAAGCCAGATACCATTGTGCGTTTACATCTAGTAGCTTTCTTACACTGGAACTTCAACCTTGTGTTTTCCTTTAGTCCGGTCGCTCAACTTGCTCGTATGCCCGGAGGACGATCTAACAACCGCGCGGCCAAGAAACGGGAAGATCTCATAAATGCTATAGACACCCTATCCTCCCACCTGAACACTACCTTTATAGCTCTGTCGACTGCCTTTGCCCATCGAGGGACAGAATCCAACGTCTCCAGCCACACGAAGATTGTTCCAGAATACACTAGACCGCCTACTCAGGCACATATTGCTATTGTCCTTGGCCCAAGTGTTGGTGCCGCAAAAGCACGAATCATGTTTATTGTTGATGGTCTGGAAGTCAAGATATGGGATGCGAGGGAGCTGCCAAAAGAATCTGCTAGTCGTTCACCTAGTCCTTCAATCGCAGATGGCGATAAGTCAGATTCCGATTCAGTCACTGAGAGTGACGACGAGGTCGAAGAATCAGACGGGGAAGGGGAGGACTCTGAGTTTGGGTCCCTACCACCGCTTTCCCGTTCGCCGTCTCCTTGTACTGAGGCTCAGTCGGAACCACCATTCCAAGTTTGGTCAGAACCATCCTCGCAACCTTCTTCGGCTCCCCTGCCTTCATACAAGAAACGCGAACCTCTTCGTGACTCTCCTTCACGTTATAGTACGCCTGGAACGATGCCATCTTCACACATTTCTAATCAGCCCAACTACGAGGAACAACAACAGACACTACGTGTCGCAGACCGGCTGCTCTCTCGAACCCTTGCAAGCGCCTGCGCAGAAGATGATGGCGGAATGTCATGTGAACTCGGTTCGTGATATCCGTTGTGCTTCTGTTTTTCAGACAAGGGTGCTGATACTTCCTACTCAAACGCCAGCACCAACTCAAATGCATATCCTTCTCCGCGCACCAAGGCGATTCCGCCACTCCGCCTGGATACCACGTCAAAACCTGACTCGGTCTCTTGAAGGCACCCTGGATTCATTTCTTAAGGACTCGATCGTGGATGACGATGCTCAGGAACCGATACTCAACCAAAAGAAACGAGCTACTCGTATAGGTGTCAAAACCGAGGGCGTCTGGGTAGGTTGCAAAGCCCAAACTACGCCTATAGATTTCTCTTCCAGTGGTGATGGTCAAGAGCCTTCTAATGAAGATGACGAAATGATTTGGTGGGTATGGGATGGGAAGATTGCTGGATTCTCGGACTGGTGAACATTTACTAGAACTCAACAACATCGGACGCATACGGTCATGGATACGGACAGGTTTCATGTATCATACACATATAAGTAGTATAAGTTAAATAATTCGGGCGATTGAAAACCAGTGAGACTTTTTTTTGCCAAGGGACAACTACTGTAGTTGATCGATCATAAGTTCGATTATAATACGTGTTACTAGGCATTATAACAGAAACTTACTTCTGAACTTATATATACTACTTGAAGGCCTGAAGACTCGAGTGTATTCCCAAGATGTGTGCTACAGCTACTAAGGTTCTTATCGTATGATCACGGGCACTGTAGGCTTCAGACTACATATGGGTACTATCAATGGCATCGTGCCAGAACGCACATACACGTGGAGATCACGGCTTTCCTTGTAGCCACCATCTGCGATGCCGTTGTCAATATCGACTACAGAAGGGCAAGGTACGTCGTTCAAGCAGCGTCCGAGGAAGGGTCTAATGCTTCGCAGATTCATCTTTGCGAATAGCCAACCTCAGGCTGCGCTGTGAGGTTGAGGAAGACATCCTCCCTCAGAGCGATGTCGTTCAAGAGACGCTGCACGAAATAGCGGCAAAACGCTGTATCCTCAACAATCTCCTTCCGGTAGCCAGACTTCTCCCAGAGCTGCTCACGGCTATCTTCATGTACTTTGCTATGGATCCGTCGACATACACTGCGCGCGGTTTCAAGACAGGGCCGTACAGTTGGATCGTCGTCACACACGTCTGCCATCGCTGGCGGTCGATCGCCTTGAACACACCAAAATTATGGAGCTATATATATCCGGGCGCGCTCAACCGTGTGGAAGAATTTCTTGCACGCTCCGATCAGGTTGCTTTGCATATACGACATTGGGATTGGGTGTTGCCAACCACCTATCAGGCCTCTCTGAATGCTGTGCTTGTGCAATTGTCCCGTATCCAGGAGCTATGTTTGGTCCGCGTGCCTAATAATGTTCTCGAACACGTCTTTGCAGCCGTAGACATGGAATGCTTCAATGCTCCTGCTTTAAAGTTGCTCAAGTTTATTGGGATACGCGATTCATCTTTTCCCAATATCCTGAATAAGTGCACTCTTCCGGCACTTAAGAGCATCGAAATACGAGGATACAGCATACCTTGGGAACTACCTATCCTTCATTTGGACCTCACCAACCTCGTGCTTCACCCGAGTTTACCTGATAGTTCTCTATTGGGGAAGGTTCTGAATGCTCTCTTCTATATGCCAAGCCTTCAAACCTTTGAGCTGATCAGGGAGCAGTGCGATGGCTCATGCAAGAGTCAGTCATACGGTGTGCTACGATCAGTGGAGTTACTCCGTTTGCAAAAGCTGCACTTGCGACTCGACGTTAACTCTGTCGACGCTTTTATGTTGCATTGCACTGTATCACCGTCCGCAGTTATACGACTTAACACTGTGCTGAGCCATCCCCATCCCCTGCCTAACAACCCGGACCTGATACGCTCCATCATTGCCAACTCGCTCACGTTAGATACTGCCATACCGCTAACAGGTTTGGCAATACGTCTGAAGTCCACGGATAGTGACTTCAGACCACCTTGCTCATATCAAGTGGTTATCAGGACCTATAACGTTGAACCGTCTTCCATAGACATCATGCTTCCCCCACCCAACTTCAGCCTCTTCTTTTCCCTTCGAGATGTCACTATGCTGCCAGAAGTATTGCAACAGATCCTTCTCGATCTTCCTCTTAGTGAAGTTCTGTACCTCTCTATGGAAAGATCGCCTTCCTTCCGACTTCTGTTACCCTTCTCTCGGGAGCTGGCGAAATTCCTCGCGAGACTTATTGCACGATGCTCTCCATCTGGTCTTGAGATACTGAACATATCCGGGCTGTGTATCACCATCTTGGACTCTCTACTTTCCCTACCTCTGCATGATTGGCTGCAGCTTACTACCGGTTGGTGTTGTGCTGATCGTGTAAAAGGTCTCTTCGGGTGTCTGAAAATGCTCGTACTCGGGGAGACGAGGCGGGTAGAAATGTATCCTTACCTCGAATCGAAGGAACAGGCTGAAAGCCTTTGCGAGGCCATCCGAGGGCAGGCAAATCATTACAGATCAACCTGTGGACCATTTTCTAAACTCGTCTTGCAGTACTACTATGACCAGCGAGATGTGCTACTCAATGTGGTCGACGCCGTAGCCGAACTATGCTATCAGGAAGGACGTTTCACAGAGAATCTCCAATTCGTTCCCTACACTCCTTTATCTCCTTGGAGCTTCTATTACGACGTCTTTCCAAATGCGACTAACCATCCCAATTGCGATTCGGATTTCTGTGGTTCGAATAATTTGGTGGATCCCACTGAGGGAGATTGGGTAGATCACGCCTGCTCCGGCGCCCGGGTTACTTTTGATTTTCGAGGAGATACAGGGATAACAATTGAAAACCCGGCATTTTCGTCGACCAATGAGGATTTGTGAGATAATCTTGTAATGCATCCGCCGTCGTATGTTATCTTTCTTTCTATTGAACTGTCGGCTTAGAATCTGCAAGTCATTCATCACCGTCGTTGTACAATACACTGAAAAAAAAGCATTGCTTATCTGCAACTATAATGTTGTGCCTCCGTATGAATATCAAGAATCCAGAAGGACCCCTGACTGCATGGGAAGAGCTCTAAGGACTCATTCCCTGAGTCGACACTGTGTTCGCAAGACCAACCCTCGCAACGACATTGAGAGCTTGGGTATACCCACGGAAAAAAATCGCATTATTCGTCGTGGTGTTCCCGGGCCATTCGGACCCGAGGTGACCAAAGACGAGGTGACTCAGAAGAAGACTCTGCGCGATCGGGGTCTTCTTTTCAGATGCTACCAGAGCGTCATCGCCGATGGCTTCCAGTTCATTCAGCACATGAGGGCGCGGGTATCAATGAGTTCAGCTCCATCAAGAGCTCGACCGTAAGCTTGGATAGAGGCTCAAGGGTTAAATGTAAGGGAGGAATGAGGAAGAGGCGCAAGGGGAAGAAAAATACGTACTTCCTGCGAGGGGGAAACAAATTGTTAATGTATATGTTGGTTAAATCTTGTGTCCGAAGGGTCCAGAAGATATTCAACATTTTAAATTTTCTCTATGGTCTGTTTCTACACACTTCACACACCCGGCCTGCGCAATACCTATATACTGCCACCAATATTGTTCGATTCACGGCTATAAAACTCCTCGGCATTGGATCTGGCGTAGTGACATGCTTCAACTAGAATGTCGCCATGATCTTGAATCATATCAGTGTATGGATGCTGCCCTGGGCAATGTCTTGCCAATATAAAGATGGCGAGAACCCTCCTTGGGCAGCCTCAGGCATGGACTTGCAGACGGGGACCTATCGGACTTGTCGCATAGTGAACGATTAGATACCATCTTTTGGTGTTGGGAAAGGTTAATCGATAATGGTCCGAAACGAGAACTATCCATCGTTTTCGTTTAGCGATCGAAGTTTAGAGTATTCAAGTCCTCTTTTGGCTTTGTGTCGCTAGCGCCCATACCCTGTGAGGTTAGGCGCGCCATGTTGGACGAGAAGATCATCTCAGTGAGAAGTTCAACCTAAGTTCAACCCGAGTTCAACAAATGCGTTGCAAACGCATGGTCTGCAATTATACTCCGCCTATCTGATATCAAAGGTTTGTATCTTTTATACCATCGATTGCTCTGTTTTCTTTGTCTCTCTCTCTCTCCCCCCCTTTCCCTCTCTCTCTCAGGAGTTCTCGTCGTACCCATGTCGATACCTCAGACCCCTACTCGCAAAACTGACCCTATTAATTTGGCTCCTGAGCTGCAAGCTACTCCGCTCGGTCACGGCAGTTCGACTCATGCATCGTCGGACGGCTTCCATGACTTATAGTGCGTCGTATCCTGTAGTAGTCTACATTTTATGGTTGACAGCATTTTTTGACCCCTTAGCCAGCGTACAGTGCATCCATGGCTATTTTCGGACATATCCAAACACAGGCAGACCATATTCGACCGGATGATAGCCTGGATGTTGCATTTCTCTCTTCCTACGGAATTGAGAGACTCGGTGGATCCCTACCATCTCTTTGATCAATGCCTCGATAAAGTGTTGCCCATCTGTAACGACCAAGATTTGCTCAATCATTTACAGGCATAGTAAGACATCGATCCGGAGTCTCAATTACCATCTCGCTAACGTCTCATCAGTTGCGAGGTTGCAGGGGGAGAAACGGCCAGATACGCACCTTTCACGAACGCATGCAACCGCGCGTTATCGCTCTTGAAAGAAGTGGACGTACCGCATCTCGGTAAAGGCTCACCGTTCGAGATCCTTTTTCAACGCAATGATCCAAATGTGCTCGACGGCGTTCACGGTGATCTCAAGTCGAAACGTAAACCCGATATTATCATCACCAGCCTTGCCTGCGCTCGGCGCATCTGGGGAGAAGGCACAAATATAGAATGGAACGCTGCGATCGAACACTGCCATGAGAAGCCCATAGACCTTCAGTGGCACGATGTTTTGTGCTCATGGGAGTTTAAGCGGACGAAGAAAGTAATCTCGTTGCCCTCTAGCAAGTACGGCACTAAACTGTGTCGGAACATCTCATGTGTGAATGACGTCGGCACCATGGATCCCCCTACGAAACCTGATGTCCCGAGCCCGCAACGTATGAATTTTCATTTTACTGCCTCATCTATTAAATCTCATCCTATCAATTTTATCTATCTAGCAAAGCCCAACCAAGCACCTCGGACGGAGGAACCGCCGCTCGTGCAATTGGCGTCATATGCGGCTGAGATGCTATGCCGAGGTCCTGCAGTGAATCACTGCATAAACGTCCTTGTTGTCGGTTCGTACCTTGCTATTATGCAGATGGACGCTTGGTGACGGCTGTTTATCTAGATGACGTGGCCTGGTTGTGGTGGTATGACAGGCAGGGTGCTATCCAGTGCACTGGAATCAACTTCCTCGACGATCTTCCACGCTTCCTCGTCCTCCTCCTCGTCCTCCAAAGATTCTCCACCATGGATCTCTGGGGATTCAATCCCATACTAGATCCCATTGTTGTGCAGTATCACAGCGGGCAGCTACCTTTGAGTCAGATGGGGAACATTTCACAAGAGCCGTTCGACCTTGAGATCCCTGTCGAAGGTGGCAAGATCAAGGTTAACTTGGACCCGAAGGAGAATGAGTACAGCCGACACACCCTGGTTGGGCGTGGCACACGTGTGTTCCAAGGGTCTGAGGGGATACTATTTCGCGACCCAGATAATCCTGAAGTTCTCATGAACGAGAGGGCGAGACATGCGGCTATAAAGATATACTGGCCGGACAGTTCAAGGCCGTCGGAGCAGACGGTGGTTCAGAAGGCTCGCGAGGCTGCTGAAAAGATTGACCCTGGTCTGTTGGACAACTTGCCGAAGATCTATGGCGCCTGCACGTTGAGCAAGTATGAGACAGGTCATATCCGGAAATTCCTTGAACTCTGGGATCTTGATAGCGGAACGAAAGAGCGTGTATACCGTTCGCGAACGCTTAACGTCATAATATCGGAGTGGTTGGAGCCGTTGTGGAAATTGCCTCCGTATAACTTTACGCTTGCATGGTATGATATCGTTAGATGTGCGTTTCTCACTCTGTGACTTCTGAATGCTGGACGCTGATTTCTCTGACAGGCCACTTTGCGATGTGGATTGCTGGTGTCAAACACTGCGATCCTAGCGAAGGCAATATGTTATACCGCGAGAAGGGAAACAAGAATCATGGGGTACTGAATGACTGGGATTTGGGCTCAGTTGAGGGTCTAAATGATCATAAGGGACTAGAGCGCACCGGTACTGTTCCATTCATGTCTTTGGACCTGCTCAACCGTAAATTCTGGCTTGGTCACATTCGACGACAATATCGCCATGATTTGGAATCGTTTATTTGGATGCTCCCCTGGGCAGTGTTATGTTACCAAGATTGCGAACGAAAGGAAACTCAGGACCCGATCAGATCTTGGCAGACAGGAAACTACCGGCAGTGTCGAAAAGAGAAGACCGACTTCTTCGCATCCATGGCTGTCCTGCAAGAAGACCGCCGTATCCCGCCGCAATGGATGGCATTTTGGCCGCTTTTGCGAAATCTGATGTACCGCGTCCATAGGGACTTTCAGCGCAGGATAGAGCTCGAGGGCAATGGCTTGCTGCAAGAGGACAAAACCCCGGCGCAGGAGTATGTCGAGCTACTCCAGTACATTCACAATTTCATAAGGGAGCCGCCCTTTGGACCATTGAAGATTCCCTTTCCCGATGACTATCTCACGAAAATCCCCCAATTACCTGGCCATACAGATACAGAGACACCGCTTCGGGGCCGAGGTCGAGGCCGAGGGCGTGCACGGGGAAGGGGACGAGTTCAGGCGCAAGGTGGAGGGGGTGACAGAGGCCCAGGCACCACGGAAGCGAATCTTGACTCCGAACGCAGCACTTCTGGATCTCGACGATCCGCTAGGATTCAGGCGGATGAGGAGAAGAAACGTCAGGAGGCGGAGGAGAAGAAACGTCGAGAGGCGGAGGAGGGGAGAAAACGTAGGGAGGCGGAGGAGAGAAAACGTCAGGCAGCAGAAACGAAGAAGAGGGGGAAGAAGTAAGCGTGTCTGCTGGTGAATGGCTCGTTCGTGCATGTGGCCACCCAGAAGTGAAATGTTAGCCTTTATGTCTTGATTGTTCATTCGCATGTGCTCTTGTAGTACTAGGAGTGATGGTGACTTCTAGCACTGTGCTTGTTATTCCTGACCAGGTTTTCTGCATAACGTCCATCTACTCAAGCAGATTCCTATTACATGTAATTTGGACAACAAAATCATGGCATATTCAGGAAGAAACTACTGGATAAGGCGTGCTAGGAAAAGAGCGGGACGGAGTCCCGCATGCTTGGCTAATTTTCGTGTATAAGTAGTTAATTATCTTGTATGTCAATGTATGTACCTCATCCGTTTGCCTCAAGAGCTCAACGAGGTCAAACATACCGATTCGCTTTCCTCCCGCGCAACGTGTATCTAAATAGGCTGCATTGTCGACTGTGCGGGAAAGGAAGCTGCCTTCAATGGCAGCCTACGAACTGTTGCAGTTTATTTTCTCAGCTTTGAAGCTACTGCGAGCTGCGGCTGAATTTCGTCTTCTGCACATGTCATCCTTTCATCCCGATCTTTCCAGCCTTCTGGTTCTACTAAGTACTCGAGAGTCAGTAGTTTTTCCGATGACCAAATTCTTGACGAGGCGGTCGGCGCCCATCAATGCATCACCACTGATCAAAAGTTAACTTTATTACTCCATTACTATATAGAGTCTGCACAGGACCGCGAGGACCACAGCTTCCCAAGTATTAAGCAAAATCCACCACTACGACACCGGTACGAATACAAAAGAATCTCGTTACTGGCTAGTGGGGGAAAAGGTGCGAAGTGAGTTGAGCGGACTTGTGTTGCAACAGGACTGATGGCGTTTCTAGTAGACCCGATCATGCAACTAGGCGATCTACGACGCGAAACAGAAGAACAGATTTCTCGCCATAGAGAAACGGTTTCGCATGAGTTACATATCATAGCTACAAAAAGTCGCTTCCTCAATGACCTTGTCCCCGTGACAAAGCTCTTCCCAGAGATTCTCGCAGATATCTTCATCTATTTCGCTGCTGATCCGTTCTCTTATGGTGAATATGGCTGTTCTACAGGACCCTACAGCTGGATAGTCGTTACACATGTCTGCCACCGGTGGCGTGAAGTCGCTTTGGGCACGCCGAAGCTATGGAGTTTTCTTCATCTAGGTACTCCCGAACGTGTCGAAGAGTTCCTTGCACGCTCCAGTCATGCGCTACTGCATGTGAGGCCTTGGAGCTCCCATAGCAATGAGAGTCAGGTATGGGGTTGGGGCTACAGCAATTCCCGCCCCATGCAACCTTCTGCCAGTGCGGCCTCCTTGAAATTGATCCTAGCGCAGTCTCCCCGTATACAGACCATCTCCTTGGCGTTACCCAATAATGTTCTCGAGCGTGCGTTCTCCATCTTCAACGCAAATGCTGGAGGATTCTATGCTCCTGCTTTACGAACACTCAAGTTCATAAGCACGCACCCCTCATCCTTCCCAAATATCCTGAACAAGTGCAGACTTCCAAAATTGATGCACATCGAACTCCGAGGATACGGCATACCATGGCATTTGTCCTTCTTCCGTACCAATCTACGCAGTCTTGTCCTTCACAATATAATGACGTCCCCACCCAACAACTCGGACACTGTAGGAAATCTTCTCACCGCCCTTTCGCACATGCAGGCACTTGAGTTGCTGGAGGTGGTCTGCGAGTATTGCAATGGGGCGTGCGAGAGCATCAGAGCTCATGGAAGTTTTCATTCTGTGGATCTTCCTTGTTTACAGACGTTACGAGTACGCCTGGACGCCGCATCTATTGATGTCATCCTGTCTCATTGCACTTTTCCCTCGACCACGACAATTGCATTCAAGACCGACGTGAGGCACGCTCATGGCTGGGGGCCATTCGGCACGATTCAGGAGGATGTATCCGATGAGGACAAATGCAATGTCCTACGCTCTATTATAAGGAAGTCAGTGGATATTCCGGGGCAGATCACCTCGTTTACAGGCCTGTCCATACACTTCGATTCGCTGCAACCTGAACCTAACCCACATTATCCAAATTCACCTGGTGTGCAACCGAACGAGATGACCCTGACAACATACACCTTTGACCCTTCATTGGGCCAACTACAAGTTGATGAAATTTTACCACCTGCGAATTTCACCATTCGCTTCTCATTTCGTCGGGGAGGGCAGGCTCCAACGATGCTGCAGAAGCTCCTATTGGACCTGCCACTCTCAAACGTGGTTTACCTTAATGTAGGCTCCTCAACAATCTGTAGGGTATCTCCAATCGCCAAGGAGATGGCGTCATTCCTCGCAGAGCTTATTGGTCGATGCTCTCCTTCCGGTCTTGACATTTTGCGAATGTCGGGGCCGAGTATTGACGTATTGCGTTTCCTCATGTCGCAACCCACGCAGGATGGGTTAGATGAGAGGAGCTTTGAACCGGGGCCGACGCTGGGTGACAAAGGCTTGTTTGGATGCTTGCGGTCTCTCATGCTTAGTGACATGAGAGCAGGCCCGGATTGGAACGCATACGATGGTGTACAAACTCACAACTTATTTGATTCGATCCGAACAGAAGCACAGCGATACAAGTGGAGTTGCGGTCGCTTCTCTTCTCTGATTCTGCAACGTTGCGAGGACCAGCGAGAATGGGCGTTAGATCTCGTTGATGCGTTCTCTGAATTGTTTTGTCAAGAAGGTCGTTTCACTCAAGATCTTCCGCAGTTGCCTTACATCCATATGATCCAAAGTCCGCCATCGCCTCCTTTGACTCCCTATCCCGAGCCCGCTCCGTGGCTACCAGACGACTACCCGGATAGTGACTTGGACCGGTACGGTTGGAGTCCGATGACTCCATTTGTGCCGCCAGCCACGGGTGATTGGGTAGATCATCTACTGTATGGCCGTGTTACCTTCGACTATCGAGGTAACGGTGGAGTAACAACTGAGCAGAACGTCACAGCAACGGTTGAAGTTGGTCAATTTCTCTGATTAAGTAGTAGGTTCCGACGAAAGCACCAACCGAATGTAATATTCCCAAGTATTTCAAGCCGATACCTTCCTGTTTATACACGTATGTTGAATTATGGGTATATTGAATCGCTGTACTAGATGCCGCGAACCCTTTCAGCATTTCTTTTTTGTTCAAGTCACTGTGGCTCCCATCGGAAAACCCTAAGCTGCTCGCAGGCGTCTGATGTCTAATCGATGTTCAACATTCAACAACAACTATCTCGGATTAGTACTTACTGCTGATGATCTACTTAGTAGATTATCATCGAGCTCAGTCTCAACTGTAATTGCACTATCTCTTTTTGACATGTCAATACATATGTTAACTAGTCTCAAACAGGTGATAAACAAGACATGGAAGATATCCGACGCGAGAGAGAGGCCTATCGACAAGCTATCGATGTCGCATTAGCTGGGATTCAACGAACAAACCTGCTCATACCGATCAACCAGCTCCCACCCGAATTACTCATTCGCATATTCTCATATTACATTTCTGCTCCTAGGGAACGTTTGCGAATCAGCGGAGCTCCAGGTTTCTGTGATTGGATTGGTATCGCTCATGTTTGCCACCATTGGCGAGTCATCGCGCTGGATACACCAATGTTCTGGAGTCGCATCTTGTTGTCGGCTCCGGAATGGGTTGAGGAATTCCTCAGGAGATCCAAGCACCATCCGCTCACAATCATCTCAGGAAGGTCGCCGAAGATGTATAGGCGGAGAACTTCCGGTCTCTGGCAATATCCCCGGGAGAGATGGGTGTTCTTACCAAGTCAGATCGTGACTTCCCTTCGATTGGTATTCGCTCAGCTTTGGCGCGTTGAGGTCCTTTCGCTGAGGTTGCCTCCCCATCTCATTGAGAGGATATTCGATGCATACAAGAATAAGCCCTTTGTTGGATCAGCTTTGAGGGAGGCGAGCTTCGTCAATCCCGATCAGAAAGGGATTATGGATCTCCTCATCTCACATGATTCCAGCCAATCGCTATTCGAGATCCCTAACTTGAAGTGTTTGAGCATCCGAAGGTGCCGTATCTCACCGAACTTGACATTTGTCAGAGACACGCTCACAAGTCTCACCTTGGTTCGAACGGCGATGTATGGTGCCGCAAATGAGCCATCTCTGAAGATACTCTTAAGTCTTCTCTCCAGATTGGCGCTATTGGAGAGTTTGGATCTGCATAATACCCCAAATAACATTCAAGATGACCCCCTGCTTCAAGTTCATGACTCAAATATCGATCTCCCTAAGGTTTCGCTCCCTCGTTTGAAATGCTTTCATCTCATGCATTACGTACCGATGTGCGGCGCACCCCTTCTTCAGCACCTCGACTTTCCTTCACGTACGAGGATTTTCTTGAAACTTAATGTTTCAGTTTTCTCCCATTCAAAAGTGGTCGAGGCCGTCTTAGCCGCTATGCAGCGAGCTCTCGGTGGCGTTCATGATTCCCTTACGGATTTGGCGATAGAGTTCAGCCATGGCAGCCTCGATGATGACATTGGCATCGAGGGTCTTAAATCCGATTCTGCGCCGTGCAGCTCGGAGCCTTGGACAAGAAATGAGACATATCCTAGCTTCAGACTAGGCTTTGTCAATTTTCCAAATGATGTCAATGTAATGGACGTCATTCATATTTGTCTGGATAATGTGTTGCTCTACAACGTCCGAAAGTTGCTTATTGCGCATTCACCTTGGTTTGCCGATAACAATATGCCTAAAGAAACAACGTTCGTCACGACGTTGCTAAAGCGCTGTTCTCCAAACGGCCTGGACGTTTTGTGCCTGTATGGGGCGCTCCTCAACGTTTTACCAGAACTCCTCTCCAACTATTCGTGGCCTGACAACCAACCGTTACTCTATCATGTAAAGACACTCGAGCTGCGACGTTTTGGTCAGTACACCTACAAGGAGTTCAAGGGAGGGTTGTATAATGCCGTCCTGTCGCACAGGATGAAGGCCAACACTTCTGGTTGCACTGCCAGTGCCTTCTCTAGCCTCGTTTTACGAGAATGTCAAGAATTGCGACGAAAAGAGGTCGTCGACATTGTATCAGCTGTGGCTGAGGTGTGTTCTCAGCCTGGCCGATTCGACACCCTGGACGACGATATTCGGGCCACGGAGGTATTTCCCAAAGGTCGATGGCCTGAAGATCCTGAACACATCAAAGTTATGAACTTGGGCGAAGATTGTGACCTCGACTACCCCAATTGGGCCGTCCGTGCAAAGAGGAAGGTTGCGAAGGTCAACGCACTGCAGCATGATTGGGTTGCTGAGGTCCAGAAGGGCAACAAGGTCACCTTCGACTTTCATGGCAGCACTGGGGTCACGGTCGAAGAGAATATTGCCCCCGTTTACTATGATAGAATCCCTAAAGACGACTTTGAGCTTGAGAGTGATCCAGATGATTCAGAAGCCCCAGTGGGTTACTTTAGATAAATACAAGGGCACTGACTGTCCCGGGTCAAACAGAATGTACACACCATTAGATTGTCAACATTTACATATTTCTTGAATAGCTTAGCTTGAATGTTTGGATTAGGGTTGGCTCCTTATTTACATGCTTTTGACGTTCGATGACAGCTACTTGCGGGACGATGAGCCACTTCAGCAAAAAATACAACACAGAGGCTTTCAACGTCCGCTCTCGGCTGAGGGTGGCACTCAGACTGAGATGCTACAAGCTCTCCTGTCGTTCCGCGAATAGCTGGAAGTGCTGGACTTGAACATTTATTACCGAACAGTGCTCAACTTAAACGTTTGTCGACGTCCAAGCCTCGCCCAAATATCGTGGTGACGGCGATGGGAGCGTAATCGTGTCCTACAGGCAGTGTAGACAGAGATTCAACCTTCGTACCTCAGGATATCTCTGTGAGCGTAGCGAAAACGAGAAAGGCTGAATGTCTGCGTCATGAACGAATAGCAGCCGTACTATTCGTCCGCTTCAAGATTCGTGAATTCGTCATATATTCAGACCAATGACAGCTACTGAATTATATACGGCTGCGATGGCGACGTCAGATAGCAGTCATTATCAATATTCATGTTGAATATTAAAACGTTTGAACTGTTGGATGATGCGAGCTTCTGAGCATGAGGTGAAACGCGTAGAACCATTCCGGAGAAGTTTAACTTCCTTAAGTTAAAAGAATTAAACGAACGGAAGCATAGCTCCTGGATCTGAAAGGATGCAGATGAGCTGACCATGGCGTGTAGCAATGATGCAGGTGAACATCTGTTTGATGGTACATTTTGAATCCAGTCAATGACACGACATGGCTGGATCAATTGTGAAAGTGTACAGCGGTCTCGAGTAGAGACCAGATTTGTTCCAGGCGCGCCTCGGACGCGCGTTAGGGGCGAGGTGGTGAGACCAAAGGACGTACAGCACACGTCGTACAAGCTCAAGCACCCGAGATACAGCACTTCAGAGCAGAAAAAGATTGATTGGATAGCATTAAAGCGAAGTGATTCTACATTCCCATAAGGTCCTGATGCATCCTTCGAGTCGCTTTAATGGTGAGCATGGGCATGCTCTTCACCGTGGAAGTCAAGTTGGTACACTGCGATGGCGAAGCGTGAGCGAAAGATACTGGGTAATGAAAAGCAACACCTACCGGAACCGCACTCGGGGCAGCGACGTTGCTTCTCCTTGGTAAGTTTCATCCAGAGGAGCTCATGAGATTCGGAAGGGGCGCCAGTGCATCCAATGGTGCGCTCAGGTTCCTAGCAATACAGAGAAAGTGCGAATGTGAGGATGCAAGCGCGACAGATAACGTGAAAGCACATCGTGCATCAGAGCACTGACCCAGGAGAAGACCTTGATAGGGTCGACCTTGGTACCGATCCTGCTAGAGTCCAGAGGGTTGAGGTCGAAGACGTCAACACCCTCCACCTCACCGAGGACTTGAAGACGTTCAAGACCAGTTGACTGGTTGAAGTCGGTGGGGACTTCTCCGGGCTTTGCACCCTCACCGAAGATGGCAGGGGGAGCACCCGAACGACGAATGGCACTCGTGGAAAGGGCGCGAGCGACGGTGGAGGCGGTGGGGCGGACGCTGCGCGCAGCGACGGTGGCAGGGCGGAGAGCAGCTCTGAGCATTATTTTGAACGATGTGGTGGACGGCGGCGAATGATGAGGAGCTCTTCAACAATATCAATGTCACGCCCTGTATCGTCACGAAGCGTCACAGCCGCCGTGACGATGTTCCGCACTATCCCGGCAGAGAGGCACGGCCCGCGTCGGCCGGCCGAGACGAGACTGCTTCTTTGATGGCGGGGCGTCCGGATAAAGGAGGTATGTTTGAAAGAAGCGTGATAGACGAGGGTGGAGCAACAAAGAATGAATATTCAATAATAAAACCCGCCGCTAAACATTATCGAGCGAGACGCTAACGACGATGGAAGCTGCACGCCACAGACAACGGTTGTCTTGCGCAGTCATCTCTGTCACTCCTTTTCTCTCCTACTTATATCGCGCGAAAGGTCACTGGTGACCCCAACTAATCTCGCTTGGTTCTACCTCTATAGATGAACAGTTTCTTAGACTATGCTCAACCCATCAGAAACTACCGAACGGCTCACAAACACCAGCTACAATGCCTCGCCAGCATCCTCGCCGGAACGCAATGATCGTCCTCATCTCGCTATCTCGTTACCGCATACTTTGACTCGGACCAGCTCGAACTCTTCTGCTATCTCTTGTGGTTCTACTTCAGAACTTGTCTCACACCCGCTGTCAGGCAAAGCGTCAAGTAAGGCGAAGTGGTCCTTCTTTGAGAAGGTGTTTTTCTGCAAACGGAGTAGAGACACTCTTAACATCGATTCCGAAAAGAATATGCGGAACCCGAACTTGCAGGAGAACGCACGACCGCCTATGAAGCCATGGCATGGGTGGCAACTTATTGTCATGGGTTCATGTGTGTCATTCCGATTTTTTTTGTCTCGTGTTCTGAACCCGTCATGACAGGGTTAAACATCCTTGTCTTGCTCATTCCAGCATCCGTAGGTGGAGAAGTTGCATTTGTGATTTCATTTCGCTGACGGTTTTTCTTTGTAGTGGGTCCTTATGATTGCCTCGAGCGACTCCCATACACTCATATTCATATGTAAGTGGAGCACTCGATGACTTAATTATCCTCATTCAATTTCACCGTGAATTCCTCTAGTTTGTGTGCTTTCAATGATTCCTCTTGTCAAGGTATGGGTCTGATTGATTGCTTATGCATATGCTGACCCTTATGTCGCTATCAGCTGCATGACCTTGCCACCCGACAACTATCCATTCGGTTAGGTGGTTCTAACACCGGCCTCCTGAACGCAAGTATGGTAAGTCAACCTGTTTTACGGCTTATCTACTGACTCTGAGTCAATTTATCTGCAGAGTAATATGTACGTTGTCCTTTTCTATGTTTTGGATGTACTTTAACAGTCATTTTTGATAGAGTCGAGGTGGTAGTAGCAGTACGTAACGACGATAATATCGAGCTCTGCGTACCCGTCAAACTCATTTTTTCCCGATAGTTCATCGCACTTAGGAAATGTGAACTGCGTGTTGTACAGTCTTCACGTATGTTGCGCCGTTGACGTTTCATTTGTGCGTCCAGTAACACTGACGAATTTCCATCAGTGGTGGGCTCAATGCTCAGCAAACTGTGTAGGTTTTTCTTTCAGATGCTGAGAACATGGCACGGGCTTATTTTTACGCGTTTAGTGTTGATCCTGGGAATGTGTTTCTTTGCTGGCGGCATACGATTCACAGAACAGGACTTTGATTCCAGTACGTCGTTTCTTCCTGGTCGGCTTCTGTTGACCTTTGACAATTCTTTCCCTTGTCAGCGGCAACCCAAATCCATTCTTCACTGCTGAGTATCAGTGTTGGTGCTGTCCTTTTGCCGGCTGCGTTTCACTTCGCTTTGAGCTATGACGCCGACGACGGCGTATCGTCATCAACTTCGATGAATCAGCAGAAGAAGTACATTCTTCAAATGAGCCATGGCGTGCGTTCATGCCGTCTGATTTGTGTTTTCATTCATGTACTCACCCTTAGTACCCTTTCTCTGGCACGTAGGTCTCCATCGTTTTGCTCTTCAGTAAGCATGTTTTTTTTTCCCAAAAATCGTGCTACTAACTTTTCGGAACATTTTAAGTCTACGCATCCTACCTCGTCTTCCAATTTTGGTCGCACCCGCATCTGTACAAGGATAGCGCTGCCGGAAGTGACAGACTTACCAACTCAGCCTCAGCTCGCTCCATCGCCTCCCGTCTTCAAGGCCGGAGAAAGTCTCAGGGCTCACCTTCATCGAAAGCTTTCCCCACTCTGAAGCCTCAATTCTCTAATCCTCCTTCATACCCCTACCCCCAATCCTACCCGCCCCGTAAGACTTTTTCGCAGGACACAATCGCCGGACCAGAGTACCCAGGAAAGTCATACACCCCTCCTCGACTTAATGACAAGCGAAGTCCATATATGCACAGGACCCATTCGTCTTCTGATGAAGATGTCGATATGACACCCTCTTCCAGGGCTAGGACAGCCTATCTTATCTCACCTTTCGCTACGACCTCTCAAGTGACTCTGACTGATTCCCAGCTTGGCGGGAGATCAGAAAAGGGGCAGGTTGTGGAAGGCGGGGAAGAATCTACCGTTCGATTGGTTCAAATGGAGCAGCCTCAATGTGGGAATGATTATGGACTTGAACATGTGAGGAGACGGAGGACGAGCGTTAACAATTCGCCGTATGCTCAGGGTGGCGATGGAGATGAAGTCTTTTCGCCATACGTTACTGAGAAGGGTGAGAGGACGAGGAACGATATGCAGCGGGGTGTGTCGAATATGCCGATGCCGATGCCGATGCCTCATGGACAGTATGGACATCAAGGGCAGTATCACCAAGAACCTTTGCATGCTGAACCTCAAGAGAGGAAAGCGGAGAACGTTCAAGAACCACAAATGAGCTGGACGTTGAATTTGCTTTTGCTGACGTTTGTCACCGTCGTGAGTATCCAAGTACACTTTTCTACACATCAGCGGCGGTATCTAACTTTGGAATTGCGCAGCTGGTAGCACTTAACGCGGAATGGTTAGTCGATTCGATGGATGATCTCTCCCCTCTGATTAGCAAGGAATGGATTGCCTTGATCCTATTGCCCACTGTTGGTTCGCTCGCAGGTGAGTCTGCTGCTTCAATGCCATATACATGAAGTTGCACTGTAGCTCATGGATGACGTGATTTAGAATGTATCACCGCTGTGAACGTTTCAGTCCAGGACCAACTTACGTTGTCAATCGGTGTCGCCGTTGGGTCAACCATTGTGAGTGATTCATAGCTTTTTTGAGAATTCAAATACAGAGCTTATCGGCGGCTTTCCGATAGCAAACTGCGTTGTTCGTCATTCCGTAAGTAATCTCTGTCTTCATTTTGAAAGTGTCAATGTGTCCATACTTTGCTTGTCAGGTTCATGGTTATTCTTGGGTGGATAATGGACAAACCACTCGCTTTGCTCTTCGACCCGTTCGAGTCGGTGGTCTTGTACATCTCTGGTAGGTCAAGCGCTCTCCTTTCCAGAACGCATCTCACGCACTCACATAGTACATACTATGGGGTATGTCGTCGCCGACGGACGGTCAAACTGGCTGGAAGGTGTCATTCTTGTCTGTGAGTATCCCCACATGAAATAGTTTCGAAACATGTTAAAGGGAAATGTGCATTCTTAGGTCTTTACATCGTCATTGGAGTATCTTTCTGGTTCTATCCCGGTTCGTCTAATATACATGTTATATTATGTTTCACTCCTGACCCGTTCTACAGGATCTAATTTCTCCACCAACCTCGCAGTATGTTCTACATCAGTTTAATACCCACACCACCCATAGAGTTCCCGTACCCGTATATTCTCAACTTGGACAGTCTACATGTATACCCTACATCACACCCTCGCGGTACCGTTACCAGGGAACACACTTAGATACCTCCTCAAGCTTCAAGGACGCTTTTCCCGGACTACATTTCATTGCATATACATCGTTATACTCGTACTTTGTAATTCCCCTTCCTTTTAGTTTGTTCGCTGTACAGATTGTAGCACTAGTCGCGTTCCGAGAACGCACTTGTAAACCTCGTTCCTTTTTAACAGACTCTCTCTCTTAGATTATACATTGATTTCTTTTATGTGACGTCTCTGAGGGTCAGAATGAGGGTATTCCGTGCGAGATGTTAAAGGACAACGCTGGGTTGGGAATTATAGGAAGCTGATGAGGGAAACTGCTTTTCATGAGGTCCGCGACCATTCTGAAAAATCAAACTTTAGTCGCTTGTGAGTTGACAGAGCGAGCGTTCAACCAACCTCCCAAAGACTATAGTACCATTTGGATTCAGGTCTGCTCACAGAGCAAATGAGAACTGAAGTAAACGACGACACATGAAATACACTACTCACGAGTATCATCATCCGGCAGCCTATTGAGACGATGAGCTGCATCGCGTCCAATGGCCTCGACATACTTGATAGAAGCCCCGTGCAGATCCAAGAGGTGTGTATGCTGCTGCTCAGAGACCAGTTTTGTCTCTGGAAGTAAACATGTTAGAAAACAAGTTTCCTTCCACTCTTCCTAGCGGGCTATGGCTATTCACACACCGTCAGCCCAAGGACCCAATGTATCCATGACAGTCCCGTTCGGACTGAACATGCGTCTGGTCAAAGACGTGACAAGGACAGGTTCTCCTCGAAGTGCACGAATTTGCTGAATCATTTGGGTCATGTTCTGACCCATAGACTCGGGAGGGGGGATCTTCATGTCGTTATGTCCGAATTGAATAGTGACGAGGGTTCTGCGACCTTGAGCGACTTCTGCTTGAATTGCGGCGAGACTTAGGTTGAAAAATCCGTCAGCGACGAAAGAACCGGTAGTAGCTCCGTCGTGAGCCGTGTTGATGCAGGGTGTTCCTGGTACAAGAGAGCTGCAGAATCCGTTGCCCCATCCACCGGAGTTAGGAACCGTGCTGCCGCAAGTTGGAACGTCAACCAAAATAGGAATAAATAAACAGAAGAAGTATTCACTTGTTAGCAGTCGTGCTGTCGCCGATGAGGACGAATGAGGTTGGTCGGGTAGCAAGAGCCGTTGAACTCAAAGCGAAAGCGAGGGATATCACCTGCAGGATAGTCACAGTGGTAGACTACGACCGAAGTCTACGGTCCTTCCGAGAGCTTTGAACGTTCCCTGAAGCGTTCAAATGAACTTCAAAGCGCGACGGGCTCAAATACCAGACGCCGGACCGAAGAGGAACACGAAGTCTCCTCAAGACCAATCATGTGGATCTAGACAAAGCACTGAATACAGATCCTCACACAGCAACCAGAAATATCGAGCAGTCAGAGTAGATCATGTGTCTCTCATTGCAGCGAATCTGGATAGCATGTAACGACGACGAGAAAAGAAAAGTCCCATGACGAATGACTACAAATAATAACGATCCCCTATATGCGTTTCAGCATATCACCGACACGTGAAGATTGAAGAAGACTGACCTATATGACCCATACCGGGCTCCACAACCCAGACTTTGCGTGCCTCAGCTTCAATCTGACCCTCACCACTTTCAATGGCTTCAAGCCATGTCTCCCGAAGTCCGTCATCGACGGCGCCGCAAACGATCTTGACTTGAGGGAAGGCTTTTCGTAGGACACAGATCCCGCCGTTCCTAGCGACGAGAAAGGAAACAAAGATGATGTGGTCTTCACGGACTCCGTGATCTAAGAGTATCCGCATGGCCATGAACGCAGCAGCACCAGTGCCAATCTACGTAGGGCGAAGATTTCAGGCAGAGCAAACCATGTGTCAAATCGGACATTCGTACCTGCGCATCAAGTAGAAACACCCATGTCTCTTTGGCACGATGCCGCTCTCGTATACACACGGGAAGCATGAGGTGCAGTAACAATGGTTCACCTGTTTGCGCATCGGATTGGATAAGGAGGGAACCGGTAAGAACATCGTTGATGACCCTCTGTAAACCGCGTTCCAAGGGTCCGCCGCTAACAAAGAGATGGTAAATTGCGATCTTGACATGCACGAAGAGACTCACGATCGAATTATAGAAACACCGCATATATACTAGTATACTATTTCAGGCGACGTATGCTTATAGGGCAAAGTGTCAAAACTTACCTTCACATCAAGCTCTTTCCCGACATAGTCCACGTCGACAGGCGTTCTAACTGTCCGCGGTCGATAAGGTAGATGCTCGAGGGCCTTCTCTATCAAGAAGGTCGCCAGCCTATCTGTGAAGAAAATGAAGTCCTCCCTGCTGGTATTCTTATCTCGTAGGATGGTATATATTCCCTGAAAAGAAGGTCAGCTCATTAGACGGCGTCTTTCACCCAGACGTGTAGCCTACCTTGAGTTGAGGCGTCTGCGGAAGGACGATAAGGTTCTCGTATGGATCGGTCATTGCGTTTACGCGAAGTGTGGATGGCGGGGACAATGCGCTGACACGAGGTGTGGACGGCAGGGACAACGGTGTCGGTGAACGTGAACCGGCTTGTGCCATATGAGGTCGGAAGCGAGTTGCGCGCTCCTTGAGCTTCTTCCGAATGTGCGTCGCAATCAATTCTATTGCTACACTGTTGTCAGAACCCGGCACGATCTAGATAGTTCAGATGAGCTATGTTTGAGGCCAGACCAACCATAAACATTTGCACACAATATCAGCATATCGAGCCGTTGGAAGCACGAAATTGTCATATGAGGGTTTGACATATCGGAGATACCTGGCGAAGCGTTAGGTACGTTCTTGAGAATTAACACCGCAAGAGATAACATACTGATCCAGCACTCCATCAACCGTCCGACCCCTCTCTTTGACGTCTCTGCGGAGCCGGCGCGCGAGCATCAGGTCGGAGTCGCATTGGACAAATATCTACCACCAAAAGTGATAAGCTGTCATGTGTTACCCAATCGTCACAATGGAACGATTACCTTCAGGTCGTAAAGCGCTCTGAGAGCAGGATCATGTAGAGCAAGGATGCCTTCAGCTACGCAATTGTTCAGTCAAATCTCGACGAGCAATTTATCAACGACACCCACTGATAATGACTGCGGCACCGTAAAGATATTTCGTTTCATCTAGGCGCTGATGCTCAGCGAAAGAATATATAGGAATATTCGTTTGTCGACAAGCCTTGAGGTCAGATAAACACTGAAAACGCAGGGGGTCAAAGTGAGTCTTCTCATGAATCATTAAGACGTCATACGGCAGCAAACAGAGGCATGTCAATGGCATCTGGGTGGTCGAAGTCCACGAGGTTAGCATGTGCCAACTCGACTTCCTCTGGCGTGTGTCGCTTGTAGAAGCTGTCCTGCGGAATGTTCAGGTTATACCCTGTCACACATCAGCAAAATATGCCCACCTGGGACAGGATGACGATTGTAGGTATAGACCCTAGTTTCTGGACAATTTGTCTTGCTACATGGGTCTGAATATGGTATGAGTGCCGTCCAATATTGAGCTGAACAGTATCGCACACCTTCCCACTGGCAGAACCACCTACCCACATTTCCGTCAATTTCTTGCGGGATTTGAACATCTTATCAAACATACCAGCGATACCAACTACGAACGCATCGCATATGGGAAGACCGTCCTCAGAGTACCTGGGAGGACACGATCTTCTTTATCCATTAGACGTTTGATGACATTCAGCTCTACCGTACCAAGGTGGCCGGCCATGGGATTTGAGAATGGTATTCTTCTTCGCTTGGAGAGGTATGGCACGGGAATTGGAGACAGTTCTTGATATTACAGGTCGTGATTCAGAGTCAACGTTTATGAAAATTGGAGTATCATCCTCAGCCATTAGAAAAGGATTGAGAAGAAGATAAGAAGTGTTGAACCAGCCACTGTTCGTGACGGGATAAGAGCAGCCTTTAATGGGCGCTTAGAACTGTATACATATTGAGCGTCTATTCGTTTATGACAGCTTTGAGGAAACAAGGTTGAATAAATTGGATTTGTACCTCACACTGAAGTTTCGGTAGAAGTTTGGACGTAGTGGAGTAGTGGAGCTGTTCTAGTAAACATTACAGCAGGAAATATCTACTTATTATACAATCCGCCGAACCGAATGGAGAGGTACCTACTGATGATGAACGAGAGTGTTAAATAATATGCAAGAAAAGAGGACTAAACCACCGTAGATGGGAAAAAAAAATGTTCGTGTGACACACAGCATGCCAGAAAGGAATCATCCAGAATACTTTGCCCTATGATTGTGACTGCTTGGCTCGTCTCCGCTCCCTCTCCTGCCGCCTCGCCTGCTCCCACCTCTCCAACTCCTCCCTTAATCGCGCAACGCGAATCTCATTCATAGGATGCGCCGAACTCATCCATCGCATAGGTCGATTCTCATCGTAGTGCGCCTTAGATTTAGCAGCATTAGGAGTACACTCAGCGGTATGCTCAGTCTCCTGTCTGCCTTCCCAGAATTCTATAGCATGTCGAGGATCAAAGCCTGCATGCGCCAGCAATCTGTAATTTACCATGTCAGCATTGTATCTTACTGTGAGACTACTTGGACAGGCTCACCGAGCAGAGACGATATCTGCTTCAACTTCTTGCTTTTGGCTTGTACAGTATTCTGCAATCTGAGCAAGGTCTCCGGTACCAGCCTTGCCCATACCAGCAAGGGCGTCATTGATAAACGGCCCAACTGCATATTACGTTAGCTGAATGTAGAGAAACACAGCAGTATATATACTTACAAAGCATAGTGATCGGGAATATTAATGCACGGACAACGTCCGTCGCAATAGAGATGACGCCTGGATAGATGATAGAGCTAGAAGAGAGTGTTTCGAGGTGATGAGCGAGGATGAGATGAGATAATTCATGAGCAAGGAGAATGGCGAGCTCAGAAGTTTGCTCTTCAGTTGGAGCGAGGGGTTGTGGTGAAGGTGGCATTGCAGGTGTTGACAAGATGCCTCCCAACAAAGAAGACAGCCATGATTTGGGTTGTACGGGCGGAGTAGGATAGTTCTCGGTGCTCATTTCTGGCTTATGTTTAGATAAGACTTCATCCAAGAAGCCAGAGAACACAACAACACCTCCACCTCCGTCCGGACCAAACCCATAAGAAAACGCATTGGATGAATCAGGTTTGTCGACTACGAGAAGAGAATACGGTGGTCCAGCAATAGCGTGTGGTGCCGGATGTACTGTCCGAGCGCAACTGAACTCTGCAAATCTCCGCAAGTACTCGGAAGCACGCGGTCGTGGTCGTAAAGGGAACTCAGCAGGCGGGGGAATTGGTATATCGTCAGGTCCACATTCAAGCCACGTCGGCTCGAGTTCTTGTTCGCGCTGAAGGACCGGAATAACATTCTCTAACCGCCGAAGAGCGTTTTGCACCCATTTGTAGCGCCAGTCTTCGGGCGAGATCACCTTCGTCGGACCATCGTTCGCGAGGATATCGCCGACTGCTGAATACCAACCTGGACCAGCCAGTTGAGCAGCAATTTGATCCTCCTCTTCAGGAGATAGGAGGATTAATCGCCATCTACGAGTGCCAATGACCTAAGTATATGTAAGGTATTGAGAAGGAGAATAAATCATACCTCCCGGTCAGGGGTGTTCGCTCCAAACTGGCGAAGATAGTAGCCCAGAAGAGAAGTATAGGTGCGAATAGGAGTGCATGGAACAACATAGTACGATTTCGTATGCGCTTGACGATGACGTCCTTCTCCCCCAGAATCTGTCCTGTCGTTTCAGCATGCTGTAGCTTTCGTCTTGATTTGTGGTTCTTGAGCAAAATCAAAGGAATGAATGTTACAGCAACTCTTGTGGCTGTCCTGGCAAACTCCAAAGCGGTTGAAGTCTGCAGATGGCCAATAGGGAGGATATATCACTTCCATCTTATGTGGACGCATATACAAGCTACATACCTTTAGCAAACCCGCTAACACCGTCAATAACGGTCCATGTTGGGCAGGCCGTGTCGCATGAAAGCTCCTCTGGCCACCTATGACCGCCGCAGCCAAGACATTGGGCCGCCGAGTCTCAGCGTGAAGAAAGACACGATATGCATTGCATGCTCTGCTGGGCGTGCGACAATGATGTGTCGATAGCTGTCGAGAGGGATTCGGAGAGAGACGGGGAGGTTGGAATGGCCGTTGAAATGGTCTGGCTACGAGCTGAGAAGGACGAATAGGTGAACGCAGGAGTGCACGCAACATTGTACATGGTTCACACAGTCAAAGGAAATAAATAAAGAAATATCCAGCGGATATTCACGATAGCGATAGCTTTACATCTAAGCGCCCACATGAGTGACTGTGCTCCAGTTGCGGAAGCGAGCTCGAGAAATCAGCAGATCACAAATGTACAGCGGTCCCAGGCGGCGCATCTTTGGCGAATATGAAATGCTTAGCAAGGTGATAGACAATCCAATATCATGTGAGAGTCAATGCCCCTGAGTGCAGTCAGTGGTACGGAAGGATTACTTCAGTCATCTATTCGTGAAGGTCGTATCGTATCGTTACTGTATGTGGTTGGCAAAGGGTCATTATACAACAGTGTGAATTTACGAAATGTAGGATGCCTCGTTGTACAGCGTTCCCTCGATATTTAATCCTCCGGACAATCCAGGAATTAAAGCGTCGGGACCAGTGACGACAAGCGTTGTCGGGTTCAACCACTGCAGACAGTCATTTAGCATGAGATTGTCGAAGAGATACAATGATACAATATACCTGATAGATGTAGGGCTTCGTCCCAGCAACGTAGTTGACCATAGTCTTAATGACATATGGAATTTCCGCAAGAACATCGACCTTCTCAATAAGCCCTTTGGAAGCAGCATGCGAACCATACTCGACTTGCAATGTGGACTCGATGGACCCCGGGGTATCGGCTATAATGGATGGTCCCGCCCATCGGAAAACAATCTCTGTAGGCACATCGTAGCCAGTATCAGGATCGTTCTCCAGCTTGTTATGTACGGCTCTCGACATCACAACGGCATTCTCGGGAAGAGGCTCATCTGGCCACCTGGTCTCCGCAGTGACTGCGACCAGCTTCCCACCCAAGACCAGCGAACCGACGCTCACTGTTACGAAACCGGAACCACTACCCTTCCTACCATAAGAATCTGTGGTAGTGAAATCCATTTGGATCGCAGATACACCTCCATGCTGTTCGCTCTGGAAATGAGCAAAGTTCCATCGTGAAGCGACGAGGTTGGGTCGCATGCCCTGGATGGCATGTACGAACATACCAGAACCACTGACACTGATCGCCTTGCCCTTGAGCACGACAATGCCGGTCGCTTTGGTTCGAGGCCAGAAGCGATGCACAACGTAACCCTCGGCATTGTTCTGGTCAGGACCAAAATACGAAAATCCTCCTTTGGGTCCCTTGCCGACCTTCCATCCTGGCACGGATGCAGGACGAGTGATGTCCACAGAGATCTGAAGATCATCAGAGAGGTTCGCTCGGATAACATAGGACTCGGGGGTATCTGATCCTGGATTCGACTTGTGGGTAATAATGAATTCGTCGGCTTTGCAGGAACGCTTGTCTAGTCCTGGAGGAGGTGTGACAAAGTTGGTGACATTGACAGACCGCCACGTTGTTTCCTTGGTTTGAGGGTTGTGTAACTTGAACGTGAACTGGATCGTGGGATACCACACTCTGTCCACGACCCATTAGACGTCGAAAATAGCCAGAAAGCATGAGACCCACCCCACGGAAGAATGAATGACCTGGCACATCAAGGATGAGCCATCCTCTAGGAAATTATAGAAAACCTGAGTTTCCACAGCGAAGCCTCCGGGGCACGTCCATTCTGTATCCTTAGGCTCTAATTCACCAAACAACTCAGTTGCAGGGTTCGCTGAGGACACCGGATGAAAGTTGGGTGCTTTAGGGTCAACCGGAGGTACGGTGCTGCCTATTCTTCAGTTCTACATGGACATCGTTAGAATGGCCAACTCACGAAAAGAACGAGGAGAACATGATGGTAGTATGAAGATCATAAAGGCGCTCATTCTTGTTATACTTTATGCATGTTTCCGGCCGGATTTCCGGGTCGCAACTTCCATTTATAGGATGTTTCCGCCGGCTTCATGCCTATACATTCAATGAAGCTGGAATACGACTACACATACACCTGAGTTACCACTTTATGACCACAATTGCTTCTCTGCTTGTTGGACGGGACAAGACAGGAACAGCCAAAAATTATAACGTGTGATAAAACTGGTATGTTGATTAATAGTGCATGCTGCGGTTTTCACTGTAACTATCAAGTTCTCCATCCATCGACGGTCTAGGTTTATGTGCATTGTACAACTGAGCTGCGGGCTCTAGCTGCGCACTAATCGTTGAATATATCTACCTTGACGTATGGGGACGTCGCAGAGGTCACTTCGAAGGCTCCTTGTTTCCCAGAGAAACAGTACTTTCCGGGAACGAAAAGATTTGGAAGAAAAGTCGATACGTTGTTGAGTCAGTGGTTCAACGTTCCGAGGAGGAATCGTGATACAGACACTGCGGACAATGGCTCACTTTAAGCCAGGTTTGCTCTGGAACTTCGCAGTCCGATGAGCTCCTGCAATGAATATAGGAAGCTTTGCCTTCGGATCAAAGGAGATTGTCTGGACTGACATTTTACCTTCTCAACTATTCCTATCGCCGCAGCGCTCGCGCAATACCTCGGATGATCATTCGTATAGCCCTTGACAATAGACGGATGCCATACAACAGGCTGTCGTGGCCTCGCCGAGCGGAGGGCAAGACTGCCGACTGTTCAATTCTTGCGGGTGTTCGATACGCTTTGGTTATTGTCTTCGGCACGTAATCTCAACATCGGAGGAAATGGCGTCCGCCACGAGTCATGCATCAGTATTCTCGAGCTCTCGAGGAATGCGACATTCGGCACGTTGAGTCGTTGAACCTTGCAGCAGTCTCATCACGGGAACTTTACGAACCAGGTTCCCACAAAGGAATTGCTCGGATCCGTCGGAAGGTCCAATGAGTGCTTCTCCAACGTGCGTGATCCGTGCATATAACCACAATCTGTAGCAGGTCTATGATGTGTAGTAGATACCTTGAAGGCTACCGAGTTTAGCGCGAGGTGATGAATGTCCTTCGTACCTACAGATAACCTGTTCCACAAAGGACTGCATCTTTTGCCTGTAACCTCTTCTTTGAACCTTGATCATCCTTTCCAGTGTCAATTCTCTAAACATCCCAGACGTCAGGTTCGCCATGTAAATGCCGGGCGTAACAGCTTTTCATGGTGATGGCTCTGTCAGACACTTTCGTATGCCATAGGACTTGGTGATTAGTGTTTGTGCCTGAAGCTTGGGCGGTGGGAATGGGTCTCGGAACAGTGCTTGTGTGCATGCCCGCGTCTCTGTTATCGGACTGGTTGCTCCGTTCTCATCCATTCGGGGCACTATTGTCATGAAGATGTCTTTTCTCAACTTGGGCCAAATGTACGTCGTCACCCATGTTGTTGCGAGGGGGATTGACATGTATCGATGCTGGATCTATAGTACCGCATTGCTTCATCTCCTAGGCAAGATTGTCAGGGTAGCTCTCAGATCACGTATCATGACACGTCCGTATGATAGCAACTCACCTCTGCATCCGTACTGGGCGTAACATTATAGGCCCATGAGAAGTCATCCGGGGCATCCAAATTGGCTGTTATAGGGAGCATGGCGCCGGATTCGGGTCCGGGTTCAGGTGTATGAAGAGTAGCAAGGCGAACAAAGCGCAGAGTACCGTTTGTCAGGGCATTTAAAATCTGCCTGTTCTGAGAGGCTGAAAGAGAGGATGGATTCTGATGCGGAATGTGTGCTGGCCACCCTTCGATTCGAATCCCATAAGTGCTTAACTTCGAATGGTTCGACCACTTCATTTCAGCATTGCGTTGTCCCGATATGGCTCTGTCCGTAGAGTTTAATGTTCACATGCTGGGCTAGAGTAAAAAGAATCAAACCTAATTGCATTTCGTACAGCACTGTAAACGTCAGCCTTCACCACGTTCGCAGGGCTCCTTTGTGCAGAACCGCTGGCTCCTTGAATAGGGGGCGGAGCATATGGTGTCTGCTGTGCGATTTGGCTTGGACCAGCCTGAACTTCTGTAGTTCTGCTACAGTGCGCCTTGAATGCCTGGGCACCCGCGGAACCGCATCCTCGATGATTGCGCCAGAATTCTCGACCTAATAAGGTACCGCCTAGAAAGCCATCGTCGTCAGGGTCCTGCGGATTTACCACGAGAAAGAAGGATTGGAGTCCAGCGGTCTTTTCCAGAGCTTCTAGAGTTGTGGAAATTCGACGCAGAACTTCGTTACCTGAGAAAAAGAAGTAATCGATGTTATAAACGAAATTAGTGGTAGGATATTTTATACACAGTTGTTTAGTGGCTTACTTTTGGATCGTCTATCCTCGGCAGATAAAGTATTGTTATATAGATATTTACAGTGCCATTCGGAAAAAAGCCGTCTGACCTGTTGTCAATATTCAGTAAGCGTTTCACGTTACACGTTAAGCAGTAATGAAGTATACCTCGTCATATGGACGAGATTCTCGTGAAGCAAATGTTTGTAGATCAGAGAGCTGCTTGTCATACAATATCTGCAGCCGTTCTATGAATAACTCATCGTCCGACATAGCGCCACAGAAGGGCTATGTTTCCGAAAGAGCTTTTTTAATTGCCAGAATCGAAGTCAAAGGTCATAAACTCGGATACTGTAGATGCTTGTAGATGTGGTTGTTTGCAACATTCAAATTAGACGCTAAGCTGCGACTTTCCTGTGATTACAAGCGCCTGTAATCTCTCGAAGTAAACCATGATGTGAACCTGCCTTTACCGAGTACTTACTGCACCACAACAGACCATTTAAAAAGAACGATTGGATTACCATTATGGATGTGGAACTAAAACGTACGTCTCGTCTGTGGCACCTGTATATGACACTCAATGTCGAGACTCGGTCCCTGAAATGTGGCAGGCTGTACTTGACCTCGCCACCGTGTTTCAAGGATCAAGCTATACTGCAGAACCGTGTCAGAAGTTGTGGTTGTTGCCTTTGTGTGGTTCGCTGTTTGGAGTCTATGTACTTCTCAAGACCTAGCGGACCTTCCTCAAGGCTGAACGAAGAAACTTACACTTCAAGTTGCCGTTACAAGCTTATGGCTGTGACTTTGTTCTAATATCAACACACACGGTGTGAGGATGAGTAGCGCATTCTGCCAACTTTAACTTCTGATTGATTCATGCCGTTAACACTCGTATGCGTGAGCATGAATATATAAGCCGAAGAGCAGCGCTCACACAGCCGTCACGTCTTCCACTTGTTTTGCCAATTTTGATTTTGTCGTCGTTTGGTTGTTGATTAGGTTCCATGGTCATGGTCTCTAGGTTATAAGTAGGACGCATATCCTGCGGTCTCTTCCGGCCCCCATCACATCCCTCGCTACTTAAAGTTCACACTGCGGAGATAGAATGGCCCCAAGTCGTGACAACGCGGATTGGAAAGTATACGCAAGGTATATTCTTGAACACCCGTCTTCTTAATATCTAGCTTATGTGATTCGCAGACAGATGCTAGCATTGAACTATGGTCTTGCACTATGGTATGATGTATTACATTCATTTGAGTACGCATTGACGTCCATTAAGGCAGCCGTCCCCCTCGTCTCGACACAAGCAGGTACAGATCGGCGATGTTGGTTACATTAGGGATGGAAGTTTTCGTCTGCTCTTCAACGCCGCCAAGCCTACTGGGGCAGTCCCTGAAGGCTTTGTCCCGTTACAAATTGGAACGATTCACCACAACCAGCCCCGGAGCCGGGGTTTGTTATGGACGAAATCCATTAAACTACTTGGTACAGGTGGGGGATGGGACTTGTAAGCTATCTATCGATCTTTCCTAATTACGGGAACTCAACACTTGCGTTCTCCGAAGTTCTCAAGCACCCATCCCCGCCAACGCAGCGGTATTCTATTCCTTCCAGACTACCACTACCGAAGGTGCCGCCCTTTTAACGAGGCATAAAACTCATCGGTCAGACGCCGAACAACTGGGTCGATTTCAGAAGTACATTCGCAAGCACTACAAATCTTGGTTGCGTTTTGCCAATAGTCAACTCGAGTATGCCATCACTGTCGATGACCTGCTCCTTGTCACTGGCTGCGATATGACCAAGGACTACTCTATGCTTGCATTTACGGAGAACCAACAGCTCATTGGCTTTGATTTTAGACTCAGAGCCGGGTCTGCCATGTCTGTTGGTGCCTCTACTTGGGCGTCATGGGAATGCCAGTTTCCCACATTTCAGAACTGGGGTCCTCAGCCTATGAACAACCTCGATAAGGCTATTTCGTGGCTTGACACACCAAAGCGTACGCAGTGCGTCTTTGTTCGTGGATATCGTATTCGCGAGCGGGCAAAAGTCATACCCACAGTTATCGAGGCCGGTGCAGAACCCCCAAACCCAGGCAATGATGTAGAACGCAGGGGCGATTCTGGTGGTTTAGCAACGTCTGCCAATTACACTGCACAGCACTATGACCCTCTCTACCCAATATTTGAATACATATCTAAGGTATGGGAAACGGAACTTCAATTCCTTTTTTCTGTCTCATGAAACACTAGGAGTCGGCCGCCGATCTTGCCATCATTCACGACAATGACTTTTCTGAATTATTCCATATCGATTCCAATGCCGATGCCGGCACTCTTACCGATGTCCTGCATAAATGGAGACCAAAAATACGAATTGAAGACGGAGGTGAGTTATGCATTTTGGTGAACCAACACATGGTCCAAAACGTCTCTACAGCCGGTATTGTCCATTTTGAGAATGTCTCGCTATTAAGAGATCTACAAGATTCCAAACCCAAGAAGGCAGCCAACCCTTCGAGTGAGCCACAGGGCCAACCATCACGTCCGAAGCTAAACACTTCGCCTTCCTCTCAAGCAAGCGTAATCATCAGTGGAAAGATTTGCATATGATTGGGAACATATCTACGTTTTCTCAAAGAACACCAATGTATTGTTGCATCCTCTCTTCCAATTACCTTATCATAGAATGGCATTCGCAGGCCGTTGCCGGCCAACCAAACGATCTAGTTTCGCGCACTGTCAATGAGCAAACTAACTCACCTACCATTTCTTGCTCCGCGGAATTTGCCGTCGGCACACCAACTCGCGCACACATTGCATTTTCTCCTTAAGGACTTCATATACCCTTGATCTGCACACTACTATCGGCATAGCGACGAACAGTGGTCACGATCGCAAGAAGTCTGCGCTATTTCTCAACTCCATAATAGCAGTATTTGCATTCATGCAACGTCCATTCAATACTCTTGCTTTTTCATCTAGGTCACCCGGATATCACGTTCATTGAACCACTGGCATCGACATAAGGCTGGAAAGGCAAGGACAGATGGAACTAGCCAGGCTTCCTCCCGAGCTCATCGACATCGTTCAACACATCGCTCCCGATGTCGCGACTTTGAAAAGCTGCTCTCTTACCTGCAAAGAGTGGTTCGCAATTTGCAGGCTATATATCTTTCGTAGAGTCACTCTGAACGACCAAAAAACATTCTGCAGCCTCGAAACACTCATCGAAGCGACGCCTGCGATAGGCCCACTCATCAGGCACATCAATATTGAATATTCCCCCGCCAGAGGGCCTTTCGAAGAAGTGCTTAACACCCAGATACCAGGGATCGAGCCTATATTCGATGCGCTCCACATGCACTTGACGACGTTGTGCACCGTCCGACTTTGTTCAAACGATATAACTCTAATGGTCGATAAGAAAGAATGGGATGCTTCGCTATTCTCTCTCGCGGCGAACCTTCACACCGTGCACACGTTGATAATTGATGACTTCCATATGGATGTCATCATGTTCCAAGAAATTATGTGTGCTTTTCCGAATATTCGCAACGTCAAATTGTGGGACTGTTCACATGACACAGAGCGGTTGAAGCGCAGACAACCCGTTGTCCCCTGTAAACCACGGTTCACCTCCCTGGAGGTCAGATTTACCTACAGTCCGTACGATGAAGTACGTCGAGACCTACGCGACTTTCTCCCATTTATTCTCTCGGCGGAACCTACCCGGATCCTCCGGTCGCTTGCGCTCAAGGTGTGGCCAGAAGACGTCGCAGATGTCGTTGAGTTCCTGGACGCGCTCGGCGCTCGATTGGAAGAGCTCCGGTTGGAGGTGATGTTGCAAGGTCGTGGGTATCACTTACTTGAATTTATCTGACCAACTGAAGCGTAACCTACAGACACTGGTAATGCTATGAGCCTTCGTGCAAACACCAACCTCCGCTCTCTTATCCTTGTCTGCCCCGAATCCCCCGAGACGTACAACGACTTGACTGCAACAATCAGTTCACTTCATATTCGTAGATTGGAGTATCATGTGTACGCTACCACTGATTTTATGTCGCTCGCCACTACCTTGGATGGTGTGGTTTTCACAGACTTGGAGGAACTCTGTTTTGTCTGCTTGAAGCCTACAAGGCGTTTCAAACCGGATGTGCATCAGAGGGTCATTGAAAATGTTGACCGACACTTATCCGCTTTCCACAAACACCGTGGGCGCGACATTCTCCGGTTCGTGGATGCGGAGTGGGATGGAATTCATTATAGCCAGGACGGGAGTCTTCGCGAAGACTCTGAGGACGATGAAAATGACTATTTCGATGGGGATTTCGAGTTCTATCACTCCTACGACAGTAATTCAGATCGCTCCTAGTACCATCTTGAGCCCGACGGAGGCTGGTACGACAGTGATTTAGGCACGAATCTCATGACATCGGACATTCATTGAGCATCCATGTGAGTTAGGGCTACTATACTTTTGCGGGATTTCAATGCTAATTAATTTCACTCGTACTTGGGAAGCAGTGTTGAATCTTTTGAGAGTGGCCCGAAGTAGGCTGTGTTTAAGTTACTGACCAATCTGCCCAGATGCATACACATGTAGCTTACATGTTGCCCATTGCAATCGAGACATTGAGGCTCTCCACAAAAATCCTGCACATAAGGCAGGTTTATTGCGAGCGAAGCGAGTATACATCGCGGAACGCGCGAATCGCTGACGGTGTGGGCAGGTACAAATGGACAACTTCGCCAATCCGATCCTCGACTATTCAGCGCTGAAGTCTTAAAGATATACGAATTTTCATCCCGGGAGTCTATGAAGATCTAGTCTGACTCCGGTGGCAAGTTGTGCAGAGCAGTACATATGTCAATACGAGTGTGGCCATGGCCTACATCCTTTGTCGGATTGATGTTTGGATTACCCATGGATTACTAATAATTGTTTTTGCTTACGGGCTGTGCGTGGCTGCCGGAGTTGGGAAGACAACTTGAACGTCTTGGGCACAAACCATCAGATTGGTCACAAGGATATACCCTTTTCCCAATACACGATTCGAATATACAGACTTTGCATGTCAGTAGACTCTGTAGCGAGCTGCCAGCTCTAACTGAGGATGTTGTGTCCATTATGCAGTCAGCTAGCCGACATTGGATAGATATTGCCTGAACGTTGGTCTGGTAGATGTGAATACAGGGGGCGATGGTTATGGGATGAGAGGTGAACTATATTAAATGCATAATAGCAGAATAGAAACTGGGTAATGAAACAGCACAGGAGAAGAAATGTAGGAAGTACAATCTGGAAGCTCAGCAACGGGAAATAGAAGCGAATAACATGATAGGAAGACAGTAGCAAGAACACGGATTGCATAGTAGATAGAGGACAGCGATCTCATAAGTTGAGCGCATCTGAAAAGATAATGAAGTTAGTGATGTCGGAATCGAGAGGGTTTAACAGGCCAACTCGTACCAAAAGTACAACGTTCAAGATATCTTACTTGAAGGGGCAGTTGGGAGCATGAGAGCCACGCCAGCCGCAGTGGCAGCACTGGGGACCCCCGTTGCCCTTATCAGCGCTATCTCCAGGAGCACTCTCCTTATCGAAGTTCATGGGTATCATTGAGCCGGGGACGAGGTTAGAGTGTAAGCTTTTTTGTGCCGTGACGGAGGCTACAGTGGTGGAGGATGACTTGATAGGAGTGAGAGACATTACGACGCAAGAGTAGCAGAATATAGAGCAAGGAGGATGGGGTATTGATACTAGGGTGACTTTTGGCTGAAGGCAGATTTGGGGGCGGTAAGTGAATTGAAAATTCATTGAGAGGGGACCTCTGCTTTTATCCATTCTCTGAACGTTGCGGCGTCAAAATCGGTCCAGGGCGTAGCCGTAAACAATGCGTCAAACAGCCGAGCCAAAGACAACGCTTAACAGGTTTTCCAAGCGAGGCCAGTGGCCTACTTTCTAACCGATGGACATGACCTTTGAATGGAGTTAGATCCGCGCTAGAGAAAGTACGCTCTCGGACGTCATCCGTCTAAAAATTACGGTGTTAGCCCCACTTATAAACATATTCATTATGCGTCCGCGCACCTCACTCACTCACCCATCCGTTGATCCACTGGTCACGAATAAGCATCCATTTTTGTGGTATGGTTAAGAACTAGAAAAATGAGGGATGTGACCGTTCTCTAGCCGTCCTTCATTGATTAATACGCCTGCCTCGTTTCATGAATGTCTCAATACGAAAGTGCGCATGAAAGTAGGTAAGGGTAAACGGAAGCGATGAATCAGAGTCGTTGGACGGTTAATTGACGGTTGGACAACTTCAAGTTGGAGTACAAAGAGTCCATCAAAACCGATCGATCGGGGTTATTCAGTAGTTCCTCGCTTTTGGCGAAACCGTTTTCCACATTTTACAACTATGGGTCGCGCACGAACGAAAACAAAAAAGGTTAAGCCGGTAGCCACAAAAACAATAGCGGAGGATTCTGAACCTCCCTCTATACCTGCTTTGCTCGAAAAGGCTCAATCACTCATTGTGCAATGTGACTATGACCTGGCGAAACTGTTCGTCCAGCGGGTTATTGAGCGAGAACCTACAAATGTCGAGGGCAAGGAGATGTTGGGCGTTGTTCAGTTGGAGACTGGTGATATTGAGGCTGCTAAGCAGGTGAGCTTGCTGCCCGGATGTTTCTCTTCACAGTTGATGACGAGCCAGAAACCGATGTATTGTTCACTGAACTCCGATGTAGACCTTCCTATCCTTGGTACCACCACATCCCGAAGCTCCATCATCACCGCCGCCTTCTGCACACCTGTACTTGGCCCAGCTTAATGATGATGACCCGCACATGGCTTTGCAGCACTACCAAGCCGGCGTAGACATAATGAACTCACAGCTAAAGGGCAAAGAACGTGCAGTTGACACCGTTGGAGTACCAGAAGATGAAGCGGCGCTGAGACAAAACACTGTGAGGGCATTGATAGCAATGGTGGAGATTTGGATGGATCCTTCGTATGACTTATGGTGCGTGCGCCCTTCTCGATCGATTGGATACACAAGCTCAAGAATCTGCGCTGCCTAGCTTCGATCCTGTGGCGGAAAAGACCTGTGAAGACCTGTTAAACCTCGCTCTCCAGATTGATCCTGGAAACAGCGAAGCTTTCACGTCCCTCGCATCCGTCCGGCTATCCCAACAACGACCAGGAGATGCAAAACAATGTCTGGAGCAGGCGTGGACATCTTGGAAAGACCTCGAAGCAGGTTCATAACCTCACTTTTTGCTCTCACTGGCTTTATTCTGACTTGAGTCTTTGAAACAGACGATTCTCGATTACCCCCAATACCAACCCGATTAGCTCTTGTGAAACTATTTCTAGAACTTTCACTGTATACTCCGGCATTACTCGTTCTACAAGGTATCATGGCGTTTGATGATCAGGAAGTCGAAGCGTGGTACCTTGAAGGATGGTGTTTCTTCCTCATGGCTGAGCAAGCGAAGGAGAACGGAGGAACGCTTGATGAATTGACTTGGCAAGAGCTCGGTCGGGATGCGAGGGATTGTTTGGAGACTTGTCAAACAGTCCGTGTCTATTTCTTCTTCCCTCTTCACTTTTTTGATGTCGAGCTGACGTTTTGTGATACTAGCTCCATATCGATCAGGAACATCCTGATCGACCAATGTTAGAACATGTCCAAGAACTAATCAGCAAACTTGAAGCACTGGGTATCCAACCTTCGCCGGATGATGCTGATGAGGGTGATGGCGGCGATGATTGGGAAGATGTGGAGAGAAGCGATGATGAGGATGAGGACGTTGACATGGCGTAATTGTTCCTTTCTAGGTGCTTCATCTGAGGGTGTGTGTTATTGGATTAGACTTCGAAAAGTATTCTATGGTTCTTGGTTCTTAGTTCTTTGGGCTGACAATTCGTTGATTGTGAGCAGAGATAGGCTGATTACTATCCCGTTGTCTAAATTCCACTGTCGTCAGCTCACGTGTTTTCTCGATGTCTTATTTCTTCCCAGATGCTATACCGCCCACTTGCTGCAAGGACCTCACAGTCGAAAGCCACCCTAAGAGTCAGGACTCAGGATGACCCATCTGTACTTATACATTGACACTTTTTTGAACACAGCTCCAGGATCCATCTTCGAAATTCTTCTACCGCCCCTTCACATCTAATTGATTCCAGCGTTCAATCATCAACTGTGATTGGTCGCGTCCTTCTGGCATGGGGAAAACCGTCTTTGCCACATAGGCTGTACTGCGTTCAACCGAGGGTACGACGCACCTTATTCTTTCCCTACACGCCAACCATTCCAATTTTGACATATCGGGCTGGGACCATCTTGTCTGGACTACTCACGATTTCTATGACACGCCATCTCAAAGTTTGCTGCGCTTCCGGCTCTTCTTACTCGGATCAATGTTCAACGACAAGTCTCTGCTGTTGGATGAACGGCTGCTAGTCTTCAGGATGAACCTCAATCTTACACGGTTGCCGTTCTCTGGGTTAATTATCCCTCGATATGTGATTGAAACCGATTACTTTGATAGTGTCGTCAATCAACGAACTCCACTAGCAGGTGTTGCACTGACATGTATTGGCTATGGTATGCACTCAGCCTTCAAAACGAGCTCTGTCGTACTGAATGGGTTCACCTGGGTGCGGGTGTACAAATCGTTTCCTGCTTCGCACGCCTTCAAGCCCTGTGGCTCCGAAAGCCTCGAACACGTGTCGCCATCTTTCTGATGAGCTACGCCGCGTTCCTATATGTCCTGAATACCATATGGACTGCTACCGCCATTGGCACCCTTCAGCTGTATTCGGTGGACTACCTACACTGCCTCGGTAGTTCTCAACCTGAAGACTGTTTCCACTTAGGCGTTCTTCCCCATGTTGGCGAGTTAATATCTCGCGCTGTCTTTGTAGTCGCTACGGTTGTCTCAGACGTTGTGATGGTGCGTATCCTTCCCAAAACATTGCATCGGACATGTGGTGACAGCTTGTCAAGATTTGGCGTTGCTATCACATTTGGGTTGTGACGCTATCCATATACGCGCACTATATCCTGATCGCCTCATTGGTTTTTCAACTGGGCGTGCTCTGTTCCGGTTGGTCTGATATCTGACAATGACTCACAAATAACTCACTATAGTTACAGGTTTTTTTAGCTCTGAACTTTACACCTTCGGGATTACTCATGATCGATCCTCCAGGCTCAAACGCTCCTTTGGCGAGTAACTTCATGAAGACTGTATTCATTCTTACGACACTGGCGGTTAATATCATTTGACTTCTCTGATTGTCGAGCGAATGTGGGCCAGTCGGGGGGCCGGTATAACGGGTAATGGGACCTGTGTATGGAAAGCACTATGTTTCGTCGCAGCCATATTCATCGAATCCGGTGCTGTCATGACAGCTTGCCTTACAGCCCAAGTCCATCACCCTCGACATACTGGAATCATTATTTTACCTCCTCCCCTTCTTCTTCAAGTTCTTCTTCCGGTTGCCAGTGATAGGCGCAACAGGAACTGGCTCTGAAATGGCGCTATTCATGCCCGCCGAATGGTGTCGCTTCAGCAACTGGTAGTAGATGTCAGATGAAACATGCTCCATTTCACTGACATAACTATCGGCTGCATCAAGGGATCGTAAACTCAAGCAGCATTGGGCAGCGAGATCAACTTCCTCTTTCCAACCATAGCGGGAAGCCGCGAAGTATACCTGAAGAGGACGCATCTCTGTATGCCCGATCATGAGATACTTTGCTGCCTGTGCAACTCTGTGCATCTCATACGTCTCGGCAGTTCTCCGTACCGAAGCCGCTAGACTAACGCCACAGGTATCCTCCGTGATCTCCTCGTCCCCAAATGGATAGCATGATCGGACCAGGGTGGCGAGAACTTCGCCATCCTGGTCAAGACGAACAATTGGGGAACCATTCTCGGTATGCCCTTCTGGAGCTTCACCGAGTATGGTATGCGCTGAAGCGATGGAGAGTATCAATTTGTGCACTGGGATTTCTATGCCATCCCTGGAGCGAATGACGAAGTCGGAATCAGGAATGCTGAATGGATATGAGCTGAGTAGATCAGTCACCGCGACGTCATTCAAGTCCTGAGGTTGGGTTTTACAAGTCGAGCAGCAGAACTCCATTGGGCCGTCTTCAAGGTATCGCAGCAGCCGATAGAATTGCCCTGCTGTAGTTGTATGTAGAGCTTCATTATAGGTGGCTCCTGCAGCAGTCTGGGAGAAGTCTGATTTGAGACAACCGTCATCGCATGCCGTCACCAACCCCCAGCTCGTGATAGTACACTTAGTAGGCGTGCTACCCCGGGTAGGGAAAGATTGGTCGCGTTGTGTAGTGATCGTCTTGTATTTTTGCTTCCATGCTTGTGCAGCGACGCAGGCAACCTGCTCCTGATTTAATCGGCATGCGATGGCGAAGACCGAAAGAGGCTCCCTCGAGGTGAATGTAACCAATCTTCGGTTCGTATGAAGGACAGCTTTCTCGACCTGATACTTTAGAGCAGCCTTCAAAAGTATCTCTACCTCTGCTAAAGAGTCCTCTTCTGTCTCCGGAACCGGATAGCACATCCTCAACAAACAGTCGAGGGTTCGGCTTTTCTCAGTTATCAGGATGACAGGAAGACCATGAGATGAATTCTCCGGGTCTCCAACGGCAGACACTGGCTGGGCAACATTGAACATGTCTGCGAACACTGGCGAAGCAAATTTGAGAATGAGCTTATGGAGGTAGTAGTCGATGTTGTCGGATGTTCGGAAGATAACATCTGAGCTTGAGTCCGCATTATCAAATGGGTACTGAGCGACAGAAGGTTGCTCAGTCGAAGTCATGGCGCAAAAGGAGGATGAGGATCGATAAGCAGTGCAGGTCATACTTCACCTCCTTTTCTACGACAGAATAGGCAGCCTTGAGGATGACACGAGGCGAGGACGTATCTGGAATCCGGTCTGCACAGTATTTGCGAACCTCTTTGGGGAGTGCTTGCGACGGCATGAGGCTGACACGATTAGTCAAATCCCACGCATCTCCCGATGACTGTACAGGATGCGACGAAAAGGGAAGAGCCGTCACCATGATACGGGAGTGTGTCTGAATCGTATGGCTTGACTCACATCTAGTGTCATAGAGTCTAATGGAGGGCTCCAAACCTGTTAACGAATACCGTCGAGTATGCTTCTGAGTGTCGGGAACAGCCTTCGCATAAGGGCATTATGGAGTACTGCGTGACAAAAGTGTCTCTGAAATACATCAATGTACTTAAGCACTTCAATACCGAGTCAGAGGCTGATTCACCTGAACGCATCCTCACCGAACCACACACCAGTCATAACTTCTGCATCCACAGATCACCGTCTTCAAAGTCATTGCCTCCCTGCCCCGCCTCGCTCTGTATGCTAGGCTCTGCAAGACTGGCTCGTAATGGCGTGACACTGACATTTCCATGAATGAGGGCCCAACTGTCAGTCCCTACTGGCACATCGGCCGGATTAAGCTCCGTCTCAACATGCGCGAACTCGAATGTCAAGCTACGACCCGAAGTGAGAACCGCCCTCTGACTGCGACCAGCAGCTTCAGAGCTGGATAAATCCGGGCCGGCGGGAGATGGAATGGGCTCCGAATTAGCGTGAGCCTTGAATAAATGGCCATATGAATTACGCCACATGTTTGTCCAGCATATCTTCAATCCCTCTTCGCTGAGAAGTCCTCGAACCATGGGTATATTGATGCTGTACAAATCAACCTCGCCATCGCGAAGACCATCTTTATCTTGGGCCCAATGCTCCCAAATATGTCGGATGACGCGAGAACTCAATACGTGAGCTGGCTTGTATAACTCTTCAGGGATTGACTGTTGTTCCGCGCCATAAGAAAGTGCTATCGATCGCACTTTGGAAAGGCTGGAGGAAAGAGCAGCACCGATCGTTCCCGATGACAATGCAAAAGCAGCTATGGAGGGCCAATGCTTAGTCCTAGGCGTTCATGCAACATCCAAGGTACCAGCTGACCCGAATCATTGCATCCGAGGTTCGGTCCTGAAATCTGAGGAGTTTGGTTAGTAATCGAGTAGGAAGTTCAGCTTTTAGTGTCTAACCAGAAGATCGATCTGGCCAGGATAGAGATTGTGCAACGCAATGTTGGCACAAGTCGCAGGTGTCTGAAAGACTCATGTTTCATCCCTTTAGCTCGACTTGACAGAAACTACACTCACGCTATCTAAGAGTACCCACTCTGCCGTCTCGCCTTTCTCCAATGATCTAGACCTTTCAGATATCACCCCTAGACCATCTGACATGACCGAGACGTGCATTCAACATTGTCGGATACGCGAGATGAGAAAGGCTCACCAGGTTCACGTGGATAATAGTACCGACCACAGACCGTTCCCGTGATCTGATATGCGTTTCCTGTACAGTCAACTCCTCAGTAGGGGCTAAGAAGGCGTATACTGTGTAGATGATCAATTGTATTATATTTTACCTATCCAAGACTTCTGCGAGCTCGGAATCACTACTTTCACGTCCCATCCTGACCATTCGCATTTGATCTTCAATTATAAAGTCGATGTAGACCGAAATCTCGCACATACATACCTAGTTCCACAGTCAAGTGACGAAACAGACCATAGATGTACGGAGAATGTTTGCCCGGAGGCCCATCGTCATTCTCAAGAAGCTCGAAGTTAGCGCTACTCCTCATTTGTAGAACTTTACGCTGATCAAATGTCCCCACTCACAGTGAGTAAAACACGCAATCGACTATCGCTTTCGGTGGGCATGGGCGATCGAGGTGAAGGTTCGAAGTACCATTTCTGACAACCGAAGTCCTGATCGATGTGTCGCCATCAACACGAGGTATAGGCGCGTTTCAGGAAGTTGAACACATCCAGTAATCTCGACGTACCATTTTACTGATCTTTCGCACCTGTATGTCATCGTACTGTCCATATTATTACGGACCGGATTAACAATGGTGACCGGATTAACAATGGTACCATTGTCTACCATGTAAAACGAGCGGCGAGACCCAGAGAGGTCAATTCCTGCGCGTACCACCAGTGACGCTACTAGCGCGGAAGAAAGAGCAGCGATAGATGCCAGACAGTTCGTACGGCATATCATTGCTACTCCGCGCCATGTCTTAAGGCACCTTGCGACTCCTTAGACTCTGGGGGAATTGGAATAGCTTGTATGGTCCAGGACGGGACTTCATCCATGCACATTTAGTATCATGATAGGAACGACCAAGTGGCAAGGGAAATGCTGACAGGGAAACAGACGCGAATGCTCAACAAGCACGCCTGAGAAGGAAGATCTAATTCGAATTCGGAATTTCCAGATGCGTACTGAGTTAGCTTCGGGAGATCCTTGCGAGGTGAGCTATGCTTTTGTCAAAACACAGAAGTCTAGGACCAACTCACGTATCGAATGATCCAAAACATGTTCGTTGACCAATTTGAAGGTTAGATCGACGCAATATATATTACTAGAAAGAACTCAAGTCAAAAAGGGAGTCGGTTCTTGTACGATACATCCATTCTGAACGCGTGAAACGAGGTAGCCTTGAGATTGAAACTTGAGCACTGAGCAGCTATTAATCGTCAAGCTTTCGACGGAGGAATTTGACTTTATCCTCCGCGTTTCTTTATGTTTCTACCGCTTCAAGTATTACCGGCACGCAGGCGAGAAAGATTTGCACATCACGTCCAGTGGCCGAAAATAAAAAGCTACTTGCAAATCAGGGATAGAGATCCCAGTCGTCTCGAACGTCGTGGAAGAAAAAAAGAAAAAACCTCTTCGGCGCTTTTCGCACCTCTTGCTTGGTACCACCACTGACCAAAGTGAACTTTGCATCCCGGCCGCGCCACTCGTTAGCCAACGCACATACACATTTACAGGCAACCAATCCTTCCGAACATCAGAGCGGTCAGATTGACCAGAGCCCAATCATGTATAGTGCTAATTCGCTCAGGAGCCAGCTTTCGTTCTGCCGAATCAACCACTTTTTGCGAAGCCCTGTATCAATTCGTCCATGCACGATCAATAGCCGTGTTTTCTGCAGGACGTTTGCGCAAGCAGCAGAATCGTCCGCGAAGCCTCCCAAACCAAAAGCGTCTACACCCCTCCGTCGAGCTGCTGCAGCCTCTCTGCCCATTCGTGCAAATCCGACCCCTACCAGGAGTACGATCCAGCCGGTATTCACACTTGCAACAGCCGAGAAATACCTTCTTTCTCGCCTTCCAGGACATATACCGCAGACTTCGCAAATACTTCATGAAGCACTTTGGGTGCCGAAATGGAATGCTGGAGACACAGAAGGAGAAATATTCGTATTCGCGAACGGGACTATCGTTTGTTGGGGTTTGGGCGAGGACGCAGCTGAAAAGTTCGCGTCAGAGGTGATATCTAACGCGAAGGCAGAAATTGCTCCATTGGCGGAAACTGAGACCGAAGACTTGGAATTTGTGACTGACCCTACCGAGTGAGTAATTCTGTTCACTTGATACAGTAATTGTGGTGAACATTTTCCAGAAAGACTCGATTACAGGGTGATTTGATCATCTTGGGTCAAACACCACCTCCCGAGTCCGCGGAAGCCGTTCCTGCCAACCTCCCTCCTTCGGTGCTGCCTCACGAGACACTGCTCGCACGATATGCATTCTCGCAAGCCCTGTCTCGATCAACAGCACTTTCTGCATTCGAAACGTCGTTGGACAAGTACTTGTACTCTATGGCTGGACTCCCAGAATCTTTGATTCAGACAGGCAAACCGGGACTCGGACGCGTAACTCTTGTAAAGAAGCTCGGAGAGCTGCTGAAATTCCGTCAAGGCCTCAACCTCAACCGCGAAAACTTCTCGGACACACCTGATTTCTACTGGGCCGAGCCTGTACTCGAGAGTACGTCATGCACTTTGTGCATATTGTGCTGCTTTTTTAACTATCTACGGAACCCTATCTAGGTTACTTCAACTCTTTAAGTAATGCTCTGGAAATGCGTGCACGAACTAGGTCTGTGAACGACAAAATTACTTATGCTGCGGAAGTTCAGTCCGTCCTGCGTCAGCTATTGACGGAAGTGAGTTCCTCCGTATTCAACGGACCTTATAAACTGCTGATTATTCCTCGCAGACGTCGGCACATCGCATGGAGCTCATTATTATAATCCTTATTGCTGTAGAAGTCGTAATCGTAAGTCACTCACATGCTCTAGTCGCGGGACTGAATCTGACCGAATATTGAATAGTGCCTTATCCGTGATGGTCCGGAGTTATGGGAGATGGCGTTCGGCAAGGCAGAACATAAGAAAGTAGATGCGAAAGAAACACTTCTTTCATAGACAACATACTCTAAGGGCTTTCAATGCTCTACTCATTGCTCTCATCTAATCTGATCATACATTACATCCTATATGTACATATATACATATCTCCACTCACATTGGTGCTACTCACCATCTCACCTCATGATTCACTTCTACTACTGTGAAATGCCAACATAATCTCAATAACTGAAAGTATACAGGAACTATGATACAGGTTAAGTGATGCATATGACATATAGAATGAAGCTATAGCAATCTAGAGCAGTCCATTGCATGTAGAGGATCAAATTGCTCTGGAGGTTCACATTCATTCATTCCTTGAAGTGTGAAGTATGCCTTCTCCATAACCAGTCCAGTTATTTTCAGCATACAAATGCTGTAAAGAGGTAATAGAATATTCTCTAACATAGTATGTCATTATTGGACCAGAGTGGAGCAGTATAACAGGCAGACTCAGTCTTACATACCTTGCTTGAAAGAAGAATACAAGTCATCATTCTTTTGCAGCTTCATCCGAATATTGTCCTTGCATACAAACTCCAGTGAGAAGGAGTAATCACGGCGGTACAAGGTCAAGAAGGCAAGACCTGCGGCTGTTATAGCTTTCTGAGTCAGGGAAGTCACTTGACCTTGTCCGTAATCACGGCCAGCATTCTTTCAGATCCAGCTCAAAGTTGGGTTTATTCGGTGGTGAAGGAATGTGATGTCGGGGCCTGCGTGGTCACCCTCTGGGGAGTCGGAAACAACCTGAGCTATTCGCACCATATGCATGCTCCCCGATTCCTGGTTAAAGAAGCCTCGGCGCGTCTCGACATGGTGAGTCCAAGCAGAACGGCGGACAGCACCGACTTCAGATCATAGTCGGAAAGTAACAAGTCTGAAATGACTTACGACGACGACGAATGAATGTATCCAGCGTTAGAGGATGGGAGGACGAGAAGAGAAGAGAGGATAAACTTGTCGATAACAGGAAGCTGTGAGGTATATAACATCAGGCAACTGGCGTCCGTGTGGTAGCATCAATGCAGCAGATTGGCTGCTGGCCCCAAACAGCGAAGCAAAACAAAAGGCTGTCCGAGACATGGACGCGCAGTCCAAGGATCGTTAATACAAAGTGCGTGCCGACGATATTTGGAGCTAGCTCTAGCCTTAGAAGCAGATCTAAAAACCTTACAAGCATGTGAGCTTACATCCCCTTGCACATGTCCTTGACGCGGGAGGCATTGGACCTACGAATGAGCCACAACTACTGAAAAGATGAAGTCGGTTCAGGTCCTATTGTACATCGAATTTATTAGAGACGCACTTCACCCCGGCCAAGACAGCACGCCTCACCAGATTTCGATAGAAGAAAGACAGACGAGAAGGCTGCCGGATGGTGGGATTTCATCCGAGCACAGCTCCCAAATAATCTGGGCGGCGCTGACTGAACATCATTGAAGGTGGTTTGATAGGAGCTTGTTAGTGAGCGTGTATGCATATACGATATTATTCTCCCATTCGCACAACTCGGTGCTTCACAGCAGAGACACAAGCAGTTCATTCCTGCTTCACATAAAGTGAAGCAGCTTTCCGATTCACGAAAAACTGTGAAGTGTTACCAGTTTGAATTCCAAAGGCAATAAGGGCGCCTTCGAAGTAGAGAAGCGCAATGCCATGAAACAGGACTGTACGGTCCGTAAATCGCAAGGATGCCGTGTAACATTTGACTCTCCAAGTCATCGAGGTATAGCTGCTGCTGATGAGGATGGCTTCTGCCAGGTGGCACGAGATCCTCAACTTCAATGATCCAACGTAGATTCACGTCAACACCGGTGTCGCAAGACGGGTTGGTGAGTGCTGTTTACAGTGATAAGAATTGTCCTAAAAAATAATGATAACACATACAGTACAACGAGACTCAAGTATCTCTGGATACCTCTATCACTATGACTCGCCCCAAATCATCCGCTAACATCAAGAACCTGCCTCAACGTCTCTTGTACGGAGGGGTTCCGTGCGGCTCTTCACCTGCCTTTCGCTTGCCTAGGCCAATAACGAGCTTGGACCTATCCGTAGGCACAGGTGTACCCCCCTGACTTGTTGGCTCAAAGTTAACAGCAGCAGACGAGATCCTGGAGAAGCCGGGTCTTGGTGCAGGAGAGCCGGTGGTTGTACTCGCAGCACCAGAGGGAATGGAGGGAGATGCGAAGCCACCATTTATCATGGGTGCAGGTAATGTGATAAAGCCAGAATCGAGTTGAGGAGTAGAGGCTTTCTCGGCAATCTTCTTCTTATGCTTCTTCTCTGTCTTGCCTTTGGAGAGAGGCTGAGTATCGAGGAACTCAGCTGCTTGTGGAACAGCGCTATGAGAAGTTAAGGTAAATGACGGGCGTAAGATGATAACAACATAAAGGACATACCCTCTGTTACCAACAGACAGAACGAAGTGAGCCTGGCCAGCCTTCTCCTGACGAATCTGGAACGCTTGGTTCATGCTCAATGGCGTATCCCCACTCGCCATAGCCTCCTTCTTCCTCTCCTCCGCAATCTTCTTCAACCGCTTCTCAGTCTTCATCCTGCCGCTACCCTTTCCATGGAATTTATGCGACAAAGCCTTCCAGGCTTCCTTCGGCGTCAACACTCTACCAAACTCGTCATAGTAGACGATGTTGACATCTGGCTTGTAATTCTTGAATGCCTCGAGATTCTGACGAGCCTCTTGTTGTTCTCGCAAACGATTCTCGTACTCACGAGTCGCTTGATCTCTGTTACCTCCACGTAGCTTGGCTTTTTCCAATTCACGTTCGGCGAGCATGTGACGGTAGTCAGCAAGCCACAAGTCACGCTGGAGTTGAATCCTCTCTCGTTCGCGAGAATCGGCGGAAGGAGGCGCCAAAACGCCCTGATTCCTGAGGATGTTGAGTGTCGCTGCCATACCTTGACCGAACGTCTGTTCGCTCGCGGTGCCAACAGAAACATCAGCTTCTGCAATCCCTCCAGCTTGTTCAGCTGCTTCCGCTATTTTGATAGCGTTTTCAAGACTGTGCAACATCGCCTCTTCGTCTTCCTCCTCCTTGACAACGACTTCGCCAGCCTCGAGCTCGACTTCTTCCTCGGCCTTCATCTGCACGTCGGGTGGTTCGGAAGGCTGCTTGGATGGTGGTCGTGACAAGGCTTGCTCTGCAGGCGGCTCTTTCTTGATGGCAACAGGGGCATAGGCGATGGACCTGACGAACTCAGATGTATCATCAAAGGTCAAACCTCCCTCGCCCTCGTTCTCGTCGTCGTCAATCGTGATAATCTCGTGACCATTCGCAGTGACGGATTGTGCCCGTCGCTCAGCGACTAAACACAAATGTATGTTATTAACCGTGACGATGAATATGCTGGGGTTAAACTCACTTTGCTGAGCCAGTTCCTCTGGCGATAACTTCTTGGGTTTCTTGAGCTTCGCACGCCTGGAGCGAGCCAGCGCCGCTTGTAGCTCATCGTCATCTACGAAATTGACATCGAGGTTACGCTGGCGGGGGACAATCGGCTTCTCGTCTACCTGCATTTCGTTGTCATCACCCCCTGTTGGCCCTACATCCGAAAACTCCGCTACACGGCGAGATGGTCGTTTCTTTTTGGTCTAGATGAAAGGCGTGAGGTTAGAAGCAGCGGAAATTCGACATTAGACTTACCTTAGGCTTCTTAAAACCGAATTCGCCCGGTTGCAGATAATCAGCTGTTTCAAGGTTCTCTGCGGAAGGGTTATATGTCACGTCGACCAAGTCCAAAACATAAATGTACTTACTAGCATAATCAATTGATAACAGAGATTTCTTCACTGTTTCTATGCTCCCCTTTTCCACAGAGGAGAGGTCTTTAGTTAGGACGGTCGAAGTTCCACCGAGTCGGAAGCCCTGTATGAGATATAAGCAACAAAGCACTGGAATAGAAAGAACTACGAACCGTTTCTTTCGGACCCTCAAGAAACTCGTCATATTTGGAGAGGACGGCACGTTTCATACCAGCATGACCAGGAGCGAATTCCTCGTCGTCATAGCCTGTGTAGTCTCGTCGCTTGATCTTGAGCTCCTTGTTCTTCTCGGTGCGCTCTTCTTCAGCCATTTCCACGTTCTGCAACTCATCCTCTAGTGACAGAAAACGAGTCAGCTATGCAAGAACGGCTAAGTTGGGTGAATCAACGTACCTTCGTTATCGAGGATGCGACTGTCTTTGAGCGTGAGGATACGGGCTTCGCCCTCATCCAACTCTTCAAAGTCATGGCTAACCTTCAAGCCGGCTAGATCCCCTGCAGTAATGAAACGAGGTGATCAGGACGATGAGACATGTGGGATAGGTGATAAACTAGACTTACTTTCTGTGTATTCATCCTGAAAGGCCTTGTCCATGCTCTCCAACTCCTCCTGGCGTTTCTTCGCCAGCTCCTTCTCCCTCTTCTTGTTTCGCTTGATCCATTTTAGGGTATCGTCTACATCGCCTTCGGCGTCACCCAACGTCGCACCCTTGAGTTTTGCATGCAATTCCCGCTTGTTTCTCACCCTAAGTAAGATAAAGAAAGTCAATGAGCACTACTGCCTCGAGATGTGGCCTAGATGGCTTGAAGGAAAGAGATAGAAGTGGCCGTTTGTAGATACGGAAAGGAAGTCACTCACTTTGCTATGCGTTCCTGGATTTGCCTGCAAAAGCAGCCATATAATGAGCACGCTATATAATCACGTTGTAAAATAGACAACATACCTGCTCTCCTTCTCTTTGGCCGCCTTCTCTCGCTCTTGAGCATAGTTGGACTCTGCTTGTTTCTCCTTGTCGTCTGCCGGAGCTGCATCTTCAGACAGCGGCTTGAGACCGAGCGATATACGGATCTTGTTTGTCTCCTCCAAGCTGATGCTTTGCTCCATTGACATCTTTGCGGGTGAAGAGATGGAATATGGTCAGAAACAAGGCAAAGAGTGGGAACTTGATGTGGGAAACCAAGGATTGACAATGGATTATTGATGTATTATGGTAATTTACCCTTTTAGACAGTTGGGATTACTAATACTATAAAATATTAAAATAATTTAAATGTAATTGTAATTTAACTACCATTTTAAATATTGTCTGCCCTCGTGCCAGCCTGGTCAAATGAACGATCGACTCGAGGAGTCAAGAGTCCACTATTGCAATAAACACGAAACGGTAAGTACCGGGTCCATATGTCGACTCTAAAGCCCTCGTGTCGCCCCCGCGCTGACATAGCCTACAGTTTATTTAAGGCGGACTACCTTACGGACGGACGCTTAGTTGAATGACTCCTCAGCTGCTACTAACTTGAATAGCCTTTGCTCGTTACTGTGCCAATCGAACATTTGGCCTCCATCGAGCCGTTACTAATGAGTATAATGGAAAAGGTCGAATGGAAGGACTCGGCATAAATGCATAGAGCTGCGCCTTTGCCTTGAGGAATACTCGTTCTACATATCTGCAGCGCTCTTATTCTGACGTCCAGAACCGAAAGTTGTGAATATTTCCAATAACAAGCGCTCTTTGCACTGTGCAGAACCGGATCACTGCTCGCCATGTCTCTCAAATTGAGCGTCGCCTTTCGACGATACCCAATCTCTGAGATGTGCCTGTGTTAAGCCGAGACCTTAGCATTTAATAGCTTCAGTATGTTTCCGAATATCCATCTTTGGTTTCAACAGACGAAATGGACATTGAAAGAGCGCAATATGCATACAGTGTGTGAGTCGGTAAAGTTAACATTATTCCTCTAGTATCCCGTCCCTACTCCCTTGATGCGAACACGAGGAACCGGAATGCTCATCTCCCAGAATCTCGGTCTCCACGGTTCGTGATGTATTCTCTCTGCGCCAAACAACTCTGAGAGGATCGCTTTTTCCCTAGATATGCGTGGATATCTTCGTCGCTTACTAAGAGAATCCATCCATTCTCTGGTAACATCTAACATCCGTGTCGACTGGTCTTCACGGTCAAGTGCCATCTGGATCATGAGATCGCGACAGCTACAGGTGACTCACACGTCTGAAAAGCCCACATGCTGCTAGCGGCTGCTAGACCCATTTTTTCCGGGTTTACATGAACCACACAGCGTTAACGCCATACAAAGTGACATCGAATCCTCTTTTGGACAAGAGTCCGCTAGTGCTTGATTCCTGCTCAAAACGACTAGGCTTGGAGAAGGTCGATCGACGTCTTAATACCTCTTGGTACGTAAGTTTTATCGGTTGCAACTCGGATCGATGTCTGATAACTATATATAATGCCTCACCGCAGAATGTGCAGACCTGGAAGAAGGCTGTCACGGTCAAGTAATCTTTCGCTTAGTGTAGAAGGCAGTCACCCTCCTGAGGATGCGCCCTGACGTCGGCGATCCCGAAGTCCCGGATTGTCTATTGTCTCGATGCGCAGGATACCGACAGCGATATCAGTCATGAATGGCTCCAAGGGTGGCATATAACTCGAGTCTAAGATGACATGACTGACATTACGGCAGTCTTATGACTTGACCTATGACTCTCTGAAGGCACTCCTCGCAACATCGAAGAAGACAGTATACTTAGAAGATGTAAAGAAGGCAAGTCGATAGCGTCTTCGGACACTCCCCATACTCAAAACATCCCCGCTTCGAGGTTAATGCTCACAGTTTTCCAATCTCAAGTTTGTCATCTGGAATGGAATGTCTGGAAGTGCCTCATTATGACATCCGAAGACTCATCTCGCGACCCTGTGTTCCATTACACCTCGAAGCTGATTTGTATATGCTCTTCCCGAGATTGTCTACCTTCCCCTTTCTTCTTCCGAGCAGTATGGCAGATTTGCAAAACATGCCACAACATTAGCTGGGGATATAAAGAACGTGAATGAGCCGTCAAAGTATCCCCATCAACTATTCGTACTAACACTTCGTGAGCTGTCCCATCTATTATCCAGAGCATCATAAACTGACTCTTGCGTTCGCCTAGCTCGAATCAACCCTTCGCAGAGTTCACGTCCTTTTCTTTTTCTTACCTGAATCTTCAGACAATCATGTCAAATTCGGTACGTACCTTCGTCCTTGCTTGTCATTGGCGGGATGTGAACATTTCGACTACAGAACCTCAAGGACTCAGATGGAAACGCTATTTTCGAGGGGCATTGGTATAAAATCATGCTTTCAGATGGCACCGAGCTTGGGTTTGGTCCATTGGTCAATAGCAGGCTATCTTGTGGGCCGAACCCCCCTGGTCAGGGTATGGTCTTCCGATACTTCCGTGACAAGAAGGACAACACGTCTGGTCTGCATGGGTGGCCGGCCGGAGATGTTGGCTACTTCAAGGGACTTGGTATGGGTACCGATGGCAAAGAGTACCGACGGTACCTGAGTCTGTCGAATGGCGTGCCACCGGTTCTAGCTTGGTTCGATACGAATGATTCGTACGGATTCACAGCCATTCAGTTGCCAGAGAACCGGATCGCCCTGTTTGCTAAGGATCAGACTGGGGAAACGGTCGGTTTGAGGGGAGGGACGCACAGCGTAAGCAAGGAGGCTGCTGCATTCTTCGGTCAGCGCAGCCAATTCCCTATTTGCCTTGATTGCACCTTCGTTTCCATTCCCATCATAAACAAGAACATCGGTCCTTACTTTTGACATGCCATAGGAGATTGACTGCAATGACTTTGAATCTTGTATGCTAGTAACAGCGTTGGAATGTATCATCACGTTATGGAGGGGACCTTAGGTGTACGGGAATGATTATAGCAGTTTTTAGAACTTCAGAAATTTTAATCAAGTTGCCGAGCAGTTCAAGTAATCATTTTGAACATTCTCTCGGCATACAACGTCCTAACAAGGCCAAATAGCTTAGACCGTCACTGTAAGTATAACGCCAGAACCTGGAAACGGAACCGTAGAAATTGCTTCTGACGACGTGATCTCGAACTGGCGAAATCATTGCTTGGAGAGTCGCCGTATCCGGGAGCTTTCGTTGAACAAGTACCTATAAAATCATGCTCAGATCAGTTTAGATTTATTCAATCGCGTTTGAATGATTTATCTTCCATCACGTTAAAGGTAGAACTACTAACATCTATGCGCTCTCGGTCCACATAAGTGGAAGGATCGTTGGATATTTGAGCATCGGCGATCCTTCATGCCTGTTCAATACTTATCCCGTTTTCAAATAACGATTTTCAAACCGTGAAGGGAATACAGTATTTGGTATCTCTTCTGAGAATTCAATCGAAGAAATTGTCCCGTCTACTGCGAAGGGTATTCTCCGGAGAAAGGTCAATTTGGATAGTCTCAGCGACTAATCAGCGAGCGGCGAGTTTAGCACAACAAAATCGATTTTCCCCATACGTATCAACTCATTCTCTGAGGTGCTGACATTACAGATATTCACGAAACCATAGGCTACATTTTATAAATGGCACGTATACCCGTTCAATCTGTAAACATTGATTGCACCTCTCCGGAGCAGTATGTAGAGCAAAAGTATTTCCACCGTCTTTGCCGTCCTATCCCTTCGAAAGCTCGCGCGCCGCACGTCTAGCTATGGCGGCCTCTGATTCCGCAAAGCGCAGAAAATTTGTCAATGAGGCCATAGTCGGAAGGCGTCGGCGATCCTTTGGACAGTGAGGCCTGAATTGCCTCGGAAATCAAGGGTAACACGGTGTCCCTGCTGGATGTGCGCCACCCAGTCGTGCTCAATAGCATTTATGCGATCGGCAGCTTCTTTGTCCCCAAACGTTACCTGGGCCGGAAAGTCCCACTGACAATATTCATATTGGTATGGCATAGAGAACTGGGCATGAGGCCAAATGTCAGGTAAATCTTGACTCGAGCCTTGTCCCGCATTCTGGAGGAATCGACCATGTTGAGAAAACATGTCACCCACGGCTTCGACGAGGTCGAGAATACGCGATCGCATGAACTGCGAACGGAATTCATGGAAAATAAGCGTCGAAAACGCACCGCAAGCAAAATAATGGCATTGTTTCTGTGTTCTGAAAGAGTCGCAGAACCTGTTGTACTCGATGTCATCGCCGTGAAAGATCATACGTCGAAACATGAGCGTTCGAACACGATAGAGCAATGGCAACGTATCAGAACGTGAAGACTCGGACATGTAACTTGTCAATAAGTCGGGCAGCATGTTGAAAATGGATCCAGCGAGGCACAGAAGACGGATGGGGTGAGACGACGAGCATCTCAAAAGAAGGCTGGTCACTAGTTGCTGGCTTTCTAGATCTCGGTAAGAGTGTCTTGATTCAGCAAGCGACGCCAATCGACTTCCTACGTGTAAGTCCTGGACACCGTCAAGAGGGGCATTAAGCAGGGTATCTCGTGCGACATGGATTTCCGGAAAGGTTGTAATGCCATAAATGAAATCTTGGATCTCAAAACGCATGATGAAAGCAGGATTGGATGGCTTGTTGCCGACCAAACTTTCATAGAGTGTTGAATCCTCTTTGTAGCCCTCGATAGTAAGGACTCGGTATCTATGTGACGTGACGCTGAACTCGACAGTCAAACCAGTCAGAGGTGGCGTATCCATTGGCAGGGATTTCTCAAGGACGCAGGAAATGACTTTCTTCGTCCCTTCGTACAATGCGGAGTTTTCCATCATGTTATTGAATATGATGCTAGCACTAGGAGGGAAGACGAGCTGACGCATGAAAGCATCAAATGTATCCGGGTCACAATCCAATATAATGAACTGTTGTAGATTGGGGAGATGGATGTTGTTGGCAGGATGGACGATCGATTCCGAAGCGTGATCGGGTGCAGCTAGTTCCAACATCCTGTTCAGAACAAGTTTCTTCAATCTGGGAAGCTGTGCCAGAGTCCGTAACGCATCATCCAAAGTTGGAACCATACTTTGATGATGATCGTTAACCAAAATCAAACTGGTCAGTTCCGTACGGAGACAAGGCATAACCCATTGCAAAGTGAACGTCCGAAAGTCCACGCGTCTCAACAATGGATAATGAGCATTCGTAACGGCTGGAGGTAACATCCTTGAATGAAAGGTCCTTGGCTGGGTTGGGTCCGATATACTGAGGTGTTTCAGAACGGGAAATGCGAGCCCTCCTACAAGGAACTTTTCCAGCGCATGCTCAAGGTGTTGTCCTGGCAGATTCAGGTTCAACTCCTGTAAGCGATTGAATTGCGAGAAGACCAAGGCCAGAGACGATAAGATTTGAGATGGAAGGAAACTGAACTTGCGAGGAGGGAGGTAAGTGTGGTATGGAGTGGGAATGAATCCTTGAGGCTGCCTTCCGGTTGTAACCGTTAGCGGATATTGCCCAGAACGCTTTATGAACTCCGACACCCAAGTTGGTGATCCTAACTGAATATGGCTCCAAAGCTGAGGTGCACCCATAGCTATAGCCCGCCAGCTATGACAAACGTGAGCGACATGAATCCAGTCGCAGGGACCTTTCGGCTCTTCGTGTATCTCAAATGGGGAGACGAAGCAGTTTTTCCAACGACCGTCGTTGATATACGTCCGCGGCGACTCCACGTAGTATTCGAAAATGACCAACAACAATTCTGGAAGAAGTTTGGCGACTGGCAGCAACTCGTTCCTTCGGCGACATTTCTCGCGATATGCATAGACTTCTCGATCGAGCGATTCTCGGAGTCTGAGGACGTCTTCATCCATGAAGTCAAGCTCGGTCTTTAGCGAGATCGGCCCCGCCTCGTCTGTAAGAACAGATGAGTGCGTTCTTTAGCAAAAAATGCATCCACATACGTATGATAATCTCCATTGTTCAGATATTCGGGTCAGTGAGAAGAGGAACGTTGTGAACAGGGCAGTTTGAGTCTTGGCTTTGGGCTGTTCGCACGTGTCGAATGGATCACTTTCACTCGGACTTTTACGTATTAATCCACGAATGTTGAGCAGGACCAGCCAGCGTGCACACATCCATCGGAAATGAAATGTTCACACGGGTGGGCACTGAGTGAATGATAGTACAGTTGTGATATAACTCGTCAGAATAAATTAAAATATGGATAAGGATAGAAGTCCACACTGCAGCCGAAGGGCATAATGGGGGGCCTATAGCATCCCAATATTCTTGATACCTAAATCTCGTGCAACGATACAGCGATGTTTGTCCCTGCCGGATGATGTCTCGAACGCTTTCACGAGAGATTTCTGACCATCATCGATCCTGGAAAAGGGTTTTTCTAAGAAGTATGGACTCTGCCTCGTAGCGTATTAGTAACGTACCATTCGACATCATGTCCGCTCTTTTCAAGAGCAACCTTGATTGTCGTCCATGAAAAGCGCACTAGAGAAGGGAACCCAAACGTGGGATCCAGAGAGTTCCTGATCCATGCTTGCGTTTTTGGGTCTAAATTGTATGACCAATCACGTCAAGATCTACGGCGTCTCAAGCACGGAAGAACACACCAGAAGGGTATCCACTACCAAGTTCATCACCCCATGTCTGCACTGGCACTGCGCGCCCGGATTCACCGTTCGAATGTGTCTCTTCAAATATCCAGCCTTCGACCCAAGCATCTCGAGTAACCTTCGCAGCAACACTGGCCGCACCGACGATCTTATGTTTTGAGTCTGCCTTAGCTTCAACAGTAAAATTGATACCCGGAAATTGCGAAGAGAGGTATGCCTGGTATGTTTTGATGGGACCTAAAGCATCCACATAGACCTAATCAAGGAGAGTAACTATGAATGCCGGGCAAAGAGAGGCAGGAATGAACCTCAGATAATTGAATCCCGCTCTGGATGACTTCACGAATCAGAAGGACAGTAGCCTCTTCGGCTTGACGGTTGAGATTTGTTGGAGGCTTGCGAAGCATACCACTGGAGATGGCTTGCGGACTATAAAAGGTCTCGTCGTATAACAAGCGCACATATTCATGGGGCACTTCTTACCATAGAATGCGAACAGACCATGCAAGATTAGCAGGATCTGAACATAGTGTACGCAGTAACGAAGATCTGGTGCTGGAATTTAATGTTTTCGAGTCTTATGATTGAACGCGTGAGAAAGCATCACTCCAATGCGAAGACAGATGTACCTGCAAAACCAAGGTTTTCGAGGTCCTCTCGATAGGCTGCAGGACAATACGCGACGCCGTAGACCATTGGTCCTAGAACAGGCCCTCTGCCTGCTTCATCTACACCCAGGATATACGGACCAGAGGTGCTTGGTGTGGGAGAATGATATGTATACGAGGCGACGAGCGGACAGGTAGGATCTGGGATAGATGGTACTGATTCCTCGGTAGTTTCTGAAGATTTTGAAGACATCCTTTGATCCGTATGCCTACAAACAGCTTGTGAGTCCTGCCTTTCCATTAGTTGTAAATGAAACTTACAATGTCGGTGAAGAGAGAAGGGTGGTGTACGCGTGGGTGAAGGGCGCGACGCGTTATTTGCGGATGTTTGATTAAGCGCCCAAATAACATCAAAAACTTTTCATGCGCTCTTCGATGGATTGTAGACAACGAGAGGGTTTGAAGGCATATCAGACTAGTTCACTGGGAGGACACCACTACTCTGGTTGCGAAAAACAAAAATGTAGATCTAACTATGAATAAGTGTTGCCTATGCATGAAACTCCATTCTCCGTGGTATCAAAGCGTGAACAGAGCGATTAAGATGGCTTATTGCTCGGCACCACCACATAAAGAAAAATGCATCAATCGACACCCTAAAGTCAAGCATAACGCCGACAAGGATGCAGGGATGTCGTGGTGGTTGCAACGGTGGAAGAAGAGGCTTCTCGTGCTGGCTTTATACGGAGGTGCCAGCGGACTGCGAAACTCGCGCTAGATGCCGATTATCCGGGTTTGGCAAGTGTTAGCGAACGTTGCCAGCTATTCTGAGCGAGTGAGGAACTGCCACGACGGCGCTGTTTGTCGGGAACGAACACTTGATATTGTTGGCAGGCCAGGTGATACGGTATACAGGGACCGCCATGAGCATCGTTGATGATGTCTTGGAATGGCTGCGTACAACGGTTTTGCCTTATCGATCACCTGCTCTGAAGAACATGCGTCGAGGGCCCAATATGAGTCCAACAGGGCCAAATCCACTCATGGTTTGTGGTTTTCTTTTTAGTATGGTTGTGTTGAGTTAATGTAGCACGTATAGCTGCAATTCTTTACCTGGGATAGTAAACATCCCAACATGAGCTGGTGGAAGCACTTCGAGAACGAAACCGGGAGTCTTTCTGAGCTGGGTTTCACCCAAGTCTGGCTACCTCCTCCTAACAAAGCAATGGTTCCCGTGAGGACAGCAGCGTAAGGTCGTTATCATGGATATACTCACCTACTCTCTAGCAAGGACAAGGCTATGACGCGTATGACTTGGTATGTCAATTACACAGTCGTGTTGCGCACAATCTCATCAGAAGCAGTGGGATCTAGGCGAGTTCAACCAGAAGGGAACTATTGCGACCCGCTGGGGAACCAAGGAAGAACTGGTGCAGGCGGCAGCGGCAGCACGAGCGCACGGAATCGATATCATCATCGACGCTGTATTAAACGTACGGATTCCATTTGAGACTGCCAATCGCTTACAGCTGAGACGGAGAAACTTATCAGCACAAGCTTGGTGGGGACAGAACTGAGGTTTTCCAAGCTATTCCCGTCGATCCCCACCACAGATTACGTGATATAGGTCCTCCTCAAGAAGTCGAGGTCAGTCTTCATATACTATCAAAGGGCCAGATCAGTTCGCCTAGGATCATCAATTTTTTATCTTTTGTGACAACATGTAACTGGAAGAAGTACAGTTCATCCAAGCTGGTTGATACTGTTGGTCACAAAAATTCACCCGTATTGGCCACTTATCAGGGCACATTCGAAACGACCTGCCGATCTCTCACCGTTCAGAGTTGGAGCCAGTGGCCACATTTTCCTGCGTGGTAGAGCACAGTTTTCGAGTTCATTCCGAGGCACTGATGGCGAATACGCCTTATGAAGCCATTATTTGTTGAATCTTTGTCAAATGATCTGGCCCCTAAGTCTAGAAATTACGAAGGCTCACGTTTGTGCAGGGATGGACTGCCTTCGACTTCCCGGGAAGATCTGCAAAGGTAGCTAACGATCGAGCATTGTGCACAACAGTTGAAATACTCACGGTCATACAGTACAGCGAGATGAAATGGAGAGAAGAGCACTTCTCCGGATTAGACTGGGACCACGGAACCAAAACCAAGGGCGTATTCCGCATTGTCGGTGGAAAACACAAGGGTTGGTCCAAATGGGTAGACAGGGAGTTGGGAAACTATGATTACTTACTTGGAATCGATGTGGGTGTTGCAGTCTTCATTTTGACAACCCGTCGCTTATGACTCCACAGATTGATCATCGGCATCCAGAGGTGCGGAAAGACCTGTTAGCGTGGGGCGCATGGGTTCTCCAGGTATGCAATTCAGCGAGCATCTGGCCCAACAACGGTTCACTGAATGGATTACAGACTACGGGTGCGATGGGGTTCCGATTGGATGCGATCAAGCACATGGATCGAAGGTTCCTTCTCGACTTTGTGAGTATATTTGATATACCCGATATACCCTCCCTCACAGACCGTCATCTGACGCCATTTCTTTCAGATCAAACACGCTCGAAAGGTGGATGGTAGGCAGGATCTGTTCGCAGTGGTGGAATACTGGTCGGCGAAGTAAGTTGTCGTCAGCGGCATGGTCTTTCCCAGCTTCTACTCACGTTTACATGCTAGTGTCGAACTCATCAAGCCGTACATACGGGCCTTTGAAGGTCTAGTACGTAATCTGCGACTCCTGACTAGATCTATCCAGAGCAGACGTTTCTGATATCCGTTTCCTTTTCAGACGACGTTCTTTGACGTCCCACTGCATCATAATTTCCACGAGGCTAGCAAAGCAGGGTCTCAGTATGACCTACGGACAATTTTGGATAAGTCTGTGCTCAAGTTCCGACCAGGTGATGCGGTCACCTTTGTTGATAACCATGAGTGAGTGCCATCCTTTCCACATGTAGATGAGAAACTAAAGTATTTTTCCAGTACGGTACGCTCTATCCCATAGTCGTTACATCCTGTGCGAATGCTCATTTCGAGGTAGCAAATCGGACAAACTTTGGAAAGCTGGGTATGTGCCCTAATTCCTGCCAGACCGGCATAGCTTGACGAGTTTGTGTTAGGTCGGAAATAACTTTAAACTCCAAGCGTATGCCTTGATCCTTCTTCGTCAGGAAGGACATCCGTGAGTACCCTCAATTGCTCTGCTGACCATTTTAACCAAGCATTGCACCCACGTTCGGCAGTTGTGTCTTTTACGGTGACCTCTATCCGAACAAGGAATGCTACGATGAGAAGATAGCTGCGGGGCTCAAACAGCTGATTCTGGCACGGAAGAACTTCGCTTACGGCACTCAAAGAGACTACTTCCTAGAGAAGAATTATATCGGCTTCGTGCGAGAAGGTAGCGACCATTCTAATGGACGTGGATGCGCGGTTGTAATAAGCATTGACGATGACGCAACAGGGTGAGTTCGGTATACCCGAGAACTGCATAGATGCCTGGGTTCAGTTTACGCTTATACGGTTATTTTGGAGCAGGGATGATCCTGTGTATACGCTTCGCATGAACGTCGGAAAGGTGGGTGCCTTGGTACCGCCCGTAAAACTCTATTGGTTTTCAACTGACGTCTTGTCTTACACTTGCAGGCGAATGGAGGCAAAAGGTACCGAGCTTGGCTTGATCCTGATTCTTCACAAGAGGTGGAGACGGCCGCCGATGGATGGGGACTTTTCACATGTCCTCAAGGAGGGTTGGAAGTATGGATCCAAGTTTAGAGCCGTATTTCGCAGTGTATGCCCCAGAGTGTTCATGCTTCATTTCATTTTAGCTTTTACAGTTACTTACATCACGTATTAATTCAATTTGTCATGCCCAACAAGATAACAGTGGTGGGAAAACTATAATACATCACTATCCGACGTGTTCACTCGATACAATTGCCTATGTTCGGTCGTGTAGTCTTTGGTTTTTCCATATGCCGCGTACACAGATGGCCCTGCATGACTGCGCAACTCCATGAAATCTCGAGGGGTCACATTCTTCTCGTTTTCGTTTTCCGAGTCTCCTAATCGTACGGTAGTTCTCGCCGCCATAGTTGTTGTTGCTGCTTCGCCACCCATTTGAACGAGATCCTGTGGTTGCTGTTCGCCATCAAACAATGCTGCTGTTTCCTCCAGCGTCCGTCCCCGGGTCTCGACAATAAATGTGACAATAAACACAAGCTCAATGATGAGCCATCCGCAATATACAAGGTACTGCGCGATGCATGTCAAACAAACTTTGGAGAAAGGCACTTTATGACACATACGTATTTCCAACCAATGGCGTCCAATGCCCATGGATTTACAAATTGATTAAATGCCAGCGTGAGCGATACGACGAAGTTCTAATTCAGGCGTCAGACAGCGCTTCAAATAAACGAATTCCGAAACCTACCATGACCGCGAAGCCCTTAGCACGGATGTTGAAGGGAAGGATTTCGAGCGTGTACGCGATCAGCATGGGTGTATATGCAATATCATAGAAGAAATAGAAGATAAAGACAAATGGTACAGTTGCTGTTTTAAGGTTTAGCATGGTCCTTCGGCAACCAATTTGTTCCACGTACCTTTCGCTGCGGATGCGATGCCTAAGGTATTGTAAAGAGCTGTTGTGATGGTCCATGCCCCGAAGTCTGCCGTGACAACCTTAGAATACGACCGACACGATCAAAATAATGCGTTCCCTACCAATTAGCATGCCAACGTTGGAGATTATAAAGAGCGTTCTTCGACCAAGACGATCCACGAGCAGGGCACCAGTCATTGCAGCCAATAGATTCCACACTTGAAGTCCACCGTTGATTGCTGCTTTGGTGCCTGTATCAGATATACCAACTCCCTCGAGTACGAGGTTGATGTAGTATGAAACCAAGCCATTGCCACTGAGCCGCACTTCAATCAAGGACTTAGGAATTTTAGATCCTTTCAGTGTACATACCTCCATTGTGAAAAAATCGCGAGCGCGATTATAATGGTCATCCGTCGACGGTTGCCAGGGGTAGAATACAAGGAAGACCATGAAGAAGACTTCGCAACTTCTTTCTCTAACTTGAGCGCGTATCGGATTTGGGCCATCTCAAACACGACGAGCGGGTCACGCTCATCGCCGCTATTAGCGTGGTATCGAGCAAGAATACGCGACGCTTCGGATTCCTGGACAAAACCATCACTGAGTATGGGTGGAAACAAGAACGGCAAAATCTTAGACATACCCGCCCCCTCGCCACGAGGAAACGAGGACTCTCAGGGACGAACCTGTACTGTATAATCAGGAGCGGAAAGGGTGCGACGAGCACTCTATAGACGAACCAGATTAAGCAAATCTGAAGTATAGGTCCTATTGCTTGAACTAGCGTTGGGATGCGCCAGGACCATATTGACCCTCCTGCTGCCCGAAACGCAGCATAGCATATCCAAGCTGCTGAAGAATGACATCATCTCAGAACTCGTGATATATAGAGCTTATCGGGCGAAAATGGCTGACCGACAATACTACCGAAGTACCATGATGAATTATACATGGAAGTCAGTTTTCCACGCTGAACCGAGGGAGATATGAAATGTCAACTTGGTCAACGTGGTAGCAATTAATTTATACCTGTGTGGGATAGGCCAGCTCCGTGATGAGCAATGGCGCAGCGTTAAGCGCGAAAGAGAGACCAAATCCGACTAGTGGAGTGAGAAGAGTGATTGCGAACTATCAGGACCGCATGAAACAAAGATATCGACTTTGGGAGATGTACGCACTGATACATCTTGAGCCAATGAACATGCCAATAGATGTTGAAGCTGACTGTACAGCGACTCCTGCCAACATGAATAGTGAACCGATGAAAAGCGTCGGTCTCCTCCCCAAATTGTCTGAACATATTGGGGTGAAGGGGAGGCCCTGCGTAGATCTTCAGAGTGCGGAACACACACAAAAAATAGTCGCAGTTCTTACCACGATCGATCCAATGACTTGTGCAGCGCTGAGCAGTCCTGTGGAATGATTCATAAATAGTACCACGGCGTGTAAATTATGTAAAGAACGCATACCCAAAGTCTTCCCGTCAGGTTCGTGAAAGTATATTTGCCAATCTGGAAGAATTTGTAGACCTGCGAACAGTAAGCTTGAGGAGTATTTCTCTTCACACGATAGACAACATGCCGTTAACCAGCGACGAGTCCAGCCCATTGATACATGACGTTAGCAGAGGGAGGCACAACCACAGGTTCAATAACCGGATACCTAATTTCGTATCATTACAAAGTAGAGAAATAAGAGACGTCGGTTGCCCTACCACGATTTTGCCACCATGGACCTCTGTGGATGAAGTCGACAATCGTCCATTCCGGATAAGCCATTAGTGTGGGGGAGCCAGAACTAATCTAGTCCGCGGGTAGAGGAACGACTTTTGAGGTCAACTTCGTAAAGGGACATGCGCGTTGCTACGGGAAGATTGATAGCTGTTATATGTACCTGTTCCACGGCTTTACATAGAGTTGACGATATAGCGACCGTGTGTCCAGCTTGGCCGGCACAGAACCATCGGAAGAGGTCACGTTTCAGGATAATTTCTGGGGTAATGCGGGGTAAGCGAAGGCGCAATTGGTCTTTCTGCCAATCACACGCGGTGGTCCGCGTTGAATACCAGCGGAAAAAGACCGGTGAACGTCTCACGAGCTGAACTGGGTGTACTTCTGGAAAACGGGGAATCTTCGCTCAAACACAGCACAGACACCACAAACAATCCCTCAGTGAGAAAACGTACAGCAAAGATCGCAAGCTTGATGCTCCAAATCCAAGTCCAAAAAATGCCATCCTGAGATGAGTCTACGGGACCAAGTTAAAATGTTGGACCCAACCGCACATTTGGGAAGCCAGGTACTCAACACGACGTAATTCCACTAATCGTCGTCCAAAGTCCATGAACAACGCCCAGCTTGCACTGCAGTGTACCTGAAAGATGGTTGCTGGGCAGAAAGGACGATGATTGAGAGCTTGAGAAAGAATAACTCCAAAAGCCTTGGAGTTGCACGCCACATTTATGTAACGATGCATTCCAAGAATTTTATGTTATTCGCTCGTTTGATGAACCGTATACCGTATGATACGAGGAGAGTCACTCCAGGTCACTTGAGCTGCAGAAGTGAATCGATGAGGACGACAAGAGATTCTTCTTCTGTGCGAGAGATCCAGAATATTTCATGGTCGATATCCTTCGCCTCAGTACAGTAGTTCGGAATATTTCGCAATAGCCGGATGCAAAATATGCCGCAATATCCAGATCCCCGTGATGAAGAGCAATCCTTTGACGGATTGAAGTTGGTGGTTCCTGGTCAGGTTGATTTCAGACCATGGTGCCGAGTAAACGTCAGACAGAGATATCCTGAGGCACGAAGGTTTGCGACGTGCGTCTCTGTCTACTCTGCCTTAGGGAGACTACGAGTAAACGAGTTTTGATGCGATCGCGTCAAAGACCGAGCAAGTTCAATCATGAGCAGAAAGTTGCAATCTACCAGACCTAAAGCTGAAGCACGGTGTTTTGTGACTTTTGATATGGTAATGTGGGCAAATATACTCTACGTTGTGCTTATCCATTGTGTTTTTGACGACCTTTTATTCTAGGTATCCGAGCCATTCCTGTGTGACATTCTAAGTCTCGCATTAGTCTCGCATCACACGACCAAAATGCCTTCGCTTCCGGCCCTTCTTTACCAGCCTTCACCTTCATATGATCACCTCCGCCCCGTCTCTGCGCGTCACACCACATGGGTCAGAATCAAGTACACTTGCTTTTACTAGCTTTACGGCGGCCACCTTCTGTCTATGTTTGGATTTCAGCAACCGCGCTCATCCTCTTACGCTATCCCTTTCAGACAACCATCTTCAGACAAGGTCATGGAGGTTGTGCGTTCATATAATAGTACCTGTACATGTGTACCAATGAACGCTATGGCTATTCCAGTACGACGTCCATCAACGTCTATCAGATCGCGTATAGAGTGGTCTACCCGAAGGACTGGAGAGAAGAATTTGAGGACTCCCTGAGAGACGAAACCACGAGACACTGACTCCGGGACGGTGCGAATCGTTTCGGTCTCTTCACCGTCAGTGTATACCGACACTGTCTTCATATAATACTGAAAACTGCCGATAGATGGCCCTACCGTGATGCATCAGGGCTTCCCTTCTGTCCACTCTGTCTTAGCGGGGCTAATGCAACATCATTTCATTTCTCTTCGTATACCACGTCACAGTGCAACGCTTCTTCGTCGATCATGATCGCGGTGAGTGGTTTGTGACTTAGTATTACGACCTAAACAGTCCCTGATGTGCTGAATGTATGGACAACTTCGTTATATATAGATGCCCATATTGACTCGGGCAGCCCAGTATTCAAGCTCAAGCTCACGCCCGAGTACCAAAAGTCATCGCAGATCATCAACTCACGCTATGCATTAGCAGGTAAAACACTCCTTCACGAAGTTCTCGGGCCACTCCAGCTTTCCAGCTCATGGGATGACTGTAATGTAAATGACTCCCAAGGTCTCCTAAGGAATTCCTCCTTGAGAGAGCGGGAAGAGGGGAAGAGGCTTCAGCTACGCACGCAACAACTAGGCTGGGATCCCGGCCGACTTATACTATTCCACAGCCCCACAGCTCCACCTTCGAAATTCTGGTGTCCTGAGAGTCCGTACATACGCCGCTATCCTCAAGGCTCTCAGGACAATTTCCCGTGCCTTCTCACGCACAGGGTCACTCTTCAAGGTTAAAAGCTTCCTTGCCAGTGCACATACCTGAGAATAGCTCTCACATCATAAACGTCGCTTTTCACCCTTTTCGGCGCACACATTCTTGACAAATGTACACTCTTATATGAATAGGGATAAACAACGATACATGACTAACTCTACTATGGATATATTTAACGTCAACGATACATCTATGCATCTTTTTCCCTGCGTGAGTATAGGATATGACTTCAGACCCTCCAGCGACCCGCACGAAATCACTCAGTGTGAAAGACCAAGCAAACACCGTCATCACCCGCACTAATGACAGTGTCCCCACCGGCACCGAAAGCAGCACCCAATACGGGTCCCTGATGGCCTTTATGTTCCCTAATAAGAGTTCCAGTACGCGCGTCCCAAGTGCGAAGAGTATTGTCCGCCGAAGCGGACAGGAGGAGGTAGGATTTTGGTGGTGGGTGGCTGAGAAGATTTGTGACGGCGTCCTAGAGCGGCACGAAGGTTAACTCCAGATTCGAAACAAAGTCAAACATGATTCATGCACTCACTTCATGCTCAAGCGTCGCCCGCAAACGCATCGTACTCAAATCCCAAATGCACGCTTTGCCATCTGTACCACCCGTCACAACCACCCCTCCCGTCCCTACCTGTCCCATCCCCGCAAGGTCGACAAACACAACACTCTCCACGCTCTCACCCTCCTTATGCCCCGCAAGCGCAGCCACAACTTCACCTTTACTCAGACTCACTACCCTGACGCCCCCGTTCACACCCCCAACGACTGCAAGGGTCGATGCAGGGTTGATCGCTAATGAAGTGATGCCTTCGACGTCGAATCGGGCGTCGGTGGATGTGAGTTTGAAGATGGGCGCGGGTGAACGAGGGTCCCAGTAGATGAGATTACCGTCGGCGTCGGCGGTGACGATGCGTTTGCCGTCTGGGGTCCAGTCGCCGCATTGTACGGCAGAAGTGTGACCGGCAAATACTTGCATGGTGTTTCCAGAAGGGACTATGCATGTAGTGAGTTAACGTCAAAAGCGTAAGCAAATAAACCAGAACTAGAACGTACGTTGCCAGAGCCATACTGTAGTATCATTCGAGCCTGCAAGGAGTATAGAGCCTTTTGGATGCCACCGTAACCACTACAAAACCTAATCATTCAGTATATATAGTATTATAGAATCGTATTCACAATGGACTCTCACCGTAACCTCATCGGGACCCTGCAACTCGGTCAAGAACTCCCAAGTCTTCCAATTCTCCTTCCCCACTCTCCTCCATATCCTAACCTTCCCATCCATACCGCCCGTCGAGATCAACTCTCCATCACTGCTAAACGCAGTACTAGTCACACTATCCGTATGTCCCGTCAACTTCACCACCGCCTCTCCAGTCGTGTAATCCCAAATATATCCAAGATCATCTTCACCTCCGGATGCTGCTAAAGTCGCAGAAGGATGTGTGGAAATGGCGAATACGGATCCGTTGTGATTAGGAAAGTGTTGGAAGGAATTGTCTTCGTAGACTATATCTTCTTCAGGTGGGCGCGAACCGTCAAACCCGTCTTGATCGCCGGTCTCGTCTTCGTCCATAGGGTGGTCACCATCATCTCCGAATTCGATGTAGACATCGTTAGGGTCGATGAATTCGTCTCCGCCCTCGAGGATTTCTTCGATTTGGTCCTCTTCGAATCGCTCGCCTGCCATTTCGCTTGGGTCAGTCGGGGATCTGAAAAGAATATGTGGTTTTTGGGGGCCCGTAAGAGCCTCAATGAGAGGTTTATATGTCAGACGGTGAGAAATGGATGAGTAAGGGCAGGTGAGGGCCTGAGTAAGACGAAAGAACAGTCCGGTTCCGAAAGTCAATTATAATTTAGCAACTTTTTCGATCGATCACTGGCTGCAATTTAGACTAAAGTCTCATGATTAGGGTAGATATACATACATAGGGTAGATTTTAGTCCGGTAAACTACTATACTATGCAATCTATTGCTTTCGTATGTAGATGAAGAGAAAATGCGATAGTAAGTCCCCATCCGGAGTCAGATGCAGTATCGACGTCACACCTTCTACTATCACAGCATTTCCCGCAAATATTATGATGGCATGAAGCTACGCAAGTAGGAAAGAAACCGTCATCAAAAGTCATGAATGTATAGATAGAACAAAGCGTTCGTCGAAAGGGGTGTGCAAGCCGAAAGCAAAGCTAAAGTACAAGCAAAAAACAACAACATGTGCAACATGAGCAATAGAAGCAAAATACGAGCAGGCCTAAGGTGAGGTATACGGCCGGGGAATTAGCTATAGTTATACAATCGTACAATATCATCCTTTCTTCGTTCGTCTTGATTGGTCTTTTTCTCCGCTAGTTTATCCCGTCCAGGAACTTGGAATCAATCATCTCCATCTCCATCGGCACCTAACCCAGTACCTCCACCCCACTCCCGATCCCATAGCGGAACCCCGGTTTGCGAATCCAGATGCTCTGGCGAGACGACCAAGGCGGGATGATTAGAGGGGAGGAGGTTCCGAGCATACTGTAATCGCTGTAGGAGTTCCGTACGTTCATTCAGCAAGGCATTCAAGTGGTCGATGGCTGAACATTAAAGCAACATGGTCAGATACTTAGACCGAGAGGTGCGAGCATGGAAGTCGTGTTATACGCACTCTTTTGCAAGACGACATTTTCGCTTCTAGGCCCTGCTCTCCCGTCCAAACCTGCCTTGTCCTGGACCTCTTCGACGGCAGCAGCTTCTGCAGCACCCTTGCCTTTCTTCTTTCTCTTCGAAGGTGCCGACTTTGAGGAAGATGATTCTGCAAGAACCCGTTCAGTACGTAAATTAAATCCACTCGACTTGAGGAAACTGACCAAGACCGTTTAAGCTCCCACTTTCCTCCAGCTTGATCGCCTCCCTAAGCGCAGGCACGGCCTCACACAACGCTTCATAGCCTCTCCGGATATTCGCCCTACGTTTCTGTTCACTCTGAATATGGTTCGCGCGTTTCTGCGAGGGACTCAGTAGTGATTGTCTTGACTGAGGTCCAGCGTGCTCGGAAGTAGGGGTTGCCGTGGATGAGGGAGGCGAGGATGATGCATTGGATGTGGAGGGTGCGAGAGTAACAATGGGTGGCGGCTTCATTTCAACATCTGCTGTGGATGGTCTCCGTCGCTTAGTAGACGTCAAGTCGGCGTCATGGTCTTGCGGGTGGGATCGTTTGGAATTGGAGAATGGTGGGATAACCGCTGGTGCTGACTGTAATGATATTGACGGCGGTCGAGTATTATTATGTGAAGGTTGTTGGTAGGAGTACGGTGCATGGTCTGGTATAGGCGGTAGGACAAACGGTGAAGGCGACGAAGGCCTATGATGTCGTAGTGAAGAATCGGATTGGGAATGCGGAAGTGGTGCGGGGAAGTGAGATGATGACCAAGGATCCTGCACTCGAGATGAAGACGTGGGTGAAGATGACGAAGGTCGGTAATCATGCGAATGGGCACCGAACCCATAAGTATATTGACGTTGTGATGATGCGGGAGGGTCTGATCCAAAACCAGGCCAGTAATTTGGCGCAGTCGCGGTCGATCTTTGGACACTCGTCACCGGCGCTCCCATGGTCGATATGCTCGTCGATGCTGAGACCCCCTCCTTTGCAGGATTATGTATATTACCGGCATTGTTCGCTCCAAACGACAATTCGGGTGCCTCAAGGCTCATGAGGTCCTTGGTAGCTTTGGCGAGAGCCTCCTTACCCCTTGGAGGCTGGAGATGTTCTGCGAGATTGGCAGAGTTGAGACCACTCCATTCGAGAACGTCGCCGACGTCGACGGAAGAGAGAAAGCCATTGAAGGCGAGAGACTCTGATGGCGAAAGTATAGAGGACATCTCAGACGTGAAATATTCCGCGATGCGGGGAACGACGAGCTTGTGATATCCGCCAGTCCCTCCATTTAGGGCAATCGGAGCTTGCCGGCTGCCTCTCCCCGCATTAAGCAGTTGTCTCTCGTGGAATATTCAGTCAACAGGGGTATAATCAATTTCATTCCAAATCATATAGCTACAAATGCTACGACACAAAAATACACGTAGTCCGTTCACTCACGTCCGCAGCCCAGTACGACGGCCCCAAAATCACCAACAACAGTAGCTGCGCCGTCACCCAACTCAACACGACGTAGAACCAGTTCTTCTCCTCTTCCAGTGTCATCACCTCTACCGCAAAGGTACTCACCGTCGTCAAACAACCGCAGTACCCATCCTCAAGGCCTTGCATCACCGCACAAGCATTCGGGCTAAGTGGATTTCTGAGTCCTTGCAGGACCTGGAACACGCCTATCATCGCCGTGCCGAACATGTTCGCAGCAAACGTACCCAGTGGGAATAATGAGAGCGCTGGGTTGAGGTATATCGACAGGAGGTAGCGCGTCAGGGTACCTGGAAAGCTGAACAACAGCGCCGCTGTCGCTTGGTGTCGGAACTTTGCAGGTAATCTAAAGTATGCAGGATATGCTGCTGCATAGATTAGAACTCCCAATATTGATACGCTATAGCGAACTATACGGCGTGGTGGGGCTACTCGGATCGGCGGTAGGATGCGTCTTCGTAGAATAGATGCGCAGTGTGATCCGAACATGACCGCGGCGAGTGATAGTGCGAGCGTAAATAAACTCTTCGTCAGGCCATCTATTACCTACGCCGAAATTCAGACAGTGCCGTGCCAGAGGGAGATGTAACACTGACATCACGCAGCCAGTCTCGTCGGCCCTGATCGACATTCAACCACGATTGGAAGACGTCCAGCTGCCACCCGGAAAACGTGGTCAACGATCCACAGAATCCGGTTGTTAATGCAGTATACAGCGGACCATAGCTACACACGATCAGCCATCACGTATTTCGAGTATCATGAAGATGGAACTCACAACTGACCAAGTGGGTCCTTGATCTCAACTCCGACACCCATAATCACACATCCCACCACCTGCACCCAAGCAAGTGGAAAGATACTCCTACCATCATACCCCACCAACGCTTGAATGCCCAACCTCGCCAAGACTCCGAATATCGACGCAGGCATCAACAAGGCAAGAACGTGAGGTGACAAGGGATGGTATATTTTTGATGCAGGGAGCTTTCCCTCGGGTGACGACGTACGTGAAGGTGGTCTGTCGATTGAAGCGAGAGAAGCTGCACTGGAGATTGAGGTATGGTGGCTGAGGGCGGAGGAAACGGATAGGCGGCGCTGGCGAAGTGCAGGGTGGTCTTGCATGCCACGATGCATGCCATGGTGGGCATTATGGCTTGCATATCTTGAAAGCGTTGGAAGAGGATTGAGGGTATCACTGGCAGAGTCTGCAGATCCTGAAGCATTATTATTATTATCGCATGTGAGCTCGACGTCGCTCATTATTGTATCCTACTTTCCAATACAACCCGAGTGAGTTTAGTATGCACTTGCCAGGATTATAGCTTTGCAAACTTACCTGGTTGGTTTGTGGGCAGCTCATTGAGCCCGACCACAGGTGTAGGGAAAAGTCAAACCGATCATTGATAGTGTTGCATATAACTCAAATCAGAGACTATATTACGGTAACTTATGGTAAATGAAACTTATTTACTGGACACCCTTGATGGATCGGTAAAATAAAAGGGTAAATAATCGACGCAATAACGCAGAACGGGAGCACTTCCGAGTCAGAGCCGCTCGTCAAAGCCGTATGCAACATTCAGCGACAAGCTCGTGTCTGAGCATGATGGACGTGATGAGCCCAATGTATCAGGGACAAGAACAACGAGTAACAATGGAAATCAATTTGCGGCGTAAGATTCAACCAATGCAAAAAGGGTCGAACCATAGGACTCCCCCGCCAATGTCAGGCAACCAATGATTCTAAGTGACCTGCATAAGGTGCTACCATCCGTACGAATTACTCTTAAGACCCTGGATGTCCACACGTAGCGTTCCAGCTCTCATCTCCCCATTTCAGCTGGGTAGCAGCGCCGTTGGAAGCAATGAAGTCATCCAACGAGCACGTCCCAAGTTTCCTGTCCATCTTTTTGCAAAGCGACAAAGGGAACGGTGATTCATTCAGCAGTAGACGCACTTGCGGGCCTCTGAATCTATAACCAGTAAAGAAACCATGTAAGTACATATCAATACTAGACACACGGCGGAACATGAAAAGAAAAAAATAACATACGACGAAGAACACGTGAATTTCTCCCATACCATTTGAGCCGCGAACGGGACTTGGCTCGAGGTTCGCCATTTGCGATTAGTGCGGATGGGCCCGTTGGCTGAGTTACGAAGCGGAGGTGAGTCCTTGACGTATCCAAGACCAGTCAAGGCCAAGTCAATGGAGGTATCATGACCAAACTCGAGGTAAATCGGGAGTGCAGTTCCCGAACCGTTCGTCAAACTGATAGACAGACAGTGACATGACCTATATGAGCGAAAACTGTCCGAACGGTTTAAAGGGGACTATAACCACTGACCGTTCAATTAGAGTGTTCACGTAGACTGCACCGAGAATAGGACCCATATCGCCCGGGAGCCCATATCCAAAGGCGCCGTTCATAAGTAAGTCTAGTTCATATTCAAAGTCCTGGATTTCACTTTGCGTGAAAGCGCTGCACCACGGCGAGATTCCATGTGCAGCAAGGTCATAAGCACATGCGAACAGAGCACCATGTGCATCGTCTGACGTGAGATTCAATCCGGGAATGACCTTATTAAGACGTTTGGCAATTGGTGGGAGGTAAAGTTGGCCCCATTCGACCGTAAGCTAAACAGGAAACAAACAGCGAGTTAGGCGACAGGGAAAAGAAAAGCAGAGAAGAATGGACGGACGTTGTTACCAAAGTTGTAGTCCCAATTTGGACATGTCCAGTCGGGTGTGATCCACGAGACTGTTTGGTTGTCTTCTGGGAGGGTTGAGAAGGCAGTCGCGTTTAGCGATGTCCATTCTCGTCCAAAATAACCTTGAGCAAACCACTGAGCCGATTCTATCACCTAAAAGGTTCACATATACGGTCAATGCGTGACCAACGCACACAGTATGGGCAGACTTACGCGATCTTGTAGACCAGCAAGGACGGTGGTTCCTTCGAACTGAGGATACTTTAAACGGAGCCTATCAGACGTAATATTTTAGTACTGAGCACAAAGAAGTAGTAGATATTGACTCACGCGACACCATGCTGAAATAATTGCGCCCTACCCGGGGCAGTTAAATCATTGACACCCAAAGTCGTAGTATAACCCTCCTTCAGGAACGCCAAATTATCTGGAAGCTTCGCCTTTTGGATTGCCGCAGAGTTGTTTGACAGCTTGGATACGAGGTTGGTGATGAACGGTAGCTCATTACTTAAAGGAAACCTTGAACCATGTCTATGCATCTACATTAGGCGTCAGGTCGTGTGACACGAATATTTGCAATCATCGAGAAGGTCATACCAACACGACCTGCTCCACCTTGCAATCTGCCGGTAAATCCGCCTTCAACCCGCTCTGCAGAGGAGCTTTATGATATGGAGACAAGTTCCCTAGGTGAGCTTCAAAGTCGAAATCCCTGCGTTCCAAAATATATCCGGACGGAGCCGCAGACACAAGCAACGGTAGTCCAAGGAGGACACCAGCGGCACCAAACAGAGCGACCATTTTGCCCGGGTATAGAGGGCGCGCAGGAACAAGAGGCCCACATGTTCAATTGCCATCTTGTGTAGTTTTATATGTACAGCACGGTGGAGAGAAATCTGTCACGAGCTTTTCATGGAGCTTTTGTTCCTCCGCAAGGAAAGAGACGCGTCGATGATGGCAGGCGGATCAGTGTTGACACAGGCTTTGGAGGCGACCCATGTGGGTTTGATAACGAGCTGAATGGATGAATAGATAGCATGATTGAGGAAGATGATTGCCACGGTTGAGGTCGGAGGTTGGTGGACAAGACCGAGGAGTATATCCCTGGAGATCGTCATGGTCGGGTACCTCGACAATGTGCAAGTCGTACCCAACCGCTGACGCCAGCATCGATCAGCGTGGCCAGGAACGGCGCCGTCTAACATAAGTACACAACCTGGTTCTTCCAGGATTTCGAGAGAAAAGACGGCCTGTGTGAATGTCAAAAAGGATGTCAGTGAGCAATACAAGATGAAGAACGACAGCAAGTATAGCGAACAGCGTTATGGCCTTATATATCCCTCCCCTTCAAACCCACTCGAAATTGGAATAGTCGTCATCTCGCATTGTATATACTGCTTGAAAAGCAATTCTATAATACGAAAGCAAGAAATGAGAGCCGAGCGTACCCGACAGCGAAGTATTAAGCTATGTACATAAAAGTCCATCAATGAGAAGACGGCAAGCAATTCGACATAGATCGCTCCCGGGAAAGCAGGCACCGCGAACTTGCAAAATATGTAAGCTGCGAGAAGGTATGATGGGATTTGAATTGAACGATGTGTAAAGAGAAGAGAAGTACTAACGAGATGGCAGCTAAGATACGGCAAAGTTTGAATGACGACGATATTGGAGGATACTAGGAGGGGAGCGACTATACAATGAGCAGTATCAAAGTTCTAAATTGCGACAGATGTTGAGATGCGAACTGGGAAAAAAAAAAGGGTGATAGGTGCCAGTCTGATATGTTAACGGTGTATAAGCTTGAGCAGAGTTTTGATTTATAGAGGATGAATCTAAAATCCGACGGGGATGGACAAGGCGGCGATGACGAGAGCGAGATGACGACCGGGATATTGAAGGTGGTGACTGAAGATGGTCGGCGTTCTGTGTGTTTTGCGGCATCCGTAAGCAGTCCGCCATCCGGTGGGCCGTCAGTCGTGAGCTAACTGGCTGACGGCGACGATCACCGTTTGGGTGCTATTGACGAGAGGGCCAACGCTTGCACAAGCTCTGACTTCCACGCTATCCTCTTCACTGCCTCAGCATAATCTACCCACTCTCTTCGCCGTTCTCCACTCTCTAACCAATCCGGATCAAGGTCGGCCACGTCGAGTTCGTAAAAATGGTACGTTGACGACGCAGAGGGGATCGTCGTGACGAAGCGAGTAATTGTTCCACGGACGCCAGCTATATAAGGGCAATAGTAGAATGCCATTTTGCGGTGTGTCATTTGCATCATGCGACATGCGAAGATGTGGCAGAGCATGGACAAGCAAAAGATGAAAGCAAGGAGAAGGCAGGGAGTTAGGTAGGGTGGACGGATGAAGGATAAAGGGTAGGACCTTCTTCCAAGGCTTCCCGTGAGGCTGCTGCTTCTAGCACCCCATCTGACGGCTCCCAACCTCCTTTAGGCACTGAGTTCGTTTGTGCACGCAAAGATAATTTGTAATTGAAGTTAGATGAAAGATAGTCAGACATGCCACGAAGAATAAGAAATAGGAGTGGCCACTCACAAACCCAACTATCCTTTCGTTTCCGACTTGTGACTAGGAGCACTTTGCCCGCCGAGCGTGCAATGGGAATTGCACAACATACCACTCTCGGCGTCGAACGGCCTTTATTGCTCATCGCAGAAGGTGTGACGTTTGCAAAAAGAGGAGAGCAAGAAACTCCAACGAGAGAGATGATGACGAAAGGCAAGAGGATGATCTGTTGCTATTGCCGAGCGCCTTGGTATTATTTGAGCTGCAGAGCACCGTGTGCAGCAGATCTAGGGGTAATGTAGAGATAGTCCAGGTAGGAGAGGACGTAACGGGAAGGAAGTTGTTGACGTGTTGGTTCCGCCGGATTAGTAGAAAACGTAGTAATCAGGTGTGTAGTCTGGCTGCGTGGTGGGGGAAAAAAGGGTCGCGTTGACGACACCAGCACGTTGAAAACAGCCAGGGAATATGCAAGGGAGAATAATGTGAGATCCTCGGGAATCAGAGCGGGCGGTTGGGGTGGTGAGGGTACTCACCAGAGCAGGAGGTGCGGATGTTTCGAGACCAGCGGAAAGGAGGCACACGACCAGGTGGTGGCGGAGAGAAAGAGAGTGCAATAAACACGGAGAACGGCTCAGGGGAGAGTTTATGAAGCAGGTCCGGGATGGATGTAAATGGCAAAAAGGGCGGAAAAGACAACGCGGAATATTCGTGGACGAGTCTGAGAACGTTCTGAGATTTTTCGGTGGCGACGGCGGTCGGAAAGAGAGGGCTTGCCGTCGTTCCGAGCCCTTAGCTTGCGCGGTTCGCTCGCTGGACGCAACAGAATATGCACATGTGGCTGAAGGGAGAGAAAGATTGGGAAGATGGCAACTCGTTCATCCAATTACTACACGCACGTTCGTCGGCCAAGCTCCCATCCATCAGCCAGACACAGGCTAGAGTCAACTGTCTCGGGACAGGAGGTCCCTCAAGGAACGCTCTCCATGTTTTCCCCGTACTTTGTTCTCCAGCATTAAATATAGGCCACTGTGTCTAGGAGGGGACCGCAATATACGTAGAAGGTATTTGCTGCATGAAATTGACGCAGGGATCAAGATCTAGAAGCATGTCTAAAAGCTTCTCTCCGCTGGAATTGTCACACCGTATGATTATGGTATATAGCTGCCATAGAGCGGACAGGAATAATGAATAACTCTACATATTCTTGACAGCATGCCGTCCCTCAAAGCGCTGCCCTGACAAGGGCATCCTGGTTTGCCCTGTAACACCCACGGCGTTACATGCCCACTAAACTTCGCATCAGCCATTAATCAACCTTCAGAGCTTATTCGTTCCAACTGCGCGGGAAAATATGAGCAAAATCAACGGACAGTGCAGAGAGCAGCAAAGCAACGCACGCCACCAGGAACATGCAAATGACTCCGAAAGCCATCGCCCCAAACTGAACAATGACAGAAATGATTAGCTGAGTGGGAAGAAACGAAAGAAGACACGGCATCCTCACTTCACGCAAGGCCTGCTTGCCGCTTTTGCTGTCCTCAAGAAGTCTAAACACCGGCCGAAAAAAATCAGATCGGCTTTATGGAACATAAAGATGGAATGATACGCACGTTGGCAACACGGCTACGGCACCAATATACATGAATCCACCTGCAACAAAAGGTATGACCTGTATTCGGGAGTTTATTCACTTTCAGAATTTCAATGGCGTTAAGAGGAAGAGCAACCAAGGACGCACCAGGTCCGCAGACTGAACGGTAGTCCCGAGTATGCCTGACGCTGCCTGCCTAATGGCGGCCGTGAGATCTGAGGCCTCGCTCGAGGCATCCCCAGAGGAAGATAAATTATGGATGCCAATGCCCATGAAGGTTCTGCACGCGGCATAAGAGCGATCGTCAGAAGAACATCAGATATCAGAGGAAACAGACTCACCCAATCTAGATACAAGTCGCCGTCATGAAAAGAACGAGCAGAGACATCCAGTTACAGTAAACCGGGAGAAGGTTCGAGTGACTCACGAACGCTCCCACAGCCGTAAGGAACTGCGACTGCATAGCTTGACGTTTCGTGAAGCCGCTTCGGACCAAGATAGAGTAATCAGCGATTTCATGAGGAATTTCGTGGGCGAAGCATGCCAGGGTGGTTGTGGCCCCAATTAGCGGCGAAGAGTAAAACGAGGCTGCCATGCTGGATGCCCATTAGAGGTTAGCTGATCAGTACCTGTAAGAGCAATGAAGAGCCGTTATGGACGACTTACGCAAGGCCGTCTGTACTTGAAATTCAGGATGTCGGGTTTAGGACCGGTGAGATGACATAGAGTTGAAGCAGAACGCACATACATGTTGTGGACGAAGTCTCCGAAGAGATTCAGGTAGGCTGATAGTTTAGAAGGGCCTTTGACCTCAATTTGTGATTCGTCACTTGAGCCTTGACCGGTAGGGTTCTGGTTGCCCTCCTCCTTGCGAGACTTCAGCCCATTGGCAGAGGGAGAAACGTGCACACCAGACGCATGACCTGCGCTTACGTCCTTTGATGTCTCTGCGTGCGAGTGAGAATGGCTGTGAGAATGCCCTCCGTCTTCTTCGCCACCACCCAGAACTCGTAATGTCTTTTCCATTATGAAGAAGGTTGCGAAGCCAACAAAAATACCCAAACTGCAGAAATAAATAACAGGTTAGCATCAATGAGGGAACGTTCGTGTACATGAAGGAAAGGCAAGCCCTACCCGATGAGTATATTTCGCTTCTCTTCAACCATCACGAAGTGAATACCGCCGTCCTGATGTTCACCCATGAATGAATGGGGAACCAGGTGGAGGAATACATCGGATAGGAGACCACCCGTCTGCAAACCATGCGGTCAGTACAATATTCTGAATGATACAAACCACTTATTCCGAAACATACAGCAAAGGCGGTCATTGTATTCAATGTATTGGGGTTAATTTGGGCCGGAATGAAGGCAAGAATAAAGTTGGGAACCCTGACGCAAATAGTTCAGGAGGCATCGGACAGACGAACGAGACTCTAACTGACGAGCTAATGTAGAACGTGCCCAATACTATACACATGTGAGCAATGTGAACCGTCAGAACGTAGGGGTCATCGCTTACTTGAGTTCCATGCTGGTCCAAATGGAAAGAGCCACGAGAAGACTTGTCGCATGATAGGTGACTGAGCATCAGCCAGCTTAGCCTTAAGAATACCGAGTTCCTTTATAGGAGCACATTTCTGGATGTCTGAGTCCTACATACATCTCAAGTATCAGTTATTGTGATAAAGGCCTTCCACCAAACCGTAATGAATGGATCCACCAACTCGGATCGCGTTTCGCACGTGTTTCTGAGGACACGAAAGGATCCCGAAGACTCACGTAGATGTTCTCAACGACTTTGTCCGTATCTTTCACCAGCCCCGTCGCCACAACCGCGCCCACAAGAAGGGAAAGCACTAAGAGATTTCGACAGCAGAAGGTGACCATGGTTCGCTGGCGGAAGGTTATGCGGGCGCCTACTTAACTTGCATGAATTGTGGACAAGGCAGCGCCTAGGTCATGAAACGCCCTGGTTAAGAATCCCCGTGGCCCTTGCATTTTTGTCTCAAAACACGATGATCGCGAGCAGTTCTACAGTGTATCCTACGATGGAAGAAGCAATTATAGTCCATGCAGCCGAAAAACTCATGATCGAGACAATGTCGCGTTACGATCCTTCGCATGACGCGTACCACGGTCGGCTAATCTTGCCTCTTCCTGATTGCTATGTCATTTATCAGTGTTCGGATGCAGTCCAACGCGTTCGCAAAACGGCTTTACAGCTTGCACGAACATATGCACCTTCTACGGAAATTTCACGGAAGCCTGACTTGCTTACGGTGGAAATTGCCGCTCTTCTCCATGATGTACTTGACAAAAAATACGTGTCAGCAGAGCAAGCAACCGATCCTTACGCGTTTTTTCTCCCATTCTTTACATCTGCAGCCAAAGCAGGCGGTGTTGACCTTATTGCAGATGGAAGGGCGCGTTCGATTACCAGAATTATAGAGAATGTCTCTTGGAGTACCGAAAAGAAACTCAGGCAAGCAGGTCTTATTGAAGACTGGCACAGAACTTGCGTTGAGCTGCATTGCGTCCAAGACGCTGACCGTCTCGACGCCATAGGTGCCTTTGGTTCGTCTGTCAAAGTCTTTGTCATAGACTGAGCGTCGCTTACCGTCCGTCAACAACAGGGATCATGCGCTGCGCGGCCTATAGCACTGTCACAAATCAGTGTGTTATTTCAGATCTTGTTTGCGTTGATTCTCATATAATAATATACATCTTAAGTCCACTTCATACACCATCTGATGATCCTGCCCATGCATCGTCCTCAATCCAACATTTTCACGATAAGCTCTTGCATATCCGAGAACAGCTTAAGACTTCTGCAGGCAAAGCATTGGCCGAAAAGCAACATCAACTAGTATGTATTCATATGACTTACTGGAAACCTGCGTATTTTCTCATGTTGTTTTCACAGATGGTGGACTTTCTGGCCGCTGTTGAGGCGGAGTACAACGTTGAAGGATGACAAGAATGTATTCATACTCTTGACTTATATTTTTGGTTACAGCTGCAAGGTACTAATATGTACACTTACATGTCAGATTTCCTCAGGTGCTGCTCTTGCCTTGCACCTCTCATTGTTGATAGCGAGAGTTCAATATATCATTCATCGTCGATGACGCCAGAGGGGACTTGCGTAATTGTAATAGATGGTTTACTTCACCACTACTGGGCCCTTATTGAGTCGGAGTCACTCAGATTAGACGATTTCTTTCATTAACTTGCGTCTTCCGCTTACTTTCAAGTTATGTCTCCTCTCTCGGTGCTCTCTAACGAGGGGCATAGTAATTATTCATGCATACGTAGTCGGTTGCTTGGCCAGAATGCAGTGGACATTGGTTGCTTGTATCACTTCTCCGTTGACGGGAGCTTCTCATTCCGCAGAACCTGTTTCCGGTCTGTATGTTTCCAGTTGTGCCGTCAACTTACCATCACCAATAACGATGTTGTCTGGTTTTTCTTCTGAAAACTAAACGAACTGTCTACCGCTTAACGATACCGCCAAGCCTCCAGTTTCGTGTGATCACTACACCTTCTACTTTCAGATGCTGGCTTGATTTATTGTAAGTTAGCCGCCAGCCACCTTTCATCTTGGCGCCTACGCCGAGCCACAGCAAAGTCCTTTGGTTTTACGGGAATTATATGGCATCTCGAACACATGCATTTCTCTAAGCTAAGGTATGTGATTCAGTCGTATCTCTATACTTCAGCCCATTTTCACTGTCAAAAGTAGCTTCGGAGCCAAATTACCACCATTTCAGTCGCGGGAATTCGATACGTACCTAGTGCCACTATGGAGCATTACGACGCAACTATACAACCACACAATCTTTCTCTGGTTGACCGTCGCCGGTTGGATGGCCTGACAGCTCCAGAGGCGGTTGTCTTGCTTGATAAGGAGGAAACGCGTATCATGCGCCACTTGCTCGCTGTGCGTGCCATCCGCAACACGCTTGCGCCTGCGATCAATCGTCTTCCGGAAGAGATTATGTCCATTATCATGTCAATCTTCAAGGAGGATACCATCGTTGATGATCTACCAAGCCCTCACTGGCAGCAAATAGCTCATGTGTGCCGCTGGTGGCGGGCTGTTGCCCTCCAGACGGCCTCTCTGTGGACATACTTAAACGCGTCGAACGTGGACGTGACCCACGCTTATTTAACCCGTTCCGGCAATGCACCCCTGCACATATCTATCTCATCATTTGTCACTACAACTACTGTTCGGGAGGTTGTCGACTTGATCGTTCCTCATTCGCGCCGAATCGTCAATTTGGATCTCTCATGGTTTTTCTTCGACACTCCAAACGAGATGGCCCGGTTGATTTCGCAGCCTTTGCCAATCTTGCGCAAGCTGAAGCTCGTCAATATGTTTCCTCCCGGCCCAGATGTTCTCTATATTATTCCTACCGTACACGAGCGGCCATCTCCAATGCAAGATCTCGAGCTCTGCATGGCATATTTCCCATGGAGCTCTACGATTTTTCGGGGACTGCGTTCATTGAAGCTGAGTTACCAATACGGCAACGATGCGACACCTCCTATGGACGCCTTCCTGGAGATTCTAAACAGCTGTCCTCAATTAGAGACTCTAGCGTTGGCCTTCGCAGGCCCAACTTTAGGGCAAGTCGCGGCTTACCCTGAACCAAGGCGAAGAATCAATCTGGGTTCAATCAAAGAGATGAAGCTTTCAGTGATGAATGGGGTGGATATCGCGCATCTCCTAGCACATATACGAATACCTAAGACTGCAAAGCTTCAGATCAAATGCAGACCAGAAGACCTCACCGGTGATTTATCCAGCATTTTTCCTCGTGATCTTAGTGGCCTCGAGTGTTTGACGTCCATGCGTGAAGCTGTGGTCATCTGTAACACCCACCTTGGCGTCCATACCATGGATAGTACGGGGAACGGCCAACGTGGCGGGATACACGTTGAACAAGAAACGTCGAAGGAGCCAAATCCGGAGTTCACTGCGGGGGATTTTCTTGTAGCGATTGCTCCCATTCTTGGGGAAATACCTCTGTCGCTTCTCACGGTAATGATAGACTCGGAGAGACCATATGAAGAAGATTGGCGAGATGTCCTTACCAGACTTCCGGACCTTGCGTCCCTCGCTTTCGGATACATCAAGCAACGAGGCGACCGGTATGTGGACGAAGACCTCTTAGGGGCCCTGACGGGCGATCAGTTGTCTCAGCCTGTCTGTCCTGGATTGGTTAATCTCAAAGTTTATACGTCGGCTTTCGATGAATCATTTAACACCGCCGTCGAAGGCTGTCTAAAATCACGCGTGCAAAGCGGAGCAACAAGACTCAACAGTCTAGAGTTTACCAGCATGAGATGGGTTGGACATGGTCAAGCAAGCTGGCCGGTTGTCGAAGAGTTTGTGGGTGTCTTTGAACACAGCCTTGAGGAAGATACGCATTAATTCATATGTTTGTTGTAAATTGTGACAATGAAACATAAATTCCACCCGGGGTCCTGAACCCTTGAGTGAGCTTGCGAGTTGGTACGATGTCGATATCCTTAGAGACATTGCTCGGGTTGCCGCATTCGTCCAAACTGCATTACATACATTTAGTGTTTACGCTTCAAGGCCAAACAGAGTCTATGATACATCAAGTCTATATTTGATGTTGAACATTTAATTAGAACAATTCTGGGATTACCTCATGAAGCTTATAACGTGGAGCGTAGATGTGAAATTGTGCGAAGCCGGCAGTGAAGCTATCCCATGCATCTCTGGCTTTACCCTCCCCCAGAATAGCCCTAACGTTCTCGTCACTCCTGATGAGTCTTTCGACAATGTCCTGCAAGGTCTCTCGAATAGTCTTTCCGTGCACGCTGGCGTATCGATGGACGTAGTTGCCTCGGTCACCTGCAAGCATTTCTTTGTAGAAAGAAAACATATCACTGCACTTTCACGTCAGGTATGAGGGAGTACGAGGGAAGGTATACACGTACTTTACGATATTACACCAATCGAATGCAGGACTGTCGATGGTCAGCATCAGATAGTGTTTCAATCGACTCAGACAAAAATGTGACGCACGGAAGAGCTTGTATATATTCCTTGACATCGGGGCAGATGGAAGTCGGCCATATACACACAATGAATGGACCTGGTATGCCGTCATTCAGCCTAACAAATTCCACATATTCTCGTGCCTCGGGTTGCAGGTCCTGAGTCAAAACAACGGATTCGTCCATATAGAAAACGTCTTCGTTGGCATATTGCAGCAAAGCAGAAAGGATGATATTGCCGGAGTACAGCGGCACGAACTTGCGTAGGGCGAGCGCTGTTTCGATCATCCGTTCTGGAACAACGTGTAATTGCGGCTGGTTGAGATAATATCTCGGAAGAAATTCTCGTCGAGCTTTCTCTCCAATGAGGCCATCGTCGAAACATGCCACTATGAAACAGAAGAGTGCAACGGCTACTTGCAGTTCGAATGAGGCATGTCGATATCCGAGTGCTCCTACCGCGACGCCGCACTGAATGCGCATTTCCAGGATATCAGGAGGGATACCCAAATTCCAGGAGTCAATGGTCTCCCTGACCTTGCTGTCGACAGCAAGGTCGGGAGGTGGACCAAATCTCTTGATAAGCTGGGTTCGCTGGAGAAACGACATGATGATTTCTCGAGCCAATATCTTCGGGTCATCCGCGGCCTGCACAGAGCATCAGGGGTCCGTGTGATATTTGTACATTGTAAACTTACAGCCTGGAACACCTCTGCTCGCATAGGTGCCAGCCGTTTCCCACTGCGTAATTTATTTGTCAATGCTTGGATAAAGCAACGGGTATAGGACACGCACGATGATAATGCAAGCACATTCGGGTCTACAATGGACTGCACAAATGGCGTAACTGAGTTGAATGGAAGAGCAGGAGACATGCTGATGAGTAATCGGAGTCTAGAGAAACAGTCGAGGCTAAAGTTGGACGTGAGGGAAGTACGACTTGCATGTCTGGATCTATATATGTACAGGACCTGTATACTTGACACCGTAGAGCCAGGGCACGAGCGCGTAATTCGTTTGTTGTGTAACATTGTCAGATGGTCGGAGAACCAGCTTGCGACGACGACGTCACGATCGGGTGAACGGATCCTGCATCACCGGGCGTAGTTCAGAATGTCGCACGCGGACTGTACGTTGGTCAGATTGCATGGAATGTGCCAAAGGCCCCCTGAAACGTCTCGCCACTGGCATGTATCTCGTAATATCCCGTGAAAAGAGTCCCGATTACTTATCTAGAAGAACACCGGAACAGAGTATCGTCAAATCAGGGTCGTGCTTTACCAGACTGCTCACTTACAGAATATGATCTCCGTCACTAAGGAGCTTCACTGGCTAGCTGGACTCCCGCGAACCTTTGAGGAAGAACTTCAAGATAGCCTGGAAGACCTAGACTGCCACATGCTCACACGACCAAATTCCATTGCGTCCTGAGACAAGAATTGTCTGTTGTAGTAAGTCGTCATCAGAAGGACAGACATAATTTACCTGTATCTGACGCGCTCGTCGAGCAAAGAGTCTTGCCTATGCATTCTTCATGATTGCCAATCATTGCCCGTAGATGGAACTTCTTTGGTGACCATTAACTTGTGGCTTACGCTAAGAGCTAGACAGTTCCTAGGTTTGATGGTTTGTTTGACGGCTACCTGCCAAGCTTGAAAGTTTGGAAGCGCGTCAGAGCGGTGGTACTGGCCATGTCCAGGAGCAGGAGTGACAAACCCGACCAGCTGAGCAATTAGTAAACATCTAGAACACTAGCTTTCGAAGACACATCTATGGGATAGAGCAAGAAGGTCCATGACTGCAATGGCATCCGTTAGATTGCGGGGTGTGCCAGAGTCCTCGGCGTTATGTCGAGACATAGAAGAACACTCGCTATTTGCGAGAGGATGAATCACTTGAGCGTCAAATCAAAACTGTAGGTACGGGAACATACCTGACTTTGCAAGCCAATGATGTTTCCGACTGGGTATTACCACACACGCGTATTTTACGTCATGAGACGGGAAAGCCTACCTACCGCTATCTGGCATGTTCTTAGGACTCCAAGAAGGCCGAAGGAGCGCTTAGAGTGGTTGAATTCAACAAGAACACTCACAAGTCCGATAGCGTCAGGGCCTCCTGATGCTGTCGTTTTCAGATATGCACAGGTAAACGGTGGTGCAATGCACAGGTGGGGTACATTAGGACTTTCGTTAACACGGGTAAAATTTTCCGTCGACTGTATGAGGTGAAGGCAATCTGAGAGTGATTCGCACACAAACTCGGGTTCCTAGTATGTACCTGCCGTCTGAAGTGGAGAGTCTTTTTCTCATATCACTGAGGCGCCTGAGTCTACTCCATTAAAACAGTTGGAAGACCCAATCTTGAAGAATCGAGCGCCGTAATGAAGACCACGAGCCGAATTAATAGCTTCGAAGGTTATATCAGGAAGTGGCACGAAAAGGGAAGTAGGAGTTATGGAACTGCCGGCGGTGAGACTCATTAGTTTTCATCTGGCTTAGGCGGTAGAAGGCCTAGGATACCAAGGATCAAGATTTGGCTGTCACTAGAAAAAGAAAAAGAACTTGAGAGGCATGGAACATCGTAGCCGGAGCGCCCATGCAGCGTCTCGTCTCGAATCGTAAGTTATGTTAGGGACTTACGACATAGTACCCTACACAAATGAGCCAATGGAAACTGACCAGATGAATGCGATGCGGCGATGGCGAGAATGGAGGCCAGAAAGAGACATACTAAGGCATCCTGAGGCATCCTGAGGCACGAAGTTTTGCATCTGCCTACTGTGCCTCAGTGCTAAGGCAGACTAGAATAAAGTGTCTCAACACACTAGACGTTGTCGCATTCACGTCCAGTGCTGGGATTTGTGCCTTACTCAACCATGATAGAGAAGATGAATGGTGAAAAGCAAGTATTATGTAGTAAGTAACTTTGGCAAGAGGAAGTGACCGCAACATACGGCACACGCACCATTTGCATAAGATCGTCCGTAGACCTGACCTGAGCTTGCTCCCAGTATACTTGGGGAAGACCATTGAAGTACGTTCGTATACTGGCAGAATGAATATCCTATCGGTAACTCGAACTTGAGGTTGTCGCCGTTATTGATCGAAGCCGAAGTAGCGCCGGTATGCAACTTGCACCTTAACGTTAACCTCTGCATCATTTCCAGCAAAGTTGAACGTTGTCTGCCATACGTCCTTTTCAAAAAAATTGGGATATCTATGTCTCCAAGCAAACCAATCCGTAATATCAAGGTACACGTCCCGAGGCATAATTCTCAGAGGCTAGGACCCGCAGGCACCGCTCGAGTGCAAGCCCTGGCGAAGCGGAAGCGTATTCGGGTGGACGTCCGACAGACGGCCTATGAGCCATCAAATATCCTTGCACAAGCCATTGTGAGTATAAATGATCAATATTCGCTTGGGCTGTGTTGGAACTATCTTGTAGGAAAGCGCGTCGCAGTGGAACTCACTACTTATGACCGCTCGAGCAGAGCGAGGGCCACAATGGGATGTGGGAACACAACAGTGAGTACCATTGTCAATTTTGCGAGATGTTTATTGAATTGCAATGTCTTTTCAGGTTCCTCGTCGACGAGAATTCCGACCTGTTCTACGACCCTACACCTCTCCGTGAATACCTGACTGAAGGCCGCGATGAGTCCGAAGACAATGAGCCCTCGAGCAGTACCAAACCACCCGTTCCTAGACCCGATTTCTCCGCCCATAGCATTCCGGGGACTCCCCAATTAAACCGACGCAATCCATCCATGCCACCACCTGCACAACCTCATATGTCATTCTCACCTCGACACACTGGCTTTCCGCCACAGAGTATGCCCTTCCCGAATATGGGCGGACCGATATCACCGGGGCAGTTCTATGGTAACCCTGGTGGTGATCATAGTATGTCTTCACCTATGCGAATGGGTGGTATGGGCATGGCAATGGACGGAATGGGCGGAATGGGTGGAATGAGTATGGGCTCTCCTAACGTTGGAAGACGGATGTCGACTCGGGGAATGAGTATGGACGATGGGTACGGCGGTATGCATTGAGTGGAAGTGATGCAAGCTGGTGAGTTATCTCGTATATACTCAGGATGCTGGGCGGATGTTCACCATCTAGCAAAGCGTCAGGTTATTCTTTGTACCGCCACCGCCGATGCAGATGCAGTCATGTTGTGAAAGAATTAGGGTGCTATAGAAGCTCTTTTTGCATGCAGGGCAATGGTCGCTTCCATCCAACTAACTTATTGGACTTCATTCTTTTTTCGGAATCAGGATCTATGTATAACATGTATTCAATATGATACACCGTAAATCTACAACAAAAACTAAAACATTACAAAGCATGGATGAAAGCAAAGCGCAAGTCTACCAGAGACCGCTATAAGAGCCCGTGACATAACTGTTACTACTAGTGCGAAGTCTACCGACCCTTCTTACCCTTCTTCTTCTGCTGCTTCTTCTTTGGCCCGCCTGCACCTGAAGCTGTAGGTGTGGACAAGTCAGGCGCCTTTGCAGCATCCGCGTCATCCTCATCACCATCTTCTTTATCATCTGCGGGAGGAGCAGCTTCAGGCGGTACCGTGTCTCCTGCGGTCTCGTCTGGCTTTGGTGAAGCCTCCGTTCCTGCCGCCCCTTCAGTCTTAGAGGCATCAGCCTCGTCGGCCGTGTTCTTCGCCCCATCTTCCTCTTTCTTCTTCTCTTCAGCTTCCCTCGCTTCCTGCTCCTGCTTCTCCTTGTCAGCCTTCTCTTTAGCTTCCTGTTCCTCCTTCTCCTTTGCTTCCTTCTCTGCCTTCTCCTTGGCTTCTTGCTCAGCCTTGGCGTTATCATCATCTTCGTCCTTGTCAGCAGCGGCTCCCTTCCCTTTGCCCTTCTTTTTCTTTTTCTTACCAGGAGCAGTAAATTCGCCACCCGGAGTGGGAGGCACAGACGGAGCTTCTGTTGCCGGAGTAGCACCTGACGCCTCAGCCTCCAGATTTACAGGTGCTAGATCTAGCTTGAGATCCGCGCCAGGCTTCGGCGACGCAGGTTTCGATGAAACAGGAGGTTTGGGCGAAGCAGGAGGTTGCTGGGATTCTTTGTTCTCGGGCTCATTGGAAGTAGTGCCAAATCCGAGCAAGTTGTCGGTCGTCGATCCCCAAGCACCGAACACGCTCGGTTTCGACTCTCCAGATGAACCCCATGTCGAACCGAGACCGCCACTACCAAAGGCTGACACACCCTTGTCTTTGCTGGCAGAACCGAAGGAGGAGCCGAAGCCCCATCCACCGCCTGAACCCCAAGTACTAGCGCCGGGTGTCTCTTTCTTCTCTTCAGGTTTGGTCTCAGCCGGAGCAGGACCGGAGCCCTTGTCCCAAGCCGAAGAGCTGAGGAAATCAGAGAAGTTACCGGGCTCCGTGGTCTTATCAGCGCCCCATAGGTCATCCATACCTCCACTTCCGCCTCCCTCTGGCTTATTATTGGAAGCATTATTGTCGAGCAATGCATTGGACGTTCCCCCGTCCTTGTTTTGATGATCGACATTAACCCAATCTTCAAGTTCACCTCCGCTCTTGTTCACAAGGTCGGACGCAGGTACGACAGGCGCAGTGGGTGGTTCCGCCGGTCTGCTCTCAGCCGCTGCAGGTGAAGACGTTTCCTGGTGGTTGTGCTCAGCGACATGCTCTCCCGTCGCAGCAGGTGGCTCATGTTTGTCTTCCACAGGAGCATGTGTAGATTCAGCCGCGGATGGTTGAGGAGCAGGAGCAGCCGACTGTTCAGGTGGAAGATCGAACTCAACCTTGGGCGTCGGTGGCTTAACTTCTGGCCAAGGCTCAGCACGTTCAACGGTAGGTGTTCCTGCCTTCGACAATGACCTGGGCGTTGGTGCCTTCGAGGTCGCCCAAGGAGTGGGTGCTTTCGAAGGTGTTTTAGACACAGCAGGAGTGGGTACCTTGGACGTCAATGCTGGAGTAGGTGCTTTGGGGGCATCGCCCCAACCTGACAGGCTTTTCGTCGCAGGTTGAGGTGTACCAGCCTTTGAAATGGCAGGAGTCGCGGCTTTCGACGTGGCCTGCGGGGTAGCGACTTTGGAGGCAACTGTTGGAGTGGCGGCAGGCTTGGGAGTCGGAGCCTTTGAAGCTGGTTGCGGAGTGGCAAGTTTCGATGAGCTAACGACAGACGCAGGTTTATTTTCCGTGGATGGGGCGGCACTGACGGTCGTGACCTCCACCAAAGGAGATGCAGAAGGCGTAGGTTGCTTTGATGGTACAGCGGATCCAGCGGGACCCCAGACAGAGTTAAGTTGTTCGCTCAAACGAGCAGTAGCATTACTCTTTGTCGACGCCTTGCTATCAGTTGACTTCGCAGAAAGATTTGCCAACCGATCTCGCTCGCCGATCCTGCTCAGTGACTCAGGTATAATCTCTCTCGATTTTCCTTTATCCACTGCACTCGGAGTCCTCTCCCGTTCACGCCAATTGTCCGAAGACGTCTGCGAGATCTTGCGATCGCGCATGTCGTAGATACGACTTGGGTCACGGTCATAAGTACGACCAGAGTCGATGCTCTGCCTTCGTGACGATGAAGACTTGGTAGGGAACTCGACGTGCGGAGGCGCGTACGTCGTCGGTGTGGAGGGTTTAGAGGAAGATACCATGGGATCGCGAGACGGAGCACGGGAGGAAGTGTATGAACGATGTCTGTCGGAGCGATGATTTGTGTACGTTGATGGATCGTCGTCGGGAAGACTGTCGGCTTCATCCTCATCTGCTCGGTGTCCACCCTCATTGTAGACGATAGAAGCGGGGCCGCTGTAACAAATGTCAGTAAATCGTAACAAGGTTGAACAGGAAGGCGACCCACTATCGTGTTTTACCATTGTCTTGCCACTTGATCCTTGCCTTGAACTCAGTCAAACCGAAGTGAATCTCGATACTGAACACGATCGTCCAGTATTTCTTGCCATTCCTGCCATCTTTCGGTTGGGCACTACCGGCCAGTGGGGACAAATCCGCGCGGACGTAACACAACGTGGAGAAGTTTTCTAGGTCACTGAAGTCAATGGGCTGTTTCATACACCGCACACAATGATTTACTCACCCGCATTGCGCAGAATCCACTTCGGAATAGTGTCTCCACCGCGGTAACACCAAATCTCGACTTCAAACACGGACAAAGTACTGAGATTGGTCACTTCAGTGCAGTACTTCCGGCTGAATACCGTAGACTCCTTGACTTTCACACCCTGCCAACGTGTCCACCGTCAGTGGTTAGGGCAATATCATGGGGCATAGAATGCTACTCACCCTTGAAAGAATGCAATCGAATGCATCCGGTAACAACTTCGGACCAGACGGCAGCTCGAAAAGCCGACTTTTCCTCGCCAGGTGCTCTTCATCGTTGGCATCGAATTCACGCAGGTATTCAACACCGTACATAAACTTGGATACTCGGGCGGAGACGTGGTGATCGCAGTAGAAACCGATAGCCCCATCTGCTACTGCTTTTGACCTAAGAAATCCAGCTCATATCAGGCCTGAACATAGTTGTAGAATTAACAACACAAACGTTTGAGTATCCGGTCGACTGACAACTACTCCTAATGGAGTAAGGTATTCTTGAAGTTGGCTGAAAAGCCAAGGGCTAGCCGCGAAACCGCCAACAAGCCAAACAGACTGAAAGTGACATAGCATCAGACGTCATTGCTCTAAAGGCGAGAATAAGACGGGCAAACCTTGATTGTGCCTCCAGAAGCTTCAATCTGGTTTCGGATGGAAGTAACCGCGGCCTGGATCGACGGCTCAAACAGAGCAGCCACTTCCAGACTACAGGGAATGATAATCTGAGCATCTGCGTGGAGCTTAGAGACAACACGCCGCTTACCCAGTCAACTTAAGCTGTCCAACTCGAATTCCTGCTGCCTGATCCTTATCCAAAGGAGAGCCAAAAGGAACAAATTGCATTTCCTTGTTATCTCGGAACAAACGTTTGGTGGTCTCGTCAAATCGCTTGGTGATGTGATCAAGCGAGTCCGGAGTACCGTATTTAGAGTTCCTCAACTTCTCTAAAGTATAAAGTAAGACTGCAATAAGAAGGCACAGGTGGCTAAAGTATGCGCACCTTCGAAGAACGCACGGGCTCGTCGGCTGACGAAGACCGAACCAGCAAATACACCTATAATTCGTTGTGAATAGGAAGCAAGAAAACGACTGGGAACGTATACGTACAGTCAGGAGGTGCAATTTCCTCAATGACGAGGGGTTGGGTGCCTCGGATAGCATACGAGCTGATATCGAGTGTGCCTCCGCCTGCATCGGCGACAATAAATCCATGACCAGACGGGTTCTGCCATACCAATGTTTAGAAAATGCGCCGCAATCCAATGTACACAACATACCGAAAGTACGTCCGCAGCCAATCCATTCAACACACAAGCATGCAAGCTTGCCTCACCCTCTGTGACAAACCTGATCCTTGCTTTTCCTTCATCTGTATCCGGAATCAATCCTCCATACACCGCCGCTCGCCTCATCTTCATCTGTTGGGCCCCTTCCCATCCATTCGGATGGCTCAGGACAAACTGGAGGTCATGCTCAACGGCATGCCAGAGTGCTTGACCATTTGCGTGGGTATCAATGATGAAGGATCGGGTACAGCGAAAAAGGTAGGAGAGAAAGTCGCCAAAAACATCTACGGCTGTCTTGCCCTTTGGCAAAGGGGAAAGTCGCATACCATTCATTTTGAGGGTCATGGTTTTGGGGCGAAGACGAAGTTTGAAACTGTGTTGAGAATGTTAGAACAAAAAGATACTGCAGGAGAACGGGGCGAACAGTTCAGTCTTAATCCACCCTTCATCTTCTGCTTGAGCCAGAACGGAAGCACCGTCTGCCTCAGCACCTGCGGCCTTCATGAGGCCATGTCGATCATAATACATGATGGAGGGTATCTTTGAATTGCCAGCAACATGTTCCTGTCCAGGAAAGCTATCATCTAGTGAGCAACCTGCCAAACAATAGAGCACGATCGACGCCGTACCGGGTAACACCATGTATCTTGGGGACTTCCCCAGGTTCGAGGATAGCGTAGGATACACCACTGAAAGTGGTTCCAATGTCAAGGGCGAGGACGAGACTACGCGTCGTCCCACTGTAAGGCTTGCGGGTGCCCGATGCGGGCTTCATCTTGGTCAGAGTTCAATTCTGAGTTCAATATCCGATATCGCAGGTATCACGGGTATCAGCAATGTGTAGCAGTGTCGTCAGTATCGTCAGGGTATGAGCGAATCAATGTGAAGGGAACCAGGAAGTGTACGGCTCCCAGGATGCCTGCTGCAAGCCTATATGGCACTTGAGCGGAGTCTTGGTCTAGGGAATAGAGGCAGAAGAACACGAGGCATAATTTTTGGGCGATTGTCTTTTCTTCCCACCTATGCAGGACGCCCAAGAGTTCCCTTGATGGAAGGAGAAAAGAAACATGCTTGTTAACCTCGATCACAACGCGTTTCCTGCGTGTACATCCACAACAACGTTTGTTGTTGGCTCGATAGGCTCATTTACTTCTATCTCAAGCATGGCAGTGACATTATCGTGGTAGATAATCATATCTGAAGCAAACGAATTGATCGAAGATCATAGCACAAGCCGTTTCGAGTGGATAGATACTCCTTGCGTCCTGCACCCCCACTGCGCATACTTGCGGATGGCAGTGAAGATAATCTCGATAGGTCAAATAAATAGACCGTTGTTCTTCAACCTTAGTTTCATTCGGATGCAGGATTCCGGGATAACTTCTCCGTCTACATAAAGTTAGAAAAGAAAGTGCTCCTCTGGTCAACGCATATAAAAAATGAGGTTCGAGCAGGCACAGTGGATCTGTAGTAATTCATGATATGAAGTGAATACAGTCTTCAAGCAACTAGCAAACCATCATGACTGAGTTTGCTTGATCGTATTGCAGATCGGGGAAAGTATTTTTCCCAGTTTCTTCCAATGTTTCTTCAACAAGAACTCTCGAGCTCTGCGACCCGGTCGCTGCTTTCAAAGTCGTTTCTGAGCCGTTCTCCACTGTCCGTAAACATTGATGTTGGCAATACAGAGATACACGTGTATACCTCGAGGTCACCATCATCATGTTCTGCACAGTTAACCGCACGCGACGAACTCAATGCAGCAGGCACTAACGCAGAAATGAACAGGTTTGGTTGATCCTTCATTCCAGTTCTCCGTCTCCATCTACAGCCCTCTGCCTCCAGTTACCAGCATCTTCGAGGAGCTGCGTGACCTGCACTTACGGGGGAAGTACAAAGTTCGAATAGCTTGATTGACCTCTCTGTGTAACTCATCCCCCCTCTCCACTGTTTGTCTCCCACTGATAACTCTACATTATGCGTGCACAGATACCACCGAATACCACCGTTGAGTTCTTCTCGTTACGGTCGACGTACGACCCGCCCTCTCAGCGCAACGCAGCACGTAACCACGCTGACCGTTACCAGTCGGAGTCTGAGTCCCTCACTCCCATAGCAGACCCCATCGCCAGGCTCACACGAGAGTGCAGTGCACTACGTCTGAGACTCGCCACCGCTGAACGTAGAGAGCGACAAAGCCTCTACGGCTCAACATCGCCTGCATCCTCCAGTGCTACTTTGTCTGCTCGTACTCCACCTTCAAATCTGAAGCATTTGACTGTGGAGCCTCCATCATTCACACAGGCTGGAGTTAATTCTAGGGTCAGGACTACTAGCACGCTGACCTATACCTCTGAGGTCGAATCCGTTGCTACTAATAAATCACGACCACCACGCCGTGCGAATTCTCGGGCATCTTCCATACGCTCTACGGACACAGTACGTCCAAATCGTCCACCCCGTCCACCACGACCCGTAATCAGAATCATTCCTCCCGAACTTATTCCCGAAGTTGGCCAGAAACGTAAGGGCCCTGCCAGAGACAGTATGAAACCAGCTGAGCGATGCAGGCAGCTGGAGAAGACACTTCGAGAGGTGCAGGAATTGCTTCGCGTTCGAGATCGCGAGGTCGAGGTCTTGAAGAAGGAGAGAGATCGCCTGTTGGCTGAACGAGACAAGGAAAGGAAGATGGAGAAGGAAAAGGAAGCCGCTCGAGACCGGGAGAGAGCAGAAGAACGCGAGAGAGAAAGGGAGAGGGCTAGGGAGAGGGAACGAGAGAAGGAGCGTGAACGCGAAAGAGAGAGGGAACGTGAGCGAGAGAAAGAACGCGAGCGGGAAAGACAGAAGGAACGTGAAAGAGAGCGAGAACGAGAACGTCTTCGGGAACGTGAACGTGACCATTCACCCGAACGAACCGATCGCGAGCGTACCTCGAGTCGACGCTTCGATGCCACGCAACGTCCACTCTCGTCCGTCACCGAGATCAACACTTTGGACCGTACCGCCAGCATAAGTCCGCACGTTCGTCGAAGCAAGTCTCAAGCACCCTTGAACGAGTACCGACACAATGTACCGGCACTCGGTCCTGAATCAGAGCAGCTGGCTCAGCTTCGTTCTCTTGACGTCTTCTTGACAAAGACGGACACATGGTCCGGCGCACAGGTCATCCAAGCAGTAGAAGACCTCAATGCTGAGATTACGCACTTCGCTGCTTCTGCAACCGAGTCTTGTGTGTTTGAGCGAAGGACGCCTGTGCCAAGTGTGAAGGGCAGAAAGGGAAAGGCGAGACGAAACCGTAATTCCGATGGTCACTCGACCCCCACCCGGCAAGGTCCAAGTCAAGATATGCTGGATAGCGTACCCTGGCTCGGTCAGGCGTTTGCTCGCATATTGGCTATGCGGGACCATGCCCAGGACCCAATGCTTGTACAACTCGCTTTGCAGGCTAGTGTAGCTATATGCTGCGCGAGGTCGTTGTCCTTGTTCTGTGTCGGGTTCCCTTCCAAGCTGGATGGACTGCTCTCCCGTGTATTTGCGCATATGCAAGTTGCAGGTAAGTCTCCTACCCCTATCTGAACTTACACCCGCAACTCATGATCGATCACTCCAGAGCCACAACCTACGTCTTCTCGATGGCGAGCCCTCACTCATCGTTCTATTCGCACTTTATACCCCGGACTTGAAGAATATGCTATCTCGGAACTTGTCACAACGATGCTTCGATGGTCAGCAGCTGTGTTCACGCTTTCAGGCTGCGCGACAGCTTCTCCGAATGCCAATCACGGTGCGAAAGACCCTGTACTGGGCTCTCCCACTCTGAGAGCCCAGCTACGGAGGATCGCCGAGGCGGTGTACAAACTGGCGAAGATCACGAGGGAGGAGATCCTGTCGACTTCGTTCGAGGTAGTGCTTGTGGATGCAGGAAGTCCATATGAAGGTATTTCCATGGCGAACGCATTCAATGGCCAACATACAAATGGCCATGCCAACAGTAGAGGAGGGAAGGGAGAACAGGGAAGTGTGCTCTGTACCACTGAGCTTGGGTTGAAGTGCATAACAAAGAAAGTAAAAGGTGTGATTGGGGAGGATGGAGAGACGAAAGGTGTCGATCCCTTTGAGCGGAGGGTGTTGCTACCGCCGAAGGTTGTCCTGGATTCTGCAGTTGACGCGCTCACATTAGAATGATTGCATGACGATGATAGGGAATGTACGCATGGATTTCTTTACTTATTGCATGAACAACCGACCGTATTACACCATCTGTATAAGTAACTAGCGTTGTACCAGGGCCTTGTCAAACAATACATAAACCTCTCAACCCTGAAGCCCGAGACCGCAATGCTCACCGGGATTGGCTGTTAAGCCTACCAGTCCTCATCGTCGGACGTTTTCGAGTCTGGATGTTGTGGGAAGTTACTTCGTAGCTCTAGCCTGCCCACCTTCATTGAGTCCCATATCTCTGCGAACTCCTCTTCTTCCACTATCTTAGATGCCACGACAGATAGCCTCTCGACCATCTGAGTAGCATCCTTGCGAAGCTCTAACTTGTAGCGCAAGTCGTCTAAAAACGCATTCTCCAACGCATCATTGGTTGGTTCCTGGATGAGTATCAGGTGTTTGAGACCTGTGAACAACGGTTCGTCGGTAGCCGAACAACCAGGGTGGTCCCAATTACATCTGGCTGTTGTATCGAGAATATAACTGAGTAACGGGAAAGACCATTCATGCATCGCCAAAGTATGGACATGCCTCGCTTTCTCGAACGCTGCCCAGCTCATGAGACGAGCTTGATCGAGATCGATTTCGACTGCGGAAACTCCATCTATGTGCACGCTTCGCAACGTATCCGTTGCAAAGGCGGAGGCCACCGTTAACATGGCATTGAAAGCTCGCATGCTATCCGAGTTGAACCGAATATCCAGTTGGGTTTGCGCAGATGTGTCGTAGATTGAATCTCCCAAGTCGTTTGTCCAGATTTGACATCTGGCTCCTCTCCGGCCATGACTAATACGCATAGATGTACACGACAGAGCGGGCTTTGTTTCAGCCCATGCCGTGAGGGTACGAGATGTGATGTGTGAAAGTGAACTATCGTCTTGAGATTCGTCCCAATTCTTGAGAATTCTGAGCTTTAAATATGCGGAAGGTGGGAATGCGAGACTGTTGAGTAATGCCGTACATTCCCATGAATACGTAGCAAGGCGCAGGGTTTGCAGATGTAGTAAAGTGACAGTCCGAGAGGGTACGTTTCCGAAATTGATGAGGATTTGGTCTAAATCTAACGAAAACAGATATGGCATGGACGCTAGAATATCCAGCAATTCCGACATATCCACGAAATCCGGGGTATCTTGCAATTTGAGGTGTCGAAGACGAGAATACGATGCGCCTTGCATCATAGTGCAAGGGAATTGACTGAGGCACATGTATTCGAGATGTGATGCTGGACGACGCAGGAATACGTCTGCAAGTACGTCGATGTGACCACCGTATTCAAGAAAACTAGAGTATGACATTTGGATAGATTGCAGAGCAGGGGGGCTCGGGCTGGGATCGACGGCTCCGGCTATCCTAAGCCACTCTCGATTGTTAGCTCTAAAGTCGATGGTTTGAATGCGATGAGCTTGTGTCACAAGGGTCGCACGGAGAGTGTCTACAGCACGCGAAGGTCGCCTGAAAGCGTAATATAGGTGAATTGGGACTGCCTTGGATCGCTCCACCGCATAGCTAACAGCATCCGTATGGTGCGTGAACACGATTCGATTCCATAGTATAGGCGTGGACAGAAGAATGGCTCTCCATTGACGGCAAACATGACATAGTCGTGTCCACGTATACGCGGACGGCCCCAAGCTGCTAATCGGTAGCCTCCATCGCGGACTATGATCCACACAGTACAAGAAGATTTCAACCCATAGTTCTGGGGGTAGGGAAGCAATGGAACCACCAGAACTGTTGAGGTCAACAAGGGTATGGTGAACATTCTCACCCCTGCTGGAAGATAGGCAGGATTCGTTCATGGTCTTGAATACTATGTGTAAGACACAATTCTACAGTACAGTAGATCATCAAAGGACCTACCGATGTAGCGTGCAATGTTGTAAACAAGGAGCCTCAATAGTGCAGTCAACGCGCAATCTGATTCTGAAGAGCAAGATCTCTCCTTAAAGCTTTTATAAGGACGTCAACTCGGTTGTCCCCGGTATGTCGGTAAACAACTTTTGGATCGTCGTGCGCTTGAATTTCCTCTTTTGCGTCCCCTGCAGCTGGTATAGTCTTACTAGCAACAGTAGGCTCAGGAAATGGAATAATGTCAAGACTTCAATTGGCCGGCTTCTCAAGCTGGTCTGTGCTGTCTCATTACGTGACTCGGACCCTGCGCGAAAGGCCTGCTACCCTCCCTCGATCAATACTTATTGAGCCTCTCATCTAGTATCTACGGTAGAGCCACTCAAGCCGAAACCGCATAACGCGATCGACGTGAATATCTTATGGAAAATTATCTACCCTCTGACCTCACCTTTCCGTAAGCTTCGATTAATCGTTTTTGTTAACGGTACTACGCTGACGATGAACGGATTGCAGACAAGCCAGTCACTAGTTTGCCTTTATAGGACCAATTCCAGAGCTAAAGATGTTCTCATACGCACGCATGACAGTCTAGCTCGAATTGCACATGTTGTGTTGCCTCGCGGGCTACGTTCTCGGAACGACGCTCGACCCTCTATTGACTGTCACAAACTCAAGGATGTGTGGCCACGTATTCTGCAGAGTCCTATCGATTTTTTCGAAACTTGGCTCAGCCTGTGATAGTGAGGGACCTATCAATTACTTTTGATCTTGCGGAAGAGCCACTGCAACGCAGGTTGCATGGGATCGTGTCTGCTCGCTTCTCGAAATACGTTCAAACCCTGCATCTGAGCAAGGTCGACGCCTCTCAATACACTCTGCGATTTTTGGCCAATTGGAATCGTTCGGAAAGCTCTTCCGTTTAACTATCACTTCTAGTCGATTGGAAGCGAGCCATTTCGACGTAGTCCATTCCCAACTTTCGTTGCAGAACCGGTAGTCTGTCCGCCGTGGATGTTCCAGTGAACCAATTGCAGATATCACGAGAGCGACGTTTCGTAACAGATGGGTTCTGACCTGGCTCTCTTGCGCTGTGCGAGACAGAAACTTGGGCTGGACCCATCCAGTGATGTTCGGACTTGCCAGTCAACACTTACTATTGTGTTGGAAGTCACGGTTCGCACATGGAGGATTGTTCAATTTCATACCATCAGAAGAATAACGAGGATCAGGTGTGACATGCTACCCCATAAGTGCTCGATGTGAAATTGGACGTATACATGGGTACGTGTAAAACACTAGTATCGGTCTCCTCAACCCTGACATGGCCATCTTAGTGCAAGCATTCCTCAGCAACTTGCCACGCATCGATTTTGATTTTCAAGCAACCGCATGTTCTTTTCCTTGGTATTGAGCCTCTCATCACCAACGTTCAAAATAGAGCCACTGACATGAAGCTGCATATAGTGCACACTATCCGCACTCGCTGGAAAACTACCTACGCCTCAAGCACCATTCACCGTACGCTCGAGCTTACCTATGCATTAACGGTGCATTGAATCGTCCTTACGCAGGTCACAAGTATGCTTGCCGGAGCACGCCTTCAGCGGACTAATTCTAGAGCCAAGGAAGCTCTTGCACGCACTCAGGACGGCCTAACTCGCATCGCGCATGTCGTGGCACCCTTCCTGCGTGCCCAGGGCGATGTTCAACTTGGTCACTCGCACGACCCTAATCTTCAGGCTAAGGACTTCAGCAAGGTTTTGGAATGCGTCCTTGCGAACGGTCTCCTGCCGCGTGATGACCTCAAAAAAGTCGCGCTGACCTCTAATTCATTCAAGGTTCAAGCGCAGTCGATTCTGTGTCGGTCTCTATCGATCACATTCGCAGCGATCCCCGAGCTTCTGTGGTGCAAATTAATTTGGATCATCTCTTCCGGTATATGCAAAACCGTCCGGTCACTACATTTGAACAACCTTGGGCCTTGTGAGACTTCGCTCTGGCTGTGCGACAGGCTCTATCTATTCAAGCAACTTGGATGCTTGGCTATAGACCGTAGCCAGTTGCAGACAGATCACCTCAAACGGTTCGGTGCTCTGGGGTCCCTGGTCAATCTTCACCTGGAAGATTGCACGCTCAATGATCGCGAGCTTATACTTCCTCGCTTGAAGCTCCGTTCTCTTACGCTTCGTGGCAAAATTGTCGTATCCCCGCAGACTTACGTCAAGCAATCGCCGCGCTTGCCCGAATGCTGGTGGGAGTACCTTACTCAACCGGAACCCCTTCAGAAATTGTTTCTTGGTATGGACGGTTCGAGGTGCCATTTCAAATCTATGGCGAAGCTGGGTACATTTTCGTCATTGCGACTATTGGCGTTGCCAGAGAATGCGCTGCAACGTTCACCTGAAGCATACGCCAGATTTATAGGCAACTGTCCGGCCTTAGAGGAACTCGAATTCAAGGTTCGAGTTTCGACCGATCCGAACGATCTTCAAGACATAGTCCCCGACCTGGATAGCCTTCCCAACGTCAGCTTCCCAAGAGGCAGCCTTCAAAACCTTAGGCTCATTACCGGAAGCCCGTGGCATATTTTAGTGCACACAAGGACCAATCCAGTTCCATGCATTCGCGTATCTACAATACTTCGGTCCCTCTCAGCGGATCGGCTGAGACACGCTCTGCGTGTAACGTGTCCGGATGTTCGAGAGTTGGCTATAAATATTGGAAGCATGAGAAAGGACATCCTTCGAGGATTTTTTGAGCCTACTAGCGGGTTCAATAAACTGGAGTCTTTCCAACTCATCTTATGGAACGTGCTTAACCCTCAATTTTGGTCATCGGAAGACATTACGGCTGTGAGTTGACGTTGCTTTGGAGGTCGGGGTCAAGATGCTTACTTTATGCTGCAGCTTTGTCGATGGTTGAGGAAGCCCCCATTGCCCAAGTCTCTGACACGACTCCGTTTTATACACTCCCTTCTGGTTGAAGAATCGGGAGATTTCGGTGACCCTACAAATCATGTCAACTCTGCGAAGGCATGTCCGATTGATGACTTCCGTGTGAAGTTCAGCAATCGGCAACTCCAAGAGTTCGTAGCCATAGGCAATCTGTCCGTTTTGGAGCCTCCTCGCCGTTGGCCTCGGGCGTGGTTACACGTGGATCTACAACGCCTAAGCTAGGGTACTTGTGTGGATATATATTTTATATTCGTAGAAGAGACGTACATGGAGTCAATCACAGCAAATGCGAGTGTATGCAAGGAAAGGAGGGAAGGAAAGCAATTGTGATGTGCACTGGATTAGGATAACTAATTTAATTGCATAAGACTCGGAGCCATATATGTCACCACCGTCTGCGGCACAAACACAAGTGAGAGAGCTCATGTGCGACAACCATAAAGCAATGAATAAGGTTAGCAAGGGAACAAAACAGAAGAAAGAGAGGAGGGTAACAACAATAGCAAAGCCGACGGAGTCAACTATATAAAAACAGTGGTATTAGGATATTGAACATGGAGAGATCTACAGGAAGGAAAGTGAATTCGTTTCATTCTCGTTTCGTTGCATAAGTGCATAAAGATAAGCATGAGCATATATGCGTGTAGCCTATGACGTATGTCATGATTGGGAGATTTGTGAAGATTCATCGTCGGCATAGGGTGAGGGAACATCGCCCATCCGTTGACCATGAACTCGGAATCGATACAGGCAAGTGAATTCTTCGCGACCCCAGTTACTGTCCACAAGCAGGATGACGACGCCAAAGTCGATTCCGAGATCTTGGATGTCCTTCGGTACGGAGAAAGTCTGGATATGGTTGGGTGCGTTTATGTTGTACGTGAAGTTAGCGAGACGGATATATGACGGGGAGTTCGGAAGCGCAGCGGGGTACTCCTCCTCTTCCTGAGTGTCGTGAGGTTCGTCGAACAGTTCGGCTTCCTCCTTGCGAGCAGAAGCCTTCTGCTCTTTCCACTCCTTGAATTTGGCCAGATTCTCATTGCCTTCCACGAGACCCCAGACTTCCATTTGTCTTGGCGCGCTTCTCATATCCGTCGCGACCTCCTTGGCCACATGGTCGATCGTCACTTCCGTCACATAAACAGGGGCGGAGAGCGCCACACCCAAATGACCTTTCGAACCTGCGAAAGGCCAACAATGTCCATTGTGGATCTCATGGTGCAGCGCTGTGACGGGAGGACGACCGATGGCATAGCCATTCCCAGTGAGCATGCCAACGATTTGACTCGTGATTCCTTGCGGACGAATCTCGAATGTCTCACTGGTGAGCGAGGGAATGATGCGTGCGCCGCCAGAGTGCAATGCATAGTCAGTTTTTGCAAGCGTGTCCTTGGAAAACTTGGAAACAGCAGAATCGACAAGTTGGTTGATCAATGAACCGACATCTTGGCCATCAGTAGACTTGATGGTGACCGTCGACGGCGAAGAGCCCTTCCACCAAGTTGCCTTGGACTCAACCTTCGTCTTGCCGAGTTCAATGGCTTCCTTGATTCCGCCTTCGACCGAACCAACGCGCTCCTCAAGCGCTCGCAATTGTGCACGAGCCTCGTCGTCGCTGCTTATTTGTGGTCTTGACTGCAACTGTGCTCGTAGGAGATCTACTTCCTGCTTTACAGATTGTAGACCTTGACTCGCTGTTGCCCTGAACTTGCTCTCAATGTCGACTACGCGTGTGCTCTCCTTTTGCAGTCTCGTCTCCAGGGCACCCAGTCGACCGGCAAATTCTGCCTGGCTACGGACGTCACCTTCGATATAGGTACGTGATCGTTCGTTGGCGGCTGAGAGGCTGGCAAGCGCGCTTTCGAGTCGTTGCAGGCGCGCAGAAAGCTCAGAAACGTCTTGAGGGGGTAGTTCGGGAGGTCGGTATGGTGTTTGTCTTGAAATTGACGGTGTAGGGAAATAACCATTGCGGAGGGCGTACCATACAGCATACACAGCCAACGTCACCGAGAGATATCTCGCTAGCAACGCAAAGTTCAGTCTCGACGCCAACTGTGCCGGCTTCAGGAGGAGAACATCCAGCAGTCTCCAGCACAAGGAGAAGAATCCATGCACGCCTCTGCCTAGCGTAGCCCCAATGGAGAAGGGTGCTTTAAGTGGTGGTTGTTCCACAATTTCCGGTGGTTCTTCCTCGTCCACTTCCTCGATGGAGTGAAGGGCTCGTTCGACATCGTACGTATCGTCGTGGTTGCTGGTGTCGTAGCGTGAATCTGGTGCAACTGAGCCTTGGCGTGATGAAGGGGGTTGAACGGAAGGCGCCCTGGGTTGAGGGGTAGTGCCGCGGACGGATGTCTGCAGATGACGTGAGAATGAAGTGAAAACAAAAAGAAATACAGAAACGGACTTGTTCATATGAGCGTGAATCCTCCGCCTCCTCCTCTTCACTCTCCTCTTCGCCATCCTCGCCCCTCCGTCCTTTTCGTTTCCGTCTACGCTTGTCGTATCCCGCAACAGGCAGTGTGGTCAGCGGCGGGCCTGCGCCGACACCCTTCTTCGCTTTCTTCCGTTTGCTTTGCTTCCCATCCTCTTCAAAGTCCTCGTCGGACTCTTCCAAATCAGAGATGGTGGGGCGGTATGCTTTATTATCAACGGATATGCGATTCTTGCGATGTTTGTTCCTCGCTGCTTGTTGGAACTCTTGCTCCTCCTGAGAATATTCGTAACTAGAGCTCGTGTTAGGTTGCGCATGACCGTTGGTAGAGGTCGAAGTGTCTTGCGGCCCACGCATATAGTATTCTGCAGATCGTGCGAGAGAGCGAGCAGTTTCCAATATGGGAGCAAACGGACTTTTCTCGCGTTCGAAGCGCGAACGCGATTGCGATTCATCTTCACCCTCCGAATCTGGTATCTGACTATTGTGGATGGAATTGGTTTTCGCGAGGGGTCGACGGGAAGGTGGAGCAAGACGGCGATTCACCGTCGTGTGAGTTTCTTTTTCGTACTCGACCGAGGTACTTCGCGGAACGGTACTACGGTTCGCCCCAGAGGCCCATGCATCATTAGGATGCATGCTATCTTCCAAAGAGGTGGACGCTGCCTGGTGGAAAGCGCTTGCGATTTGGACTGATGTGTCCTTTACGGCCCACTTCTCCGGATGTGGTGAAGAAGTAGACGTTTGCTGCTGTTTGAGACGAGCAAAACGGACAAGAGCAGGAGGGTCCGAGTCGTCTAGAGTAGCAGCTGGTTTGGGGGGAGATCGAGAGGCTGCGGTGGGAGCCCTGATAGTGATATGAGCCGAAGTAGCGTCACAGATTAGAGGAGAACTTGCCCGTATGAGTAAGAAGTAGGTATTTGACGCCGCAGAGGAGGTGTGCGTGATCTCTGCGTGGTTGTGGTGCTGCTTGTGGACGGGTTCTTGTTGAGAAATGTATGATGGTCAAGACGTCTGCCTTGGCCTAGAGGAGTGCTGGAGAAGGACATGTACGGATATGCTGGTTATTTGCGGGGTGTAACATGCAGTTCTCTGTACGTAGATATCAAGTTCGGGAGCGGCCTCGAGCAGATCGCGTGTTTTGAAGGAGATGGTCGTGTGGTAGAGTGGCCAACGTGTTTTCGCCCTGGTTGTCGCGTTTCCCAATTTGTTTGGCTTTGTTTGGCTACAGCAACAATGGATCAAGCCCGAAACAATATGTCTTTGTTCTGGATTTGATTCTTATGCCTATCGAAATATTTGAATATGTGGAGGCGAACGAAGAGGTATGAAGGTCGTTGTGCAAACGTCATTCCCCAACTTGCAGCGCTAAGTGTCACGAAGTCTGAATCTGGACTACTCAATTTTCCCATATGCAGTTGTCATTAAGGATCCCTGGAATATTCCAACATGACATGCATCTAGTTCGGAGCAACTCTCGACACCGTGGTTCATAGTATGTCCTAACAAGACCGATTCAGACTCATCGTGGCAAGATCTCGATTCTTGCAAGCCTCAGCAGGGGAATGTCCACATTAGGTCGTTTTGATGGGGATGTTGCCAAACAAACGTCAATACTCATATCAGTTCATGTCAAGATGATCGTCCACTGCCCAGTACCAGCCGATACAATCCGACATTGAACGACCAAGGTTCCTCTCACTCATCCGATCGTGTGCGGAACACGATCTCTATTCTTGCATCCCAACGATAAACTTTCTTCCCGGGAGGTTTTTGGCTCGGGTGAGATATCTCGTAGTCTCTCATAATGTCTTACATCTGCACCCTCGCTAAGAGGGGAAGGAAACATAGAATAAGTGTTGGAAGACATGATTTGACCCTTGCATCGATTGGGCAGCGCTCCAAAGTACGACGCGAAGCTTAAACTCGGCTATAAAATGAGAGACGATATGTCTGAAAAAGCTAATCACCTCTCTCGCACTAGCAATATTCCCCCTGCAGCGGCTCCAGAACCTCTACTTGTTCCCATGCCTAACATAGATGGCGAGCATCCCGTCGAAAACCATGCGCCGGGGGTCGACTACGACTATCCTCATATGACGCCGGTACGTACAATGGTGTCCTCAAGGCAGCGACTCCAAAATTGACTCGAGTGCAATTGACAGCATCGCTGGGTCGGAGGCTATTATTTTACGCAAGAGACCTCTCGCAACAGATTGATGCCGGCCCTAGGATACGAACCTCCAGATTCAAATGACCATGACAGGAATCAGGACATGCATTACCTTATTAACCACTATCTGGCGGCAAATAATATGACGAGTGCAATGGCATGCCTGTACAGACTGAGGCCTAAAGAAAAGAGAGGTTTCCTCCTGGCTACGCACATTGAAATTCTGCCATGCCCATGTTTGCCGAGTCGAAGGATGGAAGAGGATGCGCGCGATGTTGAGATAAAGAACTGGTTGCTTACGACAGGCAATCTCGATGAGACGGATGTAGCATGGGTTTATGTGGTTGATACAATGTCGACCGGGCTTTTAGGAACCGAGGGTATCAAGCCGGAGAAGCATTGGGACTACGAAGCTCTGCTCAAACCAACTCGCAGCATCACCATGGAACAATCTATACGGGAGATGGAAGCACATGGGGAAATGGTGCTCCGGCTGCGATACGAGGCAGAAGTTCAATTCTTTCAGGAGGGCAATAGAAGTCAGGCCGAAAGTTCAACGAAGTCAGGCTGAGAATTGAAGGGGAGATTTGCATAAGAGTACTTAGTATGTAGCGGCGGATGTCGTTATCATGAACGTCAGAGGGTCTATGTAACGTCTGATTGCCTCAACGCCGCTGCTAACGGGTCATGCTGGGCGGGGATGCAGTCAGGCTTGCATAGAATTAACCCATGTCCAACTGAATCCGCTCGTGGTGATGCTATATGACTTACAGCGTGCAGGGACAGGCTGCGTACTACTCATTTGATATAATGCAATCTAACCGAACGATAGTTGGGAAGCATGATATTGTCGAAGGCATGTAGTGGTCAGGCGATCAAGTGAATAGAGATGGGCGATCAAGTGAATAGAGATGGGCGATCAAGTGAATAGAGATGGGCAATCGATAGAAGCTGCCGCCGCTTAGCCGCAGAGGTTTGAGTTCACATACAAAAAGAGAGGCAATACGTCTAGTAAAGAAAGTCCAACCACCTCACAATTAAACTAGCACTGCAGAGGAAGTTCCAGAAACTATAACTTGAACTGTTCCCATGGCCAACATGGAGGACGAACATCCGGTCAAAAATCATGCGCCGGGAGTTGACTATGAATATCCCCATATGACCCCGGTATGTACTGTATTCTTGACAATGCAGCGACTCCAAAGTTGATTCGCATCCCGTTGACAGCACCGCTGGGTTGGCGGTTATTACATCACTCAAGAGACCGCTCGCAACAAGTTAATGCCGGCCCTGGGATACGAATCTCCGGAACCTGACGACTACGACAGGAACCATGACATGCATTACCTTATCAACCATTATTTGGCGGAAAACGACGTAATGACCGCAATGGCATGTCTGCACAGACTTGAGCCCACAGAAAAGGGAGGTGTCCTCTTGGCTACGCATATTGAAATCTTGCCATGCCCATGTTTGCCGGGTCAAAAAATGGAAGAGGATGCACATGATATTGAGATAAAGAACTGGCTGCTGACAACGGGCAATCTCGACGAGATGGAGGTGAAATGGGTTCATGTGGTCGATACGATGACAACCGAGCTTTTGGGAATCGAGGGTATCAAGCCAGAGAAGGCGTGGAACTACGAAGCTCTGCTGAAGCCGACTCCAACCATTACTATGGAGCAGTTTGCAAAGGAGATAATGGCCCAAGGCGAAATGGTGCTCCGACGGCGATATGAGGAAGAAGTTAAAGGGAGGTTGGAAAATCAGGTGAAGAAGTGAAGGGTAGATCTGAACCAGGGTAGTATGTAACGAAATGCCAATCCCTTAAATGTCCGATTTCTTACAACATGATTAATTGTCCTAACATTGTTTCCAGAGCGAGGTGGATATATATCTTACGTGCTACAGAATCAGCGGAAATATCAGCCACATGTGCATACCATGGCGAGGGAGACTTTAAAGTTACATTTTGATATGCTTAACTTCATAACGGACCACCGATATTAGCCCAACGCTCAAATGTCTGAAAATGAATCAGTAGCCTGTCAGGATATTATCAGCAACGTGGTACTTCGTAGACAAACGCATTGCAAGGACAATATACCTGCACGAGAAGCTTAGCGATACCGGGTTCCCTGGAGGAGTGTCCAGCGTCTGGCACGACATGGAGGGTGATCTCTGGCCAGATCTTTTCCACAAAGAAATAGTAATGATGAATACGAGATCGAAGCGGCGTCTGGTCTGAAGTCTGCTTACCTTCTTCAGATCGTAAGCAGTACGCGCCTAGAGTGATGTCAGATAGAGCGTGACGAAAGACGGATATTAACTCACTGGGCAGACCACATCGTATCGACCTTGCACGACGATGCAAGGAATGTGACGACTGGTCCAGGATTTGGTTAAATCTGCGAGAGTTCGTCATGTTCTGCATTGGCTTACATCTTGTCAATACCCTGTTTCTCCAACAATTGTCCATCCCGCATCCACCCCTACAGATGCACGAAATTAGACACTTCACGACGTTGAATTAAAACGATGACGCACGTCGTTCACGAAGTAGTGGTTTTCGATCCTGGCGAATGCGCTAGGTTACACAAAGCACATGAGATATCAGATCTGGAATGACATCGCAAGTAAACATACTTCGCCCAATCATCTTCAGCGGCGCGCGCAATGTGAGCAGGGTCAACGTAGAGCTTGGATGTAGCCATTCTAACAAAGAGTTCACCATCAGGTACCCAATAGATGTGGCATGCTTGATCATACTTACTCCCACTTTGACCATGCCTTAGCAGCGCGAATACGCGTCTCACTATCCTCCGAGTTTAGTTGAGCGTGGTATGCGAGGACCATGTCATTGCGTTCAGCTTCAGGGATTTGAGCGATGTACTCGTCCCTACAAGCATCAGGGTGAGACTATGGACCAGGTGTGTGAGGGAGGCAAAAGCATTTACCAGGCGTCAGGGAAAAGGTGCGAGGTTCCCTCTTGGTAGAAGAAATTCAGCTCGCTTGAACATATAATTAAAACAGGCGCAGAATAGTGTAAAAGGAGCATCGAACCTCTTACGCAGCGTGAAGATACCTCTGACCATTATGGTCAGCTATTGGATATCAGCTTGACTCCGGTGTGCTCACCGAAGAACCAAACTGAGCACACGATCAGGATGCGACTTTGGAGAGCCGATCGTCAGACAAGGTAAGATACTATGTGCGAGGAGCTCACCTGAGCGTAGGCTAATGCAAGCGTGGAACCCTATCGAGCGGATCGGTAGTAATGAGTGAGAGTTAGCTCCAATCGTTTGACTGAAGACATACCCATGAGCCGCCAAATACATGCCATTTCTCGATACTAAGATGGGTACGGAGCTTCTCGACATCTTTCACCAAGTCCCAGGTGGTGTTCTCTTCAAGCGACGCTGTTCTGTATGACACACGCCGTGAGTACGCCACAGCATTATGCAGGCGCACTTACGGGGTCGATTTCCCGGCGCCCCTTTGATCAAAGAGAACGATCTGGTGGTGAATGAAGTCATGAACTCAAGCTGAAAAGGTGCGACTGTATTTACCTTGTACTTTGTTGGATCAAAGAACGAGCGATCTTTGGGATCGCATCCACCACCGGGTCCCCCTGTGCTTGCGGTTCAGCATAGGAACGAGACGCACTGCACAGTGCCCTGACCGTGTAAGAAAACCACTGTGACAGGGTAATCAACGGCTATCGATGATGAGTACATAATCCCGTAGCTTACCTGGCCTGCCCTCTCTATTACCGCTCAGTTCATAGCTATCAAAGAATCGTTCAAATTCTCCCACCCAGACGATATAAACGCAATGTGACTTACTACAAGGTATGGATATTGGAAACTTTGAGCTTCCCGGTTTCATAAGGTTCGATGGGTGGATACATGATAGTGGCAAGACTAGCGGCGTATCCGATTTGTCTCCTACCACCAAATGGAAAAGAACGAGTGTAGACTTCTCCTCGGCGTGCAGGTGCAAGCGGGTTCGCTGCGAATTGGCCGCGGGCGCACTGTTGGAGGATCCTGAGATACGGCAGCTTTGATTTCGAAGGTTTGCACAGGAACAGATCTGTTTTTAGAGAGATAACAAACCTAGTCTCTCACAGGCGGTGCAGACTGAGACGAAAGTTGAAATCAATTACAATCGGCCGCCTAACTTAATATTACTTTCAGTCGGGCGCCAATGCGGGATGGCTGATTTGGAGTTCACCAGTTCAAACGTCCACCTCTCTTTTTAGACGAGTTCACGATGTGTATAGATTAGTCTATACACCTGAATTTACATGGTCATTCGTGCGTGTAACAGAGCATACCGCTCAACTTTCTTACATTTACAGCGGGCTCGCCGGCAAACTTTAGGTTCGGATGTTTCTCAATGGTTTGATTGTTCATTGCCAAGGCCCCGCGTTGATTTTGCATATATCGCCCTGATGTGAGCGGGACACAGGTCACAGCAACGTTGCGGTTCTCTCCTCGTTTCCTTTCTTTCCTCCATTCATGTCGACCCATAGAGCCTCTGTTCTTTTTGGCCTTGTTGTCGCGCTGGTCGCCCTAATTCCTCGTGCTGTAGCGCAGGGTACGAACGCTACATGTCTTACTGGATTCGAATGGGTGTGTCCGAAATCGTTTGTAGATCCTTCTATGGATGATAATTGATGATCTTCTTGACGCAAAGATGGTTAATTCTCGCTCACAAAGTCCGTGTTTGGTCGCGGCATACCTCAATTCTCCATGTCTTAGTAATCCATCCAGTTAGTAGTGTCTCTATTTATTGTGCGTGATTCTACTGAACTTTGCACGCTTCAGATGCATTTGTTCTGGCGTTGCCGCCAGGGTCCCATTACGCTCCTCCGCCTCCTGAAAATTCGACACCATGTAGGTGTAGTTCGGTCTACTATTCAATGTTGCAAGCCTGTGCCCTCTGCCAGGACGACAACAGTGTCCCGTACGTATTATCTTGACCATTCATTTATGCAACTTACGACTTGTGTTAGTTGGTCAACTTGGACCGCGAACTGCCAGAATGGCACCTTCCCGAGCGTGTATGTTTTCTTTCGTACATAAACCCTCCGGTTACTGACTTCGCACTTTGTGAACAGATACCCGAGGGATATCTCACCGGGTACCTCTGTCCCAGCCTGGGCATACCTTGACGTCGTCCAGTTGGATAACTTCAACATCACAGCTGCACAAGCTCTTGCTGCTTCTAATCCACCCGAATCATCAGCGGGATCGAGCGCAACCTCCACGACACCCACAAGCGCTAGCACTGCAAGACCCTCACCCACATCTGGTGATGCGAATCAGGACTCTAACGCTAGCTCCGGCAGTGGGAAGAAGACAAACGTAGGTGCGATCGCCGGCGGAGTCATTGCCGGTGTGGTCGGACTCGCACTCATCGCTGGTGCTATTTGGTGGTTCCTCCGCCGAAGGCGGAATTCCAGGGGCCGTATGGCCCCATCGTCGGGTTTCGATTTCAACGGTAACCCTGTTGGAATGCATTACGATGAGAAGGAGCAGGCTTTGCTCAGCAGCACCACTCCTCATCTGGGTACAACTCCGTTATATGCGCCTCAACCTGTGCCTACACCACCGCCAATGAGCAAGATCTACGTGCGTATACACCGCCTCGCACGTTTTGTCGTTGCTAACGTTTCCGTTCGTCCTCTTTCACATTTAGGACCCTAATGATCCCTCCACCTTCCCTTCCGCCTCACCGGAGGCTTCTCTGAGTACCACGGCTTACGCTCAGTCTACGGCTCCCTATGGCTACCCTCACAACGGGGGTTATCCGCAGGCCCCTGGCCGGTACGGAGGTATTCCGGAGCTGTAGGATCGCCCTGTGGTGAATGAATAGATGATGCTATGAAAGAAATACTCGATATATGGACTTAGGACTGGTATCGCATGTTCGGTTGATTTTGGGTTGGCTACAATACAGCCATAATATGTATGCTGTTTCTCTTCAGGCATCGCCTTCTTGCGCATATGCATGATAAGATGAACAAGCAGCTTATTATAGCCGTCTCGCGGCATAGGTGCGTGCAGAGTTCTGTTATATTACGGCTTGCCCCCATTCCTGTCACTGTTTGAACAGTACCAACAGCAAAAATTTAGATCGCCCAAATAACCCTTTCTTCATGATCACAACGAGATCAAGATATTAACGTATCGCAACCGAGCGCCGAAGCCTGTGCAGGAAACACCGTCAACTTGTAACTGCGACCGCGAAGATGAGACATTTATGTACTCAAGTTCAACGCTCATCGCGAGCCATGATGCGTATCGCCCCTGCCATCTGCACACCCTGTACATGTCCATCTTCTTTTCTGCATGTTCATTCACCGCTCCAGCGCCTCATCATCTTGATTGATACTTGATGTTCGCACTAACCCACCTTCTCTTCCTTGTCTCTTGCCTCCATGTCTACGATACGGAGAGTCTCTATCCTTTCCGGTCTCATCCTCGCGCTCGCTTCTTTTGTCCCAGGCGCTTTAGCTCAGGGTACCAATGCGATATGTAAGAATGGATTCCGCTGGGTTAGTGAACGAAACTTTGGTTGCTTTTCTTATGATTGCTAACGATATTTCGATATGCAGATGGTCAACTCTCGGGGGCAGAGTCCATGCTCGGTAGCGGCATACCTTCTCACTCCATGTATTGACAATCGATCTGGTGGGTGTTACGAACTTCTGCGTATTGTGAACCTGATTGACTTACACACATCTCAGACGCGTATGTTGAAGCATTGCATCCAAGTTCCCATTATCTACCCCCTTCACCTTCAACGGCTACACCATGCCAATGTAGTTCTGTGCATTATTCTATGTTGCAAGCTTGTGCCATTTGTCAAGGCGGTCCAAGTGTCCCGTATGTGGTGAACCTCGATTTTTTCTCGGAACGCTTCCATGACCTTTCCTTCTAGTTGGTCTACATGGGTCATGAACTGCAATGCTGCCGCCCACCAGAGGTACGTTGTCATCGCCTCGATTTCTTCGATCTCCTCGTGGTTCTGATTGTAGTGACAGTTACCCCTATGACGTTCCTGCCGGCACGTCTGTTCCTGCGTGGGCGTACCTTGACATTTCCTTACTAGATAATTTCGACGTGACAAGTGCAGAAGCCCTCGCCGACACCCATCCGCCCGACTCCACAGCTATAGGCACTGCAACCTCCACTGGCAATGTAGCCCCCACCACCTCCGGTACCACTTCAACGAGCAACAGAAGAACCAATGTAGGTGTTATCGTAGGCGGTGTGATCGTAGGTGTGATCGGTCTTGCTCTCGTTGGCGGTGCTGTCTGGTGGTTCATGCGCCGAAGATGGCATACGAAAGTCCATGTGTCTGCCTCTCAATTCAAAATTAGCGATGAAGAACTGATGGTATCAGATAATGAGAAGCAGTCGCAGCAGCAGCCTTTGCTCAGCAGTCCTGTTCCTCAAATGGGGATGAGTCCTCCACCGTTTGCTCCTCATCCGGTACCCACATCTCCGCCTATTGCTGAAAAGATTTATGTTTGTATTTTTTCTTCTGTCTCATATCAGAAGGTCCTTTACTGACTATTCTTGTTTGCGTATAGAATCCTGATGATCCTTCCACCTTTCCTGATGCTTTGCTGATTACTTCCTCGAGTTCCGCTGCTTACAGCCAACCAGCCGATGGTCACTCTCAGAATGTGAAAAAGGTGGATTATACCCAAACATCTGGACAATACAGTGGAGTTCCAGAGTTGTAGAAAGATCTCAGGAGGAGGTTATGTGATGGTACCATGAAACTGAGTAATCTTGATGTGTTTGACTTGGACATTCTGTTTTGTATGTAGACTGCTGCAATCTACTACTCATAATTCCTCTGATGCTACACTTATGCTAACTCATGAATTTCACTCTTTTTTATTTTATATTTATATTTTTTAAATCTGTCTCTTATTTTATCTCCTTAAACACTGTATTAGTAGCTTGAATACTAAAGTCTCAAGTTTTCATCTTTCATAGCATGCATATACCAAGTTCTGTACTTGCTCATAGATAGCTCAATCTGACCTGTAAAGGCTTCACTTAATAACTATAGTATATAAGAATATATCATGCATAACTCACAGAAGCAGTTCTTCAAAAGCCTCTACGGACTTGAAGAGAATAACCAGAATGCTACCATATTTAATGAGTACATAGAGAGGATTTAGGTGCACCTCCATTCTTGAGACCATGTTAAGATAGCATTGCAAATGAGCAGAGCTAGAAGATAATCATTTGTAAGATAATAGATTGTACAGTGAAATGAAATAGGTCTAATGCTGCATAAGCAATATAGGCTATAAGGTAACTCTGTGAACTAGATCATTTCAATAGTCAGAAATATGTTGTTCTATTTCAATAAGCATAACATATGTAGCAGAATGTAGATTGGCAACAAAAGAGAAAAAAAGACAGACAGAGATGTTTCAAGATGCTGAGTTCTCATTACTCAAGCCTCAAGCAAGATGCTATTAATATATGAAACTACTTCCAACAACTTGAACAGCTGAGCAGATGTGGTAAGTTGAGGCTTTTTCTACTCAGTTGCTAAAATCACACTAAGGGGTCTACTCTGCAATTTTCACAACTAAGTACCTCATCTTGACACAGCTCTCGCTCAAGGTGCATCAATGCCACTAGTACAAGAGCAACTATGAAGCCTTCTCCTTGAACTCGCAAACCCACCCCAGCCCATCCCATAGTGACCAACAGCCATTTAAAGCAACGAACTTACCTCGATGATGACTTCACGTGGTCTCTGAATATGATGAGACTCTCGGTGCCTCGCGATGTAGACGGCAGAGCCTAGAAAAGTGACAGGTCTTGTAAATATGCTCTCCTATACAGCAATACAAAATGATGCGAAGGGTCAAGAAAGCGGAGGCGGAGGAGTACATAGCGAGACCATACAAGAAACGCATGACGCGCATAGCACTCATCTCCCAAGCGTGTGCAGTCAGGTTACATCACCAATGGGCACGATTGCACCAGAGAGCATGTGTGCGAGTTGTCGAAACACCTCAATGTCGAGTTTCAAAAGATTGCCGACGCGCGTTCTGAGACCCTCCGTCCACATCTGAGAATAACGATCTTCCTTTAGGCTTGTCAACCGTGGTCTCAAGAATTGCACCGCGTACGCGCCGTCTTGGTCTATTGAGTTTCAGGCTCAGTCGAATAGCTTTGAGACCTACAGGAAGACAACCGATGTACGTGAGTGAGGGCTCGCCGTGACAACCACAAATCTACCCCATCGTCCAAGCCCTCGAGTCCACCAGTCCATATATACAATAAGGGTGAAACGACCTGTGCTCCGAAATCGTTAGTACGTACAAGACCCGAGGCTACTTACACTGTGTGTTCGCAGAGTGACAAATGCGAAAAGAACGCTTGGGCGACGGTCGACTGGTCATCCACACAACACTTATACAGTCGACTAGTGTGTCTTAGTTGGCCAATCCGATTCGATAGGTTATAGGGGAAGTGGTCACTGGGGAGTGAGTGTGCAGTCAAGTACTGGCGAATATGGCAGGACCCTGAAGGTAAATACGAGAGAGAAGGCGAGAAGACTTGTCGAGGGGGTGGGCGTCGTGCTATGCAGTAATGCGGTAAATTGATTTGAACGCGGGGATCAGCAGGAAAAGAGAGATCGGAAAACAAGTAAGATGGCGGTTGAGACGTCAAGAGAAGGTCATGTATGATGCCTGAGGCTCTAGCCATTCTCGTCGTTGGAGACTTCACAAGGATCGGTAGCCCTGAGAGAAAAAGAGCGTTTGGGGACGACACGCGGGAGAGAGAACATATAGGTTCTATCAACTATTAATATGGACGGTTCTGAGGGATTGTGTGAGTTATAAGTGCCGTACGTTCATTGCTTGTGGATATGGATGGTGTGGACAACGCGAAGGACAGCGCCGAAGCGGCATGCCAGCTGAGGCCTCTGATATACGAGGGACCGATCGAGACAAGCAGACATGAATTGTTTGATGCAATTGCTATTGTTAGGGAAGGTCGGCAGCGGGGATTTCGATGAGGGAAGGGTTGGGCGATGGAAGAAAAGGCGAGAAGGCGCAGGAATCAGGATGAAAAGGAGAAGGGCCTGAGAGGCAAGATACGAATGATCGGGCGAAGGGAGTCGAGAGACTACTAGGATGTGGAGAGAACTCAGCAGACAGACAGAGAAGCGAGCACATACCGCGCTTATCCTACACCCAATCCGCTGCTACTACACACATCAGAGAAGACCATGCAGCTACGGCTCCACACCGATTCGTGCCAAGTACTGTTTGAACAGTACGCACTTAGCAGAAATTCAGATCGTTCAAATAACCCAACCAACACAGCTCGATTGATCAAAACGAGATCAAAATGTTATCTTGTCACAATCCAGCGCCAAAACCTGTTCAGGAAACACCGTCAACCACGGACACCATGATCATGTCCTCGAGCTCGTGGTAAGCCACGGCGACTCCGGCTTAATTTCTGTGCCCAAATTTGACGTTCACCATGAGCCATGGCCCATATATGTCCCTACCATCTGCGCAGCCTGCCATGTTCTCTTCTACATGTTCATCATCTAGAAGCATTCACCGCCCCAGCGTCTCGTTTTGACAGGGACTCGAAGGGTCCTGCCGATTATGTGTATATTTGCTTGATGCGTGCGTGCCTCGATGTCTGCACTAACCCTCCTGCTCTTCCTTGTCTCTCGCCTCCATGTCGACGATGCAGAGAGTCTCTGTCCTTTCCGGTCTGGTCTTCGCACTCGCCTCTTTCATTCCAGGCGCTTTCGCTCAGGGAACCAATGCGACATGTGAGACTGGATTCGATTGGGTTAGTGGATGAAACTCGTGTTGTATTCCTTACGATTGCTAATGGTACTTCGGTATGTAGATGGTCAACTCTCGGGGGCAGAGTCCATGCTTGGTAGCAGCATATCTTAACACTCCATGTATCCGCGATCCGTCTGGTGAGTATCACAAAATTTTCCGTTTTATGAACCTAATTGACTCACGTGCATCTTAGACGCATATGTTTTCGCATTGCCTCCAGGTTTCCATTATCGACCCCCGATACCTTCAACGGCTACAGAATGCCAATGTAGTTCTGTATTTTATTCCGTGTTGCAAGCTTGCGCCATTTGTCAAGGCGATCCAAGCGTCCCGTATGCGGTGAAACTTCTTTCTTAGTCGCAACACTTCTGACCTTTCCTTCCAGTTGGTCTACATGGAACATGAACTGCACCTCTGCAGTTTACCAGAGCGTGTACGTTTTCTTTGCCTCAATCTCCTCCCGGTTCTAATCGTGGGGACAGTTATCCCCATGACATTCCTGTCGGCACGTCTATTCCGGCATGGGCGTACCTTGATGTTAGCCTGCCAGACAATTTCAACTTGACAGGTGCCCAAGCCCTCGCCGACACCCATCCGCCCGAATCCACAGCTGTAGGCGCTCCAACCTCCGTTGTCAGCGTATCCCCCACTGCTTCCGGTTCCGCTAGTGGATCCGGTGCCCCCAATGTAACACCTAGCGTTGGCTCCTCTAATGGAAGCGCTTCAACGAGCGGCGGAGGAACGAACGTAGGTGCTATCGTAGGTGGTGTAATTGGAGGTGTGATCGGTCTTGCTCTCATTGTCGGTGCTGTCTGGTGGTTCATGCGTCGAAGACGGCATACGAAAGCCCATGCGCCTGCTTCCTCTCAATTCGACATCAGTGGTCAACAGCCGATTACACCATTCAATGAGAAGCAGCAGCAGCCTTTGCTCAGCAGCCCTGTTCCTCAAATGGGTATGAGTCCTCCACCGTTTGCTCCTCAGCCGGTACCCACGCCTCCGCCTACTGCCGGAAAGATCTACGTTCGTGTCTTTGTCTTCCGTTCTTGAAGGCCCTTTTATTGATTCTTCTCCTTCATGTATACAGAACCCTAATGACCCTTCCACCTTCCCTGGTGCTTCGCCGGAGACTTCATTGAGTCCCACTGCTTACAGCCAACCGGCATACGGTTACCCTCAGAACGTGGCAAACGTAGGTTATACTCAGGCACCTGGACGATACAGTGGGGTCCCAGAGTTGTAGGAATATCTCCGGAGAGGGATGTGTGGTGATATCAAGGAACGAAGTAATATTGATGTGTTTGGTGACGTACTTGGATATTGCATCTTGGTTTTGAACTACTTTAGTTTACCGTTTGCTACACTTCTGGCACTACACCTACTATGACATCGGCTTCGAGTGTTTATCGAGGGAGTCTTCCTGCGCAGCTCTTTGATTATTTTACAAATTCTTCAAGGCGGTAATTGGGCGGTACATGTTGAAAGAGAAACGTGGTGTAAGAAGTACGGTCGGCTTCAATATACCGCCTGCTAGCTATGCAGAGGAACAGAAATGCTCACCTACTCACTATCATCGCGCTCTTCAAGTTTCCGGCTCTGAAGTCGATCTTGTTTAATTCTGAGCGAGACTCTCTAGTCTTCAGTGTCCTGAGGAGAGTCTATCTACTGTAAATGAACACACCCCGATCTCTCACAGCGGGCTTACCAATTACACAACACCTTCCTGTGAGCCTTGACTACGACGAGAACCTTGGGAGCGGAAGTTCTGGTATGCCCTCGGCCTTTCACTTATTGCATCTACAGTGATTGAGGCCAACTTGATCGACCTCCAGGTCAACATCGATATGAGGAAATCTATACGAGTAGTGAACTAGCGGAGGCCTCTACGAACTCATTGAATGTTTACCTTGGACAATCCAAGTCCATTGACAGTATGCATGATCTCCGGGCAACTTTCGCCTCTTACGAAGGCTGGGAAGGTGTAGAGGGTACAAAGGGACCCCAGCAAAGACTGTGAGTACACCAAGAAGCTTTGCAACAAAAATGTGTCATTTATTTTCATATCTTTGGCAAGCACCGGCACCTGCGACGGCTGTAAAAAGCTCAAGGTGATGCATTCATATTTTCACCTACATTTTGTGGCTCAAATCTCCACCGCTTAACTTAGGTGTATTGTGAATATGGGCCTGACTACTACACCTGTAAGAGGTGCTTGGCTACGGGTACTGAATGTATTGTTGACGGCCACAAAGGGTTAGTTATGATCTGTCTGGTTCGACCCACCACTGAGATTACAGATACAGCCTAAGGCCAACACACTACTCGTCATTTGGTTTTGGTGTTAGTTCTTCTATGCCCACAACCTCAAGTCATGAGAAACAGCAAGAAATTGATGAAATTTACAGGGTATGCACCAGCAAATTTCTATCTTCTCTTAAAGCAGATGTGAATTGCTTTCTGAAGATCCTGTTAAATTCTTTGACTTTGGATTCCAGTATAAACTCAAGCACCAAAGCCTCACTTTCAGCACTTAAGAGATTGTGCAATGAACATCATACTCTACCCAGTGGTCTCCATCTACACAATGTCCAATGCCTTGATACTGCTCTTCCAGTGACTGGAGGCAGTTTCTCAGATATTTACATTGGTGATATGGATGGCTCAAAGGTAGCACTGAAGGTGCTGCGCATCTATCAGACCACTGATTCTGCAATGAAGCAAAAGATCAAGAAGGTGTGTTTCTACAATATAAAAATGATAGTACTGAATACTAATAAGAAGCTCAGAAATTCAACAATGAAGCACTCATCTGGGCCACTTGCCAGCATAGATTTGTTCTGCCCTTTTTAGGTATTGATTCTAAGAACTTCAAGCATGCAATGTGCATGGTACTACCCTGGATGGAGCATGGGAGAATTTCTGATAACCTCACATTATTAAGAAGTCATAAGCATCCATTGGGAAGTAGAGGGCAAGTCAATATTTGGGCAAGCCTTTCTCTCTCTATAATATGCTTATCTTGAATAACTGAAATAACTAGCTCTCTCAAATTGCAGAAGGTCTAGCATACTTACATGCTGTAGGCATTATACATGGAGATCTGAGAGCAGTGAGTATCTAAAAACAATGTCTTATATGATAATGTGAAGTTAGAGCTGACAAGATGTCTGTTTAGGCAAATGTGCTGCTAGATGAAGACTACAATGTCAAACTGTCAGACTTTGGATTGGCTATAATAGCCAATGACACAGGCACACAGGCTACTACAGTTGATCGCACTCCTAATTGGCTTGCACCTGAATTGCTTCTTCCAGACAAGTTTGGAAGTAGTTCTTCAAGGCCTACACTTGCTGGTGATGTCTATGCTTTTGGATGTGTTGCAATTGAGGTAAGATTTTATCATAAATTGACAGAATTTTGTTCTGTAATTTGTGGCAGCTTTACACAGGAAAACCTCCATTTGCTGGTCTGTCTCAGTTTGCAGTCATAAGCAAGATAATGGAGGGAGTGCCTATTCCTGAGCCTACCTTCTACAATGAGGAAGAAATGCCTTCACATCTGTGGAGCATTGTGAAGAGGTGTTTAGTTCAGAACTACAAAAAGAGACCCACTTCAGCAGAGGTGGCAGGCCATATGGTAGTAACATTTCAAGATTTTGTAGATTCATTTTCAATAAGAGACTCATGATTCACTCAGACACATCATCAATCCCTGTCTTTCAAGCATATAAATAAGTTAATATATGCAGATCTGTCCACATCAGCTTTCTCTCCAGAACACAAATTTACCATCCTCCAGACACACCTGCTGCTCTGCGGCTCCTGTGGAAGATAACAACATGATTTCCTGGGTTCTAACCAAGATTGAGTTCCAGATCAAGTTTCCTGGCTAACCCCCGATCACGCTCTTCTTGCTCCGCCAACTGCCTTCTGCGTTCGGCCTGCTCACGTTCCAACGTGACTGCCAACAACTCATCACGGCCTTCTTTTCGACTGCGCTGCATCGTCGCATCGGAGTGCACACTTGCTTCCCCCGACGACGAAGCCGTTGCGGCCACTGGAATAGGTACCGGGTGTGCATGACTCCGAGGATGAGCTGGAGCGTTCACTTCCTCAGGTTCGTTAGGAAGAGGTAGCGGAGTTTGATATCTAGCTGTGATGAATGGATCGGGCAAATCGAACTCGGGCTCACGAGGTGGTGGTGCATAATTGTATGAGTACGGTCGTGGGGGAGGTTGAATGAGTGGTTGTGGATATAAGTACGTGGACTCGGGCGCAGGGAAGTTGAACAGAGGTCCATGGGGGTAGCTGTACTGATTCGAGTTTGAATACTCGTTGTAAGATTGGGGTCTTAGCGGATGCCCGTGCTGTAAGGACGGCGGCACATCGCTTACGTTTGAAACCGGTGCCGGGTATATAGGAGGAAGGGTGGGAATAGGGATATGGGGAGGGGAACTTGGCTGCGGCTGAAGACTGGGTGTTCGCGCGTGCAGCGCGAAGTCAGGTGGTAGGGGCTTTTGAAGTGCAGCCGGGGAGGGCGTCTTCGACTTCCCTGGACGTAAGATGGCAGGAACATTCTCTGGTTTTGCATCTGCCTCCTCAGGTAATGGAGGAAGGGCATCAGCCTTGTAGTGAGGAGAAATGAGAGCAGCCGGAGTGAGATGACTATCTTTCTGAGAACTTCCTCCAGGAGCAGGGAGGGACGCGGAATTACGGGGTGACGATGTGGGATATGCATATGCCTGGCTAGACCGCTGTAACCGCTCAGTAGGCTTCATCTTGGTCGGTCGACGACTAAGAGCTGGCGGGGGACCAGCAGCATAGAACGTCATCTCGAGGTAAAGTTCGCCACGGTACGTGCCATCAACCTTCAGCGGGATCCAGTCTACAAAATATTCGTTACAATGCTCATTGATCGTTAACAGCTTGGAACGTACCGTCGAATTCGCCTGTACGCAACGTCTCCGAGATATCGAGCTGGCCCTCACCGACCGACTCATCTCCTCGGGGTTCCTTCGACCAGCACGACGCGTATAACGTCCGCGTCTTCTCAGAGGATTCTGCACCGATGGGAATGCGAACTTCTTCGTCCCAGACAGGGTGCTGTCCTCCTTTTACATCTATAGAAGTCTTTTTGATGATGCCGTTGATAGTGACTTGAGCGAAGACATCTTGCTTGTAGAAGGAATGTTTGTCGCGCAGGTTTCTGGCTTTGAGGACGACAATAACGAGAGTTCCTAGCTCCCTACCCATCGTAAGAAAGGATAGTTAGACCAAGATGATGATTTGGACTGGGATCCGTCATTTGCGACATTTTACCTTGACGATGGGAGAGCCTGTGGCACAGCGCCGAGCGGTGCTTGGAGTTTGAGGTACCTGATTAGATTAGATGCAAGTCAATCACAGCCACCGGTACTCGGAAGTCCGTGCCGAAGTGCATCGCCCACACTCGTGCTTGAAGGGAAAACCTAAGAACAAGATAAAAAGGATGCCAGTGGTAAATGGGGGTTTCAAACCGCCATGAGTACGGTAAGAGAAATGAAAAGCGATAGAGATGAGGAACGAGAGAGGGAAGGGACAAGCTGTATAGGCACCTGCCAAATTAGGCAAATCAAGGCACTCTGCACAAGTCGTAGCTTTCGTTTACAACTTGGAACACATACGAAACTTTGGAATTACTTGATGCCTCACAGAAATTTCACGACTTCTTTTGACATGTTCAAGGCTCCCTCAATCTCAATATTTGTCTATTTCTGAACATCATAGGTCGTCTGGGAACGTCGTTAATTCGTTGGCTATCTATAGACGTCGTTGCGGCCATGTTGCCGCGTAATTCTAGTGTTATCTTCGGTCAGCGTGAGGCCTTGTCTGGAAGACTGTAATTTTCCTGCCCCGTCTCACCCCTCTCTTCTAAACTCGATGAAAGAGAAAGACGTTGAGGCAGACTCGTCCGATGAGGGTGGTGAGCAAACACCCCCGGCTGCTGCTCAGTCGAACCGTAGGGAGGTCACAGAGCTTCGTCTCGACACTGGAAAGGAACGTGTCAAGTTCCGTAGGAAATGGTGGCAGCTATGGTGAGTTCTGTTATTTTGTTTGTTCGTAGGCGTATGCTGATGCTCCAATTGCTAGGCTCCCGAAGAATCCTCCACCCCCTGCACCTCCTTCCCTTGCAGATGCGCCGGTAAGTACGCAGAGATTGCTCGTAACCTTTACTGAAATTATTCTTGAAGATTCTCCCCGTGGCTACTGCGTCTATCCTCTCTATATTATCCTATGCGTGGATCACACCGATCATGGTGCACTTTCTACCTAAATTCAGTCGAATGCTAACTCATATGACGCCCTTTAGACGTTGGGATTCCAGCGTACCTTACAGGCCACTGATCTCTGGAAAATGGACACGTCTCGCGAAGCCGGCTACCTGGGTGCTAAGCTGGATGAGGCATGGGCTCGTCGAGTACAAGCCGCAGAAGAATGGAATGCCCGACTAGACAGCGGAGATATTCACCCTGGTTTCTTCACTCGCCTGATCTGGAGTCTGAAGGCCATCTGTAGCGGTCGAGCGTACCAGAAGAGAAGGACTGCGTTAGAAAAACGTTGGCGTGAAGTCGACGGACGAAAGGAAGCAAGCCTGGCGTGGGCATTGAACGACACATTTGGTCGCTCCTTCTGGCTTGGTGGCATTTTCAAGGTAAACCGATTTCATGCCTACGCACAGTCCTCCACTGTACAATTGATTTGCAGGTAGTCGGAGACACTTCGCAGCTTATGGGACCTCTCATCGTCAAGGCTATTATCAACTTTGGCAAAGCTCACTTTGCTGCCAAGCAGGCCGGCGTAGAACCTCCCAACATCGGACGTGGTGTTGGTATGGCTATAGGCCTCTTCTGCACAACTGTATGCGCCAGTGTCTCTCAGCACCAGTTCTTCTGGCGCTCCATGACCACGGGTCTGTTAGCTAGGGCGGCGTTGATAAGCTCTATCTATAAACGCGGTGTGAACCTGACCGGGAAGGCGAGGACTCATTTGCCGAATTCCGCCCTTGTTAACCATATATCTACTGACGTACGTCATTGCAATGCGTTGTATGTTCCGTATTTGGCCAGGTGTTCATTCATTCTATACAGGTCAGTCGAGTGGATGCTTGTGCTCAGTGGTTTGTGAGTGAATGTCCATATATGCGTGTTTTCTGATTCCTAATGAGTACCGAATATATCGTGTGTCTTATATTTTAGCATGCTAGTAAGTCAATATCTGACTGGTTGTTGTTGATACATTCATCATACTGCCTGCAGCTTGGACCGCTCCGATCCAGGTTACAGTCTGCCTCATTATCTTGCTAGTTCAAGTGAGACTAAATGTAGTCTGCTTTCTTTTTCTTTTTCTCTAATACAGCCCATATCTAGCTTGGCCCATCGGCGTTAGCTGGCTTCTCCCTGTTCATCCTGATCATTCCTCTTCAAGAGCGGGTCATGTCATATCAATTTGACATCCGCAAGAAAGCGAATAAGTGGACTGATGCTCGCGCGAAGATCATCCTGGAGGTTCTGAGTGAGTATGAAAGCCAAATTTTCCGACACCTAGGATTCATTGGGCGGATTACATTAGGTGCTATGCGAGTGGTCAAGTACTTCTCATACGAAGTACCGTTTCTGAACCGTAAGTAGATATATTCGATCGTCTCCAGACTAACCTTGTTCATAAACCAATCGGACAGGTATATACGACCTGCGCAAACATGAGCTATTAGGTATTCGCAAGATCCAGTTCGCTCGATCTGCAAAGTAAGTATGACAGAGTCGCGATGCATAGCTGCAGAAGCTTACAATTTGATTGATAGCATTGCATTCGCTTTCTCAATTCCAGTCCTTGCGGCCACATTGTCCTTCGTCACATACACATTGACCGCCCATGACTTCGATGTAGCCGTGATATTCGCTTCATTTACTTTGTTCCAGGTAAGCTTTATATTTCATATGCATCTTGCAGGTTACCTGTGACTCAACTGTTGACAGCTTCTGCGTCAACCGCTTATGTTCCTTCCTCGAGCTCTTTCCGCCACTACAGATGCCCAAAACGCACTCATGCGTCTCAAGAAACTATTCCATGCCCCGTTGCGAGATCCCACACCTTTCATCGTACATCCTGATCAGAAGTTAGCATTGGAGATCCGCGGGGCAACTTTCGAATGGGAGGAAAGTGCAAGTGCGAAAGAAGCTAGAGAGCTTGAAGAGAATAACAAGAAGAAACGGAGGGAAGAAAGAGCGCACAAGGGCCATAAGGACAATGGTCCGGAACCTGATGTCACTGGCGGTCCCTTCCAGGTCCGTGACATAGACATGTTGATTCCTAGAGGTTCTTTGGTAGCTATCGTCGGATCTGTCGGCAGTGGAAAGGTGCGAATTTGTTGTCGATGTTTGTTGAGCCGCGAGACTAAAGGCATGTAGTCGAGTTTACTTCAAGGTATCATCGGCGAAATGCGGAAAATCAAAGGCGATGTATTGCACGGTGGTAGAGTGGCGTACTGCCCTCAGACAGCCTGGATACAGAATGCGACTCTGGTGAGTATAACTGACCCATGTGACGAAAACAATCCTCAAACATTTTGTTGTATTTTCCTTCAGAGAGAGAACATAACTTTCGGACAACCATGGGATGAGGATAAGGTTGGTACACAGTCATTACATTTGCATGCACTCTTTGACAGATATGTCCATAGTATTGGAAAGCAGTTGAAAATGCCTCCCTCTTACCCGACCTGCAAGTCCTTGCTGATGGTGATCTCACGGAGGTGAGGGTCTGATTTGAGCAATTGTTGTAACGCGCAGACCCGAATATTGTTTACGCAGATCGGAGAAAAAGGTATCAACCTGAGCGGCGGGCAAAAGCAGCGAGTAAGTCAAGTAGCAAGGTTTTCAGTACCACCGGTTCTGACAGATCCCAAAGGTGAACATTGCTCGTGCATTGTACTATGATGCGGACATCGTGATTTTCGATGATCCCCTATCCGCAGGTAAGTAGTATCTCTTAAGATCGGATGTCTGACTGATGGAGTGTTCAGTGGACGCGCACGTTGGCAAGGCGCTATTCGCGGATGCTATCCTTGGTGCTCTACGAAATCAAGGCAAAACTGTCATCTTGGTGACACATGCTCTGCATTTCCTATCCCAATGTGACTACATCTATACGCTTGAGAACGGATGCATAGAAGAGCACGGCACGTTCCAAGGTCTGCTGTCAAACCACGGAGAGTTTGCAAGACTAATCAAAGAGTTCGGAGGTAAGACTCAACATGAAGAAGAAGCCGAAGAGGCGGAAGAAGCCATAGAAGGTCTTCCTAAGACCAATGCAGACATAGATGAAGCCAAAATCAAGTCAGAGTCCCGGATGCGAAGTGGCGCTGGAACTGGAAAACTCGAGGGCCGACTGATCGTTGCGGAAAAGCGTACCACCGGATCCGTCACCTGGAAGGGTGCGTGAACTTGTTGATTTCTGAGCTGCATCAACTGAAGACGTTCGTTTAGTCTACGCTGCATATCTCCGAGCATCGAGGGCATTCTATACAGGACCTTTGCTTTTGATATTTATGGTCTTGATGCAGACGAGTCAGATCATGAACTCGTATGCCTTAGTGTGGTGGCAAGCAGAGTAGGTTATATGCATTCCTGTTTCCTGCAGTGCAGTAACTAAAAACGACTTCAGCACTTGGCATCGTCCTGCCTCTTTCTATCAAACACTGTACGGTTGCCTCGGGTGCTCTCAGGCTCTCTTCACATTTCTAGTGTACGTCCTTTCAGCCTCTCATCGCTCTCAACTGTTACTAAGGGCAGCTACGTTACGAAAGAGGTATTGCCATGGACGAAATGGGATTCTTTGTATCCCAGAATCTCCATCACGATGCTATCACAAATATTTTCTATGCACCTATGTCATTCTTCGATACAACAGTAAGTCGAACACAACTCGGAAATCTGCTCGATACCTAATCCTGCTATAGCCTGCCGGCCGCATCCTTAGCGTGTTTGGGAAGGATATTGACAGTAAGCACCAATTGATATAATGTTCGCAGGACTGTGTACTGACGTCCGTTATTCCAGACATAGACAATCAGTTACCTGGTATGTTTCACTTGACTTAGTGACCTCAATGTTGCTGAATTGCTCTTTACCAGTTTCTATGCGTCTCTGTAAGACTCTTCGTATATGCACATGACCAATGGCAGCTCATATCTATGCCCCTAGTTGTTTTGACAATCGCCAATGTCATTGGTGCCGTTCTGATTATCACAGTTCTCGAGCATTACTTCAGTAAGTTGTGTATACTCCTATGGTGTGTGATTATTAAGTGACGTTGTTCCAGTTATCGCCGCTGCTGCAATTTTCTTTGGCTATCAGTACTTTGCAGCCTACTATCGCGCTAGCGCAAGAGAGATCAAACGACTTGGTATGTTTGCCCAGACGGATGCATGCATACACTTGGTACTTATCACGGCGCTTTAGACGCGATGCTTCGCTCGTTGCTATATTCTCATTTTGCAGAATCATTGTCTGGCATATCCACCATTCGCAGCTATGGCGAGATTCCTCGCTTCTTGAGTGATAATGAATACTACATTGATTTGGAGGATCGTGCCAATTTTTTGGTTGCGACAAACCAACGGTGGCTAGCCATTCGTTTAGACTTTCTTGGTGGAATGATGGTCTTCATTGTGGGTCATTAGTCCTTTCTGCAAGATGCGGTATTTACTGAATGATCACCTAGGTGGCAATGTTAGCCGTTTCCGGAACTTCTGGTATCAATCCGGCTCAAATTGGCCTTGTGCTCACGTACACGAGTGAGTTGTCCCAAGGTAATCTTGCGAAGCCTAGACTGATGTGATGTTCCAGCTTCTTTGACCCAACTATGTGGCATGGTGACGAGGCAGGTGAGACCATTTGTCCACTTAACCTTTATCAATTGTGCTGACATTGGCCAAGTCTGCAGAAGTAGAGGTCAGTCCATCATGAGTATTGGACGTTGCCGTATGTTTATGCGACTTATTGGATTACAGAACTACATGCAGTCGGTAGAAACAATGGTTCATTACAGTGACGGGAAGCAAATTGATCAGGAGGCGCTCCATGAAGTCTCAGATTGCAAACCACCTGCGGATTGGCCAGCAAAGGGAGCAATTGAATTCGACAGGATCTATATGCGTTACAGACCAGGATTGCCATATGTCTTGAAGGGACTCTCACTGTCTGTAAGAGGTGGTGAGAAGATTGGCGTTGTTGGCAGGTATGGTTGTCTCACTTAAGCCGGTTGATATTATTCATTCTCCTGCAACGGCGCCTCAGAACTGGAGCTGGGAAAAGTTCACTCATGCTGGCGCTGTTCCGCATTGTTGAACTATCCTCGGGCTCTATCTCTATCGATGGGTATGTGTTCTCACATTGAGAGTCAGTTTGCCTCTGAGTTTACTCGTTTATAGCCTCGATATCTCTAAAACCGGACTAAGGGATCTTAGAACCAAGATCGCTATAATTCCTCAAGATGTGCGTACCCATCATGACTGCTACACATGAAATGTATTAACGTACCATTCATCAATCAGCCTTTACTGTTCAGCGGTAAGTATGAGCCTTGCATATCTCTTCATGTCGGTTTACGAGCTGCTTCCCAGGAACCATTCGCAGCAATTTGGATCCATTCTCCATGTACGATGATGTACGGTTATGGGACGCTCTCCGCCGTTCGTTCCTTGTAGAGTCAAGTATCCACAAGGGAGAGACTCTCGACTCCTCGAGTGGGAGTAGCACACCAACTTCTCGTTTTACTCTTGACACCGTCATCGAATCTGAGGGTGCCAATCTTAGCGTGGGTGAGCGTAGTCTGCTGAGCCTTGCTCGGGCACTGGTGAAAGACAGCAAAGTAGTAGGTGTGTATCGCTATTCTTTGGCCCAAATTGTTTTCATTAACCAAAAGTCGCATTCTAGTCTTAGACGAAGCCACGTAAGCCTCCATTACATGCGCCCCATTCCCGAGTCACGCTAAACAACTGCTCGTCAATAGTGCCTCCGTCGATCTTGAGACCGACTCCAAGATTCAGCAGACAATACAAACCCAGTTCAGTGACAAAACGCTACTTTGCATAGCTCGTATGTCATCTCGATCACTGAAATCCTATTCCGATATTTACGCGCCGTCTGCATTCCAGATCGGCTCAGAACTATCATATCCTATGACCGAATCCTTGTCATGGATGCAGGCACAGTTGCGGTACGACACTACCAAATTCTGAGTCGACTTAGGTTATTAACATGTCACGCAGGAATTTGATACGCCTCTGAGTCTCTTCAACAGACCGGACAGCATCTTTAGAGGGATGTGCGAGAGGAGCAACATTTGTGTTGACGATATCTTAAAGGCCTCGAGTGGAGACGAATTTTCATAGACAACGGTATCTGCAAGGAGTTCCAATGATAATATTACAAGATTGTGGTGCATGTATGGTAATCTAGTAGAGATACAGATCCGGTTTAGAAAGAGAAGGCGACAATACAACTACAGGAAACCCGGAAAGAGCACTGTCGAGCAAAGCATATCGGACAAGATAAAAAGAAATAGAACAATTGGAAGCAGGATTACGCAGCCCCGTAGGTACGGGGATCGTAGTGTAGATTCATGTCACTATCGTTTTGGTGCATCTCACCCATCCAAGAGAAACCTAGGAGTGCCTTTAGTTCGAAAGAAAATCTGAAGAAACCAACCTAACTTACCTGACATGACATCGTGATAAAGTGCAGGGTCCGTCAAGGACTGCATAGATTGTATCATTTCCGGTTCGAACGGTAGCGGTGGGTTGAAGTATTCCGGAACATTGAGACCAGAACCACCTTGGAACAAAGCAGAAGAGTAAGGATCCAAGCCGGCCGCCAGCTGCTGAGAAAAATGATCCACGGCTGGTTCTTGGGGAGGTGGTGATGCTGAAGGTCGGGCGCTGGATGGATTTGAGACTGATCCTCTTGTAGAGGTAGAGGAAGAGGACTTGTATAGCTCGCCATACCTGGTTGCGGGAGACTCTGACAATGCCTTGGCGTTTTGCCTGTTCACTGAGATCGGAGGATCGTCCTTGGCCATAGGCGTCTCCAAAAGACCCTTCAGGAAACGAGAATAGAGCTTGGGGTAGTGACGATCATCCACAGTAACATCGGAAGAACCGAGCAAGTCTGCAACCCGGCGGACCAATTCGCGAATTTCTCCTCGCTCATGGATGGGAAGATAACCCGCGTATTTTGGTTGTAATAACTAGACGACATCTATCAGCGATCCTGTCCAGAACCACAACGCTCGGTCATATGCACCTTGATCAAAAACGTGCATGCAAAAGTAACGAAGACGCTTTGCGAATCGGGTCCGTGGCGCAAGTATATCCCTAATCTAACATTAGCATAGTCCATCACAAACGGAATCAGACACTTACTCTGCTCCGGGATACCGATGTCATCGACGTAGGTCTTGGCCACCTCTTTAGCAACACGCAAGCACTATAATTGAATTAGCATTATTCATACGAAGATATCTATAGAAAAGATTATTCACCCGCCAAAGCATCACGTCATCGCCGTCTGGTTTCCTTCCAAACTGGAAACCAAGCGAAAGAGCAGTCAAACGAGCGTACGTAAAGGCAAGACGAAGTAGCCCTCTTCGGAAGTTGCATCTCTGTTCGTTGAGATCCGTGTGCTTCTCGAGAAGAGCTGACCAAGTCTCCCACAAACGTATTAACTCGTCGTCAGTTTCGGCAGCGAGTTTGGGAATGTCCAGGGACTACAATGCGGACCTTATCAGTCAAATGACCCCGAATGCCAAGTAACAAGGCGTACCTTGTTGAACCCAGTCGGATTGTTCCTGTCGCTACGGATCTTGAGACCGAAGTCAGCCATGACCCTGAGCTCATTACTGTAGCAAGCAATATGAATGTCAAAGTTGGGGAGGTTGTATGGTGAGCTGTGCCACCATTCCGCACAATGGTTTGCCGTGTAGTCCGTGTTGTTGATGATAGGTGGCTTGCCGTACTGTGAGCCAAAGGATCGGTCGAGGTTGAAACAAGCAAGCCAAGTTCGAGTTCGGTTCAGCATCTCTCTTGCATGTTGTTCATTGCGTGGCTTAGTCGTGAATGGGAGGTGAAGATTGATAGCTGTTGCAATTCTGTATCCAACATGAATGACGGAAGCAAGGATCGGAGAATATGAAGGCGTACCTGATAGCCAAACCAAGAAACACCCAGCTCCGATCATCCTCCCAACGACGACATGGCACAGGGTTCATAGCAAGGATCAGATACGCCTGAACTACTTCAACGCTCTTTCGACCTCCGATGAGTGCAGTACCAGCAGCCAAACGAGCGAAGTGCATAGCTTGCTGATACAGCTCTGGTCGTGGGGTGTAGAAACGAGACGCCACAGCGCAGACTACGATATCGCATACAGTCAGTAAAGGTTCGATATATGCATGCATATGAGATGTCTGTTACTCACTAACGGTGAAGAGGAAGGGGCTACGCCAGTAAGTCTTCTGTGGAGTGTAGAGATCCGGGTCCAAGATGTTAAGGGATATATTCATATGATCCCAGTAACTAAAGAAAATGTCAGAACGCGCATGGAAGAACCGGTAGGGGGACGCACATTTTGAAAAGACTCTCTACCTCCGCAGGAGTGACAATACCCTTGCGTAGAATATGAGGAGGTTCGTGTCGGTCGTCAATAAGTGGTCGATCGGGAGCGGCAGCTTTGGAAACCTCGTTGTAAGCTTCACGGCAACTTCACGGTGTCACGCCCAGAATTATACACTTACCTGGCACAAAATAGTTGTTGTTTGGAAGTGTATCATCATCATCGGGCTCTTCCTCCGCAACGTCACTCGCGCCGTTGCTTGGCCTTCTCTTTCTCGGCATTTCCAAAGCGAGCCTGGCCATCAAACCAAATGGAGCAGCTGTAGTGGGGAGCGTTGCCACTCCACGCTTCGAAGCGTCGCCAGAGACGTTTCGCATATGTCTTCTGTTCCCGCCCATATTGGATCCTTCATCGCCTGAGATATCATAGTCAATTTCACCTTCGTCCATGAGCGTCCCATTATCATCAGCATCCACATCTTCAATATCAATGGCTATGTCGTCATCAATATCATAGTTATCGCCCACGACACTGCCGTCGTTGCTGAAAAGACCGGTGGTAGCATTGATATACCCGCCGAACTCTTCAAGTGATTCTCGGGCTTTCTGGATCCAGTCAAGAACGTCTGGTTTTGCCACCTGATCAAGTGAAGGTGAAAGGAGACCATACTCGGAATCGGGACTGGTGAAGTCGGAGGGGAGAGAGGAGTGCAAGTCAGTGCTGGCGGTAGCTGGAGAGGGTGCATTCGATATATGAGAGGTGACATCAACTTTTCTGTTGGCCTCGTCTAGTTGGGTCATGAGGGTCTTGATCTGGTCTGCCTGTGATTGTATTTGCTTGAGCAACAGTTCCCGTTTCCTACAATGCAACATGTTATATGACCAACAGGCGATCTTTGTAAAAGACAAATGCTTACGGAGGGGCACGTCTCTTCTTTCGTCCCGGAATAACGCACTCGGCACCCGCATTCAAGCACCTCTTGCAAGTGTCAGGATCGGTCTTGAACTCGCATCTCACCTGACGAAACAGAAATTGAATATCCTGGCTATGCCAGTCAATATCCAAAAATAGCCACAAACCTTGAGACCTTTGCATCGAGCACAGGCACCAGGACTGCAAAGAGAAACGTCTCAGTAAACGAAGCTTGGCATCACTGAATGCTATCGCTGTGCTTACGTTTTGCGAACAGGCTCTGATCTGGAATCTGTACCCTCCGATTCATGCTGACCATGCTCATCAGCCCGCGGTCTCTTTGCTGATGTCTCTCCTCGGTCACTGGGGAAGTAAGACGAGCCCTGGGCGATGGGTGGAGCCATCTTTGTATCCACTTGGTTCAATGAATAATGTTGTGACAGCGGCGCGTTGGAAGGAACATATACGTTCGAAGTAGGAACACCAGAAGCAGCACTACCAGGGCTACCGTCAAAGATCGGAGCGTCTGAGTGGCCTTGACCATAACCTCCTGGAGGTGAAGTATTCTGATACAGCCCATGCCCGGGCAAGATCGAAGAAGATTGTATGGACGACGGTGAGCCACCAAAGTGACTTCCTTGGGTAGGGAACGCATGCTGCCCCCGCAGGTCGCTCAAGGACGACTGATAGTATGCATTGTTGTCGAATTGCTGGTTCGCAGTCTGATTCTGTCCTGTGGGAAAGTTGAACGTGGATTGCGCTCCTGGACCGAAAGTCTGAGGAAAAGGTGTGAAGTTGGGTACATGAGACGACGCAGGCATTCCTGGTCGTTGACCGTAACGCTGGTTAGGATTGGCTTGGATATCGTACACATTGGGATCCAGACTGTACTCCTGCTCTAGCTGCGGTGCAGCCTGTGGCTGATTCCATGCATTCATGGTGAAGCTGGAGCTGAAGGAGCTTGACAAGATGAATGTTAGAAACAAGCTGCAGGTGACTATATCAGCCCTATTTGGCTCCTACTCCAATGGTGAGAAAGACAACGTGCGTACCTGGTTCTCCGGTGACAATGGATCAACTACGGCAATCGCACACAGGACCAAACTGAGAGTCAACTATGGGTATTGAGGTCAACTGCTCGTCCTCGATGACTTGACACTAGAATCCCAGGTGCTGGACAAGTGTAAAGAGGCTCACGCTACGTTTGTCCACCGTCAGTATCAACAATAACATGAAAATGCATGCTGTGGAAGTGCACATGGCACTTTGCGTACCGCGTTAAATATCTCCGTAAGGCTGTGAACAACCTGAAACGGCTCCTCGTCGTGGAATTCGATTGGTGAGATCAACCAGATAGCCGCTACCATTGGACCCCAAGAGCGTTAAGAGTAAACTCAAATATCGCCCTTGTCCCAATGCGGAATAGCGCCTAAGACGAGTGGTCACTGGCAGTGGCAGGATATTTGCTCTAGAATGTAAATGTCGGTGACAGACTTGTCTCCGCTAGACAGGTGCAGTATAGCAGGCAGAGAGCTGGTCAAACTGAGTTGCAAAGTCAATATTATTATCAAGTTCTTCTATTGTATTTCGGAAAAACTATAACGACCACTCTTGCTTTTAGGAGTGAATAACAACCAGTAAGTAACCTACGGTTGATCAGGAACCCAACAGGTGAGGGATAAGTACTTGAAATGTTGCTGTGATGATATGATGGTTATAGAATGACATCTAGTCTAAGGGCGCATACATGAACGCTGTAAGTATCAACCTCGCATTGATCCCAAACGCTACGGGGCAGAGCCAGTTGAAAAAGTTACGAAAGGTCGTTAACTGCGATATCTCATAAACACAACCCGCTCGCTGCGTCCATCACAGAGGTGTCAACAAAATGAGCGTCGGGAGAAATGTCAATGGACAGGTGTCGAGATGGGTCGTCTTTCACCGAGAGAACTATCGTTATGGCGCCTGAGAAGACGGACAACGTACGAAACGCAGTCGCAACTATGCATCCCTACGTGAGTATCGTCGGGTCCAGACGAAAGCCGTGACATCCGGGCATGAGTTCACCGAAGACGAGAGGCGTCATTGTGGCTTTAGGAAGCGAGTAGTCCCTTCAGGAAATAGCAAGATGGGACAAAGCAATAACGAAACGCAACAGGCTATCGTAAACCTCGCAATCGAATCATCAGTGTGACAAAAACTGGTATGCATGCTGTATGCAGGCAGTTCATTCCAAGAGTGTCTTCCTAGAGAAATGGCAGCACAGCAGTGTAGATCAATTCCTGTTGATATCCTAAAGGCTAGTTTTTGATGCGATGATACAGTACGCTCATGCGCATACCATGCAGACATTAGTAACGTCTCATGAGTCAAGCCCTACGCGATATTCTAGTGAAATGCCAAGATCGCCAATAGACTTGATGGAGATAAATCCATAGCACAATATTGAGGAAATCCGAGAGTATACGGAAAATATTGCCAATTTCCATTGCGTCGTCCACGACGAGTAGGTCTTCAGTAGTCCGATTGCTGCATGCTTGGTGGCATGACCCCAAGCGTTCCGCGCCGTCTCGTCAGCGTCAGAAGGCTGACATGCATGGTTAGTCACAACTTCTCATTTCCTCGAGAGCGGCAAAAGACGCTGTCGTGAGAGAAGAGAAGGCTTCACTGACAAAGAGGCATGTTTTCCTCGCAGGACATAGTCTTTTAACATTGCGGTTTGGCATTGTCCACGGGTGCCAAGGAACTAACCACAAACAGCCTATGTCCATCCTGTGAGTAAGAAGCACAAGATTTTGAGTGCATCGTTTACCTTCAGGAATAGACATTTCAATCCAGACTGGGGATTTCGATATCAACCAATGTGTGCCGAACCATACAGATGTTAAAACTAAGCTGCAGAGACGCTAGAAAGGACTTTTTCGCAGAGACTGAGCAGTGAGAGTACAAGTCAACGATTATGACTGAACGTACAGAGAACCTTCAAAGACGGAGGAAAACTGGAGGAAGACGAGGTGGAACCAGAAACGGGCCGGACGGCGGTTGCTTGATGGCAACGAGCGCCGAGCCTCTGAAGAGACAGGAGAAATCAAGCACTGGCAAGTGAAACATCGCCGAAGCTGTTCTTCTCATCCCCCATTCATCATCATCGCCGTTGTCGACGAAGAGGGAGGAAAAGGCTTGCAGCATATCTGCGAGGGTGTGTATGTTCCCGTTAATTAGCTGCTAATTGACCGGTGAGCACCGTCAAGCTCTAGCTTGTACGCGAGACATTGACAATGGAACTCGCAGAGCTTCTCTGAATTCCCCGCCTATCTTTCTTTCGTCCCTAGGAGGACTTTATGCTCTTACAGTCGCCACTCTTTCTATCCTCACAGTCCTTCGTTATTGCTAGCCATGCCTGCAACTCGCAGACATCATCTACACATCGCCCGTCAACCCCAGGACATTCCTGAAGTTCCTGATCTTGAGGGCGTGGGTGGAACCATTTCCGTCACTGCAAGTGCAGCAGCGACAGGATCTCTCCTTCTTCCTTCCGGTGCCCCTGGGGCCACGTCCGTCTCTGCCCCGCCGCTTGCTGCTAATCCAATCACCCTCACGACTACGCCTTCAGATACGCCGTCCGCCACATCGCTTGCACCGTCATCTACACAATCAGTAGCTCCTCAGTCTGCTTCATCCTCTTCCGCGCTCTCTGTTGGAACCGTTGTTGCGGCATGCGTCGGAGCTTTCGTTGGCGCAGGTCTTCTCATCTGCCTTCTGCTTTGGTGGTGCAGGCGACCCGCTGGACAAAAGTCTCGTGCACGCTCAGGTACCCTTAACGCCCGCAACGCCCAAGGGGAAATTGACCAGCGGCGTGCTCGCGGTCGCAGTTGGAACCAATTGGGTGATGAGGAGGACAGATGGGAGGGAATGTCAGGAACAAGCAAGCATGAGAGTCAACAGGACATTGACGAGAAAAACTTCGGCATGTTCAAGAAGACGAATAGCATGCGTACCACTCGTACTGCGAGGGCCTTGGAAGAACATGGTTTCGACCTCCCGCCTCTCGAGTTCTCCAAATACCATCCTCAGCTTGCTGAAGAGCTTGCGCAACCCGAGAAGCCGTTCGTCACTCGCCAGAACAGTGCCGCCATCTCTTGGGATGGAGAGACTGTTGGCGACGACTCTTTCCTGTCCTTGCGTTCTGTACGCGTCGACTCCGGCGCCATGTCGCCAACGCTCAATATGGCAAAGATGACGCCGCCCGCCGTCAGTTCTGTCATACATAAATGGGAATCAGCAGAAGTCATCACTGTTGAGGAGCCAGTTGCTAAAGCGCAGAATCCCTTCACGGACGCCGCTGAGGAGCGGAGGAAAAGCGGTGCCAATCCGTTCTTTGGGGCTCAGGATATCAAGCGGACACCTAGTCGTGGTCGAAGCCGGAGCAACAGTCGTAGCAGTCGTCACAGTCGTAACACCAGTCGGGCTACTACTCGCAGCCGAGCCGTTAGTGAAAGCCATCCTGACCCATTCACCGATGATGCGTTGGCTGGTATCCCTAATTTCAAGGGCCATCTCCATACCGAATCCACTGGGAGCAACCTAGGCTCCGAGCATGCCATGAAGTCACTTATCGCTGCTTTGAACTTGACCCAGGAGGAAGTGGAAGAACGGCTGCGTGTGGCATCCTTCCACCCCTCGATCAGCACTCGTTACTCTGGCACGTCGGTTATAACGGACGACCAAGACGACGCTGTCACTATCCGTGGCTTCCCGGCGCCTCCCACACATTAAGCCCTGTCACCTCGCACCCCGCTCTGATGTTCGTATCATGAGTTTGCGTCATTTCGACCTCTCGAACACTCTATGCCTCGTCCTTGCCCCCGTTCCCGTTGCCGATGCGCTACCGGCCTGCTATTTACCCTTGGTGGGCAGCTAACACCTTCCTTTCCTTACCCTGACTGCCCATCCGGTTTTCCTATTTGCGATCCGAGATCCCTGTACGATGCTTTGACTATTCATTTCGAACCCTCCCACCTCAGAGCTTTTATCCTTATCTTAGTTTTATTCCGCTCGAGTATCTAGTTGGCCCATCCTGATTCCCCCATTACTTTGTTATTTTCTTCCGCTGATACCTTTTCGTTTCTGCCTGTATATTTCCATTATTGTCATCGTCAGTTGGACATCCATCCTCGCGCTCCGCTGACACCCCCCTTATTTATGAAGCGGTTGGATTACCGTTGTGTTTGTCTTGGAGTAGGGGTGTTTTTGGCCGTATGGCTACTTTCGTCCTCCCTGTTTCGTTGTAGAGAATAGGAAAATGCATCACGCTTTCTTTTTTGCACTTATTGTACTTGAGCAGCTTAGGTCTCAAAGCCATATACCGAATCTTTGGATAGTTGGACAGGATGTCAAAATTCAGATATCGTCGGACTGATCTGCCCGTTCTAGGGAAGAACCAAAGTCAGTTACGGTATGATACTGTATCAACTGAGTATGGCGTTCCTTGACATCTCTGAGAGAGGTACAGGTTTCCCTCGTCCTGAAGATATATAATACATGACGTCCTTTCCAACGTATTTTACGCTTTCCTTCCTTTCCCTGATGTCTCAGTTGTGTCGTCCAAGCGATCTTGGTGCGGGAAGATGCCAACCACTACGCCTGCCGCTTATAGCATGTGGTTCGCGCTTGCGCGCCGTAACGACCGGCATCTCTTGCACAACCAACAGTAATTCTGTGCTTGACTGTGCCAAATGTTCCAAGGGTAGTCTAACGATTTTATCCTCTCCATTCCCTCTTTCAAAGCGTTCGGCACCTCTGTGGCCTCAGTGCCCGTTCATCAGTGAACGCAAGAGGTTTCACAGCCATCGCTTCATCACCGCCGACCGCTCATTAAACTAATCGACCCGACCTCTGCCATTCCTTTCTAACCTCCACTCATTTGGGTTCCGGGCTCAAGACTCACTCTTTGAACTCGTTCAATCATCTCCTTGACTTTCCCACCTACTCTGATACCAAATTTCATTGATATATTCGCAACGAGTGTACATCATGGCACCTCCCATCTCGTCCTTGGCCGCGCGCGATTTCATCCCTGTCCAAGGCGCTGTGTCTGAGAACAAGCTGACGCCTGTAACAATTGCAGGCATCGTGGTTGCATGCGTCCTTGGTGTAGGTGTTATTTTATGGTTGGGCATTCGTTGGTATCGTAAGAAAAGAAGTAAAGCACGAGGAGATAATCGTGCTTCAGCTTTCTTGGCTGTACGTGGAGTCACGAAGGAGGGAGAGGAGCCTAAGGACACGTTCTCGGGGTACGTGCATGTATCACCCTGTGGCTATCGGTCATTGCGGACAATTGTCATTAATATCCTGTCTGTTGAATTCGCAGCAATCTTCCAGCTATCGCTATCGGCGGAAATTTGTTCTCAAGAAGCCAGTTGGATTCTGGCATCGTTATGCCGCACAAGACATTAAGTCCCAATGCTACGCGCGAAGAGATTGTGCAACATCATAAAGAAGAGGGTACTCTCCCTCGTCCATTCGCGCCATTCATGGGAGACGGCTCCACCTTGGCACCTCCGTCTCCGTTAGAAGGATCTAATCGATCTTCAACTGCTTCCTTCCTTTCTATCGCCCGAAACTCTTTCCTCAGCTCGAACTCCAGACGTATCTCGGTAGCGTCTGTTGCGAGCACAGGGTCTGGCGGAGCTGTTACAACCGCTGGTGGCGGCACAGCACGCAAAGTCCGCCAAACCTTCAACCCTGTCCTGCCAGACGAACTTGTCATCAGCGTTGGCGAACGTGTTACCAGTATGTTAAATTGTTATGATGTAAATTGAATGGAAACTAACTGTTTGCTATTTATAAGTGGTTAACTCGTTTGACGATGGTTGGTGCATCGTTGGCAGAGACGGCATGGGCGGTACTGTAGAACTTGGCGCAGTACCAGCATGGTGCTTCATCAAGCCTGCTCCAGGTCTCCGCGCCGACCGACCGCTTCGAACATCCAGTTTGGGTGTTACGATCAACATTGACGCGGGATCTGGACCACGTCAGGATGTCATCTCCTGGTCCAACTTTTAAACCATTCGACCGGTGCTCTTTTTCTTTGTCTTTTCTTCGCAGATTTTACGACCCCTTGTGGCCATGTTGCGTCAAGACAACCGGTGTAGATTCGCCGATCCTCCTTCCTCCTTCGGTGAAGGTTCTCTTTCATGAGTTTATGTTGCATCTTCATACCTACATGGGCCTCCTTTTGCCCCCTCCCTTCTCCCGTGCCTGCCGGCTTACCGTTCTTCTTCGACGTGTTCTCAGGTACTGATACCAGTTCATTCTTAACGCATACCTTCATCATGATTCCCTGGTCTGCTGGTTTCCCTTCCACTTGCATGTCCCTCGAATGTATGTCTGTTGATCTCGCTGTAGATAATCGCTCAGGTGCAATCTCTGCTTTTGTATACCGTGCTTAATACTTTGGCTCTCATCTCATAGAGTCACGTAAACTACTCTTCTGAAATCTAGTCTCTGTTCTGCTTGCATTGAATTCTGTGAATCATTACGATTGCTATTCGTGGATAAGCGCTTAAAGCGCTCATGCGAAAGGAAATTAGGCGCTTGATGAACTTACACTGGCCGCAGTGGTGGATGTAGAGGTCAGGCTTGAAAACGGCCAGATCGTATGGCTAGCATGGCGGAATATCAGGGTGCGTTCCACGTAATTTGTCAGAGGCAATTTCTGAGAGTCTGTTTCTTAACGAGCTTGTATTACAGACCTGGAATTACTTCAACTTCCCCACCGAGACTAGGCTCGCTTCCAGCCTCTCGATACTTTCGGAAGACAATCGTTCCTTCGTATACACCGAGACATGTTACGTCTTCAAAGCTCAGGCCTTCAGGAATAGCATAACGCCGAGTGGCAGCTTGAGGCTTATCCGGACGGTACTAGTTGCACCTCTGAGCCATATGACCTCTATCGCTATCACTCTCCCTCAGGATGTCCAAGGTTCGTACCCAGCCGGACGTACAGGCAGTGAAGTCATCTCACGTGTATCGTTGGTTTGAGTGATGTGAGTTGGACACTCTCGGAAATTATATGCTCCGATTCAATTTTAGCATTCACCGAGTGAGACAGGGCAGAAGCTCGCTGGACGTGAGACTGAGCGGGGATACATCGCAAAACAGCGGCGTTTCCGACATCTTTCGCATCCTGCTGTGTTCCACTGACAGCGCTAAAAATTGTGCAAAGGCGATTAGGAATCGTCAATGCTAATTCCCATGTAACCATTGGTTCCTGGAATAAAAGAATGACGCTTTAGGACGCATTACAAGTTAATGTACGTGCATATTTCTAAGCAACATTCCCAAGCACGCATTCCTATCGAACGCCTTCACGTCTTTGACAGCTTCCTGACCTCCTTCTTCTGCTTCGCCCTGCCAGGCGCGCTCTCGCATGGCATTGGCGGCTCAAACAATGGGAACGACGACCCAAACGGAGGCGATCCTTCATCTGTTTACTTAAAATGGTTCGTCTCGGTTCTCATGGAATAGGAGGCATTCATGACAGGCACTTCGGCAATTTGTTGTCCTCAGCTGACCTCAGAATCGCTCAACGAGCTGCTGCTACTGCTGTTACAGAATACCGATCGGGACCTTTTTTGGTTCTCTTCCTTTGGGACAAGCTGGACCATTGCCTAGTTCTACCACTACATCTAGGGAGTCGACACCGGGTTTGCGTCATACAGGCACACACCGTATGACCTGCAAATTGCGGTGGCATTGTTCACCTTCTGTGCGACAATATTTGATGATCGAACTTAGTTGGATCCTAAGGCAATGCGAGAGTTCATTCCTCGCTTTTGTCTTGGTCAATCACAACTCCATCCTTTTCTGATCTTAAACATCTTCCTTGTTCGGAACGATCTTGGTACAGCTTCCTGCACCGGTGATATCACTCAAACGAGACACTCTTGGGGTAGCAGTCAAGTCACCCTTACGGTGAAACACATTGATTGGGCATCGGCCCCTCATTGAACTGTTATGGAACGCCCGCCGTAGGACTTGAGTTTCTACAGAGCCCGGAGGGACTTGGACGCATCTCCCGAAATGTATGGCCCGGGGTGGATATCATGCCAGTGGTTCACACTGTCAGACAGCCTCATGGAGGCTAGTTCGCACACCTATTTGGACGATCTCAATGCCCATCCAAGATATACGACTCTCTCTGAGTTGGCAGCACGAGGTCAACGGCTATCCGAGATTTATACGTAAATCTGCTTGACTGAAGTGGATCTCTGAGTGCCGTTTCCTACTGTCAAAGTACACGCCTTGAATTTAGAATAGTAGGTACGTCATGTGGAAGGACATGTCATTAGTCGCTAGAAGCCAACAACGGTCACAAGCGTCAATGGAATGGCTTGAAAATTCGCCCTGTCTCGCTTCGCGAGGTACTGTCACAGTGCTTAGGTTATGTGTAGACCAGCGATGAGATACTACCGGTCTCGGAAACTCCGCACGCTGCCTTGATCAATGCCAAGCGTTCGCAACTACAGAGCCTCACTGAAGTTGGAGAACACAAGACTCAAGAATACGCGATAAAGATGAAATAGCCTTTATGCAACTGTGGGTTCAACTTCCGTTTTCTATAGCCACTCGCGCTTGTCACTGAGTGTCCACGTTTTTTACGTCGTGGCTCTACGTGCGTCTTCAAGTTTTCACTACGATCTTTCTCTAAATGCTCTGACAGAGGCCTGTTCCGTATTTCTCTCTGACAGCCTCGTAGTCGTTTCCATTTGCCCGCGCTCGTCACGTTAAAATGCACGCAGAAGTAATAGAAACGAAGATTCTACATCAAGAAGACCCATCTTTATGTATAGGTTAGCCTATCTCGGGCTGCATACAACCGGGCATTTTCTGACAGGCAATCAAGGACCTGATAATCCCGGCTTCGCCAATGCAATCGTTCAACTTCCGGCTGCGAATGAATACCGTAACCAACTTTGTTTCTTTTTTCGTCCTGCCCCACGTTGCCGTTTGCAGATGTGTGTTTCCCCTTCAACGCCGCAGGTTGAGACCATCGCATGATTCTCTCTAAATCTCGAAAGCTAGGCCGAAATGGCTTCGTTGTCCTCTCAAGATTCTCCGCGTTATCTTGGATGACGCCTTTGTACTATGTTTGCTGTGACTTCCATTCATATGACTGACATGGTAGGGCAGATTCGGATGAATATTTTTGCGCGTCTCCGTGTTCAACTATACACGGCCGCTACAATACATTCTGTAATCAAGGCGCAAACAAAGCAGCGGTGAGACATCGCTGGGTGTTGAGTTTTATTCGCTTTGACCCAGTTTATTGGAAATCTGATAGTATAAGAAGACAGACCATTATGCTTGCCTTCACCAGAGTTACCTGTCTGTTCTACGTACGCCTCCTCCTCAGCTTTTCAAATGGCCATCACTGTCGCAATGGTATGTTACTCTCTACTACATAACATCGACTACCTCGGCTTACCTGCTGTTATCTTCTTTCTTCTAGGATGCAGAATTCGCTGCAACGATATCACGACGGGCGATTCTGTCCTATCTACAGCAGACTGGCGCTGCCAAACGTTTTCCCCCTCGTTCTCCGCCTACCACTGTAGATCATACCGTCAGAGAGGTCATCCGCTCTTGGAATCTCGACATCCCGGAGAACGTCTATGAGAGGTACATTGTCTGCGGTGTCGACATCGGGTTTGCGGCGTACCAGCACACTCCCTATGACTTGCAGATCGCGATCGCATTGTTCACTTTCTGTGCAACAATATTCGATGATCGAACTTGGTTGGATCCTAAGGCAATGCGAGAGTTCATTCCTCGCTTTTGCCTTGGTCAACCGCAACTGCACCCACTCCTCGATCGTTTCGTCGAAAGCACGATGAACTTGCGCAAGTTCTTCCCTCTATATACCGCCAATACAATCTGTTCTGCCGTACTGGAGTATGCGAATGAAGAAGTTTACTGCGCCGAGGATGTCGATCAGACCATGCTACGTCCGGGAGCTTGGCAATATGTCGAGTATACCAGACTCAAAAGCGGAATCCCAGAGCCTTACGCCATTGGTATCTGGCCAAGTTCTGTTTGCTCTGATTTGAAGGAGTATGTCCAGGCAATTCCGTACGTCTTTCGAATTCTACCTGCTCCAATCATAAATCTCATCTGGTTCTTGTTGCAGTGAAGCTTTGTTATTTATCAATCACGTCAAGTGAGTTGTATCTATGTCTGATGTTGTAAGATCTGAAGCTGAGACATCGCAGTGATCTCTTCTCTTTCTACAAGGAAACCCTCGAAGGAGACCGGGGAAATTACATTAATCAGTATGCCCTTGTCCACGAAAGGTCAACCTCGGAAGCCGTATCAGATTTGGTGGACAAGTTGGTGTCTGTGGCGGAAAATGTCAGGAATATTCTTGGGGATGGAAGCGCGAGGGAAGCTTGGGAAGATTTCGTTTCTGGCTATACTCATTTCCATCTCTATTGTCCGCGTTACAAATTGGCTGGAATCCTCCCAGAATACTTCTGAATAGGGCACTGTATTTGTTATTTCGATATTTATTGTGAACACAAATGTCAAACATAGTTTGGAATTTAGCTAGTAAAGCATTCCCGGCATAGCTGGCATGAGCCTTGGGATGTCTCAATGTTAATTCATTCTGCCATAATCTTCCATGCAGAGATGGCGTCGGCGAGTTGTGAATGCAGAGAATAACACAGATCAAACACCGGTGGTCTTGAGGATGATGGGCACGAACTCCATCTGCCATTATGAGGAAGCAAACGATGGTCAGTGCTGATGCGGTCCTCGTGCAATCTTATTAGATCTTTTTAGTAGAAATGTGCCAAATTTGCCACGTGTTGTGCGCGGGAGATATGTATAAACATTGGTGTTGATAGGACTCAAATCAAACTAGAAATGAGCAGGTGAAAACCATTCGAAACTTGGAGTTAATCCGAAGTTCGTCTGGTGTATATATACAACTATTATCTAAATACATGTGGTAACAATGTGTTCGTATGTACTTATGGTATCGGTCAGGTTCGAGCATGGATCAATGAATGTGTTTGGGCAGGTTTTAATAAGTGGTTACAAATGAATAACGAGAGGGAAAGGTGTGTTCGTAGATCCGAAATGAAAGTGATCGTAACATTACCCCCTCCTCTAGAATCGTGTCCTCACGATTGATTTATGATAGATATGGAATTGTTCAATCATACCATGATGATCCATTCTTCCGAGTTTTCTCTCTCCCGTTCTCATAGGCATACAACCCAGAGTATTACTCCAACAGTGCATAGGATTATGCCGCCAAAGACGCTAAGGATGATGGTTCCATCTTTGTCCATTTCTACCAAAGAGCTTTCATTGATTGAGTGAATGAATGTTCTAAGATAGGGGAATCCATACTTGGGATTGATGTTGGTTCGACGAGTTGATAGAAGGAAAGAATGGGGTATTGCCATTCGAGTTTGACTTTCGTAGGCGCGGATGTGATTGCCACGTGTGTCAGTTTGAGCGTCTGCTCATTGATGATCCATAACTCGCCGGCATTCGGGTAGTGCTGATTAGATATGATTTGTGCTTTTCTTCAATTTTCGAATAATTTAATTGAATCTGGGTCTACGGATATCATTGCTTTTTCTTTCTTTCTACGTTCTGCCCATCTCTGTACTTTCTGATCCCAATAATCCCATTCTTCTTGTGTCGCTTCTCTAGGAAATGACTGTTCCATAATTTGTGCCTTTAGCAATATTCTTGTGGGTGCTTTCGGCGCATCGGGATGATCTTTATGGAATTTGTCAATAATCTTTTTGTCTATATTTTTAATAATTTTATGACGAGGTTCCCATGTGTTTTCAGAACGTGGTTTTCCAGCCCACTTGATTAGATATTGAAGACCCCCACGTGCCATCTTGGAGTCCAATACGGATTCAGCTTTGTCTTCTAAGATATCAATAATTATTGGAATGTTTTTGTGTGTTTTCTGATTAGGGAATTCTGGTGCATGATACGGCAACAATAAAGTTTCATTGAATACGGGATGTACACCTTTCCACGATTTTGGTAATTTGAGCTTGTATGCGCTAGCTCCAATTTTCTTGATAATTGGGAATGGTCCGTATCTTTTATCATCTAATTTTCGATTTGATCCATCCGTGCGTATATGTGTGGCTTCAAGCCACACTAAATCTCCATCTTTATAATTTATGGCTTTGCCTTTATGTTTATCGTATTGTCTTTTCATAACATCCTGTGCTAACGTTAATGATGCTGATGCTTCTTCTTGGATTTTCTTCATTCGTGCTACAAACTGCTCTGCAGTTTCATTACGAATTTCCTTTTTGGTTTCTACACCAGTGTAGGCTTCTCATCCGTGATTCATGTAAAATGGTGAAAATCCAGTTGCAGAGTGGACTCTATTTCGATATGCAAATGTTGCCAGTGGCAACCATTCTGGCCAGTCAGTTTGTCGATGATTGATGAATATTCGTAAATAGTTTTCAATTTCCTGATTGATTCGTTCAGTTTGTCCGTCTGTCTGCGGATGATATGCTGTACTAGGATTTCCCTGAATTCCTAGTTTTTTATATAAGTCTTTTATGAAGCTGGAAACGAATTGCGGTCCACGGTCTGATGTCATCTTTTTTGGTAATCTGTGCAACGGATATACATTTTTGATATAAAGGTTAGCCCATCCTTCTGACGTCAATTGCTCTGTGGTTGGTATTTCAATGTAGTCTTTTGATTTCATATCCACAACTACTCATGCCCACAATAAGTAACCGGCGCCAGACGCGCGGCGCGTCGCGTCACGTGACTCACATCGATTTGAGGAGGAGACAACCGACTGTCTATGGAACAGACGGCACTACAACTGTATATACAATGTATTAGATATCTATTCTAGCTATCTATGTATTTAAAAACTTGTATGTCCACCATGAGCAGCCAAGACAGCCTCAACTCTGTCTGGCATCCGATTGATGTGCTTGTTCACATCTTCTATAGGTAATTCATCCCACACATGACGGACAGCAGCTTGAAGCTGTTCTTGGGTATTCAGAGAATGCCTGAGATTACGCAGAGCAGATTTGACCTCATGCCAAACACGTTCAATGGGATTGAGATCTGGGAAATTGGGGGGATGGAAGAGAAGTGGTATCTCATGATCAGTGAACCATCGTTGGGTTGATTTGCTGGTGTGGCATGGAGCATTGTCCTGTTGGAAGGTAATGGGACCCCTCTGTAGCTTCATCTCTTTATACCAATCCAAAAAAACCCCATCCAACACCTGTTCCCGATATCTAGCAGTGTTCATACCCCCACCTCTCCCTCCTGGGTATTCCAACACAATCAATGGCCCCTTGCGCCCCTGAATAATGCAAGCCCAGACCATAACACAGATGGAGGACTGCTTGAAGGTTGGTACTAGGCATTCCTCTCGCAAGACTTCATCAGGACGGCGTGTAATGTAGATTCGGCCTCGATCATCTCCCAAGTAAATATAGCACTCATCGGAGAATGCAACTTCTTGCCAATCCTGGCTTGTAAAGCTCTTGTATTTCTGTGCCCAATGCATGCAAGCCTTCTTCTGCTTCTTAGTAAGGAATGGCACTTGACGAGCAATCCGACGACCATATCCTCGTTCCTTGAGAATGCTCCGAACAGTGCCCTCACTGATCTTCGGGTCTACCTGGTTTCCAATCTCTGCAAATGTCACCCTCCGCTCTTTCACTGCCCTCCTCACCACCAGAGCCTTCATGCGATCCATGACTTTGTGTGGACGACCAGAACGGGGGCGATTGTGTGTGGTGCCAGTTTTGATGTACTTGTGCCAGATGTCTGATGCTGTCTGGCGTGGGATGCCTGTAAGCCGTGCCGCTTCAGTGATGCTCATGCCGGCTTGGATGGCTCCAACTAGCTGGTTCTTCTTAGGAGAATCATGTTGAGAGCGAGAAGATTTAGTAATGAGCATAACAAGCACATGTGTTATAGGTGGATGCTGGAGTACGGACTAAACAAAACTACATCTGTACGCGATGCGACGCGCTGGGCGTCTAAACGCCGGTTACTTATTATGGGTGCGAGTACTATGATCGCATTATGCCCTTGCGATTCTGGTAAATGTGTAATCATGTCTACAGATTGATATTCCCAGTTGTGTTCCGGAATTGCATTTGGGTGCAGTGGAGCATTCTTCGGTTGATGGTTAATCTTGGTTTTTTGACAAGTCTCGCAGCCTTTTACATATATTTTTACATCTTTTTTGATTGAAGGCCACCAGTATGATCGATAGATTAGTTCTTGTGTTTTTGCTTGTCCAGGGTGACCGGCACTAATCGAATCATGATGCGAATGAATGATTTCTCCTCTAAGTTCCTTGTCGAAAGGGATAACAATTTTCCCCCTTCTCCAGATAAGACCGTCCTCGGTCTCATTGAAGTCGGCATCTTTTGTCAAGAGTTTTAATCGTACATTGTTTTCATATTTATCAGTGTTTTTTATGATTTTCTCCCGTAAAGCTGATGATCCGAGGATTTCATTGGCTCAGAACCATTCTGGTTTTAACAACGTAATGTTTTCATTATGACTATCTCCAATATCATGGTGGGTCTGTCGCGATAAAGGGTCTCCCTTCGTCATTGTGTTTCTGGGTTTGTGAGTCAAATTGAAATCATATTGTTGTAATTCTTGGATCCATCGTGCCTGGCGATGATTCAACTTCTGAGGTTTTTTGAAATAGCCAAGGTTCTTGTGATCGGAATGAATTTTGAATTTCTGGGCAGCTCCCATCAGGAAGTGACGCCATTCTTCTAATGAGATCATGATGGCTAGCATCTCTCGATCGTAGATCTCATAATTTCTTTCAGCCGGTGAAAGGCTTTTTGAGAGAAAGGCAATGGTTCGCCAATGTCCATCTTGCTTCTGTGCAAGTTCTGCTCCAATAGCATATTTGGATGCATCGCATTCAACTTTGAACTGATCTTCATTGTTCGGAATACCTAATACCGGTGCCGTGATAATGGTTTTCTTTAGAAGTTCGAAAGCTTCCTGCTGTTCTGGACCCCAGGTCCATTCTACTTGTCCGGTTAATTTATTCAAGGGAGTGGCAATTTTGGAAAAGTCTTTGATGAATCGTCGATAGAAATTGGCAAATCCAAGGAATGACTGTAATTCCTTTTTGGCTTTTGGTACTGGCCATTGCGTAACTCCATCGACTTTGGCAGGATCCATCTTTACAGTTCCTTGCGAAATAATATGTCCGAGATATTCTGTTTCTTGAGTTTCAAACTCGCATTTTTCTGGTTTGCAGGTTAACTTATTTTCTCGTAATATTTTAAGAACTTCTTTCACAATACGGCGATGTTCCTCCAGGGATTCGGAAAATATGAGTATATCGTCAAGATATATGATTACTTTTCCTTTGAGAATGAGATTATGGAAAATGTCATTCATCATCATCTGGAACGTAGCAGGACTATTTGTCAATCCGAAGAACATGACAGTTGGTTCGTATAGTCCTCTATTTGTGATAAATGCAGCTTTCTCTTCATCTCCTTCTTTCATGCGAATATTATTGTATCCCCAGCGAATGTCCAGTTTCATGAAATATTTAGCACCTTTGAGCTTATCAATAAGCTCTGAGATCAATGGTAATGGATATTTATTTTTTTTGGTCATATCGTTGAGTTTTCGGTAATCCTGTACTGGTCGCAATTTGCCATCTTTCTTTTTGACAAAGAAGAAAGGTGCTCCCCAGGGAGACTTTGATGGTCGGATTCTTCCCATCTTTAGGTTTTCTTCAAGGAAACCGTCTAGAATTTTTTGTTCTTCAACAGTCATGGAATACACCTTGCCTGCATACGGTGATGAATCTGGTAACAGTTCTATTGCATGGTCCCATGGTTTCCTTTCTGGAAGGACATCGAAAGTCTCCTCAGTAAATATGTCTGTGAATTCACGATACTGTTCGGGAACCATTTCTTCGAAGGTCTTTTTCTTTTTTTGTTTACTTTGTTCAATTGCTATGTCCATGGCTGTTACGCGCATTCGCTGAATATATTCTCCTCTTTCTTTATACCAAGCATTGGTATTGAGTAAATATACGGTATCTCCTTCTTCGATCTCTTGTTGTCTTATAGTGACGCACGTGTGTGGGCATCAGTTAAAGTCAACAAGTTGCAATTTGAAGTCTATTGATGGATTATGGTATTCGATCCATTCATATCCGAGGAATATGTCTGACTTCCCCAGATCGGTAACTAGAAGCATGATGTTCTCTTGGTGATCGCCGATTCGAAGTGTGAGTCGGACATATTCTGTGATCGGTCCCTGAGAATTCTCGCTGTTATCGGTGTTATAGACTTGGATTGGTTGATCAAATCTAGAGGTTTTAATTCCATGCCTTTTGACAAAATTATAATTTATGCATGATCCGGTACTACCGGTGTCGACTAATGCTACTGTATCATGGATTCTTTCTGTTTCCGGGATGATCACAGTGACCGGTAGGTCCATTTGTTTCCCTCTTCCAAGTCCTTTGACAACTCGGAGTAGTGGTGGTCCAATGTCTGTGATGCTTTTATCCGACACACTCAGTTTATTTTCAATTTTTTTTGTATTTTGTTTAGAGGAATCAAGCACAGGTTCCGCCCTGCCGCGCTTCTTGGTAGAAGACGCCTCTGCGTTAGATGAAATATTTACAAAAGGGGACTGTCCAGTCTGAGTACTATATGCATGTGTCGAGGATGTTTTCATAGAACCCTCCAGGGGTTTATCCGAGTCATTGTTCTTATCCAGCAAGTTACTTTGTGCGTTTAAGCCTTGCCCGAGCCAAAATTCAGCTTCTTCGCCTTCTCCGGATTCTTCTCCATCCATCGCCGAACCATGGCGATCATCTTGTCATCGTCGTCATTATCTGAGTCGGAGATCTCCTCGATCTTGGACTCTGTCTTGGTTTCATTCTTTCGAACACGTTGAGTGTTCGTGGAAGGTCCCGATCGATTGGGAACGTGCCATGCACTTCTGCAAGTGCCCTTCTCTGATTGCTTAGCCTTACACTTAAGGCAATTCCTGTCCAAGTCCATGGGCTGCCCTCGCCCTGTGAACATTATTCCGGTTCCATCCTTCTTTTCTCCGTAGTCCTTCTTCGGACTCTGATTCTGAGTTTGACCCGATCCTTGGGTCTGCTGTTGATAACTAGGGTATTTCTGCCCATAGTTCTGGTTCGATCGGAAAGGTCGATATCCAATCTTCTTCAAACGCTTCTCTTCTTCCCGCTGTCTTCGCGAGGAATCAATGTCAATGATTGCTTCCTTCCACTGTGCATAAGTGGTTGGTCGCGTATCTCTGTCAAGAGCCCTATCTACTATGGACTCATTGCAGTTTAGTCGGACAAGGTCGATAGTGTGTTTATCGTCCTTCTTTCTGCCTGCTTGCGTGATGTACATTTCCAATTTCTGGAAATATTCTTGCGCCGTCCCATTGCCTTGGGTCAAGTTATCCATTTGGATAACTGCTTGTTCGACTCAATTTGTATCGAGGAATTGGTCATCAAGATCAAGAATCAATTGATAGAAATTGACTTTCCAGTGATCGGTACTGATGTCAAATTCATTTTCAAAATAATTGTTGACCCAGTCGTCAACCTTTGGACCCTTCATGTATGAAAGAGTCATGTCAATCTTCTGTTCATCAGTAAGACCGGTGTTCTTCGGTGTTCGGAACCATAAGTACAGTTGTCTTTTGAAAGACGGGTATTTGTCTTTGGTTCCATCGAAGTCTGAGGGTTTCCCTCCAGATGCCTTTGTATTGGGCTGTGGTGGGGCTGCTGGTGGATTGTTCGGTGGAGGTGGCGGTGGATTTCTGGGTGAATTTGGGTTTCCTCCCGAAGGTGGTGGTGGTGGTGGATTCACTCCGAGACTGCCTGTTCCAGATCCAGTAGAACCCATTGGTGATATCGGTGAAGGTGGTGTGGGATTTGTAGGGGATGAGTGTGGTGATGGTACGAGTGGAGGTGGAGATCGACGTGTGTAGTATTGATAGAGTGGTGCAGAGAATTCGAATGAAGACATGGTGTGTGAACAATAGTGTCTTGTACCGGGCGCACAACCCTGTTCTGGTACTTAGACGAGTATAGATCCGAGGTAAAGGTACTCCTTCAAAGTGTTCCGGCCAATAGCCGATCCGGACACACGAAGTAGGTAGGTATAGTGGTTACATAAAATGATTTGGCCTTAGAAGGTGCAAAAAGAGAAATTGATCTCTGCGGTAGTTGTCTTTCGACGTGCGAGAGGATCAAGAAATACCAGCGAGGTTCGAAACCTCCTGCCGTACACTCAGTCGTTTAGATCTGAGCAGGATAAATTCTGGTAGGATTTTTCAACGGCCCCTCTGTCAAGAAGGTTGCAGCACCGCCTACTTCCTGGTTGCTTCAAGAGCGGACTACCAGGTGAGAGTAATGATTTATATACTAAGGGAATACAAGGGTCGCAATCTACAGTTGTAGTCGCGTGATTACCCAGGTGGAGGAGTGGAGTGCGATATGAAAGGTAACTAGGAATGTGGAATTCGGATCCCTCCGAATGAGGTCTTGAGCGAGTAAGAGTAAAGCAGAGTTGGGTGAGGAATGAGGTGGTTGCCGTCGAGTACAACGGACTTTGAGAGAGGTGAAGTGTGGGTGGAGGACGAGGCAATGCCTGTCGAGAGAGTGCGAAGGGGCAAGTTTTGAATTATGATAGGACTCAAATCAAACTAGAAATGAGCAGGTGAAAACCATTCGAAACTTGGAGTTAATCCGAAGTTCGTCTGGTGTATATATACAACTATTATCTAAATACATGTGGTAACAATGTGTTCGTATGTACTTATGGTATCGGTCAGGTTCGAGCATGGATCAATGAATGTGTTTGGGCAGGTTTTAATAAGTGGTTACAAATGAATAACGAGAGGGAAAGGTGTGTTCGTAGATCCGAAATGAAAGTGATCGTAACAGGTGTTAGGACGAGTACTGAGAGTACTAACTTCTACCCCGGCGTGAGTCTGTCATACTTCCTTGTTGTACACCTGGTACCGATGCATTTCTACCAGAACAGGAAGCACGCATCCTAACGACTGGGGACGAGTCTCCCTATCTAAGCGGCAAGTTCAAAAGCTTAGTACTCACGATGTCCTACAGGATCCAAGTCTCGTATAAGACCAAGCATTTATCTACTAGTAAGCTCACGAAAACGTTATTTTTGATCTCATATACATCCTCTCTCGTATTCCATAATGTCCCAGACTGCTACAACGGTACGTGGCTTCCTGCTCAGCCCTTGTCGAATGTCACAGACTCTCATACTGAGTGGTCTTTTCTTCAGGATGTAGAGGACATAGGAACAATATTGCGACAGGCAATTGTATCCTATCTAGAGCAGACGGGTGCTGCAGAACGCTTTCCCCCTCATCCTCCGCCTGCTGTTGTGGACGGCAAAGTTAGGGAGGTCATCCGCTCTTGGAACCTCGACATCCCGGAGCACATCTGTGAGAAGGCCATCGTAGTTGGCGTTGACGTTGGGTTTGCGGCATACCGGCACACACCGTACGACTTGCAAATTGTGATCGCATTACTCACCTTCTGCGCGACGCTATTCGACGATAAAAGTCTAGATTCCAAGGCAATGCGAGAGTTTGTTCCTCGCTTTTGCCTTGGTCAACCACAACTGCACCCGCTCCTTGATCGTTTCATTGAATGTACAATGAACTTGCCCAAGTTCTTCCCTCTATATACCGCCAACCTAATTTGTTCGGCGGTACTGTTGTATGCCAACGAAGACGTTTACTGGAGAGAGCATGCCGAGAAGACTACTTTACACCCTAGTGCTTGGCAATATGTTGAATACTCCAGGCTCAAAAGCGGCATGCCAGAAACCTTCGTCGTTAGTATCTGGCCTTCTTCAATCTGCCCCACTTTAGATGAATATGTCCAGGCAATTCCGTAAGTTCTTTAAAGGTCCTACTTGCTTCAATTGTGAATTTCATCTGGTTCCCGTCCCAGTGATGCCTTGTTATTTGTCGATCAAGCTAAGTAAGTCTTATCACCTTGTGTTGTTGGAATGGCAGCTCAGGCTTCGCAGCGACCTCTTCTCGTTCTACAAGGAAACCATCGAAGATCAGTCAAGTTACATTAACCAGTATGCTCTTGTTCACGGACGGTCCATCTCAGAATCCGTGGCAGACATTGTGGAGAAGCTAGTGTCCGTAGTGGAAAGAGTTAGGGTTATACTAGGGGAAGGCACTGCGAGAGAGGCTTGGGAAGATTTTGTTTCTGGCTATACTCATTTCCATGTCTATTGTCCTCGTTACAGAATGGCTGAAATTCTCATAGAATACTTTTGAATAGGACACCGTATTTATGATAGCGATGTATTCTGTGAATATAGATCCCGAACCCGTCTTCAAGTCATCCAAATGTTGTAATGCTCTGCTTGAATAGAGCATGACTTTCTTGGAATTTTCTTGGATACTTTCCTTATAAAGGCACTACACGGATTGATCGAAGCTGCTCAAAATGTGACATGTTGACAGCTCGGACTTGCAGACTACCACTCGAATGCACGGCTAGTCATACAAAAGTCATTTCCATGAGCCAACCACCACCTAATCCGTCTCACTTACTTCGCTCCCATCTCTCCGGGGTGAATACGTTATGGTTTTCTGACGATAACGAACGCCTATATTCGGGCGATACATCTGGAACAGTCATAATCACGTCTACTCGCACCCTTAGATCTATTGCTTCTTGGAAGGCTCATGAAGATAGCGTTCTTAGCGTGCAAGAGTGGGAAGAGTACATCTTAACGTACGCCTTCACATTTGCTTCACTGACTCCTGACCTGACGGTCATCGCAGAGCAGTCATGGACGAGACAACAAGCTTCACGTATGGAACATAATTCAAGATAATGCTTCCAAAGTAAGGGAAGCAGCCTCGCAACCTGGACTTCCTACACCAACCCTGCGATATTCAATGGATGTCAACGCTCTGAATTATTGTCGGTTCTCTTTGATGCCACTATCCGACGCTACTCGAACGGAAGAGACCACAGCTCTGATAGCGCTTCCGAACTTGGTGGAATCCTCCCTGGTGATTATCACTACCTATTCTTCTCGGCTCTAGTTTATTATAACTAAGTGAAATCAGGGAGATGTTTGGACAGTGCCATCTCAAAAGCGCTTACACGCTGCCATTGGAAAGGCGGGCCAGGATCCTACACCGGCCATTGAGGGACGTGGTACCAATGCTACGGGTATGTTTTCAGTTGTCGATTGTGAAGGTTAATTATACGTATCAATTGTAGGGATTATAATGTCTCTGCATCTGTTCACGTTTGCTCATCCACACCATTCTGACCGTACACAACTACGTCTACTATGTGCATACGAAAATGGCGGTGTGACTCTGCGAGCATTTACAAGAACCGACAAGGAAACTTCCGTAGAGGGAATCGGATGGGACGTTATATGGAGTTCGAAACTACATGTTGAATCTGGTATGTTGGTTTGACATATCTAGCATACGCGTGCTGATATATTTGGTATGCGTTAGTTATGGCGATGGCAGTTTCGAGAGATAACGCTCTTGCGTTGACCGTTTCTGCCGATCATCTGATCGGCCGTTACGACCTTCTTGTGAGTATCCTCGCTTTACTGCCGCTTTGTAGAGTCATTGCGGCTAAGCATGCTGTTCAACCCATAGAAAGCAGAGGAAGTAGACACCACTGAAGCATGTGTTGCTCATAGGACGAAATATGCGGGGAATGCCTGCATCGCTATTCGCGATGATGGGAGGGTGTGCGCTGTCGGCGGTTGGGATGGGAAGTACGTGCTTCCCATGTTTGAGGTAAACTTTCCTTACTGACCAAGACCGACAGGATCCGCCTTTACTCAACAAAGTCACTACGACCTCTTGGTACACTGGATTATCACAAGAAAGGTTGTCAGACGCTGGCTTTCGCACACTCAAGGGAGGCGGCGGAGACAATTCATGATAATGAGGACGAGGATGAGATGTCCCCAGAGGAGAGAGAAGAGAGAGGTCGATGGCTGGCAGCCGGCAGTCAAGATAACAGAGTATCTATTTGGCCGTTAATCTCGTTCAGTCGGCAACCTTAGTCATATTTTGTTTTTGTATCGCCCCTTGCTTTCACGCATAAATAGGTCCCTCATTCAAGTCCACTGCAACTCAACTGAACTTGAGTTAACTTAATTGGTTCATTCACTTCGGCTATGAATAACTCTCGGGAATGTCAAATCAGACCTCGTGCTTGCTTTGATGCTTCGCGATCATATGGGTACAAATTCTACCACGCAATCGCCATGAGTTCCTTCAGGTCTTCTTGTTTTCGTACCTTGTTCTGAGACCAGCGTAGGCTCGTCGTTGTAAGCGAAGGTTCTGCCCGTTCCCAAAAGCACGCTCATAAACTTGATTCACCAGTTGTAGATTCAGAAACATTTGTCGAACGTTCATCAGTACACTTTATGAACTTGAACATTCGTGGCGCCCCTGCATAGCACCGCTGGCATTCTGGCGGCATTATCAATCCTTCTTTCGTCTTCTCGCCATATGGTCCTACTGTTACCCTATGTATTCCCGTATCTGACTCGCATTTCATCGGATCAGTTGTCTTGGCTGTCCTCTCCAGCATCGTGACCCTAAAGGCGCAGCCTTTATAAATGGCGTCCCATCCGCCGTCATATCTCAAGTGCCCCAGGACACCCACTCGACGCATACTAGACTCGTCATGACACTAACAGGTCACGTTGGTCAATTTTGTGCCCTGGCACTTACCATGCTTTGTGTGCAAGCCCGACTTCCGAACTTGGGCGCACAAGGCGTGAACCTTCTTCGCTTGCAGAAAGAAACAGGACCTATTGAAAGTCTTCCTCAACCTGCATCTACGGAATTCTCCGTTCTAGCAGCGACGTTTCCTCAGTTCAACTTCACGCAGCCTCTGGATCATTTCACCGATACGGGATTCACGTTTAATCAGCGTTATTGGGTTAGTGATCGACACTTTAAACCTGGGGGTCCTGTCATAGTCTTGGACGGCGGAGAGACTAGTGGAACTGATCGTTTGCCGTATCTTGATACTGGTATTGTGGACATCCTCGCTAGTGCGACGAATGGCTTGGGTGTCGTACTTGAGCATCGATACTACGGTGCTTCGATTCCTGTTCTGAACTTTACTACGGATTCCCTGAGGTGAGAGCTGTCATTTGAGCTGGATGTTAAAACTTCGACTTATGGGTTATAGATGGCTAAACAATGAACAAGCAGCAGCAGATTCTGCCAACTTCCTCCGAACGGTGAAATTCGAAGGTATCGATGAAGACCTAACAGCCCCAGGAACTCCATGGATCTATTATGGAGTAGGCTCTCCAGTTTCTATGTGCATTCTAATTTTACTAATAGGACAGTCCTGTCACTGCAGGGATCATATGCAGGTGCACGTTCAGCACACATGCGAGTCCTATACCCAGATGTCGTCTTCGGCGCAATCGCTTCCAGCGGCGTCACCTTTGCCTCCCTCAAAGATTGGCAATATTACGATATAATTCGACAATTCGCGCCTGCTGATTGTATTAAACAAGTCGAGACGACCATTGTCGAAGTCGACGAGTTGTTGTCTAGTGATAAGACCCAGGCTACGATTCAAAACGTATTTGGATTACCGAACGTTACTCATGTGGAGGACTTTGGGTCTGTCTTGTCGGTGTGTTCATATCATCTCTCTTGAAAGCTTGATGACAACTGACATGTGCAATGTCGTTGTAGTCTCCTTTGGGTGCTTGGCAGAACAACAATTGGGACCCTGCCGTCGGAAGCACCAGTTTCGCAAACTTCTGCGCCGCTTTGGGGACGCCTAATAATACGAGAGTCGAGATCACCAAAGGCGTGAGCGTGAACGCTGCTGTCTTGAACTACGCTGCATATGTCAACAGGGTATGTACCATATTTGTAGTCATGACCTTGTTGATTGCGTTGATTGACGTTGAGGTTTTGTAGACTCTAGTCGCTAGGTGTAGAGCTCCTAACACTCAAGATGATGTAAGCTTCCCTCCAGTCTATCTCTCTTCTAAACTACTGCAGAAGGCTAAGTATTGGGTGACACAGTGTTTTGGTACTTTCGACCCTACAGCGTTCCAAGCGACCGACTTGTCTCAAGATTGGAGGTTATGGAATTTCCAAGTTTGCACTCAATGGGGTTTCTTCACGGTAAGTTTGTTTTGTATTTAATTCACTGCTCATAAATTTGCTCATGCTGGATCTTCATTGTTCATTCTTGTAGACAGCACCGCCAGATCCCGAGCGCCCACGAATCATCTCCAAGTTCATCACCCTGGAGTACTCTGCTCAATTCTGCCAATTTGTCAGTATCTTTTATTCACCACTCTAGCAAAACGACATTGACTTGATTAATACTTATTCGTCAGGCTTACCCACCAGGAGAGCATTTCGCTATCCCTCCACTGCCTAACATCACTGCTGTGAATTCACTCGGAGGATTTGATATAGCCGCGGATCGACTGGCGATCATCGACGGTCAAGGTACGGTTCCGATGCTTTCAATCAGTGTGAAAGAATGGAATGGCTTAATTGTATGAACTTGCTGTACAGCGGACCCTTGGAGGCCTAACACGCCTCATAGCGATGACGCCAAGCCTCGTCCTGACACCACTTTGCGTCCGTTTAAGTTGATTGAGGGTACGTACTTCATTCATGATGTTCTTCGATGCAGTTACAGAGCCTGATTGTTGATGAACGAACTCAGGAGCTGTTCATCACTGGGACGAGAATGGGATCAGTGACCATACGGCGGAACCGCCCACGATCAAGGCTGTTCACGAGCAGGAAGTCGAGTTTGTCAAAGCTTGGTTGAAGGATTTCAAGAGACCTGGTAAAGCATAGGGAGACAAATGTAGCAATACTGTTACAGTAGGAATACAGAAGTACAATGGTGTTATTGAAAATTGTCAGACATCCTGGCGTAGTTAGTCGTACAGTGTTGGAACGTTTGAATACTTGACGTCGCGGGAATAAACATGTCGATTTATTGTTGCAATCAGATAGCCGCTGGCTGTCGGACAGAAGTGTTTGACGTTAACCTCAAATAAGCAGGGCCTCCATTGAAATGCATGCGTACCTATCAAGGAAGCAGCAGAAAGCCGGCCAATATCCAACCGGTCAACGTGCAGCCAGCTGAGCATCAGCGATTGGATTTGAATGAACGGTAACCTGAAATAATCGTCAGCTCATCAACTACTGGGCAACATACATACAACTTTAATATACTAGGGCTCGACAGAATGAAGGCGAATTTAACATACTCGAGCCCGACAGAATAAAGATAAATGCAACGTATTCGGACCCGAAAGGACGAGATGTGAAAGAAATATATTAAAAGAGAGCACGAGACGAGAGATAGACGTACATGGGTCAGTCGTATCTCATTCAGAGGCTTATTCTTGGAGTCCACGGGTGTCCGTTCCATGGTATCGAGGGTAGAGTCCGCACCGTCAATAACCTGTAAAGCCGATGGTTGACAGCCATGTAAACACTTTGACATCGTATGTGAACGATGGATGCGGTACACACTTTGCCAAAGATTGTATACTTTCCGTCTAGATGGGGTTGCTTGGCGTACGTGATGAAGAACTGCGACTTGTTGGTGTCAGGACCGGAGTTGGCCATTGCGACAATACCACGATTGTTGAACTGTGACGTGTTAGCGGGCGCAAGGGCTACTGGAAACTCGTGTTACCTTCAGTGTAGAACGTATTTCATCAGCAAAAGGTTTTCCCCAGATGCTCTGGCCGCCTTTGCCCGTTTCACTAGGGTCTCCGGTTTGGATCATGAAACCCTTAATGTTTCGGTGCCAGATACAATTATCATAGTACCCGGATGCACATAGGGCTAGAAAGTTCTACGAAGTGATCTTCGACTCATCTCTACTTGGCAAGTAGCATGGAAGAGCTTACTTCAGCGGTTTTGGGAACTGCCTCGCAAAAGATTTCGATCTGAGGAGATGGATGAGACGCAAGAATGAAACATGAAGCATAAAAAAAGTTACCTTGATGTCTCCAAGGGTTGTATGGAGAGTGACTGACTGATGCTTGTCAGTTCCGCGGAATCCAGCGACGAATGAGACGCACCATTGTGAACGTTGTGGACAAGCGTGCAATGCGGTGAAATCGGAGGACCGGCGACTCGGCGGTGAGTGATCGGTGGCAGCCTTGTGGAGATCAAGCGGTGTAGTTTCCTGATATGGGCATAATAGAACGGAGGGCGGCCCTGGTGAGCCCCGGGAGATGGCAGCTTCTATCTGGCCATATAAACAGATGAATTCAATCAGTCTTCCCCCTCTTCCGCAACCACCACGAGGGCTTTTTACCCCGCTAGGGCACGTTTGCGTGCACAAGGTCTTTAACTTACCGCTTTCTCTCTTGTAGATCATGATTCGCACACCCAAGCCACCGTCAGTGCACAGTCTCGACGTTAATGATCCTCTTTCGGCCATTCTACGTCCTTCCCCCACGGAGTCCGAACAGGACCGTCAGACGAGGCTTCGCTTGGAGGCTGAGGCGAAACGTGTCAGCGACCGCATCGACGAACAGCTCAACCAGGATCGAGAGAGATTCAAGAAAAGCAAGCAGGACGTCAAGGTATGTTCATTGTCTTGACGCAAAGGAGGGCGCGCTCGCGCGCAAGACAGTATATCAGCGGTCTACACATGGCGCTGTGCGCCCGCCGCGGTGTAATATTGATAAACGAGACTGAAATTACTACTCCTAGCTTCTGCTTCTCGGTCAGGCCGAGTCAGGAAAATCCACCTTGCAGAAGCAATTCCAGCTACTGTACAATCCAACTTCGCTTGACGAAGAGCGGTTGTCATGGCGCGCCGTCATCTACTATAACATTGCCCGCCCTGTACGACGGATCCTGGACGCTCTCGACGCATACGGCGACCTAGACGATGACGGAGGAGATGATTTCTCCTTGGAAATCGACTCAAAATTTGGCACACCAAGCACGGCCAGACTTTCTTCACCAAGTCCCGGTTTCAATGGCAACCCGCTTGAGCAGACATCGTCTTCGATATTAGCCCCCTCGATCAAATCTGATTATGAAGCGCAGCTTACGCATCTACGAGATAGATTGTCACCATTGCTTAATGCGGAAGCATCGCTAGCAGAACGACTTTCCGGCGGCGTCGATGTTTCTGGGTCCGGCAAGGGCAATGTGTTTGTGCGTTCTGGTTGGCAGGCACGATCACTCCTTGGAAAATCAACGAAAGGCCACAACGACACTGGCGGTCGCTTCAGCTTTACCGGTCAGCGTAGTTCGTTGGAGAACTCCTCATCGCGGATGGGTAACCGTGAGATCACGCCAGAGGGACACGATGTCCTTATTGAGGAGATTGCGTCGATCTTACTCTCTTGTAAAGACGATATCCGGGAACTCTGGGAGCATGCTGCTGTACGGAGACTCCGAGACAGACGGAAGTTACGTTTGGAAGAATGGGCTGAATTGTACATATGACCTCTTAACACTCTCACAGGCCTTTACACTGACATTTCCGTTGTCAGCTTCCTCGATAACATCGATCGCGTCGCATCTAGCGGTTACATTCCAACCATGGGTATGATAAACTCCCCCTAGCCGTGACTGCGTAGTCTCTGACTCGTAGTATTATAGACGATATACTGCATGCACGAATTCAAACCATGGGTGTGGCCGAGCACATCTTTGATATGTCCGTTCATGGTCGCACCGTAACATGGCATCTTTATGATGTCGGAGGTGCCAGAGGACAACGGCATACGTGGATACCATATTTCGACGATGCGTGAGTCTTTTGGCCATTCCGGCGTTCCAAGAAATAGTCGATTGATCGTCTTCAATTGTTCATAGGAACGCTATCATCTTCTTAGCACCCGTTAGCGCGTACGATCAAGTAAGCATTGGTTATTCAATGCAAAAAGCTGGATTCTGATTGGGAACGTCGGCTTAGTACCTGGATGAGGATCCACGGACAAACAGGATCGATGATTCTCTTCAGCTGTTTACGGATATTTGCTCGAATCAATTATTGAAGAAAGTCCACCTAGTCCTGTTCCTCAGTAAGTTCTTTTCCTTTTTATATGCAATGTTCACTTACCGTCCTACATAGATAAGACTGATGTCCTGCAAAACAAACTTGAACGAGGTATTAAGGTCAAGAAATAGTACGTTTCGCGGCATTGTCTGATCGCCTTGCTATGATCTCTAATTTATCATTCTGTGATGTTTAGCATTACTTCGTATGGTGACCGACCAATGGAGTTCGAAGCCGTGGTGAACTATTTCAAAGCTCATTTCACTCAAGTACACAAGAGGAACAACGAGAACAAACGCGTGCTCTACACTCACCTTACCAGTGTCGTTGTAAGTGTGGTCAGTTTTCTGCTTAGTCTTCAGTCTTTAACACGGGAAATGTGTTGCGCTTAGGATACCAAGGCCACAAAGAGCATCATCACCAACGTATCCGATTCCATATTCCGTAAATACCTGGCAGACGCTGCTCTCGTTTAACGCTTCTCTCCCTACCACACACACGCACACACTCTCCGTATCCTCCCTGTCTCCATTGCATTGTATTGGTTTCATCCCTTTGTTGTCGTAGTAGATCATCCCTCCTTTTATTCGTTCGTTATTGTTGTAGCGGGATTGGCATCGTCCCATTTTTAATTCGTTAGGACCAGGATTTCTCGTCGCTTTCCCTTTGGATGTTGTTGATGTATTTGTTTGACTGTATTACACTAGCTGGACTTGCATTATTCTGTATACTGTCAATGGCTGGTTGGTCGGATCGGGAAACACTGTTTCTGTTGTATTAACATTTAAGTGAGCTAGAGAAGCATCAAGTGTCCTACCAGACGTTGTTGTACATTTGGATCATGAAGCAGTGCTACTGCATCGATATAGCATCCAGAGGTTATCGGAATCGTAGTAATGCCTTCGCAGATAGCCTCGGTAATCGTTCTCGAAGCTCACGCTGCGCAGCGTCGCTCAATGGGTACCTCTCGCTTCCTGTGTGGCTAACTGCCACACAGTTGAAAGCTTCCAAGCGTGTGAACCGAGTCACCTTGGACTCCAAATCCGCCCACATGTCTATGTCAGAGAAGCATTCAACCTCGGTCAACACTGAGAAGTAGAATTCCAAAGTGAGATTGCGAATGCGAAGCGGTAGTGTGTCAACTGCGGAGAGGTGTAACAACGCATGGTCGCGGTGATTTGCGTAAGGGATCAGCAGTGAAATCGTCTCAAGGGAGTTGAATGAAGAGAGCGAAAGCTTTCTATATGCTTCCGCTATATCTCCTCCTGAGACAGGTGAGGCGATGATAAGTTACATCTTGAATTCCCCGATTTTGATGGGTAGGAAAAATGCTTACCAACTTCATGGGGAGTCCAAGGACTCATTCCATCCACCATGCCCAAACGGATAGAGCGGAGGGAGTGCTTCACATTCGGCAAGAAGTCTCGAGTCCGGTAGAATCGGTCCCGACCATGGATGAAGGATAAATCCAGATGTCGCAGAGAATGGATAGTAGCAGTAGCCTGTAGCTTTGCGAGGAATGCACCATATTCATCGACCCTGTTATGCAAGGCGAGACTCGTGAGGGTCACATTGCTAGGGAGAGTAAAATGCTCAGGAGATACGAGATCCTGGGGCAGTGAATCCTCAATGTGCAAATGACGGATGGTGGAGAAAAGGCCGAGAAGTCTGGATAGTACGGAAGTTGATGATTCGGATGGAGTCGAATGGACTGATAAACGGATACTTTTGAGCATCAATGTTTCAATGAATACATCATGGGTAGGCTCCGGGCCCGGTATCAGAACCGAGTATGTAAGAATCAGCTTGCGCAGCGAAGGCAGGCTTTTGAGGAGTTCATGAAGCGCTGATAAGGTGAAGTCAAAGCCGCAGAGTTCGAGCTGGATGGTATGTGAACAGCAGTGAGCGATCTCTGCCATGAATCGAGTAACCATCTAAGAAAACGACTCAAAATTGCCATTCCGTCGTTGATTCAAAAATAAGGACGAAAAGGCGTGAAATTGAGCTGCTGGGTTCCATAGGTGGCAGACCAGAGACGCCGATTGTAATGATGCTTTATCGTCGTGTAGATGATCAATTATGTTGTCGACAAGCTCAGATGGCAACTTTGCATTAATGCAAGTCGACATGGCAGTCGTGTAGTGTTTGAAACTGAGGTAAGGACGATGATCAGTAGACGCTAGAGTCGGGGTGACGTCTGAACCTACCACTGCGGTCAGCGTCAGCAGCTAAAGCACTAAGTATTGATTGTGATGGACACGAATGTTACCCGACGTACTGTTAAATGAACCTAATGGAAGGTATTGTACCAGGATTCGGTCAGGTGCGTCGACATCAACGTTCAAGCTCAAGTTTGAGCCTGAGAGATTCTACTTCGCGTGCGCCGTGCAGTACCTCTATGATCGATCGAGAGTTCCACTCCGGCCTTGCCGAGTCGGACGCCGCTATGTAGTATGCAGCGAGGAAAGTGCTGGAAGTTGATTTGAGTTTTGAGTATTAATGGCGATACCGAGATTTATTCTGCAGGTGCACTGAGAACAACATTGATGCTTCAATGCATACGCAAAAGAATTGGGAAGTGCTCGAGTACACACAGCCAAGCAGAGCGATTGACACACATTGGGGTGCCTTCGATCTCCGAATATTCACTCAACGCATGTGAATGAAGTAGAAATACTCACTGCTGTCGAGGAGGCAACGAATCGCCTGAACGACTTGGGAACCGTTGCTGGTGAGGTACACATAATTCCACGTCGCGCTTAGTGAAGTTGACGAATGATGAGACTAGTCGGCATGCGACCCCACGCCATTGTATTCCAGGTGCGAACCACAAAATTTACAACATCTGTTCGACACAGGTGGAGATCGTAGAGCCATCCAGTTTCATCCGCGAGTCATGAGTGACTGCTGCAACGATGACTGAGCCTGTGTTCCTCGCCCTGCCCTCTCTCACTGGACGTTCGTGAATGTCCAGTCCCCTTCATCTTCCCCCTCCATGTTATGTTCGAAAACGTCCACCAACTCTTGCACATCTGGCCATTGAACTTCGCCATCTCCAGTCCATCTCATCATCGATAGTTTGAGCTTGGATAATCTCGCTGCTCCCTTCTCAGCGCGTGATCTCAGGCACTGTTCAAGCTCATCGTTGTAGGCATTGTCAAAACAGGTATGGTAGATTTCCAGGCAGGTCAACTTAGGACAGGGAACAGACTCCGTCCCCGGATCCCCTCCCAGCACTGTGAGTAGACCATAGTCAATGAATGTCCCATCCTCCCCCAAACCGATACCGAGGCCCGTATGAGTCAGTCCTGGCAGCTGCGCAAAGAGGTATTGCCAATCATCCATAGATATGGTCTCCGAATAAAGTATCGCATTCAAACGCGTCACAGGGGATCGTGCAAAGATGAAAGCAGCTGTGCGAAGGAAATCGGGAGCGGTCAGACCCCATTGTGGACCTGAGTCCTCTTTTGCTTTGTATTTAACATGCAAGTTTTGTTCAGCCCGACCATCCTGGAACCGAAGGGCGCGCAAACCGAATTTGGAGCAGTCCTTACTGCACTCAATGGCAATTTCGTGCACGGATGCCAGGAGTTCAAGCCCATTCAAATCCGGCGGAAATAAAGTGGAGAAATCCTGGTTCAGCTCTTCCAGATGACAGGATATCTCTATCTTTGTCGTCTTGGGTATTTGTAGATGTGTCAAGAGATCTGCGGCGTCGAGGGCGTGGATGGTAAGGTTGAGATCCCTGAGTGACGCTAGCCGGATCTTTCGCATGGGCTCAGGGTACCCTGCAATCGGCATGACAGGGCCAGCATACACCAACGACAAAACTTCCAGCTGGGGAGAGCACTCCAGAATGTCCAAGAATCTATTCATTGATGGCGTTGCATCATCGCCTATCTGAGCAAGTAGCTTTAATGTACGCAGCCCTTGGAACGCGGGCGATTCCCATGGTATATAAGCCATACAAAGCTCAAGGTCTTGAAACTGGGATTGACCTTCACCGATATTGAGAGTAAGACGCAGTGGGATTGGAGAGGGCGCGAGACCGTTTGTAAACCTGAACCTATGAAGCATGGGTAAAGGGTGCAGGAGTAACCGGGCAAACGCATGGGCAGATGATGCCGCGACTGAAACATCGAAATTTGCAATGCGACGCGAATGAGGGATGAGCAAGTCTACGACTGCTTCAGCGGGACATGGAATGCATGGGCTCGAAACATAAATATCTAGGGGTGCACCCCGAGACCGGGATAGATGTGCGCGAGTCCTTTCGACGTTAGATATGTTGATATGACTCCATAGTGAAGCCGTCTGCAATGCCACGCCACGCCACCATCGGCAGACATGTGTAATTTTCTGCCATCCTAAAGCGGGCCAACCTCCGTAGCCCTCCTTGTAGAACATCATGATACAGGCAACTACTTCGTCCGGGAGACAATTGATCGCAGGCGCCAGAGTATTGCGGATTGCACGTACAGCAAGTAAATGTCGTACGATGCGTGCTTCCTCCTGGTCGAGCCACGCAACGGCTTCTAATTTCGGTGAATCTTGCAGCACCGGTGAAACGTCATGCGGCTCTACAGCAGCGACATCTGCGTTTTCCGAGCCCATAGTTAAGGGCCTGTGTGATGGTCGCCAAAGCCCTGGATATCAAAATTGTCCTAATCAATAAATCAGCTAAGTCATCTAGCAAAAGTACAGATAACTGGCATACCTGGAGCAATGACGCAAACGTTCTTCCTAGTGCAAGGAGCGAGGGAAAGAATGCTGGCTTCCCTTCAAAGTTCAAAGCCGCTAAACATACGTTTAGCGCTCATATTCAATCATCTCGAAAATGGCAACCGTAGTGATGATCGTCACACAACATTATCTGTCAAACACTAGCAGAGTCGTCTAATGGGAAAATCCACACTTGCATGTACCTGATTCTGTTATTTTACAAGATTCGGAAGTATTTTACAGTTGTAGTAATACATCGGTAACTAATATAAAGCAAGAGGTGCGATTGGACAGCAAGAAGAAGCAGCAGAAGCGATAGCGTGCTAATAAACTCGGGGAAAGCGACCTGAGTCAACGATATCTAATATCGGTGTCAGGTGAGTGCGAAACGAATACACATGTAGTATTTTTTGACGTACCATAAACACGATCACAGGCCTTTAGCATTTCCAAAAATGAGGCGCATGAAGATCAGGATAATCGTGTGGATGAAGGCGGCAAACTGATTGTAATAGTTACGAAATGAGTGTGAGCTATGAGGTGAGTTGCATTGTTTGACATCACACACCGAATATGGGTTGGTAGTTGCATCAACATTGACTGACTTGAGAAGTTCTTGCTTTCTTGAAGATAACAGCTGAATAGTGCGATGTTTCTTTACTTCTTCACCGTGAATGCCAAAGTAGCGTTTGGTCGTGAAGCTCCAATGCAACGAGCCGACGATCCAATCCTGCATGCCTTGGACGTAGATCTTCACGTCACGATCGATCTCTGGACCCCATGAGGGAAGGGAGCGACGATCAACTTCGAATCTGGCGATACTCCTGTGACAGAGATCGCCGGCAAAGTCCAACGCAGGTTGCAAATCAAGCTTGTGTTCTTCCATGATGACGGCAACGAGATTGTGCGTATCGCCACAGGATTGTTCTTTGTTATACGAAAATATGTCCTGATGTGTATAAAAACGTTAGTAAATGGACACGAATAGGTAGCGAGGTCTACTTACGTTTGACCATGAGACCAGATCGTTGGTAGCTTCCTCCATTGAGCGGATAAGCGGGTGCTCGGCGACTTCATCCGGAAGGTCGAGACCAGCAACGAACTCCATCAGGGCGAAGCAGGGGCGACATGCACTAGTATCCCGACGCAATGCAATGTAGGACTCTAGGTCAGGAGTTCTACCCTTAGTGCGATCAGCCGCTTGTTCAGCGACGGATTTAAGATAGAGATCCATCGTATCGATGAAGCGCTTAGCACATCGAGGGCCGCTCATTCGTAGATAACGGCTGAAGAAGCTACAACACTGATAGGACTCAAATCAATTTAGAAATGAGCAGGTAAAACCATTTGAAACTTGGAGTTAATCCGAAGTTCATCTGGTGTATATATACAACTATTATCTAAATACATGCGGTATCAATGTGTTCGTATATCCTTATGGTATCGGTCAGGTTCGAGCATGGATCAATGAGTGTGTTTGGGTAGGTTTTAATAAGTGGTTACAAATGAATAATGAGAGGAAAAGGTGTGTCCGTAGATCCGGAATGAATGTGATCGTAACATTACCCCCTCCTCTAGAATCGTGTCCTCACGATTAATTATGATAGAGTGTGAAATTGTTCAATCATACCATGATGATCCATTCTTCTGAATTTTCTTCTTCTCGAAGTCGCATTCGGTAGACGCAAAGACAGATGGTGATTATCACCAAGTAGGCGCTTCCTACAGAGATGAATATGATAACGGCGTCGTCGAGCATTTCTACCAAAGAGCTTTCATTGGTTGAGTGAATGATTGTTCTAGAATGGGAGAATCCATACTTGGGATTGATGTTGGTTCGACGAGTTGATAGAAGGAAAGAATGGGGTATTGCCATTCGAGTTTGACTTTCGTAGGCGCGGATGTGATTGCCACATGTGTCAGTTTGAGCGTCTGCTCGTTGATGATCCATAACTCGCCGGCATTCGGGTAGTGCTGATTAGATATGATTTGTGCTTTTCTTCGATTTTCGAATAATTTAATTGAATCTGGATCTACAGATATCATTGCTTTTTCTTTTTTACGACGTTCTGCCCATCGTTGTACTTTCTGATCCCAATAATCCCATTCTTCTTGTGTCGCTTCTCTAGGAAATGACTGTTCCATAATTTGCGCCTTTAGCAATATTCTTGTGGGTGCTTTCGGCGCATCGGGATGATCTTTATGGAATTTGTCGATAATCTTTTTGTCTATATTTTTAATAATTTTATGACGAGGTTCCCATGTGTTTTCAGAACGTGGTTTTCCAGCCCACTTGATTAGATATTGAAGGCCTCCACGTGCCATCTTGGAGTCTAATACGGATTCAGCTTTGTCTTCTAAGATATCGATAATTATTGGAATGTTTTTGTGTATTTTCTGATTTGGGAATTCCGGTGCATGATATGGCAATAATAATGTTTCATTGAATACGGGATGTACGCCTTTCCATGACTTTGGTAGTTTGAGCTTGTATGCACTAGCTCCAATTTTCTTAATAATCGGAAATGGTCCGTATCTTTTATCATCCAATTTTCGATTTGACCTGTCCGTTCGTATATGTGTAGCTTCAAGCCACACTAAATCTCCATCTTTATAATTTATGGCTTCGCCTTTATGTTTATCGTATTGTCTTTTCATAACATCCTGTGCTAATGTTAACGATGCTGATGCTTCTTCTTGGATTTTCTTCATTCGTGCTACAAACTGCTCTGCAGTTTCATTACGAATTTCCTTTTTGGTTTCTACACCAATGTAGGCTTCTCGTCCGTGATTCATGTAGAATGGTGAAAATCCAGTCGCAGAGTGGACTCTATTTCGATATGCAAATGTTGCCAGTGGCAACCATTCTGGCCAGTCGGTTTGTCGGTGATTGATGAATATTCGTAAATAGTTTTCAATTTCCTGATTGATTCGTTCAGTTTGTCCGTCTGTCTGCGGATGATATGCCGTACTAGGATTTCCCTGAATTCCTAGTTTTTTATATAAGTCTTTTATGAAGCTGGATACGAATTGTGGTCCACAATCTGATGTCATCTTTTTTGGTAATCCGTGCAACGGATATACATTTTTGATATAGAGATTAGCCCATCCTTCTGATGTCAATTGCTCCGTAGTTGGTATTTCAATGTAATCTTTTGATTTCATGTCCACAACTACTATGATCGCATCATGCCCTTGCGATTCTGGTAAATGTGTAATCATGTCTACAGATTGATATTCCCAGTTGTGTTCCGGAATTGCATTTGGGTGCAATGGAGCATTCTTCGGTTGATGGTTAATCTTGGTTTTTTGACAAGTCTCGCAGCCTTTTACATATGTTTTTACATCTTTTTTGATTGAAGGCCACCAGTATGATCGATAGATTAGTTCTTGTGTTTTTGCTTGTCCAGGGTGACCGGCACTAATCGAGTCATGATGCGAATGAATAATTTCTCCTCTGAGTTCCTTGTCAAAAGGGATAACAATCTTCCCCCTTCTCCAGATAAGACCGTCCTCGGTCTCATTGAAGTCGGCATCTTTTGTCAATAGTTTTAATCGTACATTGTTTTCATATTTATCAGTGTTTTTTATGATTTTCTCCCGTAAAGCTGATGATCCGAGGATTTCATTGGCTCGGAACCATTCTGGTTTTAACAACGTAATGTTTTCATTATGACTATCTCCAATATCATGATGGGTCTGTCGCGATAAAGGGTCTCCCTTCGTCATTGTGTTTCCGGGTTTGTGAGTCAAATTGAAATCATATTGTTGTAATTCTTGGATCCATCGCGCTTGGCGATGATTCAACTTCTGGGGTTTTTTGAAATAACCAAGGTTCTTGTGATCGGAATGAATTTCGAATTTCTGTGCAGCTCCCATCAAGAAGTGACGCCATTCTTCTAATGAGATCATGATGGCTAGCATCTCTCGATCGTAGATCTCATAGTTTCTTTCAGCTGGTGAAAGGCTTTTCGATAAGAAGGCGATGGTTCGCCATTGTCCATCTTGCTTCTGTGCAAGTTCAGCTCCAATAGCATATTTCGATGCATCACATTCGACTTTGAACTGATCTTCATTGTTCGGAATACCTAATACTGGTGCCGTGGTAATGGTTTTCTTTAGAAGTTCAAAAGCTTCCTGCTGTTCTGGACCCCAGGTCCATTCTACTTGTCCGGTTAATTTATTCAAGGGAGTGGCAATTTTGGAAAAGTCTTTGATGAATCGTCGATAGAAATTAGCGAATCCAAGGAATGACTGTAATTCCTTTTTGGCTTTTGGTGCTGGCCATTGCGTAACTCCATCTACTTTGGCAGGATCCATCTTTACAGTTCCTTGCGAAATAATATGTCCGAGATATTCTGTTTCTTGAGTTTCAAACTCGCATTTTTCTGGTTTGCAGGTTAATTTATTTTCTCGTAATATTTTAAGGACTTCTTTCACAATACGGCGATGTTCTTCCAGGGATTCGGAAAATATGAGTATATCGTCAAGATATATGATTACTTTTCCTTTAAGGATGAGATTACGGAAAATGTCATTCATCATCATCTGGAACGTAGCAGGACTATTCGTCAATCCAAAGAACATGACAGTTGGTTCGTATAGTCCTCTATTCGTGATGAATGCAGCTTTCTCTTCGTCTCCTTCTTTCATACGAATATTGTTGTATCCCCAGCGAATGTCTAGTTTCGTAAAATATTTGGCACCCTTGAGCTTATCAATAAGCTCCGATATCAATGGTAAAGGATATTTGTTTTTCTTGGTCATATCGTTGAGTTTTCGGTAATCCTGTACCGGTCTCAATTTGCCATCTTTCTTTTTGACAAAAAAGAAAGGTGCTCCCCAGGGAGATTTTGATGGTCGGATTCTTCCCGTCTTTAGGTTTTCTTCGAGAAAACCATCTAGGGTTTTTTGTTCTTCAACAGTCATGGAATACACCTTGCCTGCATATGGCGATGAGTCTGGTAGCAATTCTATTGCATGGTCCCATGGTTTTCTTTCCGGAAGGACATCAAAAGTATCTTCAGTGAATACATCCGTGAATTCACGATACTGTTCTGGAACCATTTCTTCGAAGGTTTTTTTCTTTTTCTGTTTACTTTGTTTGATTGCTATGTCCATGGCGGTTACGCGCATTCGCTGAATGTATTCTCCCCGTTCTTTATACCAAGTATTGGTATTAAGTAAATATACTGTGTCTCCTTCTTCGATCTCTTGTTGTCTTATGGTGATGCACGTGTGTGGACATCGGTTAAAGTCAACAAGTTGCGATTTGAAGTCTATTGATGGATTATGGTATTCAATCCATTCATATCCGAGGAATATGTCTGACTTCCCCAGATCAGTAACTAGAAGCATGATCTTCTCTTGGTGATCGCCGATTCGAAGTGTGAGCTGGACATATTCTGTGATCGGTCCCTGAGAATTCTCGCTGTTATCGGTGTTATAGACTTGGATCGGTTGATCAAATTTAGAGGTTTCAATTCCGTGTCTTTTGATGAAATTATAATTTATGCATGATCCGGTACTACCGGTGTCGACTAATGCTACTGTATCATGGATTCTTTCTGTTTCCGGGATGATCACAGTGACCGGTAGGTCCATTTGTTTCCCTCTTCCAAGTCCTTTGACAACTCGGAGTAGTGGTGGTCCAATGTCTGTGATGCTTTTATCCGACGCACTCGGTTTATTTTCAAATTTTTTTGTATTTTGTTTAGAGGAATCAAGCACAGGTTCCGCCCTGCCGCGCTTCTTGGTAGAAGACGCCTCTGCGTTAGGTAAAATATTTACAAAAGGGGACTGTCCGATCGATGTATTACAGGCATGTAGCGAAGATGTTTTCATAGAACCCTCCAGGAGTTTGTCCGAGTCATTGTTCATATCCGGCAAGTTACTTTGTGCGTTTAAGCCTTGCCCGAGCCAAAATTCAGCTTCTTTGCCTTCTCCGGGTTCTTCTCCATCCATCGCCGAACCATGGCGATCATCTTGTCATCATCATCATTATCTGAGTTGGAGATCTCCTCGATCTTGGACTCTGTCTTGGTTTCATTCTTTCGAACACGTTGAGTGTTCGTGGAAGGTCCCGATCGATTAGGGACGTGCCATGCACTTCCGCAAGTGCCCTTCTCTGATTGCTTGGCCTTACACTTAAGGCAATTTCTATCCAAGTCCATGGGCTGTCCACGCCCTGTGAACGTTGTTCCAGTTCCATCCTTCTTTTCTCCGTAGTCCTTCTTCGGACTCTGATTCTGGGTTTGACCCGATCCTTGGGTCTGCTGCTGATAACTAGGGTATTTCTGCCCATAGTTCTGGTTCGATCGGAATGGACGATATCCGATCTTCTTCAGACGCTTCTCTTCTTCCCGCTGCCTTCGCGAGGAATCAATATCAATGATTGCTTCCTTCCACTGTGCATAAGTGGTTGGTCGCGTGTCTCTGTCAAGAGCCCTATCTACAATGGACTCGTTGCAGTTGAGTCGGACAAGGTCGATAGTGTGTTTATCTTCCCTTTGCCTTCCTGCCTGTGTGATGTACATTTCCAATTTCTGGAAATATTCTTGCGCCGTCCCATTGCCTTGGGTCAAGTTATCCATTTGGATAACTGCTTGTTCGACTCGATTTACATCGAGGAATGTTTCGTGTAGGTCGAGTATTAGCTGACGAAAATTAATTTTCCAGCTGTTTGCATCGATATCAAAATTATTGTCGAAATAATTGTTGACCCAATCGTCAACCTGTGGACCCTTCATGTATGAAAGAGTCATGTCGACCTTTTGCTCATCGGTGAGACCAGTGTTCTTGGGTGTACGGTACCATAGTATCAATTGCCTTTTGAAAGCAAGGAATTTGTCTTTACTTCCATCAAAGTCTGAAGGTTTCGCTCCAGATGCCTTTGTGTTTGGCTGTGGCGGTACTGGTGGTGGTTGTCGGGGTGGGTTTGGGTTTTGTTCAAGATCACCAGTGTCGGCTTGTGTAGAACCCATTTGTGATATCGGTGATGGTGGTGTGAAATATGTGAGTGATGAGTGTGGTGATGATACGAGCGGAGGTGGAGATCGGCGTGCGTAGAATTGGTAGATAGGTACAGAGTCAGGGAATATGAATGAAGACGTGATATGTGAACAATAGTGTCTTGTACCGGGCGCACGACCCTGTTCTGGTACTTAGACAAGTATAGATCCGAGGTAAAGGTACTCCTTCAAAGTGTTCCGGCCAATTGCCGATCCGGACACACGAGGTAGGTATATGTAGTAGCTACGTAAAATGGTTTGGCCTTAGAAGGCGCAAAAAGAGAAGTTGCTCTCCGCGGTAGTTGTCTTTCGACGTGCGAGAGAATCAAAGAATACCAGCGAGGTTCGAAACCTCCTGCCGTACACTCAGTCGTTTAGGTCTGAGCAGGGTAAATTCTGGTAGGATTTTTTCAACGGCCCCTCTGTCAAGAAGGTTGCAGCACCGCCTACTTCCTGGTTGCTTCAAGAGCGGACTACCAGGTGAGAGTAATGGTTTATGTACAAAGGGAATACAAGGGTCGCAATCTACAGTTGTAGTCGCGTGATTACCCAGGTGGAGGAATGGAGTGCGATATGAAAAGTAACTAGGAATGTGGAATTCGGATCCCTCCGAATGAGGTCTTGAGCGAGTAAGAGTAAAGCAGAGTGGGATGAGGAATGAGGTGGTTGCCGTCGAGTACAACGGACTTTGAGTGAGGTGAAGTGTGGGTGGAGGACGAGGCAATGCCTGTCGAGAGAGTGCGAAGGGACAAGTTTCAAATTATGATAGGACTCAAATCAATTTAGAAATGAGCAGGTAAAACCATTTGAAACTTGGAGTTAATCCGAAGTTCATCTGGTGTATATATACAACTATTATCTAAATACATGCGGTATCAATGTGTTCGTATATCCTTATGGTATCGGTCAGGTTCGAGCATGGATCAATGAGTGTGTTTGGGTAGGTTTTAATAAGTGGTTACAAATGAATAATGAGAGGAAAAGGTGTGTCCGTAGATCCGGAATGAATGTGATCGTAACAAACACCTTGTTGAGGATGTGTGTAGAGATCGACACATAATCGCGACTCACCTCTTGGTCAGCCGACCCACGGCTTTGTCCGTATGAAAGCCATGAGGGTCACGGAGACAACCCATGATACAATCAGCAAACGAATAAGCATCTGTCTCGTCGAACTCGTCGGACCAATCGTCGAAACAGAAGAGGTAGGTCAAATAATCGGATGAGACTTGAAGGTGGAATAAATCGGCGTCGGGATAACAGTTGGCGGTGAGGATGCCAGCTTTGACCTCTAGGAATTTCTTGCGCTTCTCCGGCGTATAATTTGCTTCGTTAAGGATCCATTCCTCGGAATTGCGTGTGACGGTGTCGCAAAGAGGGTTGACACGGAGAGGGTAAGGACAATGGCTGACTAGGTCAGGAAGAACAAAGGTTCGTGCAGGCATGATAGAACAACTTGAGGGTTAAGGACTTCTGCAAAGTGCGAATGAGAAGCATTTTATATTGTTTTCGCCCATACACGCTGAGAAAATTCCTGTTCGTAGTTCTGCCACAGTAGGGAAAGTGAAAACCAAACGCCAGGACCGACATCCCGCAATTGCAATGTGGGCCCTAACGTACAGATGTTGGGAAAACTCACTAAGATCTGACGGGTATATCCAGCGGCGTTGTATACGTATACCATGACATAAAGCGTCTTCGCAATCGGAGAAAATCCTATTATCCGGATGCGTAGTGAGCTAAGAAGATGCAGCATGCCTCCACATATTAGGACTCGCATTCAGTAAGTTTGCACCGAGTCTACAGACTGTCCTAGATGCCTAAACGTGCCCTCATCAAGACAAGCGCCTAGGCTGATAACATAATGAATTAGCTCACCACGGACATGTGGCATTAAGCCACTGACAGCAACTGTAAATCCGTGTTTCAAACTCCAACGGCGAACCATGCGGGAAGGAGGAACGTTGTGATGGAGCAGTCCCAGAGGCAACATTGGTTGCGGTGAGGTCAACAAGAAAATGCTCGCCATAAAAACATGTGTTGATGCAAAGTTGTCACCACAAGCGTTTGAATGCTTGTCGATTAGAAATATATTGACCGAGAGAAGACAAATACGTGGTGCAGAATGGAGAAAATGCTGTAAGAGATCGATCTCAACCCAAGTTGATCGTACTGGAGCCACCCAGCATAAACGGAGATCCAAGAATAATAGCATATCTGTGAAATCAATGACAGTTAGCAACCCATCGGGGATACAACCATCTCAAACGTTAGAAAATCATTTTGTGCCTACTTCTTAGCGAGCTCTCACATGAAGGCGTGTTGAAATAAACGCCGGAAAAGCGAAAGGGTAGTTAGCTCACCTTGTTCCCAAAGGAAAATCGAACGGTGATACAGGAAATAGCACAGTGATTATCGTTATTTGATCGTACTGCAGTCCTACCGTCGACTTCCTTGGTTCCAACCATAAGCCGAGCCCAGCCGGCTAGTCGATCGAGGAGGTACGGCATCGTTATCCTTCACGGGTGACAGGTTCGTGGGTATATTCAGACCGCCCGCTCCCTAATCACAAATGGATTAGCAAGGATTCGTCGATAGGCAAGGTCGGGATACACAATCTCGCTCACCTGCGAGAGTTCGCCCCAATTGAAAGTAGTCGCCTGAGCAGAAGGGAAGAGATTGATCTTTCGCTTTTTCTTCTTGGGTGCAACTTCCGCCTCAGGGTCAGGATCGTCTTCCTCGACCTCCTTCTCATCCGACTTCCGTGAGGAACTAGCTCGCCTTGAGGCGACCTTAGCTTTGCTAGCGGGCTTCCCTCCACCAGCTTTGGCCTTCGCGGCAGCTTTGCCATTACTGGGCTTTCCACGATCGTCGGCATCAACCTCCTGGTCACTATCACCCTCCGTTCCAACTTTCCGTTTACCCTTCCGTTTCGCAGGGGCCGGGACCTCTTGTATCTCCTCGTCTTCGTCATTGATGTCGTCTGCAACAGCGTTCTTCTTGACAGGACTCTTCCGTCCCCGCGTTTTGGCTGTCTTTCCTCGTGCGAGTTCCTCATCCTCAGATGTAGGTTCTAACGTCTTATTCTTTCCCTTGCTCCTTTTCGTCTTGAGCGGCCCGTCTTGAATTTGAACTTCGTCGTCACTACCATCTCCAGTTGGTGACTTAACCTTCTTCCCTCTGCCCCGTGGCCGTTGAACCACCGCAGGTTCCTGGACAATTTCAACAACGTCACTATCGTCTCCAACGTCTTGCGCGATATTTTGTGGTTTAGGTTTACGCCCCTTGGAGGCGGCGGCGGCGGCGTGTTTGGCGCGAGGTCTAAGTGGAGGGGATGATGCAACAACCTCCTCCACTTCTTCCTCTGACGCCAGACGTGGTGTGGGCTCTTGTGGCGAACTTCTGGCGCCTGATCCAGATGGCCTCTGGGGTAAGTAGCAAATATCAGTCAATGATATGACAAAAGGAGATAAAAATTGGCTTCACCTTTGCAATTTCTAGAGCCGTGTCAGCTCTCGACTTCTCAGCTTGTACCTGAACTTGAAGGTCCTGAATCTTCTTCTCAGCTTCGGCCAGTTGCCTCTTTGCGTCCTCGATCTCCTCTTGTAACTGCTCATTAAGCCCGTTTGCTTCTTCAAGCGCTTTCTGCGGGGGCGCAGGACAACATCAACATAGGACCGAGGGTTCGAACTTTAGTCAACGCTTACCTCTTGTTCTTGGAAGACAACCTTTACTTTCTCCTTTCGTTCTTTTGACTTTCGGTTGGCGTCTTCAACCTTCTTCTCCAGTTCCTCCACTCTGACTTTGAGTTCGAGATTAACCTTACGCAATTCCGCAAGTTCGTCACCTTCACGATTCTCGAGGTCGCGCCATTTATCTAGTTGGCGTCGTAAGTCCGCATTCGCCTGTTGAGCATCGGCGAATTTCGTTTCGAGTTCAGTATGAGTCGACTTAAGACTTTCATAACGTAAATTAGCCCGTTCAAGATCGGATCCTTTAGATGTTGATGAAGAGAGCAGGGCGGTATGCTCAGCGCGGAGGCCGGCGAGAGTTTTCTGCAAAGTAATTGAATAAATGAGAAATGAACGGACGTGTACATAGATTATAGGACAACGCGTCTGAATAGTACATGCCTCTAGTTGCGCTTTCTCCTCCAGAGCGTTCTCAAGCTCCTCCAGCTTCTCACCCAGCTTCGTCTCCAATCTATCGCAGCGTGTACGAAACGCATCCAACTCTCCTTGAAAGGACTGCTTCGCGTGCTCTAATTCCTGCTTGTGCTCTTGAGAGACGCGCTCGAGTTCTTCTTCCATTTCTTCCAGTTCGTCTTCCATCCTGGCCATGCGATCTTCCTGCTCAGACTCCTCGATTTGGAACTTCACCAAGTTGAAGTCCCTTTGAAGCCGCGCAAGTTGCTCTTTACGGGAGTTCTCCTTCTCCTGGAGAACAATGCCCTTCTGTTTCTCTAGATCCAGTGTCGTCTTCAGGAAGTTAATGCGATGCGCGACTTGGATCGCATCGCAACCTGCTTGCCAGTCCTCGCGTTCCTTGGCCCAAGTCTGTTGGATCTTCTGAACAGCGTCTTTGGAACGTGCCTGTTCAGAAACTACCGCCGCCTTGTGTTTCTCAACGGCACGCTCCAGTCCACGAATTCTTACAAGAAGCTCTTCGACCTGATACTGGGGCTTCGCATCTACAGCAGGTTTTGGAGGTGCAACCGAGATGCGGCGTGAGGGTGTCGGAGCCCGCAGCGACATTTTGGTGACTGAAGCTATAATGACGATAGGATGTATAATGTTATACTGGTCTTAGAACAACCGCAGTTCCTCTCTTTCAACCTTTCGAGGCATTAGAGTACGAGAAACTAGCGAAAGACAGTGAAGGCTATGAGCAAGGCGGGAGGAGGCCACTAAGGATATCTGCGGTCCGGGGAACCCGATCAAAGCGATCGCTAACAACTTGAAATTGTTCACGGTTTCAGACAGAACTCTTCGGTGTTTATCGTTCTGAACGCAATGCGTCCTCATACCGGTCCTTCTTTACCCCAATCTCTTCTGGAGGAGATAGAATCTACTACAGGTACTGTGAATATTTCATCTTATGGCGGTTAACTGATCAGGATACTCATTTCTCTGCAAAGGCGAAGGACGCGGAGGACGGCAGAAGAATGGTCGGCATAAAGGTCAATTGCCTCGAAAAGAAGCCCGGAGACAAGAACGCGAGGGTCGTAGACAGAGGAAGGCAGAATACTTCACAGGCCGTGCTCAAAACGTCAAACGTCCTGCCGAGGACGAGCATGTTGAATCGCCTCGTCGCAAGAAGCAGCGACTCGACACTTCAGCGAGCTCCAACGGGGCTCAAAATGGCAAACAGCAGAAAGCCCCTTTCGTCACGGTCGCAGCACCTGAACCCCTACCTAAGAAGGCCGAGTTGAAAGGTCATTCCAAGAAACCAAAGCCGAAGACTGCGTTAGAAAGACTAGCGGAACGTTCTAGCTCCGGTGTAGCTGCACCCCTTGAATCGAAGTCAAAATCGAAGGCGCAACGGAGCACACTACCTCGGTCACGGCAGGAACAAGAAGAAGACGCATATATCGCCCACTTGGAGGCTAAGCTTGGCTGGAATAAAGGCGGCAAGCGAACAGGAAAATATGGCAAGGACTTAGAGGATGACGGGTTGGACGGTACGTCTACAAGGATTAACGTCGAATGCACTTTTTTTTAAATTGTGTCATTGCTCTTAGAGCTTCTACATGACCTCGATCAAATCGAGACTTCCGCCTTCTTTGGTGCATTGGTGTGTATTTCTACTCTCGTTGGTCAACGTAGTTTCACGATGGCTGAGCAATTTACTGTAGGCTGAGTACGATGAAGATAAGGTGGAAGGATCTGGCGGCGAGTCAGACGAAGATATATCTGAAATAGACAACTCTGACGAGGCGGAGGATGACACTGACCAGGGAAGCGAAGAGGAAGTCACAGATGGCGAAGAGGAATGGGGTGGCATCATTGGTGGCGAAAGCGAGTCAGAAGGAGAGAGCGAGGAGGACAGAAAAGATGCAGACGAGATTGACGGACAACCAACCAGAGCGATTGAATCGACTGCAGGTGAAATTCGCTCTGCATTACTATCTCTTCTCGTGCTCACTTATTTGGACCACAGCTTCAAAATATATTCCACCACATCTTCGCAATCGTCCGGCCGAGTCTCCCGAAGACTCTGAGGCCAAGTTGAAACTTATGCGCCAGATCAAGGGTCAACTCAATCGGTAAGTCGATGATATCTAATTGCCACGAATTGAACGTAACATCGTGTGTTTTCAGGATGAGTGAGCAGAACATTGGTACCATCATTGATGCCATAGAGGAGATTTATCGAAATCACAGACGACATGGTACGTTTCTTCGTTTTCTCATACGACGTCGTATCTTACTGGTATCTCAGATGCTACTTCGACGATTACCACCCTTATCATTGATGGAATTTCTGCACATTCAATCTTGTTGGACTCATACGTCGTTTTGCATGCCGCGTTTGTGTCTGCATTGCACAAACTTGTTGGTGTCGAATTTGGTGAGCACTCAAGTTGTCAACCACATGATTCTGACTTGACTAACTCTGGGTTAGCGGCATACTTCGTTCAGAATGTAGTGTCGTCGTACGAGCATCATTTCGCAGCATTGCAGAATCAAGCCCAGGACCAGCCTTCAACCAGTCAGCCCGAAGCTTCTTCTGGTGCGGATCCGGCGCACCAAGCTACAGAGGTGCAAGGAAAGGAGACTTCTAATCTCATTGTGCTTCTCTCCGAGTTGTACAACTTCCAAGTGATTTCGTGTATCTTGATATACGATGTCATTCGTGGGTTGCTGGAAGGCGACCTCACTGAATTCAAAGTTGAGCTCGTACTCAAGATCGCCCGCAGTACGTACAATGTTATCGTCTACTACACGCTTCGACTTACTCTAAATATTGTATTCAATAGACTCTGGTCAACAATTGCGAACGGATGATCCCTCTGCACTCAAAGATATCATTCAAATTGTACACTCCAAGCTGCCCGAAGACAAGAATTCCCTCAGCAGTCGTACCAGGTTCATGGTGGAAACACTCGGCAACCTGAAGAACAACAAGGTCAAACGAACGGCTGCTGGGCAACAAGCCGGGAACGAAGCCGTCGAGAGGATGAAAAAATTCCTTTCAGGGTTGATCAAGAAACGACAGGGTCAGAGTCCTTTGATATTGCCTTATTTGCTGCTGACAATCTGACACATTGTCGCGTTTAGTGAAAACACACGAGCCACTTCGCGTGGGTTTGGATGACCTCCATTCTGCCGAAAGCAGGGGGAAGTGGTGGCTAGTAGGTGCCGCTTGGGGAGGTGACCCTCTAGCCGACCGACAGGAGAGTAACCAAGCGAACACCGCTGAAAGCCACTCCAATAGTGCCGATGCCACTAGCCAGAATACTCTGTTAAAACTAGCGAGAAAGCAAGGCATGAACACCGATATTCGGAGGAGCATCTTCATCGTTCTGATGAGCAGCGAGGTGCGTTGTGCAGAAAGCCGTGTTGCACATCTGTAAATAATTATGTATCCTCATGTGCTGATTTTGTCACTGTTCCATTTATCAGGATTACGTTCATGCTTGTGAACGATTATCACAGCTGAAGCTCACTGAGGTCCAACAGCGAGAGATCATTCGCGTGATCCTGCACTGTTGTGGCAACGTGAGTCCCTGTCTCTCACACTTACATCCGAATTCACATATCAATGATCTTATTTTCTCGCTTTCCCTAGGAGAAGGTCTACAATCCGTACTACACTCTAATCGGGCAACAACTATGTCGCCTCTCACATAGTCACAAGTTCACATTGCAATATTGCCTGTGGGACTTCCTACGGGATCTCGGCGAAGTCAACGTCGGAGGCGCAGAGATTATCAAGAACCTGAAAGACGATGTCGCAGGATTTGATGTGAAGAAAATCTCCAGTACCAGGATGGCGAATATATCGCGGGCTTACGGCTGGTGGATCGCCAAGGATTGTATCACACTGGCTGTATTGAAGGTACGAGTTTTCCGGCTCCGTTTCTTGTGCGTCAAACAGATTCACAGATACCTTCTCTCCCCAGCCCGTTGATTTTACCATCCTCAAATCACAATCCAGAAAATTCCTCGTGCAGTTGCTCGTTCATGTCTTTATCAGCTCGCAACTCTCCTCGCCGCTCATATCATCGGATCCAAAGGACATACCTAGGACACGGAACCGAGGTCCGTTGGAGGAAATCTTCATCAAAGCGACGCGAATCCAAACGCTGGCTCTGGGACTAGTTTACTTCCTTGGCCAAGTGGTCAAACACGAAGTTGACCAGATTGACGATGCCGGTTTTTTGAGTTGGGCTAGTAAAGTAGCGCTGGATACCCTTCGGACGGGGATGGATGTTGTTCCTACTTTGTAAGTTTGTGTAGGCATTGGAACACATTTGCTTGCAAGTCCCAAGTTGCGCAGCTCAGTACGACGACCATAAATATAATCGTGATATTTTTGGTAAACTGAATACTACTACCGTGCATTTGTTCTGCCTCCTTCGTGCGAACTGTACGTACCAGGTACGAGGTATGTTCGCCATTCTCCAGCTGGACGACCACCTGCCCATCCTTTTGGCCTTCCGTTAGTCGGAAAAAGGTGCCTACCGATCCATCCTAAGGTCTTATCGCACGTTCATATTGCCTCGCGTTCAACACGCGCACGTTTTAGTTCAGTTTGCGAAATGCGACGCTAGAGTACACGTTCCCGCTCTTTCCACCAAAAGAGAAACTCGGGAATTCTATCCGCGAACTGTGCAACAGAAAATTTCAGAAAGTTCCTTGACCAAGGTGGCTAAGAGCTGGGTGAAGCGTCGCCGTCAGGAGGTGCTTACTGGTATTGGAGACCTGACACTTCGAACTTTCCCCTTAACTCCCCCTCTGTAAAGTTACACGCTAACCAAAGTTTATGATAAGCATATGAAGCACGGAGAGTCAGGACCCCACTCACAGACGATCAGAAAGTGTCCACCCGGTTTAACGACTTGAGCGATGCGTGACGGATAAGCATCGGCCGGTGAACGACCGTGCTCATCTTTCTCCATCAAGGCCATCGCATCATAGGTTCCTTTGTCGAGTACAAGATCCCAGACTGCAACGCCTCCGCCACCCGACAATGCGGGGAAGTCCTGCAGGAAGTTGCACACAGTGAAGCTTATATGATCGGCGTCTTCTGATTCCTTTGACTGTGCGATCGCTTTTGAAAGCGCGATTGCGTCTGCACTGTAGTCGATGCCGTACATCCGATCGGGGTTATATCCTGCTTCATGCAGCGCAAAGAGCAGTGCACCGTTCCCTGAGCCAACTTCGAGAATGGATGGAGAAGGATTTTTGGGTACGTTTTCTAGCGTCCAATCGACCATTTTCTCCATAGTATCCTCGCCGAACCTACCACAGAGATATAGACAGTGTATACATTGAAGTTCTAGTAAAGCGTACCATATTTCTCCTTCGTCCCCGATCTCCTCGAAATCCGAAAGTTCCGATGAATAGACATCATCCCAACTGATACGAAAGTTCAACCTAATGTTCAATAGATAATGGACACAGCAGCCTCACTGAGCTTTGGTACCAAGTTTCGAGGACGGTGGGTCTATGGAGGACTCTGACATAGTTCAATGCAAGCGGCGAAAATTCAAGGGAATATTGCTTAGTCAGCCATCTTATAGGCCAAAAGAAGCGATGGAGGAGGTGAATAATCTTAGTGGTTTCCTCGGTGTCGTTATAAGAACAGAAAGGGGAGAGAAACCATATATGATGATGTTCTAGAGGACGTACTGAGAGCTCACCCATTTGCACGGCGGCGAGCAGCGTAGGGTGAGGTGTGCGAACAATTTGGACAGTGATTAATAACAAAGCGGTGATACGAGCAGCGAGCATGAATGAGACGGGGTTTATTATGACGCAATGCTAGCGGGACCAAGGACGAATTATAGCATAGTACAATAGGGTAAACGAGAATATGCTTGAACGCAACAGAGCAGAGTAAGTCATTTATGCACGCGGACAAGAGCGTATGGCATGCTTACTTGGTATATCACCTACGAAGCTCCTTATCCAATATATCTTTTGCTTCGTTGATTTTACTCGCGATGTACGGTGAGCCTCCACGATCAGGGTGGTTTGCAATCATGATGTGACGGTGTGCATCCTTTAGCCTAGCCCGCATAGAAGGACCGTCTCTACAATAAATGAATGACTTGTAAATGCTTCCGAGAATAGAGGCGTTGCAAGGTAGAACTACTCACTTGAGGCCCATGATAGCTATGGCTTCCTTGCGATCCATCCTTGCCTTGAAACCACCTTTGACCCATTGCTCGGCAGCGCCTTGGGCACCTCGCCGTAGGAGGCTTCGACCTGCAATCGCTGCAGCGATAGCACCAACGCCTATAATTAAAGGAGTTGCCATGAAGGTCGGTGACAAGACAATAAATGTGAAGGTGAAAGTCGCAGTTCAATCAGAGGGTAAAAGCCGAAACTCGTGGAAACTACAGCGTAAGCATTTTAGCGCTCGTCCGGCCTCCAGCGCTTACTTCACCTGTTCCGCTCGACCACGATCTTGGAATCTATCTTTGCACTCATTTCAAAATTGCCTGTACTGAAGGCGGGCCAAAGTTAAGACTCTATCTCATTTAGTTTTAGTTACAGGTCCAGGACACTACAGCGCTATTTGACCAAGCACATCGTGGTGACCCCATATGCAATGCCAACGTTTTATGCTTTTAGGTTGCCATTTGCGATGCAAACCTGCTCCTTATCGCCACTTCCAACTGCGCATGTCAAGTTTGGGCGCGACACTTTATACTATTTGTCCCCGCTCATGTCTGTTAGGCATGTCTATGTCATTGCCTTGTCGAGTGTCAGCTCGTAAAAGGAATATGGTGTGCTATCTTCCATTCCGCCACTCCAAACCCTCGTTATAAGGTACCCATGATATCCGTGCCTTGGCCTCGCTCTATCCTCCCTTCAACCCATTGCAACATGGCTCCTCGACTTTCGGAATTGCAACAAGATGTTTTCAAAAAAACCTATGCCCCCCTCCGTATTACATCCCTTAAGGAAAGCGAGCTTTCCAAGGATGTTGTGGGCCAATTCTTAACGACCGCGGTCTTAGATAGCATTGGTCTGTCCGCTGTCTACGGCAAGAAAGGCGTTCTTACCCTCCTTGCCCTCGCCTCCGCCGGGGATGTCCTAATCATTCACCTCTCCGGGAGCCAGCAACAGAGCCGTAATCATAGTTTATCTCCTCGACAACTGTTACAACATGAAATATTATGCAGCACCCGTCTGTCAAAAATTGCGTTCGATTTCGAACGCTTATCGACAGCATTATTCTTGGACTGCAAACTTCTGATCAAGGATGGTGTTGATATTCAATCCCTTGTACCCGGATACCGGAAGACAACTGCCACTCTATTGGCTTCTTTGGGTGGGGAAACCGTCCTTCACAGAAAAAATACTCTGCGAGCATTTGAAGAGCACACAAAAGATAAGGGATTGGAGATGAAGAATCTCGCCTTGCGGGCTTGGGCTTCCTACATGGTATCCACCTTCCCTTCTTTTGCTCTCTCTTTGCGTAGTGCACAACATATTGATACGAAGGTGATACCCAAGAAGGTACGTCTCTTTGCACAAAACTACGCTGCGTCATTGACTATTCCTCTTTCTAGGTACTTGCCGTCCTTGCGAAATGTGCACGCGATTACGACCGATTGTCCGCGCTAAAACCTATGAAGGTCAAGAACGGCATTTCGCCTGATGTAAAGATCAAGAATGGCTCTCTTCAACTTCAACAGACGCGTTTCAAAACGCGCATGCGGAGGGCCAAAGACCAGGTATAGTTTCAGCCTAAGCTACATGTTGATCCTTAATGACCATCTCTCGTATGCTGTAGTTCGTTGTTGTCAAATGCAAAGCCGATAAGTCGACTTCAATTGGACGAGTTTCAACGGCCAAGGGCAAGTCGGCGACTGTCAATCTTAACCAATCGCTTCCCCTCCAAGGCCGGGTTTCCGTTTATACCATTGGCAAAGAAGACCTAACCAATGCAGAGGCGGCACGCATAGATATCATCCTAACTTGTCTACAGCGAACCAATACGTTTTTCGAGCAACCGTTTGCCGCCTTTATTTTCCTTCAGGTACCCTTCTCAAAACCGATCTCAAGCATCGGCATGCAGTTGCCTGCTGCATACTTTCCTGGAACAAGAACGCTCAACCCTTCTCAGCTTTGCGCCGTCAAGCGTATTCTATCCAATGCTAGCTCTGATCGCGTTTGCCTCATCCAAGGCCCTCCGGGTACTGGAAAGACGACCGTGATCGCGGCTTGCGTCCATAGCTTAATCGCTAATCCGGCGTACCGTGGAGAACGGTCCATTTGGCTGGTTGCACAATCCAACGTTGCAGTGAAGAATATTGCAGAAAAGTTAGTTGATACCGATTTCTTCAACTTCAAGCTATTGGTTTCACTTGATTTTCATTTCGGCTGGTGCGCCATTTATTCGCGCATACACCATGATTTATCGTCTTATGATATCTCCCCAAACAGGCACGAGCATCTTTATGCTAAGCTTGAATCAAACGTCGTTCGAACGGACGACATTTCCGATCAATTCCAACAGACGGTCAAACTCTTTGCTGGTTGTCGTGTGATTCTCAGCACATTATCCATGCTATCTAACCCTCGTCTGGCCACAGCAGGCGTATTCCGTCTTGTGCCCATCGAGACCGTCGTTGTGGACGAAGCAAGTCAAATCGAAATTGGCGATTATCTGCCGTTGTTGAGTAAGTTCGGGAAAGGTTTGCGGAAGCTAGCATTCATTGGTGACGACAAGCAATGTACGTCCATGATTTCTCTGACCTGACTTTAGTCTGACACCTCTCATTTCAAAGTGGCACCGTACGGTCAAGATGACATTGGGGATTTGAAAAGTGTTTTCGAGGTGGATCATCTCAAGAAACGCTCCGTTTTCCTGGATATTCAATGTATGTGACAACTGTCTCGAGTTGGATGTCAGCTTTGTGACAACGCCTGTCTTGTCTGGACAGATCGGATGCCTAAACCTATAGGCGATTTTCTTTCCCGTCGTGTATACGATGGCAAACTGAACTCGCAGCATACCATTAGCACGAAAACATCATGTCGGCTGGCAGATATCAAGCTCAGTCAAGAGCGCAAGTCGGGCACTAGCTGGGAGGTACGTCCGTCGGCCTTAGGTTCATGTTACATATGCCCACGCCTTACTTGCGTTACAGAACGTTGAAGAAGTGAACGCCGTTATCAAGATTGCCCAAAAGTATGCGTCCGAGGGCAAATCCTACCGTATCATTACTCCTTATGATGCCCAACGCAATGCGATTGAGAAAGCTCTCGAAGCATCCGGTGTGCCATGGGAAGATAGATGCTTCAACGTCGACTCATTCCAAGGTCAGGAATGCGTCCTTCTGATAGATATATCACGAGCTGCTTCTCATGGCCCTGCTGACCCTATTCTTGCCCTTCGCAGGAAACGAAGCGGATCATATTATCATCTCGGTAGTTCGCTCGCAGAAAGTTGGTTTCCTACAGAACATACGTCGTTCGAATGTTATGTTGTCTCGCTGCAAGAAAAGTATGACTATATGCACGAGTCGCGCGTTTCTTGAGGGTGTGGCGTCGTCAACGCTGCTTGGAAGGTTGGCGAAGGAATGGGCAGAGTCACGACAGAGCTGGATCACCTCGAGGGACATACTCGCGGACAAGTTCTAGCCATATCCCCATCATCGGTGTCTTTAGCGTAGATACCTCGGCAGTATGAATTTGTATGACGAAGCATCTCCCAGATGAAGATAGAATCAGATATGCCTTTTCAAAACCACCTCGTTCCCGCATGAGAACGCCGTGGGTTGTGGCTGCCTACTGGCCATCCCCTCCACTTCCCTTGCCCTCGCCGTGCTCCACCATGGCAAAACCGACTCGTTTTATTGAGCAGAACATGCTTGATGTGTACTATCCAAAGATTTTTCTCCAAAATATCCTTGAAACAGAGCTCTCAGATGCACTTCTTGATTTATTCCTTGAGGGAACACCTGCGCCTCGCTCCCTCGGTGTCGCCGCCGCCTACACAGAGAAAGGAAAGCTCGCCGTACTGGCGATCGCTGCAGGAAAACAAGTCGTGCTCATTGAGTTTCGATCGAGCACAAATGAACACACCATCGTGGCTCGACAACTCCTCCAGGATCGACTCTTGTGCTCTGAATATAACACCGTTTATGCCTTCGATATCGCTCCGATAGCTCTTGCGCTCTTCGCCGATCGTGGCGTCCGTCTGATCAATGGCGTCGACTTTCAGAGCGTATGTCCCGGGGGGAGTTCTAACCGTGACCCCGCGATAGCGATCGAATCGCTCATGACCACAGAACGATCATCCACTTTCCACCCTCGCAACACTCGTGCCATCTTCGCAGAGAGTTTGTGGGATACGTCGAACCGGAACTGCGAGACATTCCTCGCTCTGCGCGCCTGGTCGGCGAGCTTCTTTGCGAAGCTCGACGGCGACGCGGAGGAGAAATTCCGAGGCGTACCTCGGGTCAATACAATGAATATCTCAGATCTGGTATGTTTCCTATCTGTCTTTTTAGTGTTCAGCTTAGGTTTATGTACGTTGACATTGCAGGACCTGCAAGTCCTTGCAAAACAATCGCGAGGCGATCAGCGGCTCGACGGTCAGAAGAACCCCGCAGTCAAACACGACTTCGTCAAGCCTCGTATTATGGATGAAAATGGACGTAAGGCGAAAGTAATTCTCACGCGATTTCAAACACGCATGCTGCGTCCTCAGGCAAGCCTAAGATGCTGAGTTTGAGATATCCGGAGCTAATGGATTGAACTCTTTCAGTCCGGAAGCCACCTATGTCTTCTACTGCAGAATGAGCGAGGAGAACAATATGAAGTACATGGACGAATCTCTGACGTATCTGGACAACAGGCAACAATTGAACTGCGCAATCCCCATAACTTCTTTGCCAAGGAGATCCTCTCCATCACCTCAGTAGGTCAAAATGGACCAACCTCAGCTGATCTTGCAAATGCTTCAAAGGTCCTTGAAATACTGCAGGGCAAATACACCCTCTCTACAAACCCTTTCTTGCAGACCATCTGGCCTGTCCCTGATCAAGAAGTGGAGTGGCCTTCTACATTTCACTGTTTTCATGCTCCACCTATTCTCTCTACTCCCCATCACTCTCTCAATGAATCCCAGGAACAGGCTGTTCTCCATATGCTCTCACAGACAAATGATAGGCACATCTCCATTATTCAAGGTCCTCCAGGAACAGGCAAGACTAGTGTCATAGCTACCTATGTTCTCTCTGCAACTGCAGCTGGTCAAGGGGGTATTTGGCTTGTTGCACAGTCAAATGTTGCTGTTAAAAACATTGCAGAGAAACTTATTGCTGTTGGTTTTGACAATTGGAAGCTGTTGGTATCCAGGGACTTTCAAGAGGACTGGTAAGTAATTTTTGTCATTGGTCCTGCTTCTGAATGAGACTTAGCATCCAATCTTAGGCATGAACATCTCTATCACAGAATAGCAAGAAATGTTATTCGCTCAGACCAGTTTTATCAAGGCTGCAAGGATCTGGCAGGTTGTCGAGTCATTCTTTGCACACTCAGCATGCTTTCACACCCTCGCATTACACTCTTCACCTCCCCAATTCCAATCAGATCACTTGTTGTGGATGAGGCCTCACAAATCAATGTCTCTCAATATATGCACCCTCTTTCCACATTCCCAACCATTCATAAGCTCTGTTTCATTGGTGATGATAAGCAATGTAAGTCATTATGTTCTGTCATTATTTAAGCATACTGATGTTCACTTTTCTTGTAGTGCCTCCTTATGGACAAGAAGAGATTGAAGAAATTCAAAGTATCTTTGAGGTCATTCACCTCAGATCTACAGCCCTCTTTCTTGATATGCAGTGTAAGTTTTTCTTCTAATCTTTGGCTTGCAAGGTCACTAAACTTCAGTGAAGACAGGATGCCTTCACAAATTGGCAACTTCATCTCTGATGCTGTCTATGATGGACAACTCAGATCCAATCCTGAACACCCCAATGCCAATGACTTTTCTGCATTCTTTATTCATGTCAAGGACAGCACTGAACTTCAACATGGTACCAGCTATCAGGTAAGTGATTTCTTGTCTTCTTTTTCTTCAGCTCTTAATCTGACACATTTTCTTCATAGAACCCTGCTGAGATAGCAACCATCATCAAGATAGCTAGAAAGCTTCAGGAGGATGGTGAATCCTTCAAGATCATCACTCCATATGAAGCTCAGAAATCCATGCTTGAGAATGGTCTCAGAGGTGCTGGCTTAGTCTGGCAGAACAAATGTTTTGCTGTTGACTCTTTTCAAGGTGTGTACTTTATTCTTTCACTGTCAAAACTCTAATTTACAAGGCTGTGATTATAGGCAATGAGGAAGATGTCATTGTCCTCTCTTTGGTTCGCACCAAAGAACTTGGCTTCCTTCAAGACCTGCGCAGAACCAATGTCATGCTTACCAGATGCAAGAAATTCCTATTTACTGTCTCCAGCTGGGACTTTCTTGTCAATGGTCCTGGTGCCAATTCTCTTGTTGGTAGGATGGCTGCTTCATGTGGTGATGATTCTTGGATTTGGCCAGATGATATTGACTCTGGCAACTATTAGGCATTAGCACCATCAACTTGTACATATAGGATGGGGCATATTGACAGTCAGTCATTGGTGAAACAGCCAATTGAATGGCTGTCCTTCAAAGGGCCTTAGCCATTCAATTGGCTGCTTTGACAGGGGTTGGCTTTCAATGTGTCCCATTCACTGATTCCCTTAAATTGTCCTGCCATAGCTAAACATCTGTCTCAGTGTGGAGTGATGAAGTGGATATGCAGTAGTAGTATCTACAATCATGCTGTACTGGTCCTATGCTTCTATATGATACATGTATTGAATATATGTCAGAGATGTGACTTTAGTGGAGCTGAGCAAAGCTCCTTCATGTCTAGCAATACCTGGATCAGCACTGACTTGAATATCTGGGTAGAGGTTGAGGGACAAGAATGTTTGGACTCTATGCCAAACATGATGAGACTTGGACCTGGAAGATCTGTAGGGGATGAGGTCCAATCACCAGGACAATGCTACTATGATACTCACAGTTGATACCATAACCATCATGTTCAGAGGCACTAAACCTGAGGACACAGTCTCAACTTCAACTGCAGTCAAGACATCAGGAAATGAGAACTCACCCTGTTCCACGAAACTGATCTCCAGGACTCAACCCACTTGTACTCAACTTCCAAGTCTGACTTCGAGTGAATAGCTCATCCTGGAAGAGCGCAGGTTGAACCGCGAGCTCCTCAGGCTGTATCATACACCTCAGTCCGAGAAGATGTCGATCGATACCTCTGCCTGTCGATGCTGCGCGTGAGATGCGCGAATGAGTTTGAAGAGCCCGATGTAGAAGGTCGCGTCGTGTCTCGACTGGCACATTTGGATCCATCATAGAGAGCACCCACGCACGACTCTCTTTGGTCAACGTTCGGATGGTTTCCGTACGAGCGTGGTGGAAGAGACGAGTGAGCGCCGTCTCGTACGTTGCTGTGAACTCGCCCCGCGTTCGATACCATGCGAGTTGAAGAGCCATTTGAATATATGCATCTGGGGCAAGACGAGCTGTTAACATGGAAGATTATTATGTCTTTCGCCATTGGTCTGCAACGAGAAGGTACAAACCGATTTTCTTAATCCATTCGGCACCGTATGCATCGAACCAGAGTACACTATCGTCCGAATCCTGTACAATTGCTCGTGCTCGTTCCTCAGCCACGACGCATTCCAACTTTATACGGTCGTCTGTCACCCAATCTAGTCTTCTCCAACCAGTCTGGGACTCGTTAGATTGAACAGACGGCATTGCCAGAACCTCATCATACGCATCTAAGTCGATTGCCTGTACCACAGCATACTCCGCCATTATACTGGGAACTAGAGCGTCACAGGGTGAATGCTCTCCGTTCGCACCTGCACGTCCATTGGACTCGACGATCAGGGTGAACGGCTTGTCGAACCATCTATTGTGCGCAGGATGAGAGGAATGCGACGAGCGAAGGTTGTGAAGATGCGCATCGACCTCCTTTGGTGAATCAGGCGGAGGTAGAGGCGAAGAGGAAGATGCGGATTCGCGGGAGGGAGATGGGAAGACGTAGGTCCAGGGATCGAGGCTGAGTGCGACGATGGAATGGTTGATAGCGCGGAATATAGTTTCGTTTGCGGGAGAAAGCGATAGAAGATGTTCGAGGTTCTGTAATGTGAATACTTAGCATTGTCTTGGAAAGTAACAGGACAAGATTCTACACACCTCCGCCCAGCGATCCCTCTCGTCAGACGTGAGCACACCTACAGGAACAGCTCGTTCTCGAGCCTCCAGCCTTCGACCAGCATCTTCCACAATGCACAGGAGCCTCTGCTCTAAGGTCTGGACAGGTAAGAGTTCTAATCGAGAATCCAGGACGTCAATGCTATATTGCCAGTCATGAATGTGCACTAGTACAGTGTGTGTAGAGGGATCTGGAGACGGTGGAACAGGCGAGAAGGTATCGCAGGATCTTCGAGGTATACGTGCGGTGTTAAAGTTAAGACCGATAGTGCGTTGGAACCATAGACCTGCGAGATATAAGATGGGGGAAGAATTCGCATCTAACTACGACGACCTTACCATCTCTAGTGGTATCAGGATAGACTTCCTGTCTGAACACACGTGCTATGAGTACATTCGGCTCCTCAGTCATCAGGCAGAGGACATACTTCTCTAATCGACTTTTGAATTCCAAAGTACGATGTAGCAGCCATGACGCTCGGCGGACTTGCCATCTGGTGATTGCAGTACCCTTTATCTCGTCTCTCGCCAGTCCAAGGTACACGTCTTCTGGAATCGTCGGATCGTTCTTGAACGACAGCCACCAGTTAGAGTTGACGATGAGGGGTGCGCGCCATTCGTGGTATGCTTTCTTCAGCCAGATATTGTCATCCAGCCAATTATGAGGAGAAGCCTTGTCGAGTGCTTCTACAATGAGTAAAATAGATATGTTTCGTGAGGTGTAATGACACACCGTAAAGACGCTCCTGCAACGTTTTGCCTATCCCGTTCTCAAACTCCTCTGCCCAATGTTTGCGCAGTGCCAGTGCTTCTTCAAAGGGCACTCCTCCACGAGCTTCATCTTCAAGCAGAAAAGGTTCTAGAGACGTGAGGTACCTTTGAAGAGTCTGATCAAGCTTCGGTACTGGAAGTCGAGGTAATCGAGGTTGTTTGTGTTGTAAGTGGGATGCGGCGGTTGTAGCCGTTGAAAACGGCTGCATCAAACGACCACCAGGACAAGCACAGAGACGTGGACGAAATATCCTAAACATAGAGCAGCATTTGTGGTATGAACGCGGTACGCAGAGAGCAAGGTCGTGAAAGCGTACGTGGTGGTTGCGGACAAAGTCCGACGTAGCGACCTTTTGATCGAACCTTCAACCGTGCCGCTCAGGATGTAGCTTCGTGACTGCTCTTTATTCACAACCGCTCACTACACCGTCCTAAGCATATCCTTCTCGTTCAGTGATCTATTTCGGGAGTCTGGTACGATATAATACGCGTAAAACGCGTCGTTACAACTAACTACGCGTCCGAGTCGGCATACGCTATGCCTCCACCTAAGGAAATTGTGGAATGGCTCAATCAACGATACCCAAAGCCTAAAGTAGACCCAGTAAGTCTATATATATACGATTACTACTTATTTAGTCCTGACACTGCATCAAGGATTGGTTGGAAGGCTGCTACTCATGGATCGAGGAGACTCATGAGCTGGATCCTGCTACTCAAATGGACGCTATTATAGGTCACGTAACTGCCCAACTACTCTCTTCAGACTTCGCAGATTCCATGCGACCCAAGACAGGCCTTACGTCAAATATACACGCATTGAAGAAGTGCACCATGAAGGGCCCACCTATCCTACTCGAGCTGGTCTCCCTGACGGAGATTGCACACAGCGCCTTCAACCTCATGAATGTCAGGCAAACCAGAATTGACAGAGAGGACCTCGCTGGATTAGGGGAAGACATTGATGACCAGGGAAACATGGATGAAGACGAGGGGCCTGTCCCGAGGTATCCCAGAGGCATGCTGAAGATGGAGTTGAGCGACGGATTTACAACCCTAAACGCTATTGAGTATCGCCGGATACCTGACTTGGAGCTTGGTGTCACCCCCTTGGGATGTAAGGTGAGTATGTCCGTGAAGAACACCTCATATCTCATCTTCACTCAACGAGCGAATCCGTAGGTCCAGATACATAACGTTGACATTCGAAACGGTGTTGCGCTGCTAGAACCGAAGAACTTTACAATCCTTGGTTATCAGACAGAAGATCGCGTAGCTCAGCAAGATGCCGACTTCGTTAGAAGCCTGAAGAGAAGATTGCAGTGAGTTACCTATGTCTCTCAATAGATAGTTTATTCAACTAACCACACGAACAGGCTACCGGAAGATGAACCTGCAGCACCTGGTGAAGCTCCGCCAGCTCCTCCCCCAGGCCCACCTCCCGCTCCCGCTCCCATGCCAGCACATCCCCGAGCACCTTCTGAAGCACCCGTGCTTGCTCAATCACTGCGGCAACCACGAATTCGATCGCCTCCGCGTGAAGCCAGCGCCCCATTAGAGCCAGGACCTTCTCATGCCCCCCATGTCGATGAAGAACAACGTCGACGCCGAAAAGTACCTGCAAGGAGCCCGTCTCCTCTACTTCCACCACCTCCAGCACAAGCCAGACAAACCCATTCACGATTCTTCCACGGCTCTGGAGCGGGATCTAACCACGGAGCACAAGATAATTCTGATGACCTGGCGGAGTATTTGCGTCTGTCACCACATCGAGAGTCCTCACGTCTCGTCAACAGTTCCGGCGACGAGATTGAGGATTGGCAAATAGCGGAGCGATCCACTAGGCCACGACGACCCGCTGCATCTAAGACTGCGAGGACTACTGAGAAGCAAGCACAACTAGCTGCTAATAATCAAGCTGAGAGCGATACAGACGTAGATATGGCGGTCCCGACAGACGGAAGCTCTGAGTTTGATTTTGACGACGTCGGTGGGGCGTCGTTCTTCGCCGAAGTTGACAAGGTTGAAAAAGCAGCCTTGAGCCAGTATGCCGGTTCACAAGACAGAACGCAGGTTGGCACGCAGGTCAAGATCGAGCAAACGCAGGCAGCCAGATCTACTACGGGCGTGACGAATACGAATTTCTCGACCTTTGATACCGCAACGCTGGTTGGAGGAAGCTCGCAAAGTGCACCCGGACGAGGCTCTAGTTCCTCTGGTGGAAGTCGGAACCCTCCTTCGTCATCTTCTCGAGGAAGAGGGAGCTCTGTTCCCGTCGATGGTAGCAGTCGATCGCAATATGCAAGAGTAAACCTTGGTGTGATCGACTTGCTTGACGACGATGAAGAAGATAGGGAGAAGGAGAACATACCTGCGCAAAGTAAGTATGTTAGGAGACGAACGGCCACGCCTGCTGCCGCCGTATATGACGTTATTGAGATCTCCGACTGAACGTCCAACTTTGCAATGTCCCTTCCCTGTGTCAATACGTTCACACGGAGGAACCTTGCGATTCGTCTAATATTTATACGTACGAATAAACAGCAAAAATACACGACAAAATACATTGCACAAACTTCTGGACAGGAAAGCAAGTCAGGTAGAAGGAAAACGGCATGTCGAATGTTGGTTCACCTATAACGGTATCTTGACTAAGTGCGTCAATCCTTCACCCAAGTATAGCGACCTTTGCCTTCTTTTTCTTTTTGCCACCACTTGCGAATGACCGCCAACTACCAACACGTTGTTCGCGGTTTTCTAAAGACAGAAGATGTCAATGATTGATTAATGAATGTAGAGTATGCCGGAACGCACCCTCCCAGTTCACTTCTTCTTCTGCTTTGCGTTTCTTCGCGAGTTGCTCTTCCTCCTTCTTCCTTGCCTCGAGGCCCTCATTAGCTAGATTCATCTTGACGGCTCTATACCGATATGTCAGATATCATATAACAATGTCCTGTAAGAATTACTGACTTCCGTCTCCGAACTTCCTCGTCGATGAGCATTTCTTTCGACTTTGCGCGCAGTTGCTCCTTCCAAGGTGGTATCAGTTCTTGAAGCTTAGGATCATCGTCTTGGAGCGTCGAAGGCAAGTTCTGGGACTTTAACAGAACTACTCGAGCTTGTCTGATGACCGCGTCCAGTTCTTCACGTTTGTTCTTATCCGACAGCTCAGACTCCGCCTATTACCAACAAACGGTGATTAATATCGATTCCAAGGTCATTTGTGCGCTGGTGAACTCACCTTCTTTAAGAGGTCGAAAGCATCTGGAGCACGAGCATGGGATGTCTTGTCAGGATGGATGACTATGTATCAAATAACGTACGAGTTAGGGTCCATGATTGAAGAGTGCAAGCATAATTGGGCGCGGGGGCTCACAGAGTGAGAGCTGCCTGTACTTCTTCTTGATCTCCTCTGCCGTAGCGGTATCTGGCAAGTCAAGGATCTCGTACGGACTTCGAAGATGTTTAGTTCACAGAATAGATTTGGAAGAAGAGGTAGAACCCACTTGAGCTTGAAAGCTTTTAGAATCCTCTCGACCTCCACTTCCCGTTGAAATGCAGTGGCCTCTCGACTGAGGAGCCTCTCAACCTCATCGTCAGTAGGCGTGGCAGTCTTGGCCGTGGACGTGGACGCTTGTGCAGACATATTGTTACTGCGAATGGTATATTAAAGCAAGTTACCTCAGGTTCCTTCCTGGGCGATCCCGCGTAATTCCAGGGGTAATCAAAGAGAAGAGAGCAAGAATACAACACCTCAGCGTCGAGGCTGGTGAAGGTAACGGAATGAGTGAGATGAAGCGCTCGAGTGTTACGACTCTATGAATTACTACCTCCATGCTGCGTTGCGACATTCATGTCGGTCAGCGCTGAGGCCGCATACAGTAGGTCCGAATTGCACGATAGTATACATAATACTAACACAGGGCGTCTTAGATAATTGCAAAGACTCAGTATTTACGAGTACCTAGCAGAATATCCTTGCGATCGACCAGAGGTTATTCGACGGGGTCCGGCCCCTCAACTTCTTCATCGTCTTCACAACAAAATGCCTCACGAGCACAATATGCTGCGCGCAAGCAGGAACTTTACGCTCGAAGAAACAGGAGTCTGCTCATGTACACCTCCGCTGTGGTACGTTTATTGCATTCACAAGAGGGAATTCAATTGACATTTTATTGACTACAGATTGTCATGGGCATCGGCGTGACATATGCTGCAGTTCCTCTGTATCGTATGTTCTGTGCTGCCACCGGTTTTGCCGGTACACCCAAGGTCGGCATGGGCAAATACGAAGCCGAACGACTGGTTCCTGTTGAAGACGCCGGGCGAATCAAAGTTCACTTCAATGCAGATACCTCTGACGCACTTCCCTGGACATTCACTCCGCAACAGAAGTTTGTCAGTGTGCTGCCTGGGGAGACTAGTTTGGCGTTCTACAAGGCTAGGAATGATTCTAAACAAGACGTTATTGGTATCGCCACCTATAACGTAACACCGGATCGAGTACGTCCTTTAATGCAGTCTCGACTGAATTCTATCGCAGTATTGAGGTTGCTTTTAGATAGCACCCTACTTTTCCAAAGTAGAGTGTTTCTGCTTCGAGGAACAGAAGCTTCTTGCAGGAGAAGAGGTTGATATGCCGCTTCTGTTCTTCATCGACAAAGATGTTCTGGAGGATCCTGCATGCCGAAATTTGGACGACGTTGTCCTATCATATACCTTCTTCAAGTGCGTAGCCATTGCAACCGAATTCATCCTGTTACTCATATGACATGTAGAGCACGGCGAAACGCACAAGGACACCTAGAGCCGGACGCTTCGGATGCGGTTGTCCAAGCTTCTCAGGGATTCGGTGACTACGAGTTAGCTCCTAGAGCTGAGGATCGCAACAAGGTTGAGGTAACTAGTACCCAGCCGTAATCTAGTAGAATCATGTAATATATTGCTCTTCTGTGACACTTCATACTCATCACTCCAAGATGACATGCTTCAAAATTTGAAGGGGTGAATAGATTGATAGAATAAGCATTACTATTTCATAGGTTTGACAAAAGAGCATAAAGAGAGCACTACACTGACACCCATTCCCCTCATGTCACCTACTAGCCACTTCCATCACTCTTCCACCTACAGAGCCATCTAACCCCTTCTCTTTAGCTAAAAGCGCCAAACATCCTGCTTCCATCGTCGTCTCCCAGTACTCTACCTTCGCCCTCTCGATCTCCTGGACCAACTGCGCTCTCATCGCACGCGCACGTCTAAGGATATCTTCTTTATTCCGTGTCTTCGTCTTTGACTGCCCAGCGAGGGGATTCAGTTGAGCCAGGGTGTTTAGCGGGTTGTATGGATTGAACGGAGGTACGAAAGGTGTTTGATTGTACGGAAGAGAAGGAGCCGTGAAGAGCGGGGTTATTGGGTTGGTTGGATATGATGACGCCGGTCCTGAACTTGTCGAAGGAGGTGACTGCGATGCATAAGGAGAGTGGAGATACGGTGGTGTTTGGGACACTGGCTGCGTCTGACCTTCCGGTATCTGTTGTACACTCGCATGCTCTTGACCCTGAACGTGGCGTACAGGACCGTCTTCCAAAGTTCCTTGCTGCTCAGGAGAGACCTCTCTCATCACCTCCTTTCCTTTACCCTTGTCGTTACCCTCCGAGTCTGCAAAGCGCACGCGCTTCGTCAACATACTTTTCTTCGCACCATTTCTAGTTGAACACGCACCTAACCGAATTCCTTCTTTACCCTCACCCTCACCACCTGTGCCTTCTCCGTGTCCGTCCCCTTCAACTTCACCCGGACCGTTCACAATCTCCACATCACCGAACAATCCATCCCAATCGGGCGTCTGAGGACCATGATCAGGTTCAGAAAGTGGTCGAGGCGATAGTGGAGACCCGATGAGTGTAGGCGTTGGTGGGGCCCCAGTATTTGAAGTTGTACTCTCCCTTGAACTCGCTTGCGAGGTTTGAATGGATATTTGCGGGGTTTGCGGGGGTCGTGAGGTCTCTCGCGGATGATTGGAAGGTTCAGGTGCATTGGATTGAGACGATGATGGGAAGGAAAGGGCTACGAGAGCGGGGTCGATGGAAAGTAGTGAGGGATCCATCGAGTATAACGCTTGCTCAATAGCAGACTGCATTGCAGCATCACCCGACGGACTTTCCACGTTTGACGGCGTCGTAGCCGAGGCTGACAATTTTTCCCTTTCGTCAACATCCATCACATCGTCACTTGAAGATGTGCCAGCACCCATTTCTGCCTCATCATCAGTTTTCATGGCTGACGCCAAGTCCATCGCAGGCATGGCAAATATTTGCTCTAGCTCTGACGGAGTCATGTTACTGAACAGCGTGAGGAAGTCGTCGAGATCACGAGGATAAGCATTCTCGTTATTCGTGTCATCGTGCGTTGAAGCAGAGGCTGATGCAGGCACGTTTTCGGGTGGTGAGCCAGTGCTCGGACTGGAGACGGAGGCACCAGGTTGGCCAGGTAGCGGATAAGGATATGGCGGATAGTAATAGGGTGGATAAGGCGCCATGGACGAGATGTACCCTTGCGGAGGTGTCCCGTTCGACGTTGAAGGAGCAGCTTTACTGGGATCGACTAGCGAAGCCATCGGTGGGGGTGTTGCTGCTGCTGGAGGTTGAAAGTATCCACCCATATAATGCTGCGAGACCTGAGGTACCTGTCCCGGTGGTAAACCATAATGCATTGTCTCCGGCCGATAGTGTCTAAACACCTTTGGACCCTGCTGCGTCCCGTATTTTTGCTCCCATAGCATTTGTTGCTGTTGCATGGTCAAGGACTGATAGTAATTTTTGGCAGCAGCTTTCCGAGCTGCGCTCTTCACTAACCCGACCAGATCCCCAAGTAACTGTTTCCCGCGCTGCCGTTCCCAATTCGTACGATAGTCCGCTGGACCTTGGCCGGCGGCGAATGGGTATGGGACATCCCAGTCGGCCGCGCCGGCTGGTACGGATGACAGCTTGCGTCGTTTGATCGGTGGAGGACCAGTTGTGGGTGTTGTGGGAGTACCATCTGGAGTCGTACCAGGTGGTGGTCGGTAGAAAGCGGAATACTGCTGTGGGTAGAGCTGCTGAGCCTCGGACCCTCGAGAAGCCAAACGAAGCAGGGCATCAACGACGGGGAAGATGTTCTTCTGGTTGATAAGTGTTTGTAGAATAGCGTCGCTCGGCGGTGTAGGCAGATTGACAGAGGGTATACCAGAAGCACTGGCAGGAGGATGCCGACCGATGGTGGGCCCATCATCTTCGTCCTCAACAACAATGGGGTTATTCGGCGTGGAACCTTGAGTGTGCCGCTTCAAAGCGAGATTCGCAGGTTTCACGCCACTCACCAACCCTGCGAGTCCTAGAAGCGCTTGTTGATTCCGTAGGAAGTTGGACGGCGGAGGCTCCGAAGGGTCGGGAAGGGTAATTGGTGGTGTAGGGCGCGGTGTCGAGTCAGCTCGTGTCTTTTTCGACTTGCGAGGTGGTTTTGTCACACGAGGCGCAGCCGGTGTAGGCGTATTTACTCCCGAACTTGACCTTGACCCATTAACACTGGACTGTGTGGAAGGACGACGCTCAGCCCAAACTGGAGGAGCAGCCAACAGTTGCTGCTGTCTCTGCTGCACCACGTCTGAAGGTGCTGTCACCGCAAGCGCTGGCATATGAGCTGATGGCAGTTCAGAAAAAAGATGGGAACCAGGAAGTGCAAGGGTCCCCACGTTTTGTGCACATTTTGAACCGCTACCGCTAGGAAGAGCTAGCGGAGACGGGGATCTGCCTCTACCTGGCGAAGGCGGAGGCGATCCAAAGAGCGAGTCATCTTCGTCATCATCTTCGTGAAGAATTGTGTCGAGGTCTGCTCGCATGACATCCGGATATCGCGCCTTCAACATTTAGAGCTTGGATATGAGTTTCAAGGATAGGAAAGCGATGGAAGGTGAGTACCTGGATGCCTCAATACCGCAATCTTGATAATGAACGTTATAGGAAAAGCAAGGATGCACTTGAAAGAAGTTCAAACTCTTCAGATCGCGCGCAGCGAACCTCTGTTTGAGAGATGGCCGTGGTGAGTTATAGATGTCTCTGGTATGTTATGCTGAGCGTGCCTTGAGTATGTGTAGGTATGTGAACGAAGAGCGGAGGGTGGTGAGTGGATGGTGAAGAAAGAAATGAACATAACGAAAACAGACTCGTGGCTGATTCAAGTATCGTACCAAATTGTCTCGGCGCTAATATCCTTTTTAGGAAACTTCAGGACAAATTATACCGAGTGAGGTCACTATGACTGAGAGACCTTTGCACTTTATCTCCCAAACCCTTATGTGGCGGCAGCTCCTTCCTGTCTGTGTTCCTCGTCGTGGACAACGTTGAACATTACGAGCGAGTAGATTGTGATCGTACGCGATCTTCAAACACGTTTCAATTGATCCTACAAAGCACAATCCTTCCTAGGGCCGCCTTGTATATATGAAATGGCCAACGGTCGTCCTCAACCTCACCTCTCGATTCCACCACGAACTAGACCTTTATCCAATCCATCTCTGGCGACAGACTCGTGGAATTTCCTTGTCACACCTCCACCCGATCGTGATCCTCTGAACCTCTGGGCAGATGATCCTCAACGTTCTTCATTTGGACTTGCTTCCCCAGACTCTACATATCCATTCGATCCTAGTTTTCCTGAACCAGATACATCACTATTTGAACGTCCCCCGAGTAGAGCTGCGAGTGCCTACGAATCTAGTGGCGCATATCATGGATATCCGGAGCCACACTTGTATCGGTCTACTTCACATAGGGCATCACTTAGGCCCTCCATCAGTCAACGTTCCTTAGGGCATAGGCACGCTCGCAGTGAAGTGCAATTAACGTCGAGCCCATCAGTGGTTCGAGGCGAGTCAAGACCTCCTTCCTTCATAGGCAGCGATGAGAGTAGTCCAGAGGTGTGGGCATATGTGTCTTCGTCTTTCACCTGCCCTTCGTACCAATCGTCTTCTTTTCTTGTAGTCCACTGTCGCAGTGCTTTCGGATGAACTATCTAGTTTGACGTGTGTGTTTCCATACTTCCTTCGATATAGATTGATTTATTCACTACGCATCAATTGTCTGCATGCAGTTTTGCCTCTGAAGAGGGCCTTCGGAAGTTTCAGATGGGTTCACTGCCAGAGAGTGACGAGGCGTGGCATCGTCTTGTCCCACCAGAAGCGCGTGAAGTGCTCGATAAGAAGGAAGTCCTACGACAATCGGTCATCTTTGAGGTGATCAAATCCGAAAGGGATTACGTCCAGGACTTGGAGCTCGTGAAGGATGTTTATATTTCCCCTCTACTAAATTTGCCCGTCATATCAAGGAGCCGGCTCCAGGGTTTCTTATCCGAGGTCTTCTATAACCTAGACGAAATTCTTGCGCACCATCGTCGGTTGCTCGACCAACTTTTTGAACGACAACGTGAGCAACATCCCTTAATACAGAGTATCGCTGATATAATTCTCGAAAGTGAGTTCACCACCACTATATTCTTCGATCATGGTCCCTGACACCAATGTCAATTTCAGCTAGTCTCCAATTCCGTCAATCATACGAAGCCTATATCAAACATTACCCTCTCGCAGAAGCCCGGCATCGCACTGAACTCCGTCGTAACCCAAAATATCAGTCTTTCTTGTCACAATGCGGCCACCACCCGCGTGTTCGCAAACGGGATCTCAACACCTTCATAACGCGTCCAGTAACTCGTCTACCTCGACTGACGCTATTACTCAGCACTATGCAAGGTTACACTGCGGCCGACCATCCTGATCAAGAGACTTTGCCTCTTATTTTGAGCCTGCTTACTCAGTTTGTCAAGAGCACACAACCTGGTATCGAGGCTGCAGAGAGCAAGGTTCAATTCTACGCTCTATGTGAGAGTTTGGTCTATCAGAAAGGGGAAATCATCGTAAGTTTTTTTTTTGCGTTCGTATGTGCTCGGTGCTCATGACTGTGAAGGATTTGGACCTGTTCGACGAGAGCCGGTCGTTGCTTCATTTGGGTCCCTTGGCTAGAAGATATAGAGCTGATGTGGGATATCACTGGGCTGATCTCAATGTCGCTCTACTTGATAACTACTGTGAGTGAAACTCCAATGAATGGTGTGACAGTCTATCCTTACTTCACCTACGTAGTGCTTCTATTGAAACCTGAGCGTCGGTCAGGTGGAGAAATTCGGCATGTCGTTGTGTCTCGTGTGAGTCACAATCCAGCTCCTACTATCCTTATTCTCACATATGTCTAATTATTCTAGCCCATACCCCTCGAATATCTCTGCCTCTCAAATTTCAACTCCCCTACTGAACCCCGCAAAGAGAAAAACAACTCCATCGACCAACAACAGCCGCAATCTAGCCGATCTCTGCTCAGCAGTTTTTCCATTCGGTCGACTTATAGGCAGATGTATCCGTTTACAGTCCATCATGCGACTAGCAAGATGACTAGGCGGTACACTCTATACGCGGCTAGTGAAGAGGAGAGGGATAAGTGGAGAGTTGCACTTGTGGAAGCGATTGCCTTAAGGAAGGTCAGGCAAGATGCTAACATGGTGAGGACACAATCCACATGGTTGGTTGAATGAACGTTGATCAATGTTTTGGAATAGTGGTTTGCGCCGCACACTATCAATGAGGGGTTCTTCAGAATGCCACCCCTCGGCGGACAAATACATAGTTCGAACGGTGTACGGCATTTCACGGGCAGGATCAGATGTGCAGTGCCCTTCTGTAAGTTGGTTCAATCGACCTGTCGATTGTTCTTATGACAACTAACTCGATCACGGATGACAGCGAGTGGTGGTAAGAACCTGATAGCGGTCGGGTGTCCGACTGGCGTGTACGTCGCAGTCCGTGGACAATCCTCTCGTACGTCCCAACTTCGACTAGTTTATTCGACAATGTAGATCTCATCATTCACTTAGAATTCCGGAAGGTCCTGCAACTCCCCAACCCAACTTCCTTGCACACAATACCATCACATAATAAATTCCTTGTCCACTGCGACTCAGGGCTTAAAGCGTACTCACTCGATCTTCTCGCGCGTGTCGCGATGCACACTTCTCCGCCTCAACCCCTAGACGCGAGTAGAGAGAACATCACTGCCGCCGATGATTTGGTTCTGTTCGTCAAGGTCGGAAGGTTCGCTGGGAAGATTTTGGGTGAGTGGCGTTCTCGAAAGCTATGTTTTGCAGTGCATTTACTAATTATACTAATGTCTAGTGCTCTATGCGACGAAGGGATTGTGGCAGGTGCAGCTACACATTGTCACGCCGTTACTTCCGGATGAAGCGCAACCTCCGAAACGAAGGAGTATCTCAGGTCTGCTAACGTTCAAACCGTACTTGAAAGATGTGAGATTTTATCAATGTATTCTCACCCCGTACTTGAGCTCTATCCCATCCAGCCTATATCAATACCGAAGGATGTACATGACCTGACTCCGCTTCGGCGGAAGATAGGTATCTGTGCCGAACGAGGCATCCACATATTTGATCCAGAGCAGTGAGTGAAATCGAACTTGTATCCACTCTCATTAGTATGCCTGACGGCAGTGTTCTAGCTTGACGACAAATTACACGATTATCCCCAACTTTCTTACCGAGGAAAGCAATCCTCCGATGCAGCTGCTCAAACAAAGATGTTCAGGAGCAAAGCCTCTTGGTCTCGTGAAGTCTGGCGAAGATGAACTCCTTGTTGTTTTTGATGGTATACCTCGGATTCAATCATCGCAGGTGTTCATCCCTTGTACTAAAAAAATCCAACTTTTCTAGAACTCGGATGCTACATCAATAGCCACGGCACCCCCGTACGCCAATCTGGATATCTTCGCTGGGAGACCAAAGCCACATCCTATGCGCACCGCGGAGACCACATCCTTCTTTTCTCACTCGAGTTTATCGAGATACGGACACTCCATACTGGCAAACTCGTGCAAGTCATCGAAGGCCAAGATATTCGTATGGTCCATGCAGGTGATGAGACAGTTTTCGTCGCGATGAAGGGTCAGAACAGCCTAAACGTCGGGAGTGGTAGTGCGGATGGAACGGACGACAAACTGATTGAACTCGTTGAGACGACCGAGCTTGCGGCTCAACAGCAGCTAGTGCAGTCTCCTGCGCTTTGGGATGAATGGGATATGTGATCCTAGTGTGATGGTTAGTATGAGGTTGTGCTGGATCTACTGACGGATATCCGAATTGAGTTATCACTAAATGAATTGAATATGTAGCTTCGTGGGTGTTGAGTCTTTTGCTTGTATCGAACAGTACAGTAGTAGCTTACCATTTGTTATGTTAATTCCATACCCCCTACTTTGTACTCATTCATTCGATGTGACTGTGTCTAAGGCATCGTTGTTGAATGCACTGGCAGCGACGTTCAGAACTTCAGAGAGAGAGTCCAGAATCGAGATTGCAGATGTCAATGCGCTGCATAAATTGCACAAGTAATTAAAATGAGTTTATACCAACATCTCTGCTAGTATATCGGTTTAGTACACGCGCCTGTCATCACAGTTTACGTAGTAACTGGATTCGGTGCGCGCGAAAGCTGGGTTCGACTCCCAGGCAGAGAGCGAGATACCTTTTTTCTCTGTATTTTCTGTTATACAGTGACTTATTATGCGCAGGGATACCAACGTCTTCAATATCTCTAGCTGAGCAACATGCCAAAAAGGTCAACGATTGAGCAATGAGAGGGCTAAAGACATTTCTTTCCCGTCCGTCGCGGTCACATGCGGCAGCACACGAACCGATCGGCGGCGCGGCGCGTGGCTCAGAGCGGTTGCTTTGTCCTTCCATCATATGCTGCACTGACCTCATTGCTCTTTGTATGCGCTGAAATGTCTTCAAGAGACCTTGAAAGTGAACGTAAATCTTACCGCGCCCAACTCGACCAAGCACTGCAGGAAGACGAAGACCCTTTGGCTGCATACGACACTTTTATTAAATGGACTTTGTCTAACTACTCCGGTGACCTAATCGCTCATTCGGGGCTCGTAGAACTGCTTGAAGAAGTAACCAGGACATTCAGGGATGACTCTGCGTACAAAGGGGACCTTCGATACCTCAAGACGTGGTCCATGTTCGCCAACTGCGTCGAGTATCCCGCTTTGGTGTTTGAATATCTGCTGAAGCAAGGCATTGGCACGGTATATGCGCAAGTATATGAGGATTTCGCGCTTGCACTAGAACAGATTGGCCGGTACGTTGCATCACAGGTCACCGTTCTCATTCATTTACATTTATAGCACTACAGTCGTGCAGATGCGGAACAAGCTTATCAGCTAGGCGTTCAGCGGCGAGCGCGTCCAGCGGAACGTCTCAAGAAGCGTTATGCCGAGTTTCAAGCGCGTCCATTTCCATCCACACTGCCGTCCAAGTCTCCCCTGTCCAATCCTGACCTCTGGAAAGATGCTTCACCAGAAACTCAAGCTCTCCGCAAAGACCCTTTCAAGAACTACAACCCGAAACCGAAACTCCTCTCGTACGCACCTCCAAAGTCCACACCTCAATACACGAACACCTTACTCGACCCAAACCATGACCGATACGCACATATTCGCAACCCGGCACCACTAGCCCCAGGCAAACGACCAGAGAAACTACGATTCAATCTCTCCCTACTCTTCACCTCAGAAGGAGAAGAATATAGCATTCAAGAAGCCCGAGCGCGTTCTATGGGTCTTCTAGGAAAGAAATGGGGTCCACCTCCAGAAGCTCAGACGCGTCAAGTAAAAGTGGGCTTTGATGAAACTGGTGCGCGCAACACACGTAATCATACAAAGAAGAATACAACTTCTTCTTGGGGAGGCGGCGCGGAGCCTACAGTCACTTTGGCTACTAAAGAAGCATTGGCAGACGTGTTTGGGATGTATAACAGTCCAGAGAAGAGCATGCGTTATGGTGTGGCTGCAGGCAGTAAACATGCACCTGTGCAGAAGATCAATTTTGAGAGGACCGTCAATCCTGTCACACCCTTACCTGCACCTGCATTCAGAGCATCAAACTCGAGAGATGAGAACGATCTCGACAAGACACGTAAGTGTCCTAGTCGTACACTAAGCCTTTGTAGTCTGACATCCGAACTTTATAGCGTTCAGACCGTATGTCGATCCTGGTGTAGAGAGGAAAGAGAATAACACTCCGGCGCCAGCTAAGGTAGGCTTTTGTTTATCCAACGCCTAGCATACAGTCGATGAAACTTTTACAGTTCAAACCTTTCGTCGACGAACAAACCCCCAGACCTCCTGCAGTCACTCCTGACCCCAATCGACGCGTTCTTTCAGTCAAAGAAACCGTCCCACCCGTACCCCGTTCTAACGAGAATGCCCGTCCTCCGCCGCCCAAGTCAAATGAAAATGCTGTTCCATCTAGGTCAAATGAGAATCCGCCCGCCCCAAGACCAAAGACTCCTACCAATAGCGTTTTCAGACCTCTTTCAGAAGACCGTCGACCACCGACAGTCTTCACTCCTGCTGCTCCTGGAGAGAGTAGGGCGTTCTCGAGGAAAGACATCTTTGTTGACCCTCCTGCGTCCTCGTCCTCGTCATCGGAGAATGCTAGCGCAGCTCCTGCACCATTCAAGGTGTTTAGTCGGCCGACGCCTGCGGCTGCGGGAAGTTCAAGTTCGAGCTCAAATGTGTTCTCTATAAGACCTGATACACCAGGACATCCTCCGCCTCCTGCGGTGTTCAAACCGTTCGTAGATCCTGATGCAAGGCAACCTTTCGTCCCTGTTAGATCTCGTACCCCGCTCTCGTCCATCCCTACTCAATCGGAATCCGAAGATGACCCCGAAGAACTTGTACAAGCGCAACATCCCATCTCTGCGAATTTCACTGAAACTGATGAAGATTATTATGACACTTCCACTGATCAATCTTCTGACTTTGACGACGGTCCTATTGCGATAATGCCTATTCAAGCTTCGACGACGCCTACAACGTCCGAAGAAGATAGTGTCTTGTATGACGAGCAGGGTATCGAAGGATACCAAGACCAACAACCCCCGTTGGGTGGACGATTAGGCCAATTCCAGGTGATGACACCCATAACAGAACGTACATATGAGTTTACCTCGACGAGTATGAAGGGGCAGGCTACACCTAGTGAGGCTTATGGACGACCGGTATTCAGGAGGGAAGATCCAGTTGAGGTCGCTGAACAGTTGGCAGCTGAGCTACGCCGCGAGGAGCAAGAAGAAGAGGAAGGATGGGAACAAGTTGATGGCGAAGAGGAGGACGTTCAGAACCTCGAAGAACGGACGGGGACGTTGAGCTTCTCGGACGCGATAAATGTCGCATCAAAGTTCAAGACCTCGAATCCATGCAATCCATTTGACCCGCCAATCATGTCAACCCTGCTTTCCCTGATTCCTGCTGATCCTGCTTTCCGTGATTTGAGACCGCAGGAAGCAGGCTTGTTGGATACATTGCAGAAGTTCGCTAAGAGGAAGACGAGGCGGACCAGCGGAAATACATCTTCAAGGTCGTTATCAGAACCGGAATACGTTGAGGTCACCCTTGGGGATGAGAGGACGTACAAAGTCACAGATAAACTTGGTGAAGGCGGGTTTGGCGCCGTCTTTGAGGCTATAGACGTTTACACGTTGAACGAGAAGCGGCAAGAACGCGGTACAGACCACGACGATGACGACGATGACGACGATTTTGAGGACGAAGACGAGGATGGTGGCATCCCGAGAGTTGCGTTAAAGGTCGTCAAGCCTCGGAACCTTTGGGAATTCCATGTATTGCGCCGGATCCATTCGACCCTCCCGACACAGCTACGCAACTCGATTATCACTCCTCAACTATTATACGCATACGCCGACGAGTCTTACCTCGTGTTAGAACTGCGTTCACAAGGGACACTTCTGAACATCGTCAATGGCGCATCACAAGCTGGTATCACACAACATGGCGCATGTCTCGACGAACTCCTTGTCATGTTCTTTGCCATCGAGCTCATGCGCTTACTTGAAGGTCTCCACAGAGCAGGCTTCATCCACGGAGACGTCAAGATCGACAATTGTTTAGTGAGAATGGAAGATGTACCCGGACCTGCAAGTGCTTGGGATAGCACTTATTCACCTACCGGCGACAAAGGTTGGAAGTACAAGGGAATCAAGATGATCGACTTTGGAAGGACGATTGATACGAGATTGTTCCCTGTCAACCAGCAGTTCGTAGGTGACTGGCCTACAGATGCTCGTGATTGCCTGGAACTGAGGGAAGGCAGGCCTTGGACGTTCCAGCCGGATTACTATGGTCTCGCCGGGATCATTTACTGCATGCTTTATGGCAAGTACATTGAAGCATCGTCGGTGACACTCGCACCTGGATCGTCGGATGGACGTCCACGATACAAGCTTGCAGCTCCATTCAAACGGTATTGGCAAGTGGACCTGTGGACGAGACTATTCGATTTATTACTCAATCCTACTCTGGTGAGACTGGGTGGAAGTTTACCATTGTGCGATGAGATGGGTGCTTTGAGAGGGGAGATGGAAACGTGGCTACAAGCAAATTGTAACCGAGTCAGTAACAGTTTGAAGGGTCTACTCAAGAAGGTTGGCCTATCACTTCTGGGAGGAAAGGACGCACGACGGTGACCGTACCTCCCGTTCACTTGTCGCCGATCTATGCACGTTCGACTTCTATGTTATACTTATACCTACCGCACTCCTTTTTTAAACACCGTATGTTCGTCCTTTATTACACCACCAGTTTTGACTTTATGGGTTTTACGTCTGAGTATAGCAGAAAACATTTTGGATGTCAACACAGCAGTGGAAGTTGCGACGGACAACAGTAAGGAGAGAAGACAACCAAAAATTGACAACAGAGAACAAAGACGGTACAACACCATAAGCCATGAATGACAACAGACAGAGCACGGTAACAACGAGACAAGTAAATTACACCCAACGAAGCCACAACTGCCCCACTGAGCACAATCACCATATGAATGTGACGTTCCCAGTACCCTGTTCGTAGCCTTCTGTAGGCACGGGTTGTAGATAACCGCTTCACCCGTGATTGACACCGCCCATTTGCACAGGTGGAGCGGGGGCACCCTCGTATGGATGAGGGACTCCAGGAGCACCAGGAGGAGGAGGCATCATCATGGGGTAGGGAACGGCGTGTTGGACTAATGTGCCGTTGAGCGATTGACATAAAGTTATGAACGGAGGAACAACTTACGTTGGGGGCTTTGATGATAGTATGGATGAGCGTGAGCATGAGACGGAATTGGAGTAGGTGGCATCGATGGTCGTGGTCCAGCGCCATTGGGTGGAGGAGGATACGTGCCGGGAGGTGGGGGAGGCATGCCAAAGCCTGGCGCTAGCATATGGTATCAGCGAATGGTAGATTAAAAACATCGAATAATAATAACTTACGAGGCATTTGGCCCATAGGGGTAGTCGGATACATTGCTACAGTAAAACCGTCAATGACGTTCTCCTTGAGGAACGACGGAGAATACCAACCACCAGGAGGAGGCATATGTGGGTAGGGCATCGGCTGCATATACGGACCAGGATACATGCCGGGTGGCGGAGGTGGCATACCAGGCATCATCTATTCACCTTCATCAGCACACACACACACACACAGACAGGCAACCAACGAGAGGTCGTAACACGCACCTGTCCAGGATAGCCGTATGGCTGGTAAGCATACATGTAACCCCTCGCTGCAGCCTGCGCCGCAGCCTCGTTGTCGTATGGATCGGGGGGTGGCATGGGCTGAGGGGGACCGGGATGAGCCATGTGTGGAGAGGATTGTTGGGGCTGAGGTGGGGGAACGGGGACATTGGGTGGGAACATTGTCATGTATCGCTTGCCATTATATGGCCACGTAGCGGCTGTCAAGGACCATAAATTGAATTCAGGACTAACAGGAAGAAAATGCGAGAAAAGAAGAAACGCACAAACTTGGGCTGCATCAGCAAACTTGTTATGTTTGAATGGATTGAAATCGTCCTTGATCGAGACAGCAGGACCTTTCTTGATCACTCGAGTCCCAAAGAAGGGGTTTGGCGTTGTAGGCTGGGTTGACGAAGTCGAAGAATCCTTGGGCTTAGGCGAAGCAGACGCACCACCATTGACACTCGGAGACCCAACCTATAATGGAAGATGACAATATGAACACCCAAACAAATAGAACATGACAATGTCACATGTGACGAGGTGCTTACCGGAGAGAAAGCCTTGCCATTCGGCCTGAACGACGAAGCGTTAACATTCAAGCGATTGGCAGCAGCAGGCGATAACGGAGAAACAGCCTGTTGAGCAGAATTTGTCCTCGATGCATTCGGTGTCGCACCAGCAGCCGCACTTCCACTAGCTCCAGCGTTCGCATTGGCAGCATTAGATCCACCAGTTGGTGTCGCGCTCACCCTCTTACCCTTGAACGGCGGGATCGGTTGGATGAACATGCTAATCCTTCCACCCTTCGCATCTGTCTTCGCACCACTTGCGCTCTTCCCAATCCCCACAGAGCTCTTCGCTGCCGATAATGCTGCCTGTTTAGCAATGTCAGGCACAGCTGCGGGTGGTTTAGCTGAGCTGGGTGTGGGTTGGGCAAGTTTGGTAGATGTGGCGGAGGCACCAATGTTATTGTTACTTGAACCAGCGGTTGCGGTTGTGGTAAGAGGACCGATAGCACGAGCCTGAGTGGACTCAGCGTCCTTGCTGGATTTCTCCTTGATCTGCTTCTGTTTCTCCTCGTCCTTGGCTAGAATAGGAACAAGATCATCCGGAATCGGTTTGTTGAGCTGTAGCAACATTTGTCACTATGGGGTCCTATGGATAAAGAATTTTGGCAGATACACACCTTGAACGTCTTGCTGAACTTGACAAGTTCCGCCATGCGCTTATCCATCTCGTGCTTGACCAACGCTTGCCTCTTCTTCATTAGCCTATCCCTCTCGCTGGATACAAACTCTCTGAAGGCAGGCACAGCATCCGCCGCAGGCTATATCACAAAACAAACAAGGAAGTGGGGATTCGCGTCAATCATCCATCGTATAACGTAAACAGAGGCATAGCATGGAAGATTGTCGAGATGAGAACATACCTTCGTCGCCGGAGATGCGGCACTGTTGACCGCCACAGTCGATCCATCTGGAGCGTTCACTGAGAGCTTGGGAATTTCTGGTTTCGCACCGCTGGCAGCGTTGGCTGCTACTGCCTCTTTGACAGAGACGACTCCGCCGGAATTGGTTTTGCGTGCACCAGGAGGAACATATGCGTTCGCCCCTCGGACTACGGCACCATATCTATGAACGTGCAGACGAATGACGGTCAATGAAACAGCGAGAAAGAGAGTAGAGGCATTACACGTACTTGTCTTCCTCGTTCGTACTGTTATCCCCTGTAAAGTTCATGACTCGCTCCTCAGCTATATGGGTGTTGTTGGCAGTAGACTATGTGCGATAACACAGAATATAAGGGATGATCAACGCATAGCATACAATAGCCGAACACGTCAGAACGAAAGCCGTCAGATGCGAGCGCAACGGAACAAGGGAACAACGCACCCCGAGGATCTCATTAGCCAACTGCTGAGCCTTCTTCTCCTTCTCCTTAAAATCTGGAGCATCCCTATTAAGAGGCGTTGTATATGCATGTTCGTCAAAGCTGGTCTTGACGCCAAAGAGTTTTTCATTGACGTCGAACTGATCCCATGAAATCTTCCCCGACGAAGCACCAGGTCCGAACGTCAGATCGTCGGTAAGACCTGCGTTGGGTGCCTGGGCAGGGGGTTGTGTCGAAGCTTCGGGGGAGGATGGTTGCCACGCCTGTAGCTCACGATCTCGCCTCAGAAGATTCTTCTGACTGATATCGGTGTCAGTCTTGAAGGCTAAATCATACAAATACAAGCGGTTAATACGCATATATAGTGAGTCCTGTACATGGAATACGCACTGTCGGTGCCATTCGGCGCCTTGGCATCCGCTGGTCCTGAAGACCATGTTTCAATGTTGGTGGAAGCAATGAAGAATATGTCCTTGAGGGGGGCTCCAGGTTGAGTAAGCTCCTTGACGTCTTTGAGGGTAACGCCGGTAGTGTCGCCTTCGCCACTTGTCGAGGCGATGACACCTTCGTAGCGTTGCTTGGTCTTGGTTGAAAGCGTAATAGTCGTACCCTGGCAACAAACAATACACATAAATCCATGACCATATAATGGGTATAATGACGAGTGACGGCATGCAGGGAAGACAGATGAGATGGGAGGGAAGGTGGACATACTGTCAAACCAGAAAGTTGCTGCAGGACACGGTCCTGTGGTCTGTCTGTGCGAGGAACACCATTTGTCTGCGCCAAAGGAGGGAATCCGGGACTTGCGGGTTGTGAAACGTTTGGTAACCGTGCATTTGAGCCAGCAGGAGAGAACGTCGGAGAGGCCCTTGCGCCGGTCGCCCAAGCCTGAGGACGACTATATACGAGAAGTAATACACATTTACGGCAGACACGACAGAAGTAACAGTCAGGGTCTATACATATGGCAGATGGAATGGAGAGTAGACAGACCGAGCAGAGGGATCTGGTATGCCCTTCCTAGACTGTTTGGGAGGCCTTGCAGTGGCTGCCATCGAGAATTCCCGCAGGGAGAGAGAATGAAGAGAACAAAGAAAGAAAGATAGAAAAGTAGAAGACTAGGAGACACAGGAAATGCCTGAAAGTTACGAGGAAGTGGAGACAGATAACAGCAAAAGGAGCAGCACGGATGATGCGTCCAAGGGGACGAAGTTCGTCGGTGAAGAGCGGTGCTGGGTAAGGATGAAGACCTGCTTACACAGTATGGGTGTGAAGCGTTCGCGGACGGGTCTGACGACGAGGGGGAGGGAAAGGACGACGAGCGGACAGTGAGACTGAAGAGAGCCTCAGGGCTGAGCAACTTCAAACAACCTCCCCCTACACAGGACCCGGATCACCCCCGCCCTTTCCCATTGTTTCCTCCCTCCATTCTCCCTTGCATTTCATACATTTAGTTCATTGAGAGCCCTACATACGCGCATTGTTCTCGATGCCTCTCAGATAAATGGCAAACTGCATACTGAAAGCTGGTAGGAGGCATTGGTCCGTGCTCGAAGTCACCGGCGTTCTGGGGTCCCCACCAAGACTTGCTTTACTGTAATTGCCTCCGTGCTGTCTGAAAAGCCGAAAAATGTGGCCTCAATCCTTCATGGACCAATACTTTGAGGTTCTTCTTGTTGTTTCGTACTCGTACTCGTCTCTCGTTGTTATTGTGATGAGCAAAAAGGCACTGCGAAGTCTCCATCGCTCTCTGCCTGGGAGTCGAACCCAGCTTTCGCGCGTACCCGTCAAGAACTGAGTCAGCAATGATGACAGGCGCGTGTACTAAACCGATATACTAGCAGAGATGTTAGTTGTTGCAAATATCTTTTATAAGAGCCCTTTATTTTGCTGGTCCCAACCAAACTCACAGTGCACACATGTCACAGAGTAATACAATAGTTGGTATTCAGAATGCAACCGAACACATTGGGAGATTATTTATAATGCAATCGAATAAGAGATGACAACAAGAAAATAAAAGAAAAGACAACGAGAGCACAACAGAGCGGGGGAGAGGTATTGTACGAACTACAGGGAAATAACTGATATGCAGGATGAACGGAAGAAGAAACGTACAGACTCAACAATATTCGAACGAGCGAACGAACGAAACTGCAAACAAAAGCAACTACTCGTTCCCCTCCATCTTGAATCTCTTTCTCGGTCCGTCAGGCCCAAACTGTCCTCCAGCACCTCCCGCGCCTCCGCCCCCTTGCATGAACGCTGGGTTGAAATGTCCTTGAACGTTCGAGAATCCACCTCTTCCACCCATCGGCATCATGCCCATACCTAAAGAAAGGTTTCCATAATTCCCAATACGCGAACAGGTAAAGGGAATACAAGAAAAAGAGCGACAAGTCAGGTCCACACGTTACAGAGAGAAGACAGCTAGAAACCCGTACCCATGCCGCCCATCATACCACCCCCTCGTCCTCCAAAGCCTCCCGCACCACCTCCCGCACCAGCACCACCCATCATGCCGGCGCCGCCCCTCGGGCCTTGAGGTATCATACCGCCTCCCCTTCCACCCGCGAACCCGCCTGAAGTACCCATAGCGTTACTGACGAATCCAGGATTGATAGCACCCATACCCATACCCATGTTCATGCCGGCCATATTGGCCATGGCGTTCATTCCCATTCCCATTCCTCCCATCGGCATGCCTCCCATACCCATGGTGCCCATTCCGCTCATCATGGCTGCAGGCAGACCTCCACGCATCATACCACCTGCACCACCGCTAGTCATACCACCACGCATGCTCATGCCGACGTTTGTACTCGCCATCCCGCCACGGTAGCTACCACCGCGGGCCATACCGCCAGTACCACCTGCTTGCACGTTAGTAACTTGGCGGTGTTCTCGCGGTGGAGGCTCTGCAACGATTCGAAGAGGCTCAGTTATATGCGTATTGAAGTCATGCGATGCATGTGATGACATACCTTTGGGTAGAGTACGGAAAGGATTGCCTTGTGATGAGCTAGTGAGGTTCGCCGTTGCCCTTCGATTCTGGAAGTCACTGCAAACAACGTCAGATACAGTATATGAACATACAACGACCATCCTACTTGTTGTCAAAGAAGTTCTTGATTGCAACTGCGTTTTCGTGGCTATGGCATTCGATATAGGCAATTCTAAATGAGAAGCGATCAACGAGTGTTGCAGAGGTCATTTGAGGCGCATATACTCACCCTTTACTCTTACCGTTCACTTTGTGTTCGGAAAAGGTGATGTCTTTATGGTCAAGAGTGACGCCGACGTTAAGCGCGACTTGTCGAAGGTCCTCATCAGTCGTCCACTGCAGAAAAAGAAAAGTGATACGAAAACAGGCAGTAAGTACATGCGAATACACATCTAAACGACAGGACAAACGGACCCATTGCAAGTCTCCGATATACAACGCGTCCATGTTCCCTTGGCCGGAAGGGGTATGGCTGACGACCATGTCTTTCGATTGACCATTGGCGCTGTAGGTGTTACTGCTGAGGCTAGGACTTCGCATGCCCGAGGGAGACCGTTGAAGATGTACAGGCTTCTGGTCGAGTTGAGGTGTTCGCTGCTGCTCAGATTCATCATCTTCTCGAGGGCGTTTCTCTCCGACGACAGGGGAGCTGGACCGAGGTTGAGACTCATCTGCGGGATCATCTTCAAGCGACTATAGAACAAGCGTCAGTGACGCCCATTCAAGACGAAGAAGGCACAACGTACCACTACAGGCTTCGAGAAACCCTCATCTTCTCCATAGATATCGAAATCGTCTTCACCAGGCATGATTTTTTGTTGTCGAGACTTAGAGCAGAGCGCGAGGATGTGTAAAAATCGTGTCTCTTGTTCTATACAAGATGAGAGCGACAGGATTTTTTGAGTATCAACGGTGACAGGAAAGAGGCAAATGCAACAGGATCAGAGGAGGGACAGGTCAGAAAATAGCTTTTTAGAAGAGACAAAGGTACGTTTCCGAAGAGAGTAGAGGGAAACGAGGGGGCTCTTACAGGCAAGTATGATACAGGAAGAATGCGTGTTCCGAGGTAGCGAATACTAGTCTTTTTCCTCCGTTCCAGATACAATATGAATGGTGCACAGCGCGCAGGCCTGCTGAAAGTCGAGAGTTGAGGGATGAAGGGGAAGGTGGTGGTCGAAGTGAGAGATACAAACTCGAGCGCGGCGCGGACGGCGCTTGTTCCCACTTCGGCTGTTTCCCTACCTTCTTTTGTCTAGTTTGGCGCCCACCCGCAGCTTGAATAAAATGCAAAACTCCTTCAACACCTGGTGAAATCCGCTTATTTTTGTTAGCGACAGAGGGTAGTGCAAACAGACAACGCCCTCGCCTTTTACTAGGGCGTTCCGTGTTCTACCCTCATATCAATGTCGCATTGGCAATTTTTCAGCATTCCAGTTTGTCTGGATCGTATTCGTTTTGCCTCTTCGTGCTCATGTTTTTTTTCTCAGGTTCAGCCTTCCCCGTCTGCGGTTCTATATCTAGGCCCACTGCGGAAGCTTGCTATTGTTAACATCTGAAAGTTATGACTGTCACAAGATAGAATGTCATGAGAGGCTGAACGTACTCACCCATGAATCTGAGGAATGGGTTGTTTACATCGGAGGTTGGACTTCCAATGTTTATAACCCATCTCGTTCATGAGTCGTTGAACTAACTATACACAGTCTACTGATCATCCGAGGGCTGAAACTTTCTAATATGGCTGACCAGGAACTGCAGAATACGGCATGGCACCCCCAGACCTCGGATAGGTCAGTCAAGCTGAAAGCTGACATGCCAGCCTCCTTGCATACATATATAATGGGCTTGCCCTACCTTCCGAGTCCTCAGTGCTCGTTCTTCCCTCCGGTCATCTCCTCCGCCTCTTCGCCCACCTTCAAGTCACCGGTCTTCGAGCCCCTCTCCTAGTTTTCATTGTCGTAATGTCTACATACATCGCTAGTCACGCTACAGTCAATCCTGCTAAGGTGAACTTGTTCTCCAAGCTAGTCGCCACTATCAAGAACCGCACATCCAAGAAATCAAAGCTCCGCCCCCTTCGCCTTCCCGCTCAGGTTGCCAAGAAAGAGGCCGCTAAGTTGTCTCAGGTCAAGAAGGATGGCTTTTGGGATCTTGTCAAGAAAGTCCCAGAGGTACGTCGTCTCGTCGGCTTTAGTCCCTCTCAGTTATGCAGCGGCTGACACTGACTTTCGTAGACCATTAAGGAGAAGATTGCGAAGAAGAAGCCTGCAAAGCTCGACACCGACAACAAGGTCGAAACTCCGTTCATCACCGATGTATCCATCAAAGGTGTTGAAGTCAGTGGAGACGTCACTTCTGCAGATACTTCTCCCATCCAAGTCGACACTCTTCCCTTCTCAAGCTCTTGCGAAGTTGCCGAGCCTGTCGTGGATCTCGCATGCGCAACAAGAGAAGAAGTAATTAAAGAGAGTGGAACTACTTTGGCGGACCTCGACGCCTCCACCAAACGACTCGAAGCTCTCTACGCTTATTACTTCGGCGATCTCCAGGAAACAGACTCAGAGGCATCCAGCATTGCCTCTAGTGGACCCCATACACCTATGGGATCCCCGGTCATCGAGTCGGAAGGCCTTCCACCTGTTCCTACGCAGATCCTCATTACTCCATGCAAATACCAGGAAGTTCATGACGTGAACTTTGATCAGATCATTTATGGACCTCACTCTCCAGCCTGGTTCTTTGGAGACGTGGAGTACCTCGATGTCCCTGGCAGATCTTACCGGGCTCCTCGATCCAAGCCTGTCGTTACCAAGGTCAACCGCAGTGGTCTCGGTCGGTGGAGTCGTTCCTCTTGGAAGGACCTCAAGTCCGGTTCTTCGATCTCTTCGCTTTATGCTTAAGCATTCTTCGCCCAATCTGCACCCTGCCTTTTTTACCATCGTCAAATTATCTCTCGGCACACGGCCTTCTTAATATTTCTCGCTGCTTCTTTCACCTCTTTCATCTCTTTGCATGTCTCTCTCTCTTTCTCGCTCAAGTCTTCGTCAAATCTAATTTCAAGAAAAACCCAACATTATATATAATCCATCTCCCGTTTTCTTTCGATCTCGTCTCGGCTTTCTCTCCTCTCCTTCGTCTTTTTCTCCCACCTTTATAATTCTGCGTCGCCAAACCATCAAGCACTCGAGCCTGTCCCTCACTCGCCGCCATTCGACTTCGCCTTCACGTCTACAGTACTTACCGACAAGCCGCTCCTCAAGGAGGAGCCTCTGCCTATCTTGAATTCCACTGCTGGCTGGGACCTGTCAGCCACTTGGAAAACAAAGATCACCGAGCACGCTTATCCGACCATCGAGACCGTCCCAATTCCAATGAGCCCGCTTTGCACAGTGATCGAGCAATGGGGCGAATGGAATGAGGGCACCGACTCAAAGGTGTCTAGCATGAATTCTGAGGAACTCCTTACACCTGAAGAGTCTCCCGTCCTAGGCTGCAATGAGCTTCCATGTGTTCCGGTGAAGATGGGCGTTGTTGAGTGCGAGGACACCCCATACGACCAGGATGTCCCTGAGTCCCGGTCGTCAGCCGCCTGCGTCGTGAGGGAACTGGAGTACCGTCAAGTCCCTCCAGCGATCACTTATGCGCCTCGTCTCAAGTTTAAGCTGACTACTGTGAACATATCCTGGGCGTACAGATGCAACTTCAGCGTCGATGCTACTCCCCTTGTTCGCAAGTCGACCAATGTCGTCGAGGTCGACTCTGAGGGCCTCAAGCGTACCACTCGCGGCACTCGCAAGGGCAAGGAGAATGCACCTCGTGGTCCAATCCTCGCGCTTTCTCAGTGAACGTTCTAGGAACCGATCTCTTCCATCGTCAATCTGCCCTCTTAGCATGGACCTTCCTATCCGTTGTTATCTCGACTCTTCGTTTCAATTGCAAGTACTTTCTCGACCTCAAATTCAAGAAACCCACAACGCCACTTTCTATCTCAAGCTCTATACTCTTATTTCGATCTCGTCTCAGCTCTACTCTTTTAATATCTAATCTACCATCCTCCGGTCTTCAAGCCTTCGCATCGTTCTCCTCGCTCGCCATTTCACTTCGACTCTACATCTCTCGCCTAATCGCCTCGCTATTCCATACACGAGAATGCTCTAATTTTCTTATTCTGCCTTATCTCGATCTCTTCTTGGCTCTTATTGGTCTTATTCATCTCTATCTCTATCTCTCTGCCTCGCTCACCTAATACTGCATCGTCGAATCATCAAGCATGCGAGGCCGTTCATCACTCGCTACCATTCGACTTTGCCTTTTCGCATTTATGTCCTCCTCTCGCTATTTCTTGCAAATTTGGAACAGTCAACGAACTCATACGGAATTGGATTTATGGACACACACATACTTCTCTGGAACTTCTCCCTCGACTCAAGACTTACTCGCTACCACGATTCGGTTCTTCACTCCCTGAATCTGATCCTTTGCCCTTGCTCGTGGCCCTCAGCCGTAATTCCACTCTGCTACTGGCTTCTGCTTGCCCGTACTCTTCTGGCATCTCTCTTGATGGTGGATTTCAAGCGACTATTGGTAAGTTCACTTTCTTAGTACTATTGTCCTTGTAGTGTATTGAATTCCTCTCAGTCTTAGTCTGGCTGTTCATTCCAGGCTTTCCAACACGTCCATCCACTGTCGCACTCCAACCCTCCTTCCCCATTCACTCCCCCTTTTCACTTCAAAGTCCTATCAATGGACGATGAACCTCACATAAGACTTCGCTTCTGCTCTACGAGCCTTCTCCTACGCTCTCCAGGAGACCACGAGAGTTCAGGACCTTCGTCAACTTCGGTCCTACCTCTCACCGGCTCGTTACACAGACTCAAGTCTTCTTCCCTTTTTCATTCCCCCTTTCAAAGTCCTCTCCCGGGACGATAACATCCTCCGCATTCGGGACCTAGCGGCAACCAGAATCTCGATACTTGAGAACGTGTAAACACAAGGAGACTTCTCGTCGATGAGCCTGGACCTGGACTTTTGTTCGGGTCACAGTTGCTCGCGACGGGTTGCGCTTGCTGAGGAGCCTGGGTCTAGACTTTTGTTTGGATGACAGTTGCTCGCAGCGAGTTGCATTAGTACTTCTGTGTTTATTTCCAAGTGCCGCCCTATTAAGTGGGTGGCCCACGTTCTCTTTCGAGATTCTGGTTGCGGTATGGCGTGCACGTTACATGCATGAGGTGAGTAACATTCTACTTTTCCCTGTAATCGGTAAAGTTGACTATTAATTTCGCGTTACAGTGTTTCAGAGATATGTTAGATTAGTGTAGGTTAGTTGTAGGTTAGTAGTAGAGTAGTTGATCGAGTGGTTGTTATGAACGACGGACTGGTGACGATGTCCGTGGGTGGAGAGTTGAGCAGTGAACGCGGGGTGGTTGCGAGTTGATGTTCAAGTCCCATACAAGTGTCATCTGTGTCTAAATCTGAGTCCAATATGCATTTCTTCGACTGTTCACATTCACACCTGCCGAGTGAGAAGATAAACGGCAAGGCTCGAGCTCCCGTCCAGCTTGAAATTGCCTCATCTATGTGTGAATATCATGCAATTGGAAATGTCATGGAAATACAGTAACCTAAAGCAAGCAAGCCTAGGCAAGATGATTCTACAAGTCAAAAAGTGCGCGAGCCATGGCAAGAGAACAGAGAACCGAGTAGATGATAGATGATGGGTCATGAAGAAAAAAATGTCGATGGCACTGATGTATGCGTGTGGGGTATCCACAAAACTGGTGAAGAATGACGAGTGATACAGGGAACGATATGAGGACCTAACAGGGAGAATAAGGATGAAGACAGAAGAGACGGTAGGACGATAGGAACAGCTTTGAACCAAAGATACGTCAATGGGTACAGTCATGAATCATATGAGTGGGGTGACAGAAAGTAAAAGTCTGAAATACCATTATGTTTGCAAGCCATCCTGTGATGACTCTTTCCCCACAGAAGGAAACGGAAATCAGAGACGTCGCTCACGAGCCTCCTTTTCCTTCTTGCGCCTGCGCTTCTCCTCCTCGCGGCGTCTTTCTTCTTCCAGTGCCTCCTCGTCCTCTCTCCGTGCAAGGCGGGCACTGTAACAAAGCAAAACAAAGCCACAATCAATATCACAGCACAAACCGGATATGACTCATTAGTATTAGCCGACAGAAAGACGACTGACCTGCGCAATTCCTCTCTTTCGAGAGCGCTGGCGTCCGCCTCCATATCCTCATCATCACTGAGAACATCCTGATTAACGTAACGGTCCCGGTCCCTACCAAACAATGCCCAGATTTGAGAACTGAGATCATCCTTGGGACCGGAGGGACGTCTTTTGGAAGGAGGCGGAGAGGGACTGAGAGAAGGTGAACGAGGACGTTTCTTAGACAAAGCACTGGAGGAAAGGGATGGTTTGGGCACAGGTCGAGGAGTAGTAGAAACCTTGCTGGAAGAGGGTGTGGCTTTGGACAGAGGTTGTTTGCTCGGCGTTTTCGCGGGAGCGCTACTAGATGGGGCGGGGAGTTTCCCAATGGCTTTCACAGATAGGGCCGAGGTCTTTGTGAACGAGGGCATAGCAGGCTTCGTCGCAGGTACAGAGGATTTGGCAGAGGGTACGAGTTTGGATTGGACTGGAGGAGTGGCAGATTTCGAGGGGGTGCTCTTCACACCTGGCCTAGTAGCAGCAGTTGTCGAATCGTTCTCCATCGAGCTAGCACGGGATCCAAACATCGACGACGCCTGCGACGACTTGAGTTCCGGTTTGGTTTTAGTGCTGAAGAAACCATGAGCGAGGAACTCTTTCGCTGCATCGCCCTCCAGAACCCTCCCCTCCTTCTTCGCCTTAAGATCTCGAGTGAACTCGTCAATCGTTCGAGTATCGCGCTTCTCCTGATTCAGAGGCGTAAGTGTAGGCATCTGGGCAGCCAATCGTTCCTTCACGGAACGGTACTGCGTAGCATTGGCGCTGTCGCTGTTGTTGGCCGTGGCCACAACATCAACAGCACCGCCTGGGAGCCGTTTACCCATCCTCTGGTAACCTGAAGTATGGGTAGACCTTCTGGATGTCTTCAAGCCAAATCGCATCTCGTTCTCTAGCCGTTTTCTCCTCTTCTCCTCTCGAGTGAGCGCTGAGCCGCCGGGACCGTCGCCATCGTCCGAGGGGGAGGTCCTACGTCGTGAGCCACCCGCAGAACTCGAAGACGGATATTGAGTCTTTGAACCTTTAGGACCAAATCGCAGACTATCCCTCATCTCAGCCTCCCTTCTCTCCATCTCCCGTTGTTTGGCCGCACGCTCCTCTTCCTGTCTCTTCAACCTCTCCTGATTCCGTTTCTCCTCTTCCATGTGCTTCAGACGTAATTTCGCCTGAAGCTCTCTTTCTCTCTTCTCCTTCTCTTCTTGCGCCTTCCGTTTGAGTTTTTCCTGTCGCTGTTTCTCTGCTAGGAGTGTCTGGAAGTCGTTTTCGACCTTCCGAGTGTTAGTGGCACTCATGGCCATAAGAGCCTCGAATGCCGCCACCATGATTAAGAATGTGGAGTAGAGAAAGAGAAAACAGCGAGCGAAGGTATACTGAGAAGTGGGAGCACAAGGGAAAGGGCGAGGAGAGAAACGAGTCTTTATGGTCGTCGAGGTTGCGGTGCAAGAGGCAGCCAGCCGACCTTGGCCTGTTGGCCACAGCCGCGCCACGCCACGTACAGGCGCTTACTACATTATACACAATATTTGAAGGGAACCCGAGCTCGGAGACGCAGGATTATCACACAATGCAAATAGATGGCAAAATACTTTTGTATTGAGTATGCAAGAGAAGTCTATCTTGTGTCATAACACAGAAGAATGCAATATGTGTCGCTAGGTGGGAAAAAAAATAGGAACGCCCAAAAGACAGTTCATGTCGTGAAATGCCAAATGGATGGAAGGGAAAAGAAAACAAATGGAAAGGAAGCCATGAATGGACGCTGCACATCATGACGACAGATCGTCGTCGTGAGTCCAAGCTTTGCTCGGCAATCGGTCAGCAACGATCAGCGACACACATGCGATGAATGCGAGCACGACGTATACAAGATTTCCTCCGAGGTAATGATGTTGCTTATCGATCGACAGAGAAAATAGGGAGTTCGCTGTTGCGGGACCAATGGTACGCATGATCGATACGCCGACCTGCGCAAGTCCGTTCACCGTTCCCAATGAGGCTTTGTTAGGGGACGATGCGGTGATATAAATAAATATGCACCCTGACGATCGTAAGAATCGGTAAGCCCTTCGTACACAATACGGCGGAACAAGTAGAAAGCCGACATACCGTAAGAGAAGTTGATGATGATGGAGGTGACGATCTGGAAGCCAACAGCTGCCCAGACGAACCACGAGTGTTCTTGTTCAACTTTGGCGAGCAAGTTGATAACGGGGAAAGACGCAAATACGACGAGGGCCGAAGCGAGGCCGAAGATGTAAACTCTCTTTGTACCGAACCTGTTGTGAACCTTGGCAAAGAAAAATATCTGAATGATACCGTTCAATATGCCAAAAATCTGTAGGACAGGTACATGAATTGACGATCGATTTATACACGACAAAACAGTAGTAAACTGTACATACCGACAAAATTCTGCCGATCATATATGGCGGCAAGCCTAAACCACCTAGCTCGACAGGCGTAGCAAAGAAGACGGGTTGGACTGAACGAAGAGTAATATCCACGAGCGCAAGGCAAGCGTAATTGAATGCAGACATGATTACACGGGGGATCAGAAGAGCCTTGAGTGGGAATGGTTTATTTTCGATGATGTCCTTCTTGAGACTAATATCGTCAGTGGCTTCGACCAGGGTGTCCTGGCTGGCGTCATCATTTTGCAATTGCAAGTTAGCCTTGCCGGTGCGTAGCTTGATAAAGCTACGAAGTGAAAGAGGGTGTGATACAGTCTGATAGAAAAATCACTCAAGTGTCGACTAGAGGATAAGAGGGTGTAAGCCTTACCTCATGAATGAAGAGATAGGTGACAAGCCAAGCCACTGCGGAGAAGGTCGCAGGGACGGCACAAGCAAGGAAGTAGGGGTACTCTTTCAAGAACTCAGAATTACCAAAGACGTCAGGGAATTGTTCTGTTGGGCGTGATAGATAGCCTCCAATCGCGGGACTGACAGAAAATTAGATCACGGGTCAATGAATATGGCAGGCAAATCATAACGTACCCCAAAGCTTGTCCGGAGGCCCAAGCAATAGGTAAATAAGCGTAAGCCTGAGCGAGGTTGGTAGAATCTGTGATTTCGGCCACCATGCTCTTAAGCACGCCGACGTTACCATTAAGTGCACCATTTAGACTGCGACTAGAGACAAATTGATTCAGCGACTAGTACTCTGGGCTGCGTAATTAAATAGAACTAACCTCAATACAGCACCCCAGTAGGTCGTCGACATACCGAATGAGTACATAGATAAACTGAGGCCAAATAATCCGGTCATGATGATTGGCTTGCGACCAAGATGATCAGACAATCGACTCCAATGAAGGACAGTCATGGCTTGTGTAGCAAAGAAGATAGATTGCTATGAGTGACGTCAGTACTGTATGTGCTATGCTAAGGAGTACGAAACGTAACACACCATGAGTCCGACATAATAACCAACTCGGGTTTCGTCACCATGAGTAATCCCAGAGTCCCTGATGAACTATTGAAGGGTAAGAAGAAGGGGTAAACGACGATGGGGAACGGTCGCAGAATGTGTGAACACACCTGGGGAGCAAAGGGGTTGATGACTTGACTCGTGAGAGGTTCTGCGAGCTGGAGAACCAGGAGAATGGTGAACTGCGCCCATGGTAAGGGCGTCGGGGCCTTTTTGTGCTGCTGTTCGTGCAAGAGCGGGGTCTCTTCGTCACTTATCGTCGCGGTCATGAGAGAGGGTATAATTACAACAAAATAGTTAGGACGGAGGAATGAGTCCCTGGTAAAGTAGGGGGTGAGGGGTATATAAACAAAGGTAAAGATATCATGTGGAGGATGTTTTCGGACGTCTATGGAACCTTTATGCGGCATCCAGAGTTCTGTCCCATGAGTCAATAAGCAATTTCTTACGTAAACACGTAATCACCCATCTTACCATCGTCGTTAGTCCCATTCGTCCTGCCCCCACGCCAGTCCAAGCGAACAGATTGCGAGTACGTACACCATCTGCAGAACACGTTTAACGTCCTTCAGAACACCTCTTCATCACATTTCAAGCTGCTTTCCTACCCACACCCCTCGGCGAAGAGAGGTCAAGAGACCCGCCTCGGCAGACAATGGCGATCTCCTGACGGGTCTCCCCATTTTCGGAAATGTCATTGAGAATTCGGCCGACGAGTGAAGGGCGGTGTAACCTCTGCTTTGGAATACGTTCGTCGCATCCTGGCAGGTATCATTGTGAAGCGTCCAGACTCCAGCTATCGCAAATGGCGAGTTCAGGTCAAGCTCTCACATCATCTGACGCTCAACCTTTTTCCTGTCATAGGACCGCAATCGCCGGACCCCCGATTTGTATCTTTTCTCAGGATCATCTTCTGTGAGCTCAAAAGAGACCTCAGCCTGCATGTTACTTGACGCCAGAAACTTGAAGTTGCTGCATGTGTAAGGTTTCGTCGGCACTTCAAAACCATTCGTTGCTTGCAACAAACACTCGCTCAGTGTTCGACTCTTCCGCTCTCCCTGGGGATTTTGGATGTCAATCATGTCAAGAACGACGCTGGATTAATGCAAGCCCGGGTCTTCTATAAAAACTCTGACACATGCATACTGGTTCTATGGCTCGAAACGTTTCTGCATCTGGGGATCTGTTTAGTCTAGGACCGTCCATTGAGTATCCCATGCCATCCCGGTCTGGTGCCTTATCCTTTGACAAATTTTCACGTCGGTCGCCGCGATATGGACTAGCAGTTGACTTATGAAGCCATAAATGTTCTGTTCATGGTAAAATGTCGCCTTTCTGATTCACTAACATGATATTTCAAGTGCTTCTTCGAGCTCCGAAGAGGTCGGGGCGGGGGCGCTAATACGGACCGGCCACTCCGAAAACCCCGACGATCATTCAGAAATCCATTACTTTTGGCGAAGAGGAATGTCGGTCCTCAGGATTACTTGAATAGAGGGCTGTTCCAGGCCGCCATCTCCACTGGCGAAGGAGCACAAGGCTATCATGTCAATTCTGCCTTGCCATCTTTTTTCACCTGGACTCCGATCAACGAAAGAGAGTAGGCGGCTTTCAAACCAACGAATGTCCGTTGTCGCACGTTGGTTCTCAAGTCAGCGCTATGGCCGCATTGTGTCCTGCTGCCATAGAATGTAGCGACTAACATTTAGCCATCTAGCAGGCCTATTTCTACAATTCTTCTACGCTGATACTCGATGGTGGTACAATCTCGTCGATACTAAGTTGAAACAACTCCTTTATCCGAGGTAGCGATGACGTCAACAAAATGAGGATTCTTCAGGACGGTGAGTGGTCGATCTGGTGCCTTCCCCTCGCGGTAGTTCCTTATATTGAGTTTTGCTGCGGGACATGTCGGGGTCTTTGTAACATGTTTTCTTTTTGGTTGCTTACGTTCATTGTCCCGGGAGCTCTGCGGTGGGCCGCGTAGAGTTTTTTTTCGCTTCGCAAGCACATTCCACTATCAAAGCTGCTATTTGTCATGTGACCAAAACGCGTCGCGACGCGTCTTTGCTCTTTGACTTTGGCCCATTGACATTAATACTTTGACCCTCCACTTTTTGCTCCTTATATCTAACCCATTTTCTTATAACGTATTTCCCCATCATCTAGTCTCTTGCTGTCATGCAACCCGCAGCACCTTCGTTGAAAGACAAGATAATTCACCTCCCGACCGTACCATCTCCCAAAATGGGACGCATTCGCCAGAAATGGCTAACTCTAACGGCCACGCGGTCTGTTGTAGTGAGTCTGATATAAGTGAGTTACCATCGTCCATGTGAAGCTAACGTGGCCTATGTATAGGACTTGCGCGCGGTCAATAACCGTTCTCCCAATTCTGCGAACAAGGAAACCGTCCTGGTTCAGACCCCTCATCGGAGCAGTAGCCTCAACTCCACGTACACGCCGATGTCTGCGTCATCGTGCGAGATATTCTCGTCAGACATCGCCCTATTTAGTCCCATGGACCTTGATCCTCTGAATATGACGAGTGCCACAGTTAAGAGCCGCCGGCGCAAGGTGGTCGTCTCGCCGGGTCTATCGAGCACTTTCCCAACGAGTCCGTTCTCGCCACCTCTTACCGCCCGCCCTGGGCCAATGCGAACTATGTCTCATCGTGACGCACCTGCTCCTCACGACCCGGGCCCTAGAGCTGATTGGCTTAGTTCTCACAGTGAAGAGATCTGCCCTTCGTTCATCCTGGCTGTAGACCCAGACTGGGATGCCAGCTCTGAAGAAGATGCTACTGTCTATATCCTCCCTCGGGAAGCTTTCGTGGATATTGGTTCTGCTGATCGTCTGCCATTGGAAGAGATCCCGGACGAGTTCTATCCTGATGGTCAACATTGAAGGCCGAATAACGAATCCTTTTTGGTCATGCGACACTGGCTTCCCACTCTACGACTCGCTCTCTTGATTACATATAATTATCTGGACTTGCTATCCTATGATCTTCATCAAATTTGTCGAAGCACTATTTATTTCGTATGTATGTTTTGAATTTGTCCTTCGCCTATTATGATCTGGCCTTGGCTGCCCCTTGCACTACTGTAGTATTTAAACGTAGTTTCATCTTGTAATCGACCATCTGCTCTTCGCAGTTCGGTGAGTGAATAATTCAGGTTCAACCCCCTGGATTGAAACTGACTCATTAATTGAGCAGGACATATTTTCTCCAACGTCAATGTCAACTCAGGTCGTGCAAAGCTCACTTATAGGATACTCGACCAACTGCATGACGACAACATTATCCTCCGCCCGTTCTCTGCTTTGTCAACTATGATACCCAACCAGTCGCTTTCAACTCTCCCCTCAAATCACGCTGGTTCAGGACCGGAGTCGATTTCCCGACTTTTCCTATCTCAGTCTACGCACGTCTTGCAGGGCATCACACTTTACTGTCGTACGGTGGAAGAAGATGCTTCTCTTTCGCGACTTTGACTCGGGCGTCCGCCCCATTTGCCAATCCATACCCCGACTACGTTCTGTGACACTGGGCTTATTGACTTGGAAATTTGCGCCATCCGCCATCTCGCTGTCCTGTTCATTCTCCTCTGCCAAGTGCTCGCATTTGACAGAATGGCTCCACATACCTCTGTCTCTAATTCCGCGGCATATGACTGAATAGGCACTTGTGCCTCTTCCCGCGTGCTTAGGAGCTGGATCTGCTGCAATGTCTGATATCTGGTCGAGATCCTTGCAGACTTATCGACCTTCCCAGCGGCCGGGCCCTCACAAGTTTCATAACACATACTCATCTTCTTTCCCACTCTCTGGAGAAACTTCAGCTCACCTCAACATTCCACACTCTTACTCACTTGGACGTGGCCGCAATTGATAGCCCTTAGCTCTTCGTCAATCTTCGAAAACTCGATCCTCGAACCAACCCTCACCTCCAGGACATCTACTTTGATATGAGGCTAGCCATCCCTGCCCTTGGTTGCATCGGGCTTTTGTCAACTGCTGTTCACCAAAATATGGTCGATTTCGAAGAACAATGTCATATTGACACATTTGATGTGCGGTCTTGGATTTCCCTGGAGCTGACGGTGCCTCGCTTCGCCCACCTGAAGTTACTATGGGCGAAGAAATGGAGATCCGCTCCCTGAAATAGGTTTTTATTTTTTTAAACTATATTTTCTGCGAATCTCTCGAATCGAGGACGAGCAATTAGGTGTGCAGGCTTGCATGCCTTTGCTTGCGAAGAGTTCTTTGCACCGTTTCTGAGAGCCATTGATTTAATACCAACATCATCCGACCGTGGGCAGCCATCCCACCTTATGACGATTTTTTTCATTACTTTTCCTAATGTTCTTTTAACGTTAGTTGCCCAATTGCATATCGAAACATCCTCATTGTATTATGGCTATCATGCGTAGAGCTAGAAATACATTCATTCGTTTCAAATCAGAAGATCCAAATCTCACAGACCACGAAACTTGCTTTGCCTAATCAGAACAAGTTATACTGCCGAGAGAGGGGTAGCCTTTCCGCAGGTTCCACATAAGCCCATTCACCATCAGCGTGCACATCGTAGGGTTCGGGGTCGACTTTCATCTTCGGTGTGGCATCGTTCCATTTCATATCCTTCTTTGTAACCTCGCGGCAATTTTTCACAGGTTCAAAGCGCTTCGATAGATGGTAGGAAGCGATGGCACCAGATATGATGGATATCTCAGATACGAAAGAGATCGAGTTGAGCGCCGCAGAGGCTGAATGAGAACCCCACATTGGTCGACCTATAAACGGTTGAACGGTAGGAATTGAGGCGTTAGCATCTCCCATCTGTGTTGAGAGTGGCAGTCAGTCTACATGCAACTTTTTGACAGAAAGATGACTACCTGGGCCCAAGCAATGACACCGGATTTTAAAACAAGTTCGGGTTTGATGCCGAAGTTCTCAGGCTTCCAGAGAACCAAGTCGGCCAAAGTATCAACGGCAACTTGACCGACAAGATGGCTGATACCATGGGTAATCGCACTAGATAGATCCCAAGTTAATATCATGGATCTCTGGATAAGTAAGACTGAAAAGATACGACATACGGATTGATTGTATACTTGGCAACGTATCGTTTGACGCGACCATTGTCAACACCATCTGTGTCGCCCAGGGAACTGAGGGGACCTCGGAACTCTCGCATTTTACTTGCAGTCCGCCAGGTACGACTAACGACCTCACCGACTCTGCCCATAGCTTGAGAATCGGAGCTAATCATGGAAATGGCGCCTAGGTCTTGTAAGACATCCTCAGCTGCGACTGTTCGACCACGAATGCGGGAGTCCGCAAATGCTATGTCTTCTGGTATGTTTCTGTCAAGATGGTGACATACCATAAGCATCTAAATGTACGATATTAGCAACCGATGAGATGTATGTATTCAAAAGAGTTTACATCAAGATGTTCATCCAAAGTGTTCCTGGTGTATGGCCTAGTGGGGTTGGTTGAAGATGGAAGTACGTTTTCCAAGCCGCATACAGTGATAATATCGGGAGCGTGACCGCCACCTGAGACGCCACAGCGATCAGTACGGCAATTCATACACATTTCCAGGTTCTTACCCGCTCCCTCGGTATGATAGGTATGGATGGTACGGTTTCCGAATGCCGCAACGGTACCTGTGCAAACTCAGCAAGACGCAATAAATCAGAGAAGGCGGCTTACTCTCAACGAAGCCGCTTTCATTCAGGGTATCTGTGTGGATGTTGACCTATCACAAACATCAGTTTCGTTTCCCCCTACAACGACGATTAAAACCTTACCTGGACATCATATTTGTCCCCGATATCCAAACAACTGATGATTGCAGAAGGCGTTGATCCCCAGTCTTCATGCAACTTCAATCCGGCGGCTCCGGCCTTTACGATATCCTCCAAGGCCTTAGGACCAGAATCATTCCCCTTACCCGTGAAAGCAAAGTTCATGGGCAAGCCATCCGTGGCCGCAAGCATGTGTCGCAAATAGAACTGACTGGGTGTACACGTAGTTGCGTTCGTTCCAGCAGAAGGTCCAGTTCCACCGCCGATCATGGTGGTGGTACCAGATGCGAGGGCCTCGGTAACCTGTTGAGGACAAATGTAATGGACATGTGCGTCGATGGCGCCTGCGGTGACGATGAGTTTCTCTCCGGCGATGACTTCGGTCGAGGAGCCTATGATGAGGTTGGGATCGACACCGTCCATTACGTCTGGGTTGCCTGCTTTGCCGATACCGACGATAACACCATCTTTGACTCCGATATCGGCCTACCAGTAAATGAGACTTGCGCTAACGGGGGTAAGGGAATGGTCTGTACCTTGTAGATGCCGGCCCAGTCGACGATCAGCGCATTAGTGATAACGAGGTCAATTGTTTCGATAGACGGCCGGTTGGTAGCTTGGCCCATACCTTCTCGGATGGTCTTGCCTCCACCGAACTTGACTTCATCGCCGTAGACAGTCTGCAATAGCTGTAAAAAAGCGATTGGAGACAGGTAACCGACAATAACACACCTCATCCCTTTCGACTTCGATCCAAAGTGTGGTATCGCCCAATCGGACTCTGTCTCCTACAGTAGGGCCGAACATGGCGACGTATGCATCCCTTCCAATGTTTGTGTCTTCAGATACCTCAAGTGCACCGGGTTCGGGTACGTGGCCGAATCCTTTCTGCACCAAAACAGAAATAATATCGTCTGTCCTAGCCGGATCGAAGGCTCCAGAGGCAAGGCGATTACCACCCGTAATGATCTTCGCTCCTCCGATAGAACAAAGTGTAACCGTCTTCACATCTCCAGGTTCGAATCGAACGGCGGTACCAGCGGCGATGTCCAGTCGCTTCCCATACGCTTTTGCGCGGTCGAACGATAGTGCTTTGTTTGTCTCAATGAAGTGGTAGTGAGAACCAATCTGAATCGGTCGGTCGCCGTTGTTGGTGACTCTCAACTTGATGCGCTCGCGACCCTTGTTGATAATAATCCGCTCGTCTTTCACGATGATCGCCCCTGGAATGTTCTCGCGCGTAGATTCATCAACGTCGATGGGCGGGAATGCATCCCTGGGAACTGGAAGGAAAGAACCATATAGTGCGGCCTCAAGGTTTCCAGAGTCAGTGCATATAGGATCATGCACGGTAACGAGGAAGACTCTAGTTCCCCATGTTCATCCACGCACTCGAGAGGCGATTAAACTGACTTACCCATCGACAAATGTACCTTCCACTTGAATCTCGTGGAGGAGATTGGCAACACCTGGAAGCACATGTCTTCGACCTAGCAAAGTCTTTCCATGCTGCATCAACTGCGCGACTGAATGTAAACCATCACGAATGCGTTCCTGAAGCACCGAAGCGATCAGAGCAACTGCCTCGGTTCTGTTCAGTCTGAGTCCTCTGGCAAGACGTTTCTGAGCGAGGAAGCCTGCCTATTTGAAACATATCATTACTTCTCGACTATACGACAGGAATAGTGAATAGCCGGCAATGTTCGTACCTGATGCAGGACAAGCTTATCCTGTTCCCGCGGAGAGATTCGCATGTTGCTCCTCTGCTTCTCACCGAGCCAGATGGGTGTTGTTCTCGACGTCTGGGGCGACAATGTCCATTTCGAAGTGTCTCCTGTATGTCGTGGAGATAAGATGGTCAGGTGTTACGATAAGACGGCGTGCCTCAAAGATTCCTAAAATGATATCATTTCGGGGAATTTGGAAGATTTTCAGTATTCAGGATGCCATTAGCCAACTAACGACTTTCTGTCTTGACAAAACGCTCCAGCAATCGTTCGAAAAGTGTTGAATGAGAGTCTAGTGCGGAACGAAAGCTGTGATTATTTCGCTATTTTATAGTGGTAGAATTTGTATATTTGTTTGCTATAGGTCAGTTGTGCCTCCAATTACAGTCTAGATCCTCGCTTAGATTATTGATGATCGACCTGAGTTTTCTGTTCTCCAATAACCACTTCTGTCGCTGTTCTGCTCTTTAATTCTGTTTCTCTGGGTCTATCAGCTGAGCAATGCTTTGCTAGTGTCTAAAATTGAACACGCTATGTATAGCCGTGCCCCTCTGGAAGCGTCCACAGCATCGATAGCTCACTTATCACCGACGACCAGGTACTTGCTTGTCATACAGTGATGACAGTCCTCCTGAATCGCGTGGCTGTATGGAAAGCTGCGGGCAATGGACAGCCAATACTCCACTCGACAGCCATGCTGGCCTGAACCCGGCCTGTGTCAACTTTGACTTCTGATCACTGCACCTTCAATGCAACGGAACAACAGGTCACTGGTGACGTCCGTCACTGTCAGACAGTCGCATGCATATGCTGCTCGTCTCAACTCGAAACTGGAATCCCACACAATTCGGAGCCGCATACAGTCATCTGTATGTTGTATAGTGTTCTCCATATGTTGTTCATCCGAATGTTTGGCTGGCATCAGGGGCTGCTGATCTATCTTGATCGTGGTGCGGGTGGTTCTCTTGGACTTCCCAAGTGAGTTGTGCCCGCAATTGGATTATATGGCGGGGAATACTCTGGTAAAAAAAAAATCACACTTTATTCTTGACCGACCCGACTATCATGCACTTTCAAAACTGTGACTGCGGAAATTCTTGGTTCTGCCGGCGCTATGCACTTTTTGCTGTGCGATTGGAGTCAACGGGGAGCAGAAAGGCCGTCGACAGTGTACTTCCGTGCTGCGAAACTTTCATTTCCTTTCTACTCGGGTCGGAACCAAAGCATCGTGTCCTGCAGAATGCTGGCGAGGGGATTCGAGAGCACAGTCGGCGACTGCCGGGACTGCTATAGAGGGCAAATAAGCGCGTGGCTATTATACAGCCTCTCTATTGTGCTGCCATCAGAGGAGACTCTTTGGTTTGTCTGTCCCTTCTGCTCATCAGTTTCGCGTCTACGGCATCACAAGTTGCCATCTTCTGCGTTCCATCACCATCATCCATGCCTACTGCCGCTTTCAAAGACTCTATATCAGCACCCAATTCTTCTGCCGTAACCCCCCGCAAGCGAACCATGTCTTTCTCATCCCCACAACCGCTTAAGAGTGCACGCACGCCGCTGCGTCGTACTGGCTCCTTCCTCTCTTTGGCCGACATGCAGGCCGCACATATCCACGAGTTCAAGCAGGCGGGCAGTTCAACTTCGTATAAGGCTCAAGCTGAGAACTCGTCTTCTGTTCCCTACACTCGCACGCTACGCCATTACAAGGAGCAGCGCGATAGACGAAAGGCAATCGCTCGAACTTCAGGCGAAACACCGCCTGTATTCACGGTCACTCCCATTCATACACCGGTGGCCGTAAAGGCTTCCTTCCAGCGATCGACCTCGCCACTTACCCCGCAACCGAACGTCCTTCCACCGAGAACACATTACCCTCGCTCCAAACCTGAACCAGATCTTTATCGTGTGGCGATTACAACTCGAATGCGATCATCGCCCCAGGGTCAGAAGATTCTACACATGGGTCCACGACTCGCTTTATCGATACATACCGCGACGTTGGAGCTCGAACGTATCGTTGCTGCGCAGCGAGATTGTGATAACGATATATCCATGTCTTCGGGCGGCGAACCATTGCTAACCACATCCTGGGTAGTGATACCACCAGAAGATTGGGAGATGGTTGATGGAAGCTTCTAATTTGACGGATTGCGGCGGAGGCGGTGGAATGGTTGCTCTCACCGTGTTAGGCGGGGGCGGGCAAGTCTGCGATACCCAAAGGATGACAGGAGTCACCTTCACTCACTCACTCGACACACGACAATCTTAGCGTTTAATGAACAAACGCTTGACTCGGAATGGAATACTATTGAGATCCCTCTTTTAGTTGAATGGCATGACGGAATCGTCCATTCTTATCATTATTCTTTTCGTTTCTCTAGCCTTTCCATGCTCCTTTCATTCCGTCCACCAATGCCCCTCGTCACTCTCTCCCACGTTGACGCCTTTTTCTCCTACTTCCCTTCTCCCGCGACATCTTCTTGGGGTATTAGGTTTCGAACTTGGATGTGGTTTTGGATTTTCGGTTCTTTGTTTCTGTCTCTATCTGGTTCTCGGACAGCACGTATGCAATCTGGCAATCTTGTATGGCTATCTTACACAGTGTAAAAACACCCATTCCTTGTAGCAACCCTCCTTATTGTATTTTCACAATCATATGCACGAGCTTGTGACGCCTCATTGCGATGACGCTCCTTGACGCTCCTTTCATTAGCTTCCAATACTACAGTCACATTAATTGCATTCTCCTTCCATATCCATTCCGATGTGCTTCAGATTAATAACGAAGCATTCCCACTCATCTGATATCCGCGAAATATCGGTGAGATGAGGTACCACCGGAGTTGCTTGGGATCACCAAGGATCACCATCGTCCAGTGCGTCAATGATAGACAAACTTGCTACCCACTGATCGCTGTGTACATCCCTACCAATGACATCCAATTGCATATCTAGTATATATTCGGCGCATCTATATCCACATGCCATCGAGTCAACTGTCGTCACAAGTAGTCTCTAACAAGTAACAAATCCGGGATTGCAGTCATACCTGTCCCTTACATTCTCCTACCCGCCTGAGACCCGAAGCAAGAAGACGTTGCATCATTCATTTGATTCTCCAGGATCTTTGCTCCCTTCTCAGCAAATAGCGGAACAGTATGGGATGTCGATCAACAGCACACACTCTCACCGTCCCCCAATTTCACTCGGTCCGTTTTCTCTTCGCCTTTCGACCGCCGGCCTGATGTTCGCCACTCTCACAACCGTCACTCCTTCCATCCTCGTCGCAACAGGTCCAGATAAAGTTCTCGGGAAAATCCTTCCTGTTCTGTTTGGTATTCATCGGTCCGTGACAGTCTTCGTCCCAGTCTACGAATTCTTCTTCGTTCACTATGAGCTCGCCTGAGATAATGATATAATTAGGACGCAGAAGGGAAGGGAGATCATCAATCAGTTTGAGCCCGAACAGAGAGGGAGAGAAATCAGATGTCAAACTTGAAAGGGTTCATCAAAGATAGTGGTACAGGTTGGATATAGAGATAATGGACCAAGAGAACAGAAAGCAGGGTCTCACCTGAGTGGTAGTTGCATTCATCTTCCTCGTGTTCTTCTCCGGCATCATACTCTACGCCACATCTGGCACAGACCTCCCACCGTGCGATGAGTTGTCGTTTTTGAGAGATATTACTCCCGCCTGCTTCTACGTTCCCTTGGTTTTCGCGGGTGGTTACCAAAGCTTCGAATAGTGCACGACTAATAGCTGGTGCCAGAGCATTGTCTGAAAATACGAAATCTGCGAGGACTTCGCGCAGACGGGCTTCGTTAGTGGACTGAATCGCCGTTAGAAGAGAATGGCATTCAGAGTCCTTTAAAAGGTTCTGCATTATGTTTAATTTCAGCTGCGATTGTAACTGAAGTTTATAACACAGGACTTACCACACGAATTCCAGTCGCCGGCATGTTGGGTGCAACGTTGAATATTCAACTACTGTACATACGCGATCGGCTATTGATCGACGACTCTTCGCGTGAAAGCCACGTGGCGTTCACGTCATTCAATGGAAAACATGTGAAGTCCAACTTGAATGATCGGAACTGAAGCCTGAATGTCAGACCTCAAGGTCTCAAACACTAGCTTTACTTTCGTATCCTTAGTTCTAATAACTTGGACTTGACCTATCTAATCATCTACTCTCATCTCACTTATTTTATAGAAGAAGTCCGGTCTGAATGAGCCAATATGCGGCAGCTTTAGCTCTTGCCCCGATTTTACGACGACGACTACGCCGAGTCCATCATACTATACCCAGACGAGGATATCATCGTACTTATAAGAGGTCAAAGCGTACGTGAATGCGTTGTTCTTGCCCTCTACGGACCGTTGACAGGAGTGCAGAAACTCGGACATGGTTCAGACGGTCTCTGCTGGGCGGCGGGTCCATGAGTTTTTTCTCCTTCGGAAGTGAAGAACCCCAAAATAAGAAGGGGGATACAAGGCCACCGGACACAGCACTTAGGGACGGTGTGCGTCCTACACATATCGTAGAAGAGAGCCTGTCACTAATCTTCTTTATCAAATAAGGGTGTTAAACCTGACAGTGATGAAGAGACTAGTACACCCTCTGAACAGAAACGCGAAGTAAGATAACTCAATGCTTCTTGAATATTTCCTCCCATTTTACTCATATTTAACCTTGGTAACATCCTCTCAGACCTCCTGGCACGGACTGAATTTGCTGAAACAATCGCTATCCGTCAACGCAATTTCTTCTGCTTTGTCTGCATGGCGTTGGCCAACGACCTTGGACTTCTCCTCAGTGCAGGAGCGCGTGTCAGCTCTGTTCCTGGAGTTAGGCCTTGGTCCCGGATCCTTGTACTCGGAAATCGTTGATGAGCCTCCAGACCCACTCATTTATCCCGAAATTGAATGGGACGCAGAAGTTCGTCTGGGTGAAGAGCTTTGCTTGTCGGAAAGAGCTTTCCTCAACCAGAGGAAAAGGGTCATGACAGTATCATTTGCAAGACTCTTTGATGTACCCGAGAAAGAAATTGACGAGCGTGACCTCCCGATCGTCGCAATTGCTGGTTCTGGTGGTGGTAGGCGTTATTTGACATCCTTTTTGATCAACATCAGTTGTTGATATAGTTGCGCAGGATACCGAGCTATGTTAAATACCACAGGTTCATTAATCGGTGCTCAACGTAGTGGTATCTTACCTTGTGTTACTTATACTGCAGGCGTATCAGGTGAGTGTTTAACTGTTGTCCATGTGAGCACGGGCGATAATTTTTCAGGCAGCTGCTGGGCTTTGAGCGTACTGTATTCCGGTGTTGCAGGCTCTCACGACGCTCGGGATGCTGCGGAGCATATCAAGAGTCGTCTACAGACAAGCTATCTGGACACCGTAACACTTGATGCGTTGACCACGCCCCCAACGAATAAGGTGCGCTACGCCTTGTGCCTTCATGTGTCATTTCAGACTTACATTCTCACCCCGTTTGATAGTATCTGCTTGTAAGTTACCTTTTCTGAAATCCAGTGCCGTAAACCGGCGTTCTCATAGTTTTTTTTGCATCACACTTCCAGTCTGGCATCTTACGGAAGGCGGCTGGTCCGATGGGCGTGGCTTCTCTTGTAGATGTTTACGGCACTCTATTGGCATCCAGGCTTTTCGTTCCCAAGGATTTGAGCAAGTTGGACTTTCAGCATTTGTCACTGCACTTGAGCCGGCGGAATATCGATAATGGTCAACTCCCATTGCCTATCTATACTGCTATCCAACATGGTAAGCGTGCTTCAACTCCTTGACGAGGTATGAATGCAATGATACTGACGGTCACTCTGTTTAAGCCACTCCTCCTGCCACCTTGCAAGCTATTCGCGAGGTTATACAAGAGAGGGAACGCTCAGTCGACAAAGATCGTCAGACCGTTCTTGGCGAAGCGCAGTCGCGGCTGGAAGATGAAACTAGATGTCTTTGGTACGAGTTTACCCCTTTTGAAATTGGGTGCGATGAGATCGGGGGTGAGTACTGCCCCTTAGTTGATGTTACCGTCTCATAATCCAGATGCTGTTCCTATCTAACGGCTGGCCCCTGTAATCAAACAATGACTGATTCTGTTCAACTAGCATGGATACCATCGTGGTCCTTGGGAAGACAATTCTTGAATGGCAAAAATATCGAACGTCGGGTATGTATTTCTGATCGTTCTACTCTCCAGATTGGCTTACCTTATATCTAACCTCCGGGCACAGCCGGAACTTGGCATGACCATCATGACGGGGTGAGTACCAAACGCTTTGTTCCCTTTGTAGCGTAGTTTTAATGGTGGTACAGGATTTTCGGATCTGCATTTTGCGCCTCTCTGAAGGTAGGCGAATCCGAACGGTTTTAGAACTATATGCCCAATACTGACTATTAATTCAAGCATTACTTCAGAGAGATTCAACCGACTTTAAAGCTGCTGCCTTTCCAATTGTATGATTGGCTCGAGGATATAGTCACGGAGAACGAACGCGATCTCGGATTAATACATCCAGTCCTGCCTGATCAGGTGCGCTATGCTTCGTGGCGTCCCTCGCACAGGCACGCTAATACAACGTCACCACAAACTCACCTACAATTCAACGTTGAACAGCTGCCGAATTTTCTCAAGGGTCTTGATGGCCAACTGCGTGACGGAAGTCCAGCTGATCTGACCGAACGGGAATACATGACGTTCATGGTACGTGTCTGAGCGGCGTCTCACGTCGAGAGGAAAGTTTACCGAACCTTCATGTCTTTTCGTGCTTGTGTGTTATGCAGGATGCAGGAGGTACGGATTTGACGATCATCACCGATGATGACCTTCTATCATTCTAACCCCTGGGTACTTTATCTTTCGAAGCTGAGCTCAATCTGCCATACTATCCGCTTCTTCGACGAGATGTGGATTGCATTATCGCCCTGGACGCTAGTGCTGATTCACAGGTAGGCAATATATCAGATGGTGAAGCTTCTTCTGTCTCAACTAACGCGGGAGTGTATAGGATTTATGGTTCACACGCGCCGAAGGTCGGTCTCTTTTTGGGTCTTCGGAGTCTGTAGCGCTCTCATTCATACTTCTGTCGCAGAGCTTGCGGCCAAAAGAGGGCTGCGGGCGTGGCCTAAAGGGGCCGGCTGGCCGATGCCTGTACAGAGCGTCGAAGGCTCGGAGAGAGTTACGCCGTCAACGGACTCGGATGCAGATGCAGCCAATTTGAAACTTGCGAAGACCCAAGAATCCGCGCTTGCTGAACAGACGGATAAGCAAGAATCAACGGAAGATCGTGATATACCCAAAAGTGTGCTTAGTTTCATGTTGAATCGCCTCATGTTTGACTTGTCTTTTCAGCTCCATCCTCGGATTCTGCTCGAGGATCCCCTTTGCGCGGTTCTGAAGTATGGATTGGGTCTTCAAAATCCTCAAAAGACATATCTTCTCGTCTGGATGACCTTGACGAGGATGCTCTCATAAAGCGGGATGGCATTGGTGTAGTTTACATCCCACTAGTCCCGAACGAGCGGAAGGTACCTGATTTCGACCCGTCCACGATTTCAACATGGAGACGGGAGGTTGCTCCGGAGGAAAGCCAGGCGTTGTTGGATGTTGCCGAGGTAAAGCAAGATACGTTCAGATGACCGGTAACGAGCCTAATATGTTTATATTGTACCCAGGCCAACTTCTCTGACTCCAATAGGAAAATTATCAGACTTCTTCGTGCGATTTGGCTTCGTAAGAAGTATGACAGGGAGAAACAAGAATGGAGCGCTGGTTGGAAAGAAGCCCTCAAATCATTTCACAAGAATCTACGACAGACATTTTGATTGGACTTTCTCCACGATACCTTAGTGCACGTACTGATACAACTTTTATACGATCTAGACGGGACCGAGGTAGAATACACGAAACATATTCAAGATATCGTTCACTCCTTGGTTTGATACTGTGACCATAAGATTCATGTATAACGAGGATGCAAGGGCTTTGTCAATCCATCGCCGGGTGTAGGCTGGGTCCGTTACAAAGACGCCAGAACTTTAGATAGCGGTTCGCCCATGTCCTCCGCGTCCGCGTTTCCAACCCAGTGCACGACATGGTCCTGGGTAGTGATGATGAAAACTGACAGTGAACAATAAGCAACTCTAGAATTGTCCGATTCCAACGGGGGCAACGCACCTAGGGGGATTGAGAGGTTTTGCCCTGGTTTGAAAATAGCTGAGGAGGATACGTCAGAATTGTCATCTATACGGTGAGTTTACAACACACCGTTGATAGCAATGCGATTGATGTCCACAAATATGGGGTACTGCAAGTTGCCTTTCATTTTGATGAACGCCTTCAGAGCTTCGATATCGGTGGCCGCTTGGCTGAAGATACCTTCATGGTTAAATGTGATGACCTTGACGTCCGGTTGATTCAACGCAATTTCGGAGAGGTGATCGAAAACTCTATGGCACGGCTTCATTGCACATCAGCCTATCATAGACGAATTAGCGCAAAAGATCAAACCTACACGACACCAGCTGCATGAAGGTTCATTAGGCTGTTGAATGGAATAAGCGACAAGCTGACTCACGAGGCCCAGAATTCCAGGACTAAGACCTTTTTGTTTTGCCATCCGTCCTTATTGCCTTGGATGCTTATGAACGAGCCCTGATCTATCCAATCGAGGTTGACGCGTTTTCCAAGTAAAGGACTAACCCATCCAGGTCGGAGGAAAGGGGGAGGGCCTTTTTTGATCTGCGCCTCAAGAGCGTCCCAAGGGGGTAATTTCTTCTTGGCCCGCAGGCTCTCCAGTATGGCTGGATCGTGGCGTGCGTTGAAATCCACTATACGGTTAACAAATCAGACACTCCACATTTCTGCAATGAGCGTAATAACGATCGGCTACTTACCGACGGCGGCATCCCATTTTGCTATGTAAAGCCAAATAGCAACGGGTCTCGAATCAAGAAGCGTGTAAACCACTGATCGTACACATGTGCATACCTTGGTCCCACCTGTCCTCATAGATTTCCTGGAATGGCTTCCAGACACGAACGCGAAAATCGTCTAGAACAGAGGCCTCTCCCGGTGTCTCAGGTTCGAAGGTTGACATGATAAAACGAAATCAGATATATCTGCGCAAATTTGCCAACATGAATGGGGACCAATGCTAGCCAGTCCTCTGAACTCACCGGTGATGGAGACTCTCCTTGATGGCCTGCGTCACACCCGTTGCACTGAGACTGTATGGACAGGACAGATCCTGCATAGAGGGTAAATAGTATACTGGATGCAGGCGACGGCTATCTATAAAGACAAAGAAGAAGACCTGATAGGAAAATGTCACATTCTAATCAACTGGTGCAGGCTGGAACCCGCATGCCTGCACATCATTAATCAAACCTGCAACAGTACTAGAATCTCAGAACTTTAGCGCCTCAATCATGCTCTGCGTGAGATGGGTACTGGAATTCCACAAGAGAAACGCGTGCCTGGCTTGTCGCAGTGGGTATATAGACTTACCTCCGAAAGCCGGCATTCAGCGGAGCGATGTCAGAGCTACATGTATATTTGGTACACAAATGAAAAAGTACTTTCTTGCCTGCTGTATCAGCCTGAGTCCGTCCTCCATAATTCCCATTGTCGTGAGTAAGTCTACCGTTTGATGAACCCGACGAGCTCTTTCTGCAATTCTCGCTGTCTGCGCGCCTTCTCCAGGTCATCGACGCTACGCAAATCAAACACAACGTCCCTAGTCTTGCCAAAGTAGACCTGTCCGTTTGAACAGAAGACATACATCAGAAAAATAAGCGGGGTAAACCCAGACTTTGACTAGCGCGACGCACCTCCTGCAAAAGATTCCGCATCTTGATTTCCATCTCCTCAATCATCCGACCGGTATTGGTGATGTGCGAGTTCTGGTCCTGAATCGGCCAATCTTGCTCAATCTGTCGCGGTCATCATAAGTACGAAGCGACGGACATGAAGTAGTCAGGAGGAATGGAATTCTGCGCCTATGGCCCACGTACCTGTCGCGTCATGCTGCCACTCAACGACACCTCCCCGTCTCGTTTGGCTTCACTCTTGTTGTTCTTCTCTTTGGAAGCACTGCCGCTCCCACTGTCATTGTCGTCTAGGTTCGGCCGATCTGTCATATGAAGCATTATGGTGGATGTGAGTTTATAGTGCGCTTGACGACCTCGCTCAGCGGCTTCGAACACATGAATGGAATCCCAAGAGCCTGAAGGCTCTCCAGGTGATGTCGGATTTAATGCTGTCGAGAAGTGCAAAAGGAGTTAATTAAATGAGAGTCGGAGGACTGCGAAATACTAACCCTTCTTCAAAAGGACAACTCCTGCGAAGCCGCCGTCGTCAAGGTCCCACAGGAAGACTGATGACACGCCTCCCTCATAGTACCTAGGGTCATAAATGAACACTTAAGTTGCGATTGAGCGGACGCGACCTACGTACATTTCTCTATACGTGTCAAATGCTTCATTTGCGGTTATTTCCAGTTTTCGGAGTTTGGAAGATGGCACCGTGCCGTCGTCTAGCGGAGGGTCATATTCATTCGACCACGGCGATCTACAAGAAGAAAAACCCAATCGGGTATACGCCGTTTCAATACTTCGGCGACATGGATTATTGAATAGAATAGGAAAAGCGCATACCGATAGCTCTCTCCATCCCGATTATAGTCACAGGCAAGATACTCCTTCCCCGTCGCGCGATCCGTCAAGACCTTCAGCGGTTGATCGACACTTCCCAACAGATCGTCCGCATAGTCTGGGCACATTCCTACAAGTGCGGCCACATTCTCCTCCACATTGGTAGGCGGAAGCCGCCTCATGAGGTCGAGCATCGAGTCCACGAGATCCCCCATCGTTGAATGCTATTGCAAGTCCTGAAGGCGTGCCTAGATAATACCTTCAAATTCTATGGGTAGCGAGGGGGAAGGTAATGAATAATGTATGCAAACAAGAAATCCTTTCGCGAAGATGCGCGTCGTGCGGAACAGAGAATTGAAGAGTGTGCAGCGATGATGACCGTGAAGTTCAAGACTACGATCCGGCTAAGTTACAAGCACTGATCGCGCCAAGCGCCCAAGGTGGGCGAAAGTGTAACTCATCTTTCTACGTAAGATTGGAAGCGGCAAATATATAATGCGCAAGAAAGAAAATGTAGTAAAGCACGGGAAATCCATCTTACATGACCTCCTTCTCTGCCAATCTCCCTTGACCCTCCCTGCCTTCACTTTTTGAATTTACAATCTCCATCACATTGAATTTCTGCATGCGATAATAGTCCTTGACAATGCTAATGCCACAGACACTCTAAATCGTAAAAAGCCATTGAGATCCTGATGCATTTATAATTCGAAAACGACTTTACCTTGAAAATCTCGACGAGAATGAATACTTCCGGATTCTCCAATCTGACTTTATGCGTCTCTGGTACGCATTTGGCCAATGTCTGAATGATGTCGGGTCTAGAAAGACTACTGTGATTTCGCATCCGGAGTTCAATTTTGTACTTGAGGGAAGTAAATGTCAAACGACGAGCATATCTGAAATGATAGAAGACGTACCGTGAAGGTTTTGTCACCATATTCTGCGAGAATAGGAGCCAGTAGCCGAGTACATAAAGACTGTATCTCGGGGAGATTGGTAGGGCATGTGGCTGCAACAGGTGTCAGTCGTTGTGTATATCTAAAAGAATCATTAGATATGTTCATGGCTCACAAAGAACGTGACAAATAGCATGCCTTGTCCGTGAAATGCCTGTCTCCATGACGTTTCCGACATATTTTACGACCAATCGAACAGGGTCAACCGGTGGTTTACATGATATGAAGACCACTACGCAAATCATTGATTAGGACCAGAGGAGAACAGTCAGTTCGAGCATGGTCGCTCACCACAAGGCGTATTAGTGTTGACGCTCGCTAGAACGTCTAGGTGAGAAGGAGGTCGTCTTAAGGTTCGAATAAACATACCGAACCTTTGCTCTCTTCTCGGTTGTTTCATGGACGCGACTTCCTTAGCGATCTGTTTCTCGATATCGCCGTCGTTATCGTCATCTGAGTCCTCATCGTCTTTTCTGCCTTGTGCAGCTGTCGGCGATTCAGGCCAAAGCTCTGAAGCTAGCTACATAGTAAGTCAATAGGAATGGTGCGTAGTCAGTGACAATGAATACGTACAGATTCGAACACATCGTAAAGTTCGCCAACAGCCTGCTTTTCTTTTCCTTTGATGCAGGTGACCCATACACCGGGTCCTTCTACCGGCTTCTGACCCCAAATTGGTGTACCATCCTATAACATCGGAATCGAGGAAGACGTCAATTAAACTCACAGACTGTCTAGGAATAGGAACATACAGAGCGGAACCTCCTCCTTGGCTTGTCCCGGGCATCGGTCTTTCGTTTTTCAGACATTTAGCGCTTCAGAGTACTTATAGCATCCAGGGGCATATGAAAATCAGCTCGAAACGAACATTTATTTAGAACCCACAATCGTGATAGTTTGGATCTTCACAGTCCAGAAGCAAAATCAAGCGATCATCTCCAGATCGTCGCCTTGCCTTTTCTGGACATAACTGTCCAGCGTTGATGGCGGTTGCATTTGGAACGTTCAGACTTCAAAGCTTTAAGGCGTTACATTTGGATGGAAATCTTCAAATATGCACAAGGACACTAGCTAGTGGATTCAATTAATGTGAGTTTTTCGGTCCTGTCCATGATTTTTTATCGATGTAAAGTCAGCTGACTTCCAATTGGTCGATGCTTTCGCCTTTCCGGTCACGTTCAATTCCGCGTAGGTAAGATGGCAGTCAGAAGTCTCACTTTAGAAGAAACGCTGTGGCGTCCCAAATGTGAAGAAATAATCTAGGTCTCTTGCGAACGTGCCACACCCTCTTTGTTACTCTCTTTGTGTACCAACGTGAAGACCATGGCGGCCACCGACGCGAAACGTTTTGTTGCCCACCCTTGTCTCCCAGATCAACTTCTAGATGCTCTCAAGTCCACAAGGAAGACCAGCTATGACAAATCCAACATCTGGGCCGTGCCTTTGGAGGATTGGCGTGTAAAGACCCTAAGTAACGCGATATTTTGCAATGACGTTGCCGAAGAGGTCATTGCAAGTGTTCGTAAAAGACGCGGCGATACATTCAGCGATGCTATCAAGCTTGGTGCCTCAGGTCAAACGTATCTTCATATCGCCGCCATTGATGGTGACCTCGCCCTGGCATACGAATGTATACGATTGGGTGTTGGGATCGATAATCGTGATAGCGAGGGGAGAACCGCACTTCTCTTAGCCTGCGAGAGTGGGTTCCTCGCGTCGACAAGTCAGAACGCGAAAGATCCAAAGTTGACCGGCCTCGCTGTAGGATGTTCTGAGGTGGCTGGAGTGCTTGTTCGTCAACAGGCGGATGTGAACTTCACGGTTCGCGACATGACGCCCCTGCGCTACGCCGTCAGGGCGAAAGCTTGGAAACACATCGAGACCCTTCTTGAACACGGGGCAGACCCACGGCCCGGTGGTCGAGATTTGTCGACTTCATTCTCCAACTCAGATGACAGATCGAAGTTCAATACATTGGTCCAAAAGCACGCCTCTAAACCCCGCCCACCACGCCGTTGCCCGTGCTGGTCTGGTGCATGGCTCTCTGAATGCCATACCGTTGACGATTTTCCGTATCCTCTCAACTTTCTCTGCAGGTGCAATTCAGGCAAAATCCAATGGAGATGTTGCGTTCGTCGGGGGATCGGTTCCTATGAGAGGTGGGATGAGAAGGAACAGCGCCTTATGGTTAAGGTGTTGAAACCAGAGATCAAGTTCGAGCTTCCGGAGCAGAGTCTTGCTGTTACACACGCAGCGCTGCTTGACTATGCAATGAAGCAAAATCCGAAGACTTTATGGACAAGTCCGATGCTAAAGGCGTACGCTCGGCAGATGCACCTTATTACGGAGACAATGGTCGAGGAGGGTCGAGCGGATCCCGCCTATTGCTTTGCAGCTAGGTGTCTTCCCTTCCTCGTATTGTAAGTGATCCTGCTTTTGTTTAATTTATGATTCTCAATCTCCGCCTCAATGTAGCCCCTTTGATCGCGAGTTCTGTGAACCCAGGAACAATGTTCACGTCAACAAATGGAATGATGCCATCGATCTATATTATTTCTCCCAGAAGGATAAACGTCCAAAGTTGCAGCTGGAACAGGCGGGCAAGGTCGACATGGATGGTGGCCCTATGTTCAGACGATGTGAGTCGTACAGATGTCTCAATGTAGAGTCACCTACGCGACCAAAGTACAAGCGTTGCTCGCAGTGTCAACGTGTAGGTTCTTGCGAATTAATTGATGCCCAAGATAAGGCTCACACCCGCATCTATACTAGATTTTCTATTGTAGTCCGGCGTGCCAGAAGGTCGATTGGAACGTCCACAAAGTAACGTGCCAAGAGCGCACTCATTCTCCGCAGAAGCTGTACTCTCAAGTAGCTATCATCAAGGCGTTGTACGACACCAGATTGGAATGTCTTCATCGTATTCAACAGTTGAATGACGTCAAGGACGCCTTTACCGGAGATATGATGGATGCCGCTGGGGTTTGGATGGCGATGCCGAGTCCGACGTACGACGATGGTAACGAATATGTCAAATATATCAACGTCGAGGAAGCTTTGACCTTCAAGGTCCCACAGCGCTATACTTAACACATATTTTAATCACACTCCACTTTTGAACTCAACTGGTATTCATACATTGCTTCGCGCACTCTACCCCTTCTATGGTATATCGTACAGTAGTGATGATATAAATACAATGTCCATGGTTGTGTGTCATGTCAAGCCCTGCCTGAATTCCCTTATCTTGCAAAAATGAATCATGAAATAGTCACTAACGTAAAAGTGCGTTAACGGTTGTCAAGAGATATAGCGGTTCAGGAAATGATCATGCCTGATAAGTTATGAAGCTTGTTAGCCTTGTTGTGTCACATGATAGTACATTGAGTTAGGTCGTGGCATCGTCCTTGATGTTTCTACCCAAGTCATATTCTATATCAGTAATGTCGTTGATATAGAGGAGAACCAATACGTGCCACGTAGATCGAAATGGACAACCTGGCGCATGCTCTCCCCTCCAGTGACAATGACAACACTGAGGACCACCAGAGCCATAGTTGGCGGAAGGGATATCGGAAAGCCCACGCGGGGTCTGTGTCCGGAGACTTTTCATTGAGAGTATGTGAGACCAAGATGTTGCCTGCATAACTCGAAAGAACATCGGAGGAAAGGGGATAGGGGGTAGGGGTAAGGGCCGTCTGGGACAGCGAGGAAAGGTGACGTGTATACGATACGACAGAAGACTGAGAGCGTACCTCAACACCATCCTTATATATCACTCGCCCTGTCTAGCCGACCGTGAGCGCGCTACAATCAGAGAAAGAACAATATCTCGGGTCCACAATGCTTGAAATTTCCCAGGGGCAGACAGCATTAGGTATTGGATCGAGGCCCAGAGCAGAAGATGGGGGAATTCCACATACACCAGTGCACTAGATACGTCAGAACGAGGAAAGTGTGAACTCCATTTCCGGAGATCGCTATGGCATCTGACACCTTGGGCCTACCTAGCCGAGCACTAGAATGGTCCTTTGGTCTCTGGAGATTCTCAGAAACCGTCCTGGTGTCTTCGGCTGCTTCTGATTTCCAACGGCTCGTACTTTTCTTAGACCATTCAAGACATTTGGCGCCCGTCAGGCAGTTGAACTTTGGTACGGGGATGGAGGAAAGTGGTGAGGACCTCCCTAGATAAGAGAAATCAGGCATTTAGAACCTTGAGAGCTTGAGTGTATTTTCATAATGAAATGCCCTGAGAGTGTACTTCGGATGCCATGTCATTCCGGCTGGATTAGCGAAGTTCGTTGCCATTCGCATCGCATAAACCTTGGCTACCGAGGCTAGGCGGTTCCTGAATGAGACAATATGTAGCACGCTTGCGAATGCGCATTACGGCATTTAAGAAGGGGTCGAAGGAAGACTTACCACGAGATGTGTGAGCGTTGTGGGTGCTCATCGCGCGTGAGTCTGAGAGTAAAAGGCCATCAACAACGTCAGTTGCCTAATGGGACAGCTTTCGGATACGACCGAGGTGTCGTGTCATATTTGGCTTCCGACTTTCCGCAACATAGCAAGTGACACTCTGGTGCATGCTTCGCCGCGGAGACTCACTGGTTTATTTCATAGCCCCTTTTTTTTCAGGAGGCCACACATGTGTGATATAAAAAGCGATCTGCGTCGATGTGGTGGTGGAGGAAATGTGTATGCTATAGTAAGGCAGTCCGCTCGCGGGGACACATGAGAGCCACGAGTCAACACGAGGGAGTCAAACTGACTTTTATCTTGTACCGATCGTACTCCGCCTGGTTGTACTGCACGGATCGTTATCTAAACCCTGACTCGAACAAGACATCATTTATACAGGTGCGTACCGACACTTTTGAAAAGCCTCTCTCCCCTGCACACTCACCTTGGCCTTCCCCTCAGTCAAAAGCTTACCGTGCTTCACATCTCTCGCGTTCCCGCTGCAACCAGAAAGAGATGGAATTCGAAGACGAACTCGTTACCCTCGAACTGAAACGGTTCTCGAAACATACGCGCCAGTGGCGTCGCACTTCTAGAGACTCGCAAGACGACATCGAATTATCGCCGCCAAGCTCAATCCGGGTATTATCCTGGAACATTGACTTTATCGGAGATAAGCCCGAAGCACGCATGCAGGCGGCGTTGTCGCATATTCAAAACGAGGTTTTTGCGAGCGAAGACGGTCAGAAACCGGCGCCTTGTTGCATTTTGCTACAGGAAGTATCCTCTGAGGCTTTCCCAGTCCTACTGAAAAACCAGTGGGTCCGGAAGCATTTCATGGTGATACCCACCAGCGCAGACGATTTTCCCAATGGGACGTACGGAGTCGTCACGCTCGTATCCAAATCCATTCCAGTCAGCAAGGCGCAATCCTTGATATTCGGCAACTCAGCAATGGGCCGCAGCGCGCTCATGGTCGATGTGAAGCTTTCCCTGCCCAACCCCACGGCAAAGGCTGAAAATGGAGGCTCTCGTTCGAGTGAAGAAAGCGAGAATTTACCGACCGTGACAGCGCCTAGCCTCATTACCTTGCGCCTTGCGAATACCCACTTGGAATCTCTTCCAACTGGCGTTGCTGCTCGTCCTGTTCAATTGGCAAACATCGCGTCTTTGCTCAAAGAGGACGGTTTGCATGGAGGAATAGTATGTGGGGATATGAATATCATTAGAGAGAGCGATCTACACATACATGAAGACGCCGGATTACTGGACGCGTGGACTGGGGAAGACGAGGAGGAGGGATTTACCTGGGGTTTCCAACCTCCTTGCCAATTCGCACCTGGACGACTAGACAGGGTGTTTTACACCAGTGCTTGTCAGGAAAAATGCGAAATCTCGCAGCCGGAGAGGGTTTGTATTGGCTTGAAGAGGAACGGGCGATGGGTGACCGATCACTATGGACTCCTGACTACTGTTAGCGTAAAAGATGAGAAGTCCTAACGTAAGTACCTGCGAGTAATAGCACTTGGTAGAAACCTTTATGTGACATACTCAATTCCTACGCGATTATCTATTGGCTGCTGAGAGTCCGTTCGCGACAATGGAATGTAGTTTGACCACGTCTTGACGGCAAAATGTTCAGTCAGTCTCAGCTGTTTTTCTGACGCGTCTTAGACGTCACGACGCGCATTGCATCCACGAGCTCATATGGTGGTCGAGAGCGTGTGCACCTCAACACGGGGACGAAACGGTGATGGATTGCATCATGCCCAGTCTCGAAATAGGCTGGAAGATGCGCACTAGTTCAGTGAAGCGAACAGATAACGCGGGCGTTGAAAGTGTAGATCCCAAAGCGCCTTCCAAAGCGCCTGCAATTTTTCCTTGCTTGAACGAAGAGCTCGATCCTGGTTGGAGTCGTTAATTAGAAAATAAACATGAACCTGGACCCGACGACGAAAGCTCGGTATCTGGGCAGTCCAAGAGAGAGAACAGGGCGCCGAGAAAATACGAGAATTGTCGGAGATGGCTGCGTGCCTGCGCATGGGAGGGCTACGGGTATTTCCGCTGCTATATAAATCTCGAACACCGTCGGCCCCGTCTGCCCCCCAGCATTTTCCCCGCTGCTCCCACCTGTATCTGTCGTCCATTCCCTTTTGCTTTCTGCAATGAAGACCATCTCCTCGCTCGTTGTCGTCGCTGTTTTCGCCGTTCGTGCTTTCGCTCAGGATGGCCCACGTATCGAAACCCCGTGCGTCGTGGTTCAATTAACCTCCTGTTTTTAAGAATGGTTGTACTCATGTTCATTTGACTCGCTCAGAGGAAGCGTTGTCGTGTGCCAGCCTACGTTGCTCACTTGGTCTGGAGGAGTTCGTGAGTAGAATATCGCGTCTCAACCAGGCTTGAGATTGACTGTGGTCTCCCTAGCTCCCTACTTCTTGGTATGGCCTTGTATTCCCTGCTGACTGACGCCTGCTGACCGAAGCATCGGTGTTTGTTTGTATCATGTAGAAGTGAGTGTATTCTGTCTTTTTATATCCTTTGCAGTAGGTCTGATACAAGAATTTAGCATCCTTCCCGGTGGCCAGCCTGGTGCCCAACCTCTGGAGCAATTCACCAACCTTGAGGGTAACAGCTTCACTTGGAGCACTGATCAACCTGCAGGCACCTCCATCGGCCTCACCATTCGTGACAGCACTGGTGCAACAGGCTCCTCCGCGCCGTTCACAATCAACAGTGGTTGTACGTCATAATTGGCAATTATAGATAGACATGCGGTGGTCTGACAACATCCATGCTTTCTTTTCTAGCCGACACCAGTTGTTTGAATGCGTCTGGTAGCTCGTCTGCTGGTGCGTCGTCGACGAGTTCGAGTTCCGATTCTGCGTCTGCAGGGTCCTCAACATCGAGCTCTGTTTCTACTCCAGTCTCTACTCCTGGAAGCACCGTGACCACTCCAGTCTCGACCAGTGCTCCCTTGAGCACACCCGTCAGCACACCCGTCACCACTGGCTCGACTTCCCAAAGCGTGTCTCGGTATGTCATTCCGTAGTTGTTGTCCGTAATTTCATCACTCATCCTCCGGGAAGCTCTGTCACCACCTCCAGCAGTGGTACTTCTTCTCCCGCTGCATCTCCAACTGGTGGTGCCAACACCAGCGGTGCTGAGAGCCTGTTCGCCTCCGCCGGTCTTGCAGGTGTCGTCGGCGCCTTCGTTGCTGCCATCATGGCTTAAGCACCTCACACACGCGATTTCATGGTCTTCTCCCGTAAAAGGACGTGACGGCGTTCAAGCCCATCTTTATTTCCGTCGCTCTCGTTTGTTGGTTGAAGCACTTGCAATTGGACTTTCATACATACAGATGCTCCTCCCTTTTCATTCCTTTCGTGCACAATTTTGACAAGCTTTTTGCGCGGATAGAATATCCCCCTATATCCCTTGTGTTCTCTTGACTTTTTTTGCGATCCCTCCATCCTCCACGGTAGTGTCTTTCCCCCCATTTCCTAATCACCCGCCCCCATCGACACTGTTTTCCTCTTCTTACCGATAATGCCCTTGCGACGCTTACTTACGGACGTTTTTGTTGTTATATTCACTCTTTGGTGTGCTTTTAACTAGCTTCTTACGCTTGACTTTGATTCTCGACTCTTGCCTCTTTGGTCATTTGCTTGTTCCGTGCGATGGGATGGCCTTGAGTTTTGTACTTTTCCTGTTTGTAGTGTCTAGGGTCGCGAGAACACCATACTCCTTGCTTTTACAAACCTGCCGTATTGATGGCGATATCGTTGACTGGAGTTCAACTTGGCGAGACGTGCACGATACGGAATTGAACGGTGAAAAAACTCGATATGAATTAGGGATACGGACACATAAGACACTGGTATGGAACTTGAACATCAACTCGCAACTACGCCGCGTTCACTACTCGACTCTCCACCCACGGACATCGTCACTAGTCCGTCGTTCATAACCTCCACTCGATCAACTACTCTACTATTAACCTACGACTAACCTACACTAATCTAGCATATCTCTGAAACACTGTAACGCGAAACCAAAATTCAGCTCTGCCAACTACAGAAAACAAAGTAGAACATTACTCACCTCATGCATGTAACATACACGCTATACCGCAACCAAAATCCCGAAAGAGAACGTGGGCCACCCTCTTACTAGCAGGGCGGCACTTGGAAATAAACACAAAAGTACTAGTGCAACTTGCCGCGAGCAACTGTGATCCAAACAAAAAGCTAGATCCAGGCTCCTCAGCAAGCGCAAACCCATCGCGAGCAACTGTGACCCGAACAAAAGTCCAGGTCCAGGCTCATCGACGAGAAGTCGCCTTGTGTTTACACGTTCTCGCGTATTAAGATTCTGGTTGCCGCTAGGTCCCGAATGCGGAGGATGTTATCGTCCCGGGAGAGGACTTTGAAAGGGGGAATGAAAAAGGGAAGAAGACTTCGAGTCTGTGCTACGAACGGGTGAGAGGTAGGACTGGGGTTGACGAAGGTCCTGAGTTCTCGTGGTGTCCTGGAGGCCCTGGGAGGAGGCTCGTCGAGCAGAAACGAAGTCTTATGTGGGGTTCATCGTCCATGAGGAGGACTTTGAAATAAAAAAGGGAAGTGAAGGGGGAAGGGGGAGTGCGACAGTGGATGGACGTGTTGGAAAGTCTGGAATGAACAGCCAGACTAAGACTAAGAAGAAGTCAGTAAGAGATAAACTCTAATAGCATTTAGGAATTGAACATACCAACAGCCGCTTGAAATATTTTCACCGTCAAGAGAGATGCCGGAAGAGCACGGGCAAGCAGAAGCCAGTAGCATGGTAGAATCACGGTTGGTGGCCATGAGCAAGGAGAAAAGATCAGAGCCAGAGAATGTAGAACCGAGTCGTGGTAGCGAGTAAGTCTTGGGTCGAGGAAGAAGTTCCAGAGAAGTATAAGTGTGTCCGTAGATCCGTATCCATATGAGTTCGTTGGCCGTTCCAAATTTGCAAGAAATAGCGAGAGAGGAGAACATAAACGCGAGGGTGAAGGCGAAGTCGAATGGCGGCGAGCGATGAACGGCCTCGCATGCTTTGTGATTCGACGATGCAGTATTAGGTGAGCGAGGCAGAGAGATAGAGATAGAGATAGAGATAGAGATAGAGATAGAGATGAATAAAACCAAGAGCCGAGAAGAGATCGAGATAAAGCAGAATAATAAAGCCGGAGCATTCTCGTGTATGGAAGTTTCGTGTATGGAAATAGCGAGGCGATTAGGCGAGAGATGTAGAGTCGAAGTGAAATGGCAAGCGAGGAGAACGATGCGAAGGCTTGAAGACCGGACGATGGTAGATTAGATATTAAGAGTATAGAGCTGAGATGAGATCGAGATAGATGTATAGAGCTTGAGATAGAAAGTGGCGTTGTGGGTTTCTTGAATTTGAGGTCGAGAAAGTACTTGCAATTGAAACGAAGAGTCGAAATAACAATGAATAGAGTTGTCCATGCTAAGAGGGGAATATTGACAATAGAAGATATCCGTTCCAAGAGTGTTCACTGAGAGAGCGGGAAGAGTGTTCCACGAGGTGCATTCTCCTTGCCCTTGAGAGTGCCGCGAGTGGTACGCTTGAGGGCCTCACAGCCGACCTCGACGACATTGGTCGACTTGCGAACAAGGGGAGCAGCATCGACGCTGAACTTGCATCCGTATGCCCAGGAGATGTTCACAGTGGTGGACTTAGGCATGAAACGAGGCGCATAAGTGATCGTTGGAGGGACCTGACGGTACTTCAGTTCCCTCACGACGCAAGCGGCTGACGACCGGGACTCAGGGACATCCTGGCCGTATGGGGTGTCCTCGCACTCGACAACGCCCGCCTTCACCGGAACACATGGAAGCTCATTGCAGCCTAGGATGGGAGACCCTTCAGGTGTAAGGAGTTCCTCGGAATCGATGCTAGACACCTCCGAGTCGGTGCCCTCATTCCATTCGCCCCATTGCTCGATCACTGCGCAAAGCGGGCTCGTTGGAATTTGGACCGTCTCGATGGTCGGATAAGCGTGCTCGGTGATCTTTGTCTTCCAAGTGGCTGACAGGTCCCAGCCAGCAGTGGAATTCAAGATAGGCAGAGGCTCTGTCTCGAGGAGCGGCTCGTCGTCGTCCTCGTCGTCATCTTGGTACTCATAGTCATCATCCTTGAACAGAGAGGAAGATATCTGGAATTGCTTGAGTGCCTCGTCGACGGCGATGACGGGCGAAGGCGTTTCGACCTTTGCGACATCATCGACCTTGGCGGGTGTCTTCTTGGAAAGCTTTTCCTTGATAGTCTGCGCAATGTATTGTCAGCCACTGCAAAATCGTGAAAAGTGGAAGTCAACGATGCATACCTCAGGGACCTTCTTCACGCGCTGCCACACGTTGGGCTTCTCGAGCTTCGCCTTCTTGGCGGCCTCCTTCTTAGCGACCTCGGCGGGAAGACGGAGTGGACGGAGCTTCGACAATCTCTTCGAATGTGATGTGCGAGCGTGGTTCTTGATGTTTGCAACTATCTTGGAGAACAAGTTCACCTTAACAGGTTGGACTAAAACAGGAATAGCCATGTGTGAAGACATTTGCGGGGAAAGCGAGTGAATTGCTCGAAGGCGGGTTGGCTTGAAGGTGGGATTGGTGCGGGGGAGGTGACTGGAGGGAAGAACGAGCAATGGAGTGTCGGATGGCATGAATGGATGATTATATGGCTTGGAGGCTGACATGCCAGCCTCCAGTCGAATTGGCTGGACTGCACATCATTTGAATTGTCAACTGTGCAAATTAGAACACCTCAGGACAATATTATCAGGTGTTCTAACTCATGCAGCTGTTAAGTCAAATGATGGGTCTGACATAACGGAGAATGCATGCCAATGCCAAAAAAAAACTTGTTTCTTTCTTACAGTAATGTTGAGTATTCCGAAGCGTTACATTCCTTTGCCCACCGGCGTTTACGGTCTCCATCTCAAGCCAATTCGAGGGTTATGAGTATGCTGGCAGCTGGTATATACAGCACGTTATTTGTACCTTATCCATACATTTCCTTCTACTCACCCTAATCTTGACATTTACCTCAGAATTTTTTTTCAAAATGTGACCATTGAAGTTAAGATGCCAGCCAACGTGAAGTTTGAGGAAAGTACGGGAAGTGTGAAGAACCTGTAGAATGAACCCCAATAAGCAATGCAGACATTGCCAGTGTAGAGATCACCAACCGCAAATTCGCAATAAATGCCTTTCATCCAAAACGGGCAGATGCCTGCGCAACTGGGCTTCTACCGCCGTGATAGGCAAAGAAGACAGGTGTATCCGTGCGTCATAGTTAATAGTGAACTCAAGACAACGTAAGCTCTTCATCTGGAGTGCCATATTCTCCAACTCCTCCCACACATTCGCATCGGCAGCGTCCCCGGACCAATGCCAGGGAGGGGTCGTAAATTGAAATATGACATTTTTCACAGACGTCGAAAATGAGAGAAAAGCGCGGTAATGTGGTACCAGAATGTGCCATCCGGGCATCAAGACGGTGACAGATGTGAGTGAAGTAAAGTCATGGAGTGACAGTGCGCTCCATCCTGACGTACATCATTGTCAGTTGTCGTGATCATCTCGGACAATACAAATTACCTTCAGTGAGCTGTGCATCATTCACTCCGGCACGAAAAGAGCGGAGGTTTTTCTTGATACGTGGGTCAAGAGTCTTTAGAGCGTAAACTAAGTCAGGATCTTCGACGGTGCCCATGTCCAAGTGAACCAACGAATCAAGCGAGGAGGTTAACCGCAGTCGCTGGAGGAAAAAAATAGAGATTTCACTGCTTCCATCATCCCCGGAATACGATTCCAATGACAATGAGTTAGGAAATGATGACGGAATATCGGGGTGCAAGTCGTCGAATGGAGGGTATCCCAGAATGCTAAGGTGACGGAGAGAGGGAAATATATGAAAGAGCTTGCGGGACACGTGTTCATCATCCTGATCATAACCCAGTTTGACATGGAGCAGTGACAACGTATGGATGGAAGGATAGACGAAAGAGATGGATGTATCGTCCATGCGCCAATACGAAATATCTAAGGTAAGCGATTGCAAGCGAGGCATATGCCGAAGAGTAGCGTCCAGCCATTGCGAAGAGAAACCATCGTGGTAGTGAGATAGATAGAGTTCCTCTGTGTAAAAGAACAAATGCAATATGTCTTCCGGGAAAGGCGGGACCATTTGCCATGGGCCGTTATCCTCGTCGGGGGGCACTGGATCTGCGCGCACTCGCCGGAAGAGGTGGTAGCGACTTCGAACTTGCCAAAGCTTGCAAACCAGAGAGCACGCAAATAGAGATGGCTTGTCGGTTTGAAGATGATCGATGATCCTGTCGACGAGTTCAGAAGGCAATGCTACTGACATGGCTATGCATGGGGCTACCTGAGAATCACTGTCCGCTAAATATTGAATGACGAGTGACTTATGAGTTTGCGACTTACGTTCGCCCAGAATGTTAGTGTCAAATGTGCAACGTCGCCCTGTCGACGTCGGATGCATCGTTTGACGTTGATGGCAGGGCCGCATGGTGATCGATCAACAGCACAAGTTAGATAATATCGGCATGAATGTCAGCATGTCTTGCACCTCTCGGAGGGATACACTCTAACGCGCGACCTGAAAATATGAGTAGAAGACAGACAATAGCCTTGGGGTTATGAATCAAAAGAAACATACGAAGCGCCGCTCCTTGGCAACTTACACCTCGGCAAATAGTGCACGAGAAAAAACAAATGGCCTGGAGATGCTGCATACAATGTTATTGTATTGCATCCATGGTATACAAGCCCCATGCACATTACACAGATAAACATACAATAACGATACAACAAGGATAGTAGTGTAATTCACCCTTCCGAACCTTCGATCAATAACCGATCGTCCCAGCAGTCTTAGTTGAATATAACAAGTAGGACCTAGGGTAGCAGGACAATTGACTTTAAATCAACTTATAGTCGAGCGTTCTTGGGCATGTTTCGGATAGCTTGACGGACGCCAAGATCTCCCAGGACGTCTTCAGCTCCTCCGAGGATGGCATCGAAGGGAGCGGCACGGTGGTACTGGAAAGAAAAAGACGTCACGAATAATACAAGGATATTGGGGAATGCGACGTACATGTTCGATGTACTTGCCCATGCCCGTCCTGGTGATACCACGACCACCGAAGATCTGCACTGCATCCCGGGCGGTATCTTGGCCTGACCTAGTGAGGTACATCTTCAGGAGACCAATAGGGCTGTACAGATAAGCTTCATTAAAATCGGCACTTGTAAGGCAGGTTAGATAGTGAACTTACCCAGCGAGGTATTTGGATTGTTCTTTGTACGACTGGAAGAAAGATAACATGAATTTTGGAATATATAAGCAAAGACAGCATGAGACAACTAACCATGTTGTTCATCTGGTGAGTGATGTTCTCCAACCACGCCTGACCACTTTCCAAACGGGCAATCATTCCAGCAATCTTGCTACGGACGACTGCTTGAGAATTCAAAGGTTTGCCGAATGCTTTTCTTTGATTCGTCCACCTAAACGATGACATCAGAGTCAGCAATCCACCCCTCCCCCAACAAATGTGACGAACTCACTTGAGACACTCTTCAACACAAAGCCTTTGCGCCAGTACAGCCGAACAACAGATCATCCACCGCTCATGGTTGAAGTTACTCAACATGACGAAGATTCCTCCACCTTCCGGTCCGAGGGTATTCTCCACCGGCACCTTGACGTTTTCAAACGTGATGTAGGAAGTTCCTGCAGTTGGAGAGTATGCAGTTTTGATGGGCTTTGTCTCGACGCCTTCGCCACGTTCGACGAGAATGACAGTGAAGCCGTCATCTGTCCTGCAACCTACTGTGAAGCTAAAAGATTTACTCAGTTCCCGGCCTTATTGCGGATCTTGGGAGCAAACACTCACTAGTCGCAGAACCTACAAGAAAACGTCTGTCAGGCTCTATTCCAAAGCCGACAAAACAAGGAAAATGCACATACGTTCCATTCGTGATCCATTTCTTCGTTCCATTGACGATCCAGAACTTGCCATCCTCAGTCTTCTTCGCATATGTCTTTAGTCCCTGAACATCACTCCCCGCAAAGGCTTCCGAAATAGCTAAACAGATGAATTTCTTCCCTGAAAACACTTCCGGCACCACCTTGTCTCGAATCTCGGGCGAACCGAAGTTCATAACGGGCGGGAGACCAATGATACCACCAGCGTTGAGTCCGTCGCCATACCCACGTTGACCGTGACGGGCGAATTCTTGATTGATGATGAGCTCGTGGAAGTAGTCGAACTATGAGTAATGGGAAGGTTAATGCACTGAGATGAAACAATCAGGGGAGAGTATATACTTCTTCGGGAGTAATAAGGCCATTCATGAGTTTGAGGCCCTTGAGGTGCTTTCCGGGGCCCATACGCATCGCATGAATATTGAGCTCTCTATATGAAAAGAATGAGTGATAAAGAATGATGCTGTCAGAGAGCGACGTACGCCATCTTTTCAATAACACTCAAGCTAGGTCGCTTTCCATCTTCCTCTCTCGCCTGTGTATCGATGTCAAGAGAAGGATCATTAGTAAATGTGCGTTCTGGACTCACCATTGCATCAGGGAAGACAACCTCATCAACGAATTTACGGACAACCTTTTGGAAGCGTTTGTGGCTCTGAGGAATGCCGAATAGGTCAGTTGGTCCCAAGCTGCCCTGTCACGATCAATCTTGACTAACCTCAGTGAAGTAAGGACTGTGATAACCTTCCGACAACCACGTCGGCTCGGCGTAAGGCACCTTGCTCAAGGCGCCAGGGACACGTCCGACAATCTGAGGCTTCTCGTCCTTGATAGTTCCGACGACAAGACGGATAAACTGTGGCTTCTCGAGCACCTCGTGTCGGTGAAGGCCGTAGAACGTCTCGGTAGCATCCTGACCCACTTCAAATCAAGTATGAACAAACCTCCGTAATGTATAGATTCGACGCAACGTACTGAGCTCCTCGTCTAAGAAAACAAATGCACCTCCCGGATGCATGTTCTTGAACCGCGTGACATCATACACTTTCGCGTCGATGATAATCCACTATGACAGGAGCCAACAATTACTGGTTAGTCTTCCCCCCAGTGAAGTAAATCTGAAAGGTGCATACCAAATCGTCCGGTTTGTTATGCTATACAACCAGGGGCTCCTCTCAGCATTTGGGGTGTCATATTCTGAGTCTGACTATGTACGAACCTGTGCAACCTCCTCTCGAGTAAACTCCTTCAACTGTTTCGTGGCCATGTTTAAAATATGTTCAGCGAAACCGAGAGAATTTGGAGAGGAAGGTGGGGAGATGAAATGGAGAGCAGGCTATAAGCTGGACGTTATTATCACATGGGCGGTTAACTCATCATCGGGCAATAGTTCGGGCTCAAGCAGAACCGAATTTCGGGCCCTGTGATTGGCCGCTTGCGTTTACTTCCGTTCCCCGTTGCGGGGGATGCTCACTACGGAAAGTCTGCCCAGAGTCTGCCCATGGGGAAGTTGCGCCACAATGTATTTAACTATGTATCCTCTACGAAAACAAGCTACATCGTATTCATAACAAGCTCCCGTAAATATGCCGCGTCCTGAAGAAACGTTCTCAAGGCTCTCGAAGCCGCCAAAAGCCTGTGCAGATAGGTACCAGTGCGGAAATTACATTGCGATCTGCCAAACACGAAACGCAAAGTGGTACGATGGGCTATGCTTCCAAGAGACAAAGTCAAGGACAGTTTATTGCAGGTGTAACGAGCGATAACTCACAGACAGACTTCGACTTCGATGTACCTACTACCTAAAAACAACCGACGTGGATCATTCATCTTCAGCGTCTAATACATCGTCTGGGCCAGCAAAGAGACATGGTCCTGCAATGACGCGGGAGTGAACAACTTCAGTATTAGCCCGTCCAAGGGTCGACTTTTGCGGCGTTTGGTTCAGGAGGACTGCAGAAGGTGAATGTGATCGAAGTGAGTCTGGAGCTTTTCCGGCATGCGAAGTACCCGAGGTGATGACAGGAAGCGTATTCGGCGGTGAGCTTATTGGTGCGCTAAAGGGCGGAAAAGATCCACGAAACGGATCGACAAGGTTAAGTGACGCCTGTGCCGCATAGAGTTGCTTGTGCAACATCGGCAGGTCAAACATATCGAGATGAGGAGATGATGGAGAACAAGGCGGAAAGTCAAAGCTTGAGTGAGCAAGAGATGTTATTCCGATATCAGGAAGAAGGTTACGGAGTGATGAAGGTTGAGTAAAAGGCGAGGTCGGCGGAAGGTTAATTCGAGATGGGAAGGAAGTCCGAACGTCTAGAATGGGAAGTGGATCTCCTGCATTGCCGATAGTACCTGTAGCAGATGGGGTAATAGCGCGATTATTGAGGCGAGCCGGGAAGTTAGTTGTGAAAGGTTGTTGAGGTTGCGACCCGTCGTGAGTAGAATACGTCGCGTTATAATCCAAAGCGTTTTCTTCGTCATCAGAGTTTGTTTCCCAAGCGAGATTGGGTACTTCGATTTCAAGCCCAATAGATCTTGCGTCCGAAGTTCCTATTGCTGGACAGAATGAAGGCTGGTCGATGTAGCCAACACCTCGCCGACCTGTTACAAATTTCAGCAGAGAGATATCATGGAAAGAGGGCAGCATTGATCTTGAGGTGACATGAGTGTGAGTAGGTACGATTCTCGATTTTACACTCTCCCATGTATCGGCATTGGAGTCGAAGAGTTGACCTTGTGATATATCCCAAAGACTTTCTTCGGTGTGAGCGTCAGAAACTGAGGAAGCATGAGACGGAGGTCGAGTGCCGGAACCCCGAAGGCCGATGGAGGCAACAAACCGATCGCTAGGCTGCTCAGACGATGCAGAAGCAAACAAAGCAGGAATCTGGGGAGAGAGTGTGAAATCAGGAGAAGCAAGCGTTGTGCCCGAAGGAGAGTTGGGTGAGCCATGTTGTGGGTTCTCGTCCATAGCGCCTGAGTTTGAGCTAGCGTGAGGAGATAAACTCGTCGGTGAAACGCGTTCCAGACTCCAATTTAAAGAAGTATCCGAGGGACCAGAAGCCCGACCAGCATTTGTTTCTGCATTCGAGGACGAACGAGCATTGGGCGAAGATGAGAATTGGCCGTCAGAATTGTTTATGGTTGAATTCTTATCAGCGTTGACAGGTGAGAACACTTCAGCATAGCCAGAATCCGGGAAAGAATAGTCGTCGCGATCGCCGTCAAACGGCATGGGTTCGAAATCCGAAGTTGTACGCGAAAAGGCAAGACGAGAGGAGGTAGAAGGTGTACCCCAGCTTGGAGAGTAATCACCCTTCGGAGCTAGAGGAAAGTCAGAGTTGAGTAGCTGCAGAAAAGAAAACGAACCCCACAGAAGGTATCTGAAGGGCCGCTATTCTCATTCGATACAGGTGATCTGCGTCGATCTTCGAAGGGAGCGGCAGGGGATTGGAGAGCATATTCCTTAAGTTTTGGAGGCTCTGTGCGCCTTCTCTTCGAGGGATTTGTTACATAGTTCCGCGACAACCCCGCCAAGTCCGGAATGACACGCATACGATCCATTTCCGCACGAAGCGAGATGGCTGAGTAGGTATACCAAGGTAACGAGGTTGAGCAGCATAAGTATATGCATTTCAGAACGTACGTTCTGATAAGTCCAAATCGCGCAAGATAACTGAAGAACGCTTGGGCGGTTTGGGGTCCTCGGGGAAAGCATACAGTGGATAAGTGGAGTAGCCAGAAAAATGGGACTTGTCGTGAAACATATTGGATTTACTTTGCGGAGGTGTGATGGGTGGGGAATATACAGAGAAAGCGGCAGATCTCAAGTGAGTTTTCTGGGCATGACGAACAGAAGGATCTTGCTGTGCATGTGCTAGCGAGATTCTAGCGATTGGGTTGCTACTGAGATCGCATCTGTTTGCAGTCAGAGTCGCTGGTTTGCTAAGGCTTGTAGCAAGAATTTTCTGTTTGCCAAAGTGGTTTCGTTGAGCCTTTGCTGTGGTGTCCTTCGAACGAGCTTTCGCGTAGTTTCTGGGTGTAGTCAGTCGTTCAGTCGAATGGCGGCTTAGGTGAAGTTGGACTAGAGAACGTACCGTCTACCTCCCATATAGTTTGCACCAGCCATCTTTGTTGAGCAAGATATATTCCTTTGTGATGAGATTGAAGATGGTGGGTGTATGCGTTGCCTACAGAGATTTGAGATGGTGGTGGAACTCAAAAAGCCCAACTGATCATGGGCGCTTACATTCACCTGTAATAGATCTATAGCAATTACCGTTCACCTCCTGCCACGACATTGACACGGTCAAGCTACAGGGTCCCATTCCTCCCTTCGGAATTTTTATTCTGAGTTGGAAATGGATGAAGAAGACGATATTGGGCTAACGAATCTCAGTTCACGAAGCTTTGGTACCGCTATGCACACCCCTCCTCGACGCTCACGACCCTCCCTTATTAAAATATCTCGACATTCTAGTACCCATAGCCCGCTTAAGTCGCCTTCATCTCCAAGTCTCTCCAAAGACTTCCAATCTGGTGCTGCGTCTTCACGTAGACTGTCCAGGTCAAACACATTACCGAAGTTGGCAACCGAACACGGGGAGTTTAGCTTGGAGACCTTCGGTTTGGAGAATCTCGCTATGGGAAATGACAAAGTTGTAAAGCTCAGAAGGTGGATACATGCACTGGCTATAGGTCTGTTCATTTGGCATTATTCTCTATGTATTCATGTCGATCAGCGCCCTTATGATGTGATTCAGTCGATTTCGATTTGGAGTATGGACCGAAGATCACAAAATTATACCCTGCGTTGATACTCAGCCCTTCCGAGTCTGAAAATGTGTAGGTGCCAACAGGGTTTGCGATGAAGTTTCTGGCCAACGTTATCATTTATAGAGCATTTTTGTCATTCCCTGATGCACCTCAAACTGAAGAAGGATCATATCTTCATTCGTTCCGGATACGACACAATAATCCGGGGGAGGACAAACTACTGCGATCAGATGGTGACCGGCCCCACTCTGTTGACGGCTTCGTGTACGGATTTTCACATTTCACGCAACGAAGAGATTCCTCTTCAAAACGTGGGTATCAGCAAGTATGTGAAATATTTGGATGAAGCATGAACAATGTTGTGACACCCCTTATACAGCGTTCCCTCGTTATTTTGACTCAACATCCATACCCCTCCTTATATTATACCCTATTATCTCATCTCGGACGATCATTCCTTCTGCATGGTGGACCTATGTTAGAGGTTGCCTGCCATAATATTGCAAACTGGTGAGGTAATGCTTATTTTGATTGTAGTCTACATTTGACTGACTCGACCGAAAAGAAGGCCAGATCCACTTCCAGGATCGACAATCGAACTTGGTTTTCTTGGCTCCGTATTCAATGCGGAGCTACCAGGTTCAGTAGACTCGCCTCAGGCACAAGGTGCAATTGTGACATTAAATGATTACGATCAGGAGACACGAGTAAGTTTGGATTTCCGTAAGTCCTCCCGCTCCAGTGTGTTAATCAAATACTACAGATATTCGCGTCTGTACCTCCTCCGCATCCACCCATTATTGCTGCTTTTGAGGCTTGCATGCCACATTTATGGTCGATCTGGGAATGTCTTGTCCTATGTGAGCCAATCCTGGTTTACGGGCCTTCTGCAGCTATGGTCAGCCAAGCTATATGGTGGCTTCGAGATATTTTAAGACCCGTTCGTTTGACCCTTCTTTCTTTGAATTTCATTCCGCTCAAGATTGTCTAGATCCCGCTGACTGGCGACTTCCGCCCATTCCTCACAATTCATGATGTTGATTACACGACATTTGTGAATCCTCGGCTCCCTCAGTCGGGCGTCATATTAGGTGTCACGAATCCACTTATCGAACGGGCTTGTAAACACTGGCCGCATATCGTCAGTCTTGGTTCCTCTCGGTACGTTGCTTGACATCACCTCCTCTTCTGCTCAACATAGCTTATAAGCCTGAAGGAGTAACAAGGCACAAACACCACGTACTCCTCGTACGCCTTGGACACCAGTTGATATGTCCAGCGTGTTCTCCGCTGGTCCTGCCCCCGGATGGAAATCCAAAACCCACAAGAGGTACATTTCACGAGACCAAGCATTACTCAAGCGATGCCAGGAAGCGTGTGTAAGGGGTGACCTTCGAGCCAGTAAGATCTCTCCATGGTATTTGAACCCGAAACGATTCTCAACATATCTATCCCTTTGCTAGAGATTGAGGCTTCGAATGCGTTACGGCAGCATTTTTCACAACGTACTACAGCTTTGTTGGTGCCTCTCCAACGGTACCTTAATACCCTCATTCCTACTCCTTCCGAGTCTGCAACGGTGGCAAACTTTCCTGCATTCCCTTCCCTCTCCACCTCCTCTCTGGCAACGTCCGGATCAGCGAGCTTGTTACCGCCTTCTCCGTCATCGGTAGCCCCGACATCGTCATCGACTTCCTCTCTAACCACAGATCCTGCTTCGTCTTCTTCCTCTCCTGTCAACGCCCGTCCTCCGACCTCAACCTCATTGACTCGACTGCATACGCCGTCACCTCAAATTCCACACCACAGCGGGCTCCGTCTCAAAGCGTTCTCTACTGCTGCCTTCCTCGCTTCACTTTCTCGGTCTTCGTCGAGTGCCACTCCTCATCCACCGAGTGTGCTGCCGTTTAAGAGTACATCGAAGCAAAAGGAGTTTTACGAGCGATGGTTGAGGACGAGAGCATTTGGAGTTTGGATTGGCGAGCAGGAGGAGGTCGTGAAGGGAGTGTTGGAGAAGAGGGTTTATGAACTCTGACCTGTGAGTTCTGACAGTGTTTACAAATTCTATGGCCTTCAATACCCGTGTTCGGCGACCTGCTCCCGGCTTGCATTATGCGCTACTCAGCTATAATATTGTTGACTTGATAAACTCCTGCTATGGACTTGACAGCTCTTACTAAAGTCCATTCTTGGTTTGTGACATGACTCTGTTACTCTCAGTCTAGGTATCGATTTTTAGGTTTCATTCCGCCTGAACTCGGCGTATTTGCGGTCGCCACCAACCGCCGCTCAAATCAAGTACGCGGTAATTGGCATACAGAAGGGAAGCCTGTTACTTTGGAAAAGCGAGGGGCATCGATTGCGGTCGGACGCAACGGGCACGTCGATGGCTCGAACGCACCCGTCCCAGTGGCCTCTGCTCGCGGCAGTTGGCTGCCTGCTGTTGAAGCTGTCTCTACCATGGAGGAGGCTTAGAAGAGAGTTCTTATATGAGAGAAGTTGGAGATTTTAGTAACGAAGGATCGTTTCATACGGATACCAACGAATGCTGAATAACCCTCATTATTATTGCTATTAGCTTTTTGGAGAGTCATATTGACATCTTTGATATATCCTCGAATTCGAGTCCTGGGAGCTTTCTGAATATAAGCGAAGATTTCTTCCGATACCAACGCTGACCAGCTAGGCCTCGGTCCCCTGTAAAGTAAATAGGATATTTCTGGCTCCTTGTTGCACATATTCCTTGCAGTATTTCAATCTTGGACGCATAGACATTGTGACGGAGCTTGAGATGAGCACGTTCAAAGTCTCTGATTGATCGATCACCATAACTTGAACTTGGTTCATGACTGGTTCATGCCATCAACTGCAGGCTCGAGGAGAGCATGTCAGGTCGACGTTGCGCATTTGACACCAACATTCTGGGCGTAACGTAAGTTGTAACCTCATACATCACTCATGATTCAGTATGCAGCGAACATTGACTCCCAGATAGCCCCATGCATGGCCATGTCAGTAACATTACCTTCTGAACTCGTCGACAGGGTCATCGATCATCTTCAAACCGACAAGCCATCTCTATTTGCGTGCTCTCTGGTTTGCAAGCTTTGGCAAGTTCGAAGTCGCTACCACCTCTTCCGGCGAGTGCGCGCAGATCCAGTGCCCCCCGACGAGGATAACGGCCCATGGCAAATGGTCCCGCCTTTCCCGGAAGACATATTGCATTTGTTCTTTTACACAGAGGAACTCTATCTATCTCACTACCACGATGGTTTCTCTTCGCAATGGCTGGACGCTACTCTTCGGCATATGCCTCGCTTGCAATCGCTTACCTTAGATATTTCGTATTGGCGCATGGACGATACATCCATCTCTTTCGTCTATCCTTCCATCCATACGTTGTCACTGCTCCATGTCAAACTGGGTTATGATCAGGATGATGAACACGTGTCCCGCAAGCTCTTTCATATATTTCCCTCTCTCCGTCACCTTAGCATTCTGGGATACCCTCCATTCGGCGACTTGCACCCTGATATTCCGTCATCATTTCCTAACTCATTGTCATTGGAATCGTATTCCGGGGATGATGGAAGCAGTGAAATCTCTATTTTTTTCCTCCAGCGACTGCGGTTAACTTCCTCACTTGATTCGTTGGTTCACTTGGCACATGGGCACTATCGAAGATCCCGACTTAATTCACACACTTGAGACTCTTGACCCACGTATCAAGAAAAACCTCCGCTCTTTTCGTGCCGGAGTGAACGATGCACAGCTCACTGAAGGTAATTTACATTGTCCGAGATGATCACGACAACTGACAACGATGTACGTCAGGATGGAGCGCACTGTCACTCCATGACTTTACTTCAGTCACATCTGTCACCGTCTTGATGCCCGGATGGCACGTTCTGGTACCACATTACCGCGCTTTTTTCTCATTTCCGACGTCTGTGAAAAAGGTCATATTTCAATTTACGACCCTTCCCTGGCAGTGGTCCGGGGACGCTGCCGATGCGAATGTGTGGGAGGAGTTGGAGAATATGGCACTCCAGATGAAGAGCTTACGTTATCTTGAGTTCACTATTAACTGTGACGCACGGATACACCTATCTTCTTTGCCTATCACGGCGGTAAACGCCCAGTTGCGCAGGCATATGCCCATTTTGAATGAAAAGGATTTATTGCAAAATTCGTGGTTGGTGATCTCTACACTGGCAATGTCTGCATTGCTTATTGGGATTCATTCTACAGGCTTTTCACACTTCCTCAAACTTCATGTTGACTGGCATCTCAACTCCAATGGTCACATTTGTGAAAAAATTATCTAAGGTAAACGTCAAGGTTAGGGTGAACAGAAGGAAATGCATGGATAACGTACAAATAACGTACTGTATATACCAGCCGCCAGCACACTCATAGCCCTCTCACAGGCCTGCAATGGGGACCGTAAACACCGGTGGGCAAAAGAACGTAGCACTTGGGAATAAGTACTCAACGTTACGCTATGTTTCAACCACCACTTCCGATTCTCTCTTTCTTTCTTTCTTTCTTTCTTTCTTTCTTTCTCTCTTTCTTTCTTTCTTTCTTTCTTTCTTTCTTTCTTTCTTTCTTTCTTTCTTTCTTTCTTTCTTTTATCAGTATTGTACTGAAAGCAACCTGTTCTTCCTACATTGGTATGCATTTTCCATCACATGAGGCCCATATCATTTGAATTGACCAGTTATCAATTCAAATGATATGCAGTCGAGCCAATTTGACTGGAGGCTGGCATGCCAGCCTCCAGGGCATATAATCCTCCGCCCCCGCGTTCTATGACTCCATTGCTCATTCTTCCCTCCAGTCACCTCCCCCGCATCAATCCCACCTTCAAGCAAACCCGCCTTCGAGCAATTCACTCGCTTTCCCCGCAAATGTCTTCACACATGGCTATTCCTGCTTTAGTCCAACCTGTTAAGGTGAACTTGTTCTCCAAGATAGTCGCAAACATCAAGAACCACGCTCGCACATCACATTCGAAGAGACTGTCGAAGCTCCGTCCACTCCGTCTTCCCGCCGAGGTCGCTAAGAAGGAGGCCGCCAAGAAGGCGAAGCTCGAGAAGCCCAACGTGTGGCAGCGCGTGAAGAAGGTCCCTGAGGTATGCATCGTTGACTTCCACCTTTCACGATTTTGCAGTGGCTGACAATACATTGCGCAGACTATCAAGGAAAAGCTTTCCAAGAAGAGACCCGTCAAGGTCGATGATGTCGCAGAGGTCGAAACGCCTTCGCCCGTCATCGCCGTCGACGAGGCGCTCAAGCAATTCCAGGTATCTTCCTCTCTGTTCAAGGATGATGACTATGAGTACCAAGATGACGACGAGGACGACGACGAGCCGCTCCTCGAGACAGAGCCTCTGCCTATCTTGAATTCCACTGCTGGCTGGGACCTGTCAGCCACTTGGAAGACAAAGATCACCGAGCACGCTTATCCGACCATCGAGACGGTCCAAATTCCAACGAGCCCGCTTTGCGCAGTGATCGAGCAATGGGGCGAATGGAATGAGGGCACCGACTCGGAGGTGTCTAGCATCGATTCCGAGGAACTCCTTACACCTGAAGGGTCTCCCATCCTAGGCTGCAATGAGCTTCCATGTGTTCCGGTGAAGGCGGGCGTTGTTGAGTGCGAGGACACCCCGTACGGCCAGGATGTCCCTGAGTCCCGGATGCCAGCCGCTCGCGTGGTGAGGGAACTGGAGTACCGTCAAGCCTCTCCAACGATCACTTATGCGCCTCGTTTCATGCCTAAGTCCACCACTGTGAACATCTCCTGGGCATACGGATGCAAGTTCAGCGTCGATGCTGCTCCCCTTGTTCGCAAGTCGACCAATGTTGTCGAGGTCGGCTGTGAGGCCCTCAAGCGTACCACTCGCGGCACTCGCAAGGGCAAGGAGAATGCGCCTGGTGGACCAGTCCTCGCGCTCTCTCAGTGAACGTTCTCGGAACCGATCTCTTTCACCGTCAATCTTCCCCCTTAGCATGGACCTTCCTATTCGTTGTTATTTCGACTCTTCGTTTCAATTGCAAGTACTTTCTCGACCTCAAATTCAAGAAACCCACAACGCCACTCTCTATCTCAAGCTCTATACTTCTATCTCAATCTCGTCTCAGCTCTACTCTCTTAATATCTAATCTACCATCGTCTGGTCTTCAAGCCTTCGCATCGTTCTTCTCGCTCGTCATTTCACTTCGACTTTACGCCTCTCGCCTAATCGCCTCGCTATTTCCATACACGAAACTTCCATACACGAGAATGCTCTAATTCTATTATTCTGCTTTATCTCGATTTCTTCTCGGCCCTCATTGGTTTTATTCATCTCTATCTCTATCTCTATCTCTCTGCCTCGTTCACCTAATACTGCATTGTCGAATCATCAAGCATGCGAGGCCGTTTACAACTCGCCGCCATTCGACTTCGCCTTCCCCTTCGCGTTTATGTCCTCCTCTCTCGCTATTTCTTGCAAATTTGCAACGGTCAACGAACTCATATGGACTCGGATCTATGGACACACTTATACTTCTCTGGAACTTCTCCCTCGACTCAAGACTTACTCGCTACCACGACTCGGTTCTACATCCTCTGGCTCTGATCTTTTCCCCTTGCTCATGGCCACCAACCGTGATTCTACCACGCTACTGGCTTCTGCTTGCTCGTACTCTTCTGGCATCTCTCTTGACGGTGGATTTCAAGTGACTGTTGTAAGTTCACTTTCTTAGTATCATTGAACTTGTTGTATATTGAATTCCTCTCAGTCTTAGTCTGGCGGTTCTTCCAGGCTTTCCAACACGTCCATCCACTGTCGCACTCCACTCCACTCCCCATCCCCTTTCACTTCCCTTTTTTGTTTCAAAGTCCTCCTCATGGACGATGAACCTCACATAAGACTTCGCTTCTGCTCAACGAGCCTCCTCCCCCTAGGCCCTCTAGGAGACCACGAGAACTCCAGACTATCGTCAACCCTAGTCCTACCTCTCACCGGCTCATTGCACAGACTCGAAGTCTTCTTCCCTCTTTCACTCCCCATTTCAAAGTCCTCTCCCGGGACGATAACATCCTCCGCATTCGGGACCTAGCGGCAACCAGAATCTTGATACGCGAGAACATGTAAACACAAGGAGACTTCTCGTCGATGAGCCTGGACCTGGACTTTTGTTCGGGTCACAGTTGCTCGCGACGGGTTGCGCTTGCTGAGGAGCCTGGATCTAGACTTTTGTTTGGATCACAGTTGCTCGCAGCAAGTTATGCTTCTGTGTCTATTTCGAAGTGCCCCGCTGCTAAGTGGGTGGCCCACGTTCTTTTTCGAGATTTTGGTTGCGGTATAGCGTGCATGTTACATGCATGAGGTGAGTAATGTTCTACTTCATTTTGTGTAGTTGGCAGAGCTGAATATTGGTTTCGCGTTGCAGTGTTCCAGAGATATGCTAGATTAGTGTAGGTTAGTCGTAGGTTAGCAGTAGAGTAGTTGATCGGGTGGAGGTTACGAACGACGGACTGGTGACGATGTCCGTGGATGGAGAGTCGAGTAGTGAATGCGGGATAGTTGCGAGTTGATGTTCAAGTTCCATAGAAGTGTCTTATGTGTCCATGTCCCTAATCCATATTGAGTTCATTCACTGTTCAATTCCGTATCATGCACGTCTCGCCAACTCGAACTCCAGTCAACGTCGCCATCATCGCACGGAACAAGCAAACGACCAAAGAGGCAAGAGTCAAGAATCAAATTAATCAAAGTCAAGCGTAAAAAGCTAGCAGTTAAAAGCACACGGTCTGCAAACTTTGGCACTCAACTAGCCGCTTCCAACTCTTTCATGAAGTGCATCTCCGGAGCACTGCAAACAGCCCCTTGCCACCACTTTCAGATAATATCTCGTGGTTCTTGCAAGACAGGTCACACCTCAGAGTTTACCGCAAAAGCTTCACAGATCGGGCATTAATGGCACATAGGATCGGATCTCAAAATGCAAAATTTCGGGCATTCAACCTGCAGCTGAGAAATCCAAAAAAAAATTGCAAAATTCGGGCATGCCAACCTACAGGGGGTCTTGCTTTTAGGCTGGAGACGGCAACTTCAACACTGAATCATACCATTTTCTTCCTCAATCTACAAGGTGGTACTTGCTAACGTCACCGTGGATTCTGGACAAATATCTGCTGTCTCGTGCTTGAACATTTCTATACTGACCAGCCATGTGACATCCCTTTGGAACTAGTATGTCCGCTTCAATGGAAAGCTTATGACCAGCTACTCTCACCCTCCATTCAATTCGGGTCCTAGACGTCGGGTGTATTCACGATCCTGAGATGATCTTGGCGATACGGGACCTTGACCCTGTCATCAAGCGGAACCTAGCCGCCTTCCGAATAGGCTTGTATCCTTTGGAGATGAGAGAAGGACGTTTAGAGTTCTACCACTTCCCTACAAGTGAGTCCTGATGTGTCTAGTGTTAATGACCTAGATATATACTCACATTGGTCGCATCTCAGGCCCTTGGAGGCTATCGACATACCAGCTTTCACGTGGTTCTCAATTATCATTCCCTAGCATCCCTCGATGACACTATACGTTAGCGTTTTCGAACTTCTTCCAGCAACAGTGCGCGAGATCACGTTTGACAGGCCTGATGCGATACTTTGTGACCTGGGGCCTGTATGGAGACCTCTAGATCCACTCCAATCCCGATGTCCACAACTTGAGCGCGTGACAGTTGAGCGCGTGTGTCTCAAGCACTCGAACATCGCCGTATGCGACAGGCCAGAAGGTGTTCTGATGGTCTGGCCCAACCCGATGCGAACAATGTTCTGCGAGCGTATGCCGACCTTGAATGCGAAAGGCATATTGGACTTCCCTGCTTCTGATGATCTCTGAGGCCTGTTGTATGTCTACTTGTGGCACACATATCCCGGTTTCAAGTGGGATTTTCTCTAGGCTTCGCAACATTACAGAGCATGTTTGAAAGCTTTGTACCTACTGCCATGGCACTACTGCGACAAATTGTTTGATTAATTTGTACTATTCTCATTCTTGTTAATTGACATACATGTATACATTATTGACCTCATTCTATGTTGGGCTACTCTCATTTCAGAGAGACGACAAAAGCTTACGCCTAAGGCCTGAGTCCCAACTTGAATAACGCGCTGACTCGGAACGCCTCGCGGAAGTGGACGCGAATCCCACACGTGATCGTGCCTTGATCTAATCCCGTGCCGTCGTTCTTGCGTGCTTCGAATCCGCTGCTGTCTTCCGTATTCTCAGTTTTGCTCTCTGCTCTGTGTTTGGTTTCCTTGGACGCAGTGGGGTGTACTTATAAGTGGCCAAAGCCCTGACAATAAAGCTTGAGCCTGAAGTGACACCAGAAAAAAAACGATGTCGGAACAGTTAGACTCCCATGAAGAGGAACTCCTGCAGGTGAGTTGAGGTGTTAACCTGACGTTATGAGAGCTACATTTTATATGCTTTCGAACCGTATTGATAGACTGATATTGATTGCGCTTATAGGCTGCTCTGAACAACTCGTTCGGATCTTCTTCATTGCCTGCGCTGCCGGTAGTTGAACCAACGCCGCCTCCAGCTACAGCGCCAGCAGCTACAGAACCGGCTCCTGCGGCAAGTGAGGAAACTACTCCTGGTTCGTCTTCGTCGAACCCAGCTGAAGAAGCATGGAAGGCTGAGTACGAGGCTCTCCAAGCGTCATGGAAGAAGGACAGCGCAGAGCAGAGGGCTCAAGCTGAGGCTCGGCGAAAGAAGTGGGAAGAAATCAGGGCGAGAGAAGCCCAGGAGAGAAAGGAGCGCGGTGAGCCTGAGGAGAATGTTACTGGAAGCGGGTGGGTTGGTGTGAGTAACAGTGCAAGCAGTACGCTTCCGCCGAGTACTAGTGAGACGACTGAGACTAGTCCGGTTGATGCAAGGGATTTGGTTAGTGGGGAGGGTCAGGGTGGAAAGACGAAGGAAGAGCTTGAGGTAATTGTGCTTTTCCGTTTGTGCATAATCCATGCCTGAGCTAATTGTTGGGAATGCAGGCTATCCTGCCCGGTTCGGCTGAGCCGTCCCCGCCCGAATCTGGCAGTCATGATCGCCATGCCTCAGAACCAGAGTCCTCGAATCACGAAAAGTGGGAAAATGTCTCGTCCTCGGTCACGTCTTCCTATCCTTCAATGTCATTCCCATCGGACCCGCACTCACCTTCGTCAACACACCATCCTCATTTGCACCCTGAACATCACGACGAGCATCATCTTCATCATCACCCTCCTCATCATCACGGCCACCATGACCACGCGGAAACGACTAGCCCTACTTTTGCCGTCTTCGACTCTAGATTGAGCCGCAAGACACGAGTGTTGGCTTTATTGTCAAGTTTGGCTATTAACCTGTTCCTGCCGTTTGTTAATGGTGTTATGTTGGGTTTCGGAGAGATCTTTGCACGGAACGTCGTGGTGGGCTGGTTTGGATGGAAGGTACCTGGACAGAGACCGGGCAGTGCAGCTGCTAGTGTTGGACTCGGAAGATCTAGAGAGAAGAGACCGTGAATATAGTACCAGAAAGCAGGATTTTATTCCTATTCTATGCTACTATAGATTGAATCATTTCTTGTTCTCTCCACCTCCAGTTCTGATGTGGCACGTCGACTTCCATATTGGTACGTATTGTTCCAAATCAAGCTATGGCATCTGGAATAACACATGTAAGCGCCGTCGTAGTGATTTCCCCATCTCTTTCCTGCAGAACATTGTGGCCACCAACCCCACCCCCCACGAGAGAAATCGTCGTCATTCAAAGTCCACTTTTTCTTGAGAACATTCTTGAAGATATGCCTAAATTCGTTGAAGTCACTAAGTTGTGCTTCGATTATAGATCATCGTAAATAGATGACGCACAGTCACCACAATATTGTAATTTATCGCCGGTCATGGTGGATAGTAATGACGAAAGATATTAGGTCATCCTACCCACCACTGCGCTATATAAACTCGAGCATGTTGCATGGAGTCCTCAGACCACAGATTCTCTTTCGCTGCACTTGACGATCAGCCATCACAACCAATACAACTCGAACCACAATGTCTTACAACGTACGCTTTCTTTTCAATCCATCTTCGAAATTCGTTCTAACCATCTTACCTACAGGAAGGCGATAAGGTTGAATACCGCCCCATTGGTGGTAAGCATCCCCAAGTAGTACTGACTGCAGCACGAGCATGACTCGACGTTGTCCAGGTGGAAACGACAATGTCTCTACCACTACTGGCACGATAACCGAGGTCGAAGCTGCCGACGGCGGATCGACACGATACACCATAAAGAATGACAGTACTGGCAAAGAGACCAGTAACTACCAGGTCTGTACTGTATATTCTGTTGTTCGCATTTTCCTGAAGCTGACGATCTGCATATGCACTGCAGGAGAAGAACATTGTTGGAAAGGCCTAAATTCTAGTCACATCGCGTTGTCGTTATCCCAGAAGTTAGAATGTAGCCGTATCACCGTCTTTTGTATTTTTGACCGCATACACTCCGTCGCAGCCGTTGGAATGGTATGTGCAAAAGAAGCTCTGCAACAACTCCGACTTTGAGAGAAAAAAGACCGGTAAGAAAGCATACATCAACGAAATCCCGCAGTGACACCAGGAGTATGAACTCGGACAACTTCTGGATCCTGTATGCGCACCACACGCCCATGATTACAATATACCGCGGGCTCCCGCGAATCGCCTTGTCGACAAAAACCAGAACATCAATAAATTCCTCTCCGCAGCACGTGGTAAACGGCGACGAAGTCGCTCTTGTGCATGCTCGCTCATCACATCATTCTCGTCTCCCGTGATGTTTACAGTCAAGAATCGCACAGACTCTAGGTTCGTATATTGTGGTATTGCATCATCAAATACGCCCCAAAATCGCTCCGTTCGAGATGTCATTGAAGTCATATCCGGTCCTTCGAATTCCACGGTTAGAGTTTTGAGAGAAGGCGGCAGTGCATAAGATATATGCATGTATGCCCCACTCTGGTATCATGAACGTAAAAGAGTCGAGCATCGTGAATGTGGTGATAAACTCTCGCAGGCGGACACCATCGGACAATTCCAACGATGACGAGTCCAGAAGGTGAATTTCGGACAGATGTGGGAACTAACGGAGAAGCCTCGACGGACGATAATCGGAAGGAACGGAATAATCCAAGCGAACACATTTGAGAACTAATTCACGGACAGGAAGGTCGCGGTCGAGGTCCGATGACGATTCTGCATTGAACCGCGAGACAATATTATGTATGACCAGTGTTTGTGACCGAGACATACCTTGCACAGTGGCGAGGGTTCTGCGCAACGATGTCGTATGTCCATGACCGGAGAGGTAGAGTTCTTCCGTATCAGCACATTTGGAACTAGTTCTTCCTCGATGACGTAGACGAGATCCTCGGACGCAAATCGGCGAAGCATATAACCCAAATCTAGGCTGACCCTTCGAAGAAAATGGAAGCGGCATCGTGGACGCCATATTCTTGAGAGTTGTTAGCTTACAGATAATGAAAGTTTGTCGATCGTCTCCCAGATGATCCACGATTCTATAAATTAACTCTGCTGGCAATTTGAAGCAGAAATCGTGTAAACCCTGCAAAGGAGGGTGCGCTCCTTGGACGTCAACTAGAAAGGTGAGCTAACTAATAATTCATGTAGACTGAATTGGATTTGAGCTTATACTTACAAGGGACTAATAAGGAATCTACCATCCGGCCCTGAGCGATTCAAGTTGACAAAGCCTGGAGGTGTACGCAAGGGTTAGACTTCGAGAATTCTTAAGCTTCGTCTTCAGTACTGATCGATTCAGCCTCAGAGCGACTAGAAGCAGACGTCAGAAACGACTGAGAAGCTCCTACAAGCTTCGTAAGGTGTCTCCCTAAAGAACATAAGTTAGCATTGACTGAGGAGGCTTGCGGGTAGTCAATCCGACAACGACGGACGAGGTCCGTACGCCTTAATGACCGTGCCTGAGTCCAAATAGAAGGTGTGTTGGAACTAAGGAGCCTGGGGAATACGTACTTGAGATGGAAGCATTAGAATGACATATGTCAGTTCATGTAAAACTTAAAATCGTGGGTTGGTGAACGAATACTATAACTTCTGGGGACTCACATGCTTGTCGTTAGAACGCAACCCTAGAATATAGCCTCCCATGTCACCAACAATGTCCTCACGTCCTGTTGACAACGGCTCAACGTGAGTGAAAACCATCAGCATGATCGATCGGTACTGTTATAGCCGTATTCAAGAACTACACTTTCTACCTACCGTCAATGAGTCCCGATAGACCATGTATGAGAATGCCAATGCAAAGTTCAAAGGACTTGGATTTTACAGTAGCGAATGAGGAAATAGTCTTGAGCTGACATGAAGAGACGCTACCACACGGGCCACAAACGTCCCTCTGCAGTATATGCCATAAAAATGACGGACTAATTTGGACTCGGACCAGCGAAGAGCCCCCATAGCATTCGTCTGGCCGCTAAGGTCGGGATACGCTCACGGAGTACAAGAGACGCCTCTTCGGACCAAGGTGTCCACTCATTGTATCCCAGCCTACCATCGGAGTGGTTTGGGTCCAAGTACCGTTGCTGGAGAGTTACCCATTCAAGCTGCGGGCAACGAGATTGCAGCCGATCTAAAGGCTCCCATACATCCGAGCCTGGATTAAGCACGGTGTCCTCGGATCCCCCTCCATCATTAAGATACAGTTCTACTCTGACATAGCGCACTGTTGCAGGTACGAAGTCGAAAGCACGGATGTCGCACCCCATATCAGGTCCAACGGGAATGATAATGGCAATCGAGCTAAGAGATGTGAAAGACGAGAAATCGATACCATCCCAAGGGTCTGTAAACATGGCGCTACATGAGGGGAAAAAATTGATACTAGGAACATGGGAACTTACTTATTTCTTGGGACCTGAGCACAACAAGGTCCTCCGTTTGATCGAATATTGTACGGAAGCCTATTCGGAACGATTTGAGGTTCCGTTTGATTAGAGGGTCAAGGTTCCACATTGTCGCCATCATATCTGGCTTGTTGATATACGCCACATCTAAGGTTGTCAGCGGATGAGTTGTGCTTACGTGCTTCAAGCCCGCTATAAGTCTTGTATCGCTTAAGTAAATCGTCAAAGAATTAAGTGCGAGATGCGGAGGATAGGTATCCAGCGGGCTATCGTGGTTGATTATCGTTAGGCTAAAAGTCATAAAAGATTGAACGTTCGGGAGAAGACAAAAAAGGTCATAGATCGTCTGCGCAGAACTCGCGTTGAGAGTGTAGAGTCTCACGTTGTGGACTGAGGGATGAACGTGACATGATCGGGTATCCGAGTCGCCGTCTGCAGAACCTAAAAATACAAAGTTGGCAAGGATGAAGCATTGTAGAGATGGCATGCAGAGGAGAAGGGCATCGAGCTGGATCCATGTGAGACGATGCATTGTTTCGCCTAACAGAGTGAAGAGTTCGGTGTTGGCGCAGAGATGTGAGGCCTCTTGTAAAAATTGCGAAATGGTATCCGGAAACTGTGGAGAGGTGACGTAGTTCATGCTTGGTAAAGTTGAAAACGAGACATTGTGTCCTGGCAAAACATTTACAGTGTCAAAATTGAATCTTGATCATGTCTTTGAGAAGCTGCGGTAAATGCCTTCAAAAAACAGTCCTGCTTGGCGTATGTGTCTCGTTTCCTAATGAAACTTATTGTCAGAAACATCATGCACTGGCCCTCCAAGTAAGTACTAGGATTTACTCACACTGAAAGATGGCGTGGTCAAACGATTAGTGGAATTGTTCCGTTCCAATTCCAGAATTGTTTACTAGCATTGATACTTGTTCGAATTTCAAGCTAACGCTTTTTGAGAGAATGGGATAGAATGTTAGAGGCTGGTTAGAAGTAAAGAGTCCGAAGGCATGCAGCCGCTCGAACCTAGTCGTCAAATGCATATGTTGAATAGATACCACGCTCCAAGGCGAATGTACACTTTGAAACGAGAATCGAGTCTACATAAAACATTGAGTGGTAAGAGATGTCGTCCTATAGCGCAGAGTTGGACAAAAACAGTAGCAGGAATCAGAGTGAAACGCTGCCATCGCCAGTCGAAAACACCAACGAAGTTCAACGTCCGCGCGCGACAGCTCAATTTGGTCGAAGAAGGGACAATCGAGACACACGATCCGTGAGGAGACAGGAAAGGCCAATTTATTAGTTGTACATTATCCATAAATCACTAGTCCACGGAATAAGAAATATAAATTCACTTGAAAATCCGCTTCAAGTAATCTGCAGCAACCTGCTTCAGCTCCTCACTGCACCCAGGCGAAGACAACATCTCCTTAGCGAACGCAGCTTTCTCCTTCCCTTGAAGACCTTCAGTCCCAGGCAAAGAGCCACCTGCCTTCGCTGACTCTTCCCTTCTCAACTCACGTTCCTCCTGTCTCCGTAACAGCTCCCGCAGCGCCTTCCCATCTTCCACTTGCGCCCTTAGAAGTTCTGTCAGAGTGTTACATGAAGTAATGAGAGTTTGGGTAAGCGAAGCCAAGTGGGAAAGGGATTGTTGTGTAGCCTGCATTTGGGACGGAGAAGGTTGAGGTAATGGAGGAGGGTACGGTGAGGGCTTATATGCGGCGTAATATTGTGCATGGCCGTTCGGATCCGCAGGATGAACATAGCCAGGGTACGCGTAGCTCAGAGCGGGTGGCGGACCAGGCCGATGTGCTAATTGTCCGTTGACAAGTTGTGGTTGAGGCTGAGATGCAGGGGCCGTATGTTGGATTTGGGATGAGGATGTAGAAGCATGAGGTTGTTCCCGAGTGTTGGCTGCTCTGCCATCATCTCGTGCCTGACTCTCACCCTCTTGCTCGTCGTCGTCATCATCGTGCATTGCCTCCTCATCCTCACCTTGACCGTCTATACTGCTATTATTTAGCTGATGGTACTCTCCGCCCCTATCGGCAAGTGAGGGATCCAGCTGGTCAGCAGAACCCGAAGCTTGGGGCTGGGTTTGTGGAGATGGACCAGACGTCAATGTTGGAAGAGGAAGGTTCAATGAGGGTTGGGGGAAGATATGTGAGAGTGGGTCAGGAGGCAAAGGGTCCGGTCCATGGTATGGAACAACGGCATTCTGTACGGGATCATATCTATATCTGTACGGCGAACAGTCAGTCTTCAGAAAAGCACATAGTAAATTTAGGTATTAACCTTCTGCGGAACAACTCATACCAACCTAGCCGATACCAATGATCGACAACCTTGATGTTGAGATTTGCGACCGGTATACCAGCAACTGAACGTCCTGCTTCAAGCTTTCGCTCTAAGAATGTTTGGCGGTGAATACCGGATTGGAACGACGGGGGTATAGGGGCAGACAGAATATCTTGACTTGCGGCAGTATTATTGGGGTCTGCAGACGACGTTGAGACGGGAGTTTCTGGGGCACCGGTCGAGGAAAGTGAGGATGCAAGGAACTGCGTGAACGCGGATATTTGCTTGAACGTTTCTACGTTCCGATGATAACAGCTCTTCAGTGCTGTGAAGGACTTTGTATTGTTGAAGAGAACTTGAGATGCCTACATTAAGAATGATGAGTGTACGTCCGAGCTTACAGTTAAGGGAAAGCATCCAACCTCACGAAACACACTGTTCATTTGATTAGCAAACGCAGCCCAGTTGTCATCCGATCCTAGCATCCATGCAAAAAGTTTGCCCTTTTCCTCGTCTGTCCAGTGCTTGGCGCCACCTCCTTCTCCCCGTCCCTCTCTGATGACAGGGGAACTTCCAACAACAACATCATCCTTTATCTCATCCGTGCCACTATTGCCGGCGAGATTAACACGCAAGCGACGCTTTCGTACTGTCTTGGTCCCACCTTTCGGCGTACCAAATTCGTCAGTTTGCGAGTCATCGTACTTGCGTTTCGTGGGAGAACTGCTGCTTTGAACGGGACTGCCGGTGCTAGAGCTGGATTGATGTTGTGGAGGTGCTGGACCAGGTGGTGGATGTTGATGTTGGAAGAACACTGGCGGATTAGAGTATACTGGAGCTGGTACTCCAGAATGCTGGTAAGCCTGCTGCAATTGCGGCTGCTGTTGGGGTTGGTGTTGTGTCTGAGGATGTTGGTGGGGATGCGCTTGGCTCGGAGTGGATGCAGCGGCAGCAGCACTCTCATAGGATGTCAAGGTACTCGAGTATGCCGGCTGCACAGGTATGCGTGAAGCCGATGCAGACGAGGAGAAATTCGCTTGGGCTGAAGGGCTGTATTGTGCATCATCCGCGCGTGGAACCTGTAAACGAAACTTGTTTAGAATCTTGGTCAAAGTTCACCTCAAAGAGAGGACAGGAACAGCTTGCAAGGACAATCAAAGCAGAGAAAGCAAGCGAAAGAACAGACAACGCGAGACAAACCTGAGCGGTGCTACTCGGCGAAGATTGGTTCATTCCACTGGCGAGTTCGTTGATATGACCGCCCGTCGACGGCTGCGGACCTCTATGACCTTGAACGCTGAACGAATGTTAATGCTAACGTGAGCTATGTCGATCAAGCCTTTCATTATCTACAAACCACTTACTTCTGCGCCATTGTCGATAGGAAGGTTGTAGCAGTGTGGGGATCCCTAGAAAGGCTCGGTTCGATGCATCCCGGATTGGTTCGGAAGGTTTCCATTTATAAAATCAGATGATATATTTTCAGCTCGAGATTGACCAACGGGCATTTGGCGCAGTGGTAGCGCGCGCGCTTCGCACAGTTCGCTGTTCCCTGCGTGAGGTCCAGGGTTCAATCCCCTGAATGTCCATTTTAAACTATGTTTTATTTTGAATTACATGCACTGCTCTAGATCTTTGAGGCTAGAGAGATACAATGAATGTTCTACGCGTTCTAAACCTAGACGTACAAAGTGAGATCCGTAGGCGTATGTCTATACCAAGTTGCAGGCAAGGCTGGCATGGGCTTATTGCGTTTCCAATAACCTTGATAAAACAACCCTCCAGAAGTCCTGTGCACATTCATTCCGGCAACCTTGTTATGCCCAGATATTGATGACATGGTTTTCAGAAGTTCTTCTCGGATACCATCGACAAAACTCTTCTCTTCTCCCAAACCGATTTCCTACGATTTAGGTAAACGACATATTTGCATTACAGTATACGTCTCGGCCCACCACCCGTCATTCATCGGCTCACGGCAACAAGCGGCCAGTCAAATATCAGTCATTTTCCTCTTCGCCTGATCAACCGCAAGCATCCATAAAAAAAACTATGGGACAATATAGCACATATATGTTACAACTACGTACGGAATACATACATCAATAAGGTATGCTACAAAGTCCAAAACGTACACTAACGTTCTACGTCCGTTTCCTCAAGCCCTGAACGATGTCTTTTACAACACGAAGCCAATCCATCGCCTTCTCAATCTCTTCACCTGCGGCTTCTGTCCGTTCGTCGATCTTCCGAGTGATGAGTCTACGTAATGCCCGTAGATCACCGTCATCACCCTCATTGAGAGTTGACGTTAGAGACACCACGGAAGACTTGGACGAAAGCGGTGGACGAGGGAAAACGAGCTGACTGTTTCGGGTCGATGTCGGAATTGTGATGGGGAGGAAATCGGACGCTTCAGGGAAAGGTATGTCCTCGGAACCGGTCGAAGAAGACAAGACGATGTCGTGTAGAGCGTGCTGCATTTCATTCATCTGCTGAATGAGGCTAACGCGGTCTAATGCTGTTTCTCGTTGCTACAAAAGGATCCGATATGAGCGCAAATTCAATGGAGATAAAGTAGCGATAACGGAGACCTACCGCGATGCATCTCGTTAGGGTTTGTTCGGCCTGGGCGATAGAGCGGTTTGCTCGGCTGATATACTTGTCAGCCTAACAAATACGAAGCAGATCCAAAGCACGTGAACAGAAGTTAGTTTGGCCAAGACCAAGAGGACGTACGGATGTTATACATTGATCGATTCGAGAAAGGTCCTTACTTGAAGTGGCGATGATTTTACGAGCTGCTGTGAGTGCGGCGTTTCTTGATTCCGGGGTGCCAGTCGAAAGCTTCGGAACGGGAGGATCTGGAGCAGGTGTAGGTCGTTTGACCTCGCGTCCTACGGCGCACGCAAGCTCATCTACATCCTCCACGATAAGAAGTCGAGCAGGTGGTGCATCCGGCATAATCTTTTTCTTGAACCATGCCTTGAACTTCGATCTTGAAGATAGGGTATCTTTTCGATCAGAATCGCCGACTAACGAGAGCGAGGATGTCACTCTGAGATCATCATAGCTTTTTGCTTTCAGATTTGTCTTGCTCTTCTTTCGAGGGGGAACGATCCAAGGTGACATGATCTTCATTAACCCCTTCTCCTCGGCGATGGGTGCGAGTCGGCTTAACTGATATTCGGTCACCGAAGGCGAGACAGCTGCAATGTTTTGGACTTCGCTGAAATGAAGCGAAGAGGCAGTGTGAACCGTGACGGGAGGTGATTCAACGAGCACCGATTCCGGACACGTCGACACAGCGACGTCGACTTTTTCTTTTTCCACCTGGTCCTTCGATGTCATGAGACCCAACTCGGATGTGACGCTAGACACCGCAGTGGACCCAGAATCCCCAGAGTCCGTCGTACGACGACGTATGGAATCTGGGCTATCCCAAGCCCGTTCAAGCTCCTCGAATCGTTCACCGTAAGTGTCCTCCACTAGTCGTGTGACCTCATCCAGCAGCCCATCCACAACTTCGAACTTCGCACGAGCGCCCTGAAGGTCATCGGTGACCTCGTTGACGCGAGACTGTAGATGGACAACAAGCTCTTCGCTCATTTCGGAAGTCGCCCGGAGTATAGATTCAATCAGATGGACATCGACCAATTCTTCATCACCTTCTAGACCTTGTGAAGTTTGTCGAAGGTTATCAAGGATGCGAAGAGCCAAAGTTGAAATTTCAGGTTGAGTTTCTTCTGAGCAGTCTACGGAATGACCGCTTCGTTCGGCCATATGCTGCCGTCGCAAGTTCGCAGCTACCAGGCTAGCCAAAGAAGATTCTGACCGGGTCGAAGTTGTGGAAGGCTTCACGGTCCGGATGGAAGCAGAAGAGCCACAACGATCTTGCTCCGCAGTGCCAAATGCAGCGCGAAACTCAGGCTTCGCTACCTCCAAAGCGTTCAAACTGAAACAACACGTTAGCGTCCCACGTAGATCCGAGGGGAAACCGCGAATAGAATAGAACCTACCCTCTGGAATTACGCATTTCGCGGACGACTCCGGTTGGATCACAAGCGAGCAGAGCAGCAAGCACTTCGTAACTATCACCACGTTCAGCGGCGATATGTATACAGGTGTCCTTGTTCTGATCTCTGGCTGCGAGCGGTGCCCGGAGGTCGAAAACAAGATGCCGGATGAAAGGTTGAATGGTCGCCGGAGTAGATGCAGGAGCTTTGTGCGCGAGACAATGTAAGGGTGTGCCGTGACCTGAGGTCGTATATAAGCTCATATCAGCGCCGGCACGGTAGAGTATGTCGAGCATAGTTTTGGAGGGTGAGGATGCGGAGACGCAATGGTGGATGGGACTCCAACCACGGGAGTCTGGATGATTTACAAGAGTTGGAGGTAACGAGTGAGGTTGTGAGGATGAAGAGAGAGGGGAAAAGAGCAAGTGATACAGCTGTTGTACATCCGTGCATGAAATGGCGTGAATCAATGAATCTGTGATGTCGTAGAGTTGTTGCTGAGACGGGTGCAGAAGCTGGGGGGGACAGCTTGGGTGGGGCATACTGACAAAATGCTCGTCAAGTGTTGGCAAGTCAGTGAGTGATCTTTTATGGGGTTCAGCCTATTGAAAATGGGTTAGAGAAGAACAAGCCAGACAGTTTCTCTAGAAAACGCAAAAAAATGGTACACACGATCTGTTCTTGGGCTCTGTGAATTCGAAGAGCACTTTCGCATAACCATAAGGCCTGTGGATGCCGAAGAGCGTGCTGAATAGAAGTCCGGTGACTTATGTCCCTATAGTCTGGTCTAGCACCATGCGATACCTAGTGAACAAAGTGAGCGAAGCGAAAGCGCAAGCAACAACAATTTGAATTACCAGTTGTTCCACCACTTCGATGCTGCCGTCACGAGCGGCATCTATCGGAGATGACAATCCGTCAGTGCCGGAGGAATCGACATTTTTTTTTGCAAACACAAAAGGATGAGAAACAACGTACACATAAGAGGTGTCGCCCCCAAAGAGTCCATTCCGTCTACCGAGACTAGACCGGGACAGCACTCGAGTATCAAACGGACTATCTCAGGGACGTTCAACCAAGCGGCTAAGCCTAAAGGAGTAACCCCACGCAGAGCAGCTTGGGGCGCGTTCAAAGTATGAAGGGAGATTTCAGGGTGCCCCAGTAAGGTCCTTAGGATCCGCAACCGCTTTGGCAGCATATACGACGCGTCGGACGCGTCGACATCCTCCCATCTGAGCGTGTTCGTGATTAGAATATTGACTACCAGGTGAAATGGGTGACGTGTCATATAGACGTACATATCGCCTCCAATAACATATCCAACGACGGTTCGGCCATTTGGATCACTGGCATTTATATCAGCGCCATCCTGTAGAGCACGCAAGACGGCATTCTCATTGGCAGAAGCCACTGCCTCAAGCAAAGAAACAGGCAACGAATGCAAAGCACGCTCAACGTGATGAGCAGGAGGAGAGAACAAAGTCGTAGTAGTAGTCGTCATGCCCCAGACACAAGATCAGTCGAGTCGAGAAACAGAAAATGAAATGGGGATAGAATGTAGAGGTAGGTGGCGCAGCTGGGAGAGATGCGTTGAAGGGCAGCCGTAGAAGAGGAAACGTGTAAGCAAGCAAGCAAGGACGACCGCCGGGGGGGAGAGAAGAACCTAGAAGAAAAGAACAGGGGGGGGGGGGGCAGGGTCCACAAAAATCTAAAGTTCAGAATGACATGTTGAGGTATGGGAACGCCGTCTATATGAACGCATTCCTGCCGTTCAGGCTCGGCTCGAGAAGGGGGTGTTGTCCGTCCGACCACTGGCACGAGGCTTCAATTGTAACCCATCAGAAACCTCCCGAGCACAAGAATTCAGACGCTGGAGATTCAGTGGAATTCTGGCATGGACAAGCCTCCGAACGAGGCAAGACAGCTGCCTCGAGGCGTTAGCGTGGAGAATAGCGACGATGGTGAGAACATTGAACAATCCGAGACGCTTCCTAGCACTAGCCATTAGCACAGGGCAAACAATGTTATGAATGATGATCGATGAGGCATAAAAAGTCGTTTTTGTGTGCGAGCTCAAGTTTCCTTTTGTCGTCGCACAAAGGCAAGAAACATTCCAAGGTCGGTGCACAAACAAAGCGTGCAAACAACCCAGAGCTCATACAAGCGCCCATAGCGGGTACATATACTCGTAGTAGCCTGCAACTAGTTCATTCATCTGACGGGGCACGGATATCATCGAAACTGCATTTCGGGCTCATTCATGTTTGTTTTATTCAGGACGTTTTACTGAATTGCGGCAAGTTGGTACGTGTTACGGAGAGGAGCCTTTAGTTGTATGTACTAATGCTATTTGAGTAGGTGCGACAGACAAGATGGGAAGAATGAAATGGATATGCGAGAGATACTGTATTATGAGGAATATGGTGGTGGAGGTGATGTCATGCAGAAGTGTCATGTGCTACATAGGGCTTTATTGCAGTGGGAGTGGGAGAGCGAGCAGGAATGAAAAAGAAAAAGAAAAAGAAGAAATTCAGTGATAAGAAATAATATGCGTCAGGGAAGAAAAGTGAGAGGGAAAGTATCCGGAAATGATATCGGTTCTGGATTCTTGTCTGAATGGATGTTGAGTGGAACATGAAACATGCGAGCGGCCCCAAGAACACCTTTCGTCGGAAGCCGCGGGAACGAGGTCGGGACCGCTAGCAAGCCATGTACATGCATGTCACCAAGCCAAAACGGTGAGATGCAAGGTCCGGACGATCATGAGAGACCACGGTCGACGTCGTTAAAATCAAGAACGCATCACAGGAATGCATCTCGTGGTAAAGTTGTCTGATGAGCAAAAAAAACATCGCGTAAGTTCCATCGGGCAGTACAAAGAAAAACACGTTGAGATTGCGAGGCTATGTATATCACGTACCTTGACTTGCTCGAAATTCGCTATCGCCCTCTCGAGATCCCAAGCATTGCCCTGGAGGCAATCAATGGAATACCGGACGGTAAGTCCCGTCCGTTGACACACTTCGAGAACTTGTGTACGTTGTGGTTCGGGCTGTACAAACAATAAACGCGTTAGTCAATGTTTACGACATCTGGATCACCACACTGTTGTATCGAAACAATCGATACGGAAGAGCGGAGATAAAGGCAAACTTACGATCGACGCGACGGCGTCCTGTAGTTGCGTTTGTTGTTGCGGACTCAAGGAAGACATCCATGAGGCTAGCGACTTGAAGGTTAGTTTTTCACCCGCTTGTACTCGCATCGGACCGGGTTTCCATGCTTCATGACTTGAATACGCTCGCACGGAGAGCTGATCCGACAGAATGACGACCTGCCAACCATTCTGCTTTGCACTAAAATACGAACAAAAATAGGCAGAACCGAAAATCAGTAAATGCAAGAAGTGAAGCAAACGAATAAGCGACATACCGAGAGCCTTCTGGCGCGGGGGCTAACACAAAAGATCGGTCAAACGACCTAATACCCTCTGATGGCACTGATCGATCAGGTGTTGAGTAGTGAGAATCATATCTCCAATTATCAGGCTGAAAGAGAACTTACGTTCGGTAAACTGCCCATGAAGGGTGATGAACAAATTGGTAGTATCTCCATGCACTACCGGCCAAGCGTCCACGCAGAACTTGTCTGGTGAACCGACTATATCGTGTCTTGTACTTGGAAGATCCGCTATCGCCTTGATGATCTCCTCGTTCCCTATATGCAACGTCTTCGCCATCTTCTCCACGCCACCAGGCATCCTACTTAGGTTTCTTGATCCACCCAATCCACCATTCAACCAAGGCGGCCATTCTAGTTTCCTCTGATTTGGCATCTCCTTCGAGTGATGATGGCCTTGCAGCCGCGCTCGTGTAGGTATGCTAGTATTTGCTGAGAAGGAAAAGGTGGCGGATGGGTGATAGACATCGAGCAGTGCTGCACGTTGATTGTCAAATAGCGGGAAGAATCTTTACAGAATTGGATGTAAGTTTCACATAACACGGGAAGATAATGAGCGCAGGAGCGTCAACCTACCGTACGAAGAAATCGCTAACGATATTACCGGGAACGCCAGTGACGAATGAAGGTCCCATCTCATTTGGGAATGTTGTCGGTGCAGCCGATTTTGGTATTGAAGTTGATGAAGACGCAGCGGGGACATCAAAGGTGATCTTTGTTATAGGTTCCTGATCGAGCATCTCTAATGAGGGGAATCGGCGTGAAATCTCGCTAGAATACGATGGTAAATAAAGTACTTGAAATATCACCGCACTGTCAACTAACCTCTTGAATTTCTCGGCTCGGTTATTTTGATATTCAAGTTCGCGAACGGGGTTTCCTGTGAGGATGAGTTCTCGAAGTTGTTCCAGACGCCCCCTACGTCCAGTAATATAATCCAAGTCTCGCCAGGTTTTCAGCTGGTTGCCTTCCAACGAGAGATTCCGAAGGCCAGGAAGGTAATGGGGAAGCGTTGCTATAAGTTGACCGTTTCCGATATTATTGTGCGCCAATGAGAGCGTTTGGACCTGTAAAGCTGACGGTGAGTCATGTCAAATGAAATGACAAGCAACGATCAAGCGCACCTCAGGTTTCAAGCTCTTGATGTGCTTGAAGATAACCGCAGCCTCTCTCGCTGAGCTTCCTGGGGCACCTAGCGGGGTCATGTTATGCCTTGCAATGAACTCGTCATCAAGCATACGCTACGATTCGTATTAATACATGATGTTAGAGTTAGAAACAAGCTACTCACTTCGAGGTTGACAAAACGGCCCTCTTTATTCCATCTCTTCTCAACAAATTGCTTCCACAATTCAACCATTCCTGCAGCAGGTGCAAATGAACGGCCGTTGAGAGAGATGGCATTCCTGCGGCCACGACCCGCCATCGCCGCCGTTCTCGAGGCGCCGCGTATTGAGAGACCGTCACCTGCGGCTGAAGCAGCTACGCGTGCAGCCAGCTTGATGAGCAGCCAAGACAAGGCGACAACGACGAGGGTGGAAGAGGGGGAAGAATAAGAATGTAAGCTAGGGTGTACTTCAAGATTTAGGAGGGATGAGGGTGAAATGCCACAACGGATGGCGAGCTGTGGCTAAAGGGGGAGATGTCGGGTGAGAAGAAACAACTGTCTATTTACCATAGGATCACGCATTGAGGAAGAGGGTTGGTCTTTGCCGAGGACGGACTGAATGACGCGAGGCCGGTGGCTGGAGCGGGTCTTGTGTAGCGAAGCTTTGGTGGTGCCCTTGCGACCACCTGGTTTGTCGGTCGCATCACGCATACGCTCGTCGCGGTCCATAAGGCCAGCCTTGCGGAGTGCGTTTGCAGCGATTGCTCGACTTCCGGCGGGTGGCGTCGGGGCTGGACTCGATAACATGAGTCAGTGGTTGGTGTCCGACGGAGAGAGTTATCGTGAATGAAGGTCGTCGTATTGGGGTGCAATAGGAGGAGTGTCCGCAGAGAGAGAGGAAGAGGAGAAGAACGATCCCGTCGCAGCCTGGACGCAAGAGTACGACGTTAACGTTGGTGGCGGTCAGGAAGAAGCAGAGCCGCCCGAGCCGCCGCGAACAATTGCGAGAAAGGGTGTCACGTAATGTCACGCGCGTGACTGCATGCTAAAGTGACGGGGTCACGGCAGTGCCTGATATGTCGACGGTGGCTGCGCAAGACGACCGGGGGCGAGCTGGCAGGAATGGGCTCTGCCAGGGCTCCCCTGCGTTGTATTCTCGTCAGGACTCTCACTGCGACGACAGCGCAGGTGCCGGGGACCACCGCAGACGTCCAGGACCCTGCACTGTCGCTGGGAGAGAGGGAGGACGGAGAGAGACCGGATTGGGAGCGTGGGAGAGGAGGCAGTTTAGAATCCCACGGGGGAATTGTTGCGGTAGTGGATTTGCAAAGGACGACTGCCTCCCACCAGGATATTCTCCGAATCCGCATTTGCCTTTGCCGCTGTACCCTTATTCCAGTCGATCTGCCGACAACAAAAAATAAATGGACAACCCTCAGCACTATCAGCCTCTTTCCGCTGCCATTACTCCCTCCTCTTTCATCGTCCAGACCGGTCGCTCCCCTCACCAGCACCAGCAATACGCTGCCTACCCCTCTCACGCTCCCCATCAGCAGCCGATATCTGCCTCTTCCGCACAGAACCACCGTCAGGAAGAGGAGGAAGAGGAAGAGGACGACGTAGAGGGTGAACTCGATCCTACTCCGCATGAGTCTCCCAGCGCTCAGTCTTCCCCTCGCGCTGCCACTACCCAATCGGCAAAGTACTCGGGGTGCGTGCTCATTGCCAACTGTAAACCTCAACGTGACTTGACGTTGCACCGCTTAGGTCCGCTTCAACTGCGACCCAGTATGTACATCATACACAAGATCAGAATAATGCGCAACAGACTGCAGACGACAACGCGGAGAAGCGCAAGCCAGGGAGACCCCGTGGATCACGAAACCGCAAGCCCAAAGGCCCTACAAGCACACCGACCGCCGCACCCAAAGCACCAACTAACACTCAACATCCTGGATTCTATTCCTATCCCCCTGCCCCTGGAGGTCAACAAGCCGCCCAGAACCACCAGTTCTACGAGTTCCAATGGCGCGCGTTGAACCTGTGCTCAGAGTTCTACAACGCTGCAGAGGAGCTTATTGTCCGTGCTCTTCTCTCTTTCTCACGTGTTTCCCCTCTCATTTATGACCAGAAAAATGCCCCTCCAATGGTTATTGCACAATGCTACCAAATGGGACCCGTCCAGAAGATCGACCCACTCGCATTAATTGCGGAAGCGAAACGCGTCTGTGATAACCTTGTAAGCTATTGCCTTCCATGATATCACCGCTTCCCTTTTCCTTGCCCTAGTCGCCTATTCACTCCTATCGTTCCTAGCTCGCCAACCCTGCCCAACTGGTAGGCACTATTCCCCAGCCGGTTTACCCCACTGTCCCACAGTATGCACAAATGCCGCCGCCGCCGCCACCACCACAACCAACCTCTGCTCCTTCAGGCTCTGGTAGCGCGCCTCCACAAGTGATCACCAACCCTCAATCATTTGTTATGTCATTATCTACGCCAGGAATGCCGCCCGGTCCACACCCCGGTACCTACTACCCACCACCGGTCTATGCAACTCCGGGGCAGCGATACCCGGGCACAGTAACGACACCGTATTATTCCTACCCACAGGCAGCTGCAACCTACTACGCACCTCCACCTCAACCTCAGCCAGCGCCTGTTCCGACAACAGCACCTTCAGGATCTACAACTCCAGTACCGCCGCCTTCGGTGACTCATGTGCCTCCTCAAACTACCCCGGCTACATCTACGTCGGGAACAATATCCACTTTCAATGCAGCTACAGGAACCGTTGCTGCAGGGGGACAACAAGGTTCATGGTCTGAAGAAGAAACAGAACGGTTGAGGAGGTTAGCCGAACAGAGTAGGGAAGCGAACAAAGGTGAGATCGAATGGGATTGGGTGGTGCAGCAATGGGGAAACAGTAGAACAAGGTATACGTCTTTAAATAATTTTGGTTATCATACCCAACCTAACCCTGTACTCTTTATACAAGACACCAGATCTTGTTGAAAGCGACGTCGATGGGTTTGAAAGAGAGCACGACGAGGGGTACGAAACGCAGGAGAGATGCCGAACATCAGACGAGTGACTCTCAGGCTGCGACGGCCGCTTCGTCTGGAGCTTCTGCGGCGCATGGTGCTGTTTCGTCTGCGAGCGTGACTCCGTCGATGGCCCCAGCGGTGGCACCACCACCACACAGTCCTGCCATCAACCATACGACTCCGACCCAGTCGAACGCTACGATAAACAACTCTGCGGGCTCTTCTTCTGTGTCAGGGTCCCGTGCTCAGACGAATTCCACAACGTCTGCTGCGCATCAGTGGCCTGCTCCGACTATTGCGGCGAACATCCCGTCGCCTGTGATGGTACATAATCAACCTGATCCCCAGCAGCAGCAGCGCACGGCTAGTGGGACTACGACGTATTATCGGAGACCGAGCGGGGCAACGCAACAACAACAGCAGCAGCAGGGTTATGGTACTGCTGCGACTGCGACTACTACTTCGCCTACGACGACGCATTCGAGACCGCCGAGTTCGCAGGCTAGTCAACCGCAGCATCAGTTTATGTATCGGCCGAATGAGCAGGGTGGGGCGAGGAGGGAGAATGGGTATTCGTGATTTTCGTTTTTTTTTCGTGACGAGCTTGGGATGGGTTTTTTTGGTCTTGAGTTGTGGTTTGTGGTAGTTAGTGTCGATTGGATGCCTGGTTATTGTGTCTAACAGCTTCGGTTTGTGGATTCTTTTTCTAACGTGCTAATTTAGCCTTGACCGATGATGTCGCGTCCTTTCTTCCCCCCTCTGATTATCTTTATGTCAGCGTTTTGCTGTTATTTTATTGCTATTCGTTTTTTTTTTCTTTTCCTTTCTTTTCTTTCCTTTTTTCTTTTTGAGTATCGTTCGACGACTGTTGATCGTGTAGCAGCTAAAGGTATCTCTTTTTCTTGTATTGAGCTGCTTCCCCCCGAGCTAGATGATCGATGCATGTAGCGATATCTCTGCAGACAGACCCCAATTTGCATTTTACAATCTCAAAATGCTTCTTCTAGTGCTCGAAGCTTGGAAGTTTGCAGACTTGATCTGGATTCAAGAAATTCAGCTCGCTATAGGAGACGCGACTTGTACTGTGATAGCATTGACGCGACGCGTTTTTGTCACGCGTTTCCTGATCGAGATCGCAGTCTCCAAAGTTGCCGTTTGCAACGTTCTTAAGTGAACTAAGTGCTAGTGAACTACTAGTGACTTACTACATCAACAACGACGACAAGACGACGTCGCTCAAGCACATTGACTCTATTACAGTACTCCCGTTCTACTACTACTCAGGGAACTTACTGTCATGTCATGGCACCCTTCCTACCACCCAACGTCATTCTGAGCGGTTTCAAAGAACGCATAGAATCGTTATTGGCACAAGGTATGTCTCCTTCATCCAACAAATAATATTACGGATTATTGTTGTTGACGGCATGGGCGAAGGCGACAAGCTTTATGTAGGAACTGCGACGGGAAACTTGTATGTCTACCTTGTGCATAATGGTGAATCCAGTGAGTTGCATGCATCGCTTCGGTTTTGTTTGTAACCATTGCGTCACGTCACGTTGTTTCTGATGATTGAAATGTGCGATTAGGTGAAGGGGAGAAGAGGGCAGAGTTGCTTGAAACGAAGAAGGCCTTGAGCAGACGTGCGATCGAGCAGTTGGCTTACGTGCAGGATATCAATTCACTCGCGGTGCTCTCAGGTGCGTTTTTCCACCCGATGATATAATATCTAATCATGGGATCCTAAAGAAGTTTCTTTTGCCACAGATGGCTCTGTGACTCTGTACCCGTTGCCTAGCTTCTCGCCACCGACGTCGCTACCAAAGACCAAAGGTGCCCTCTCGATTGCCGTTCATACCGTCGTCGAACACGAAGATGAGGCTCAGGCAGCTACGCAAAGCGATGGCTCTATTTCTGCAGCCAAGAATAGAGGTGGTGTACCTGTCGTCATCACTTACCTAGCTGTTGGATGTAAGCGCAAGGTCGTCTTCTACTCTTGGAAAGACGGGGAACCGCAGGATGTCAAGGTAAGTCTAAATATTTATGTACGTGTTACGTGACGTCTGTTGTTGAAGGCTGAGCTTTTTTGTTGGCTTCACTAAGGAAACTACTCTACCACATTCACCGAGGACTGTGGCTTTCATGAACGGTGATACCCTATGCTTTGGTTATACCCCTTCGGATTATGTGCTTTTCTCTCTGAAGTCGATGACTACCATCGATATCACAGTCCCTGCGCCAACGAGTACCTCTGCTGCAAGTATCGGAAGCATGGGTATGGGTATGGGCATGGGCATGGGAATGGGCAAGGGTGCTTTCAGTGGGCTGAGCGGTTATATGACTCTTGGGCTCGGTACCAAGACAAAACCTAATGCTCTGAGAGTCGATGAGAAGTCGTTCCTCGTTGCCAAAGACAGCAAGTTGCTTTAGCTTTATATTCTTTGTTTGAACCTAACATTGCTCATATAGACACTGGATACTTCATTGGCGAGGATGGTAAACTTTCTCGCCCTGTGTCAATTGACTGGCCTGCACCACCGGAGGAGACAGGTAATTTATCATCATTATCAGTGCTAAATTATATTGGTTGCTCACCTATCGTGCAGCATTTGTCAAACCTTATGTGTTCTCTGTTCTTCCTCCCGGATCAGTCCCCAGTTCTCAAGTAACTGCCCACGACACCTCCGCTCCGTCCTTCATTCCCTCTGCAGTAGTCGAGATCCGTTCATCGATAACCTTGCTCCCTGTCCAGACCTTACCTTTACCTCTGATACATCCTCCGCCCGGCGCACCCCCAACGTCCAGTAACCAGACAGTTCGTCTGTTGACATCTTCACCCGCATGCAAATCACCATTATACCTTGTCACGACGCCTTCGGATCGTACGACTGCCAATGTCGAAGGGAGTTCCATCGTTGAGTTTCTGATGAAACCTTGGGCGATGCAGATAGACGAGCTTGTAGAGGCGGAGTCGTATACGGAAGCATTGTCACTATTGGATTCACTTGAATCTGCTCTCCTTCCTGACAAGGTATCGCCTTTCAACCAAAAACCTTAAGATCACTCTCTAATATCATACTTCATATTCCCTTTAAGGAACAAAGGAAGAACCTCATACGTGCCCTCAATGCAGTCTTGCTATTTCGTACTGGACACTTCGCTCAGGCCCTCAATACCTTCATTGAGCTCAATACCAATCCTGCCAAAGTCGTCGCGCTGTACCCGGAGAGCGTTGCGGGGAGGTTATCTGTACCACCGGAAGAATGGGTGTCACTCTTTGGGGGACCTCGGAAAGTTACGAAGTCGGAATCGTCGTCTATTGATGATCCTGGAAGTAGTCTTGAAGAGACTAAACCTCAAGATGCGGGGTCCTCTATTCAGAGACCGCCTTCTCCACACGGTTCTGTCAAAAGTATGCTGAAAACTGGGTTGGAGAATATTATCGCTGGTGCGAAGAAGGATGATGACACGTCTTCCGTTCGGAGCAAGCGGAAGGAACCACCTAAAGGTCCATACAAACTACAATGCACCCTTATAGCCTCTCGATTGATTTTTTCTTGTTATCCGACAGATGATTTTCGACGATCCATCGAAGAGCTCATGCGATACCTCTCAGATCGACGTCCCAAGATTGGAGGCGCTTTGGATACATTCCACATCACGAATACGCAAGCTCATGAGATGCCACCATTATCTGCAGCGTCCATCGAAGACCTATTTGCGCTCCCAGATGCACCTCTTTCGGCACTTACTCCAGAACAACTCGTTCGATATGCACAGATTGTGGATACTGCCTTGTTCAAGTCTTATCTGATTGTACGACCCGGTCTGCTTGTCCCTCTGTGTCGATCCGGTAACTGGTGTGAGGTGTCGGAAGTGGAGAAAGAGTTAAGAGCACGAGAGGTGAGTGCTGTGATACTTTTGGGCTATGGGACATATGTGACATGAGTTTTGCAGAAATTCACTGAGCTTATCTATCTCTATAATGGGAGGAAGATGCATGGGAAGGCTTTGGATCTTCTCCGACAGTTCGTCATTTCAGACTTCTTCTCGAAGGTCGAAAGTCACTGAACATTGTATCCTACAGCTTGAGCGAGAAAGAGGCTGACATGCGAGATAAACTCATGCCATCCGTCACATACCTGCAGAGATTGGGTCCGGAACACATCGACCAGATATTTGAGTCTGCTCGTTGGATATTCGACCAAGATCCCGACATCGCCTTAGAGGTTCTGCTATCGTCTTTGTAGAACCATTACGTTCGAATGCTTACCGTCCTTTTGTTCTAGATCTTTACTTCAGAAGAAGTCGAACTGCCCCGACAGCATGTAGCGGACTACCTCGAGATGTTGGATCTAGACATTTGCGCTCATTACATCGAGTTCCTCATCGCCGAGAGAAACGAGCAGTCAGCAACGTTCCATGAGAGGCTTGCTGAGCTTTACTTGAGGATGACCTCCGATGCCAGGAAGCATGGCGATAACGGTAAGTACTTCTTGTTCAGTGAAGCCTCTGCACATGATTCGACGCGATGCTGTAGAGAAACGCAAAGGAACGTACGGAAAGCTCCTTCACTTTCTCGACACCACCAATTACTACAGGCCGGATCGTCTATACGGACTGCTACCATCGGAAGGTCTGTAGTGGGCCAAAACTAATCCTTTGACTTGCTCACTAATATCCCTGATAGACTTCTACGAAGCGAAGGCCATCTTACTGGGTCGTCTTGGACGTCACGACAATGCCCTCGAGACATACGTATATCGATTACAAGACTTCCAGAAGGCGGAGGAGTTAGTGATTAACTTCCCAACCTCTTCCGCTATGACTGACTACGAGCTCTAGATATTGCAAGCGAATCTACGACCCGTCAGGTCCGACATCATCAATATTCCTCACGTTGCTTCGAATCTACCTAAGACCAACTCATCAACCAACCTCACCTACCATCGACCTCCTTCACCCTGCTTTGAAGCTGATTTCACGACACAGTCCTAGACTAGACATCGTCGAGACTCTGAAGCTCCTTCCTCCGCTTGTAACAGCACAAGATGCTCGTGCGTTCTTGGTAGAAGCTCTGCGGGCGCCAGTGTTCGATAAGAAGGTCATTAGCGGGATTGCGAAAGCAAGGGATGAACAGATTGCTCGACGATTGATGGTGCTGCAAGCTAAGAGGGTCAAGGTGACAGATAGTCGGATGTACGTTTCTCTCCGTCGTTTACGTATGATGGCTAGGTTTATAACTGTCTCTGCTTTCAAAGATGCCCGCAATGCCACAAACGTATTGGTGGTAGTGTTATCGCTGTCCATGCACCTAGGTGAGTGTATAAAGCAGTTATTCCTGACGATGAGTGTTTACTTTTTCTACTCTTAGGGGTGAGGTGACACATTACCAGTGCCGAGAGGCTTTCTCGAGGAAACTCAAGGAGCTGAGACATTGACTTGCTCAATTCCTCTGTACATTTCTAATGGATATGGATTATACACTACTATGAAGATATCTGGCGTTTCTTTCGCATTACGAGGCTCAGGTGATAGGAGTTCTATGAAACTATCTTCCACCATGATGATGGTGTTCAAGGGTGCGAGATAACATCCTATGGCCACATCTTAGGGTTGATATCGGTGGAGAGTGAAGGGACTCACCCTTGTTTCAATGCAATGGACCTACTTCTCAACGTACAACTTAAAAGCAATTCCTACAGTGTCTGCATCGACAGATGACGGTGAATTATCTGCTCTCTTCACCCAGTCGTCCTGCCAGATGAAATCCCTATAGCGGACAGGCGGTTCGTCTGCGGCTTGGATCCAAACACTTCGGTTCTCCGTAATATCGCGATCATACAAAGCTGCGACTGCGCTAACGAGAGCGGTGTAATCAGCCTTATCGAATTGTCGACAACCGCTGAATCGTATGGTCATGCACAGCGACCTATCCATGCCCCTGGCTCGTAATGTATGCTTCAGCTCCTCACAGACTTTGGAGAAATTTCTAGTCCGGTATCCTTCAGCAATCATGAGGTGTTGTAAATAAGGCATCAAGTGAGGAGGTTCATGACGTGCGCCTGGTCTGCGATCGTCCTCCTCAAGTTCTGACTTTAATAAAATCGGGAGAGAATCAAGGCAGGCACCACGCAACTGCAGGGAAGCTATGTAAGGCATGGCTGCAATGGTACCCTGGAATGCGGCGTTATCAGGCATACCAGCGAGTTCCAATGATCGCACGTTCGATAAGGGCAGTCGATGGCAAAATGCAGTCAGGACTGTTCTGGTGTCTAGACTGGACGAAATGATAACACTAAACCGTCGTCCGGTGTCGTGATGACCATCTACACTTGTGAAGCCATCAACGTTAACGCCCCCTGACAGTTCATTCACGACTAACAGTCGAATGATAGGTAAACTGTATTGAGTATTCAGCTTTTCTGCCAGGGTGATCGTGAGATGTGCTATATCCTCGTCCGAAGCAGCAGTAGTAATGATGTTCATCTCGGCCGTTGGCGGAATTATGACTTGCTTGATAAGCCACACACAACACTCCAAAGGATCTCGAATATGTAGAGAGTCAAGTCGTGGTAGATGAACAGAAGGTAGGTGACTCAGGTCTTGGGTAGCGTCGCCAAATATATCAAGCAAGGTCAATCTTCTGAGCGAAGGTGCGCCGGTGAGAGCCGACAAAACGCTCTGAAGCTGAAAATCGATAATTCCGCAGGAGCTCAACGAACCGAAGGACAGGCTTTCCAGTGCATCGTGGAAAGCAAAAGCGGATAACGCAAGACGCCCCCAGTGGCCCCAGAAAGATATGTGTTTGATGGAGGGCGATTGCAATGGCCAAGTAGGTATTTCAACCGTAGCTCCAGACACCAGTGACCAAACAGTCACCGAGACATCACGAAGAATGGGAAAGAATGATGGGATAGAGGCCTGCACTTCGGCGTAGTCCTTCACGCCCATGCAAACGCGAAGCACTACTATGCGATATGAATTTGATGTAAACAATCGTTTCGCAAATGCCAGGGAATCTGTCCACCGCGTCCAACTTGAACTTGATTTCTCCCAGTCCACTTCTAACGGCGCCTGGGTCGATCGTTCTAACATCTTCTTTGCCCATATAGGTCGTGATATAATAACGAGACTCCAAAGAGTAGGAGTCTTGTGAGCAACTGCACGCCAATGGGAACAAACATGCGTCAGTCGCACCCAATTGTACTTATCAAAGGAGCTTGAACAGCGCCGATCTATCTCGAAAATTTGCACAAGGAGTTCGGGTGGAAGCATCCCAATGGGCTGGACACCATTGAGATGCATACAACGCTTGGCCAATTCACAATATTCTTCATCTAGGGCCTCGCAAATCTTCTTGATTTTGACTAACTGCTCGTCAATGCGCGATTGAAGATCGTTTCGCAATTCCACCTTGGAAGGCATTGTGCGATTCATGTGGGGTAAATTGAAACCTGTTGTAGCAGCCGGTCAGTATGCGTTATCTTGTTCTTTTGCCCGGAGCGCTAGCAAGGATGCGAAGGCTGGGAATGAACATACACAAATTAGGAGAGTCCTTAAGATGGTCGGTTGGACATACTCACATTGTGTTCGGTGTCTTTAAAGAATCTCAGTTGATCGTCCAAAGTATATCGCTTCCATGTTGAAGCTGAAGAGAGTAGATATCGACGACAGGTAGGAATATCGATAGGCGTAACACGCAACTAACACGCACCATCGATGTTGACGCCTATACGAAGTATCTAGGTGCTGGAAGCGAGCCTAGCCGAAGCCAAACACATTCAAACTCACAATATGTACAGTACATGTTAGATCATAGCTTCCGATTGGGTTCAGACAGGAATAGGATGTTAGGCAAATTAGTAGCGCTTCGAGCTCTACGATGTCGCAGGTCTTTAGCACTCACTTAGTACGTATACGCGGTGCCACAACAAACGAAAATCTCTTAGATCGAATTTGCTTCGCGAGGAACTCTAAAGTACAAGGGATAAGTGAATAGATTCAATAGATCAACCCATGCGGATTCTGTATGACCAGTGGGGCGGTGAGCCCTGGCAGGAAAGGTCTTTCTGAGTCTACAACGACAACGTCAGATCAAACAATCAAGGCAAGTAGACAACATACTCACCTTTAGTATTGGAAGGATTATCGCAGACCCATACTTTAGCTACAGTTGGGTCATGATCACTGGCTCTCTCAGAAGTCGACCTTGCCCATGTATTGACATGTATATGCTCCACTTTCGTCCCGCGGTTCACGATAGCATCCGAGACGAACATATGGTCGATTTCTTGCATATGCTGCTCATACACATACGTGTACCGTTCCACCGGGTCGACTGCGGAGGCGTCATTGATATCCGTGAGCAAGTTCGTGAGTGATTGGAAGACGGAACGAGTTTGTACGAAATCGTTCATGTCTCCAGCAAGGATAATGCTTGCGTTCACATCTTGGGAGAGAACAGATTCTACAAAGTCCGCCGTGACGTTCACTTGCTGTGTTCTCCGTTCAATACGGCCATTTACCGGTGGACGAGCGTCACCATGAGGAGAGGATCCGAATCGCTTAGAACTCAGATGGACGTTCACCGTGAAGAAGCGGGATCCTGTACTAGTCTGCCATGCTGCGGCTAAGGGTTTGCGAGTCTCCTCCCACGCTTCGTGGGTCGGATGTACACGCCCTGGGTTATAACTAGTCGCGAGTAGCTTAGCAAGATTTAGCGTCTATAGAAGTAAGAACACTAACCTGAGACTCAATTCACCCTTATCCGATTTCACCACTTCGACAGCCTGAGTAGCGTTGCCTGTAATGTGACCGGGAACGAGCGATACTTTGTTAGGATTCCACCTATAAGAGCGTGAGTGTCTTCGACGTAGTTGACTTCAAGTCAGATAACCTACAGATATGCGACGCGAATGTTGCTTCCTGGTTTCCCACCATCCATGTTGTCCTCAGGTGGTATATTCACAAATTCGTACTTAAAAGGTGGGCTGTTTGAACTAAAGTGTTCGCTAGCTGTGTTCGAGATGGCCTTGACGAAAGTTGCGAGCGTTCTGTTAGCCGTAACCACCCCGTTATTTCTGGATCCTGAATCCGACTGAATTTCTTGCAGGAAAAGGATGTCGGGCAGCTTAAGGTATTCCACTACATGCTTCGCGACCAGGGGGATATGACGCGATCTAGGTGACATGTTCTCGACCTACGTAGACTTCAGCAAGAACGCAGTAATAGAGGTGAGGCGAAGGATAACCTACATTGTAGTCCCCAATCGTGAGCTCGCATGGCTCTTCTGAAGCCGAGAAAGAGACGGGCGAGATATCAGGGTCGGATTCCGTCATGACACTAGGAGCTGTAAGGGGTAAAATACTATAATATCCAAACTACAACACAAATGAGTACGTGTTTGGTTGTGAATTGGCAGGCCAGACCTGATAAGTGACAACACCCGTGATGTTGGATAATATACTCCCAATAGGTTCTTTAGGATTCCTCGTGCCGTCTAGAGGACGTCCGATGAGGATTACTCCCGGATGTGCGTCAGGTAGCCCATCTAAACAGCGGTAGTACTGATCGTTGAATGTCTCTCACTGGTGTTCGAAGCATGGGAGAAACGTACCGACTGAAGTCAGAGTAAGACCACCTCTTTCGTTCCTTCCATTCACATCCCAATCTCCATAAACCCAAAGAGAGCCAAACATATCCGGGAAGTTGCTCGTCGTTGGATTGACAATAGTCACCAGGTTTCCTTCCAGGCTTTCCCAAAAATCTAGACCGTATTTGTCGGGTTGCAGTGTTGCATTAACGCTCTCCAGTAAGGTGACATTGTTTGGAACTGATAACCAGCCTTCTGTACCTTCGTCGAGAGCTGATGCCTTAGCCAAAGGCGGCGCGTACCCTGATTCGCGACCGATGATTAGAGGTATTACAGGATGATCCACTGAGTGAATGAAGAGATCGAATGGCGCTATTAATTCTGTAAGAAAGAGGTCGTTGGGTCTGTTATTCTGTCTGTGCTCAGATACGCGTCCGGAGAGTGACAGCAAGTGTCCAACATCAGTCTGATGAGCGAGCCCAGGAGCGTAGACCCGAAGACCATTCGAGATACGCGGGTCAGATGACGGTTCTCCCTGGAGCCAGAAGCCGTACCGATCCTATTACGAAGGAGTTATTCGAGATCACGAGGAAACATGACAATGAGGGTAATATTGCTCACTTTGGCTGTAACAATTCCCGTAGCGTTGCGAACAACCTGCCCAAGTAGTGGCGACTGAAAGGCTGGGCCTTGTATCTCAGCGATGCTCACTGCGTTGGCAATAATCGCGAAGAAGGATTGCAACAGCAGCACTGTCGGGGTGAAACAACGATAGCGACGCATAGTAAGATATTGCCAATTAACGTCCTCGCATTAAGATGGCAACGAAGTGGCAGACTCGTCTGTAGGCCCTGAAGGAAGCAATGTCCACAGTGGTTTCGTTTAACTTGAAGGTGAACGTAGGAATGAGCCTGTATATGCGGAGCAGGCTTCAGTGGTGCGAATATGGTTAGGTGGGGTCTAGACGTTCAACGTTCAACGTTCAGTTTCGGTGTCCACCAAGGGGTGGACACTAAATACCATGTCACGGCTACACTTATATACTGTACGAAGAGAAAGAACCTCGTGGTTGTCGTGGTGGAAACAAGGGAAACGTGGTGAGCCAACTTTGCAAAAAACTTTGATCAACTTTCTAAATCTCTTTTCCGACAGGCTCACTGGTCTACCGACCTCTTTTGTCTTTTGTTCAGCATCCGCTGACATTTCTATGGAGTTACTCGCTCTAACCTTGTGCCATTGGCATTCAGTGGCATTCATACCGCCCGATGAGGTAGCCCGATTCCAAACAGGAACTGCCTCCGCTGACTCACGTCTCTTCAACCATACCATCGTCTCTCCATCTCTTCCTCCACGGTTTTGGTCTTTATCAACTTTGGCGACTTTACGTGACGTACTACAGCTATCAAATGACTATGCTGTCGCTTCATACATCTCTGTGCCTTGCCTGCTCGTCTTCTCTGCCGCCGAGGAAGTCTACAAATGATACTACCTTCCATACCCCTTGCTGCGGTCGACCGATATGCTCACGATGCCTTGTATCCAACCCTCGTTTGGCTAGGTACGACCCCTGCTTGCGATGTCTTGGTGGTGTAGGTGTCGTCAAGGCTCGATCGAAGGCACAGGGTAGTCGAGTGACCAGCTATGACTGCGAGGAATCTCGCGGAGACATCTCGCCTAGGAACATAGACGGCGGTGTTCACGACGAAGATGTATTTGTATTAGGTCATGATAACGATGATGAAGAGCAAGAGGATGCAGACGAGGAATATATTCCAGGAGTCACACAGTCCGCCGATACATCTCTAGTTCTTCCCCCTATGCTTGCAGAGTGCGAACACCGGGCCTCAGTGGCTAGTCCAACCCAAACGACGATGGATAATAATGAAGATGAAGAGAAGGCAGAAACCAAGGACACTAACGTATCATCGCATTCTGACCCTCTCAAGTATTATATACGTCCGGGAGACACCCTTCTGGGTATATCTTTCAAGTTGGGAATCGATGTGAGTTAGATGATTCGCTAATTTATATACCCTGGTCGACCCAATTGCATTTCCTAGAGACGACTTTTATGCCGCCTGAATAACCTTCCGCCAAGCACACTTCATACCACTCCTCATATCCTTCACACACGTACCTACCTCACGTTACCTCCGTCAACAAAGGTTCCGCCTTTGAGCGAGAACGATGCAATAGTAGATGAACAGCGGCGGGCTCAACGCGAGCGCGAGGTGGCTGAGAAACGCTTCCAGGCGTTGACCAAGGAGGTAGATACCTCCATAGCAAAGACATACGTCTCACTCGCTGAATCCCCTCTTGACGAAGAAGACGTCAACTATGGGTTAGGCAAGGAGGCGGGGCTGAAGTGGTCGAAGGAGGTCAAGACACCTCTTGCAGTGACTTCTCAGAATTCATTGGAGGGCCGAGCCATTGACCGTTACCTGGATGATGATGAGTGGGAGGCGAGAGAGCGACGTGAAGGTAGAAAAGTCTCCATACCCAAGTTCCCTCTGCTCGAATCTGCCGCCGGCTCAAGTAAGGAAGGTGCACGTAGTAATTGGATATCATTGTCGTGGTGGAAGAGGGGTCAATAATCATGCCTATTACCTCTATTCTTCCATAAGATAGTCAGTGTGATCTGCGTCTGCGACGCGGTGTTCATCAAGGAGAGTGAAAGGAGATACATAGGTCTCTTCGGCTATCGGACACCGCATTTTCTCCGACTATGTACAGCATACTGCGAAAGCCTCACCCAGAAATGCGAACAACAAGCTTCTCACCGTTAACTTGTCCCTTTCTGAGAATATCGAAAGCCTCCTTCACTCGATCAACTAATGTGGCACCTTGAATCTCACGGATGCGATTAGGCTTGATCAAGCCGGAGGAGAGCAACGGCGGCAATATCTTTGGTTGAAGCTCGTTCTTGAATTTTTCATTCTGAAACTAAACTTAAAAACCTGCTGAAATAATTCACATTCGATAAAACCTACCGTATGGTAGTAGGCAGTTCTAACAGGAAATAGCTCCACACCAGCAGGGAAAGAAATATCCGTTTGCGACTTCACACCCTGTACGGAGCCATAACCTCCAGATCGGACAGGTAACAAGTACGCAACCTGGCTTCCCTCCACAACGAACTCGGAGATGTGAGAAAGGCTGTTCTGTTCATCGGAAATGGTGTCAAAGACGTATTTGACGGGTCCGCCGGCAGCCCTCAGTACCTGCTCGCTGACATCTTTGGACTTGTAGTCAAAGATGACAGCAGCACCAAGAGAACGCAGGAATTCGTGATGACTGGAAGAAGCGATTCCTATCACGTTGGTATAACCTGCAAGATGTAGAACTTGAAGCGCATATTGACCGACGCTTCCTCCGGCGCCCCAGATAACGATAGGGGTAGCAGCCTCAAACGGCGATGACTTTGTTGGAAGTTCTGAAGGAGCTGGAAGCTTGAGGTTCCCGAACAGTGACCAGTACGCTGTGACAAAACTGTGTGAAGGAAATCAGATACCATGAGAGCGAAGTATCCAAGCAACAACGCATACTTATCGGGTACAGAGACCGCTTCCTGGATAGGAACATTTGAAGGGATCTACGGCAGACAGGTAAACAAGTAACAAACAGCTTTTTTGAGAGGATTGGCTAACCTTTCCAACTTTCCAATTGCTCAGCAGTGCATACTCTTGGAAGGCCTTGGCTTCCCCGGGAGCAAAGCTAAATGAAATGATATTGTCGCCCACTTTCACGCCAGCGTCTTGGCCAGCTTTCACAACCTCTCCAGCAAGACTGATACCCAAAATGAATGGATAATCCGTCACGCCGAGCCTGAAGTCAGCTTGCCAGAGCTCCAGGTTGGATACTGCGGCATATAGCACGCGAATCAAAGCTTCATCGCTGCCAGGTTCGCGTGTAGGTTGTTCTAAGGCGACAATGCCGGAGGTAGGCGAAGCGAGGCCGATCGCCAGATGCTTGGATGGAATTTTGGACATGGTCAGAGACAAATAGAGTTCTTGAGTAATATCTGCTACGGAGAGCGGTTACCTGGACGAAGGTTGAAGTTTGACCGTGTTTATAAAGGTCTCCGAGCCAGCTCCGAGCCATCGGTTGACTCTGTCCCAGTCTGTCCCTGATGACTGCTGCCACCCGACGAAGCCCCTAGATGGTTGCAGCAATAGATTAAAAACGCGTCTCACATGTTGATACGTGCAGAATCTGAAGATTCATGTACACTATAACTCAGCAAACGCCATTTTTTATGTCATCCTGACCCGACTCGGCTAACCATGTGGGTCCTATTGTCTGCCTTATCAGTCAAGTTGGAGAAATCACCAGGTAGACTTACAGATATGTAGATTCTGCTCAACGGATGGAACCTGTTGGGAGTCTGAGCGAACGCTCCGGCATATGAGCTTCAAATCCATAGCAAGTACTACAGTACTATACAAGACGGAGGTAAAAGACAAGAAGTGTGGCATAGACGATCAATCCGCTTCATGAAGCGCCATCAAAGATCTTGATTCCAGCTCACCAGGCCTCAGGATGCCTCACTGGTGCACCTGGTATGCATGCTCGCATCCCGTGAAGAGATGTCCCTAGATGCCATCGATCCAAATGTAGAACTCAACGTATCTTTTCATCCACCCTTGGCGTTACAAAGGAGAGGATGGGTATTTGATATAATGCGGCGAGAACGTGTCTCTGAAGTAAAGCTATCTCATCATGTGTCTTCCTCACAATTTCCTAACACATTGTATAACATAGGTTCTGGATATTGGTTGTGGTGAAGGTGAACTCATAGCATGTTTATGCAATCCTCCTCCCTGGCTTCGTCCGCCACCCGCATCTCTCTTGCCGCCCACAAGTCCTTTAGCTACATTGCCAACCCCTCATGAGGTCGACTGTGACGGTTCCCCGATGAACAATAACTCAGACGCTGATGATTACCTATATATCAATAAGATCTACGCCTTGGACATCTCTTCTTCAGACCTGGAGTACGCCATTACAGAGACCGCCCCACGTCCAGAACCAGAAGCAGGATCCTGGCAACGCTACACTCCGCGTTGGGGAAATCTTGATATTGACCTATGGGAAGGCAGTCTAGACGTGTTTAACCCAGAGTTTGTCGGTATTGAATGTGTAGTGTCAACCGAAGTGTATGTAATCTTATACGTCAAAAATATTGAGTACATACCCACACTTTGTTGCTGCCCTATCAACAGCATTGAACACCTGCCTGAGGATATTTTGGATGAGTTCGCGCCGGTAATCCTTGGATTGTACCATCCACGCTTACTTCTGATCACGACACCGTCGTTCACATTCAATGAGCGGTTTGTCGCACCTAATGCACCTCCAGGGACCAGAAGAGGGTACCATGACCCTACGAAGCGCACGGACAGGATCTTCAGACATCATGATCATAAATTCGAATGGACAATACAAGAGTTCACACAGTGGTGCCGAAAGGTAGCTCAGGAATGGGGTTACGATGTTGACATCGACGGGGTTGGGAAAGCACTCGAGCCAGATCCATGGGGTCGGGATGAGGAGCTAGGTTTCGCAAGCCAGGTCGCAGCGTTCACAAGACGGGAGGGTGAAGAGGACGCCGGCATCAGAGAGCAACGTTGCAAAGAGCTTGGCTTGCTTCAACGCATGAGGGATCGGGTGCAGCACAAATTATGCACGCAGCACCGTCACCTAGCACACCCCACAAGCAAGAAGCCTGGTACGCTAATTACTATTGGAGATGCGGTAAAAGCAAAGATACAGTACTTCCAGGAAGCCAGAGTGGTTTTGCGTCAATTCTGGTTTGAGAACGACATCAGTACATTATGTGGAGGGTGGGTTGAACTGCTAGTTGCCGCGATACAGGAGCATCCGGATTTGCGCTTGGAGAAATCTCAGTCGGAATCAAGATGGTTCGTTGAGCTTCCGGGATTCGTTCCAGGCAAACAGGACGTATGGGAAGAGGTAGAGAGAGAATCAAGTATTCCGGGGAGCATACCCAGCGAAAGTTCCCAATGGAACGAGGAGGAAAGTAGTTGGAATGACCAGGTGGGGAACTGGGACGCTGAAGACAAATCTTTTGAAGAGGCCGAACACGGTTGGGATTCAGCGCCACAAGACCTTGTGAAGTCGCAGGGAGGATGGGGAACTCCAAACGAGGCCACGCCGAACCACTTGAGCTGGGGCTATCACACAGATGGTTGGGTCTAGCGTGTCCGGGTAGTAGAAAGTCCATGGATTATAGCTAAATATATTACGACACTGGCTTACCATTAATAGCGACATTTTAGAACAGAGAATTTGAACTCACATGGTATACTGGAGGATGGTGAACCTCCGTAATGCCATCCTACAATCACTCCAAGATGAAACTCTTCTTTGGACCTGTACTGACTGTCATTCCTCTGCAACGACGTGCTAATTGAAAGAGACATACGTTCTAGTGGATGTACCTGGGCGAGGTATGTCACCATCCACATCAAGTAGCAGCACGCCAATGCGAGCGAAATACTCGTCCGAATTAACCTATGACCAGTTGGAACATGTCATGAATGCGCTCAGGTATTCTGGGGACCTACGTTTGATGAGGACCTTTCCGCGTAAAAACCCATGCTGCGGTCATGAGACCGAGAACGGCAATAAGAACGAGGAGTACGGGTAACGTTGAAGACATAGTGCTGGTAGCGGACCACCAGTGCGTGGGCATGATCCTGTCGGTAGGCGCCAATTACGTGAACGTCCACAATGGGAAACCGTAGAAGTGATGTTGAACTCGAACCTTTGCTTCAGCCACGACATTGCTACAGTCTTCTATCCAGAGCTGGCCTCCCTCATATAATACCCATATACTACTCTACTTAACATATTAATAGGTTGTCTATCTGAACACCATGGTAATGCCTCTTCCTAGAAGCGCAGACTTTTGAGACTAAACTTCCTCATCTCGTCTTAGACTCTCCATTCTAGCGCAAATACGGCCGTTTCTGAGAAGGAGAATAGACTGAATAATACCACTGAATACCGCCGTCCACGTGAAGAACCACTGTCCGATTTGCTCAATGTTGCCCGTCAACAAAACTGCGCTATTGTGGGCGTACCCAAGGTACTGTGAAGCCCATCTTACCTCAGTATTCTGCTGTCACTACTGATGCTCAAGTGTTCCTTGTTTCAGGATCTTTCAGAAACGGATAATCTTTTGTTCGCACTGTTGCCCTCCATGACCCCCGAGCCTGGCTTTGTACCCTACACATTCCAGAGCGGCGTTGGGCATTCGAACTGGAGAGACGAATGGTCCGAAGACTCCTCGGACGACTTCTCGCAATCGGACGACTCTTGTGACATTCTGGGAAATACGGTATATTCAGGGTCCTTTGTCCCATACGAAGTCTCCGTTCCCATTTCCGCGGCTATACTCAACGGTTGGTCTTTTCATCTCGTTGCGTAGTGGAAATTTTAATTCTGTTCGCTAGACCCTCTTCGGATGATTCGTTGTCCGTCTTTCTACTTCGACCCCTACTTTCCGGATGACGGCTCTAAGGGCCTTGATACTCAAACTAAGGAACCTCTCAATATGGACCCTGATGCACCCGATGAACCATATATCGTCAAGTTGCCATATCAGTTTAGCAGCATCCTGGTGAACCCGATTCTTAAAGAACCTACCGAAGTTGTCATGGAACCTTTGACTGAACCTGCAGGCGAATTATCAAGTGAGCCGGAAGCTAAGCTCGCCGCCCTACCTCCAGACATGTACACTCGCAAGCGCCTGGAACCTTCTTCGGATGACTTTGATCTCGCAGACACTCCTCTTTTAGTTCTGCCTCCAAGACTCGAGTCTGATTATAGCTCTTTTCCTGAAACGGCCATAGGGACTATTAGCACGAGCACCACGACAAGCACAGGCACCACCACCGGCAGCGAGAGCGAAAGTTCTAGTGGCGATGAAAACTCAAGCAACATTCCTAACGAACAAGAAGAAGGCGGAAGCTCCAACAGCAGCGTATCCTGCAGCGATAGTGATAGCGAGGGCGATGATGACGATAGCACCGTCAACACTCCCTGTCTCCCTGCAAACCCCGGGCCCATCCCTGCTGGCTCTGCTCCTACAACCGGTCTTTCCAACCTGCCCGATCAACAACACTCGACGCCTTTCCAACAGAACTTTCGACTTTCAGGTCCTTACTTTGGCACCTTGCGCGCTCCTGCCTCTACTTTGTTTAACATGCAACGACGAGATTGGCCGATGTTAAACAACGCTTGCAGTCCCGGCGTAACCTTGCGGATCCTGCCTCGCTTCGGATTGGCTACGTATGGTGGGGCTGGACCCGACCTGAACGTTTGACACGAACTCGTCATTTCCCAAATGGTCTCGAATACTTTGTATCTTGGATGAACCCTATTATAATCCCCGGACTCTAGATTCTATCATCTTTCTGCATTTTTTATAGTCCCACTTGTACCTTTATTCCTGTACACTCCTACGAAGTCAATGTCAAACAGAAGTTTTACAGAACGACTTACAACGTTGGATGAGAGCTCAATATCTACCTTCCACATCGGCTTCCGGTTCGAAGACGTCAGAACAACCACACAAAAGTCGTACAATCCACAGCATTAAATGCAAATCCCATTAAGTTCTAAGCGTAATAAAGTGGTGGTGGTGGTACTTTCAACTAGGGTATAAGCAAAACAAATGTCATCTACAATGAGTCCAAGCTTTCGGAAGCTCGACAAAATCAATCAAACTCCCTTCGCCTGTAGAGGATGTTACGAGGCGTCTTGGGTAATATGATCATGGTCTGGTAATTGGGCCCAGGTACAGGGTGGTCGAGCCTGAGCTCAACACGACGGATCAAGGTGGCGAGGACAGTGCTGAGTTGCAGGTATGCAAACTAGAGCAAAACAAAGTCAGCACAAGTCTAACTAAGATGGTCATATGAATTTAGAATATGCTCACTTGTTCACCAATGCAACGATGACGACCTGCACCAAACGGTTGATACGGGCTCTCTGTTCCCTTACTCACCAACCCAAACCCAAAGTCAACCTTCTGGCCATTCGCATCATCATACTGCTTATACGCCTGTTGCGCAACACCTTCAGGGTCGTTCCACCTCGTAGGATCCCACTCAAAGGAGTTCCTCCAAAGCAAAGGGTCAACCTGACTGACGGCAGCACTAGACAGAAGGATATCGCCTTGAGGAACGACGTAAGTACCGTCTTCTGAGGGAGCAGCCAGAGTTCGAGGGACGGGAACGTCGGAACGGGCTTTACGCATGATACTGTGGATGGGTGGGTGCATGCGGAGGGTCTCGCGGATGACGCAGTCGAGGACGGGGAGTTCTCGGATTTCTTCGTATTGCATGGATCGCCAGGAGCCATCGGGTTGGCGGAAGTGCTTGACTTGTTCTTGGTAGAGTGCCTCACTAGGGTGATATATAAATAAGAATGCGTGGGAAGCAAAGAGGAATGAACACGTACGCAACCTCTGGCTTGTCAGCAAGGTGGAGAAGAATCCATGAACCAGTGGCCGAACTAGTGTGTTGACCAGCCATGAGAAGTGCGATCATGATGTGAGCGATTTCGTGGTCTTGCAAAATCTTGCCGTTACGGTACTTTTGATCCATCAAAGCTGCGATCATATCAACTTCAGACTGAAACGACTGTCAGCAACAAGATTGGAAAGAAAAGTCAACCCGTCAAAGTTCACCTGGTTACCAGATTCTCTGCGCTTTTGGATGATATCAATATAGAATTGGCTCATCTTCTTGTGCGCGGCATCACGCTTGCGGTAGCTGGGAAGAGGCAGGTGAGGGAAAAGCCAGTGAAGGGGAGTAAAGCCGCCATCAAGATCAGCGTAGACCTGGGCATAGGTCTTGTCGAGCGCATCCCGAACCTCCTTGCCTTGAAGAGTCCTTGAAGCCGTCAAGATAGTGATTTCGGAGATAGCATGCAGGACGTCGAAAGAGCCCCATTCGTTAATGTCGTTCATCTGGTAGGCGCGGAAAGAAGAGTCCTTGTTCATGAATTGGAGGACCTCGTCTTCGATCATGCCAACGTAGGCACGGAAATTGTCGTTGCGGAGACCGTACTTGACGAATTTCTTCTGTTCCATGAGGAGTTCATTAGGGCAATCGTAGACCACATCTTTGCCAAAGACGGGAGTCGTTAAGTGCTAAACACGGAGAAATTAGCTTGAGCTGTATAAAATATGGGCTGTCACATACAGTATAGGCGTCCTCTGCAGACATGACAGTGTGTTTGCCGCCCATAATAAAGTTATTTCCGTCAGGACCGAGGGCAACCGTCACGCGACGTCCAAGGAGAATGAAAGAAAAGACATTTCCGTACTGCGCTCAGAGTGTCAGATGGCGAGAGGAGCATATATCCTTGGTACACACCTTGTCCCTGCAATCAAGGAAGAACTTGATAGGATCTTGACCATAGGCCGCCGCAGAACCAAAGATGGGAATCCAATGCCATACGAGAGGTGGCTTCGACTTGTCACGCGGCAACTACAGCACGCTGTCAAGCAAACGAAGTCGAAACACGTCGTACTAGGCTCACCAGTTGGTATATAACATTTAGGATGATCGAAATAATTGGCAGGTTCACCAAAGCAAGCAAAATCAAGCGAGAAGTCGGAGTAGTTGCGATGAACTCCTTGACATGGTCGACGAAGACCGACAACTGGGCATGAATACTGTCCGGGAACGACATCTTGACCAAACCCTATGCTACGAGTATCGTTCGCAGCGACGTGGAGGGTGTGAGGACGAGTGGGAACGGTGGAAAGATGCGTGAGGACAGCGAGCTCGCTTTTGTACCCCGTGCGCGTGAGCAAATTCTTGGGCGACATCGAACGATTCTAGCAGGTGTGCGCCAATTACGTAACCTCCCATTGGCCTGCGCCAACTCCAGTTGCTGCATGCACAAACCAGACCGACCCAGGACATGCAGAAAATAATACCTCCATTATTCCAGACATTGTTCGCAACATCGACGCGTAAAGTAAAGAAAATATACTGTAGGAGCATGCAGTGACCTCAAGACAATGAGGAAGCCGCCCGATGGAAATAGCTATGTTGCCCGGAATGGGAGGTCACAGCATCGCCGTACAGTCGCAGGTTGCTGGCACTGGCGGTTACACACTGTAACACAGGATACACTTTGCTTTTATACTCTTGCTTTCTCTGTCTGTCTTTCATCTCTTTCTCTAAATTATCATGTCGTTACCTCCACAACTTCAGCACGCTCTCGAGAATCTCAAATTTCAAGCAAAGGACGCCTTTTGGGCGCTCTCATCATGTATTTGCCAGGAATCAGCAAAGGTCAAGATTAACGGCCGAACATGTTCGTCTAGTGATCCCTTGTTGTAAAGTTTCTACTGAGACCAGGATTTGTAGTTAAGATCATTAAAGTCCTAGGAGAGGGTGGTTTCTCATTCGTGTACCTCGCTCAAGATGAGCATAGTGGGGTAAGTCCTTGCTTAACCACTTGCTTCACCCGTGTTCATGTCAGGCTTTGCGTATTTTCTCCGCGTAATAGCGTCAATTCGCTCTAAAGAAGATTCGATGTCCAAGCGGGAGTGAAGATGTGAGGCAGGCTATGCGGGAGGTCGAAGCGTACAGACGGTTTAAGTGAGTTTATTCTTACTTGGCTTTCCGTAGCATATGCTTTAACTTGCATCAGACATCCCAATATTATTCGTATCTTGGTGCGCTTACCTGCGTCGTTCCACTTGCGCCTTGAGTAACCTATGTTTGCAGGACTCGGCTGTTGTACAAGACCCCGCTGGAGACGGCCAGATTGTCTACCTTTTCCTACCACTATACAAGGTACGTCATTGTGACCCAACGCACCATTCAATCATTCATCACATCCACCAGCGCGGAAACCTCCAAGACGCAATTAACGCAAACCTAATCAACAATTCCCACTTTCCCGAGAAAGAAATGCTTCGGCTCTTCAAGGGCACCTGTGAAGCCGTCCGCGCCATGCACGATTACCATGCCCCAATCGGTTCCTCTTCAAACCCATTCCCCGGCCGCGCGAACCAATCATCATCTTCAAACACTCGTCAGCAACATCAACGACGACTTTCCGGCGCAGGCGCACACCCAAAGCTTTCCGGTGAACACCCACGACTTTCTGGCGAACATACCGAGAGACAAGCACTCAACCCTAGTCATTCCGGTGCTGATGACGAAGAGGATGAGGATGATGGTATGTTCCCACATCCAGAAGGTGATGCTGATGGAGGGTACTCGTATCATGGAAGTGCTAAGAGTGGAAGAGTACCATTGATGACGAAACATCGACCGCAGGATGAGGGTGAGACGATATATGATGGGGATGAGGAGCTAGCGAGGATTCAGCAAGAGGGTTCGAGTGGGAATGCGAATGGGGGTGAGAGGGAACTCGTTCCCTACGCTCATCGAGACCTTAAACCAGGGTACGTTTAATTCCGGAAATACTTTTTTCTCATGTTTCGTGTTAACGCTTACATATATGTAGGAATGTGATGATCGCGGATGATGGAACGCCTATACTCATGGACTTTGGAAGTGCCATGAAAGCGAGAGTCAAGGTCGAGAATCGATCACAGGCATTGCTCCAACAAGATATTGCCGCCGAGCAATGTACTATGGCATACCGAGCTCCGGAACTCTTCGATGTCAAGACTGGTATCACTCTTGACGAGAAAGTCGATATCTGGGTATGTCTTTGTTTCTTATTTCGTTATCGAGACTAAGGCCATGTCGATATCCTTTGACATAAATAGTCGTTGGGCTGCACGCTGTACGCCCTCGCATATTCTCATTCACCGTTCGAGAATACACAAACGACGGAACAGGGTGGTTCAATAGCCATGGCTGTTATGAATGCCCAGTACAAGCATCCTAGCTCAGCGTATTCGCAAGGGCTTCGGGATCTCATTGACGTTACGCTCAAACCGGATCCTCAACAGAGACCGGATATTCACCAGGTTTGTGTGCATCCCATCGTTTCAGACAGGGACTGATCGATCGCAAATTATCTTAGGTCCTTGAGATTACGAACCGAGCACTACAGAGGCTGAGCTAGTCTGAACATTGCTGGTTTTCTGTCGTTGTCATTGTTTAGAGTATCCCTTGGTGTTTTGCTATATTTCTGTTATGCTTTCATACCTCTTCGGAACGATGGACTTTTAACTTACACTTCTTTCCCGCCTGCGTGCACACAAACTTTAAGTCGTCTGGAAGCATAATCAAGATCTGACGCTGAATAGATGAAACCACTGTCACTAAGTACGAAATGAAGACTATGATGCTGCAGCCGCCACTGCCGCTTTCTTCGTCGGAGCTTTCTTATACGTTCGTCCAGGTGCACTTGGTTTTGGTCCAGAACCGGCCTTCTGCTTCTGATTGGTCTTCGCTTTTGATGCGGTAGCCGGGGTGAATTTGTCCACAGTCTTTTCTGTCGACGTTATCGGCTTTCGGGGAGATTTGTTAGATTTCGATGGAGCTGTAGAGGACTTTGGCTGTTCGGAAGTGTCAGCTTTTAGAGCCTCCCTCAGTTTCCCTTTCTTCCCAGAATGCTTGTTCGATTTGACGTCGTTGGATGTCGAATCCAGCTTCGCGGACGTAGTGAGAATCGATTCATCGCCCTTGATTGTGCTCTTCTCCACCTTTCGTTTCTTCTTCGGTGGCTTCGAGGAGGCGGTAGACTGAGCCAGATCTGACTCTGCAGCCTTGGTACCGTCACCGGAAGAGGCACCGGGGGCGGCAGGAGTGGCAGCGAGCTTCTTCGCTTTCTTTTCCGCTTTGAACTTCAGGCCCTTTGCCTTCATTTCTTTGGCTTTCTCGCGTTTCGCCTTGATGGAGGCGAGTTTGGCTTTCTGTGCACAACACTCCTTTAATATCGCAGATAAATCGCATAAATTCAACACTCACCCGTTTCGCAGCCCGTTTTGACAATGAACTCTCTTTCGTCCGTTCCTTTGGCTTATTCGCCGCGTTCAGCATTTGCCAAAATTCGCTCAGATCGGTATCGGGGTCCGCCGTTCCAGCGAACTCGACGAATCGCGAGAATCGACGATAATGGGCCTAAAGGATCTAATGTTACTTCGAACACGTCTTTGAAAGGTGTGCAAGAAAGGAAACATACCTTGGATGCCTTGTGAACTTCCGCCATGGTCGAGTTCTTCAGCAACTTCCCTTGACATACCGCACATGCCCTGACATCCGGGTCAAGAGAGATGATATAGACGGGGTCTTTCATTGCTTCCGTCACGGATATTGGTGGTGATTCGTGTGAGGACTCGTCCTCCTCTTCGCTCTCTTCATCCTCCTCTGCAGAACCAGTGCCCTCCTCGTCCATTTCATCACTTTCGGAAGCAGCATTCTGCGGCATTGGCTGAGAAACGATATCCTCACCCTCGCTCTCGCTCTCTGAAGATGAACCTTCTGCACTTGAATCACTCTCCTCTGAATCCGTGTCGTGCATGCCAAGCACCTCCTTCATCTCCCCCGTTAGACCCAGATCTTCCTCCTTTGCCTGTTTCCTTCTTCGTTTCTCCACGCGTTTGAACATAGTAGACAGAAGAGCTACCTATTGAGAGACGAATGTGAATTAGATAGAGCCCGATGGATGAGAGCCAACTGCGAGTTTTATTCCGCTACATGAACTACGTTAAGACTGCTGAGTCAGCATGATCGATCCCAAAAAGCAAGATCAATTAATTTCTAGGCTGAACACGTCCACAAGGTTCGTCGACGCTTGGAACATTCAACCTGAATGCATCGTCGCGGCCTACAACGTGTAGCTGATCGAGCCACATCCTCATACTCCATACGATGCTACTCTACTGCATCTTCTTCAAATCCGTCGCCCTCTTCTAAGCTCAAGAAAAGGCCTCCTAGAAAAGGTGTTGTTGGCGACATTGTCACCGACAGGCTAGTAAAGTCGGCGGCCTTTGGAGCCAAACATGTTCCCCAGGTAGAGTCCAGGGAGCGTAATAAAGCTCGTCGCTCAGGCAGCGCTCAAAATGCTGGTCCAAACTCAGTGAAGGAACCGGCGGTCGCTTACCCAGTGAGGGGAGGTGAATATCGTTACCTGGAGAATGCAATCAGGAGAGCCAATACACCTGGAAATTTGCCTTCTCCGGAGAAGGTCAAATTTGTCACTACTCCGGAATCAGAGCTGGATGAGTTGCAGGGCTTCGCTGTCGGGTCGGATGTGAACGTAGAGAGTATTCGAAGTGGTGCTGGCTCATTCATCGAGATGCGGAGGTGAGTCCCAATGCAGCAGATACGTGTTACATCTCTTATATTTTTCTCCATAGAAACAACCAGGTCATTCACGGTGTCATCTTGGGTACCCTTCTGATGGATGGAATGCAGCAGATTATATCTTTGACAAACACCGGCGAAGTCATCGACCATTTTGCTGAAGACGTGCACTTCTCAATACCAGACTACGTCGACAAGGACCTCATAACTCGTTGCACTATCGAGTTTATTGCGGAGAATGAGCATCAAATCGCAGCTAGGGTTAGGGCGCTGAAGAAAATCCGAGAACTAGAAAGAAGAATCGAGGTTGAATTCAATCGTATTGCGCCTCTCATGAACAATGCGTATGACACCTTCAAGTCTTCAAACCCATCGGAATGGGCGCACGCGACTACGTCCCAGATTGCGACTCTGGTCGGTCCTGTTGAATCGCTGTCACCCGTGACCATCATTGCTGTGCACAAACATATCATGCAGCGGAGTGTGCATTTCGTGGCCAACCAGTCCCAGTTCCTTGCTACTCACCTTTTCTGGATTCGGCCCCAGGAACAAATCGACGACTTGGCTGTGGTTGAAGATATGGTCCACCGAAAGGACCCTCTTCTCGATGCATTCGCAGCAAAAGCAAGACAGCTGATTTTGCGTAACCGCGAAATCCTTACATCGACGTCGTCTCTGCCTCCGGCGGTGAAACCGCAACCCGATATTCAATTCACTGATCAAGAAAAAGTGATCGTACGTTTCTTAAAGGCCGTACTGCGTTCCCAACGATCCACACAAAAAGACCCATATATTGTACCATCATCCTTCATTCTGAAAAAAATCGCTTACCAGCAGCCGAGCGAAGATCTGGTTCATTTCGAGCTCATCGGAATTGATGACGCAACCATTTCTCGGTTCCTAGTCGATTTAGGTGTCTTGACTGCCTGGGACGATCCAAACACCGGCAAGAATGAGCTCCACTTCTTGCACGAAAAGGGACTAGAACAGCAGATAACTAGTGTTACTTGTGCAGTAGACCCTTCTCTTCGGTCTCTCGGTCCAACGGATCTTTACCCCAAGGACATCGTAGAGTCACTTCGACATGACTTCGGTAACCTCCCGGCGTATATTGTGGATGATGTAGGGGCCGAGGAACTAGACGATGCCTTGTCAGTAGAACCCGTTGCCGGTGACCCCTCTTCATACTGGATACACGTCCATATTGCCGATCCTACTTCTATCCTTCCGCCGACTCATGAAGTTGCTCAGCAGGCACATCGTCAAACGACGTCGTTATACTTCATCCATCAAACACTCCCTATGTTGCCTAAAGACTCCGTTTTCGAGGCCTTAAGTCTTGGCTCCGGCCGTGATTCTGGCAGACCTGACAAAACCCTCTCATTCAGCTTCAAGCTGGATCATGCGGGCGAGATCGTTGATTACAAGGTGCGAGCTGGGTTAATTAGGAACACCCATATCGTCAAATACAATGAGATGGACGCAGCCCTGGGATTGCCTCGATCAAACTTATACTCTTATCCCTTTCCTGGTACGGAGCGGGACATTTCATTACGCACCTTCCCCAAGTCCGATGTCACCAATATGCGTACACTCCATTTCTTGGCCAAACGATTACTCGATGCCCGACTTCGAACAGATGCACTCTCCACACACGTACGGGATGTCGAAATAACAATGTCACCCAGACCACCTCCCTCCAATCCCTTCGATGTCTCACAGCCTATTCAGTCTATCGGATTTCCCACATTGGATTATAGGGTGCGAGATGAAAACTCGGAGTTCCTCGACTCACGAGGAGTCATCTCGGAAATGATGAAAACTGCAAGTAGGGTTGCCTCCAGGTTCTTCCGTGACCATAACATTCCTGCCATTCGACGAAGCGCTGGACGCATGACCACCGCTTCGGAGGAAACGTTTGGGGACTTGTTGGCCATACGAGACCCAATGGGTAACATCCCCTATGTTGATCTCGTTCGTGCCAACGGCGTTTTCCCTGCCGCCCAATATACGACGAAGATTAATGGACATTGGCAATTGGGTATTCCGGATGGCGAGGGATACACTCGAGTGACTTCCCCGCTCCGTCGCTACGCGGACATTGTCGCGCATTGGCAAATCAAACACGCATTAGTCTCGCCCGCTTCTGCCCCTTTCTTCAGTGAGGATTGGATGAACACTTTCATCGTCGAATTCTCAGCCAAGGAGGCGAGATTGAGGAAGATAGAGTTGTGGCATAGGGCAAATTGGGCCGTCAAGTTCCTTAAACGCTGGATTGCTCATCCTGAAAATCACAAAGACGTTGAAGATCCCCTTCAATCCCTCACTTGTGTTGTCGTCGCTGCAACGACGGAGGATCGCATCACTCGGAGTTTCCACACTCAAGTCTTGCTTCCTGAGATTGGCTTACGGGGAGTCCTGAGAGGGCTCTCTAGTGGGGAGGAGGTCCAAATTGGTGATGTCTTGCCAGTGAAATTGGGAGACTTGAAGACTGGACTTAAGCCAGCGATCGGGGTGGTTCGTAGATAGACAAGTATTTAGGTATGATCTAATCACTATTCCTAGTAGCACATTGTAATCAGAAGTCCCAGTCAATACTACCACCATTCTCCAACGTAAAATATCGAAGTCCACGAAATCGTTATCAAGTCCAATCAGTTTGTTAATCGTCGAAACCCATTTCCGCCATCCTCTTGGCGCGTCGCAGAGCTGCGCGTTCTTCCTCAGTCAGACAATACCAACCTTCCACGCTATCTTCAAGTTCCATCTCCCATTTCTCCTCCAGCTCAAGTTGTTTCTTAGTCTTCTTCGGCGGCGGTAGACGAGGCGGAGGAGGTGGCGGTGTCCGACGATGTGGATGCAAAGGTGCGATTTTCCTCAGCAAGCTGCGAGAAGCCTTCATATAAGGCGAGTGAGTGGGACGTGTAGAAGCAAAGGGTGATCCGGGAATGGAGTTGACTTTGCGAATGAGTTCAGACATCGGTGTAGATTTTTTAGGGATCGAGTACAATCGTGATGAGTTGCTCGTTGCTGACGATGGCGGAGCAGTCGCGCGGCGATATGCTGGTGTTTGTGGGGTTTCGTCCAATTTGTGTGACACACCTAGTTCGTGATTCTCCTGTGGTGGCGACTATCGAAGGTTAACAATAGCTGTAGCCCCCACGAATGAGAACTCACCTCCTCGTCTTTATCAGGTTCCGGCCCTGTTGGGGCCTGAGCAATCTGTTTCCCTTTCACCTTGCTACGTTTCGGAGATGGCGGCAGAATAATGGCTTCGGTATCATCACCTTCTTCTTCAGAGTCTACTACAGCACGTCGTTTGCCTTTGCCTTTGCCTTTAGGCCTCGACTCACTGTCCATGTTGTCTTCCCTTGGAGCACGCGTCGCAGTCCGCCTCTTAGGCGATGCCTTCTTCGTGGCATTTGAACTCGACGCCTTTGCATTATCCAAATCAGACTCCAATGATGAGAGCTCCGATTCTATCGCCGTCACATTGTTCTTGGGAGGCTCAGGCGGTATAACACGTTCTTCCTTACCACCGGTCGTGGGGCTTTCATCATTGACTGGCGGATCCATTGCATTGCCAGAAGCGATAGCCTTCACAGGACTATGCTTAGCCCTTGGGACCTCCACCACCATAGTCTTCTTAGTCTGACGCTTCGTCTTCGGTTTCGGCTTCGCTTTGGCTTTCTTGGGAGGCTCATCGTCGCCGTTCCAATCTTCTTCGTCATCATCCGCCTTCTTCTTCCTCCCTCTAGCTTTCTTTGGTGGGCTGCCTTCAATAGCGGCGCTGCCGCCGTCGTCTTTGGGCTTGCGTTTCCGCTTATTTGAGTTATTAGTCGACGTTGTAACGTCGGAAGGCGGGACAGCTGAAGAGGAGGACGATGGTGCGAAGAAAGGTGGGGGAGGTGGCGGCATTAGTTCATCGTCATTGTCGGCAGTTATATGCGGGCTTCTAAGTCTGATGTCGTCGTCCTCATCGTCCAAACCTGCCATGGACATAGCAGTTCGTTTTCCTTTACGCATAGCAGGCATGGGTGAAGGCGGTGGGGAGGGTTCGCGTTCATTGTGAAGAGCAAGCAGATCAATCGGAGTAGACTTGAGTGGCTCAGTTCCGGAAGACTGCGGCGGATCCGAAGGAGGGAGTTGCGAACCAAAGCTGACGTTAGGATCTGAGGTCGGTTCTGGAAGAAGAAACATGGGTGTGGAATCAGGAAGAGGGTCAAACAAATCGCGGGGTTCGGCAGCTCGTTTCTGCGGGGCCTTTCTGGGCTTTGGCTTGACTTTTGGAGCGGGTTGTAGGAGAATTTCATCATCATCAGATGTAAGTATGATCACATCGTCTGGCGGAGGTGCTGAAGCCGTTGATTTCGAGGTACGAGTCCGCGATTGAAGCTTGGCACGTTCCGCGACGCCGAGTGAGAAACTTTCGATGTCGTCGATCATCAACGGTGGCTTTCTGGAGGGTGAAGAGTCGGGGTTACTGATGCTAGATGGTCCTGCGGCCGCTGTTTGTTGTATGCCCCCTTCCATGGCTGTATTTCTGTTGGCTTTTCTTCGCGGTTGTCGTGGTTTTGGCCGGGAGGAACCGTTGGGAGTCGTGCTCGTTGATTGAATAGGATCTGCAGTGAGCCCTGCCCCAGTTTTCTTCTTTGCTGTACGAGCCTTCGTTGTAGAGGATTCTGTCTGTATCGTAGATTGCATCTCCGATGCTGAGACCAGGATCGCTATGGGTGGTTGCGAGAGTTGTTGTTGTTGTGGAGTGAATGAGGAAATCGAATCGGAATTCTTTACTGCATATGTAGCAGAGGTCATAACATCGACGGTCTTTGTGGTATCTGGAGAGAATGAGTTAGAACGTGTGAATTGTGTGTAAGCACCACTGTGCCACTGACCGGTCCTGAGACCGCTATCCGGAATAGACATTTCATCTTCTTCCTCGCTGTCTGCAATGATTTCCCCGACGTTAGGTATCATTATAAAAGATATATTCGTGAAGATAGAGGCTAAATGAGCTATCACCTGTGTGCTGAAGATGATTGAAGAGAAAGAAAGACTAAGCGCGCATCGTACACACGTTCCACGCGTAGCAATAAATGCATCACATGATCGCGATTTGGGTGCATTGTCGTGGTCTTTTCGTGCTATTTGGTTTTAGATTAACCTTCTCCGGTATGAGTACTGAGTATCTAGCTCTTTGTTTCGATACCGTTCTTGTAGAGGCTACATCTACAAATGACATGACTTTGATCCACAGTTCTCCAGAGTGTACGGTCCCTCTGGAATGCCATAAAATGGACCTTACTTGCTCCCTACTCAGCGATCAGCCTGGACAGGAGAGCCGTTGGAAATCATTCGTACTGGTCCCTTCCCAACATCTATGATCCTGTCTCTGCTGGCTGTCTTATAGGGACAGTCCAGCCGCATTTCGCCTGTGGCCTACGGCTGGGCGCAGAACATGGTACGACGCCGATGTCCGAGAATCTGCTTGCTCAGGCTTGTCTTTCATTCGCGAGCACCCTGCGGTGGGACCTCAAGTTCGAAGGCAATTTGATAATGTACACAAGGTCAGGCAACAGTGGCCTTTGTTATGTCTCTGTTACAGTCTAGACAATGGCTAAAAACTGTTTTTACAGAAAGATATCCAAATTTATCTCCTATTACTTCTCCATCTAAAGTATGGTCCTCTCTTGCAGTTCTTCTAGCAAAGTCAATTATCCTTATGCCAAAAGAAACATTTGAGAGTTATAAAAGATGGCTAGCTTGGATGTTTGATGCTCTGACACTACTAGGGTCATATGACTCATGTCAAATACCTCAGAGAGACACAAGATATTTTGGCTAATTACTTATCACAGGATGCAAGTTGGAATGCAGTTTTTGAAAAACATATTATTGAAATTATCACAAGGTTGCTCAAAGGTGAATTTGTCAAAGTGAGACTTGTTCTTATAATATTTAATTTACTTGTATCTGCATTAAGTGAATGTGATGGCCCAAATTTACTAAATGGACTGAAAACAATAGTATCAAATACCTATGAATACCCTGAAGGAGATTTACTTCAACAAAGATGCTAAGTGATTCTTGGATACTGAGAATGCAATCTACATTTGATGCAATAGCAATACTTCTTTGTCAAACAACTAAGAGATCATACCAATTTGAAATCTAAATATCAAGCTCAGATACATCATAAATATAAACATTTTAAATGCCAAAAATAGGCAACAAAGATAAGAGAAATATAGATGCAGAAAGTAAGAGAGGCAAAAATGATCATAGATGATAGAAAGGTGCGCAATGCAGACAAAGAACTGTTCACTAAGTTTTCGGGTATTCTCTGTCACATACCTTCAAGCCAATAAACCAGGTTCAAGATATAACAAGTCAGAAGTCTTATTCTTGATAATTGCAAGCGAGACTAAACATGTAGAAGTCAAATAGCACTTTCACAAATGACGTCCACATACTGTTAAAAAAATGCAACTATTTCAAGATGAGTCCCTGTATGCCACAATATGATTGAACTAATACCAAAAGTAATACACAAAAGTAAATAAAAGACCAAGAACGTTCCTTCGTCTAAATAGTTGAGTGAAGTGAGAAAAGAGTCTATGCATGCATGACGAGTGCGTGGCCAATAGCGGAATGCGACAAGATAATGCTAGCGACATAGCGATCCAAAGTCGGTAATTAACTAACGTTTTTGCGACGGTACGGGGGCAAGGGTATACGCAGAGAGACATGGGTCGTCAATGGGTCGTAAGCAATGACAAGGGCTATCAGATTACTGAGGCCTGCGAAGTCAACGCGGGACTTAGGCGGGATATAGTGTACGGTAGAAGTCATCCAAAGAGATCGTGAGATGCAGAACAGCACATGTAAAGTCAGAGAGTCTGCAACGGTCAGATCGGTGAGAAGGCCCAATGATAAGATATCTGAATTTGCACTCACGAATGCGCATACGCATCCAGTGTGCATGCGGCCAGAAACGGTATCTTGAGCTTCAAGCTCGGCAGCAAAACGCTGCCCAGAACCCCCTCTTCCTGGGAGCCCCATGACCTTCTTCGTCTTGCTCTCCGACCCGAGCCATTTGTTCACGATCGTACATGGTCATGCCTCTCACGCCATTCATCTGTTCACCTCTCGCTCCGGTACCACCAGTAGCCGTGCCTTCACGAGAATTTGTACCTTTTCCGGGCTGGGTTTGACCATACAAGAACGGATCAGACGTGTTTGGTACGGGAGTACCATTGCCAGTCTGTGGTGTGGTCGATCCATTCGGCTGCACTGGAGACGAGCGTCCATATGCATTCGCTCGGTATCCTGTAGCTCCCGGAGAGTTGGCATACGGGTGAGGAGCAACGAGAGCACCATCCCTGTCCCGATCGGCTCTTTGCTGACTAGCACGGCGGCTGGTTGGCGCCAATGGTTGAACGCTAATATGTTCTCTCGAACCACCGCGAGAGTCTTGTGCAGCACGGCGAGTGCCCTTAACGTGAGCGGGCGTTGGGGCAAGAACGAGAGGTGATGACGGCGACACTGGAGTCTCAATAGGTTGACGAGAGCGACGGTGGGCATGCTCGCGTGAGCGGTGTTCGCGATGAGGAGTGTGGGGGGCAGCAGCGTTGGCATGCGCCTGAGCCAAGAGCGTCGAAGGAGTCTATATTCGTCGTCAGATTTGCAAGCAAGGAAATAAAAGACAAGGATGCTGACATGTCCGGCCTCCCAGCCTTTGCCGTTGTTCAACAGCATCCAATCAAAGATGCCATCTTCAGGTTCGGCAAGCGTCTTGAGAACCTTCGAGAAGAGTTCGCGCAAGAAATCGTAGTCGGGTGTCTCTTCGAAGCCGAGCTTACGAACGTAATTCATATAGATAGCAAACTCCTCTACGAAGCGGAAGTGACAACATCAGTCAAATGTCAAAGCGGAAAGGAAACGGTAGTTACCTGGGAAGCCTTCGCATAACTCCTCAATTGGAGTGCTCTGTTTCTTTTCACCGATTTTCTCGTACTTCTGCTTGTTCGTCGCCGCCCGAAGGCCTTGCCATGGGAGTCCTCCCCGAAGAAAATACATGAAGACATGGCCTAGAGACTCGAGATCGTCCCTACGGGACTGCTCGCGCCCCAGGTGCGTGTTGATTGACATATATCGGGCAGTGCCGGACAGCGACTTGCGCTCTCGGTAAGGAATGTGGACTTTGGTCTTAGGATCTCGATAATGTTTGGCCATTCCAAAATCTGCAAAAACGGTTGGACATAAGCAACAGATCCGCGGCCCGTAGCATTGTAACAAAATGATGAGGGTTGCAACTTAGCCATGTCAAACCCTCGGACTGCGGCATTGCGATCCAAGTGTCGTTAATGAATTGAGGGGCTATACGATAACCCTTGAACGCCAGGACCAACAACGCATCAACATGAGGGCTTCCCCCTTGCTCCGATGCCGGCCAAATCTAGCACCAGACCAGGCAATCGATCACGGCCGCCACTGAAGCTTAGACGCCCCAGACCCCCGCCAACAGGTTTGTGCAGTCCCACGCAAGCACCAGAGCAGAACAAGACTCACCAATTATATGAATAGTATTAGCATTTTTAGAGCCGGGTACGCCAATGAGGAAATTATCAGGCTTGATATCACGGTAGATGAGGGACTTGTCATGAATAGCTTGTACACGAGTGACCTAGAAAATTCATGTTAGTTCTAAAGCAAATGGAGCACCACGCTGAGACCATGAAGAATGTTGAGATGAGATGTGACGCGTTTTGAAACGCATTTGGAGGTAGGGAAGCACCAAATCCGTCGGCTCAACGACGCACTACCAACGCAAAATTCACACACGCGGAAAGACCGCCATCAATCAAGAAGTAACATTACACGAGTGCTCACCATCTGTTTCGCAGCCATGCAAACGGTCTTTATCGAAAATTTGCGTCCGCACATATCAAATAGGTCCTCCAAGTTTGGGCCTAGAAGGTCGATAACGAGCACATTGTGAAGACCCTCCTGGCCGAAGTAATGGACTTGCGGTACGCCGGCTGCACAAGGAAAACACGAGTTACGAATGGCGGGAGTCGTGAGCAAAGCGGGAAATAAGCGGTCAAGCGAACAACATCAATTCGGTCTCCCAAGTGCGAGAAAGCGACACATACGAGTCCCATTCAATGTCCTGTACGACCTGTACTCGTCCCTGAGCTGAGGGGCTTCGGACTTTCTTGGTTCCTGGAAAGAGCAGTCTTGTACTGAACGCATCAACCGCTGGCACAGGCACAACTCACAAACTTGATTGCAACAGGTTGGTTGTTGAGAATGTTGGTGCCTTGTTGAAGAGTATGTTCAGTACAAAGTTGGATGTTGTTGTTCAAGCACACATACCTTCAAAAACAACACCAAAGGAACCCTCTCCAATCTTCTTTCCAACCCGGAAATGGGCACCGACAATGCCGTTCGAGGTGCCCGACTGAGACGACGGATGGCCCGACGACGATGCAATTACATGGGGAGTGGTCATATCGGATAGAAATCCACGACGAAGAGAGAGACAGGAAGGGATATAGGCTAAGGATTGGAGGGTGGACGACCGAAAGGCGTCCTAGGAGAGGGAAAGGCTGTATTATCGGGAACAAGCGGAGTTCGAACCAGACCCTTCAATGACGCCCGCAGCTTTCGGGCGCTTCCACTCCTTGTATGGGCAGTTGCGGTCATGTTGAGTTCTGCTTTACAGTATATCCAAATTCGTCTCCTTCTCGAACTTGCCCTTATGGCTGCCTTTTTGCTGTGCTGAACTCCAGTTGCAGCTTTCCTTGCTGTATGTGGAGGGGCTGGAAAGTTAGGATGCGCCTTTAAAGCATATGGAATCCACTGGGCGGCCAGCCGTGGCTTCGTTTCCGAGTCTGGTTTACAATATTGCCTTAAGCTCGTCGACCCTCTATTAATTTGCATCAAGTTGGATCTCGAGCAATGTGTTATGTTCTACAAATTCATACTTTATCAATGCAAACTAGAACCAAGAATCAACTTGCGCTTCACCTGTTATCTGGTATGCACCATACTTACTCCCTTTATATATCGCCTGTGTATTTGACCTATTTCAACACGCAGATTACCTTATCACCTTCCAAATTAACTCGGGATGCTGTTATTTTGGTATGTCCATTACACACACAAGACCGCTCGCCGGCCAGGCTTGTATCACGAGACCTTCCCGCGAGACAACGGTCGACCGCTGAACTTCGTAGAACGTGCCGCAGCCACACCTGACGGCCTGTCCTCCTCCATCAAGATGGGTCCACAGATGATCAAGGGATGATCAAGGTACCTGAAGCTAATAGTCATGCTCGCGTTTTCCACGGTGTAACTGCTCAGTCATCCATCGCGTGCTTGCGAACTAAAGAACTTCCTTTCGAACGATCGTGGGGATAGTTCGCAGTCGAGCTCCACTAAGTGATCTGTGCAGTAGTAAGCAAGTGGCTTCTATCGGAGAATTGCTACTGAATCACTATTGTTTCTGGTAGGTATAACATCCAGCTTTCCTGTAGCAAAGACCTGACATGCCTGGGGTCCCGACTTGTGACACGCCACTGACATATGTAGTATGCAACGTCCAATGTCCGCAAACGGAACGGTGCTTACTGGAAGTGTAACTCTCCCCATGGCCCCATGCCCTTGGATCTCCCTGGCGTTCCACGCACCGTCTAATCAAAATGGTCTAGTTATCGGTTCATATCACTCCATTCCACCGCAAGGACAAGCCTTTCCTGCGTTACGACCAACGTATCTCTTCACAACCGTTTTATTCGGCTTCACCGTGGTACGAAAATCAGCCACATTTGTTCGCAATTATATCTATGTCCCGAGGAACGGGGAACGCCCTACTACAAGGCGGGTAAATCCTCAACAATGCCAAGCTCGCACTAATCGATTGTGAAGAGCGTCAGTCGAAGTCGAAGCTCTGAACTCTACAGGACTGATTTGCGGCTCTACATGCTTCGCAACCTCTTCTGACCCCACCGACCTCTATGCTACGCCCGTCGCAGTTGTGCTATGCTCTCATCCTCGCTTATAGGACCATGCCCAACCGTCAAATTGTCATCTTCCGGTCCCCAGGATCAAAGAAATCAAGGAACCCGAATGCGACAGCTAACTTGCTTGCCTGAAGCACTTCATTCTATTGCCGTGAACTCGGCACGCTATCTCTGTTGACATTCGCCTTGATTATCCATGATTAGAAGGGGCAGCCTCATGGGCTCTGGCAACTCGAACGCAGGTGCAGTCTGCAAGCGCTTACGCGGTAGACCTCACTGCGCACCCTACATATTCGGCACCCCTCGTTTTCGGCTTGTAAAACAGTGTTCTGCTTGATTGGTCTAGTGGACGAGTTACACAAGGCATTTACCAACAACTACCGGCTAGCGTTTACGACGATCCAATTCGACTTCAAATTCATTCCGAGCGCTAATATAAGTCTTCTTGAACCAGCGCCGTACTCTTCAGTGTCATACAAGAATATGCTGACCCAAAATATAAATAAACTCTCATCAATCTGCCAATGCGAGCCGTCTAGAGTCTTTCACCCCCTTTGACGCTCCTTAAAGTTACTTTCTGATAAGTTATAGTGCATGGAACTCGCCTACGTCTGAGCTTGTCTGTCTTCAGAACGCCTTCAGGCCAAGCATCTCTATGTCGATTACTTATGTGGGTGAGCGGGTGAAGATCCTGCCTGGCTTTACCGTAGCAGGCCGACGGTGTACAAAGACTATGAGTGTATGCGACGGGTCTGGAAGGGCTCTTCGTAAAGGAGCCGTCGATGCAGCTCTAGGCTGTTTCATCTGTCCGCTTTTCGACACTCTCTGGGTGTATGTGACGGCTATGATTGCGCGATGCCAGAGACCCCAATATCTCTGTTCTATCGTCCTATTACATCTATACGGCATATTGACTATCAACTCTGGGCGGGTGTAGATATTATAATAGTATTTGAAGGAATATGATCACATTTGCACGATCTTAGAAAAATATTTTGAGGGGACTGAACATGTATTAGAAAAGGATACTGTACATATGTGGAACGTTGATACTGAACTGGAGAAATAAAGCAAGGTCTCCTTGGCGGGATCCAAAATTCAGAAACAGAAACGCCGGGAGAACACCACAACAACAATACAATAGGTGTTCTAATCGCCTCTTAACCAAGAAGTGATCCTCCGCCGACGGCGATCCCTTCTTTTCCTTAGGAAAGGTAGTAAGCATAGAAAGCGGAACTAAGGAAAAGAAGCGAATTCCTGTTACATATATTGTGGAGGAGGGCGAGGCCTCGGTGAGGTCACCAGGGCTAGGGTCTATAGTATATACAATATGAGTTCTATTGAGTCCTGTGGAGGTGCTTTGTAACCGGAGATGATTGACTTACCTTGCATGGAAGATCGTCATAATCTTCCTGCGCAGTTACCCCAGATACTTATGCGCATGGCTCAGAGTGAGACACAGGCTCAGTAAGTAACACGAAGGGCATCACCGCCCCGCCGGCCTGAAATGATTCGACGGTGAAATGGGATAGATGGATCACTCTTCACAAGCATCAACGGGAAGTCATGTATTGACCGGATTAGCAAGAATACACTATCGAGTGTCAACGGTTATACTGAAGACCTACGGTCTCAAGTGTGTTGTCCCAGTAGATTTATTACAGGCAGGAGGTGAATCTGGACCAGTGCGCGACTTTGCTGTGCGTGGGCCGGGAGGAGAACGATCCAGATGGGGAATTGTGAACGGAGATAGCAACGTGGGACTTCGCTTCATACACCCGCCGAATGTTGGGTAAGCTGCTGGGAGTGTGATCAGATATTAGCAGAAGAAAGCTAACTGCACGTATTATGCCGATCCGTTGGCATATACGTTCATAAGAGGTTTAAGATATGTTCTATAAACTCCGTAGAACGTTCTCTGTAGACTATCGTGTATCAGTAACGACCGATGTCGGACGTGTCGGGTAAGAGAGAGAGAGGCTCAATTACTCACGAAACCAGTTCTCAGAGTATGTTTACTGAGCATTACTGAACAATTGCGATAATTATTAGTATCGAAAGGAATGGGTGACTGACCACGGAGGAGTACGGATAAGCGCACCGGCCCATAGAAGCCGCGTAACTTCCGGATATGGTGATCCAAGTTGGAGAACTAAAAGGACGGTAATTTGGAGAGTTTCCGGCAAAGAGGTCATGCCGGCAACCTGTTTGTCATGACAGATCTATTCAAAACCTTTAATATACAATTATCTTAGCAAGAATGCAATGCGTAGAATGTAGATCTGACGAAGACGGCTACTAAAGAACGTACATACCTCCGTAACATTTTGAATTTTGCATGCGCTCCGTACCAGAGTCGGTACGTTAGGTGATGTTTCCAAGAGGACGACAGGAAAACTTTATGACATTGATAGCTCATGGCGTAGCGCGAGGCTGAGAACGCCCAAGCACGAAGCGCACTGACCAAGCGCAAGGTAAAGCCCCGTGCGAGCGGTGACCTGACAGAGGGGAGAACTCCGGGTCGGCGGAGGGCTCTCATAAAGCCTACTGGCATGCCACATTTAGAACTATCATTAGCAGCCTTCTTGCTTCTTCATTTCTAAAGTTCTGGGTACCCTGGATGCAGTTGATCCAACCTTATCGGGGTAGATCCCCAGCCAATCAGTGTTCAGCGGCATCAGTGAATATGAGTGTACGAGTGTATGAACATACCATGAGTATGAAGGCTGTTTGTGGAAGGGGTGGTAAATCACGTCAGGATCATGAACCATCGTTGCATTACTGAGCAGTGGCTACTGTAAGCGTATGATAATGAGCAATGCATGCATGCAGGGTTGGGATCGCCAGGCCAGCTGCGGTGTTACTCGAGCAGACTGGGTGTGATTGAGGAGTGTATCTGTCTGTAAGCAACAACGATCGAAGAGAGATCTTGACTCGGCGAGGCCGCTTTAGTAGCAGACCTCGTTGCATGAGGTCGCCTTGGCAGCATTGCCGTCTTACACATTATGGGCATTTCTGGGTCCCATGCACGATAACTTTAGTTCATTCGGAAGATTCCACGACATCTGTGTATGAATTGAATGTTTTGGCAGGGTGAGATCCTCGTTCCCGATTGCTCTTTGGTATTCGCGGGAAGCGGGCGCTCGACATATGGACTGTGTAAACGCAGCTGACGGAAAAGCGAAAGATACGATTTGCTTCCGCCCTGGAGAACAACAAATTGCACCTCCTGTACAGCATGCCAAGCGGTGCCAGGCATCACGATGACCGAAGCAGTCGCCCCTTTCTTGAGCCGTAAAAAAAATAAGGTGAGGGGGTCGGGGGAATGGGCCTAAAGAGGGACCCCGATAGAGCGGTAAAAGTATAATCGGTCGGCGCTGAGCAAGCAGGGTGACTCTCACGGTCACAATGTGACAGAGTAGAGGAGCGTTACTTTGCGCTCACCAATCCCATGAACAGCATATTTGTAAAGCGATCACTCTTATATACCCCCTTCGCCCCCTCCGTATCCGTCCTCTACCCTCCCTGACTTACCTTGTTCTCCTCCACTATACCGGTTGCATATTCCTATCCCTTCAAGCTTGTTGTTTCGCGCATATCTCTCCGTCGAATTACCACCACGGAGCCAAGCTCTTCACATTCACTCTAGCATACCTTTGCGGCGCCACCTATGCAGACACCGCGGGTCATAAAACTCCTGGTCTTTTCGGACATTGTGCGTTCCCTCATATTCCAAGTTGATCAATGATTTAAAATATTGACTCTATATAGTCTTGTCCATGGTGCTACATCGGCCTACAGGAGATGGACCGCGCCATCGACCAATGCTCCGAATGTCCGGCTCGCTTTGAAGTCGAGTACCGGCCATATAGGCTGAATGCATCTCTAAAGGACGGACAATCGTTCCCCAAGCGAGAATGGTTCGAGCAGAGATTCGGCAAGGAGAAGTCAGATACAATCGAGTCGATAATATCCACGAGAGCAAAGGAAGTCGGACTGAACATGTGAGTCAGACGAAAGCCCCCATCCCTGTCGTCACGTTCCTTTCTGTCCGGAGGTTGGCCCATACCGGAAGAATCTACTCAGCGCTTCAGAGCTGCGTCTTTTTCTATTTCTGCACAACCATCCGGCGTTCTCACTCTTTGGATGTCATCATGAATCCTCCGCTGATGTCCGATTGCTTTGCTTAGCAAACTGTTCGATGGTGTCGTTTCACAAACGACATTGGCTCATCGCCTCCTGACGAAAGCATGGAAACTCGGGGGACAGGCGAAACAATTACCGCTCCTAACAGGGCTCTTCAAGGGCTACTTTGAGGATGGGAAGAATGTAGGTGATATTCAAACGCTCGCCGAGATTGCAGCGTCGTGTGGCGTCATGTCCGAGGAGGAGGTACGTCTTTGATGACCGTAAACAATAAGCCTCTCAGGCTCTGTTGACACGGTTCCCATCGTTTTGACAGACGATTAAATTCCTGGAGTCCGACGAATTACTGCCAGAGGTCGAGCAGATGATGTTGGACGTGCGCAAGAAAGGCGTGACTGGTGTGCCGTTTGTCGTGATCGACGGCAAGTGGGCGGTCAGTGGCGGACAGAGCGCTGAGACCTATGTTCAGGTATGTTCACTTGACGGTGCTTGAGGCTGCTCGCAGGTCATGATCTGATTCGCTGCTCCACCGTGTAGATCTTTAAGAAGATTGGCAGGTCGGATAAGCCATCGCCAGTGCCATCTGCACCAACCTGCACGGATTCCACATAGCATACCTACAGCCATGCGCGTTCGTGTGTCTCGATCTCGTTTTCTTCTGCTGTAGTCCACCTGTGACTCTTTTCCGCTCTGTCATTCCCAGGAGTTGGTCGTATCACGCCTGATTCATGCGTATTACTCGCCTTAGCATACATTGTATCTGGTGTTTGATCCCCGCCTTTCTTGCACGCATATGTTGTATTCTGTATCATCTCATTTTCTGTTCTTTATTCCTTCTTTCCTCGTCTTCCCTTTTTTCGTATTTGTTCGCTCAGGGGCGATTCGGACGCGCCAGCATATCCATTCTCGTTCACACACTCACGATTCTTCTGGTTGATAAGTATGTGCTTTCTTGGTTTGATCAGATAGTAACTTATCCCGCTGGTTAATGGTCATGAGAACGGCTGGATGTTACTTATGCTTATGACGGCCTGGTTATGTTATCGGCCCTTGCAAGGTGGAGTGTGTTCAGTGCTCAATAATACCAGTCCGTTCTCCTCTCGCGCGCAGACAGCCAAGCCACGGCCGGCTTCTGACGTCATCCTGCGCAGTGGTGTTAGCCTCAGTTCAGATCCTCGCTTGCGCAATAAGAATGTACTTTTCACATCATCTTCCCTCCATCTTTTCCCCTCACGATCCTTGACGACGACTAGACTAGAACGATTTAGGATACAAAAAGCATGCCGAGGCCGCACCAGCATTGGGCGTATGTCGCAATTCCTTTATTCGGGGCTCTCATGTGGTTCTGTAAGCATTAAGTACCCGCTCTGTGTCACACGACAAGACTGAACTCAATCTTCAGCGACATTGCTGGCAATGTTAATAACATGGCTGGCTAGTGGTCGTCCACGTTATGTGTCCCAGGACGGGAGCATCGCTTACATTTCAGATGTAGGAGCAGATATCTTGAAGCCGCTATTCGTGATAGGTTGTATCATCACTGGCCTCTCATTTTTCTTGTCTCTCACAATAGAGAGATGGCTGAGGCATTCGGGTCGGTGAGTCTAATCCGCATTAATCACTCCCATGAGGACGTTGACACTTACTTACTCATCGCCTGCGGCTCGGGGTACTAATCTTATGTCAGGCTGGTACCTACCATGCGTCGCAGAGAACGCGTGTTTTCCTGTCTCGCAATCATCAGTTCACTTTTTGGCGCCGCTGGGCTCATCCTACTTTCTGGTTTTGATACGAAACGATATGTCACGCTCCATCGTGTCTTCCTGCTCGTATTCATCCTCGGCGTGGGATTTAGTGCCATTTTCACGGTCGTCGAGGTAAGATCTTGATACGGCGAGATCATTTGCATTTACTCCGAGTCGCTTACACAACTCCGTTTCGCACCTTCCCAGTATCGGTGGATTAGTCATGATTTTGTTGAGATGCGACATCTCAAGATCGCCTATGTGGCTAAAGGCGCGATAGCGGGCATCCTAATTTTACTCGCCATTGCCTTTGCCGTTGCTCTGTATTCGGCCAACGATGTGGGAGGTATGTACTCTAGCCTTTCTAACACACGGGGAAATTTAAAGTCTAATTAATCCTGCAATTAGCTGTTCTGGAATGGACGATCGCGTTCGGTTTCACGTTTTACATTCTCACCTTTGCCTATGACCTTCGCATGGCCAAAGGAGTCCACCGCGGCGAACTCACCAGAGAGCGTTTCCTTGCGGAAAAACGACAGGAAGGAGACGCAACAGCCATGAGAGAAATGAATGCAGGAATCGGCGAACCTCAATTCCCTACTCCTGTACATCATCAGAATGGTAATCGGCAGCCTGAAGACGGGCATGCCAATGGGTATATGGGTGCCCAGGGGATTACGCAGGGCAATGGCACTGCGTAGGGGGCCCGACCGCGTTGGCGAGATGAAGGCTATAGAACACCAACCAGTAAAGATACCCCGCCTCAGTAGCATTGCATCTTGGTTCCAGAAGTGTGGACATTGTCTTGCATATTGCATTGTACTGTATCCATCTGTGCATTCCAGCATTTCTCTATGTTTTTTTTTGTATACTAGAAGTACTAAGCTTGCTCCGATACCCCTGTATGGTAGTATAAATCCACCTAATAGTCCTCTGATTGGACATACATACTTTTTGGCACTTCTGGAAAAGCTGGCGGCGATGAAGAGGTCGAAAGCCAAGGTACTGTCAGTGTCAAGCTTCAGTCGTCCACAACCGCCCACAAACCCCCGAAAGGGTAAATCCTCCCTAACACATGTCAAGCGCCCACTTTCCCATCCCCCTCCCTGAAAGTCGATCATCAACGTTCATGTCTCTAGCACATCCACACTCAACTCCAGCGACACCTTCTCGTAACACCTCCTCCACGACACTATCAACTCTCCGTCAAGGCACTTCACCACTAGCCACCTCAGCGACATCACCTAATAACATTCGGTCGTTTAGCGATGCTGCGTTAGCTGCCAATACGCGTAACAAGCGTAATTCAGCACATGGAGTTGGGGCGGGGACTGCGACTCCGGGGAGTTTACCTAGTCCTGCGTCTACGCCGCCTCATCATATACCGCATACACCTGGAGGGGTAGGGGGAGGGGGAGGGAAGACGCGTGCGAGGGATTTGTTGAGAAAGCATTATGGATTGGGTGTGGGGCCGCCGCCGCCTTTACAGGGGAAGGTTGCGGATCCTATGGATCTTGGTGCGTGTTTTTCTATTACTCGGGAGAGATATGTGTACTAACAAGGAGTGATGAATGGTAGACTCGACGGCCTTTAACGCGAAAGCGTATTATGAACAGCTCATTACTACTTCCTCATTGCCTATGCTTATACGACGCGAGAACGAGCTCTTGACAGGTATGTAGAGTACTTTCTTGATAGCTCATAGAACGTAGCATTGAGTTGTGCTTTTCGTCGTATGCGTCATACTCATACTCTGATAGAAATCAGACAATTGGATAGTGAACGACAATCTTTGGTGTATAACCACCACCACGAGCTCATCGCGGCCAGCGATACCATAGGCGCAGTAAGTTGCTTTTCTTTTTGCTTTATGTGGCGAGTTCCGTTTAGAGTGATATTTATTATTTGTTGTTTGTTTGATAGATGAAGGACCGTGCCGAGAAACTCGATGCAGACATGGACCTCCTCAAAGCGGCGTTTTCTGAAATATCTCGATTATCTACGGAGCTTGCCATTGAGGATTCTCGCGAGAGTGACGGCGGAAAGTGATACATACCTGGAACACTATGGAGATACCCCTACCATTTAATATACCGATGTTCTTTGGATATACTACATTCTTAATTCTTTTGCGCGAGGCTATGTACTTGTTGTTCACACTGAAACAAAACACCATTTCATTAGGGAACAGAATAATATCACGGTAGTCATGGAATGCGCGTATATCACCATGCTATGTCCGAATTTGAAGGTGATCGGCGGGAATACGGCTTGGTCGTCGAACACGCACACGGCCAACAACGTTCAGATTGAGAAAACGCACGCTGACTGCGATGGCACAACACATGATCGAGCAAGAATCCCGACGCCAATAGTCCTTGCATTGTCAAGCAGTACGTCTCGAAACAATGAGTCAAGATTATCCTAAAATAAAAGCCCAAGAACAATGCATCACGTCTCAAGGACCAAAAATGAACCAAGAAAATATGCATATATGCGATCAAAACAAATACACACCCTCCTCGATTCACGTTAAACTTCAAACTTCAAGCCCCCATCCTTGGAGGTCGTGGTTGCTTAACACCATCAACCCAAACGTCTACCTTCTCATCATAGAACGCGACGAAACCTTTAATCTCGGCACATTCCAAGTGAGGTGTCCGGTACCACCAAACGATATCGTCTGTCTGCGTGCCATCGGGGAGGCGGACGTGATAATAATTTGCGATGCCCTGTATAATTGAGTACCAACCAGATAAGCAAGTTTGGACGAGTGTAAGGGATAAGAGTGGTAGGATAGATGTATTTGGAAAACTTACCTTGTAGGGACATTGTGTGGTTGTTTGAGAGGGGACAAGAAGGTCCATACGACAATCTGTCTTGGGGATGTACGTGCGTATGTGCAGGCCAGTCTCGAATAGGAGGCGTGGTCTTCGAGTGTTGGCGAATTCGACGCCATTCAACTCGACTCGTATATGTCGAGAAGATTGTAAGACGTCCACACGCTGCAAACACACACACACCAACGACATATTCAGCATGAAGTCAAACGCATACAACGACGTCAAAGGACGAAGGTCGAAATTGACAGTATGAGACTGACCTTATAGGGGTCCTTGGGGTGCACAAATATCTGCTCATCTTCCTCGAACCAAGCATCCGCCGCACCGAACTCGATGTTCACAAGACCCTGAACGTCCCCTTTCAGGTATCTCGTCACAGCAGACTCGGCGCGTCTGTTCCCGATGACGATATCATATAAAACACAATCATCGGATCGAAATGATTCTTCGATGTACTGAGAGGGAAGGTCCTCCACTGGGAAGCAATAAGTTGGGTAGTATGGTTTGAACCAACTATATGCGGTTCAAAAGTTCGTCTAGAAGTGAGGTAGTGGGCATGACGTAGTAGGACTTACACCAATCTCGCTTGGAGCGTATCCACAATGTAGTTCCCTGCAAATAGAACTCTCACTCGCTTGGGTGAGTGTTCAATGTGAGGTTTGCTGAAGGGAGGTGCCATGTGTTGCGAGGTCAGTGAATATTTGGGCTCCGCCAAGCAATTAGAGAAGTGATCAAAGTCCGGGAAGTGTTCAGAACTCGAGAGATGAATATGGTGGGATTTATAATGCTTAGATAGTCACTGCATTGTTGAGATGTGCGTTGGTAAGGAGCTAGTTGATTGTAGACACAATCAAGACAGCTTGAGACCGTAGATCTTTTGACCAAGGGGATTTGGACTGTGCCGCGATCACGATGTCCAAAGCAGGTAGTTTACTCTCAGCACGTGCCGTTGGAGTAGTACGCGATCCTAATTGCTCGTTGCTGTGCGACGCGTCGGGGGAAGTAGAGACCAATATTCGTATCATTGTATGCGACAGTACAGAGTTTGGTTATTGAAAAAAAGCCCAGTCAGTGAATACGAGGAAACAGGACAAGCAGAACATTGCAAGAGAAAAAGAGAGAACAAGACCGACAGCATATAGTACACGAATCATACAGCCCCAAGATATGGTACAAGAAGACAAGATCCAAAGATAACCGTGAGCATTAAACAGAACCATAACGACCGCCAAGTATGCCTCGCAAGACCCCCAAGATATCTGAAAGAATAAGAATACGACCCGCTACTTTCGCTGCTTCCAAGCGTTGTCAACGCCGGCAGCGGAGAACTTCTCTGCAACCTTGGGGTTATCAGGCGCAAGATTCCTATCCGCCAACTCGCCCTTTCCTTTCCTCGTAGTCTTTGCATCCATCAATCCAAGTCCTCCATAGCTACCGCCCTTCTGGTGAAGCTCGCCTGGAGCCTCGCTGTATCTGACCGCAGCGCTATCATTCACCCCTGAATCGTTTTGCGGAACTGCGCGAGTAGTAAACGGATGTGCGTAGCTCGCACTTGTCGAGGACCTCGGAAGGTCCGAAGGAGCCTCCGTAAGGGTGTAATTCTGGTATGGGGCGGACGTGGGATACGCGCCAGAAGGGACTTCGTATGGGGTATGAGCGGGATCAGGCTCGGATACAACGTAAGTACGCTGTCCAGAACCCGAAAGGACTGGTTCAGACAAGTGTTCGAGTTGCTTCTCGTATATCGATGAGAAATTCGACGTTGGAGGAGGAGGGTTCGTAATTGGTGACGTATTCGAGGACAATGCAATGAACGGTGAATGGAATGAGCGTTGCGAGCTTTGCTGTATCTGCAAGCTACGCGACAGCGAGCGAGAGTGTTTGCTCAATGCACGAATGGAGGACATGGTGGGTGGCTGGACGTTGGGTTGGCGAGGTGCAGGAGTCGTCGTGGGATGTAGAGGGCTTTTGAGGGAGGAGGTGGTTCGATGTCTTGACCGCTCTAGTGCCGAGTCTGGGGTATTGTCGGCTCGCCTCCCCAACGTCACACGCCAGCTTAAAAATAGACCCAATAGATTGCGGAAGATGTGTTGGATTCAACCTTGATAGCTCAGCTGGAAGAGTGCTGGCTGATGCAATTGCAGGTGGGGAGAGATAAATATGATGCTCAGAGAAAAGGTGCTGCTTAGATGGGGAACTAATATCTTGAGCCAGTTTGGGCAAGTTCAAAAGACAGATTAAGCAAAGTTCATCTCTCCCCAAGTGTTGGGGAGAGATGAGTATGGTGTATAGTATATGGCAAGTTGAATAAATTACAAAAGATTGCATTGAGTAATGCTCATCTGGGAGAGTGATATCTCTGGCCAGTTTTGTCTATCAAGATCAGAAGGCCAAAGATGCACACTTTCATCTCAGGAGATATAAAAGTATGGTATGGCCAGTTAAATAACTTACAAAGGATCATATTTGCATCTCTCCCCAAGTGGAGAGAGATGAAAGTGTGGCAGATGACATGAACAAGATAAAAATGTCACTTTCTTCTATGGTGCATCTCTTTCCAAGTGGGAAGAGATGACCATTTGTACTTGGAGAATTTTTATCTGCAGAGAATACTGCTTAGTTGGAAGGCTGATATCTCTGGCCAGTTTGTCTATCAAGCAAAGATGCACATTTTTATCTCTCCCCAAGTGGAGAGAGATGCATGTAGAAGAATGTGGTAAGAATATAATTCTATGATCTATGGCAAGTTAATACTGCTCAGTGGAAGAATTGATATCTCTGGCCAGTTTTGTCAAGTCCAGGAGATAGATGCATATCATTCTAGCAGAATTTCACTGCCAGACTTGCAGAAAGGGTGCTTAGTTGGAAGACATATATTTCTGCACATATTTTACCCTACATCTATAGCCCAATAATTTTGAGGCAGAATATGGAGATATATCTCTCTTTACTTGGAGAGAGATGAAAAGCTAGAATATTGCAAAGGTCTGTCTGTTTCATGTGTAGATTCAGGAATGTGGGAATATATCTAGTGTGCAGAGCATGTCTGTTCTAGATATATATATAAGTGCTCACTTGGCAGATATGCTTAGTTGAAAGAGAGCAAGGGATTTTGTCAGTTACCGAAAACTTTTGCATGCCAGTTTTGAACCCTACTTTTTAGGATGCAGGTTGCTGGTTCAATCCCAGCTTGAAGGATAGCTTTTCTCGCATGCACATTCTATCACATTTGCTGCACTTAAAGGGTACCTTTTCTTTTCATGCACACAAAGTTTCTATCACGTTTGCTGCAACTTAGGAGAGTCTGATATATACAATAAAATAGACAATTAAAGTATATAAGTAGCATAAAAAGCATTGTATGTATTTTTCAGTGTATTTTATTCTTTCTGCAGCTCAATATCATATTTCTTATTAATAGCCATAGATCTATCAATATTTATAAAGACTCTTCTTCACTTTAAGATAATTCAAGTAAAGATCTGTATGAATTCAAAATATTGAACTCTGTTTTACCAAGTACATTTCTTGCAAAGTCTCTATACAATAGTATTTCCTGTAAGAAAAAAAATAAAAAATGATAATTTGTTATATTCATTATATAGCTGCTCATTCCAAACAATAGTAACTAAAGCACTAATGAGATAAGATGAAAATATATATTTGAGCCATTTAGCAGCTTCAACTAACTTTGCTTCATCATCAAGTAAAGTTGACTCTTCTAATGCAGTTGACTCTGTTATTGCCTGTATTATATAATGCAAATTTAAGAATGCATATCTTACAGCCTCTCTGATAGACATAATATCATTGTGATCAGTTAGACTTCTCCAAATAAGCTTTGCAATATCTGTCCATATTTCTATCCAAAATGGTGAAAATGAATTTAATTTTCCAAGGCTATATTGTGAAATAATTTGCTGCATATTTCTCTTATCACAAATTATCTTTACCAGTAGAAAACATAGCCTACACATATTATTGATAGTGATATGTCTTGATAGATCTGTCTCAGAATCTTGCTTCTTTATAAAAATAGAAAAATAGCTATTCACAAGTGTCTTATCTATATAATACAATGAGTTAAAGAAGTTTTATTTATAAATGTCAGAATATACCTTCATCATTTAGATTCTGATATTGCTTTTGTATAAGAATCTCTATATTTGTTGAATATATACTGAAGAAAAGAGCTTGATATATCACATCTTAATATATAAGCCACTTGTACTCTGATAACCTATCAATATATTTATTATGCTGTACTCGACAAGCAATCATAGCAGCCATAGCCTTAATAATCCAACCTCCATAAATTTCAAATTGATATAATCTCTCAATTGCTTGACAAAGAAGTCCCGCTATTGTATTATAGAGAGATGATATTGATGTGTAAAATGTATTGAGTATATCTATCAAAGTAAGATCTTCTTAATAGTATTTATTAATATATAATATCACTATTTTTAATCTCTTCAATAGATTTAGGCCATCACAATCACTTAATGTAGCTAGAGGTAGAGTATGGGCTATGGCAATACATTCACCTCTATTAGATCTACCTTGATATAATTTTGCTATAATTTTGGCAAAATATTTCTCAAAAACTGTCTTCCAAGTTGCATCTTGAGATAAGTAATTGGCCAAAATATCTTGTGCCTCTTGAGATATCTCACATGAATTATGTGAAACTAGTAGTGTCAAAGCATCAAACATCCAATCTGGCCATCCTTTATAACTCTCAAATATTTCTCTTGGCATGAGAATAATTGACTTTGCCAGAAGAGCTACAATAGAGGGCCATACTTTGGATGGAGCAGTGATAGGAAATAGATTGGAATATGCATCTGTCAAATCTGTGTCCAGCCATTGTCTGGAATGTAACAGAGACATAACAAAGGCAACTATTGCCTGGCCATTTATCTGAATCTGAGTAAAAGATTCCATGATAACTGTTGGCAAAAGATTATCATCTGCCAAAATATAATCTACATCTCTGATTATGTGATAGTCTCATGTTGTTATTTGAGCAATGTTATCTTCCTCCATATAGGACTTTAGATAATCTATATGCTTTCTTTTCATAACATGCCCTGCATTTTTCTATTTCCAACTCTCAATTATTTCTGCAAATGTCAAGTGATGAATATAAAACCAATCTGTATGATCTCAAAGAAAGTTCACAATATAGTCATGACCAAGAAACCATATATATCTAACATACTTCAAGGCATTCTTCAAGAATATGACCTTGTATGGACAATGACTAGACACTGCTGGTGCAAGTGTAGTTCTCAGAAGAAGAGCCACCCACAGGGTGACAAGAACAATGCTTGTGATACCAATGCTAGAATGAATTGAGGTGGTGAAGAAGCAGAGGCCTAGAAGAAAAAGACCCAAGGCAGCCTGAAGAAGAAGAGGTAGAAGAGCAGCAATTTTAAATACCTTCCACTTCTGCAGAGCAAAGAAGCGGATCTGAAAATGAGTCTGAGGTGATGTTTGTTCAATGGCCAGGTACTCATGAAGCCATCCCTTGACTAGCATGCTGAAAGATGCTGCAATGAGAGACAATATGAGACTAACAAACCAGAAGCTGTTGATCTTGACTGCAGAGAGTGCAGCTGTGAAGGGCTCAGGTGTACTAGGAGGAGGAATAGTTGCATTGATATAGTTGCCATTGACAGTAAAGCTGTTAAGTTGCATTGAGATCTGTTGAAGGAGCTGGACTGTGGCATCAGCTGGGTCCACCCGAAGTGTCTTGTATGACTCGATGATAAAGGCTGTCAACACTGCCGAGAATAAACCAGCCTAAGGAGATAAAATCATAAGACTGCACAGTGCAAAGCAGAGATATCACTTACAAATATGAGAAGGATATCAATATCTTCCTTGAAGTCTTCAATCTTGGCTCTATCCACCTCTCGAATGTGGCCAGCCATTGCCATCCATCCTATACCATGCTGTATGGTACTTACGATGGCTCGATTATCCTAGAACAAGGTACGTCAGCTCGACAATATTCATTGAATGAGCAGATGTCTATACCCCACATCTGCGAGACAGTGGCATCGACATCTTGTATGCATTGTTGTTGATAAAGTTGAAAGTATCGAGAGTATTGTTTGGAAGGTGAAGGAGAGAGGGAGAGTTGTGAGCGAGTGTCCCATGAGATGTCCAAGCTGGACAGCCTCCACCTCGTAAGTTGCAGGATCAAGAGAATGTTACAAGCAGTGCAAGCTTTATGCAGTTCTTGACAGCTGACCAATGAGAGTGCACCTCATCCTAGTCAAACACGATCGCCGTCACAGTCGGAGATGAGAGAATGACTGTTATTATTTGTTCTTGGGCGATTTCACTAGCAAGAGGCAGGATGATCAGACTAGCCTCCATAAAGCAGAGTAGCCAGAGATGCAAACCTTCGTGCCTCAGGATATCTCTGTCTGATGATCAGACCTAAGGCCAATGAGGGCCACAAGAAGTGAGAGATGGAACATCTCAAATGCCCTCGAAAGCCTGATACAGTCTTGACCTTTCTACACTGTGACCATTGCAAAGTTCGGACTTCTTAGACATTGTCATGTTCTTGATCTTCAATGCAATTGGTGCTTCATGTGGTCGAAATGAAATTACTCCAAGTTTCATTGTATTCATATACATGTTACTAATTGCATTCGAACTCTGAGTCCCACCATGGTCGAATTCAACCACTGTGGTACAAAACATTGAGGTACTCGTAAGTGAAAGATGAACTTTGAGCAAGCAGATTCCAGGACATTTGTCGGAAAAACCTACAGGCAGTTATAAGCTGTGACTGTTATGAGCACATTGTGATCTGTCTCATAAGCCTGGTCGTGACTGAATGTGACTATTTATAGAGTGCTTGTAACTGGTTATGACTACGCTGCAATCGTCCTTCAAGCAGCCAGTACGACAATCAAATGGCTTTGTGTCTACATATTCTCTTCTTTTCACTTGCTGTCAGATCTCTTCTTCCTTGTCAGTCTTTAAAGCATGGCTCCTGTGATCAAATCTTGTGAATCAAAGGCTGAAGTGATCTGTCCAATATGTAAGAAGCCCAAAAATACTCAAGGGCTTAGCAACCATATCAAGGCATGTGAACGCGACACTGAGGCTTGCAAACAGGAGAAGCTGTATCAGGATGAGCTAAAACAAAGGACAAGTGAGTTATCTACTTCTAGCTATCTTTGAAATGACTTATTTGAGATAGAACATCATGCCAGTGATACTGCTCAGTATTTCTTTAACTTTGACAATGAGGGACCCAGCGGAGAAACTACAGGTAGTACTCAGGCAGTTAATCTGCTGGCATGTGGTAAGTGTCATCCTCTCTGATGAGTGAAGATAATTAATGGCCACTCAAGATGTGCATCTTGAAGTTCTCAATGACATTGTGCCACAAGCCAGCTCTATACTGAGCGAGTCCAATTCTGCCCTTCCAGAGGGTGTACAGTCAAGTACCGCATCTACTATTCCTCAAGATGACTATGAGGTCAATGACATCTGGATGGAGTACCATCTAGCCAGTGGTAAATCTATCAATATCAAGCATTTTGGTGATTATCGATGTGACAAGATATCTGGATCAGCAGAGCCATTCTTCGATAAGCCTTAGGAGCTATTCCGAACATGCTTTGACTTTGAACTCGCTGAGCTCATTCTTGCAGCTGCATTAACCAAGCAACAGACAGATATCTTGATTCATCTTATCCATGCATGTGTGATGGGTGAAGGAGAGTTAACATTGCAGAATCATGCTGATATGTTTGCAACATGAAAACTAGCTTCTACCAAACTCACACCTGTATGTATTCATAAATATCTTTGCATGTCATTCAAAGTATATATAAATGTTTTCTCTAGTTTGTGAAACACGAGATTGCGGTTCCGTATAAGAAACAAGATTAGATGTTTGAAGTTTACTGTCAATTACTTTGGGACTGGGCTCTTGATCTTCTGAAGAACCTTCAAATCTTTCCTCACTTTGTTTGGAATGCTGAGCATCTGTCAAAGTACAATGGAAAGTCATTTATACCCTTCATTGATGAGCCTTGGACAGCAAGCTGATTTTGGGATATACAGATGAGTATTGTGTTGTCAGTTTTAGATCTTATACTATATGTCTAACTTGAATGATCTGTATCCTAGTCTGTTTTACCAGAGGGTGGTAAACCATTTGGTTTCATTCTCTATACAGATAAGACCAAATTATCTACTTTTGGTACTGCCAAGGGATATCCAGTCGTGGCTCGATTGGCTAATCTTTCAAAGTGGATACATAATAGTGAAGGTATTGCTGGAGGTCATATTGTGGGATGGCTTCTAATTGTGAGTCTAGATTATTAATATATGCTATATACTTCTAATGCCAAGTTTAAGGTTGAGGAAGAGCCAAATAAAACCAAAAAAACTGGTTTTGTGAATTTTAAATGTGTTGTTTGGCATGAATCATTTCTGAAGATTCTTGACACCATTATTGCTCTTTCAAAGTACGGATATTGGCATAGATTTGCTGATTTAGAGGAAGCACTCTTGCATTTATTTCCCTTTATAGTGATTCTATCTGCTGACTATAAGAAGCAGTAAGTCACATATTATCATATTAATTATTAAAGATGTTAACTAGTATGAACAGATGTGTAATGACACTAATTCGAGGTATAGGTTCAAACTGTCCATGTCCAATCTGTCTTGTAGACAAGGGCAATCTTGCAAATCACAGAGTTTCCTTTTCCTTGCATACTACAGCTGCAGCTCAAGAGCTCTGGATAAGAGCTAATTAGGAGAGATTGGCAGCTGATCGGGAGAAAATTTTGAAAGAAGAAAGCCTGCACAATGTTGAGGTATTTTTAATTATTTTTATTCAACTAATAATATATTATCATTCTTACATGCTGTTTTATAGAATGCCTTTTGGCAAGTTCAAAACTCTGATCCTTATACAGCACTTTCATTTGGTCAACTACATGCTCATCATGAGGGCTTATTTGGAAAGCATCTTTGGCCTGAGTTGTAGAAGTTAATTGAAGAACTTGGCAGATCTGCTTTACAAAAAGTAGATAATATGTGAGCTTTAAAACTTTATAAATAAATCTACTTTACTAATTGAAGTAGTATAAATACCATACCACGATGATGTGGTTTCAATCACTTTGAGCATGTAATCTCAGTTTTATTCTCAGATGGCTCAAAATATGAGGATATCTCAAAGGTTAGTTTACAATATCACTTATAGCAGAATAACTAATAGCATTCTTTAATAAGGTTATTATTTTTGCCACACATGGTCTATTTGATTGCATAAAACATTGTCAAGGCTATCATCTTCTCAAGTGTATATAGATATATCTTCGATTAGATATGTATCTTGCTCTGAAGGTTCATACTGAGAATACACTACAAATGGAAGAGAGAACTCTTATTGACTTCAGTGATGCACTTCAGGTATTCTCAATTTTTAATTCATGATAGTTTAACTCAGTATTTTTATAGGCCTATATTGAAGAGTGTCCAAAAGAGTCAGATGAATAGCAGAAAAACTGGAATTTTTCTAAAGCACATACTAATGAGCATGGTTTTGCTGATATTTGAGCAAAAGGAGCTACTTGTAACTTCAATATGAAGACTAACAAGAAGCTCCATGGTTCATTATAGGAGTTCTATACACTGCATTCAAATAAAAAGAACTTTGCAGAACAGGTGAGTCATTCTATTCTCACTTCAAGCATTCTTCTAAATAATACATAAAGATTCTACATTATGATTACTGGCTTTGGGTTTCTGCTATGATTCGTGATCAAGTGGATGAACTGGATGAGTTTTTGTATCCAGGGTGTTATATTATTGAAGATGATGAAGATTTTTTGGAGACACTCAATGATGAACAGATTACGTTGGGTGCCCAACTCAAGCCATGCAAATTCTGTGACTTTGAATAGAAGTATTCACAGAACATTGCATTTAAGGACTTCTGAAAGCATCTGGCAATATATCTGAACACCTTCTTGCCTGTATCTGGAATTTCACTTCCAGATGGAAAATGTATCCAATACTCACAAGTGAATATGGTATATATTCTGCATTCTCAATTAGAGTTATCCCTGTTAATGCTGAGTGTTGCAGATCACTGAGTACAAGTTTCTAAAAGTGAATTTTGAGTCAAAAGTCAACTGGCGATTACAGATGGACTACTTGCAGTGCAATTCTTCATTCCATGGGCAACCTCGATATGATTTTCTTATTGTCAAGACAGAACATCATCCTATCTTCACCAAGTTGGCATGTATCTTCACATGCACAGTTGCAAATAGAGCATACCCACTGGCTCTAATTCAACCATACAATGCAGCAATTCCAGGAAGGCGTTCAGCAAAGGATGAGAATTTGGGCTTTCTGCGAGTGAGGTCGAGACCTCGATCTGCTTCAGAATTCATTTTCTTGAAATTCATAGTCAGGGGTGCCCTGCTTGTTGAAGATTCTGAAACGGCGGGAGACTATTTTGCAGTGGACGCTGTGGATATGAACATGTTTTTGCAGCTTCAAGAGTTTTAATATTCCTAAATACTACACCCCTTCTGCAAGTGCAACTCTAGTTGTTTTGAACTTGAATCCTAAGTTGGAAGGTAACTTAGAAAGTATATCGCAAATGTGAGTTGATCAAACCAAGTACCGATCACTCTTGATCACTTCAAGGTTCATTGTTTCATCCCACTGGCATGCACTACTACAGCATTGATACAACTTCATTGCTGTGTCTATGCCCTTGCGTGGGTGATAGAAAATTAGGTATGTTTCTTGAAAGTTTACATACCTTTCTCTGAGGCCCTGCTGATAGACAATATATTCCCCAAGTTGACTTTTACTCATGATTTTGCTCATATTGCATTACTGGACACTGGAGCCTTTCACCTCATTCAGAAACTTGGGTATTCTGGATCTTTTATCAAGCTGGAAAAGG